GGACGCCGGCCTTCAAGTGGTTCATCGTCTTTTTGCTCTCCATGTCCGCCTTTACAGTGTATGCTTCTCATTCCAAATGACACGAGAGAAACCGTCACCGCCCAACTAACACCACCCCTGCCAGCACCTTCTCCTGCGTCTCCGTCGTGCCCGTTGCCCGTCGCATATCCCGCGACCTCGGCGGCAGCCCCGACGACACCTCCTCCGAGGTCCTCCTCGTCACCATCTGGGAGCTCGGCGAGGCCGCCGGCCCGCTGCTCATCGGCTCGCTCTCGGAGCTCCTCGGCCGCGCGCCCGTCATCAACGCCGCCAACGTGCTCTTCGTCGCCGCGCTCCTCCTCGGCGCCGTCGCCCCGACCCTGCGCTTCCTCACCCTGACCCGCGCCCTCACCGGCGCCGCCGTGGCCATCAACGTCCTCGGCCCGGCCATTGTCGGCGACATCTTCGTGCCGGAGCAGCGCGGCACCGCCATGAGCATGATCATGTTCGCGCCGCTGCTGGGGAGCTCCATCGGCCCGGCGTTTAGCGGCGCGGCCATCGAGGTGCTGAGCTGGCGCGTGGTCATCCTCGCCTGCGCGGTGCTCGCGGCGCTGTGCTACTCCATCTCGTTCGTATGCTTCCGCGAGACGTACGCGCCGGTGATTCTGCGTCGTCGGGCGGCGAAGCTGCTCGCTGCAGGCCCAGCGCCAGACACGGACAAGCCGGCGACTGGGCACTCGTACAAGTCGCTCTGGCTGTCCATTGCGCGGCCCGCGATCGTCCTTGCCAGCAGTGGTGTGCTCATGGCAATCTCTTTCTACATTGCCATCATGTTCTCCCATTTCTACGTGGCTGCCATCACTATGCCCAGAATCATCGAGGACATTTACCACCTGTCACCTACTGCTGCGGGCCTGTCCTTTTTCTCCAATGGTAATGGTCATCGTTCCCTTGTGACAACTTCCATGCTAACGTGTTGCAGCCCTTGGATCTCTCATCGGCATCATGGTCTGCAAGTCCTGGCTAGACGCCATCTATATCAAGCTTCGCGACAACAACAACGGAGTTGGCCTCCCGGAATTCCGCCTGCCCATTGCCATTTTCGGTGCCATCACTATCGTGCCTGGCGTTGCGCTCTATGGCTGGTGCGCCGAGTACAACTGGAACATTTACGTTTTCCTCATCTCATGCGTCTGGGTCCGCATGTCTCTCATCATGTCCTTTGCGCCACTGACCGCCTACGTCGTCGACGCCTGCGGCCTCTACTCGGCATCTGCCTTGACCGCCGTCATTGTCATCCGCTGTCTCGCGGGCGCCTTCTTGCCGCTCGCGATTGACAAGCTCGTTAATGAGATGGGCTATGGTTGGGGATTCACGGCGTATGCGCTGGCAACTCTGGCTGTCGTTTCGGTGCCTATCGGCCTCTTCTACAAAGGTGAAAGTTGGAGGAGAAATAGCGAGTATACAATGGTGGAGGAGCATATTGAAGCGGAGTGATGCGTTGGTACAGCGAAAATAAAAGAGTCATAGACATTATCTAGTTAATACCTAGAATTGATATTTGTACATGTGGGCACTGATGCACGATCTAATAGCCGATGTCCCGGTCGAGTCACCGAGCTACCGAGCTGCCTGTCTGGCACAAATGGGGTTGGCGGGTATAGAGCCTGATGGTTTATATGAAGTTGAAAAGTCAGGGCTAGCATAAAAACTATAGTGCGGCCCGCGGAGGGTAGTTGATGAAGTTAAGTCCAGGACACGTATCACAGATGCATTTCACTCACCCTGTCCACGCCTACCCTGCATCTGCAGCCAAAGTTTTAAGAAATGCATGTGTCTGCGACCTTGACTGTAGAATTTCCAAGATCAAATCATGAAAGAATGGCGCGGAACGGCCCGTCACACCTGCAACACCGTGTGTGGCACAAATCAATACATTGCCACCGAGGGCGGCTGATCGACGTCATATCAAAAGCCGAGCATCACAGACTCCGCGATCAAGGTACATCATGCTTCGCAGCAGAAAAGGCATTAGCGAGACAAATTGCAGCCAACTGGGCAATAGACCTGAGTTACCGACATGTGCGCGCCGTTACTTGTCAGACACTTTGGCGTCAGTTCTCGAGACCTGCTGGCGAACTATACCAATTGCCACCCTGCGCCGAATATCATACAGCAAATCCCCAGGGCAGAGTCATTACAAATAGAAGTGACAGGCCGTCTATCGATCAGTAATTCGATTGTCACTTATGTCTTTACTATTTTCATTTACATGCGACGGTGACTTATTATGCCAAGATCGCGGCGTGCTACGCGAGCACCGGTGACCTGACGAGGGAGCCGGATAACATATTTCGGAGGTAAGTTTGCTACTAGAAGCCGCTCGTCTAGGACGGCAAACTGACCAGCTCGGCGGCGTTGTCCGTGGCAGTGGCAACTTTGAGATGAACCCGGCCAGCGTCGACGCGCTCAACGGGTATGCGCTGGTCGCCTCGTCAATCATGGGATTAGTGCCACCCGTCTTCACCCTGATGCTGCTGCACAGTCACAGCGTCAAGTTGTGTTCTCCATAGTGGTGGTCACGGCCAGCTGGGCCATCAACTCCGTTACCTTCTTCATCCTGGTCCATATCTTGTCGTCGATCAAGGGGGGACTCGAAACTGCTCGGTGTCAGGCTTCAGAGCCTGTTCCACACGACGTTGTGCGGAGGCTCGTCGAACATGGCGCTCTGCCAACAGCTCACTGGCGAGGAGCCGCTGGCCTACCTGGATAGTTTCTTCAACAAGAACCCGGTTCCAAACATCAGCAACGTCCCCATGCCGTGGGCGTTTGCGTCGGTCCTGCTCGTGGCTGTCGGCCGGCAAGCATTCCAGAGCTGGGGGAAGGGGGACGACGAAGAAGCGGCGGCGACGCACAAGCCGGGGCTGACGGCCTTGGCGGAGAGCAGGCGGCGCGGGCAGGACGGCCTCGGCGTTTGTCGGGCGCAAACCCGTGCGGTTCGGCTTGCTGCTCAGCTACGAGTTCCGCGTGGTGCGCGAGTACCAGAAGATGGACATCATCGACAAGAGAGGATGGTCGTTTGGGCAGGTCGTCGCGGTGCTGTTCTGGGTCCCGCCGGTGCTGGACGCGGCGCACGCGCTCGTCAAAAGTTCCCGCCGTATGGACGGCAGGTCTGCGATCGACGGAGAGGGAGAGCGAGAAAAGCCGGGGAGGCACCCCGACCAACGAGGTGAAGAGGCCGCGAACCGCCGCGGCGAACCGTCCGCCTCGTTTCATCCGAACGATACGGAGTCGTGGAGCGATGGCGAGAACCTCCTTACGAGCGCTGGTCGTGTCCGCCGGCAGGTCGCAGATGCTAGCGTCTTGTGCGCCATCACCAGGCGGCCAGCGTATCAGCGTGTTGGCGATCCTGGACAGAATGAGCAGGTGTGAAGAAGAAGAGAAAGAAGGGGCGCGGTGATCATCGCGGGGCTGGCTGAAAATGTTCCCATAATAAGTTGAGCGAAGAAGCGGAACAAAACTCTGTATGTGGAGGGATGATCAGTAAGAAGGTACGGAATCCATGGGGGGGGGGGGGGGGGTCGTGGGAGCAAGACTGTCACATGCGGGCGCTTCCACGCACGGACCGATATCTTTGGTTGGGCGAATTAAGCCAGAGAGGATAGATTGACCGTGATGTTAAAGTCAGAATACAATCCGACTTTCTTTCAAAACGTCCAGACAAAAAAACGTAGCATGGACAAAGAGTGTACGGTGACACTTGCGGGCGTAAGGGCCTCCAAGTGGTCATGTAGGCTGCACATCACCATTACTATGTAGCTCGGGCTAATAATTGGAAAGCGGAGGACACCGAAACCGCTGGTCCATGCTTCTTTTAGCGACCGACGTCATGGTGCAGTTTAAGCTGGTCTCGCATAATCTTTCGCATAATCGTGGCATTTGTCCAATTTGTGGGGATGGGATTTGTACACCCAACAGTGATGCTACAGTGGCTTTGTTCAGGTGCAGGTGCAGGTGTAATAGGTCTGATTGTGGTCGTCACTCTGTATATTCCCGCTGTACACCTATAAACTGAAGAAGAAGATTTCCGTGCAAAAATCGTAAAAACTCTACACAGATACCCCCGACTTCCCCATATGAGGCCCGTTATTGGTGCCTGGGCTAATAATGAAGCCGAGATAGCAGAATTCGCCGTTCCATATGGCTCCATCGGAGTGGAGGAACTCTGCGTAAAAATGGCAAGCTTCCCCCCCCCCCATGTATATATCGGAGAATAATAATAACATATTTGATTAAATAGAATAATTCATTCTTTGCTCGTAACAATGATGACTACTTGTAAGGGAAAACTGAAACAGACCAACCCATTCTGCTAGTCGCATTCTGGCAGTTGCTTCTCTTGTGCGTGTCCCGTACCTGTCCTCGCCGCCTTCTCTTGTACGTCTATCGAACCTGAGGATGGCTTCAATTGCTGTGTTTATTGCGTAACGGCTGTGGCCAGACAAGTATGTCAAAAGTTTCGAGGGCACCAGAACAAGTTTACCATGGCCGCTGATATCGCTGTCTAAGCCACACCAGCCACCAGCCATTAGCCTCAATCACTTAATTTACAGTCTACATTGTCCCCAGCAAAGCTCCCCCAGAGCCAAGACGGCGCCCCCATCGCCAAGCCGGAATGCGGGAGGTTCCCAAGTGTTGCAGATGCTATTAGGGGGCTTGATCCTGTCCATGGGACGATGCGACGCTGTGTTTCTATTCGACCATACACTGGGCTCCTTTCATTTCACCTCAAACTTGGCAGTGCACCCAATCAAGGAACTCGTCATCACCAGACGGTCTGTATTGCTCTTCCCCTTGCGTTTCTCGTTGATAGGGAAGTAATGCCGGGGTAAAACAATCATAAGGGGACCACAGGGGATAAAATTCTGTCTACCTCACACATCTGCACTCTGCCGAGTGTCCAATAGCAGGCCCAACGGGGGTGGACAGGGCGCACAGGGGCGCTGAACATGGGAGCCGACTTGACAGCAGTGACAGGCACGCCATCCCGTTGGTCACCTTGGCATCTCTCATTCGATCGTGCGGCTTACGGAGAACCGGGTCTCCAGGGCGTACCAAAGTTCGGCGCATGTGCCAATAGGGATGGGCGGTGACACTGGCACGCCGGGTTACCATCCAGAGATCGGCAGTGAGACGTGGGACTACGGAGCTGTCGTGCTTCGGCGTGTCCACCAACTAACTAACTAGGCAACTCTCACACCATCTCCTTCAACCTTGCCCCGGAGATTCTTTATCCTTTCTTTCTTTCGCTGGCTGGCTCATGGAAGTTGAGCGCGCCTGATAAGGCGGTGCAGCAAGTCAGATGAGGCCAGGGCCCTCCCTACCAAAGACCGCATCCCAACACGCGCTCGGCGACAACTCCCCAAAGACGCAATGATTGGCTCTCCCTCAAACATATGCTCTTCCCCCTTCAGGAAGGCGCTTTGGATTCGGCTCCCGCTGTGCGACTCCCTTTCATGTCCTTGTCCGTGCCTTTCTCGCCATCCCCGAATCAAGGAGCTCTATACCCTCTTTCTGCCCCCTCGTCCGGGACAGCACACACCAAGGTCAACGGCGACGACCCCCCCCTCATTATAGACGGCGGTATACGTTAGGACACCGAAGATGAACATCCTCTCCCACCAATGAATGGCTTATTCAGCCCAAGGGGAATATACTAACTAGTACGCCGGTCAAACTCAAAACACCCGACTTGAGATCTACATCGGCGCATGCTGCCAATGAATGCGCTAGTCCAGGGACCTATTGGCTCCTGCCTCTTGGACGCGAACAAAAGTTCGCTGGGCCGTGACACTTGCTTTCCCACTTGCCATTCGTCGCATGAGCCGGGCCTCGTTTATTTCTGGGAGACCACACTTCGGTACTCCTCTGCCACCATCGAAGCCAACCGGCCCTCCAATCTCCATCCCGGCTTGGCTTGTAGATTTCGTCAGCCCGAACTCCAGTCAAAGGTGACCTTCCAATTCCGTCTTCTTCATGCTCTGTCACGATGGAACTTTGTCGAGAGCACGAGCTCGCTTTTGAGAAGTGTCGACAAGTATAAAGATGTCTTCGCCTCGCCCCAAATGAAGTGAAGGAAATCATCATCAGCATCATCTCTCATTCTCTTTCTTCTTTTATACCCATCACTTGTTATACCCATTATATCAATATGCAGACCTTTGGAAGCTTCCTCGTCGCCGCTCTAGCAGCTGGCTTCGCTTCGGGCAGCCCCATGCCCAGCAAATCTGGCTCCTTTGAGCTGAAGCAGACGGCAAACCCCAACTTCTCCTCCCGCAACGGCCCCCAGGCCCTCGCCAACGCCTACCGGAAGTATGGCAAGGCTGTCCCCGAGCACATTGCTCTGGCTGCTGCCAAGAACACCAAAGCCAAGCGTGCCTCCGGCACCGCCACGGCAAACTCTATCCAGGGCGACCTCGAGTACCTCGTCGATGTCAAGATTGGCAGCGGCCAGACTCTGAAGCTCGACTTCGACACCGGCAGCTCTGACCTCTGGGTCTTTTCCACCGAGACCCAGGGCGCTGGCTCCCAGACCAAGTACGACCCCTCCAAGAGCTCATCTTCCAAGAAGCTTGACGGCGCCACCTGGAAGATCTCCTACGGCGACGGCTCCAACTGCTCCGGCGACGTTTACACCGACGACGTCACCGTCGGCGGCCTGACCGTCAAGGGCCAGGCTGTCGAGGCCGCGAAACAGGTCTCCCAGCAGTTTGCCCAGGGCGAGGGTGACGGCCTCCTCGGCCTCGCCTTCTCCGAGCTCAACACGGTCACCCCCGAGAAGCAAAAGACGTGGTTCGACAACGTCAAGTCGCAGCTGGACTCCCCCCTCTTCGTCGCCGATCTCAAGCACAACACCCCCGGCAGCTACGTCTTCGGCAAGGTGCCCAGCGGCGCCGGACAGGCCAGCTACGTCGATGTCGACAGCAGCCAGGGCTTCTGGGGCTTTAGCGCCACCACAGACAACGGCGAGGTCAAGGGCATTGCCGACACCGGCACGACCCTCCTCCTCCTCGACGACCAGAGCGTCCAGGCCTACTACTCCAATGTTAAGAGCGCGCAGAACGACCAGCAGGAGGGCGGCTACACCTTTGACTGCAGCGAGAAGCTGCCCGACTTCTCCTTCGGCGTCGGCGGCGGCAACATCACCATCCCGGGCGCCATCATCAACTACGCCCAAGGGTCTGGCGGCAAGTGCTTCGGCGGCATCCAGGCTGCGGGCAACATCCCGTTCAACATTTTTGGCGACATTGCGCTCAAGGCCGCCTACGTCATCTTTGATGGTGCTAAGAACCGTCTCGGCTGGGCCCAGAAAAACTAAGCATTTGTAAATTTCCTTTTGTGCGTTTATGATTCATGGCATGACCGTTGGTCGCCAAAGTCCAACTGGTTGGTTTGCTTCTCAGGTTGATACTTTTTATGGGTAAATAAGAATGAATTTTACATATCAAAAATATACCACCGCATATACTGAACGGAACGTTTTGGCCGTGAATGTTCAAGACAACAAGCGGTCGTTGAAGAGTTGACCTTGCTTGGTACAAGACACCAGATTGGCCGAAGGGAAAAGAGGAAACTAACTTAGTAAAAGAAAAAACTAGGAAAAGAATTCATGAAAAGTTCAGATGTCGGCAAATAAAACTCAATACGAGAAAAATGACCAAATCAGTCCTTTCCACAATGCCAAGCTCTCTCTTTTACGACACCTCACATCAACAGGGCCCGAGTTCTCCTTTTCTGACATCAGTCAGCAAGAAGAGGCCTCCGTCCCGTTTCAACGTGCATCAAGTATATTGCAAATTTTTAAGCAAATCATATGGAAAAGAAGCTTCAGGAAAATAACGAAAACAAGATTACAAATCCCCTGATCATAGTTTGACCATCAATCAACTATTAAATCTCCCCGTTCTCCGCCTCCGCAATCCCCTCCCCAGCCAATCAACTCTGCGGGGTCCTCGGAACGAACTCCACACGTGCATCCGTTTGCATCCTTCGCTCGGGTCGCTTCCTGATAGGCTTCCCCTAGCACCAACGGTCAACCCACCGACGATTTGTCTGGTTCCTCGACTACATTTAGCCGTTTCGCGAGTCGGAATCATTTGATCAACCTGTGGAGGAAGAAAATGTCCGCCTCGATCCCACCGGCAGACGGCCAGCTGCCGCTAGCCGCGCCGCAGCCGCTGCCGCCCGGCCGCCGGAGAAAGCGCCTCAAGGTGGACGTTGCGTGCGATCGCTGCAGGAGTCGCAAGGTCAAGTGCGACGGTGCCCGCCCAGGTATGCCATCATCATTCAGATAATTCTTTTCGGGCTTTTTCATCGATATTTTGAAACGCTGACTTTTGATGTAGCGTGTGGTAACTGTTCACGCAAGCTGGACCTTGGCGACAAGTGTCACTACGGCGCCAGCTCAATCATCTCTCCCAACACCAGTGGCAATGCGCCATCGCAGCCAGGCCACGACAAGGAGAGGCTCAACAGGAACGCCAGGCCGTCCGTATCCGCCGCTCCCGCGCCGCCGCCCGTACCATGGCAGCAACCGCGCGCTGGAATCCACCCTACCCATCGGCCCATCGCCGCGAGGCCGGCGTCGACCAGCTCCGGCCTTTCTCAGTCGCGGTCGTCGCCGCGAGATGTCAGGACCACGCACACCGTCGACTCCATGACCGCGGTCGGCGACGAGACCACGACGGAGTTCTTTGGCAGCAGCAGCGCGGGCTCCTTCACCGCCCAGATCAAGGCCGCCGTTGACTCCCGCCTCGGCCACTCGCCCAACAGCCTTCCTGTCGGGACCCACGGGACGGGAAACGCGCAGGCGCCGCGGCTGGCGTCCAGACGCCGCAACAACCCGAAGAGCGTTCTCTTGCCTACGCGTAGGCTTGCGGACGAGCTGATGCGCACGTACTGGCTGTACATTGACCCGCTGTACCCGTTCCTCAACAGGGGAGAGTGGCAGGACCGCTACAATCGCTTGTTCGCTGGGCAGGCTCTCGACACGGACGAGGCTGTCTTCATGGCGTCTCTGAACATTGTCTTTGCGCTGTCGACTCAGCTGCACGAAGGCCAGGACGCTGCCGTCCGCAACGACACCAGCCAAGACTACTTTCAGCGTGCCCAGGACCTCGTCGACGTCACCATATGGGATTCTGGCAGCCTTGAAGTGGTCCAGTATTTGTTGATTACCAGCCAATACCTGCAGTCCACCAACTCTCCGCATCAAACCTGGATGGTGGTTGGGCTCGTGGTGAGGACAGCCCAGAGTCTCGGACTGCACTTGCCAGAGACTTCGGCTGCTAAATCGTCCGCGAGCGAGAAAGAACTCTACCGCAAGTTATGGCATGGGTGTGTTTTAATGGACAGGTAAGTTTTCTGAGTAGTTGTATGGTCTTGGTGGGGTTACTGACAAGCCCCTAGAATGGTTGCGCTCACCCATGGACGCCCAGCGATGATATCAGCAGAGCTCGCCAGCTGTGTTCCGCTACCAACTATTGCGGAGGAGACTACGCAGATACCCGATGACTCGACGGACGTTGCATTCTTTGTCAAATCTGTCGAGCTGTACGAGATCACGCAACAGCTGGTAGAGAGGTTATATTCCACCCCCACTGGACGGACACAACGGATGAAGCCGAGTCAAAGAGCTGTCAGCGACTTGGCAAATATTGTTCAGATCGACGGCGACATGTCAGAATGGGAGAACAGTCTTCCCAAACAGCTGCAGCAGCATACCCTAGGAACAATCGCGGCACGACCTAGCATTATTCTTCGACTTCGCTTCCTGCACGCGAGAATCCTGCTACTCCGGCCCATTCTCAGCCTGGTATGCTTGCCGCACGCGACGACAGAATCAGACACGGAGCGGCTTTCAAATCGCCTGCACAAGCAGTGCGCCCTCGAATGCGTCGCCACGGCGAGGGCAACCATCCGGATATTCTTCGACCACCAAGTCTCCGACGGCACTGTCGGCCTGCTGCCCGCGTGGTGGTACCGCTTGTACTATCTCTTCTCGGCCTCGACGGTGCTGATCGCCGCCAAGCTGCGGCCCGACGTCTTCCCCGCCGACGACATCAACGAGTCCTGGGAGCAGGCGATTCACGTCTTCGAGACGCTGCAGCACGTCAGCCAGTCGGCGCAAAAATGTGTCACCGCGCTGCGCATCTTGTCGACCAAGATCTTGTCGACCATCTTTGGCGCGCCGCAGCCCGACCCGGGAACGCAGGACCAGTCAGCAATGGAGCATCCAAGAATGAACTACGACTTTCCGTCAAATGCCAACATTCAAAAGAGCATCGACGGATTTGATTTTAATCTTAATTTCGAAGATATCAATTTTGATGTGGAAACGGAAAACTACGCGTGGCTGAACGAAGTGACCTCTTGGAACTTTTTAAGCGGATGAGAGACTGACTGAAGTAAGGCTGTGCAAGGCTAAATTTGCAACTGCAGAACTACTTTTCAAATACCATGGTATTCTTGACGCTTCCCAGTTGACTAATCTTGACTTCCACAACGTCCCCGTCCTTCAAGTACTTGGGCTCCTTCATGCCCATCGCGACTCCAGAGGGCGTTCCCGTCAGAATCACGGTGCCCGCCTCGAGGGTCGTGCCCTGGCTGCAAAACGACACGACCTCTTCTACCCCGAATAGCAGGTCGTTGGTCGGGCTGCTCTGGCGCTCCTCGCCGTTGACGAGCGTCTGCAGGTGCAGCCCGGACGCGTTGCCCACAACCGAGGGGCTGACGATCATGGGCCCGAGGGGCGCAAACTTGTCGAAGCCCTTGCTGAAGCACCACTGCGGCACACCGCCGGCCTTGGCGGGGTCGCGCTGCCAGGCCCGGTTGGAGACGTCGTTTGAGGTGCAGTACCCCGCGACGTACTCGAGAGCGGCCTCCTTGGAGATGTTACGGCCCTCCTTGCCAATCACGATGGCCTATGTTTTCGTTAGCCGAGTTCGAGAACCAAGCAGTTTAGAGGTGCCTACCAGTTCTCCTTCATAGTCGAGGGTGCCTTCTTGGGCGATCTCAGGAATTGGAATGTCTTCGGAGAAACCAGCCAGGCAAGTGCTCGGCTTGATGAAAACGGAAGGATATGGGGGTGGTTTGCGGCCGCCCTCTTGAACTAGAAACAGGGTCAGTCGCGACGATGGAAAATGGCTCTCGGTGACGTATACTTACTGTGTTTCATGTAGTTGAGGCCAATGCACCTGATTATTGGCACGTCGGCTCTGCGGAGGACCGGCAGTAGCTTGTGAACCTTGACCGTGTTTCCTCGAGCGAGAGGCCCGAACAGACCGCCGGCGCCTTGCAACTCAACTGCTTGCAATTCATCATTCTTCAATTTGAGGGCCAAGTCTTGCTCGTCTTTGACGAGCAAATCGCCCAATTTCTCCGCGCCATCCGCAGCCTGAAAGCGGACCAAGCGGGACCAGGATGCCATTTTGTGAGTGTAGGAGAGATGACGTTGTATGATGTAATTGCGCACGGTATTCATCATCTAACTACGCAAGTTGGAAAAGACATTCTATTAAATAGTGACTTTTTTGATTTCTATGAAGTTTGGAGAATCACACGGCTATGCGGCTCGCGGCTTCGGTGCTGATCAATCCTGCCGAGGTGTCGGAAGCGACTAGCCAATCAAGACAATGTCCGGTCGGAACCACCCGATCACCATCCCGAAAGGCCTGCCGGGTTGACGGCAGCATTGGGATGCATCAAGCATCCCCGCATTCATTATGCTCCCCAGACTGTCAAGATCGAGGGGATAATTTACTTATAACTTGATCAACGTTCTTGTAATTCACTGGGCAGCTTGACTTGCTGGCTGCATATTATGACATTTGACGAATCACTCTGATCAACAACTTAAACACTAAGATTTCTTGGCACCATGGGTTCGGCTGTGACTACAGAGCCGACCGAGTCGGCCATGAAAGAATACCTTCACTCGCTGCCAGAGATGCACCTGGAGCCGCTATGGATGCGGATGAGTGCCATGGTCCCTCCGTCGCCCAATCCTGCCTGTCAGCCGCACCTGTGGTCCTACGGCGACTGCCTGCCCTTCCTCTCCACGGCGGGCGAGCTCGTTACCGAGCAGATGGCAGAGAGGAGAGTCCTGATGCTGGTCAATCCCTCTATGAGTATGTACACCTGGTAATGCTTCAAAGATGGGGTCACTAACAGCGACTGTGCAGAGGCCCCCCACACCACGGACACCCTCTATGGTGGTCTGCAGTGGGTAAATCCGGGGGAGGTTGCGCCCGCCCATCGCCACATTGCCTACGCCGCCCGGTTCATCATCGAGGGCAGCGGCTTCACCGCCGTGGAGGGCAAGAAGATGCCCCTGGAGCGCGGCGACGTGGTGGTCACGCCAACCTGGCACTGGCACGACCACGGCAACGAGAGCGACAAGCCGGTCATCTGGCTCGACGTCCTGAACCTGCCCCTCTTCACCTACCTCCCCGTCAACTTTGCGGAAGGCTACGAGCAAGATAGGTACCCTAGCGTGTAAGTTCTCGGCGCCGATCCCCGCGATCCTCATTGACTGACTTGGCGTAGCGAGGATGCCGGCGCGGACTGGCGCCACCCCTGGCACAAGACGCAGGCGGCCCTGGACGGCACGAAGGAGCCGCACGCCGTCTTTCACTACCAGGACGCTCGCGGCGGTCCCCTGTCCACCACCGTCGGCGTGCAGGCGGAGCGCCTGGCGCCATCGTCGAGCTCGGCGCCCTCGCGCGAGGTCAGCTCGTTCCTGTACCACTGCTACGGCGGGCAGGGCCACACGATTGTGACCCCGCCGCATGGTGAGAAGCTGGTTCTGCACTGGCGGGGACGAGATACTTTTGCGGTGCCGGCGTGGTCCGGCATGCAGCATTTTAACGAGTCGAGCACGGAGCCGGCGTACTTGGTCGGCTTCCATGACGGGCCGTTCATTGATAATTTGGGACTCCGAGCTAGTGCACCTGCGCTTAAGTAGAGAATGAACTGCTTGGACTTGTACTCGAACTTGCAAATATCACAGAATGTATAAACAAGATGCCTGAAACTTTAGCTACTATTCATGTCATATAATGAGTACCACCAGCTGGTTCAATGGACCTGCATGCAGTATTAGGACAACTGTTCAAGCTTCATGGCTTCCATGAATGAACGGACTCGGTGATAAAAGACTCATGAAATAGCAGAAAACTATACTTAATTAGCTAGCTACATCTAGTCTGCAGCTTTCAATTCCGCCAGCGAAATTCAGGGTGCTTCCAGTCGAGGTTTTGAATCTCAGACGCATCTAGACCGCTCAGTTCTGTTACGGGATCGAGCTCGTCGCGACGCCTATTGTCCCTCCTGACCCAGAAGTACAACGCAGTGGCAGTGATGATCACCGACGTCATGGAAGCCAGGTTGAGGCCCGTACCGATGTTATACAAGGGCGCATCGGACGGCACGTACGCCCAAGAAGCCGCCAGCCCTCCCATATTACCCAACATGACATTCGTCGCGATCGCCGAGGACCTCGCCGTGTCGGACGCCACGTTGGCCGCCGCGTGTGAGTTGGTCAGCGCGCCGTACGTGTAGATGCCGAAGAAGGGCAGGAAGATGGCCCCGTAGCGGACGTCCGCGCGCGGCGTCGCGATGAACAGCGCGTAGCCGACCGCCGGCACCACCGCGCAGAGGATCAGGAAGACGCCGCGGCGGTTCAGCCGCCAGCTGGCGTAGCTGGTGCCGATGCAGCAGAGCGCGCCGAGCACGTAGGGCGGCACGGTCAGCAGCTGCTTGGTGGTGACGCTGCGGTCCGGGAAGATGGCGGCGACGAGGGTGGGCAGGAAGAAGGAGGCGCCCTGGACGATGACGCTGTTGAGGAGGAAGATCCAGCCGGTGGCGAGGACGACGGGATTGAGGATGCCGCGCCGAATCTTGGTCCAGTTGAAGGCGTCGACGAGCTCGGCGCCTTCGGCCGGGCGCTCGCTGCGCAGCCGGCGCAGGGCGAGGGCGCGCTCCGACTCGGAGAGCCAGCGAGCGGTGCGGGGGTCGTTGGCCATGACGAACCAGCTGCCGATCCCCAGGAGACAGGTGGCGATGCCTGGGATGTGTTGTCAGTTTAGTATGCTCCGATAGTAGGTGATGATGTAGTGATCATACGTACCCTCGATGACGAAAATCATCCTCCACGAGTGAAGCGTGCCGATGCTGGGAATCTTCAAAATCGCCGAGGCCAGGAGACCGCCGAACGCGCCCGCCAGCGACCCGGACACGATGAAGAGGGAGATTCGAAAGGTCATTTCGCTTTGGCGATACCATCGCGAGAGGTAGTACACGAGCCCCGGCATGATGCCGGCCTCGAAGATTCCGAGCAGGAAGCGGACGCCGCAGAGGCTCGAGAAATCGCGGACCAGGCCGGTGCACATGGTCAGGACCCCGAAGCAGAAGGTGGCGACGGGGATGAAACGTCCCGGGCCCATCCACTTGCAGACCATGTTGCTGGGGATCTCAAAGAGGATGTAGGAGACGTAGAATACGGAGAGGGCAATGTTGAACTGGTATCCGTGCATGTTGAGGTTCTTTTCTAGGCCGGCGATTCTTGCATTCCCTGTGTACTTGTTAGTAAACGGTTGCTGTTATTCGACGTCGGGTATACTTGCCAATGTTTGCACGATCGATAAAGGAGAACACTGTCCAATATGTCAGTCCGATTTCTACAAGGGTTTGTGTGTCGCAACTAACAGAAGATGACGCTGGTCAAGGGAACAATGTGCCAGTCTAGCTTCCAGCGAAGCTTGGACTCGAGCTCCTGTTCAGCAGCATCCTCAGTTAAACTTTTTCAAGTCAGCTTTTTCCCGGCTTAGTTGATTTGACAGGCTATGAATTGAAATGTGACAACGTACTTGGTTCCGCCATCTGCAAGCTCTTCAATGTACTTGGCACTTGTCATGCTTTCGAGGTCATCACGCTTGTCCTTGACTATGTTGGCCATGGCTGCGAAGAAGTCGGGATAAGAAAGTAAATGGGATTACTGAAAAAAAGAAAACTTGAGAACGGGAAGAATCACGGGCCAGAGGGTCATGTTTATAGACCTCGCCCATCATGCAAGTCTACCCCAAACCCCAGACTGGCCTCGACGCCAAGTAGCTACCGCCCCGGTGTGAGTGGGCGTAACTTAGCCCCTGCCATCCACACAACTTAGATGGTTGCAATCAATAAGACGAGCTTCCATCACTTAGGGAGGAACTTTGGCGCTTCGTTGTCTGTCGCTTCATCGGCAGTTGGTTCTTTTTCGCACCGGAAGGGCGACTGACTGTTCGGCATGCTGAAGAGTCTCACCAAGTCTGGGCTGATGAAGCGCAACAATAAGGTTCCGTGGCATGGAATCTGCGGTATACAAAGTCAGGATAGCTTAGCTGGAGTATGCGCGACTCGAGATACTACCAATCATCCACCCGGTTACGCGCGGTCGGAGCTGTTCTTTGTGGCGCAAGCCTCCTTACACTATGCGATGGTTGTCGGGTCCGAGCTTCCGGGGAAGCATGTTGCCGACACAAACTTATGAGATTACATCTCACAGACTTATTCCTTTGTTTTGCATCCGATGTCCGTCAGACAAGGTAGGCACTGGCCAACATCAATACATGCACACAGCCTTACTTCATGAGCCACTTGCTGGCCAGTCCCTTTCCTCGTATACTGGCTGGACTGCACAGATACCCCACGCTTAATTCATCGAATGAGTTATAGAATATTTCCCCAGAATTTCCAGAAATGAGGCTGGCTTCAGAAGAGTCTAGTCTCCGGACCTAAATTTCAACACTCAATCATGCACCCCGGGAGCCTGGGAAGGTTCCGAACGGAACGAAAGCTCATTGGCCAGTCACCAGAAGTACGGGTTTTCGGTTATCTGCTAATTATGCCGTGACAATTAGAAAGCAAGCAAGGGTAGAGGCTCTGGTTAGCTAGTCTGGGGAATGATGAATCAAAATTAGACGATTTAGGTTTTGCAGCAGCTGAAGAATCGGATAGCGAATCCTTGCTGGTTCAAATAACCATGTATGCACTTATGTTAGTAGCTCGATAGTTCAGTATAGTTGGTGTCCTCTGGTGCCGGAAGAGCTGTCTAGCACTTTTTGATGTTGTCCTTTTTTAGAAAAGAGATGATCATGATGACAAAGACAATGATGGCGGTGACGTTGATTTGACTTGTTTGCTTTGTTGAGGTGCTACAGTTACAGTGTCTTATGCCCCTCTTGGGCGTGATACCTGGTATTTCGTGTACATGGCACAATGGCAGTTAGCATAAGCAGAGACCGCGGCCAAACGACATTAACAAAGACAAGTGAGGTAAAAATTCTTTATCTTTTATAGCACATTGTATCGTCCACTAAATTTTTGGTCAAAAATAAACCTGAGATGAAAGCTACCCTGAACGGTGTGCTTGGTAGTAGAGCCCCATGTGGCAAAGCTGGGAGGCCGCCACAGCACAGCCACAACCCTGCTTCGCCACACCCAATCCCCACTGCTAAGGCTGCCATTTAAGCTTGCCGCCTTCGCTGCGTCATCTCTTCTAGGCATCCAAAACGATTGGCCGGCTCGATATCCGTGTTCCCTACGTGGCCCGATGAGCGGGATGGAGCGAGAAAATTCCAGTGGCGCAGTGCTGTGTGTCCCAGCTGAGGTGGCCAGGAGTGATGGGACCTGTGCGACTCTCGGAGGCCGCGTACACATGACGCGCGCGCCATACAGAGAGGGGGCGGTGACCTTGTCTTCCCCCAAGGGACATATAAATAGATGACGAGTCCTGGCTTGTGATTTTATGCTGGGGGCCTTGCGACAAGGAGACCTTATAAGCCGTACCAGCGCTGACACCATGGGCTCTCTATCTGACAAAACTTCACAATCACCATACAGCACTCGCAGGCGTGACATGGCTCCCACCATCGAATCCTCCCTGGAGACGCAGGGCCTCGCAAACGAACAAACGGAACTTTTGGACCTCATCGACAAGCTGCAGTTTGCTCAGCTGGACAATGTCAAACTTCCTCAGATTGTCGTAGTCGGCGACCAGTCGGCTGGCAAGAGCTCAGTTCTGGAAGCCCTCTCTGGCACGCCGTTTCCACGAGATGCCGGCGCCTGCACGAGATTCGCCACCGAAATCCGGCTCCGGAGAGCCAAGGAGACAAGACTCAAAGTCTCCATCATCCCCGACAAGACGCGCTCCTACAACGAGCAGACCAAGCTGCTCCAGTATGGCGGTGACGTCACGGGCGACATGCCCTTTGAGACGCTCATGCGCGAGGCAACAGAGCTCATCGCGCCAAAGAATATTCCCGGTCGGTTCGCTGCGAGAGATATTCTCGTCGTGGAGAAGACGGGCCCCGAAATGCCCCTTCTCACGCTCGTCGACTTGCCCGGCCTGGTCCGCGTCGCCAACCGCGATCAGTCCGAGGCCGATATCGCGACCATCGAGCATCTCTCCGACCGGTACATGAAGAGCTCCCGAACGATTATTCTTGCCGTCATCGGCGGCAACAACGACTACGTCCAGGCGCCGATCCTGACCAAGGCTCGGCAGTTCGACCCTAGCGGATCCAGAACCATCGGTGTTTTGACCAAGCCGGACATGACCGAGGGCATCGGCCTGGAAAACAAGTTCGTGGACCTTGTCATGAACAAGGACGACGAGAACCACTTTAAGCTGGGCTGGTATGTTTTGCTGAACCCCGGCCCTGGCGAGCAGTGGACCACGGCCGCGGATCGCAACCGTCGCGAGGCTGAATTCTTCACCCGTGGCAAATGGGCCAACCTGCCACCGCAGATGTGGGGAGTTGCTGCATTGCGGCAGAAGCTCAGCAGTCAGCTCCAGCGTCATATCGGAAAGCACGTCAAGAGCCTCCGTCGCCAGATCCAGCAAGCCCTGGAGCGCTGCGAGGGCCAGCTCAAGGAGATGGGTGAAGGCAAGGACACTGTCGAGGAGATGCGGTTCGAGATGGGCGAGCTTTTTGCTGCCTCCAACAACCTGGTCACACCCGCTGTCAACGGCAACTACAAGAATCCATTTGGCGAGCGCTTCTTTGCCCGGCAGTCCAGCCCCAAGGGCACGCCATCCCAGAAGCTCCGTGCTCGCGTCCGCGAAGAGAGCGAACGCTTCTCGCGCCTGTTCCGACAACAGGGCCGGAAAGTAAACTTCTCCGAGCCTTCTGCGGCCGACCTCCCTGCTGCCGGCACCGTGGGTGACCAAAGCAAGAAGGACTTCGCGCAGTACGAGGTCGAGCCTCTTCTGCGCCAGATTCGCGGTAACGAGCTGCCCCTCGACTCTAACCCGCGGGCCCCCTACATCCTCTTCCAAGACTACTCCCGCAAATGGCCCGTGCTGGCCCAGGAGTACAAGGACAACCTGAGCGTCATCTGCAACGAGTTTCTCGCCGACGTCATCAGTCACATCTGGCCGACACGTATGCGCGACCCGCTGCGCTACCACTTCCTTGAAACCAAGATGCGGGAGCTCGTAGAAAATGCCGACAAGGAGCTGACGCGGCTGACGGACGATATGGAGCTGGAGATCCAGCCATACGACCCAGAGTATGAGGAGCGGCTGCGCAAATGGCGCGCCGAGGCGACCGAGAACGGCGGCACGTATACCGAGGCGGAGGAGGTTTTGGAGAAGATGCTCATCTACTACGACCTGACGGCACGCATCTTCACTCGCAACGTCATTACACAGGTCGTCGAGCGCCACCTGCTGCTCGGCATGCTGCGTCTCTTCAACCCCGTCGAGATTCTGCGCATGCCCAACTCGACCATTGAGTCCATCGCCGCGGAGAACAAGGAGACGCGCGACCGCCGCCTGACGCTCAAGGAGCAGAAGAAGGCGATCGAGGAGGCTCGGAACATCTGCGCCAGCCTGGCGATGCGTAGCGACCTGCGCGCCTACGCCGATGAGGCGGACGACGACGTCGACACGGACAATGATGATGCCCCATCTAGGCGCAACACCATGCAGAGACAGCAGCGGCCGACCAGTTCACAAGCGCCAGCCCCGCGCCGATCTGCAGAGGCGAGCCGACAGAGCTACCAGGAAGAGCGGCCCCGGCAAAGTGCGGACACACCGCGCGCCGCTCGCCCCCAACAGCCATCTCAGCAGCCTTCGGCGCCGATCGCGCATATATCCCCGGTGCAGCCGACCATCTACCACCAGGCCGAACAGCCGCGCGAGTGGGACTTGCCGTACTACACCACGGCGTCGGCGACGACACAGCAGCAGCCGCCCCATGTGCCGCCACCGCCACCACCGCGCCCGCAAAAGCTGGGCCACGAGGAGACGAACGGCTACTACGAGACGGCTCCGATGCAGAATGGAACTAGAGGGAGCAAGGATGGTGCGCGTCAGCGACTTGCAGCGGTGATGCGTGGGCAATGAGGGTTTGGAATGGCAAATAGTCTCAAGTTTGGCGTTTGAAGGGATTTATGACTCATTTACATAATAGACTGTGCAATTTAGCCCCAATCATATTACTTCCTCAATAAAGTATGTGCTGTGACATGTGATGTAGGAACAGTGGCAGAAACTGTATTACTGCAACGAAGAAGAAACTATTGTACAGCGCGCCTCAACTCTCCATCCAGAGCCCATCTCCATTCAAGGAAGACAATGACGAGCAAAGAAATCCCACTACAAACCCATCACTCGGAAGCCTTCTTCAGACCAACAAGGCCTGGGTAGTTGTACAGCACAGCGGCGTCGGTGGCGGCGCACGTCGCGGCGCCGAGCTTGACGTACTGGCGCGTCTTGGGCGAGAGGTTGCGCCACGCCCAGGAGCTGCCGGCGGCGGGCGTGGAGGCAGACGAGCCGCCGCCGAGGCCGAGGCCGGCGTGGGAGTCGGCGGACGGCTTCATGGACCGGGACGAGGTGCAAAAGGTAGCGGCGCGGCGGGCGGTGGCGCGGGCGAGAATGGTGGAAGGCATGGTGTAAGTGTGTAAGTGTGTGTTTGAGAGTGTGTGTTTGAGAGAGAGAGAGAGTGTGTGTGTGCGTGTGTGCTTGTGTGGATTGAAGTTGCAATTGATTGATGGAGGATGTGTGTGTTGAATAATTTCATAGTGTCTGTAGACCGTATCATCTCAATATTTATACCTTTGGTGATGGGTTGATGTTGATCATGCTGGTGATGCCTGCGTTATGCTTAAGTGTAAGGGTGTAAGGCTCATCTCCACCGATGATGCGTTACGCCTCCGCGACGGCCAGCACCACCCCGCGCCGGGCGCAGTCCGTCAAATTTTCGTAAAAGAATACTAGCAATAATCAAAAAAATCATGGCGAATTCGGCTCTTCTAGGAGAATGTAATCCGGCTTAGCGCTACTCTGCGTGTCGTCAACGTATGCGCCAAAGACGGCGTCTGTGGATCATCGGAAGTCAGCGTTGGTGTCAAGTGCAGCAGGGAAGCAAAGACCACCCACGAATCTTGTTGTACTTGGCGGCTTGCCAGACGTGAAGCAGGACCAGGAATACAAAGAGAAGGAGGACGGCTAGGATGGCGCGCAAGACGGAGTGGACGGGCGGGCAGTCGATGGTCGTGCCGGTGTCCGGGTCGACTTCACAGACGGAGCGCCGGGCCAGGTCGACTGCGCCGGTTGCGAGTTTCCTCGACATAACTCTGAAAGATTCAGGTGGATTGCGGTGAGAATTTGCATCTTCTGTGGTGATGGGCATGGCATCGGCAAGTGCGTCAAACAAAACAAGGAAGAGAAGCATGGCTGTGGTGTCTTGGTTGATGTTTTAGGATCGACTTTATGATTAGGGATCAACTATAAACAGAGGGAATTACCATGGAATTTAGCAAGATTATATACAATTCCCACTCTGAGAAATCATCGTCAACAGCTGCTCCCTTCTCGGACCCGGGCTTGGTGCCTTGGCTCTCTCAAGGGCAGTGCAGAGTCCGATCCAAGCTCAGATCGCACCGAAGGAACCTAGAAGATCAGATTAGCCTTCGACCTCTAAAGCTAGTTTCTAGCCCACATGGCGCAGACAAGAACCAATAGTCCGGCCCGGCCACATGGAACACGACGACAGCTGACGCGGCTGTCACGCTGAGTTTGTCGCCTCAGCCTCGCATTTCCGATTTCTAGCTAGTTTCCGCTACATCGACCTAGGGAGATGCTAAATATATGCAAATTTTCAAAGGATAGCAGAGGCGGCTGAGTTGAGCCCGTGTCAGGGTCAGCCTTACACGGATGACAACCCAGGGTGGTGGGTCGAGCCTCGGACTTGCACTGTGGAGTGTCCAGTCCGAACCGGCATATCCCAGTCCATCTTGGCCCTCCAAAAACAAAATTGCGGATGATTTCAGGCGAGAAGAGCTGACGAATATGTACATCGGATTGTCTTTTTCTGCAGGAAGAGACACGAAGCTTGGCGACCAAAATAGAAACAGGACCCAAGACAGCGACCCTGTTCGACGACAGGGCGCGGTCCATGAATAGATAGAACAGTGGAAATGCGAGGCAACCAGAATGGATCTCTTCATGTATTTTTCATTATCATTAAGTAGTGTGCGTCCTGCGCGGATATTTGATACAAGATTTGATCACAGCCTCCAGGCTGCTGCAACGATGCGATATGGCATGTGATGAACACAATGAGAGCGCTGTGCCAGGACCTGTACGCGGATCACCATGTAACCAAATCACACGGCGCAATGTTCCTTTGCATCAGCGCCCGCTAGAACCGGCTCTCCTTGCGCGCGCCCGCCAGCTCGCCAATCGTATCGCGCACCCAGTCCACCACAGCCTTGATCATGCCCTGGGGCTTGTTCGCCTTGTGGCCGTCGTGCGCGGGCTCGGTGCCCATGGTCGGCAGGACGTTGTCGCCGGCCGACAGGCTGACGAAGAGCGCAAAGGGGACGAGCCAGACGCAGAGGCCAAAGTACGAGGCGATCATGGTGAAGCTGGGCACCTCGACATCGTCGTAGTACGAGGCGCGCTGGTAAGAGGCGGCTTGGGTGTCGGAGAAGTGGCGGAACCAAACGTAGTGGTCGACAAGGACGAGGACTATAGCAGGAAAGGTGTTAGACGCGACAACGACGCGCGAGACGTCATCGGGGAGGCGGGGGCATACCGCAGGACAGAATGAACAGGGGATCTGACAGCTTCACAAATGGGAAGCGGCGCATATTGCCTAGATAGACGACATGAGAGACAACGCCAAGAAGCGTGGCCCAAAAGGGGAAGCCGTCAATAAGCCACAGCACGACCTGGACGCCGACAATAGTGTAGATCGTTCGCGTGAGCAGGCGCTTGGCGATGACGGTGTGCTCCTCGACGAGCTCCGAGAGGTAGTACAGTCCCGAGGCGATGGCCAGCGTTAGGAAGCCAAAGCCGACGATGGCGCCCGCGTATCCGATTAAGGGAAGAATCCACATGGTTGGGGTTGATCAAGTTCGGGAGGAGATTGGGAAATAGGATGCGACTGAGGATGTCGAGCGAGGGAAAGAAGGATAATGAAGCTTTCAACGAGTGTATGGCATGGCCTGGGAGAGAATCGAAAAAGTCTGCGTTTGAACGATGGGTGGGCTTGTGAATTGAAGAAGAAAAAGGGGATGGAGAATTGGAAACGGCGAATAGCTTGGGTAGCTCGAGATATTCAGGGATGACGAAAGCCAACGAAGCCAATAAACCAATGGGAAGGACACACCACCAAAAAGTCGCAGCGAGGCGCTTATCGATAAGACAACGCCCACGCAAAAAAGTTTAGTGGGGGGGGCTTTGAAGCAGCGACACCGACTTGGGAAGATTGAAGGCATCTCGTTCACGATATTCTCTGCAACTCTGCCAAAAATTATACAGCGGTGCTCAAACAGTCTACGATCAAGGACCGATAACCCCTCACAACCGCCACCATGTCTCGTCCCGAGGACACCCTGTAAGTCCACCATACCCAACCAACCCAACGCCGCAACCCCCAGCTAAAACTCTTTTCCTTCCCGCAGCGCGGCCGACGTCCACTACGACGACATTGAGGCCCGCAAGTACACCACCTCCTCGCGCATCCAGAACATCCAGGCCGCCATGACCCAGCGCGCCCTCGAGCTCCTCGACCTCAAGACGCCCTCGCTCATCCTCGACGTCGGCTGCGGCAGCGGCCTCTCCGGCGAGATGCTCTCCGCCGTGCCCCCCTCCGCCGGCGGCCCGCACACCTGGATCGGCATGGACGTCAGCCCCTCGATGCTCGACGTCGCGCTGCAGCGGGACGTCGCCGGCGACCTGCTCCTCGCCGACATGGGCCAGGGCGTGCCCTTCCGCGCCGGCACCTTTGACGCCGCCGTCTCCATCTCCGCCGTGCAGTGGCTCTGCAGCGCCGAGACGAGCGACACCTCCCCCGCGGGCCGGCTGACCCGCTTCTTCAACGGCCTGTACGCGTCGCTGCGCCGCGGCGGCCGCGCCGTCTGCCAGTTCTACCCCAAGAACGACGCCCAGCGCAGCATGATCACCCAGGCGGCGGTCAAGGCCGGCTTCGGCGCGGGATTGCTGGAGGACGACCCGGGCACGAAGAACGTGAAGCTGTACCTGGTGCTGACGGTGGGCACGGCGGGCGGCGAGGGCGGTAGTGCGGGAGACATTACGGGCGTGGTGGCGGGCATGGACAACGTGGACGTGGAGGACTCGCGGAGGAAGTTTGCGGCGGTGAACAAGAGGGGCGAGATGAAGAAGGGCAGTAAGGCGTGGATCGTGAAGAAGAAGGAGCAGATGGAGCGCAAGGGCAAGATTGTCAAGGCCACATCCAGGTACACGGGCCGCAAGCGCCGCATTGCTTTCTGAGGAGCTTGCGGGCAATGATGACGACCAAGAGCATGATTTGCACGGCGTTTTGGGCGTTTTTAAGCTTCTAGATTTATTGTCCTTTCATAAAAAGCAATACCACGGCGTTCTTCTTGGTCAAAGTACGGCAAAATCAGTCGTGGATAGCCAACTTTTATTTAGCTCTGGCCTCATCATACGTAAAATCATATCTGCTCCTAGAATGTCTACCATTGCATCTATTCCTGCATATACTCCTGCTCCGCTATTGCATCTACTCGGGCTTCATCGTGGGGAAGGCAAGCACCTCTCTGATGCTGTGGTTGTCGGTCAAGAACATCATCATGCGGTCAATGCCCATGCCCCAGCCGCCGGTGGGAGGCAGACCGTACTCGAGAGCCTTGCAGAATGTCTCGTCAATAGCTTGGGCCTCATCGTCACCCTGGGCCTTCTGGTTCGCCTGCTCCTCGAAGCGGAGACGCTGCTCAGTAGCAACGTTCAACTCGGTGTAACTAGATGGTCGGCATTAGCATGGTTTTAGATGGAAGTATAGAACACAAAGCTTACGCGTTGCAAATTTCCTTGGTGCCGACGAAGCACTCGAAGCGCTCGCAGAGACCGGGGATGGAGCGGTGGCTCTTGGCCAGAGGAGACATCATCTTGGGGTGGCCAAAGATGAAGGTCGGGCTAATCTGTGGGGGTCGTCAGTATCAGTTGAAGAATATAGGTTATGAGAATTTGCTTACGCATTGGGACTCGAGGTACTCGCCAACGAGGGCGTCGAGCATGCGCGCATTGGTCAGAGGCGGGTTGCACTCAACACCAGTCTTGGCCAGGATCTTCTTGAGAAAGTCGCCCGTCTCTGCCGTGTGGAGGACGTCGCCGGTGGGGAACTTTTCGCCAGTGATCTCCTCGAGGGCGGGGATCATGTCAATCCTGCGCCAGGGACCCTCCCAGTTGATCTCGAGCTCCTCGCCCTTGGAGGTGTGGTACTTTGTGACGTAGCTGCCGTGGACGTGCTTGACGAGGCCGGAGACTAGCTCCTCGGTCATCTTCATGAGGTCGTAGACATCGGCATAGGCCATATAAAACTCGAGAGTGGTGAATTCTACTCCAATTAGTACATTAACCGGCGTTGACACGGGGCGGCAGACAAACCAGGATTGTGAGTCAGATCCATGCTCTCGTTGCGGAACTGACGGCCCATCTCGTACACACGGTCGATGCCACCAACGACAAGCATCTTGAGGTACAACTCGGGGGCAATGCGCAGGAACATGTCCATGTTGAGGTCGTTGTGGTGGGTGATGAAGGGCTTGGCCGTGGCACCACCGGCAATGGTGTTGAGCATGGGGGTCTGCACCGAGACGAAGTCGCGGTCGTCGAACCAGCGACGGATGTAAGTGTCGACCTTGGCGCGCGTGATGAGGACGTCGCGGGCCTTGTCGTTCATCATGAGGTCGAGGTATCGCTGGCGGAAGCGCTGCTCGGCGTTCTTGAAGCCGTAGTGGTCATCAGGGATCTGAGGAGGTTAGCTTTGTTTGAAGACCGGCTGGGAATGGGATGGTGTACCTGATGCAGGCACGGTGACAGGAGAACGAGCTCGCTGGCAGCAATAGATAGCTCGCCGGAAAAGTCGCCCTGTCCCTGCTTGGTCTTGGGGTTGGTGCGGGTCGGGTAACCGGTGATGCCGACAACGTCACCGCGACGGATGTTGACATGCTGATCCTCGAAGCTGGGGACGCCTTCGCCAAGGTGGTCAGCCTGCGCGAGGACTTGGAGTCTGGTGCCCTGCGCAGAGTTAGTGGCTATGTTATTTCTTGTCGCGTGCTGCTGCGACGTACGTTGGAGCGCAGGTCATAGAAGAAGAGCTTGCTGCCAGCAGCGCGGCGGACGTATACTCTGCCGGCGAGGTTGAGGGGCTTGGTCTTGTCGACTTCACCGTTCTTGAGGTGGGAAAACTCCTTTTCGAAGTTGCGGATGTCGTAGGTGACTTCGAACTTTGGTGACGGTTAGTACGTGCACATTATCGTTTGCGGAGGAGGCAGGCAAACCTTGTAGGGATAGGCCTTGCCCTGCTCGTGGAGCTCGTTGACGGTTCGTGAGCGGATTTCAAAGTACTTTTCGGTGTCAGAATTCAGTTGGCAGACCTTAGAGAGTAGCAAGCTCGCCGCCTACCTGGTTGGGCGTCAGATCCTTCTCGGCCGCTTCTGAGCTGCCCGCAGTCTTCTTGCCCGCAGGGGCAGGGGCGCCCGACTTTTCGGCCTTTTCCTTCTTAGCGGCCTCGCGCTCACGAGCCTTCTGGCGCTTCTTGAGCTCCGTCTTGGAGATCATCTCGCCGGTGACCTCGTCGAGGTGCAGCTTGGCGACGGCAGCGGCCGCGGCGTCAACGGGCGCCTCGGTGGGAGGCTGGTTATCGGCCATGATGGGTGGATGGGGATCAATGTTGGTGTGTCTATAGTCTCAATTGCGTGTGGGAAAATGATCGCAGTCGCTCGGCTTCGTCGCTCGTCTTTAAAGTCTTGTAGCACGAGGGGTAGAACTGAGTCACAGAAAATAACAGCAAAAATTATCCCACCCTGAGTTCTTTGGTGTAGAGGAACCCCACCAACAAAAGACTGCCCGACTCACCCCTCCTCTGATAGGTGGGGCCTCCTTCCAACGCTACAGAGTCTGCCGGTTTGGAAAATACATACTCTGGCTGATGAAGACTATTCATCTTTACAGGCTGCTTCAGCCGAGATTCTGACTGTGACATTGCCTGTCTGTTGCTCATCTCTCAGCTATTCTGTCAGCCCTCGGTCGCCTACCCCGCGCACCCCGCGATACCCTTGCAGGCCGGTATCGCAGGTTTGATGACTGTTACCACGGTGATCAGTTAACGAACCTTTGTCTCGTTCCAACCCGGCCTTGATGCTTGAATTCAAAATTGAACTCTTCGCGGTCGACGATGAACTGAGATCCCCCCCCCCCTCCTTTTTTTTCCTTGAAATTTCTACTATCCAAGGAGCTGATGCAGCCCGCTCTCAGCACAACTAACGATATGCATGGATTTTACTGGATACAAATATGCGAACGTTTGAGTATTCTTCATTGCTTACTTGTAAAAAGGTCATGCATACGACGAAAACAAACATCCAAGCCCAGTAGCCCCAGACCATTCAAGCGACCTCGCCAAGGTGCTTCTTCAGGAATGGCACCACCTTGTCCAATGCCGGCTTCACTGACTCGGGCTTGTCATACAGACTGTAATGCGACACGCCCGGCAGCACCACCAGCTCCTTCTCCTTGGACGCCGCGCGTCCATTCACCTCCAGCGCGTCGCGATACGCTCCAAAGCTCCCCGGAATGTCACCCACCACGACCATAATCGGCTTCGTCATGAGCACCTCGGCGTGGTTGAACGCATCCCACGCCAGCGCGGAGCTGTTGTACGAGAGCAGCCCGCTCGCGCATCCGTTCGGCGCCCGGGCTCGCTCCTTGTAGTAGTCCGTGGCCTCGACCAGGTCCGGATCCGTCGTCATCGCGTTGGCGGCCGCGACCGTCGGCGGCAGATACTGCAATACGTGGCGCTCCGCGCCCTGCGCCTCGGCGGTGCGCTGCTTCGCAATCGCCTCGAGCGTGCCGACCGGGTCGAACTGCGCAAAGTCCTCGCGCATCAGCCGTCCAAAGTTGACGGGCGTGATGGCGACGGTGCATCGCAGCCGGTGGTCGGTCATGCCGGCGTTGAGCGCGTAGCCGCCGCCGCCGCAGATGCCCAGCACGCCGATGCGCGTGGCGTCGACGTACGGCAGCGCCTGCGCGTAGTCTACGACGGCGCGGAAGTCGGCTACTCGGAACTCGGGGTTCTCGATGAAGCGGGGGTGGCCGCCGGAGGCGCCCTGGAAGGAGGCGTCAAAGGCGATGACGACGAAGCCGGCATCGGCCAACGCCTTTCCGTAGACGTTGCCAGAGGTCTGCTCCTTGCAGGACCCGATGGGGTGCGCCGACAGAACGAGAGGGTACTTCTTGGCCTCGTCGAAGTTTTGCGGGTAATGGATATCTGCAGCCGTCTCCCAAGCAATGTTGGGGATGCTGACAGTCTCAATGTTGGCCATGTTTGCGGCGTGTGTAAGTCGTACTTGAGTAGAGTAGAGGTAACGGGGTGGTTGAACTTTTCCTGATTATCTGTTTCTGTGATAAATTTAAGATGATTAAGGATGACCACAGATAGGAGTCCGGACGTCTTGCCTTTTTTATATTCGGGTGACGTAGTGCCACGTCCAGTCTTCCGCCAGTTCTGGTTCATCGCCTCCGAAGCTTCGGCCCCACTCCCGAAAACCTTCGCCATTTTCGGAGTCTACAACGTCGACGTTCGGTCCGTCACGCTGCCGGTAATCATGCGATAAAAATGAACGTTTTAACGCTGAAATCTGGTAAAACTATCGGCCCTTGAACGTGATTTCGGACTTTCAGGCGGGTTCACTCATTGACGGGCTCTTCGCCGCTGTCCACGGCCTTAAGCGGCGTTAAGTGGCGGCCGGGCCTCCGTACCAAGACGCAAGGGCTGTAATGCCGGAATTTCACGAAAAAAATGGCCTGATTCTCAAATCAATGTGCAAGGAGACTTTGCTTATTTCCTTCCGTAATGCGATGCCTGTTGGTATCCGATTCAAGTTTCTTGCGGCTAGAAATACTATGACAAATTCTCGTCAACTGCTGAGAAGTACTTGCATTTTTACTTTTATATGTTGCTAATATGGGAAGAAAATGTGAGCCTAGTAGCCCTATCGTAAATTCAAGTAAACAAATTATAGATTGTGGAATTTGGAATAACGGATTCAACGCTATGTCTCAACCCTTCCAACCGGAGGCCAAGTCTGAGGAATTGTGCAGACGCTCTCTCGCAGTGCTTTGCCGTCTTGACTGCCGACCCGGAGACAGGCCACTCTACCTACTTTGCCTTCCACAGGTTCCCACACGAGCGGCGCCAATGGAAAGGATGATTGTTCGCCGTCCCAGCTGATTACGTCTTTCAAGTAAGGATCAATCACCGGAGCATCGCCGAACGTCCAGTCGAGATCGCCGCCGTACATCTTGGGGATGCTGCCCCCATCGGCCACCTCCTCCAACGCAGGGAGGACCTCGTCGCGGCTGACGATGCGAATCTTGGACACGGTGACCGGGTCCAGCCAGCCCTTGATCCAGCCGAACACGGTGCTGAAGAACGGCGGCGCGCCCACGATGAAGATGGCGCCCAGCGTCTCCGGGTAGTGCGCGGAGGCGAGGTACGCCAGCGTGTGGATGTGGCCCTTGAGACTCCAGAACTGCATCACGCCGATGCCGGAGACGTCCATGATGTACGTGCTGAGCGTCACGGGGACGGCCGCGTGCGCGCGGTCCGGCAGCTGCGTCGCGAGCGGCTGCGTGAAGCGCAGCAGGTTCTCGTACAGCGCCGCGAAGCAGAGGAGGCTTGCGGACGTCTTGCCGCCGTCCGTCCGGGACCGGGAAAAGCCAGGCTTGGCGGCGACCAGTTCACTCTCGGCGACCGCCTGGCCGTTGAGAGCCTGAGGCCGCCAGACGTAGACCGGTGCGCCAACGCGATCCCGTCGGCCTGTCCATTGCGGATACTATGACAGAGGTTAGCATGATGACGTTGGCGAGCAAGGGAGCGATCTGGAACTGATCGATGGGAGTTGGGGAAAGACGCACGAGAGAACGCAGTTTCTTGTAGGCGTCAGCGTCAATAGTCTCGTACAGGGTGTCTATTTCGTTGGCTTGGCGCCAGGTTTCTGTGTCATGGAACTGGGCATAAGCGGCTTCAACGTCCCACCGACGCGCACGAAGGAACCGACTTGTAGGCGCGCATTTTGTCAGGAATGGCCTTCGCAAACCAACCTTACTCTTTTGATATGTTACTCACAGTAGCTTAATGTCCTGCAAGGGTGCAGACGATTCGAAGCCAGGGTATCCCCGCTTGGTCAGCAGGCTCTTGAAACTTTCAAGAGCTTCCTGCTGCTGCGTGTTCAGGGACCCATAGTGGCCGGCGGGATATTGGGATGCTGGGTCGGCATTGACCGCTTGACTGCTGGCTGAGGCCATTGGCTCTCTGTACGGAGTAGGTGCTCCATTGTTAGCTCAGCTCGGTAATCTGAAAAGCGCGGGCCAGATGCGGCAACTAGACTTGCTTACGGTGATGGTTCCAGCAGGTGCTATTGGTAGCAAGTAAGGGTCTATAGGATCTATTTGAGTTGTTGAATGACTCTTTCCACTGCTTGATAGTAGTGCGGGGGAGGCTGAGGTCCATGAAGAAATTGGCATTGTAGTTAATAGCGTAGTCGGAAATCCAATAACCGCGGCTTAGTTCAAGCTTAAACCTGAACAGGTCGAGGATCTACCAGTCAGACATGTGCTGTTTGCTGCAATTACTGGTAAACTATTGGTTCCCTGCTAGTTAAGAATCAGAGTTGTCTTGTATAGAGTATTCGAATTTGCCATTCTGTGAGCCAAGCTCCAAGCACTTTATTTCAAATCGACAACTGGCTAGCTCCTTGTCAACAACTTAATCGACCAAAGACTATCGGCCAAGGGCCAGCCACCATCTTACTCCCGTCCCTGTTCGGCTTCTACTCCGCGCCCAATTTTGGCCGCTTTGCGAGTCAGCATTGTCAACCGCCGACAAGGCATCATGTCATTGCATTTGTGAGCCCATTTGGAGCCCGATCTAGCCCGGCTTCTTAATGCGATACAATGACGGGATAGGGCTACTCTAGTCAGCACTCCACCGATAATATGGCGCACGGCATCAAATAAATAATACCTCATGTTCTAAGGATCTGTTGGGTTTGTCCACATTTACACGGAGAACCAACCCTCTTACGGTGAGAATTGTCCGATTCCACTGCCGTCGCTCCACCTCGAATGCGAGTTAATTTACAAGACTTATAGACTTTGGCTGGACTTGGCAGGTGAAGTTGAAAAGAAACTTGCACCCTGCAGGAGCAAAAGAACATTATAAATGCATTGCGCAGGGTGGGGAGAAGACTACTTGTCGCGAACACTTGTATGCTACGCTATGACCGCAGCCAATGCAAGACTCCGAGTCAAACACAATCTCGTCGCTATTACAGCCAGTCCGAGTGGGTATACTTGGAACCGCTGAAAATAATAAGTTTTCCGCAAAGGAAAGTATAGGGAACTTGAAAGGGCTACAAGGGTTCAATACAAGTTTCGAATGGGAAAAGACGTAATATATAAAGAACAGCTCGTCGATCTATTGCCAGCTAGAGGGAGGTCAAGCATCCTAGCTTGACATCTCGTCCAATAGTCCAGAGGGCCTGGGGAACTATTAATCTGGCAACAGAAACTTTATTCATTGACCAGAATGTTGTCTCCTCGGATTATTTGGCTGAGTTCCCTCGCCACATTATGTGTTGGCGGTGCAATTCCCGCGACCAAGAGGGATGGAACCACTGACCAAGACACATCGGGTATGACATATACCGTTTCCAAATATTCTCATCGTGTCATCTGTATGTCTAACACTAAGTAGAGTCTATTGCCATGACCGCGGCTAATGGCTTCGATCCTCTGGGTGTCTGGTATGCCGGTGTCGAGGCGCTCTCGCAGACGCATCTCAGCGCGGCCCAGGTTGAAGCCGCCAAGAACAAGAACATTGGCATCGTGGGCGCCGGCATATCGGGATTGATGACCTATCTCGTCCTACGCGAAGCAGGCTTCCAGAACATCACCATCCTCGAAGCCGACCAGCGGTTGGGCGGCCGCCTGCACACGAGCTACCTCACCGGAGGGCCCTGGGACTATTCGTACCAGGAGATGGGCGCGATGCGTCTTCCCGTTGACTACCTGGACAAGAACGGAAAGAGCCACAACATCTCCGACACGCAGCTCGTCTTCTTCCTCATCGAGGAGATGAACAAGCGCAACAAGGCCGACCCCGAGCTGCAGGTCGACCTGATCCCGTGGATCAACTCCAACGAGAACGGGCTGCAGTACTTTAACGGCATCCGCACAGCCAGCGGCCTGCCCCCGACGATCAAGCAAATCTCGGAAAACGCTTCGCTGACTGTGCAGCTCGCCCTGGACGACGACGCCAAAGCGGCGCAGGAGAAGGTGCGGCAAAACTTGCCCGACGACAAGTTCTTGAGCGACATGGCCGGGAACCTGTACCGGGCGCACCGGAAATGGACCGACGATGGCTTCGCCGGCCAACCCGGAGATCGGTGGTCGGTGTTCTCCTACATCTCGCAGTATCTCAAGGGCAGCCTCAACACCACGGATGTTCTGGACAAGATGCTGGTCTCCCAGGCCAGCTACTGGGAGCACGTCACCGATCTGCTGTACGGGGGCGCCAGCACCTTCCGGACCGTCGACGGAGGGTTCAGCCGCCTACCGCTATCCTTTGGCCCTCTAGTCAAAAACAACACTCGCATGGGCGTCAAGGTTGAGCGCATCAGCTACGCCGACGACCAGGTCACGCTCCAGTCGAAGCACGACTTCACGGACCGCGAGTTCCAGAACGACACGTTCGACTACGCCGTCATCTCCCCGCCCTTCACCGTCGTCCGCCAGTGGCGGCTGCCCGCCATCGGCGCCACCATGAAGAACGCCATCAGCAATCTCGTCTACGACGCCTCGTGCAAGGTGGCCCTCGAGTACTCGGAGCGCTTCTGGGAGCGCCTCGAGAACCCGATCCTCGGCGGCTGCAGCACCGAATCGGACATCCCCGGCGCCTCACTCGTCTGCTACCCGTCGTACGACCTCAACGGTACGGGGAAGGCGAGCCTTCTGGCCTCGTACATCCGCTCATCGTTCGACCACGACCTGACGCGCCTGGTCACCATGTCGGACGAGGAGCACGCGCAGTACTTGGTCGACGCGATGGCGGAGATCCACGGCGAGCACACGCGCGCGCTGTACACGGGCAAGTTTGCGAGGAAGTGCTGGAGCCTGGATCCGCTGGCCGCGGGCGCGTGGGCCGCGCCGTCGGTCGGGCAGCACGAGCTGTACATTCCCGAGTATTTCAAAGTGCACAAGAACGTGAGTCGTCGGAGGGCACTTTAATCGTTTCTTCCTTGCGTTGCCTGCTAATTGATGCTTCCAGTTGATCTTTGTCGGCGAGCACACGTCGTATACACACGGCTGGATCGCCAGCTCCCTGGACTCGGCCATCCGTGGCGCCGTACAACTGCTTCTTGGTAAGTCTGCTGAGAACTCGGATACTATGGCAGTGCTAATAGCTGGCTAGAACTCGGCTTAGTTGATGAAGCGAAGGCGGCGGTGGACAAATGGCTGGTGCGAGGGGCCGGGAACGTGGCCGCGAGAAACTGACATGGACAGAAGCAAGATGTAAAAGACGAACGAAGACGAGATTGAAATTTCTCCGTCAAAAGTGGAAAAATATTCCTTGCTCGAGCTTCAGAAGCAGCAGTGATGAGTTCCTCCAGGCAGACACTGTGACTAAGAATAGTCTCTGCGAGCTCTCGTTCCGATTGCCAGTCTCTGTTGTATTGATATACTCGATTACTTATTGCAGGACATACATGTAAATCATCATGGTCAATTTCTTCAGAAGAACAGCTTTTACACATTTTCACCCTATGGCAGCGACAATTGCCAGGCTAGTTGCCAAACGCATCGACCTGCTTGGCACCGTCGAGGCCCTGCAGGTAGCCGACGCGGTCCTTGGTGTAAAACTCGACGCCGACCGTGCCGTCGAGCGCGGCCTTGCCGTCGTCGAGCGAGCCGGCCTTGACGCAGACGGCCGTGGGCATAATCTCGAGCTCGGTGTAGAGAGAGGAGCCGCAGGTGCCGCAGAAGAAGTGCTTGTTGACCTTGCCCGAGTCGCCTTTGATGTCGTATGTCTTGGGGGTTCCTGGGATGTGTCAGCCTTTTTTCGTTGTCCTGGTTTTTTTCTCTTTTTTTCAAATCTTGTTTCTCCGGATTCCTTTTTCATAAGAAATCTTCCGAGGCCAAAGAAAAAGCACAGAATGTCCTGCAAACATACCCTTGGTGACGCTAAAGCCGTCGCGCGGAGTGACAACGTTGGAGGTGTAGGCGCTGCCCGACCACTGACAAATGAATCAGTAAGCATTCAATAAATCCAATAAATATTTTATAACAAGTCGTACCTTTTGGCAATCGGTGCAGTGGCACAGAGCAGTCGCCTCAACAGGCCCTGCAATCGTCATTAACATCCCGCCTTGCTACCCCCGCCCGATGGCCCGAAGCCGACTCACCCGTGAACTCGTAGGCCGTCTGGCCGCACATGCAGCTACCCTTGATGGCCATGGTATCTGATTCTCTCAAAAAATAGTTAAAAATAGTAGCAGAGTCGTCTTTCCCAATTGGTCCGATGCGTGGAGATTGCGTGGCAGATGAGAGGCCATCAAGGTGCAGTTCGGGGGCTCGCGAAGACTATATAAAGACTGGGAAGCTTGCCCCTCCCTCCACTTCTTGCATCCTCGCCCCCTCACAGAGCTGGCCGCTCTAGGAATATTTGGAATTTCTGCGTGACTTCATTGATTACCAAAGAGTAGCCCCCAGCTCTAGTGTCCTGCGGGGTTTGACAGCACACCAACATTTGACGAGAACGGGTAAAGAAGCGGGGTCAGGGAGGTTGGCGCTGATGCGGGCAAGCTACTGAACGGGCGAGAGACAGGCGACGGCAAAACGCGGATGCGTTCTCCGTCTACCCGCAGCTCGTCCGAATAGGTCCGTGGGTTGGGTTTTCTGGTTTCTGGTAGGGATGTAGAAGGGAAAATCCACAAGGTGGATCGAATTTGGAATTCGGCCTTTGTTCAAGACTCAGGCAATGGAACGGACCGTACTATCGGCAATGTGATGACTCCCATAGCGGCACTAGGACACGTCCGAATCATCCGAATCGTCCGAATCGTCCGAGGAGCTCCAGACCAGCTCTGATTACTACAAGTCTTGAAACAGCTGTCGTAAGATTTCGTCGTCACTTAGTAAGCCCTTGGTTGAACAAATCTATACATTCAGCTGCTATCGCTGTCCGGTAATTCCACAAATGCAGTCATGTACATGTAAAACAGGCTCTCCTCCTCGTCCTCCTCTTTGCTCCCTCCTCTTCGTCCATTTAACGCAGGTTTCTCCCGTTATATGCCATGGCGCCGCCTGGTCTTTCGCCGTGGTATCTAGCATCGCGTGTCCGCCATTCTAGGTCTTGTATTCAAACAAAGGAAAATGGTTCGTCTTTTTTTCTCTTTCCGTGATAGGTATTATGCAACAAGTGCGGTTGTCTCAACTCTTCTTCTCGTCGCTCCTCCCGTCGCCGCGTTTAGACAGACTCCATCTTGTCAAGGATGGCACGGGTGAACTCGTGCGTCGTGGAGTTGCCGCCCATGTCGAGGGTGCGCACCTTGCCCTCGGCAATGACGGCGTAGATGGCCTTGGAGATGCGGTTGGCGTGGTCGTCGAGGCCAAGGTGGCGCAGGAGCATGCTGCCCGACAGGATCAACGCCGTGGGGTTGGCCTGATCCTTGCCCTTGATGTCGAGGCCGACGTGACGGCAGCCAGGCTCGAAGACGGCCACCTCGCGGCCCATGTTGCAGCCGGGCACGATACCGGGACCGCCGACAAGCGCAGCGCCAATGTTGGACAGGATACCGCCGTACAGGTTGGGCATGACCATGACGTCAAACTGCTGCGGGCGCGAGACGGCCTGCATCGAGGCGTTGTCGACAATCATGTCGTTGACCTCGAGCGTCGGGTACTCCTTGGCGACGTTGTGGAAGGTGCTGCGGAACAGACCGTCGGCGAGCTTCATGATGTTGGCCTTGTGGATGCAGGTCACCTTGGAGCGGCCGTTGGCGAGGGCAAAGGAGAAGGCGAAGCGGGCGATACGCTCAGACTTGGCGCGCGTGATGATCTTGAGCGACTCGACGACACCGGGCACCGACTGGTGCTCGAGGCCCGAGTACTCGCCCTCGGTGTTCTCGCGGATGATGCACAGGTCGACATTCTTGTGGCGCGTCTCGTAGCCGGGGATGTTCTTGATGAGGGAGATTGAGGCGTAGATGTCGAGCTCCTGGCGCATGGCCACGTTGAAGGACTGGTGGCCGGAGCGGGACACGGGAGTGTGGAGGATACCCTTGAGGCCGAGCTTGTTGCGCTTGAGCGACTCAACCGAATTGCGGAAAGCCGCCTCGGTGCGGCCGCCGCCCTCCTCGATGCCCGAGACCTCGACCTGCTCCCATTCGATGGGCACGTTGTCGGCCTTGAAGAGCGTCTTGACCGACTCGGCGACCTCGGCGCCGATGCCGTCACCGGGGATCAGGGTGACTGTGTACTTGCCACCGTACTTGGCGGGCTTGAAGATGTCGGACTGGACCGTGGCCATGGTTCGGGAGAGCCGGGGCTGGGGAGCGGCGGCACGAAGGGCCTGTGGACGTTAGCAGTTGGACGATTGAGATACAGAATCATAGTGAAGTCGAGGTTGGTGTGAGTGATTGCAGGGAGCTTGCAGCTGGTACTGCTGGTGTTGCTGATTCTGCGTGTTTAACCAACGAGAGCGGTATATCGTGAGGCCAGTTTGCCGCAGCGAGCCGCGAGGCTGGGCAACGCCAGACAACGAAGGGAAATCCGCAACCAAAGCGGCTCAATTCCGTGCAATTAACATAGATTGTGCGCATTCCAGCTCCCATCATGCAGCTCATAGCGTGGTGCGTGATTGAGAATGAATAAAATCCGTGGTGACGTACCTGAGCCGTGCGGAGGGAGCTTCGCGACAGCATCGTGGATAGTGCTTGTCGTGTGTATTCAAGACCGGAGGAGGAAAAGACTGTGACTGTGTAAACCCCCCTTTGGCTAGCAAAGACGAGGAATTCGGAGCGGTGAGGTTTAGAAGGAAAAGAGTTGTTTGAAGAGACGACGAGGTGTTTTGCGGGAGAAAAACGTTAAGAGGGAGAGAAGGAAAAAAACAGGTTGTTTTTGGAGTTCCCTTGGCGGCATTCTAGGCCGTCGCTACCAGTATTTTCCCCCCCATCTGGCGCTCTGGCGGCGTCTCCAAAGCCTGCAGTAACGTTAAATCAAGCCCCAGAATAGTGCCGAGCCACGCCCAAGAACAGGGGGGGTCACCGTGCAATGGCGCGCAAGCCACAGCCAGGCAGGGGCCAGCGTCGGCTTGGCCGGGGCGCTTGTGGCGCAGCTACCACTGAATTTTTCTCTTCCTTCGGACCAGCGGCCGGAATGCGAACGTGTTTCCGAGGCCAGCCCGGCCAAGACCCGCCCGGCAAGACACCTGTTCCTAATCAGGCGTAGCCACCAACCAGCATTGTGACGTATCTATCAACATTTCCATGATAAATCATTACCCATGTCCATGACCTTTGCCAGGTTGCCCGTCTACACCCGTACATTGCGATGTGTGGACAATGACATTTGCAGTGCCATATAAAAATGGAAAGGAAAACTTTCAAACCAAGGGCTACAGCCTCAACAACCCCTCACCAAGACGCGATGTGAATCATCGGAGACACCTCAAGTGAGGCGCGAATTTTCAAGAAATACACTCCTGAACTGGTCAATTAGTCCTGGCACGATTTGCGAGAAAACCCACTGCCACATGACGACTGATCGATGATTCTTGTCACAACCGCGAATGGGTTTCACCAATGCCAATATCATTTTCAGTGCTTCGATGCTTAACTCAGTCTCCTGACACTACATCAAAATCCATCACGAAGACTCTGTTGCTTGACATTTGATTCGAAGAAAGTTCCAGAAACGAGTTCGAGGCGGGAGAGCGAAGTGGTGAGCCGTCAACTCCGTAGCCTGTCGCGGTTTGGAGGACAGATCTGCCGAGAAGCTGGACACCCGCGCCTACTGATTCTTAACGCATAGCAACGCACTGCCTGCGAATCCAATCGACCACTTTGCAGGAAACAACAATATACCTATTCACTACCTAAGAACTCACGACCGAGCCCAAAATCACTCACTACCCTCTAGCACGGTAGCGACATAGCAACTTGTGCTGCAGAGTGTCTTCTATTTATCTTATCATCAGCTCACTTCTCGAGCTATGTCCGACCCTCCCCGCAAAACGATCAAGTATACCTCCATGCGCCGCTTCTCCTAACAAGCTATCCTTGCACAAGTGCGTGCAATACATATATATGTCTGATGAATAACCCGAGGCGGAGACCAAAGAAGAAAAGTTCCCTGCCGCCTCTATAACAGTTCATTCGTACTCTTCATTAAACGTTCATTTCTTGCCGCGTTGTTCTGATGCGGGTTTACCAGGCACTGCCCTATTGTGCCAACTCCTCCTCATCCAGAGGCTCGACACGCACCAAAATCTCCTCCAGCAACCCCTCTAAAAAGTTTCCTACATCTCGGCCCATCCCGACCGGCTCTGCCTTGTCAATGTGGTCAATTTCCTTGCACACATGCGCCAACTTGTAGACCAGCTTTCGCAGCTTATCATGCGCTATTTCCGCTCGTTGTTGCCTCACTGACTCGAGACGCTCCAGGGCAACAATCTGCTGCAGCCGCACCTCGCGCCTCTTGAGAGCTTCTTCCAGTGCCGGAAATATGACATCGTTGAGCGCGTCCAGCTCTCCGTTGGGATTAGCAGGTGCTGGAGACGGAAACGAGGATGGTGTGGCGAAGTCGGGTGCCGGGGACTGTGACTTGATAGGTGTTCTGACATGCGCTGCTACCGGCGTCGAAGATGCAAGCTGCGATTGTGATTGAGAAGACGGGCTGCCTCGGAAGGGGGGGATCTCCTGCAGATGAATTGGTCCAATGAGAGACGTAGGTCTCGATTCTGGCCGTTGTTGTACTGGCGGTAGCGGCTTCTCTGCAACAGGTAGCTTTCTTGCGGACGATGGTGAGTTAGGGCTAGGGAATTGCAAGCTCAGGACACTCAATTCCTGCTGCAGCTGGGCCTGCAGCTCCCGGTCATAGTCGGGAGACTGGCTTTGCGCCAGGGGTGGTAAAGGTTTTGCCTTGGTTGGTGTCTCTGGTAGGAGATGCTGTGCTGCTTTCATCGGGCTTGCCGGCAACGGAACTTTGGTAGGTGACTGCGCTGATGATGGCACCGGCTTGCGCTGAGGGCTAGACTGTCTTGAAGGAGCCTTGACAGTCTCGCTAGCATCCAAGGCAAAGTCGCGCGCTTTAGTCGGGCTCGCTTCACGCCTTGTCTCGCCATAATCGCCTGAATTTTCAAGAGACCTCGCCGCCCTTGCATTTGTGCCCTTGTCGTTAAGATCGTTGAGGCCCGGCCGCATGACTAGACCCCCGCGGTCGCCGACGAGTCGGACGGTGCCGAAATCCCACATATCTTCGTCTACTCTCTCGCGTCTGGTAGGCACGCCTGCCGATGCAGCGTCCCAATGATCGTCATCATCGCCTTTGTGCGTCGCCGACCAGCGGCTATGACGCTCAATCAACTCGGTAAGATATGTCGTTTTCTTTGCCCTTCTAATAAATGGATGTCGAAGCAGGTCTTTCGCGCTAGGCCGGTCCTTTGGGTCGCGCTGAAGACAAAGTTCAACGAATTCCTTGAATGCCTTTGTGAAGTTTCCTTCAAGACGTGGCGCCGGGTTCTTGGGAATAAGAAAAAGAACTTTCATAGGATGAATGTCGGCGTAGGGCGGCTCGCCGTTGGCCAGTTCGAGGGCGGTGATGCCCAGGGACCAAATGTCGGCCTTGTGATCGTATCCAGACTGCTTGATAACCTCCGGTGCCATCCAGAACGGGGTACCGACAAAAGTATTCTTCTTGGTCATGGTTGCTGATAGCTGGCCTGAGACACCAAAGTCAGCCAGCTTGACCTGGCCTGCGGCGCTCAGCAAAACGTTGGCAGCTAGAGTTGTGTTAGTAGTAGGACGGAGTAGCATAATGGTTGCAGACGCACCCTTTATATCTCGGTGCAGTTTCTTGTCAGCGTGCAAGTACTCTAAGCCCAGGAGCAGCTCACGAGTGATGATGGCAATGTAGTCTTCACTGATGAGGCCGGGCTTCATCAGGTCGGCACAGCTACCACCAGCACAGAACTCCATGACGATCCAGAGCTCGGCGCCTTTCGAGTACGAGCCATAGTATTTGGTGACGTATGGAGACTGAAGCTCGGAGAGAATGGCAATTTCTTGAATTATATCTTCGACCTCGTCTTCCGCGTTTTCAATGTCGATTACCTTGATGGCGACGGCCTCGCCTGTGCGCTTGTCAACGCTGAGGACGTGTTAGCGCTGTGAACGAGCGGTGGAAGTGTGATTCGTACGTACCCTTTATACACCTTGCCAAAGCTGCCTCCGCCTAGTCGCTACCTATTAGCACTGATACGCATTGCATTTGCGAGTAGGCACTACTCGGCCGTCGTTGGGCAACTCTTGCTCACCAATGCAGTATTCCTTGGAGTAGAGCAGCTGGGGGTCGAGGAGGGCCTCGTTGGCAACGTCGGAATCCTGGCGATCCGTCATTGTGGTGACGCGAGCACGCTCCCGGTGCTAGTGGGATGCTATCCCGGCTCGTTCCACGCTCTGCAATGCCACGCGGCGCTGAGAAAACGAAATCGTGAGCAATGTTGGAGCGGTGACGGGTTTCGAGAAACAAGGCTTCAGAGGCGCAGGACGCAGTATGCAAGGCCGGGCGGCATGCAGGGCGGATGACGGGACTGTATGAAAACAAGACAAAAAAAGGGCACTCCACAAATACAGGCACGAAGTTAGCACCAACGCTCACGGGCACCAAGAGAATTGGTTAAGGGAGAGACGGGGGGCGGCCAATGACAAGAAGCCCTGGTGTAGAATTCGAAAGGCACGATCAAAAACGAATGAGAGGGACTAGAAGACCGAAAATCCAAAGGTATGGCAGAACAGAGCTGTTGGCGAGGCAAGAAAGAAAGTGGGGGTTTTGGTGGTACTGTTTACCTCCAGCATCCGTTCAACGGCCAGGCTCAATCTCCAGCTGCCCATAGCGGGGTGATTCAGGAACCAGCGGCCGCTGCGCCAGCGCCATATTGAGACCACTGATGTATCCCGATTCCAGCGAGCTGAGCACCGCCACACAGCTAAGCATAGGCGGAGCCTGACACCTGGTAGCTAACACGGAGTTGGTCAGGTACCAATAGCGCAGCCTCCAATGTCGCACCATTGTCAGCATAGCGCCCGAGCTCATATTATCAATTGGACAAAGGTCGAACATTTCCGACTCTTCTCCGTACCTTCATTATGTCCTGCCATCATATCATCGTCAATCAAATTCCTCGGTATGTGCCATCGATTGGGTGGCAAGGAAGCAACAAGCAAACTAACGTCACCATTGAAACAGCTGTGCCCGCCACAACCGCCAAGCCACAACCCGCTCGACCCACTGATTGGTCCGGGGGAGCTATCTTGATCCTGTCATCATCAGATTGGACAGCTTGGCCCGAACGAGCATCCTACCAGCCGCTAATCTCGGGATTTTCGCTTCCGGATTGTTTTTGTGTTCAGATACCCGCTATTGTTTGGACGCAGCTGGACGCAGCTTCGGGCATCACTTTTCACTCTTACATGATTTTCCTCTCTGGCACATCCAGATGAGCAACCGTCGCGTCCAGCGGCATCATTCACCATGGCAGCCACCATCGACCCAGCTACAAGAAAGCGCGTTCTGCGAGTGATTGCTTTCTCGTTACTCCTCGACTTAGTATGTAGATTCTCTGCTCGATCAACATTTCCGGCGCGAGCTACTTCGTTGTGCTTCCATCTTGCACGTCGGGGCGCGGGTTCTTCGGTAACAAAGACTAACGACTATCCAACAGATTTCCTTCACATTCATCCTCCCACTCTTTCCAAGCCTACTTGAATTCTACCGCGATAGCGAAGCTCCGGCCCTCGTCGATGGCGGTCCTCCGACCCTATTGCAGCGCATTATTAGCGGCATGAACAGCTACAAGGCGTCGTTTGCGCGACCGATCGAGTCCCGTTACGATATTGTCTTGCTTGGTGGCGCAATGGGCTCTCTATTCTCGTGAGGCACCAGATTTCCCACGCAAATACCAGAGTTATTCTTCTAACGTTTGTGCACGCTCTGCGTATCAGTCTTCTCCAGGCCGTTGCATCCCCCCTGATCGGCCGTCTTTCCGATCGGTACGGCCGTCGCAGAGCTCTCCTTGCCTCCATGACCGGTAACATAATCTCCGTGTTGCTCTGGGTCGCTGCGGTCGATTTTCGAACTTTTATTGCGAGCCGTGTTGTCGGCGGCCTCTCCGAGGGTAACATTCAGCTAGCCACAGCCATGGCAAGCGACATTTCGGATGAGGCGTCGCGTGGCTCAACCATGGCCATTATCGGCGCCTGCTTCTCAGTTGCCTTCACTTTTGGCCCTGCTCTGGGTGCCTGGCTCAGTACCATTCCCTCTGTCAAGAGCAATCCGTTCGCAACAGCCGCTGGTGTCAGTCTCGCGCTCATAGTACTGGAAACCGTCTACTTGTACTTCTGCCTACCTGAGACGCTCCCCGCCATTACCGGCAAAACAGCAACTCTCGGACGCAACGCAAAGCAAAATAGCAACGGCAACGGCAGTAGCGCCAAAGCAGCTGCACCAAATAAGTCCGTCGAGAGAACAAACTCGCACGTTATACTGAACGCCCTGCATTTTGTCTTTCTACTGTTCTTTTCCGGTATGGAAAGTTCGCTGTCATTTATGACCTACGATCTCTTTTCGTTCACATCCGGCAACAACGGCCGTTTACTCGGCTTCATTGGCCTCGTGGCATCTATCCTTCAAGGCGGCGTGACCCGGCGGCTACCGCCGCTGACATCCGTACGCCTTGGTACGACGGCCTGCCTGGCTGCCTTTGTCTTGCTCGCGCGCGTCAACACTACTGGGGGCCTCTACGCGGCTGCAACCTGCTTGGCTATTACCTCAGCAACTGTGGTGACGGGTTTGAATGCGCTTAGCAGTTTCGAGGCCGACGAGGATGAGAGAGGCAGTAAGCTAGGCAACCTACGTAGCTGGGGCCAGCTTGGTCGCGGTCTAGGGCCAATTCTATTCACCAGCATTTACTGGTGGGCGGGCAGAGAATATGCCTACACGGCCGGAGCCACCGGTACAGCAGTGGTCGCTGCTGCTGCGTTTGGGCTCCTGAAAACACCCAAGGCGTCGATGAAAAAAGCGACGACCAAGAGCTCGTAGCGTATCATCGCTGCGTTTAACGCATATCAAGATCGGTCAAAGATATAGCATTGTACAATACATAGCCAAGGCGGGGTGTCTGGATAATGGATAATGAAAATGATTCAACATAGTCCTTCAATTACAACTCATGGAGTCTAGCTCTTTCGGTTTAGACGTTCAGCTTCAAGGTGACTCAGCGAACCGAGCCGCATGGGCCGTTTCATTCCCAACGATTTCAGAAACTCGAGCATTGTCGTCCCCGCCGTTCCCTTGACCCCGTCATCGCCCAGGCCTGATGGCAGCAACAGCGGCAGGCTCCTGCGTTGCACTGATCCCAACCACGGTCTTTTCAGAGGCATGGCAATGTACCGCGTGACAATCTGGATGTGCTTGGTGCGAAACGCGCTCATCGCCTCAGCCGCCCCCGCAAACGCCGCCCTGAGCCTCGCCTGCTCCTCCACATCGACACCCACGCAGAGCGCGAGCACCCGGATGCTTCCTGCCTGCGCCGCCCATTCTAGGAACCGCCGGTGCGGGCCGGGCGTGCAGGCCCGCGTGCCGAGGTGGTACTCTTCGCGGCGCCCGCACCCACAGCCGCCGCCGCAGCCGGGGCCCATCCCCAGAACAACGTCGAACAGCTGGAGCAGCGCGCTCTGGCCGTTGCTCCCGCCCGGCAGCCGCATCCACTCGCCGCCGCCGCAGGCGTCGCTGCTGTAGAAGACGCCGCGCGGCAGGCCGGCGGCGCGCAGGTTCCGGGATTCCGCGTAGAAGTGCCGGATCTGGTGGCAAAAGGTCAGCGGGTCGCAGCGCTCGTGCATGCGCTCGAGGGTGCGGGTGGCGCTTTCGAGGCACATCCGCAGCTGGACCAGTGCGGCGGTGACGGGTTCCAAGTCGTCGCCGCCGCTGTGGATGGCGTGCAGGGCAGTCAGCAGGGCGTCGACGACGGGGCCGCCTTGGGCCTCGATGGCGGTGCCGATCCTCTGGAACCAGGCCTCGGAGTCGGTGCCCGTGAAAGTGGTGGGCACGGAGAGCGCGTCGGGGTCGGTGAGGGAGGTACGGGGATCCGGGACGGTGTAGTTCCAGACGTTGACGGCGGCGCAGGTCAGCACCGGCGGAAGCTCGACGTGTGCGGATACGGTGCGGAGCGGGACGGATATTTGCTTGGAATAATCTGAGCGATCGAGATCAGAGTTTTGGTTAGAAGATGAGATGAATCAAGTACTCTTTTCCGCTGGTAGTGCAACTCACCTCCTCCGGTACCTCTCCTCCTCCGGTACCTCTCCTCCTCCGGTGCCTCTCCTCCCCAGATGTAGGCATGAGCGAGTACGGCAGCGCGACATAGGCTCTTCTCCACTCGGGCTCAGTTGCGAGGTAGTCAACGTCAAGAAATGGCAGGTACTTAACCGCAATCGACAACTCGCGATTACGGATGAGCGCGGGTAGATCTTGGGCGATCGCCTCCCAAGGCTGGTAGTATGTGTTCGGCAGGCAAGCCAGGGGTGGCTCGGTAGGTAGAAAAGCGTTCTTCGTGATGTCAAATCTCTTGAGAGTAATGGGCGCCATTGTGGGTAGATGAATCAAAGCATCGATATACGTCAATTATTGCTGCACTTGATGTAAGCCAACGTTTGAAATTTGCACAGATCAAGAACAAAGACAGAGCAGACTAGCCACCCTTGCAGGTACAACTATATATAAATTTAAGCTACAAGTAAGTCTAATTCTAGAGAAACAATCTAGTATCAAAAAGAAACACCATATGCAATGTACTGACGTGCATCTCCGGTGCTGCTACGTCGAGGGGGACGCGGTCGCTCTGCATCTTGAACTAGACAGCCTTTTTCATAATCTTGCGTGCACAATCCATGTGCGTATGGAGGGGCTCGGGTCAATACAACACGAATAGTTACTTTCTATTGCTCCAAATTGGGATGTTGCGTGGCGATACGCGGCAAAGCTAAAAGACCAGATGGGTTCGGGTCGGTCTCGTGGACCGCCGCCTGTGCGCTTTGATCAAATGGAGATACCGGCGGCGGGCTTTCAACATTCCTGACAGCGGGGAGACGAGAGACTAGAAACGAGATGTTGAGGAGCTATGGCCTTCGGGATTCAAAAAGAGCACAAAAACTAAACGAGGAGACATTAGCCCGGGGGGAACTGTACTTCCAGCCTCCCTTAGTTCACGGACAAATAATGGCATAACCGCACGCACATGGCAAAGCAGATTGAGAAGAGTGAGAATTACATGTCAATATTAAAGGAGAAAGGAATTTAGCGTTTTATTTTGCTTTACTTGCCATGAGAAGAAGCAAAGGAATTTTCTGCCTCCTAAGAGCTACAAACGCAAAAACCATGTTTGGCACTGCAGGGTAATTAGGCGAACGCTTAGCTCATCTGGCTCGGAAGTGTACGACGAAACTAATTTCCAGTTGATTCTCACCTGCTTGGTTCGCGATAAATGTGCACTTGGCTTCTCGACAGAGTCATCCAGTTGTGATTTTTGGCGCGTAGCGGCAATTGCTAACAAAAGTAGCTAGTCTAGCCTCGTGAGTCAGGCTGTGGTTGATGGTCTATGCTACTCCCCGGACAGCATCATAAATACAGAGCGTGACGCAGAAAATAGAGCGGCAAGAGCCTCTGCTATCAATCAGTGTAGAAAGAAGATAGGAGGACAGAAAAGAAGCCACAAATATGCCGGGCCAACTCGTCTGGATCAACGGCCTACCCGGCGTCGGCAAGCTCACCATCGCCCGCGCCCTGCGAGACCTCATCTCCGACGCCCAGCTCGTCGACAACCACTCCCTCATCGACCAGGTGCGGCTGCCGCGCGACCATGCCGACTACAACGCCGAGCGGGCACGCATCCGCGACGCCGCCTACGCCTCCTTCGTGCACCCCTCCGACGACGCGAAGCTGGCGCGCGTCGTCATCTTTACCGGTACGTTAAAGGAAGGATACTTTGCATGGAGGGCTCGACGCTGACAATCTCGCCGTGACAAGACTTCTTCACCGCGGGCACCATCGGCACCGAGTGGTCGCAGGCGCACCGGACGGCGGCCGCGCGCGCAGGCCGCCCGTTCCTGCCCGTGTACTTGACGTGTGCGCGCGAGGAGAACCTGCGGCGCGTAGCGCGGCCGGAGCGCGGCGCGGCGGGCTGCGGCAAGCTCACAGATGTGGCGCTGGTGAGCAAGTTCATGGACGACTCAACAATTTACCGGTTTCCGGGGCTCGGGGTAGACGTGGACACGACGACGCGGACACCAGCGGAGTCGGCGCAACTCATTCTAGAAGCGATGAAGTCGCAGCTGGCAGAAGGGCAATTTCAAGAGCGGGAGGATCCATGTGCATGGCGAGCGGTCACGAGTTCACGAATAAAATGATTGGTAAAAAGCGCTCTAGATTCATCTAAATTGGTACTATCTTTTAAAATTATACACTCTTCGTATCTTCCCCAGCTCCAAGTAATCGCAGTCACACGCTTACAGGAACTTGCTCTTCTCAACAGTGTAGAGGTCAACGTACTCGTCGACGGTCATGGTCTCGAGCTTCTTGGCATTCTGGCTCAGCTCAACAAGCTCGTTGACGCGAGCCTCGGGAAGGTGAGGGGTGAGGTGGCGCTTGTACTTGGCGAGGATGACGGGCTTGGCCTCGTCACGGCGGAGACGGTGGCCCAGAGGAGCCTCGACAGCGACCTCGTCCAGGACGGTGCCGTCGTTGAGCTCGACGGTGAGGGCGTTGGAGATGGTGCGGAGCTCAGGGTTGTGGTAGTCCTGGGTGTACTGGGTGTCCTCGACGCACTTGATCTTCTTGCGGAGGGACTCGACGAGCTCCGAGGTGGCGGCCTCGCCGCCGTCGGTGTAGTCGGTAGCCTCGAGGCGGCCAAAGACGAGCATGACGGAGCACATGTACTGGATGCAGTGGTCGCGGTCGGCAAAGTTGTCCATGGGCTTGAACTGCTTGTCGATGATGCGGATGCAGGCCTCGTGGGTGCGGCAGGTGATGGCCTTGATGTCGGCGGCCGACTTACCCATGGCCTTGAGCTGGTGGTAGATCTTCTCAGAGGCCTCAACGGCGGTCTGGGAGTGGAACTCGGCTAGGAACTTGTTAGTCGATGGTTGTGGAGGTCCCGGGGTCGGTTGCAAGACATACCAGGGTACGAGACCTTGAAGAGGACATTCTCCATGACGTAGCTGCCGTAGGGGCGCTGGAACTCGAACTTCTTGCCCTTGAAGAGGACGTCGTAGAAGCCCCAGACGGGAGCGGAGAGAACAGTGGGAACACCAGCCTCACCCTTCATGACCTTCAGGGCCAGGTTGACGGCGCGCTGGCAGGCATCACCGGCAGCCCAGGACTTGCGGGACATGGTGTTGGGGGTGTGGCGGTAGGTACGGAGCGACTGGCCATCGACCCAAGCCTGAGTGACGGCGTCGGCAATCTGCTTCTCGTTGAGGCCGAGCATCTTGGAGACAACGGCGGTGGAGGCAACCTTGACCAGGACAACGTGGTCGAGGCCGACCTTGTTGTAGGAGTTGAGGAGGGCGAGGCAGCCCTGGATCTCGTGGGCCTTGATCATGGCCTCAAGGACATCCTTGATGGTGAAGATCTTGCCCCCGGCAAGGCTGCCACCGGCCTTGTTGGTGCGGTTGACCCAGTCAGCGACAGCGAGGATGGCACCCAGGTTGTCAGAGGGGTGACCCCACTCGGCGGCCAGCCAGCAGTCGTTGAAGTCGAGCCAGCGGATCATGGCACCAATGTTGAAGGCGCCGTTAACAGGATCGAGGACAAAGGGAGTGCCGGGGACCTTGGTGCCGTTGGGAACGACGGTGCCGGGGACAATGGGGCCGAGGAGCTTGGTGCACTCCTTGAAGCGGAGGCCCTCAAGACCGCAGCCGAGGGTGTCGAGGAGGATCCATCGCGCAGTGTCGAACTGAGACGGATTGTCAGTATTGGGATTGGAAAGGGTTTGAAGTTACAAAAAGAATATTGAAGCTTCTCGTGAGTTGACTACCCCGCGGTGAGAGGATCACAGGTTGGGGGGCATGGTGGGGTAGGAAGATTGTTTCCGACGGGACAGCAATGTACTTACAGCAAGCTCAGAGTCAATGGGCTTGTTGGCGACAAAGTCGGCAATGTCCTTGATTTCGGGATCGTATTCTCTGGCACCGGAAGTCATGTTGGGAGCACCGGAGAGTCTGGCAGCAGTAGTGGAAAAGGTGTTGCGGGAGGCAGGAAGCGAGCCGGTGATGCGAAGGGCGCCGACGGAGGCCGAGCGGATGGCAGCGGCGCAGGGCAGGACACGAGTAGGCTGGAGACGCAGCTGCTTGGAGGCGGAACGCAGGCTACGGTTGACAGCGGACATGATGCTGTCAATCAATTGAGATGGGCAGGATGAGTCGAAGAGGTAGAGCGGAGATCTGGGGTTGGGAGATGAAGAAGATGATGAAGAGAGTTTAAGAAGGTAGGGAGAAAAAAAGTATTGGACGGTCAGACAGTTGTTCAAGTTGAGCCGAAGTCTTGGTGAGGTTCGGCTTGGTGCTTTTGCCGCGGAATGCCGATCGGCCGGGGAAACAGCTTTGGCAGGGGGGTTGTTCCAGTTGTTGGGCGTTGCCAGGGGAGCTTGGGGAAACTTTACACCGCAGTATGTCACTCAACAGAGCGCCTCTAGGCCCTGAAAGCTACCTGTAACTTCGAGTGTAAATCTGGCGCTGGGACAAGATTCCGGCTATTTGCTTCGAGGTACCTCCTGTATGTATGCACGTACATAGTTAAGTGTGTAGCCTGGTACAATATACCCGCACAATCTTTCCGCCGGCTACAACTCTCGTCTCCCAGTGCGGCCCGTGGCGGACATGGCAAACAAAATGCCTCCGGGCTTGATCTGGGTGCGTCGAGATTTCAATTGCAGATTTATATGGATGGAATCTGTGAAAGAAAATCCCAATCAATCATGGAAATTGGATGCAGCTTGCAGCACCGCATGAGCTGTTTCCATGTGATTCTTGCTGAACCGGCATCCAGTGTTGGCCCGTACGATGCTCCGGTCGCTCGGCCAGAATAGGAACAAAATTAACTCTAGCTGCTCCAAGGTCGGGTTTGGCGCCTCAGGCACCTATTAACCACACGCCAATGCAAACTCTCGAGGGTAGCTCCAGACACTGTCCCTTTTTTTTCACAATGATAATAGCTGTATTCCTCCTGCCGAAATAGTCACGGTTCGAAGTTGCCAACAAGCTAAGTACCTGGTGGCTGTAGCTAAACCTCCCTCACCATGCCACCTGCCAACATCTGTGTGTAGCGCTCGCAGCTGTAGCTATCCCCCGACACACAGTCTCTTGATGATCATCACGCAGCCATTGGACTCGGCCACCCAATGTCAGAATCGCCACAGTTTCATCCAATACGGGGAGATTGTTATCCTATTAGCTAGCCACCCCCATCTCTTGTTTTTGGCCCTCTCCTTTGCCTAGTTACCTGTCTATCTCTTGGCTGTGGTGTGGCTGATGCATACGAAATTTTCTCCCTAGCCTTCTATCCTTGCCACACACACATGTACCCCACTCAGAGAGACCTGCAAGGCCATTGCAAACGAGTATCACCCGCTTTCAGTGGCAGTGGAAGAGGGGAAAAAGAAAAAAAAAAAGACCCCGGTCACTCACGTCGCGTAGCAACCCAACCAGCCCCTCGCGATTGGCATCTTGGGATCGATGTACATAATCGGCAAGCGTCGTCTGGTTAGGCCACATGTTGCGACTTCTGTCGAGTTACGCATGGGGCCAGCCTGGCTGCCCTCTGTAGGAACCTGAATACAACGTAATGATGGCCTGTGCAGCGTGTGAAAAATTTCTGCGCCACAGCAAAGATATCGGTAGTGAGGGGCATGGAGGGGTAGGCAGATAGCAGCTTGACAGCACCAGATTCTACGAAGTGCAACCAAGTGTACTTGGAATACAGAAAATTGATCACGAAGGCACACCGGTTGACTCAATCTGTCATCATGTCACCCACTTCCGTTGATGCCTTGATGCCCTGCGATGGGGACCAAACCTCCGGTGGTGCCCATTCAACTGCTGCGCCAGCTGGCGCCGCGCCCGTTGATTGGTGAATACATTCATGAATAAGTGGAAATGCGGCGATTGAGTGAATGAAAAGTCAGAAGCAGAATTTTTGTGCCGCACCTTATTATCTGCGCCAAAGAGAAAAAAAAATACAGACCTCTTGTTAGGGCTAGTGGGCCGCCTCTTGCTCGCTGGTTGCCCCGCGCCAGCGTGCACCAGCCAGGTTTTTTCTCTCCCACTCCACCCCTCCCCCGCCAGACCTTTTAAAACTCCTCCTCCCACCACCAGCTTTAGAATTTTTCTTCTCTTCTGCTCTTTGTCTCGCATACCCGGTTCAAGCATCCGATCTGCGAATTCACGTATGTCTTCCCTCGTCTGCGCCTTCATGCCCTTGATGGCTTCGATAATGGCTTTGTGGTTCCTCAACGCCGTGCGCTGTTTGCTAACATTCCTCGCAAGATTTCCGAAAGGACATCACAAAAGAACCTCTCGCATTCAAACACAAATACCTTCAAAATGGGGTACGTTTTATAGCTTCATCACATATCAGACTCACAGAATGCTAACAAACCTCGCAGCAAGGGAGACAAGACTCACATCAACGTCGTCGTTATCGGGTTCGTTACCAACGCTTCAAGACTTCGATGCCAGCGAACGATATAAACTGACTTTTCAAAAGCCACGTCGATTCCGGCAAGTCCACCACCGTAAGTCGACGCCCAAAACGGTCGAGACGCATCTAGCTCTCGAATCAAGCAGTTCGCCCACTGCTCGCAAAGTTCAAAGAGCTAACTCGTGTTACAGACTGGTCACTTGATCTACCAGTGCGGTGGTATCGACAAGCGTACCATCGACAAGTTCGAGAAGGTAAGCATCTCATTGATTTTTTCCTCTACGTAGCCCCGATTATTTGCTCTGCAAGATTCTTTTGCTCTACAGCGATCGTCCCATTACCATACCCAGTGGTGATTACCCCTCCTTGCTGGTGCGGCAAAATTTTCTGAGTTGCCCCTCTGGTGGGGCTTCTCAGAAATACCCCGCTGTCTGTCGCAAGCTGCCCCTAATTCCTCTGCTTATCAACTGCAAAACGCTTCGCTAGCGCCAGTTCTGGCAACAGTCTGCTAACCATCGCGCTTTGTAGGAAGCCGCTGAACTCGGCAAGGGTTCCTTCAAGTATGCCTGGGTCCTTGACAAGCTCAAGGCCGAGCGTGAGCGTGGTATCACCATCGATATCGCCCTCTGGAAGTTCGAGACCCCCAAGTTCCAGGTCACTGTCATTGATGCTCCCGGTCACCGTGATTTCATCAAGAACATGATTACTGGTACTTCCCAGGCCGATTGCGCTATTCTCATCATTGCTGCCGGTACTGGTGAGTTCGAGGCTGGTATCTCCAAGGATGGCCAGACTCGTGAGCACGCTCTGCTCGCCTTCACCCTCGGTGTCAAGCAGCTTATCGTTGCCATCAACAAGATGGACACCACCCAGTGGTCTGAGGCCCGTTTCCAGGAAATTATCAAGGAGACCTCCAACTTCATCAAGAAGGTCGGCTACAACCCCAAGACTGTTGCCTTCGTCCCCATCTCCGGTTTCCACGGCGACAACATGCTTGCTCCCTCCACCAACTGCCCCTGGTACAAGGGCTGGGAGAAGGAGACCAAGTCTGGCAAGTACACCGGCAAGACCCTCCTTGAGGCCATCGACTCCATCGAGCCTCCCACCCGTCCCACCGACAAGCCCCTCCGCCTTCCCCTCCAGGATGTCTACAAGATCGGTGGTATCGGAACGGTGCCCGTCGGTCGTGTCGAGACTGGTGTCATCAAGCCCGGCATGGTCGTTACCTTCGCTCCTTCCAACGTCACCACTGAAGTCAAGTCCGTTGAGATGCACCACGAGCAGCTTCCTGAGGGTGTTCCCGGTGACAACGTCGGCTTCAACGTGAAGAACGTCTCCGTCAAGGAGATCCGTCGTGGTAACGTTGCTGGTGACTCCAAGAACGACCCTCCCTCCGGCGCCGCTTCCTTCAACGCCCAGGTCATTGTCATCAACCACCCTGGCCAGATCGGTAACGGTTACGCTCCCGTTCTTGACTGCCACACTGCCCACATTGCTTGCAAGTTCTCCGAGCTCCTCGAGAAGATCGACCGCCGTACCGGTAAGTCGGTTGAGAACAACCCCAAGTTCATCAAGTCTGGTGACTCCGCCATCGTCAAGATGGTTCCCTCCAAGCCCATGTGCGTTGAGGCTTTCACCGACTACCCCCCTCTCGGCCGTTTCGCCGTCCGTGACATGCGTCAGACCGTCGCTGTCGGTGTCATCAAGGCTGTCGAGAAGGCTGCCGCTGGTGCCGCCAAGGTCACCAAGTCTGCTGCCAAGGCTGGTGCCAAGAAATAAGCGACTGAACGTTGCTTGTGTCTGGTCGGCCGGGTCCTGTGGTCCTGGTTTCATGAGCGCACTTCTATGACTGAGATGAAAACTTTTTGCTATTCATGAGCGCTTGGCTTATAAGGCCGGGGCACAATCGTGAGAGGCTGCGATTAGGGATTTTCTTTTGTCATGGTTTTCTCATAATGTGTTATGTGATGAAAATGGAAGATAAATAGCAAGTCAAGAAGTGATTCGGAAATTCTATATTTGCTCCCTACTCTGTGATATGTAGAAATGCGACGCAAACATGCGTGCAAATTCAATCGTACTGGTGCATAGCCTTGCCACCACAAGCATGTATACCCTACCGTCCTTCACCATGACAATTGTGAGTGACGCTATTCAAAGATGAACTGTAGTTTTGTTACTGCAGGTAATACACACGGTCGTATTGCCCTTTATCCTGAACGCCACCCTTCCGTCCTGGCATGTGCCCTGGAGTGATGTTGATAATCTAATACACAAAAAGAGTGGTAGTTACAAATGCTTCCTTCCTCTTACAGTTTCGTTTCCGACATTGCTTCTGCTGGCGCGAACGACTCGCCAGACTTGGGCTCCTGCATCGCAGCTGGCATCACAGGCTCAGGCTCGCCCGTCGTTGCTTCTACCGTTGGAGGCATCTGCTGCGAGTGCGCCGTCGCCTTGGTCTGCGGAGAGGAACTCGACACTCCCGCGCTGGACTCTGTGACATTTATATGACCATCGCCGTCCTGTGCGGGCACGCCCGCATCAGCCACACCCTCTTCCGCTCTGACCTCTGCCCCATCTTCTTGTGGCGGCTGGGCCCCCTCCTCCTCCTCCGCCGCCGGCTCCGCAGGGCGGCGCTCGTCATCCAGCGCGCCGTCATCGAGCAGGTCCATCGTGAACGTCTCGCTCGAGCGGCGCTGCATCAGCGCCGCGCCGTCGTTCCACGAGAAGACGTGCCCGGCGGCCACGTCCTCCACCAGCTGCAAGAAGCCGTCGTCGGCAGCGGCGTTCGCTGCGTCCGGTGCCGCCCGGTGCAGAGAGAGCTCCTGGCGCTGCCCGCCGTGCTGGCCGGCCTCGACGCTCTCGTAGCGGACAGTGTGGCGACCGAGGCGCGTCTCGACGGCCTGGCGCACCTCAAGCCCCACGAAGAGATACGACGCGTCGGTGGTGCCCGCGTCGGTGGGCACGGTGAGGGCGCTGACGCGGCTGGGCGTGCGCAGGCGGCCCTCGAGGAGGTTGAACTCGGAGGCGTCCAGGAAGCGCCGCATCGCAGGCTGGTCGGCGCCGAGGGTGACGAGCCGCTGCTGCGTCAGCCGCACGTCGACGGCCTCGCCGGGAAGTAGGAGGTCTTGTATGCGATGCGCGGTTACAGCCTGCAGCGTGGAGCTGCGCGACGGCGCCTCGAAGCGGGATAGATCGGTCGTCTCGTCGACGGGCAGAGTAAGCCGCACGCGAGGGAGTGTGTCCCCGGCGGACGTGCCGCTGTCTCGCCGCGTCGTATCAGGAGCAAAGTGCAGGACGATGGCGGTTGACTGCGTGACAGCCTCGTCAATGGCGGAGAGCGTGGTGAGTGCGGCGGGGTGTGGGATCACCGGCGATAGAATCCGGCGGCCATTGTCGGCGCTCTTCTTGTCAGCGACCTTCTTTCCGGAGCTCTTGACCGTGGCCTTGGGGTGCAGCACGTGGCCAAACGTTGCAAATGTCACGTCCAATACGTTGTCTGCGCCTAATTCATGTAGTGATGGCAGATCGGCAAGCTCTACCCGCGTCGCAAGCTGCAGCGGCGGCAGAGTGGTCTCCTCTGCCTTGGTAACGGCGGCGCCATAGCGTGTCCATGACCTGAGCTTGTCACGCCATGACCTGCTCCGTTCCTCGCGGTGGTAGTCCATGTACAAGCCACCCTTTGGTTTCTTGCCTCGTCCTGCGCGCGTTACCATCTTTGAGGAAAGGGTAGCGTTGGCTTCGGGGACCCATTGAGCTGCCATTAAGAGACGCCAGACGATATCTGCTGGCCCTTCAGCTGCGATGGTTGTGTTGACGTTCGCAGTTGTCGGGCTCGGTCTCTCATCGTCGGCAACCCAGTGAACCGTCAGTTCCTGTGGTGTATTAGTATAGAATTGGGACACGACCTTCCTTTAGGTATCTCCTTACCTTTCCACTGCTGCTCGTTTCTATGATGGTATTTGTAATGCTTGCTAGGGCATCGAGTATGGGCTGCGTCAAATTCTCCTTGTTGATATATTCTGTTGACAGTTGAGTAGAAGTCACTGCCTTTGCGACCTCGTTTAAGCGTTCTATTATAGGAGGAATCGCTGCCTTCGCAGCGTATATACCGAGTCGTGACTCTTCGGACTTGGCAGCGAGTCTCTCGTTGTTCCCGGGGTTGAGCATTTCACGTTGAATCGCTTCGAGCACAGGTCGTCCATGTCCTACAACAAAGGGTTAGCCGCCACACACTGCCATTGACTCGGATGCCTTACCTGTGAGCAGTTTAAATGTCACTGGATGCACCCATAGTAGCGCACGCCCGAGAGATTCAACTTGCTCTCGAACTTCGAGCTTCCAAATTTTGTCAATGATAGTCGCCGCGCAGACATATTTTGGCTTTTTGCTTTCCAATTCAATCTGATAACCTGCCTGCCAAGGGGTCTGCTTCTGAATCCACGGGTACAATTGCGACGTCTCTGTCGCTTGCGATTCGAGCTCTTGGGCATGCTTCATTGTGATGTAACTGCTGAGCTGTCCTTGGGTAAATCCATCGACGAGCGTTGCTACTAATCTGTGATATTCGTGGGCGGGCATGGTGTTGGTCTCAATCGGTCGCATTTCGTCGATGTTGTCCCATGCTTCAAGCACCGGGTCTTGCTCATCGTCCGTCTTCGCGACGTAGTCAGTCCACTTCAGCTCAACCACGGGTGCAGCGTCTTGCACTTCAGGTTCAAGGACTGGAATTTGCTTCCTGGAACGTTGCATTCGGTTCGGATCCTTGAGAATCAGGGCTTCGACAGGGCGGCCGAGCGCCGAAACGCCGAGATGTTGGTGAGTGAGGAGTTCGTGGTTGAATGGGCGCCTTTTAAAACGCAATTCGCTCGGGAAAGTTTCGAACATGATGTCATCCTCAGAAGCCAGAGCATCATAGTCGCCATGGGCCACGCTGTCTTTCTGCGCCTCCATGTCTGCCGCAGCAGCTTCTTCAGTCGACAGGCCCCGTTCATCAAAAGAAGCACCGTCTGATACCAGTGCCCCCGCTAGCTCCGCATCTGTCGGTTCGTATTTTTCAATATCGGGCATTTCGGCATTTTCTGTGGTGCTTGATTTGCTGCCATCGGCTTCAACTGTGTCGCGCGATTCGCCTCGCGATCCGTCTCGATGTTCTGAACGGGTAGTGGCTGGCGCGTGCGCCTCGCTGGCGGATTTTATAGATGACTCGTGAGAAAGGTGATTCGATGAAGGTCGTCGTATCAATTTATTCATCTGTTCAGGCGAATATAGCTTGTTGGATGCCACATTGTCCCGTCTGGCCAGCAGAGCGGTAGCACTCAAAGCTCTGGCGCCACCGCGGCGGCATTGCGATAGTACCAGTGGTCGCGCAGCTGCAATGCGCCGCAGCTGGAGCGATCGAGGCAGCATCTGACCAATATTATCTGCGGCGCGAGCACATTTGTAAAGCTGGTGCAGTCGGCGTGCAGCAGTGTTAAAGTTTAAGTACAGGGGCAGCAGATAAATTTGGCACCGATAACGATAAGCATTCCCTGATCGTCCAGCGTTGTCATTACAGCGCACACAGTGGTGGTCATCTTGTCCATAGCCTAGCAGAAAAATTAAATGAAAAATAGCCCTTTCGATTTCGTATGGCGACTCATTGAATTCCTCACGCATAACGTCCTTTTGCTCTTGAACGCTCGACTGCTAAGTCATAGTGCTTCGGTTGAAGATCCAGCGCACCGTCAACCCACTCTAGCCAAACGCGCCTGTTCGCGCTGCACTGATCAACGCCCTCCAAACTGCCTTCTTGCACAACGGAACGATCTCCAAGTCTGCATCACCTCTACAACCCCCAGAATCGCTGTGTTTTTTGTCGACTCTATCTACGATTTATATATACCATGCCTCCATCCAGGCGCCGAACCCGACCGGTATGACCCATACGCATGGCTTTATCAACAGCCACGGCTAACAAAACAGGACCATGACGAGGAACCAGACGAGGACAGCACACAGCTCCACCATGCAAATAGCAACGGCTCAGAAGAAGAACTGGAAACTGGAGATGAAGCAAGCGAACATGAAGATGCGGCCCGCTCCGCAGACGAGCAGCTGGCTAAGAAGCTGGTACGGTATGCCCTGTCCTGCGAGTATTCACGAACACCGATACGACGCGATGGAATTAAAGATAAAGGTCAGTAATCCATCCGCAGGAGACGAAACGCGTTCCAACAACCTTTGGCAGTTCTCGGAAACCAAGGCAGAGCTTTCAGAAGGATATTCGCACTGGCGCAAAAACAGTTGAGAACAATCTGGGGAATGGAACTCAGAGAGCTGCCAGTCCGCGAAAAAATGTCATTACAAGAAAAGCGCCATGCTATGAAGTCCAATGCGCAGCCCAAGACCGGCTCCGGCGCCTACATTCTCACGTCGGTCCTGCCCACCGCGTATCGCTCCGCCGCCATTATACCGCCTTCCAGAATCCCGAGCCTCGGCGACGAAGCAACATACCTAGCCTTTTACACTATGGTCGTCTCGCTGATATGGCTCAGCGCCAACGAGCTGAGCGACCCGAAACTGAAACGCCATCTCCAGCGACTCAACGCCGACAAGAACGTTGCCAGCGAGAAGACAGAACTGACCCTCAAGCGCATGGAGCGCCAGGGCTACGTTGTTCGTAAGGTGGACCGGCCGCCGGTAGGACATGAAGGCGAGGAGCTGGTGACATGGCACGTTGGGCCGCGCGGAAGAGAGGAAATTGGTATTGATGGCGTGATGGGCTTCGTGCGAGAAGTGTACGGAGACTCGGGCGACGATCTGGAGAAAAAGCTGCGATCTAGCTTGGGAATAAAGCAGGTGCAAGAAGCGGGGGACGAAGATGCTGATGGAGATAGCGTTATGTAATATTTCATAAAAAAATAACAACAAGAAATGTAATGCAACTGCCTATGATGCAATTGATGCTGCTCGCACCCACGCGCTGAGCAGCCACCGTCAACATGTCATAAAGTTGTCACCCAGTAATATATTCCCCAAACGCCGTGTAGCTTTTTCTTTAAAACGCCTTAATATACCCAGTCGCTATACATAATCTATCTCCTGTTTATTCGCGAGTCCCTAGATATCGCAATTCATTCTTCGCGCGCTGGTGGGGGGCCGGCAGGTTGAAGCATCTTCTGCACAGGATTAGCGTATCATATTCACAATGGACAAAGGTACACAATTAGTACATACCCGAATCATCTTGGCCCTCGTCTTCGTTAGCGGCTCGTTTTCGGCCAGCGCAATGTACGACAGCAGCGGTCGGTGCCCGGCGATGGAGGCGTATGTATCGCGGTGGATGTTTGTGCGCCACTCCCAGCTCGTCGTGTCGGCGTGGCCGGTACCGATGAATTTGGCCTGAAGGCGTTCGAGCTCTTGTTGCGTACGAAGCTTGTCCGCCTGGTACGTACCATGTTAGCAGCAGCGCAACTGAAGGAACAGCTTGTATGAACTAACCATGGCGAAGGTGTTTGGGATGTGATATTTTCGAGAACTGACAAAGGCGTAAAGATGAGAGGCGAAGAACGTCTAATAGATCTCTGGGCCTGTAGAAAGCAGTGGATGTATGATGGTTTGCAAAGCTGTTTCCTGTCAAATCGATGGCGGTTGGCGTAGAGAGCTGCGATAGTGGGTCCAGACGCCCTCGGCTGATATTCGGACGTCGCGTCGCAATTTGGTTCGAAGTTGTTCACCAACAACGCTCTCTCTGTACAACGACGCGCAAGTATTGACTTAGAAGCCAGCTTCTATCATGAAAGATTCGGCAGAGCAATTTTCATCATCTTCAGCTTATATCATTTGCTTGTAGCTGGTTGCCAAGCTAGCGGCCGCGCCTGAGCACTACATCAATAACCACGTCATCTCACCACGCCCCGAAATCAACCAGAACAACCGGCTCAACTCAACATCAGCGGGACCAATTGATCATGGCTAGTCAAGTGCTGCCAGAACACTGGTCCGAGCTGAACGCAGCTCGCAGCCAACGGAAATTCTGCGTGGCAGATGTGGACAAGCTCAAGAGCTCATGCGCCCGAGACTGCGGCAAAAAACATGTGACTGAGTGTAAGGCCTGCTATGGTAGAGTTCTCGACCGCATGAGAAAAAGATACAGTGAAAGCAAGGAGAAGGAATGGTTTTCTCAACGACGGGCGTTTCTACAAGAGCTCGATGATCTCTTCGCGGACGCCAAAGACAACAACGGGAGCCTCCAGGCCATCGAGGCGCACATTGAATCCGAGAAAGAGGCTTGGTACCGCTGGGTTCTGAGGCGTCATCCTGACTTCCTTGAAGTTGCCGAACATGATGCGCCAATCGAAGAAATGAGGGGAATGCTCGGCGACCCGGACCGCAGCCGCGAGGAGCTCGTCGCCATGATGTGGCAAGGTGTTGGCATGCCAGATGATTGGTCAGAAAAGGTTGAAGAATTTGTCGAAAAGGTGCTAGCGCTTAAAGATAAGCCCGAGGAGCTCAAAAAGCTATATATCGCGGAAATTTTCAAGAGCCCGGACGGCGAAAGAGTTCTCGAGCACGCTCAGCCATATTTGGATGAATATCAAGCCTCTGACAGCTTGACACTAGAGCAAGTAATTGGCCACATTGTTGAAGATCATCACCGCAGCAGGAGCTCGCAACCCCAGAGAGATACGCATGCCAGTCGTCTGAACGAACTGCGCAGAGCAAAGACGGCCTTTGAGCGGAAGAGGAAGGAGTCTAAGGCGCTTCTCCGCGAAGCTCAGGCTAAGTCGGTTCTCTACGACCTACCACCGTGCGCAGCATGTCAACGCGCAGTTTCATCAGAAGATATTTTCTCCTGCTCTCTTTGCCAGGCTATCGTGCAAATGGGCGGCGGTGGCCAACTTACAGTCTACTGTTCAGAAAATTGTCTTGAAAAAGGACAGGTAAGTGCCGTCAAGTTTCTCTTCCTATGGGGTCGAGCCTAACAACATTGCAGCAAGAACACGTGGGGAAACAGCACGACTGCAACGCTGGCGAGAAGTGTATCCAGCTCACAGACGAGGACACGGAGATGACCGACGACACGACACAAGCCATGCTGTGCAAGCAGTGCATTGAAGGCAATCGTGCTACGGTATACTGCTCGCAACGATGCGCCTCCGAAAGGCTCGCCGCACATATGCAGGAAGTGCACGGCAATGCTACAGTGGCGGGCGCTACATCAGCTGCCGTAGCCATATCGGAGATCGTTGAGCTAACCTTGGCAAGGGAAAATCCCACGCTTAAGATTGAGCGAGTTCAATGATGGAGCCCATACAGAAAGGAGAAGAACATGTATCAACAGCGTGCAGAAATATACCCAAATGAATATCAACTACCACACATTTCTATTGGCAGCTTCACGATACGATCAACTCTTCGCTACGCTAGAGCTTCAGCCTGGCCACCTGCTCCCATTTCTCATCCGACGCAGCCAAGTTCTTGGCTGCCATCTTCCCAATCTCTACCGCGTCCTCCCCCAAGAGCATCCTCAGCGGCGGCTCCGGCACGCTAGCCACGTGTAGCACGCTCCTGACAATGTCTGCTGGTTCCGTCCAGCTCGCGCTCAGCGCCGGGCGCTCAACTCAACCTGCGCCTGCACCGTCGCGCGGTACGGCTCGCTGAACGGCGCCACGCCCATGCCCGCGAGCCAGTCCGTCTTATGCCGCCCGGCTCCAGCACCGTGACGTGCACGCCCAGCGGCGCCACCTCCGCAGCCAGCACCGTCGAGAAGCCGCCTACCGCCCACTTGCTGCTCTGGTACGCCGCGAGGCCCGGCGACCTGACGCGCCCGCCCACGGACGAGACCTGGATGATGCGCCCGCCGCCATCCTGCGTGCGCAGCGTCGGCAGCGCGGCCTTGGTGACGTGGACGACGCCGAAGAAGTTGGCCTCGACCTGTGCGCGGAAGGACGCGAGCGACGTGTCCTCGACGGCGGCGGCGGCGGCGGCGTATCCGGCGTTGTTGACGAGCACGTCGAGCCGGCCAAAGGTGGCGGTGCAGGCGGTGACGGCGGCCGCGGCGGAAGACGGGTCGGTGACGTCGAGGCGGGTGGCGAGGACTCGGGAGGGCCCGTAGCGGGTGACGAGGTCGTGGAGCGAGGACGGGTCGCGCGCGGTGGCGACGAGGAGATCGCCTAACTCAAGGACGGCCTCGGCGAGGGCGCGGCCGAGACCGCGCGAGCAGCCGGTGATTAGCCAGACTTTTGCCATCTTGAGATGCTGCAAGAAAGATGATGTGATGGGTATGGATGCTAGAAAAGGCACGCTTGTGTTCGGATATAGACAGCTGGCTATAGTCGTCAGCTCGTCAGTCTTTAGAGATATTATACGTGGCTTGATTATCGCCAACTGCAGCGGAGATTAGCGGATGATAAATCATGATCTACATTGTATTTTTAAATCCGAACCACCATTGTGGCTGACAGCATCGCTCCCGTTGCATGTCAGACGACGATGATCTTGCGGTGCTCATCAGCCGCTGTCGATACCGGACTTAAGCATGGCTCCAGTACACCTCACCCCAGCGCGGACACGTCGCATCTCCAACACACATAAAAAAAGAGTAGGGGTAACATAGATAGCAATTCAGCGCCCCTGTTGAGAATGATTGATCTGAAGCCCTGTAGACTTACCGATTCCGCACCGGGCGTCCCTCGTGTGCTGGGATGTTGATCGGCATGAAGGACATCAGTCCGGACAGTCCGGCGCGTCGGCTCTGCGGCATCTCCATTGCGGCCTCAAGCAGCACCTTTTCTGAGCTGAATCCGCGGTGGCTTGCCGGGCTGCGATACCATGGGCAGCCGCGCGACCCGTCTCAGAGCAGAGGCAAGGAAACATGGCGAGGACGCCGGTGCATGGCGGCTTCGAGGGCCGAGCCGCAGGGGTTAGAGTCGAACCGCCCCGGCAGGTCCGCCAGCAAGCGGCTCATGCTCAAGGGGTCCGGCCGCGGGTCGGTGAAGTTGAAGCCGTTGATAGAAAAGAGTCGGCAGCACTGCCGTCAGGAGACTTTTGACTTTGCATTACCTTGCCTGGGAAACAACCCGCACTGCAACAAGGGCATTGCGGTATAACGTTGACGTGTATTGTATTCTGGTGCTGAATCAAAGAGGTGTTGCATGCTGCTTTCTCCCTTATTTTGCAGGGAATTTGCACATGCTCCGTCCCAACCCTTTTTGTTACGCTTACAATTCCCCGACAGGTAAAATGTCGACTTCACAGGGCAAGGCCTGAACTTTCATATCGCAACTCCTCTTTCAACAGCCCGTTTCAAATTATTTTGCGTCTATCGCGCTTCTGGGTAAAATATTTACCTATATAGTCCCCGATATGTAGTCAAAAGGTCAGACAGGGAGGTTTTGGATCGGTTCTGACACGACCTGCCTCCTCAAGCCCAGTCCGCTCGCTGCTCATTGCCATTACAACATCATCGTCCCGCTGTGGCGGCAGGATGGATGGATACAGTAATTCCAACCGTTTCAAGCATATATTTTAGCGTGTTCAAGAGCGCATGACCGGTCAAACACCCTTTCAGTACTCAAGCTTGCGGCTGATGACCACCTTCAGCTTGTCGAACCACGGACCCTCGCTTCGCTCGCCATGTTACCTGGCCATGCATATCATCTTATCCGCTCGCTCGGCCAGCATCCGCTCGGCGAGTCCATGCGAGCCAATAATCTTGTCCTGCGGCGTAAAACTTTCCAAAGCGGCCCCCGTTATTGGCGGATTACCAGTCCTTTGTGTCCCAGTGCCCAAAACCAAAACCCACTGGCCCCCCCCTCTTCCCTCGCAGCATTTCATGCATCCCTTTCACCTTGTGGTCTCGTTTCTTGGGCTGGGCCTTCCATAAACAGTTAGGGCGCCGTGTAGGGCGGAGGGCAGAAATATTATCAGTTGTGGGCCGTTGATGGGTTCTCGTTTTTATCAATCTAGCGTAGAAGGAGGATCTACAGAAAACAAGTACCGCAGCTGAGATTGGTCCGAGGGCCGGGCTCAACTCGTCTCGCGCCCTTACCGCCAGCCCACTCACCACTCAAAGAGAACCGAAACAAGGTTAGAAGCTTAATGATGGAGTTATCAAGGTTCAACGGGGCTGTTGCAACGGTGCCCGCGACTCGACTCTGTGGGGGGTTGGTTGCAGACTTTTTCGTTGCCGTGTAGTAGGTAGTTGGGGCAATGGCGGTTCATTTTCGCTGTCCTTGCCGAATGACCCCATCGTTCGTAGCGAGGGTGAGGGTTTTAAAAACCAAGTCGTATCCGTTTTGTTTCGATTCCCGAGTCCATCTTGGTTGTCACCTTGCCGCGTTGAGTCTCAGATCATCGTTGCTTTGAACGCCAAGTCTCAGATTCGCTGGAGCGACGCCGCCCTATAAGGCCAACCCCATCATTGGCTAATAAGAAGACAAGGCCAAGAAAGGATGCGTTTCCACATCCATCTGCTTCCCGTTTTCTTGGCGGTGCTGGCTCACGCAGCCAAGCCTCTTGGAGATCAAGTATGCGTCGCTACTTGCTACAATGCCCTGCTCAAGGCCAAGTTCGCGGCTGCCACCAACAAGGCCCAGATGGCCTGTACGAATCCTCTTCGCGTCAAGTCTACGTATTACTGTATCTCGGAGCACTGCGCGAGGGAAAGTGATGCGGCGACGGAAGATGGCATCGAGTGGTGGGCCGAAGCTTGCAAGAACTCTTCCAAGGTCGTCAACGTGAAGAGTTACCACGCCGCTGTTTCCAATGTCACGGAGGCCTACCTAGCTGGTCTTCCCAGAGTCGACCAAAAGGCGAAGCAAATCTTCAATGGGTCTGCTCTCCCGTCGAATGCCAACTGGAAGTACATGCACACAACCGTGTTCCTGTATGCTGACGCCAGACGCTACAACGATGCAATCCGGTAATTTGCAATACTTGCAGAAAAAGAAGAAAATTCTTCAGAATCCAGCTAACGTATTCTAGATGGTCCATGTATGGATTTTGGGGCCTTGTCATCCTAGTGGGCGTCTGTAACCGACTTTGGTCGCTCGTCTCCAGCCGCCGCCACAAGAGAGCTCCCGTCGAGCCACAGACTGGCGAGCTCAGCGCTCCCAGAAAAGCCCTCAAGTGGTGGAAGATTAATCTTCTTCAATCTCCCACCATATCGCATCATCATCATGAGCCTTGGGGCTGGTGGACGCTTCCGCTTCGCATCCACACCGTTGTCATTGCGCTGTACATTCTCCTGCACATCTTGGTTGTCGCAACTCGGTACCGTGTCGTAGACGAGAATGATTAGTGCGTAAATCATCAACTTAAGAGTCGATTCGAGCTCTGCTGACATTTTTTAGCTTCAAAAGCAGGCGAACGCAAGCCCTCCGCTGGATCGCCGACCGATTGGGCACGCTCATGGCGGCCAGCATGCCCTTTATATTCCTCTTTGGTGCCCGGTCGAGCCCTCTTCCGATCATCACGGGATGGAGCTACCGCACCTTTAGCAACTTTCATCGCTGGGTGGCCCTCGTCATGCTGGTCGAGTCCATCGCCCACGGCTGCGTCTTCTCCGCCTACTACGCCTACGAAAAGGGTTTTCCCGACTACCGCAACCGACTCCAGACGGACGTCATGTTTCGATCGGGAATATTTATGCTCACGGCCATGGGTGTCTCTGTTGCGTTTGCGCACATAAAGATCAGGCAGATGGCCTACGAGCTGTTCAAGATTGCCCACATTGCCATGGGCATCATCTTCCTAGCAAACTATTGGGAGTACGTACACCACAACAAGCCTTTTCTACTTTCTATGCGCAAAGAAATGGACATTTAGCAGAGCTAACATGCAATAGTCACATCAAGGACAAGTTTGGGGGCGACTACAGAGTCTGGACTTGGGTCTGCGTCGGCATCTGGGCGAGCGATTACTTCTTCCGACTTGTCCGCATCGTCTGGCTCAACTTCAACGCCCTCATCGGCAAGGACAACCGGGCCATTGCCAGCTACAGCGAGGACACGGGCATGATCCGGCTGCACGTCCACGCCTCCGGCACCGGGCCGCACTCGCACCAGAACCCCGGCACGTACTACTACTTGCACTTTGGCGGCTGGCGCATCTGGGAGAACCACCCGTTCAGCCTTGCCGGCTCGTCAGCGGGTGATGCAGCTCCGCAAGTCACCACCACGACGCAGGTAGAAGGAGAGAAGAGTCCCGCGACCGTGGTCAGTAGCAGCGGTCAGCAGGAGCTGCTTCTCGGCGGCCAGTCGTACAAGACGTTCATGATCCGTCCGCGCAGCGGCTTCACCAGACGCCTGCGCGACGCCATCGTCAAGCAGGACGCGGGCGGCGTCTCCCGTCTCCGCGTCGTGCTCGAGGGTCCGTACGGCACGGGAGCCGACATCTCCGGCTTCAACGAGATCCTCTTCGTCGCGGGCGGCAGCGGCATCACGGCCGTCCTGCCCTACACCCGCCACATCTTCGAGGACCGCGCCGCGGAGGACCCCCGCCCGCCCAGCGTGCGGCTGGTGTGGGTGGTGCGCCAGGAGGGCTTCGCGCGGGACGTGCTGGCCAACGACCTGCGTGCGGCGGTCGCGGAGGCGGCCGGGAAGCTGAGGGTGGACGTTTACGTGACGGCCTCGAGAGGCAGCGGCGAAGACAGCGGCAGCGAGGAGAAGACTGACCCGGAAAAGAGCGACCAGGAGAATACGATGGCTTGCGACGCGGCGGATTCCGGGTTCGCGTACGGCAGACCGGTGGTCGCCGAAGTGGTGGGCGAGTACGTCGCGGGCCTCGAGACGAACAGGGCGGCCGTGTTTGTCTGCGGCCCGGCCCGGATGGCGGATGAGGTGCGGGCGGCGGTGAGGAGGGAGGCCAGGTCGAGCACAAAGGATCTGGGACTGTTTGAGGAGATGTATGGTTGGTAGAGGTAGATGGATCTATGACTAGGGCTCGGTTGTAGGGGGCTTCTGTGGACATCAAGTCCAGCGACATCACTATGCAGGCTACATACATTCCCGTCTTCCCAAAGTCACGTTTTCAGAGTCTAATGAGATCGAAATAAACAATGTCAATTTGGATCATGATATCCGCTGCAAACTATATAAGAGGACCGCCGGCCGTTGTTGAGAGAGGGTGATTGCGCGCGCCCAAGTCAATTCGTCCCGCTTCGAACAGTCGTCTTGTAATCTCATCAGCATCAGCATCTACACAGAGTTGTTCATTTCACATGTCATCTACAAACCTTGTTTGATGGCGAGCTGGCTTATCTGTAGCAGTTGCCGTCGTTACCGCAGTACCTGGTTCCCGGGCCGCAGCAGGACCGGGGGCAGCAGCCGACCGCGTAGCGCGGGCAGCACCAGCCGTAGCGCGGGCAGTAGAGCGGGAAGCTAGGGGGGCAGGTGGCAGCGGCGTCCACCTGGTCATTGCCCATGGAACCCAGGAGCTGGTTGCCCTGGGCTTCGAGGTTGGTGTTGACGGGCTTGGCGTTGGCCTCGGCATCTCTCTCGCCGATGGCAGACGCCTGGGCGAGGAGGGGGAGGAGGGAGAGAATGGCAGCAGCTTTCATCTTGAAGGGGATCTCAGAGGGAACCGAAGAAGAGAGTGGTCGTTGCTGAGGATTGTTTGTGTGCTGAGAAAAGAAAGGGCATCTTGAAGTTGGGGAATTGGGTCCGACTTTATACACGTCCAAGGCCGGCAAGAGATACCTCCACTTCTTGCTTGGGAAACATGTGCAGTAATCAACCCTCGGGCGAAGCAGTGTTTGTGTTTTCAGCTTTAAATCAGCTCAAGTCTCAGCTTCCTGCGCCAAGATGCAGTCGAGACTGAGAACAGCATCGTCGTCGAGCTCTAGAACTGGCCGTGTCGACCGTCACATCGCGTTGATGCCGATTCCAGCAGATGATCGCTTCATGTGTTGTACTGCAGAGAAAAGGACCCCGTCCTCAGCTTCACGCTGGCTGCCTCTCACACCCTCTTCGAGCAAAGATGGCGTGAGAAAAGAGCATCAGCATTCCTTCTTCTTCGACGTTGAATACGGGGTGGTGAGAGGTGAAGTTGACCATCCATCCATCCATCCATACATCCCTTCGAGTGCGCGAAGATACCGGTGTTGTAACTCGCGGGGACCTAAACCAATTAAAGCGTGTAATAATTTAGGTACTTGATTATCTATGATGTTCCTTAGTCTGTTGATGTCCCTTGTACGTCCGCAAATACACGTATGTACATGTAAATTCAGGTTATCATCCCTGTTTTTCTGTACTGATATGTACGTCCCTCTTATTAGTGAATAGAAATACTTCGCGGAGTCTTCGCGCACTCAGAGGGATATCGGGCAGCGGCTTCGGGAGTGACAAGGTCGGCCCGTCGTCTGTTCATGTCTCGAGCTGAACGTCTCGGATCGTCGCTGCCCTATATTCTCCGATCTTGCCCAGCTCTCCAGCCACGAATGTCCACTCTTATGCAATGCAATGCCGTTTTCATGCATCACCTGAGGCCCAAGAAGGCGTTGGCCAAAGTCGTTTTGCGGCCATGCAGCGTAATCACCCTTCAGGGCGAGACCTGGTGTATGTCGTTGTGACCCGGTGGTGCATGTCCGTACTCCGTCTTCTTTTGAGCGAGGCGGCAGCATCTCGGATCGACACTGCAGACCCTTTTTCGTGACGATCCTTTCTTTCAGCATGACTTCAGCTTCCAGTTACCACGACCGCCATGGGAATCAGAACTCAGAAAAACGGCAACTAAAACAGATGTATTTCTCGAGCTGCTGCTGCAGCAGCATGTAGAAGCGAGCTGCCAAGAGAACCTGAACATCGTGCTTGGCATTGTGCCGTCCGGTGCGCCATTCTGACTGAGACAAATGTTGGTGATGAGAAGAGACCAGCCGTTGAGCACATATTTCCACAGCTGCGGCCCTACGAGGTGTAGACTGGACCCCATGTATCACTCGGTATGACCCCTGCTACAAGGATATTCTAATGGGCGCATCCGACCAGAGGTGCACGGCTATGCTGGGGGCAGTTCGTTCCCGTATCATGTCGTGCGGGTATTCGTCAACCATACAGACAAATAGATGTTCGTAGATGGCGGGCGCTCAAGCTATCGATAATGCGATCCGTCGCCGGTTCATCCTCTGCCATCAAAGAGCTATATTAATTACACAAATCAAAATGATCCACCGGGCCCAGACTCGCGTGAGGTTGGATCGGCAGAGGTGCAGCTCGAGCTAATTAACAATTAACTCTCGCCTAATGCGCAAGAGAAGACATCCGCACGCCGCCTCCATGCAGCTCCGAGACCTACCTACCTCATCACAAAACCTCAGCCTTTCCGTGCTTTCTTTGGCCGGTGTCTACCCGTAGCCGGCCAAGGAGGAGGCTATCAAAGGAATGCGAGAGCGTCTCAGCCCCATGCACGTAAGAATCGGCATGTAGGTAAGACGAATCATTTCTCGGCCAAATAGTCAGCCGCCAGAGCAGATTGGCGCAACAGTATGATGCTAGCGTTAGTAGGAGGAATAAGGCTCATCGTGTTGCTTGTGGAATCAGGCCACTCAGGTCAAGCCTTTCTCGGGATGGATGGCGTTAGGGTATCCTGTGCGAGGCCGATGTACGGAGAGGTAAACTGTGCGAACTATTAATATACTACATTCAGAGCGATCGCATGAACAGCTGAACTCGGATTCAACGAGCGATTGCGGAATCGAGAGAAGAGGCCGTAGTATAGGGTAGGATGCATTCGTTGCTCTGCCATGCCTGGGAGAGTGCCATGCCCTACTTCCCACTTGTCAAAGATGTCCGCTCTTTTCACATTCATTCACAGTAACACTTGGTCTGTCTCATTTCAATACTCTCTCTCTCTCTCTGCCTTGTTGGCCCTTGGGTCGTCGCTTAGCGGTCAAGTGACTTTTAGACGGCTATCGGTCTGGCATGCTGGGATGAGGAACCCAGCCTCCAGGTTTGCGGTTCTGTAGGCGCGCCACCATGACGGGATTTCCTCAGGGCCCCCGGTCGGCTTTTATTATTCAAAGGCAAAGGCAACCCGACAAGGACATCCTGGAATAAAATCCTTGGATGCTTGTCCTTGGCGCTCGCATCATCCGCGTTTGCTGCCCACGACAGTCGCGACATCCGGCCGGGTACCTTGTGAGTGGACAGCGTTATTAATGTCGTGACCGCTGTGGATGAGCGAGGAGCAGCGCCCACCAGTCAGTATCCGTACCTGATCCCGAGTGGACGGTGACGGTTATCCATCACCCACCCGTCCAGGGGCTACGATGCTCTTCACAATGCCCAACGCCACCTTGACCGTCCGGGGTGCGATTCTGGTGGGGGCGGGCGGAGAAGGGCCAAGTCTCTCGAGGACATGGACTGGACCGGGGATGTGACCTCTGCGAAGCAGCAGAGACTGAATGGGAGATTGCCAGCAGTTACGACGGGGACGGACCGCGCCATTGTACTGCAGCCCCCCCTGCTGGCGCGAAAATCTGGCGTTGGGCTGTGGATTGAGTCCCGGAGACTGACTCGGGCTTCCTTCGGTATATCACCCTGGGTGAAGATGGTGAGGGTTTTGTTCAATAGGGTGACGATCATTTCAAAGTCGTCCAATTGCTATGCGGTTGTTGGGATGACAGGCAGTTGTGTAAAAGTCGTGTCAGCCCATGAGGCCTTCCTTGAAAGGCTGTGATTTGCAGGTGGAGCAGTGTTGAACCCTGCGCCACTGCCAACTGTTTCTCGTACTGTCGTATGTGTGCAACTACGCGACGATGAAGAACAGCTAGGACGCCTTGTTTTACCAGTTCATGCTATCGAGGCACTCTCTGGTAACTATAGATCCATGGTCAAGTCAAGTTGGAGCATTGGGCGGGCTCGCAAATAGCCGCTACCTACCACGAAAGAGCCGGGTTACTGGTAAAGAAAGACATGACTTGGCTTGGCATACCCCGGAATTGCCAATTGGAACATTTGTTGCAGCAGGGCGCAAGGGGACGTTGATTCGGAACAGGAGATGACTGCCAAGATTACGCCAGACGGTAACACGATGAACTTTTTCGTCGCAGATTTCCAGGTACAGAAGTATCTATTCAATTGCACTCAGCAACGCAGAAGGTGTCGTGGGCGCGAATGGGGGCTCACTCAATGCTGGTTGAGCAGGCTTTGACAACTTGTATTCTTTGAACAGACCGCATGTTGCCCAGACGCTTCCTAACAGTGTCCGTATTATCGAAGGAAATGAATAATGGCACGTTCCGAGCACTCGACTAGTCCCAAAGGTTAAAATCAACGGTGCAGAAGCGAAAGAGTTGGCCCTCGGCAACTTTCCCACAGTAGCTTGCTAGCCTACTCCCTACAGAACCACAGTTTCTGCAACTAAAAGTGATGCAGGGATCGCGGGGACGGGTTAATCGAACGCATGAGAAACGATTCGAGGACTGGAGGCCACCACCAGATGCACTACATGAACGAGAACCGTTTCGGGCCATCACACACAGCTTAACAAGGAGTAAAAGCTTAACTTCTCTTAATTTTCATTGTTGACGAGAGGAAACAAAGAGACATACCAGTGCATGCAAAAACCACACATCACAAATGACGGGGGCGGGGACGGGCGGGCAAGAATCCGAGCGGGTGCCATCTTTGCCGACTGGCATGATGGCGGGAGAACTCGATGCCCCTCACAGCGACCCGAGTTTTGCTACCCAAAGCTATCTAGTGGCTCCGTTGGCTTCGGCTCTCTGTCTTTTATTTGCTTTTTCAATCTGGGGGTTGGACTTTTTTTGCCATGACTAGTTAGTTACTGGTAACAAAGCTGCTTTTGCTTTTTAGCTTGTCTGTGCTGAACCGAAAACGCAAAGGCTGTCAACACTATCCGAAACCTCGGTCGGGGACACGGTGTGCGTCTGCAGAAGCGAAAGTAGTCTGACCATACAGCCACGTTGAGTTGGAAAGGGAAATCTGGCGAGACGAGACGAAAGGGGAATGGATCGACAGCCGAGTTCGAGATTCAACGACCTCTGTACGGAGAAAAGGCGGCGAGGCCAAGGGTTAAGAATGTCTGTGCATCCTGGCCAAAGAGAGAAGGCAAGAGAGAGAGAACCCTGGCAGTTACTCAGAAAATCACAGGGAAAAACAGCTGGGATCTTCAACAAGTTGTCCCCGCTAACAGGGTGTCTTTCCCCCGTGCTAGTGACACTTTATAAGTTTAGCAGAGAGGAGCTAGACCACTGTGACTGAGACAATGTGCTCAGAATTTCCAGAGCCATATCAATTCAATGCTTTCTTCTGCCCAGCCCATCCATCATTGAGATCTGACCACGGGCGGCGGCAAGAAGCATGCAGGCGTCCCGGGAGGAGCGGACGGCCCCATCAGTCAAAAGCGACAAGTTCTCTTTCGTGCCACAAAAACAAAAAAGTTAATATATAGGATCAGCAGGGAAGACCCAGCGAGGAGGACGAACCAACGAATAACTGACCAACTAGGGGGGAGGGGGCGAGAAAACTGCCGTGTGGGTGGCGTCCTCTTGGCCCCCCTCCTCTCCCTCTTCCTCTTCCCCGGCACTTGGGCCCAAGACATTGGTGAGAAGGAACCAGCAGTAACACAGACCTCTGTTTTACTGCGGGACCTCCATCGTTTTGGCTTGAATCGAGAGAACCTACCAGTACTTAGATGTGCCGCCGCCTCCCTCCCAAGCCCTATCTAGCTAGCCGTTCGATCTCCCCATCTTCTCTTCAACAACCCCTCTGTCCTTGAACAACTATACTCACTCAAACTCCAACTCATCGCCACCTGGGAATAATGCTTACGACGAAATCCATAACGACGCTCAGCATCTGATTGCTCCCGGTCTTTGGCGCCTTATTACCCACCCTCTTGGTAATGCAGGGCCGCGACGAGACCAACAACTATAGAATAACAACAACAACAACCACCGCCACCGCCACCGCCAACCCCCGCGCGCGCCCGGGCAAGCGGAAAGGTTCATCATGGCCATGACGCCGTTCCAGCTCGAGGCGTGGGTCGAGTTCGCTATCGGCGTCGTTATTCTCTTCTCGCGTATCGCGTACCGGACCAAGCTGGTGGGACGCAACTGGGCGGGCGACGACTACTTTGCCGCCGCCGCGGTGGTGTTTCTGGCGGGCGAGACGGCGATGCTGCACGTAATAGGTGAGCGAGGAAAAACCACCCAGCTGTGGAAGACATGCACACGATGAGCTTCGGGATGGACAAGACTAACCACGGCGGACACGCGCAGGACTATGGGGATCGATAGTCGGCATGACAGACGAGAAAGCCCTGCAGCTCACGGAGCAGGAAAAGGCAACCATCGTCAAGGGCGCCAAGGCAGACATTGCGGGCTGGTGCCTCTACATTACCCTAATATGGTGCTTGAAGGCGTGCATGCTCTTCTTCTACCGCCGACTTACGTGAGTCCTGGCGCCATTCAGCGGAGAAGGAGGTGAACGTTTCTAACCTGACATCCTGTGTAGCCTCGATACCTTTCAGAAGCGCCTCGTCTTGTTCGCCGGCATCGCATGGATATGCTCCTACATCGCCACCATCGGCGTCGTCCTGCTGCGATGCCTCCCCTTCCACCGCAACTGGCAGGTCTACCCCTACCCAGGCGACGAGTGCGGCACGCCCAACCAAATCTTCCTGACCCTCGTCATCACCAACGTCTCGACCGACCTGCTCATCCTCTACATCCCCCTGCCTCTACTCTGGGTCGTCAAGATTCCCCTTGGGAAGTGAGTTATAACCCCCTTGCCCCTTCACACCCCCCTCCTCCCAGTATTCGCGCTGGACTAACAGCACAAATCCAGAAAAATCATCTACTGCCTCTGGCTCACCACCGGCGTCTTCGTCATCGTCGCCAGCCTCCTCCGCTGCGTCCTCTCCATCCGCTACGCCAACGAGGTCGACGTCTCCACCATCTGGGCCATCCGCGAGACCTTTGTCGGCATCATCTGCGTCAACGCCCCCATCCTCGGGCCCTGGCTCGTCAAGAAGGGCAGCCTCTGGGCCCGCAGCGTCTCCTCCTCCCGCCAGAGCTCCAAGAACAGCGACCGCAACGGCGGTGCCGGCCTGCCGACGATCATCACCATCGGCCAGCGCAGCATGCGCCTCGGACGGCTAAAAAAGGACGGCAAGGCGGACGGCCGCGCGGGCGCGACGACGGGCTGGACGACGATCAACGACAGCGACGAGTGTGTGGTCGTCGTCGAGCAGCACAGCGACGGCGGGCCGAGCGCAGAACCGGCCAAGGGCGGTGGGAAGAAGACGGACCAGCCGGCCGTGACCTCGATGGCGGCATCCTCGTCGACGGCGGTCAACGACATGGTATAGGACGCTCCTCCCTCCGTTGCCTCGATACGACGACTGCTTTTTTTTTTTGCCAACTTGCCCTTTTCTGCGATATATTCCCCATTTGTTTTTTAAAGGTGTTATGGTTTTCTTTTCATGTTCGGTTTTAATGAGCGACTACTCTTAGGATGGACAGCCAGCATTTGAGATTTCAGCAGCACCACAGCACACGAAAAGCATCACCCTACCTACAGACGATGCAACCGGCGAACTTTTTGTCTTTTTTTCTTTTTTTCTATTGGGACACTGCCACTATTATACCACGTTTCACGTTGTTTTCCTACTACACGAGTTTATTGATTCAAGTACTACCAGCATCGCAGATATCACACATCATCAATTCGAGAAAAGTCTCGGCAATAATCATGAAAATTCTATATATAAGTCCAGTTCACTCGTGCTATCATTAATGAAAAAGAACAACATTCATCATAAAGTACGTTTCGTCGTCATCACATCATCTCATCATCGTGCGTCCTCGTTCAGGCGAAGAGCTTGGGCGGCGGCAGCCTTCCCAAAATCTTCTCCATCGCGAGGCCGATGCTCAGCAGCCGCGCGTCGCTGCCGAGCGGCCCGTCAATCTCGATGCCCACCGGCAGCCCGCCGCGCGTCAGGCCCGCCGGGATGCTCAGCCCGGGTATGCCGGCGTCGCTTCCGGGCGAGGTAAAGCTGATGTACGTGCCGAACGTGTCCTGCGGCGGCCCGCCGTTGATGGAGACGTTGCCGGAGCCGTTGACGTAGTCGATTGGCGTGGCGGGCAGCGGCGTCGTCGGGAACAGGATGGCGGAGACGTTGGCCCGGAGGAAGTAGTCTGCGTACATGCGCTGGAGGGCCGGGCGGTGCACGGTGAGGGCATCGTTGTAGACGCCGCCGAACGCGTCGTCGGTAACCAGCTTGAACAGCTTCTGGACGTCCGGGCTGGCGACGTAGCGGGCAATGTCGGAAATGGTGACGTTGGTGATGTTCGACGCCTTGAGGTAGGCAGGGATGTCCATGCGGGGTTCGTGGAGAGCGAGGGGGAGAGAAATCTTGTTATCGAGAGTGATGAGGTCGGGCATGTCCGCATCTACCAGAACGGCGCCGGCCTGCTCGAGCAGCTGCCGCGCTTTAATTACGACCTGCTCCAGGTTCTCGTCGAGCCCGCTCCACAGCACGCGCGGTATGCCGAAGCGGACGCCGGTAAGGTTAGCCGCCTGTGGGCGGGCTTGGCCCGCAATGATGGAGTCGAGGAGCGTCACGTCGGCGACGGAGCGGCCCATGGTGCCGACCGTGTCGCGGGTGTGGCTGATGGGCACGACCGCGTAGTCGTCCTGGTAGCGGCGCTCTGACCCGCCGTCGCCGAGGGAGGGGCGGAAGCCGACGATGCCGGTGAGGGCAGCCGGAATGCGGACGGAGCCGCCAGTGTCCGTGCCCAAGCCACACGGGACCACATGGGACGAAATGGCCGCCGCGGTGCCGCCAGACGAGCCGCCGGGGATCATGTTGGCCGCGTACGGGTTGTGCACGGGCAGCGCGAACGGCGCAAAGTTGGTGCTGGTGACGCCAAAGGCGAGCTCGTGCATGTTGGCCTTGCCGATGACGATGGCGCCGGCGGTGATGAGCTTGCGCAGGCTCGGCGCCGTGTTGTTGGGGCGGGCATACTGCAGCGCCGGCGTGCCGCCCGTGGTCGGCACGTCCTCCAGGTTGATGTTGTCCTTGGCGACGATGGCGAGGCCGGCCAGGGGAGGCACTGCGGCGCCGCTGGAGATGGCCGCATCGACCTTGTCGGCGGCTTCGAGCGCCTGGTCGCGGAGCAGCGTCACGAAGGCGTTGAGCGAGGCGCCGCGCTTGGCCTGCTCCAGGACGGTGGTGATGTAGCGGCGGGCCGTGATTCGCTTCTCCCGAATCGCCGCCACTGTTTCATCTGCCGACCAGTTGAGGATCGTGCGAGAATCATCGCCGCCGTTGCCGCCATGTCCGCGGACTTGAACTTGTATAGCTGGCGCCATGGATATCGTGTCGCGAACGGTTCTGAAGGTCGCTTGCAAGCTGCCCTTTAAGCCGTGCAAATATGTCTCTGAGAGGAAGAAGCCGAGATTCGAGAAGAAGAGGGGGAGAGCACCACCTGACGGCGACTTTCCGCCAGACCCAGAAGTCCTTCCGACGCATGATTGCTGCGTTGGCACTGTAGAGTGGCATCCCAGGCCGCCGGACCCTCCCGGCCGCATCTCTTAGCTTCGGGCTGGGCGGCCGTTTTGCTGCAAAGAGCAAGAGGCTAAGTGCCGGCACTTGACAGGGTAATAATGGCGCAGTAAGCCCGCCGTCGCATAATCGTCAGCCTGCGAGATATATTTGAGCGCGCATAGTGGTATATGATGGTGGTGTGCGACGAGAGGTGCGGAGATTTCAAATAATCGCGAGGGGAATGGGGAGGGCGGCAATTTGAGCTCTGCCCGCGAGGGGGGCGACCATCATTGGCAGTGTCTCGGTTTAATTGCAGATATGACATCGTAATTACAGGCGTGTTTCTGCGAGGAATTTCGGACGAATCTGGGGTTACCCCAGGTGAGGATTGAGATGACTGGCTTCCACATTGTCTTCAACAAACGATGCTAGTTAGCGTGTGGTTTCAGGGCTTGCACCGAAATGACCAACCACAATGAGGCGCGATGGGGAAGACCCCACTGAAATTTCCAGCCGGAGGGCAACATGGAAAATATTCGCAAATCTGGAGTAACGCGGTGCTGGGTATTGGCTCATCAACGCCGACATCGCCGTATCAGCCGGACATTTGCGCCCAATACTACGTCGTTCATTTCACAATAATGGGCAAGCATCCAGTCATCGGTCTTCTCGGCGGCGGCCAGCTTGGTCGGATGCTGCAGGAGGCCGCCTCACCCCTCAATGTTGAGCTGGCTATTCTCGATGCCGCTGGCTCACCCGCCAAACAAATCTGCGAAAATACCAAGCACGTGTCCGGCTCCTTCAACGACCCGGCCAAGATCCGCGAGCTCGCCGCCCGCGTGGATGTGCTCACCGTTGAGATTGAGCACGTCGACGCCGACGTGCTTGAGGAGATTGCCACCAAGGGCGTCTCGGTCGGCGCCGGCCAACCTCTCAAGAAAGTCCCCTGCCACCCGTCCTGGGAGACGATCCGCCTGATCCAGGACAAGTACCTGCAGAAGGAGCACTTCCTGCGCGCCGGTATCCCCGTGGCGCCCCAGGTCGCCGTCGAGGGTGAGGCGGCGCTCACGACCACTGCCCTGCAGGCCGTCGGCGACAAGTACGGCTTCCCCTTTATGCTAAAGGCGCGCAAGGGCTCGTATGATGGCCGCGGTAACTTTCTGGTTCGCGACCCCGCCGACTTTGACGAGGCCATCCGCTCCATGGGCAAGCTGTCGCTATACGCTGAAAAGTTTCAGCCCTTTGTCAAGGAGCTGTCCGTGATGGTGGTGAGGACCGAGGACGACGACGGAAAGCTGCGTGACGTACACCCGTACCCAGCCGTCGAGACGGTGCATGAGGACAGCATATGCACAAAGGTATTTTTACCGCCGCGCGGGGTGCCGGCCGAGGCATGCGAGGAAGCGCGCAAGGTAGCGAGCAACGTGATTCGCACGCTCAAGGGGCGCGGTGTCTACGCCGTGGAGATGTTTGTTCTCAAGGACGGTACGTGCTCACGAAACCGAAATATTCACTTGGCCATCTACTAACTTACCGCAGGCAGCATCGTGGTTAATGAGGTCGCCCCCAGGCCACACAACTCGGGCCACCTGTTCACCGAGGCGGTCCCCTACATGTCGCAGTTCAAGGCGCAGCTGTGCGCCATCCTCGACATTTTCCCCGGCAAAGTGACGTTGCAGCCGCGCGTCGAGTCGGCCATCATGCTCAACGTTCTGGGCGGCGCTGCCGAAGAATCACACGAGACGCTAGTTGACATGGCCAGTCGCAGTTACGATAAGGACATGGACGTCTACATTCACCTGTACGGCAAGGCGTCGAAGCCCGGTCGTAAGATCGGCCACATTACCGTAACGTCGCCGTCCGCCAAGGTCAGCGGCTTGGAGCAGCTGGCGGGCCAGCTTACCAAGGAGGTGGACAGCATCCGCGAAGGCCGCCTCGCGAGCGCGGCAGCCCAGCTGCGTCCCTCCGATTCCGCGGCGGCGCCCGCCCCCTCCAAGCCTGCGTCTTCGCGCAGTCGAAGCGATCCGCTAGTCGTCGTGACCATGGGATCGGACTCGGACCTGCCCGTGCTCAAGGGCGCGTTCGAGGTGCTCGAGCTCTTCGGCGTGCCGTACGACTACACCATCACGTCGGCGCACCGAACGCCGCAGCGGATGGTCGAGCTAGGCCAGGCGGCCGCCGCGCGCGGCGTCCGCGTGCTGATCGCGGCGGCGGGCGGCGCGGCGCACCTGCCCGGCATGCTGGCGTCGGAGACGACGCTGCCGGTGATCGGCGTGCCCGTGCGGGCGACGCACCTGGACGGCCAGGACTCGCTGCTGAGCATCGTGCAGATGCCGCGCGGGTGCCCCGTGGCGACGGTCGGCATCAACAACTCGACCAACGCGGGCCTGCTGGCGGTCAAGATCCTCGGCTGCACCGACGAACGGTACGCGGCGGCGATGGCGCGCTACATGAAGACGATGAGCGACGAGGTGGAGGCCAAGGCGGGCAGGCTGGAGGAGATTGGGTGGGAGGCGTACCTGGAGAAGAAATGAGACGATGCTTATCGGGCAAAGTGGGACTGTGTATATAGAATGAATGGGATAATGATTGATAAAAAGGTTTCAAGACGTTGGCATGATTTGGCCGGCAATACATAGTATTTCTTCTGGCATAATTGATACGGCATATGGATGGATGCCAAGAATATACTCAGCTGCCAACGCATTGCCGCTCAATCTATATCCTCATGATCCATGTCATCGGCGATAGGTGTTCGTGATCGTGGCGGAGCTGTTGCTATTAAAATATCTCGCATGATCTCCGTGATACTTGCTAGAGCTTGCGTTGTTCTTATGGACTCGCTCCGCTCCATTTAAGCCTGTAAAAGTCCGTCGGTATGGCTGTCGTTGTAGCATCATCTCCGTCATTATCGCGGCTGCGTACGACATGGTACGAGACTTGTGTAGAAGAGCCTCCACGATGGGATCATGCCGCAGCGGCAGCCGGTAGTGGAGGAGACGGCAACGTAGCATCGTGGCATCGTGGCAAACTTGTTAATTTATTTACGGTTACAATAAGGTACGTGATGGTGCAGGGGGGAAAGGCCGGCTGATCTTGGTTGCCGATGGGCTTTGGGGGCCGGACGCGGGAAGCAAGGTGTTCGCCGGGCGATGCGTTGGAGCCGGTGGGTGCCGGCGTTTGGTGGGTTATCTTGGGTGTTGCGGGCGAGAAGCGTGGTCGTGATGTAGCGAGGACCGATGCTTGTGGGCGATGGGGGGATGAGCGGCGTTTGAAGGACGAGTTGGCAATTGTCGGGCAGAAATACGGATACGGAGCATTATCAGATTGAGATGTGTGGATAAAAATAGGGTAGCAGATAGCTGGCCGGGTAAGATACTAACAACGCTGCTTCTTATACTTCCTCCTTCTGCCTTTTTTTTCTACACAGCTTGTGTTGCCTTTCTCGGATCGCGTCTTTTTAAAGGAGCAATCTGGGTTCCTTTTAATCTGGTGGTGGTCATCTTGAACGGTAGCTATTCGTGATTAATAAGACGTGTAAATGCCCAAGCAGCATGCGGATCGAAGGAGAAAGGCGACGGGAGCGGGGGACTGGAATGAGACAGTCACTGGGGTTATTATGCACTGAGCGATTCAGTTGCATGCAGCCACGATGGAGATGAATTGCCATGTGTAGTATTTTGGGCATTGTCTGCTGCTGGTCCGCATTCGGAGGCCGGCGGTGCCGTGAGTTTGTGGAGAAGCATAATTTTCATTTATGGTGGCTGCGTCGGGTCTAGTGGCCAGTGCTGGGAGACAATCGGGTTGTCGCTAGAAGTGGTAAAATATGTGTGATTCATGGCATGGATTGTTTTAAATTGAAACAGTCTGGGGAAACAGAAGAAATTTTGATAATATTTTCTAGGGGAGTTGCTTCTTCGGCCTGACTATCTTGTTTCGCATAAATCCTGCACAAAGCACAACCAGCCAAGCACGAGTACCAAAGTGTGCACGGCGGCGAGGCTGGTGGAGGTGGTCAAGGGTGGGACGGCCAATGAGACAAAGGAGCGCGGCCAGGCCTGGAGCGGGGGAGGGGGCAACTAATGCACTCAGCGGGAGGCAAAGAGAGCTTTTTTTTTTCGTGCCTCTTTTCCACCGCGTGATGAAAGTTGATCTCGATAAAATGGGCGTTAAATTTATTTAATATTCTGCTTTTCAGTTGTACTTTAGCTTTGACCGTCATGTTGCAATTTGCTGTACGTCATGAACTGCAGGCGCGCAATCGAGAGCGCGGTCCCCGAAGCCAGCCACGCAGCCACCGCCAAGGTTGCAGACTTTTTTTCTTCCTTCTGGAAGCCCTCTGTCAGCAAACGGCGACTGGCGACTGGCAGCTGGCACAGCTGCCAGAGAAGCGAGGCGACAGGGTTGTGTGGAGCCCTCGAGGGACCTAGCGCCACCCGCGTTCGGTGTGTTTGCGGCGTCGACGTTTCGGAGTAGTGCCGGCTCTCTGATAGGCCCATGCCTGCAGGAATCCAGTGGCTTGCAGTGGCTTGCGCGCTGGGTGCAGCCTGAAATTCCGGGGGGCGCAACACAACCTGTCCAAGTTGTGCGTGGCATGGGCTGGAAATACGCTGTCAATTTTTTTTTTCGCCTCTTTATTCCGCGGCTCCCGTTCCGATCGTTGTGGCACAATGTGGCTGATTTGCCTTTGCCCGTCATCCGATGGGTGCTTGGCCAAAACCGACTACATTCCCGCCTTGAACAATGCTATTCTCTTCATTCAGCATCCAAGACATGGCCGATACCGGCAACTTTGGCTATAATAAATTAAAAACAAGATATAATCCCCAGACGCAACCACCAGTAAATGGATTCCTCAGGGCCCTCTCGCCTCTCTCGACGGGGTATCGGCTCCACGCATCCACGACTCTTATATCCACTGCTAACAGGATTCGGTGGATCGAGGACTAGCATTCCGTGTCGTCTTGCCTTCAGCCTATTGCGGTGCGCCTGGGCACTTTTATTTCATTTTTTAAATCTTGGCCTATTTTTTCAGTAGCCTATAGACCCCGACCTTATTATAACATCCGCCTTGGGTTAGTTGGTCGTTGCAATTGTCTCATTCCGCTTCGTCTCGCCTCGATTGTTCTCGGCCCATTCCATTCCATCCATCCCTCCTCCTCAAACGGTCGACTTTGAACAGGTACCTTGGACCATCCCCATCATCCTCCCAACACTTCATCACAAAACTCTCTTTTCGTCCTCCCCCACATCGTATTCTTGCTCGTCCGCCTTGTCTCGCCGTCTTGCCCGCCGTCACGACGCCGTCTCTCTCTCCTTCCTCCCTAGACGCGCCGAATCCATCTACTGTCCACGCGACCTGTTCCAGACTCTGCGCTTGCCTAAACCCAAAACTCAGAGCACCCATCAATAAAAAGAGAAGACAAGTCCATCGATACCACCAGTCCAGACTTTTTGCGGGGAATTCGTCATTACTCAAACAATTCAAGCCTTCTTTCCCCCTGCGCCACTCACACTCTCCGCGCAAATCCCTGATCCTCGTCACACTTCTTCGCCCTGTTCGCGTCAGCAAATCCAACTAAAACCCTTAGTTGGCTGGCCCATCCACGTTTCTTCTGTTGCATAAAAGCCTCGACTACCCCAGCTTTTCTTCTCGTAGCCGTTCTCACTCCCCCCTCCCTCTCCATACCCTCTTCCACCGTCTTGTCTCGGTCCAGCTGCAACACCGCGCGCACATCCCAACCATGGACTCACACAGACAAGACATTGGCCCGGCTGCCGCGCAGACCGATGCTGCAGCTCTCGGGCACAAGGCCAAGACCGACATCGAGGCTGCTCCCCATTCCTCAGCCAATAACAGCCTGGACGATGCGTCCAGCGAGGCTGCTCTCATTAACTTTAAGACGCTCTCCTGGTGGTAAGAATGCCTTGCCTGCCCTCTCCGGTTCACCTTGCGGCACTTGCTAACAAGCCCCCAGGAAAGGTGGCATCGTCCTCATCGCCGAAACCGTCTCCCTCGGAATCCTCTCCCTCCCCTCCGTCATCGCCACCCTCGGCCTCGCTCCCGGTATCGTTCTGATTCTTGTTATGAGCTTCCTCTCCACATACTCCGGTCTCATGCTCGGCGAGTTCCAAAAAGAGTATCCCTTCGTCGAAAATTTTGGCGATGCTGTCGAGGTCATCGGCCGGACCATGGGTTCTATCGGCATCTTTGGTTATAACGTGACCGTGGCGCGCATCTTCCAGGAAGTCTTTGGATGGGCTCAGGTCATCTTCCAGGTCTTCGTCATGGGTGCCCATCTCCTCACATGGACCATTTGCCTGAACGCCCTCTCCGATCACGCCGCTTGCACCATAGTCTGGGCCGTCGTCGGTCTGGCTGTCTTCTGGGTTCTCAACCTCCCCCGTACCCTCCGACACACCAGCTGGATGTCCATGGCCTCGTGCATCTCCATCACCGTTGCCACCCTCATGACCGTCGGCGATGTCGCCAGCAACAGGCCCGTTGGTGCTACTGCCATCCAAGTGAGCACAGAGATTGGCTTCACGTCGGCGTTCCTGGCTGTTACCAACATTGCTGTTGCCTTCTCCAGCCACTCTTGCTTCTTTGGTGTCATTGGCGAGTTCGAGAAGCCCCAGGACTGGCCCAAGGCCCTCGCCCTCCTCCAGATTGTCGATACCGCCCTGTATCTCGTTGCTGCCATTGTCATCTACTATTACATTGGCCCCGGCGTACCCTCACCTGCCCTCTCCGCCGCCGGTAGTGATACGATGCGCAAGGCCATCTGGGGTGTCGCCATTCCCACCATTGTCATCGCGGGCGTCATTTACGGTCACGTTGCGGGCAAGTACGTGTTCAACCGTATGTTTAAGAATAGCAAGCATCTCGTACGCCGCACGTTTGTATCCGTCATCGGCTGGTCCGGTATGACGCTGGCCATGTGGGCCTTTGCCCTCATCATTGCCGAGTCGATCCCCGTCTTCAACTCGCTGCTCGGTATTCTCTCGGCTCTCTTCGTCTCGTGGTTCTCTTATGGCCTGCCTGGTATCTTTTGGCTGTGGATGCGCAAGGGCTCGTGGTTCAGCACGCGCGGACGCATGGTTTCGTTTTTCGCCAACGTCGTCCTGGTCATCACCGGCACCATGCTGTGCGTCCTTGGTCTGTGGGCGTCGATTGAAGCGATTGCGAACGAGAAGGGCACGAAACCTTGGTCCTGTGCCAACAACGCGCCGAAGTCTTTTGAGGAGATGACACGGCAGGCCGCGAACAAGGCACGCTCGACCTTGTAGGATTGTTTATTTCCCTTTGATTCCGTTTGATGGCTTCTGGAGACACTTCTTTGGATGAGAAATGATGTATATATGTGTAACCACATGGTGAAGAGTTGAGAAGCAGCACCTTTTGAGACGAAACAGCGATACCTGCATACATATATATATCTACATAGTAATAGGGCTACATGCCCATAAATACCAGTCGATTCTCCATTTTTCATGTCGATGCGCCCTGCGCCCTGCTTGTCGATTGATGACAGCTATTTCCCACCAAGTGGTGGACCCCTCGTCTAGACACGACCCTCCCCGACCAGCAGCGGATGATGCTTGACAAGACCGGGGGGTCGCGTGTGACATGGATATCGGAATCAATCAAAAGATGGCTCTGTTTCCATCTCTTGTCATTCTCCAGTCCCGATCTCGAATCCATTTTGCTTGTCTACCTGCTACTCCTAGTGCCGACAAATGTTCTGCTCCCAGTCCTTATCAAACGGCACGAAGCCCACGCCGTCCCCATCTCCCCCTCCCGCCGCCACGTGCCGCCGACACAGAAACGCCAGTATGCGCTCGTCCTTGGACCGGCCCTGGACGAGGTACTGCGCGCCGTACAGCGCACGCACCGCGTCGCCGTCGACCACGTGCGTGCGCCGCGCGTCCTCCCGCCGCGCCGCCCGCCGCACGCGCTCGCACGACACGATCGCGTAGCCGAGCGCGAGCATCAGCGCGAGGATGGCGAAGGCGTGGTTGGACATGTAGATGGGTGCTTGACGGAGCGGCGAGGGTTCCGTATCCTGGCGCCAGTCTGCCTCGCGTCGCCTCTGGCCCGTCGTCGCCGCCGCAGCAGCAGCAGCGTTGGACCGGGTGCCAGCCATCCATCCGAGGCCGTGCAGGTCGTATCGCCGCCGCCGCGAAGGGTCGCTGAGGAGGTCGTGCGCTGCGACCACGAGGAGATATCGGTGCAGTTGCGCCTGTGGCGAGACGGCGTCGTGGTCGTTGTTGCTGCGATGGTGGCGGCCCATGTCGGGGTGGTACATCTTGACCAGCCGGTTGAAATTGGCCTTGGCGTAAGGCCGGCCGGCTTCGAGACCGAGGATTCGGTACGGCGTGGGCTGCGGCTCGGTCGGCCAGGTGATCCGTGGAGGTGACGCTTCCTGAGGGTTGTGTTGGTGGTGGCCGGAGCCGGAGTACTGGCGCTTGCCGTTGCTTCTCTGGTGAGTGGTGGCAAAGAGCTTATGAGAATTGCGGACGGCTTGTGAAAAATGCATTGTAAATGAAGACTATGAAGAAAAAGATGACCGAGTTAAAAATCGAATGAAGGAAGAACGAGGAGACTGCTGGGAGCGGGCAGCCATCTACGCCTATGGCGGTATAGATAAAGACGGCGGCCGCGCGGGGTTGAGAACCTATGTAGCCCATCGCGTGATTCGTTTATGCGCTCGAGTAACCAGCTCACCGTGTTTCAGTCCGGCTTCAGTGACTGTCTTTTCAAAGGATAGAACTGTTGTGTGCGTTTGTTTGTCTAATACTTGCGCGTTTCGCCTGGGAATTCTCACGCATACTTGCTCACGTCTCCACGAAGGCGGGCGGCAATCTGCGGGGAGGGCCGGGCGAGAGGCCCAAATCTGCGATGACATCGGTGCCTAAATTTGGATTGAAATTCTTTATCGGAAACTAATCGGAAAGGAGATCTCTGGTGATGAGCAGATAAATTGATATATGCGGTTTGAAGCTTGTACCTTGACAGGAATGAGTGTGGGTGGTCGCGGGGTCAAGGGTTGTACATGCACGGCGCTGTGCAGCCAAGCAAGCATACAAACCTTGAAGGCTGTTTCTTTATTTGTTCCACCTTGTTATGCATATCTTTCTCAGTCATTTCTGGACCATACAAGTGCAGTTTGGATTTATGTTTATGCCAAATTCTGGCCTGTCATAATCTTTCCGCACCACCCGCACCGCTTACACGGATCTTCCGCACTATCCGCAATACGCGGCATTATCCGCGACTCTTGTAAGTCGCCACGAGAGGGATGGAAGATCTATAAAAACGGCAAGTCTCTTTCCAAGTCAGTAGAAGTTATTCTCATTCAAATCCTCCGGAGTTGGTCCTACTTAGCACCCTACATCCATCACCTACGTCTGTTCACGTGTCTAAGTTCACCTGTCTAACAATACATCGCACTCGAGAATACAGCTCATCAGCAGCATATCTATATCTCTCTACTACTTATCGTCTTCTACCGAACAATCATGACTGCCAAAGCGCCCAGAATCGGCATCGTCACCTGCAGCACGCGCTCCACCCGCGTCAACCCGCTCATCACGCAGCACATCCACGACCTCCTCGCGACCTCTATCATTCGCTCGGTCCCCGGCCTCGCCTCCGCCACCCTCCACGTCATTGATCTGGAAGCCCAAGGCCTGCCGCTCTTCGACGAGCCCGCGATCCCCGCCTCGCTGCCCACCACCGACCCGACGCCGCACTACCTCCAACCGCACACGCGCCGGTGGTCCGCCGCGGTCCGCGCCCACGACGCGTTCGTCTTCGTCACGCCGCAGTACAACTGGAGCGTGCCGGCGAGCCTGAAAAACGCGCTCGACTACCTGTACCACGAGTGGGCGGGCAAGCCGGCGGCGGTGGTGACGTACGGGAGCCGCGGCGGCGGGAGGGCGGCGACGCACCTGCGGGAGATCTTGGCGGGGCTGAAGATGGCGGTGGCGGGCACGGCGGTGCCACTGAAGATTGGCGTGGATGATGTGAGCGAGTGCCTGGCCGAGGGCGCGCTGAGCGATGCGGTGGTGCGGCGCTGGGAAGAGGCCGGCGTGGAGGAGACGCTGCGATCGGCTGTGACCGAGATGGGGGAGAAGGAGTAGGGAGGTAATCGACTGGGGTGCAGCTACAATAGATTCTGGACGATAAGAGAGATTTTCAAATTTAGAAATAATGGCCTGGATTTCGCGCCTTTTTTTTTTCTTCCTGTTCCGATGCTGCACCTACAGTGCGTTGCAACATGTATTTGTCCCGTATTAGGTCTCTTAGGCACCTTGGGTATCTTACACCTTAGGTATTTTATATATCTTGGGTATATCACACATCTTAGGGATTTTACATGTCTTAGGTATTTTACATGTCTTAGGTATTTTACATGTCTTAGGTATTTTAAATATCTTAGGCATCTTATCCGTCTACATGAAAAAGTCCACCACCGACGGCCACTCACCACCCACGTCAAAACCCAAATCAAAGCTCGTCCAGTCGATATCATCCGCGGGCAGCGGCAGCGCATGAGCAAGCGCGGCATCCTTCAAGGCCAGCTTCCCCTCCGTGCGGCCCCGCGACGCCGCGATCACCTGCTGCGCCGTCGCCAGCGCCTCCCGCGCCATGTGCGACCCGAACCGGTCCGCCATGCCGCGAAGCATCTCCATCGCCGCCGGCAGCAACTCCAGCATCCCCGCGTCGTCCGACGCCACGCACACGCACACGCTCTGGAACGGCACGCTGAGCATGTTCCACCACGTCCGCCCGGCCGCCAGCAACCCGGCGATGGCGTCCAGCGCCCGTCGGAGGACCTCGGCCGCGACGCGCACGATCCGCGGGCCGGGCGTGCTGCCGGAGGCGGCGGCGGCGAAGCGCCGCAGGAGGCAGAGGCAAACGTCCGCGGCGAAGAGCGCCACGGTGTCGTCCTCGGCGCTGTGCGGGGTGTCTCGCAGACGGGGGAACAGCTCCGCGAAGTCGTCCGAGTCGAGGCCGGCAGCCGCCGCGGTATCTGCGTCAGCAAGGACGCAGCTCATAGCGTGCAGCGCCTCAACGTGCGTGCCCGGAGCGGGTGCCGGCGCCGCGCAGTTGGCGTGTCGCATGGAGACGCCCGAAACGCCGTACTCGGTGGCCAGCAGCCTGTTCAGGAAGCCCGCGATGGAAAAGCAGCGGCGCCGCGTCTCCAGCTCCTCCTCGTCGCCGCCGAGCGCGCCGTCCGCCACCGGGTCCCGGTGCATGCCCACAATCTCGGCGAGGTGCATCGCCGTGTGGCTCGCCACGCAGGAGATGGCCGGACGCGTGGTCAGCCGCATGTACAGCGCGCGCAGCACCCAACCCGCCACCGCGTCCGCGTCGACCGCCGCCGCCGGGCTCGACAGCCCGAGGTCCAGCAGCGCCACCCCGCGGAGCGCCACCTCGCGCTCATGCGGGTGCGCCGCTGAAGAAAAGGAGGAGCCCAGCGCGGCGACGAGCGCGACCACGGCCGCGAGGTTCGGCCGGGCGGCGTCCATCGTGGCCCAGCCGTCCGCAATCCGCTTCAGAAAGGCTTCTCGTCGGAAAAGCGGGAAGAGCGGGTGCACGGCGGCAAAGTAGACGGCGCAGAGGGAGCGGCACTCGGGCAGGGTCAGCAGCCCCGGCAGGGAAGGGCCGGGGACGGTGCCGCGACGCTCGGCGCGCAGGCCCAGGTTCCAGGCGTACGAATGCAGCCGCGGCGGGGGTTCGAGGGCGAGAGCTTGTCCGACGAGGCGGGGCAGGGCGACGGCGCTGTGGGCGTGGACGATGCGGCCCCTCTCGCGGCTGACGATGACGGCGGCTCCGGTCGACGGCGGGCCGGCGGCGCGGGAGGACGAGCAAGGCGGCGGAGGGGCGGCGGTCTCGGGCGGACGGCTTTCGGAAGCAGGGGATTGTGCCGAGGGTGCCGAGTCGTCGTTGTAGGCGCACGCGTAGCCGTAAGCATCGCACTGGGCGCAAGGCTGGCTGCCGTCGCACTTGCGGCGTCGACGGCGACACTCTCCGCACGCGGCGTAGACGCGTCGTCGTCGGTGCTCGGCGTTGGGTTGAACCCGATGAGTCTGTCTTCTCTTCGGCATGAACAGGTGTCTGGATGTGCGTTTGATGATGTTGATGCAAGGTTTAGGATGGAGGTGGCGTCTTGATGATGCTTATTCATTTTTTATTTACAGTGGGTGGTAACATGTATTTGTCGCCTGTTAGGCAACTCACCCTTCTTAGGTATCTCAGGTATCTCAGGTATTTTACATATCTAAGGTAGTTTATACGTCTTGGCGTCTTGGGTATTTCACACATCTTATACACCCTATCCCATGTGCAAGGAAGCATCACCACTGTTGTACTGGGGGTGGGTGAGTGGTTTGTATGCGGGTCGCATTCACTAACTAGAGTAACAGTGAATAGAATCCAGCCAACCAACTAGGTCAGGATCATCACCTAGTTGGCAATGAATTCATAATCATCAATTTTTGCCATAGACCACCTGGCTGGGTCGGGTAGCGTCATCGCCATCCCCATCCATGTTGAAGCTACCCCGCCCATCATCGTCAGCTTCAGTCCTAGCTCAACTTCCCTGTCATACTGTAGAGATAATCCCTTGTCAATTAAGCCATCTTTTAATCATTCTCTTGACCAACCTCGCAAAGATAACCTCGTTTCACATCGCCCGCAAAAATGACGCAGTACGACCACATCGGCGCTCAGTACGAGCAGGCGAATGAGCAGTTCTACAAGTTCCTCGAGGGCAAGCTCATGGAAAACGCCCTCCGCCCCGAGATCGCCGACCGGCCCGGCCTGAAACTGCTCGAGTTTGCCGCCGGCACCGGCTTCTACACCTCGCGCGCGCTCGCCTGGAGCGCCCCCGACACCTCGCTCACCTCCATGGATATTTCCCGGGCCATGCTCGACGTCACCGCCGGGAACAACGCGACCGCCGTCTCCTCCGGGCGTCTGCGCCTCCTCCTCGCTGACGGCGCCCACCCGCGCTCCTACGCGCCCGACGACCATAGCGAGGAGTACTTTGACGGCGCGTTTGGCGGCTGGTTCCTCAACTACGCCGAGGGCCGCGAGACGCTGCGCAGCATGTTCGACAACATCGCGCTCAACCTCCGGCCCGGCGGCTTCTTCGTCGGCGTGGTGCCGTATCCGGAGGAGGACCTGGCGGCACGCGGGCGCGCGTGCAAGGAGCCGCCGCTGCGGGACATCTACCCGTTCCTGGACTTTACGCGGCCGCTGGAGGACGGCTCGGGGTGGTGGTTCACGTGCCACGTGGACGAGACGCTGAGCTTCGAGACGGCGCACCACCGCAGGTCGGTGTTTGAGGAGGTCGCGAGGGAGGCCGGCTTTTCTGAGATGGAGTGGTCGCCGGCGAACCTCCCGCGTGAGGAGTTCATCTCGCGGGGGGCGGTGGTGAAGAATGACCTGTCTCCGGAGGTGTACAAGGCGTACGCGGATGTTGGGATCCTTGCGGTAATCAAGGTTTACAAGAAATAATTGCCATTGGTCATTGGTCCTTGAAAATGTTACGTTGTAGAGTAGAGCGTGGACTGAACTCGAGAATGAAGGAGCTTCCCTTTCGATCTGGTCAAGGATGGGACATGCTGCGATTGATTCACACTAACCACGCCGATCACTGTCTTGCATGTCCGCCACTGTCCAACTTCCAGACTTCCATTGCGCTTGGTTCGAGGCGCGAACAATGGATACTACCGTAAGCATTTGGAGTCTCGGTCATAAATGAGGGATAAGCCGAGTTTCACATGACTCCGCCCTGCTTGGCCCCCGAACCTGGGCGAAATTGTCAGGGCGGATGGGGATCCCATGCAAGATCCGCAGATCGTCAATATGTTTTACAGCCCTTATATTAATTGCCAACGCCTTTTGGGCTGACGCCTCAGGCCCTTTGTCGTAACACTTCTTCCACCGTCAGTCATGCGCTCCCAAACTCTCGACTACTTCATCTGGCAACTCTTTGGGCCTGCAGAACCACTCCTCACTCTAACAATAGCTCTCGACCCTCAGTAAAGCGAGATGACTAGCTTGACGGACAACACACCTGGGAATTCGCTGGTTACTGACTGGTTACTTTTGCTATCAATTCACCTGCCGAGTTAGGAAGCTCGGTAGTCACCTCCCCGCATTCGGCCGGGCATTTGTATCAACGTTACTTCCGGTAGTTTCATGGCTTGATAAAGAGTTTCAGAAATCAGATGAACGGTTCTCATCATGTAACATGAATGCTTCTAGCATTTAATGTCAATTGTTTCTAGTATTTAATCCAGGCCTTCGCCTTCTCCAAGTCCTTCCTCCCTCTCGCTGGTGGCAACCACTTGAACCACTTACAAGCATCATTAACACCCTCCTCCCCAACTTCAACTCTTGCAAAAATGAAGACTTCTACCCTCGCCCTTGCCTCCCTCACACCCTCGGCATGCCTCGCCGGCATCGGCCACTCGTGGTCCTTTTCCGGCTCGCCCTCTGGCGGCATGAAGGACGTCACCTTTGGCTTTGACGTCTCCAACGCTGCCCACCAGGTCGGCTACTACTTCGCCAACCAGTTCAACTTCCAAAACGTTGATGATGTCGGCTACACCGGCATCCAGCCGCAGGCCGACTCCTCCAGCGGCCAGGCGTCCATCCGCGCCGTCTTCTCCTCCTTCCAGAACGGCACCACCTCGTCGCACCCCAACTGCAGCGACGGCGCCGACGGCGGCGCCGGCGTCAGCTGCGCCGTCATCATCAACGTCGACGATTTCAAAGGCCGCTTCGACTGCATCATCGAGAACATCGGTGACACCAAGTGGCGCGGCACCGTGCGCAACGCCGCGACGGGCCAGTCGGCGGTCATTGGCGAGTATGTCCAGCCCGAGGGCGCCGGCGGCATCCAGGATAACCAGGTCGGCTTCCTCGAGTACTTCCTCGCCAACGGAGACCCCGACTTCCAGTGCCACGACCAGTTCAAGACGGAGGTGTCGTACTACTTCCCGACCTCCGAGACGTCCGGCGCCGGCACCGGTTCGATCCCGAAGCCGTACGAGTATGGCAGCTGCGTGGGGGACCAAGGATTTGCCGTCACTTCTGGTTCCAACTACTGGACCATTGACACTGGTTTCTAGACCATTTTCTAAGTTGCTATTCCTTAGGTGTATATATAGTATATAGTATATAGCATATAGTATATAGTATACAAAATTTTGAACAACAATCTTGCAGTGTCTTCTAGCCTTTTTCTTCTTCTTTTCTTCTTTTCTTTTATTATTTTGCATCTTTCCCAAGGTTCTTGGAAAACCTTGCATTAGCGGATACCGTTGCTCATACTATTGTGCTCACGCGACTCAGGACGGCAAAACAGATGTCATCGCATTAGCGAAATGCAGATATGTGTCATGTTCTTGAAACTAGACAACCTAATGCAACAGGAATCCCCATATTCTCTGTTTCATAAGAGCCCACTCTAGCTACTGAATAGTGAGAAACGTCTTCAATGGCAACTTGCTGCTACTCCGACCAATGTAAATCTCATAACTGCCCCTCTGCAGCTGCCACTTCTGCATCCCCGTGTTCCACACGCTCAGGTCCCTCCTCGTCAGCGCAAACGAGAGCTCCGTCGCCTCCCCCGGCCGCAGGTACGGCTTCTCGAAGCCTCGCAGCTGCTTGGCCCGCGTCCCCGGCAACCTCACGTACAGCTGCGCCGCCTCCGCGCCGGCCACCCCCCCTCCGTTGGCCAGCCTGCACCGCACCGTAGCCACCACCTCCCACAAGTCGCCCTGCCCGCCACTCACCACCGGCCCCGTCGGATACTCCCCCGGCGACCCCCCCGGCCCCTGTAGCGCAATGCGCGAGTAGTCAAACCGCGTGTAGCTCAGCCCGAAACCAAACTCGTACCGCGGCTGCACGTGCTCCTTCTCAAAGTACTTGTAGTCCGTGTACACGCCCTGCGTCAGGTCCGCCTGCGGCGACTTGTTATCCCCCGCCGGCGCGCCGCCCTGGGGAGCCAGCAGCGGCCCGTAGTCGGCCTCCCGCGCGGCCACCGTGTACGGCAGCTTGCCCGAGGGGTTCGCGTCGCCCCAGAGCAGCGCCACCGCGGCATCGCCGGCGCGCTCCCCGGGGAGGTGCGCCAGCAGCACCGCCGTGACGTTGGGGTGGTCCGCAAAGCCGCCTGGCAGCCGCGGACCGGCGTTGTGCAGCACGACCACGGTCCGCGCGCACCGGTCCGCCACGGAACGCACGAGCGTGTCCGTGGCTTCGTCCTCCAGCACCGGCCGGTCGTTGCCCTCGCGCGCCCACGCGTTGCCGAACACGAGGCAGGCGTCCGACGCCGGGTCCACCCAGGCCGGCGGTGCGGAGCCGAGGTCCTGGTGCAGCGTGAAGCCGTCGCGGGCGGCGCGGGCGATCAGGGCGTCTCGCGGGGAGACGTGCGTGGTCGGGGTGATGGCGCCGGACCCGCCGCCGCCAAACATGGTGCCGCGCGCGCCGATGGGGCTGGTGGCAGGGTCGAGGTCGAGGACGGGCGCGAGGCCGAAGCGCCAGCTGCCGTCCGTGTCCGCGGCGGCGGTCCAGCTCGGTGGCGTGTTGGCCGAGTAGCCGAAGACGGAGACCACCTTGGGCGCCTTGAGCGGCAGCGTGTCGCGGTCGTTCTTGACGAGCACGTGGCTCTCGACGGCGCCTTGCAGGATCACGGGCATGTCGGCGGGGTCGCGGGCCTCGACGACGCGGTGCGGCGCGGTGAGGTTGCCGGGCATGCCGATGCCCGGCGCGGGGAAGCTGGGGTCGTCCTGCTTCAGCTGGTACCACGATGCGATGATTCTAGCTGCCGTGTCAGTATTGTATAGGCTTGCGATGGGAGAAGTCCGGGAGGAACTCTTACCGCATGGCCATGTCGGTCACGCGCGACTCTGGAAGGGTTCCGTTCCGGACGGCGTTGACGAGGTTGGCGCCCCAGAAGGGATCGGAGTTGGGCATGCCCATGTCCAGCCCGTTGGGAGCATCCGCGAACGCATGCTGTGCTCCCCAGTCCGAAACGACAAAGCCCTGCATAGACGTTAATGCATGTTATCGTATCATCGCAGCATCGGTTTACCTGAAATCCTAGCTCCGTCTTGAGAAGTCCGTTCAGAGTCTTGCTGTTGCCGCAGGCGTATGTCTGATTGAGACGGTTGTAAGAGCACATGACGTTGGCGGCACCCGCCTTGATCAAGTCGACGAAAGGCCTGAGCTGGATGTTAGCTTGTAGTAGTAGTCAGATGGGAGGACATCATACCATAGATATAGTTCATGCATTGTCTTGTCGTCGATGTTGGAGGAGATGGCTTGGACGTCACCTTCGAGCGAGCGGTAGAGCTCTTGCTCATTTCCAATGTAGTGCTACAAAGCCGTTAGGACGCAATCTCCATCATTCTTCTGTCTGGCCGACGGACGTACCTTGACGCTGGTAATCACATTTTGGCTCTGAACGCCTACAACAGTCTCGGCCGCCAACACACCGGAGAGGTACGGGTCGGCCGACGAGCCTTCCCAGTTGCGTCCGCCCTTGACGACGGTCCACGCCGGGCCGACGACCGGTCCCAGCATGACGTTGACTCCTTTGCGCCGGTTCTCGCCCCCGAGGGCCGCACCGCGTTTCCGTGCAAGGTACTTGTTCCAGCTGAGAGCCCGTGTCAGCTTCGTTATTCCATCGAGTGCTGTGCAGGCCGCCAATTCTCACCTCGCGCCGACGCCGATTCCGCTGGCGAAGCCGCTGACGTTGTCGGTCGCGCGCACGCCGTTCCCGGCATCGTTCAGGCACATGCCGGGAAAATTGAGTCTGGGGATGCCCGGTATGGTGCCTGAGCATCCCGACTTGAGATCAACACCGCCCGTCAGGCTGACCTTCTATACGTTAATACATACGCGATAGTATCAGAGTACAAGAGGGCCTCACCTTTTCCTCAAGCGTCATTTGATCGACCATGACTTTAGCCTTGGCAAAGGCATCTGCCCATTCATTCTGTCCAGTGATTTGCGCTACGAGTTGTCAGTGGACTACCAGTGGATAGGGGAGGCACGGCGACAACTCACGCGACGGAAGCACCTCTGGCGAGTGCGAGTATGCATCACCATCTGCTCGGAAGTAGACCTGGCCAGCCACGGCAGGGCGAAGAAGGGCCAAACTTGCTAGTACAGGCAAAAGCATGGTTTTGTCCCTATCATGAGAAACGCTGGGTGGTGAGCCTAGCTGTGCTTTGCGGTGGCACAGGTGTATACATATACCGAGACATTGGGAAAAGGGCGGGAGTCCCCCTCATTTATAAGGGGTCGGATGGTATTAGGCTCCTCCGAGGTATGCACCGTCCCGGTCTGGTTGCTTGGCAGGGTGCCACGAACGCTCCCTGCACCTCAGGCGCAACATCGGGCAAATGAAGATCTATTGGGGTCCTGCCCCCACGCGGGGGAGAGATGCAAGTCACGGCATCTTGACCGCTTCGTAGGCTTCCTATATTCAACAGTGTTTCGCACAAGGAGGCTTTCCCGGTGGCTGCTTTCATAGTGTCGTCCTTGAGCCACCGAGATGGCTTGAATCAAGTGTTTAAAGAGGCATTGTTAAGAAGCAGCCGGCTGGCGGACGACGGTGACGCTCACGAACATTGTCGTCATAGTCAAGGTACAAGGATCACCGATTTCAAAGCCGGTCCCATGGTCCCCCGCACGGCAGGTCGGCAGGTCTCCGCTCGGCCAGCGAATAGCGAATGGGAAGAAAAAGCAAGCCTCCCTTTTTACTAGTTCTTAGTGCAACAATCGGATACAAGCTGCACGGCAGATACTTGGTCCAAGAGTAGCTAACTAGTGGGCGGCCGGTGGTGGTTTCCGGTGGTACGATCGTTGGCCTGTATGCATCTAATGTATAGTTATGCTGGAATGGTATGATTTGGGTGCAAGTGCCTAGTACAACGCGCAACTCGGACAATAAAGCGTGACAAGATTTTATGGAAAAGTAGGACCAATATTATGGTATAGAACAAAAAGACTCCAAAAGTCCAACCAGACAAGCCGCGGACTCAATTGCCGGCCCGGACCCGTCCGTGTCGGGCCACCCGGCGCAACACCGGTGACACTAATAGGGCCACGCCGCCACACCCGCAGCCCATGTTCATTTCCACGTCTCCTCCGGTAATTCAACTCGGGTAGAAGCCTTGCTTAGGGACGGGCGGCCTTTTGCCTTCACCGGGTACATTAACCTCATGGTATCGGCCATCTCGAGCGTGTTGCATTGTACCACTTGCCGCTCGCTGCAAAGGTCGCGCCATAGGTCTGCTGAGGGCAGGCCTGTCAGGCGCTATACAGAGCGCTGTACAGGGCGCGGCACAGGTGGTGGGATCACCTTGGTAGGCCACGTTCCTTGCATCAGATGGCAAGACAGACAATTACCTCTTGGAAAAATGGCAAAAAGATTTGGGCTTGACTGCTTGCCTTGTCTGGGCCTTCCAATTAAATACTACCCGTTGAAGAAAGTGCTTCGAGCACATCGTAAAGATCCCCGGGACTAAACCCGGGAACCCCGGCCTTCTCCACACCTTCTTACCACCTCACTTCCTTCCCTTCTGCAAATCCTCCTACCTCAGGCAGCGATATCCTGCACAAACTCAATCAAGATCGGCGTGAATAATATCAACAACCTCTTGCTTCCGGCTCCCCGCCCGCGCGCTCCCCATGTCTTGCCCCGCAGCGGCCGACTTCAGCGCCGACACTGCTGCCAGCCGGAGGCGCATCTCAACAGCCTGCGAGGCCTGTCGCGTCGCCAAAGTCCGCTGCCTGCCCAGCGACGAAGACGGCGTCTGTCAAAAGTGACCCATCAGCCCTCCAAACGAAAATCGTACTCGAGTTCATCTTGAACTGACCCGTTTCCCCCAGATGTCTCGTCTCCAAAAAGGAATGCGTCTCTCGGACGGGTCCTCGCCGGCGTCGCCCTAACAGGTCCAAGCTGTACGTCACATCTCATCTCTGGTGCTATATACCTGTACTTTTTATCATGTATCATGTATCATGTATAAAGCATCCCCAAGTCTCAATCGAGCACATGCGAGCTAATCATGCCCCAGTCCTCACGGCGAGCAACTACCCCCGCCGCCCAAGCCAACCGGCACATTCACCATTGACATTCCCCTCTCCGGACCGCCTGAGCCGGTCTCCTCCGCCGACACGTTACGCCAGTCTCACTCTTCCTACCTCGACAACCTCTTCCCCGCCGACCCCAGCACCACCACCAGCACCTCATCCCCCATCTTTCCCTGGCGCGGTAGCACCACGTCCTCCGAGGCCGGCTCCCATCCCTCCGGCGCCCCGTCCTCCTTACTGGGCACCACCACCACCACCACCGCCGCCCAACCCAGCTTCAACATCGCCTCCGCCGAGGCCCTCCTCGCCACCTTCCGCCAGATGCTCCCCTGGTGCCCCTGCGTGCTCCTCCCGGACTCCCTCACCGTCGCCTCGCTCGCGCGCACCCGGCCCTTCCTGCTCCTCGCCGTGCTCGCCGCCGCCGCCGCCGCCCGCTCCTCGCTGCGCGGGCACGACCTGTACGACGACGAGTTCCGCCGCGTGCTCGCGCTCAAGCTCGTCGCCCGCGGCGAGCGCAGCCTCGAGCTGCTCCAGGGCCTGCTCGTCTACTGCCTCTGGCACCCGTTCCACCTGCGCCCGCGCCGCGTCCGCCAGGTCCTCCAGTACACCCGCATGGCCGCCGACCTCGTCCGCGACCTTGAGCTTGACATCCCGCCTCCAGCGGGGGGCGAGCAGCTTCCCGTGACGCCGGAGCGGCTCGACACCGTCCGCGCGTACGTCGCCCAGCACTACCTATCGTCCACGTATGTTTGCGAAATTGCCATTGTCCCTCCCCCCTCTCAAAAACCCTCTTCTCCTTTTGACAAGTGAACGTAGCTTCGCGGTTACCTGGCAGGCGTACCGCAGCAGGGACGCGCCCGTGCCCTTCACGGCCTGGACAGAGCGTTGCTGCCAGCTCCTCGCCCAGCACGCCGCCTGCCCCGGCGACGCCGTCCTCGCCTCCCTCGCACGTCTCGGCCGCACCGTCCGCGACGCCTGGACCGCCGTCCGCGACGGCGGCGATGACTTCTCCACGCCCAGCAGCAACACCACCACCAACAACATCGGCCTCGTCTTTCGAGGCCTGGAGGCGCAGTTCCAGGACCAAAAGGCCAACCTCCCGCCCGCCGTCGCCAACGCCCGTACGCCTCCCCCCCCCTTATCCTCCTCCCTCGCCCAGTCCCCCCTTGCTGACATGCTAATCCGCAGTACCTGTCCGGCTGCAGACCCTCTTTACGGAATTCTTCCTCCTCGGCGGCTCCGTCCTTCGCATGCCCACCTCCAAGCCACCGCCCGCCGACCCCTCCGCCGACCCCTTCCGGCCCACGCCCGCCCGCTTCCGGTCGTGCGTCGACGTTGTCGCCCAATTCCTCGCCCTCCTCGCCTCTCTCCCTACCAGCAACCTCGCGCACTTTTCCAGCGGCGACTGGGGCCGGCTCGTCCTCGGCGTCGTCGTCGCCATGCGCCTCTCCTTCCACGAGGAGGAAGACCCCGACTTTGACGCGGGTGCCTGGGCGCGGGGGCGCCTCGGCCTCGGGGAGTTCCTGGAGGCCATGACGGCCAGGGTGGGCGAGGATGGCCTGGCGGAGACGGCGCGGAGGGCGGACGTCGTCTCGGCGAGCAAGGTGGTCCTCGCGGTCGTCAGGGAGAAGTACGAGGAGCGGCTCGCGTCGCTGCAGCGGCGGCGGCAGCAGCAGGACGTGATCGAGGAGGAAGATCAAGCAGGACTGAACAGGTCTAGGTGTCCGATGCTCGACGGATCGCTGGACTGCTACTTCCCGCTTTGGGACAGCGGCGTCGGGCAGACGCCGGTGAGCGTGCCGCTGTCGTTTGCCGAGGGCGTACCGATTGACGGCGACGCCATGTTGGATACCTGGATCGAGGACCTCTTTGACTGGATCGGTCCGAGGCAGGATGTACACTAAATCGCTGGCTCTTCGGCTCTGATATATTTCATCACGTCACGGAAACATGGCATAACTCGCGATTGAACAAAGCCCTGCATCTTGCACTAGCTGGAAGAAGAAGTAAAAAGGATAATATAGTAAACAAGTGACATCGTCCCATTAACAACGCAACAAACCCACCCAAAGAAATACCAAGTTAACGTTCCATATCAAAGGAACCCAAGATCAAGCTGTGCCGCACTCCCCATGACGATGAATAAGGATATCAAGAACAGTGAGAAATTTCTGTCACGGGTCAATATTCACACATCCAGAACAAAGACGTAAATCGAACAAGGCAAAACGATAATCCACGCAACTCGTCAGTCAGGTACATCAACTTCTCGTCCATGATTCGTAGGCATAAGCCTCAAGCTGAGAAACAAGAAAACGAAAACAAGAAAGCTGTGCCGTCGACAATGGGGAGGCAAGGGGGGAATCAAGTAGTGGGAAATGGAAGAATGAAAGGTACAAATTGCCAATTAATAAAGGACACAAAGCAGAAAGAAAAGAAAAACGAAGCGTAAAAGGAAATGATAAGGAAAACACTAAAACCCTTCAAAATACCACGATGGTGACGCTTCCTTTGCTCCAAGGCCATGATATGAAAAGGGATAGGAAAAGAAAAATCCAAGCAAAGAAAACAAGAGTCAACGCCATGCCAGATTCACAGCCTGGGAGGACCTGGAATCCCCGTGATGCTCCGAATATCAAGATGACAGCCGCCAAACACCAAATTCCGTGATAAAAATGTCGACAAGACAACCACAAGGTGAACCTTGTTCCTGTCAAGGGCCTGCATGATTGCGCATGCTAGGACCCCTTCTCAATGCTGCGCAGTCCGCAGTGTCTTTTGTTTTGTGTACGCGTAACCCGAAAAGACGAAACCACCTGAGCTCCGACCATTTAACATTCCAATGTGGAAAAAGACTCTTCGCCTTCTGGTCTAGACTTGAAACGAAAAACCCCTGAGGAAAAGAATATGCCAATAACTAGGCTGCGAAGCCAGTCGCGGATAAAGAAGAAAAGGGGATGCACCGCCCGATGCGTCGTGCGGACGTGACGCCGTATCAAATTGTCAGAATTGCTGTTGCAGTCCGCTGCTCGGGGTCCGCATTATAAAAAAGAACGGAAAAATCCAACGAAAAAGCATATACTTTTTTTTGTAGGACTCAAAGAGCCCGGCTTTCGATTGTGTTTTCTTGAATCGCTGAAGATCGGTCTGCGTTAAAGCATCCAATGCAAATTGTTTGCGGCTGAAAGAGGAAACAGATCAATTATCCTGCCGCTGAAAGGGCAAGAAGGATAGATCAAGTGGTATCGTTTTTCATGTTCTTCATGTTGGCACGTAGTACACGTGCAATATTAATATGCCATGAGATGAAAGACATTGCTGATATGATCGAACGATGGGAGCGCAGGTTATGATGCAAATGCACCTTGTGCCTCAGAAGTGTTAATGGCCGTTTATGTAGCGGGCCCCAAAGGGACCGGAGGGATTGGAAATCTGTCCGTTGTTAAGATTGTTGTCGCCGTTGCTGATGTGTCCGTTGCTGAGATTGTTATCGCCGTTGCTCATATGGTCATTGTTATAGCCGTAGCTGTTGTTGATGCTATGATTGCTGCTGATGCCGTAACCGTTGTTGATGCCATGTCCATTGATGCCGCTGTTGATGCCGTGTCCGTTGATGCCTTGTCCACTGTTGATGCCGTGCGCGTTGTAAATGCCATGACCATTATTATAGTCATTGTTATAAGCATTACCGTTGTTAACGCCATGACCATTATTGTAGTCATTGTTGTAAGCATTGCTGTTGTTAACGCCATGGCTGTTATTAGAGTCATTGTTGTAGCCAAGACCGTTGCCAATGCCATGGCGGTTATTAGAGTCACCATTGTAGGCGTAGGCGTTGCCGATGGCGCGTCCATTGATAGAGGCATTAGTACCACTGGAGCCGCCACTCGCAACGCCATTGGAGTAGGAAGATGTATTCCAAGGGCTGTTGCTGGGCGCGGGCACTTGGTAGCTCTGGTAGCCAAGTTGTGCTCGCTGGTTGCTGAGCAGGCTATTAGCATTGGCGTTCATGCCGGAGCGCCCATTCCCCAGACCAGGAGGTGCGGACAGGCCCGGAGGCGGCCCGTTGGTGGTGAAGCTATTGGTCAGTCCGTTGACGAGGCCATTGACGTTGCCGTTGTGCAACTGCGTGGATTGAGTCTGATTGGGGGGCGCAGATCTAACCCCAAGGGGGTTTTTAGAAAAGCTCAAACGAATGCCGCCCTTGCCGCTGTTTTTCAAAGGCATTCCGTATAGTTCATTAAGAGCCTTAGTCGAGTACGTGATATCTTCGAACTCAACGAAGCACATGGGGCCATTCTGCTTGGTACGCAAGCACAGGCGCTTGTAGCCTCGCTGCTTGGAGAACAGCGCCTTGAGCTCCTCCTCGGACACGTCCATGGGCAGATTTCCGACGTACAGCGTGTTGCACGGCGGGTTCTGGTCCGCCGGGTTCACAGGGGGAAAAGAGTGACGCGCGTAGTGTGGAACAGAAGGGGGTCCAGAAGGAGGTCCAGAAGGAGGCGGAGGAGCAGAGTGGAAGGCCATGGCGGCCGCGTTGACATTCCCATTGTTAGTTGGCGGGGACCGGCGAAGCGACTGCGTATGCTGCGGCATCTGGGGAGGGCCAGAGGAGTTGGTGAGGTTGAGCGAGAGGCCAGCCATTTGACCGATGGGAATCTGCGGTGCAGTGGCTCGTCGGCCGTACGAGCTGCTTTGCGGGGGGTTGTTCTCGGCAAATGCAATAGGGTCCTTCAAGAGACTACTAGTGTCATCGTCGTCGTTGCTATCACTAGATATCAGAGACTTGCTCGAAGGCTGATTCCGATCGTGGTTAAGATGGTTTCCAATTGGCGACTGTGGGGAGAAGAAGCCGCGGTACCCCAGGTCGCTGCCGCGGAACGCTGAGTCACCAGGTACAAACTCAGCGCCGGAGTAGATGCCGGGGGGAGACGAGTTGTCGAGGGATTGAAAAGGTGCCGGATGCTGGGGCTGCTGGCGGGCAGAGGGACCACCAGGCGCAGCAGTGGTGGGAATGTAACCGTTGGCCCCTGCCCGGGGCGCACCTCCATAGGTGAGGCCGCGCAGGCTGCTCGGGTGGATGATTTGGACAATCATCCCGGTATCAGTGGAGGGGTCGCGGGCCCATTCCTCAACTTTCATCTTGGCGTGGTCGGCGCCATTGATTGTCTTGAAGCGGAGGACCGCAGTGCAGAAACCACTGTCTTGGGACTCTTCGGGAGGGAGAAGCTCGACATCTACAAGCTCTTTCATCCAGGATAGCCTCGGCCGAACAGTATGCTCCGTGGAGCCAAGCGGGAGGCCGCGAATCAGGACCTGAACTGTGGACGACAAAGGGTAGTTGGAGAAGGGGCCGCGGGTGCCGACAGGCACAGTGAAGTCAGCATTACCCTGCCCGTTTCCAGTGTAGGAACGCGGTGTTTGGCTAGAGGTGGCGAAACGGAAGGCCGGTGATGAGCGTGATGAACTTGATAAGCTGGCAAATGCGGTAGTAGATGGGCCGTGAATTGCGGCGAGAGATGAGGGGGGAAGTGCGGTGACAGATGCGCTCGAAAGTGCGGTGGCGGATGAGCTGGGGAAGGATGCAGCAGCCATAGCCCCTAGGTCTGCCTTTGATGACGGCGCAAAGGGCGTTGAGTTGTTCGCCCGTGAAGATGTCCCCAAGGATTGCCCAGGCGCAATAGGGGAGCCAACTCTAAGTTGAGTCGGCGACGTATTTTGGCCAGTGTTCATGATCGAAATAGTTGTGTTTGTACTTGGAGAGGAGAATCAAAAGTAATGGTTGCCCGGTGTTGGGCAAGGGAATGCGACGGTCTGAAGTCGCAACCCAGGCGAGTGTAGTCGCGCTACCGAAGGTTCGTGGCTCGATCGTAGGCGGGCGTGCTGTCGCAAACTGATGTGAGGGCAAAAATCTCGACGGGGTCGTGTTGCCGTACAGGGCGGCTGTAGCGCGGCGCAAGCGGATGGCGGGAGTTCTATCTGGTAAATGATCGCGTGCGGGATGTTATTCAAGGACGCGACAGTCGTTGCGCAGACGAGGCGAGGCGATGGTGCGGTTGCGACAGCCAAACGGGATCGCGACAAGGGGCCGGGCCGAGGTGCGTTTGCGTCGCGCGCGGGGATGTCGAGACGAGGAAAAAAAGGTTAGGATGGATTCGAAAAGAAACTGTCGCGCGACAGAATGATGGCAAAAGCCAGGCTGTGGGAAGGCAGTGGTGGCGAAAAGCAGAAAAGTCGCGTCTCGAGCGTCGTCGCGGTTTGCGTGAGAAGCTGCACGGTCGGCTGAGCGATGATGAGGATGAGTAGGTTCGAATGAGAGCAGCGTCGCAAGGGAGGGAGAGGGTTTTTACGGCGAGAGAGGAGGTAAATGCAGAGTTGTTTGACAAGAAAGTGTGAGAAATATGAGCCTGAGCAGAAAATAAAAAAAATGAATAAAGATGATGGGGCAGCGAAACGACGGCTTGAGATGCAAAAGTCAAAAGACCGGCGGCAGACGGGCTCAGTTGAGAGGGCAAAGAGGCGCGCCACAGGGCAAGTTGAGGGCGAGGGAAGGCGTGAACGTGGTGGGCGTGGCAAGGCAAGGCAAGGCAAGCGAGCGCATTGCAGCGCAGCGCAGACACCAGCGACCCAAGGGCGGGCGCTGGGTACTTTGAGTTTGGTGGTGCCAGGCCGGCGCGGATGAGTACCTTTTGTCTTTTATTTAGCGTCTGTTGTCTGCCTCTATTGTGGAGGTAGGGAGTCTGTCTGTGGTGGTGGGTGGGCGCAGCAATCCACCATCATCGAGCCTGCTCATCAGAATAGTGCAAACAGGCAAGCAAAAAAAGTATGCTGTATGTATGTATGTAGGTACCAGCCGCCTGCATCCTGCGTGGCATGGCATAGCCTCCGACTCTTTCCCTCCAGCGTCGGTGGGCTGTCTCCCCCCCCCCCCCCCCCCTCCCGGTACCAGATGCTGGCCACATGCGCTACCACCGCACCACACCCTCTCCTCTCAACCCACCATCTTTCCTTCCTTTCTGTCTCGCCTTGCTGATCTCTTACTCGCTCGCACACTGTAGCCGATGGGGCCGGAGTCGAAGCTTGTCCTGGTCGGGACTGGAGTCTGTCCTCCTAGCGGCAGAGCGTGTCCCAGAATGAGTGTCCACCTCTGCCTCTAGTCCAGGGGCGTCGCGTTCGTAAATGGCCGGTGAGACAAGTCCAGTCCATTCTGCCCTCGCCTTGTTTGCGATTTCCCACAACTAGTGGCTAGTCAGTATGGAGTGAAAACAGAGTTAGCCATTGCGGTCGCTTGCGGAATCGAGGCCGCAGTCGATCGCATCAATAGAATTCGGCGATCCTCTATTAGAAGCCATAAAATAGTTAGATACCTTGCTGACTACAGAAACGTCATTGTACCTTGACTTTTAGCCGTCTCGTTGCCACCCTTCACAGTGTCATTGTGGCTGGGCTGCCATGATTAAAATAGCCAATATATCGCCCTGTGTTGATTCGCATCGTGCTTCGTGTCACCAAGCAGAGGCGATACTGCCTCAGCTGGTAGGTAAATTGATCCGCCCTGCAGAGCATTCCGTAGCACAGAAAATCAAACCAATCATTCTTCCACCCGAGCTATATACGCTGCCTTTCCAGTATTGGTCTCGGGGCGCCTGTTCTCGTCGATAACTATCCAGATGTCGTCTCTTCACCTCACACAAACCCGGCCTGGCTGCATTAGTTAGTAACAGAGTCATACTCGACGCTATACAAGGAGAAAGATTTTCTCGAGCATAATTCGGCTTATCATCAAGCCATGAAGACATCACCACATGCCAGCCACAACACAACAAAACACATAGCCCAAACCCTTCTCTCATTCGATCCTATCGCCAACACAAAGTGTCTGGGGTTCGGCGGTGGGCTGCCATGGAGTGTGACTATCCAGGCAGGGAGTGCAAGCAAGATACAAGCCCTGAAAGAGGCTTAGCTTTGACGAAATAAAGAGGGTATGCGCATCAATCCGCCATGTGTTTTCTAATCCGACCAATCAGGCGCCGAGCGCATCGAGTTGTGGAAAAGTCAAAGTCGAGGGGGGCCAGAGAGCTTTGCCAGCCTAGCCAAATCCTAAAATTTGTGGCAGACCTTGTGACGCTCTCGGCCCGCTGTTTTCTTCTTTTCTGCTGGTGCTTGCAAATGGCGTTACTTCTTTCGCGGCCATGAGCGCTACGTTTTGTAAGGTCGACGTGTTGTTGCCAGTAGTTTTTGTCGCAACGTGGCCACTTGCCCGTCGCGCGCTTTTGCCCTCAAAGGTGTGTTGGGCACTGTGCTAGAGTTCAAAAACATCTCTCATGGCTACTTCGCTCTCCCTTGCGGTATAGCTTTCCCTGTCGCCGCTATCTCTGTCTCGCTTTCCGCAAATTGTCGCCAAGTTGTGGTCCGTCCAGTTGGTCTTATTCATGCTTGTCGTAAATTTGAAACTCTTATTAGACGACGCGTGTTAATTGTCCATCGCCGTTCTGCTAGCCACCTACACCAGAGTGGGTAACAATAAGGATCAAATCTCACAGTGCTGTCCAACGACAACACTGTGGAGAGTGTTCGATCCGCTAACGCGGGCAGCGCGTTGAAATAGCCACCGCTCGTGTCCGATCTCGTCAGAATGGTAGATGGTTGTGCCGCAAGCAGTCCGATGTCGTCGAACATCTGCACAAGTGCAGGCCAATACGGGTTCTCGCAAGCACCTGATCAACACCAGGTGCAGTCCGTATTCTAGCAGCCAGTTTTCGATTGATATTCAAGTCGATGACTGCATTCGGGTGTCTGCTACCAGCCGCGTTGTGATGACGCCGTGGGCAGTTGTCGTGCGTTCCGAGGCGTAGGTGTACCAGGAGTTATGACGGCGTTATTTCGTAATAATCAGATGAAGTAAACTGTTTCCACCGTAATCCAAATAGATTGTGCTATGTCTCCCTCAACGGCGGCTATTGGGGGCACAAATCGTCCGATGCTATACCGGAACACGCGCAGCACCGTCGCGACCTAGGGTTTCACGGGCACTCCCGATCTCAACACGTTTGGGCCGCAAGCCGGGGCCACAAGTTGCGTGGAACGGCCTTGTGCGCCTATAATCCACCGTTTGTATGTGCTGTCATCCATGCTGCCCAGTCTTTGGCGTGCATAGTTCTCGAATGCGTTTTCGTTGATCCCAGGGATCCTCGTGATTGATAGTCAGCGCGTATACGAATCTTCATCACTTATTAGCTCACCCCCTTGTTATGATCCCAGCCGCGTGGTCCCGAGTACGTACATGCATCAAAAAAGCCCCCCGGCCCACCGTCATGCCGGTAGTTTTTCTGAAGCAACCGCACATCACCACCGCTGCCGCCACAACCATGCGGAGCGGGCACTGGTGGAGGGCGGCTGGCCTTGAATGCGCGGCGGAAGCATGCCCCGCGACGATGGGCCCATAGGATCCTAGCACTGAGGCGGAGGGTCGACGAGGCCGGGTTTGTCAGGGTGGGTAGGTATGGCGATCGTCTGCCGCCGTGGTCCCTCTAGGTTGACGCAGATTGGCGAGCCGGTCATCGCGACGGGGAGGAGGGGCTATGTTGATGAGAGCTTGAAATGCTAGCCCAATAATACTGGGATAAGTCTGGGGGGTTGAATGAACATGGCCATTGCTGCAGAGTTCGTGCTTGGTCAATACTAAGGCAGAAACGAAAAGGAAGCTGCCAGCTGGCAGACAGTACCCATCCCGCGACGACGTGCCTGACACCTCAAACCACATCCGTCCACCACGTATTGGCCGATACATGCAGTGTTAAAAAGACTATTTTATTGCAGCCAGTCTCCGACACCCAACAGCCTTTCACTCGCTGTTTGATAGGCGGAGAATGGCGGAGAATGAGGCTTTCATACCCACCGCCGTGGTTGATGAACAGTTACGTACCCTATACACGGCGGAGACATTGCTTCAGCGTTCAAACACCACCATCTTCATCGTACAAAATTGCCGATGCTATATGGCAATAGATCTGTGCACCATTTTTCTAGGCCGACAGTGGCATTTATTTAGCAATGTACGCCTTGGTATAGGCATCCGCTATAAAAGAATTGCCCCGAGCGATTTTTATGTGCGTAAAGAGGCCGAGGTTGAATAAACCGGCCGGAGCGAAAATGAAAAGAGGATATAGCGAAACCGAAATAATGTACTGGTGATAATAATTGAAACTAATAATTGAAAGAATCCACGATGTCCCCATTAAGAGGTCTATGCAGAATGAAACAAAAAGAAGGACAAGCAGAAATTAGAGGGAAGCCGTTGTATTATATCTTTCCGAGACAGCTTTGGCACCCAGGTGTCTTCTTCTACCGACGTCATAGTTCCTGCGGATTTAAACCCATAAAGATTATTTAGACTATTCAAACATCTAAAAGCACAGTCTGGTTTTCCAGTATCCTTGTTTAGGCATAATACTTGGCTTACACCACGTCGACTGCCCTGGGTGTGCCCATGACCTCCCGCAGCTGGAAAATTAACCGAAATTCGTTCATGGCTTGCAGTTCGCCTATGGGGCCCTCCTTCATTATTCTTGGCAGCGCTGCTCCTTATTTGTGAGGGTGCTTTGTACGTGGAATATACTGATCTGCCAGGGGATGCTCTACCCTTGCCCCTCTCACCTTAGCTGGGGGCATGTTGCATTCAACAAACTCCCTTCACTGAGACCATTGCATCTGACGCAGCTTTTTCCGATTCTTGCACGTCAACGCATGCCTCTCACGCATCTTTATTACCTGGTCATACCGCCAAACTGTCAAGAACGGGTGCTCCTGCACCCACGTGCCTCAGACGTCACCCACCCTCCGGTAATCGAGAACTCTTTGGCTCACCGAGGTCCTGCAGATGAGCCACTTTGGCAACGTGATCCCGGGGGAGCATGTCCAGGAACGAGATTGATTATATGAAATGTGTAGGAAATTGATAAGACGATATGTTGATGGCTGCTGACATCGGAAGTGCGTAGGTTGTTTGCTGCGACATCCCTCTTACCTTTCAACCAGTGAATTGACGAAGAGGTAGATTCATCAACGACGGCACGCGAAATACAAATGACTATTATATAAGTTTTGAAGGCGATCCAGAGATTCTAAAACAAACAATAAGCTCTAAGATGTAGTAACACCCGTAAGCCGCCCATGTCCTTAGATAACCGTCCCATGTTGGAAATAAGCTCAGATGCCCGTGAATAGGTGTGTCGAGTGTCCGCGCCATATTTTATTAGCGTCCTACTAAGAATATCTAAAAAGAAAAGAGTAAAAAAGACAAAGAGCAGCATTGCTTCCTGCTGCCCTGTCAGGGTATGTTGCAATGGGATGGATAAATTGAGTGTAGTCGTGGGAAGAAGCCTGCTCTTCAAATCATAGAAAATGAGTGTACCTGCTCGGGGGGCGGGCACAATTGCTGTTGTTCATTGATGCCAGTCCAAAAGTGGCTTTTATAGAATTACGCAGCGTGGCTGGCCATTCTCACGGAAACGCAGTCTATGGCGTCGTTTTTGCCCACTCTTGGTAGTGTCGAACTTGAAGCCGTCGTCTGCGTCCGCCGCGCCAAGATAGTCGTCGTCTTTGCGGAGCATCTGTCGGGATAAATCAATGAATACTTCGTCAACGTTGGCTGACGCTTGTTAGCAATGACTTTCGCAACGGTGGCATGCAAATACGTACTACGAGTCCTAGCACTCGCTTCATAGTAAGGTGCGCCCCAACGCTGTGATATCGAGAAGCCTTTGGCGCGCGGCACTGCCCTGCTGTCTTCCAAATCTGCTTTGTTACCAACGATTACCATGGGAATATTTTCGTCATCTTTAATCCGAATAATTTCTTCCCGAAGGCCCGCGAGTTCGCTCAGCGAAGATGGTGACGTGATGCTGAAAACTAGGAGAAAGCCCTGACCCGTCTTCATGTACAAGTCGCGCATTGCAACTGCAACACTTGTTAGTCGAGAATTGTATAACGATTGAGTAACCGCGTACCAAACTGCTCGGTGCCGGCGGTGTCCAGACTAGCCAGGTCAGTATGGATGGCATGGCGATGTTAACAACGGTTCTCACATTTCTAGGACCACTTGACGACCCTGTAGAGAGGTTAGTACAGATAGTGTGAAAGTTGGAAGCATACATACGTCGACTTGTATCTGAGTGCGGTATGAATCTTCAATGGTTGGATCGTAGCTTTCAATCCATTCGTTGTGTACAAATTGGGCTGTAAGTGTGTCAGTCCCATTGCTCCTCGTGGATATTCACAGAACATCAGCATACCAGTCAAGCAGCTCTTTCCAACCCCGCCTAAACACATCAATCAGCCTAAGGTGTACAATGCAGTGTTGTGCGCGATATGAGGGTGGTACAAACCGGCGCCCAGGACCACGACATGAAGCTCTCGGCTGCGAGAGTATTAGCCACAATCCTGAAGAGAGTGTGATGGGTCGAATACTTTGAGGAGTAATTGAATCGCCCCATCGCGATTGAAGCGTCTGGGCGACGATTTATGAGGGTAGTGGTGGTTGCCGGGAAAATGAGTGAGGAAGCGTGTTGATAAGAGGGCCGACAATGGGCGGCAAGCGGCAGGGTGAGCGCAGATCGGGCAGCTGGTGAAGGCGACGGAACCCGAATATACGACGAGTCTGCGTGATTGGCAGGGCGGAGACGGCACAGGGATCCCGGATGAAAAGGGCGTCAACCGAATGTGCGCGAGCTGTCCGAAAATCTGAATCAATCAATAACTGGAAAGCAAAGGTGCAGGAGCTGTCGTTTTTGAGGGGCGGTGTGAGGGAGGTGGATGTGGGTGTATGTAGGTAGTAGACTGGTCTTGCTGGCCGTCGGTGGTTGTCGGCCGAGATGATGCAAGGACGTTGGCGAACTGTTTTGAGCAAAAGTATTCCCCTTTTCGCGTTGAAACGATTGAGCTGCAGCTGCGCGTAAGAAGCCCGTCGAATTTATTAATAAATGGACAGACGATTGGAAGCATACGTTTTGTGCGTGGGTGAGAAAATGTGGCCAAAGCTGGCAACCCGGTATGTTGTCGTCAGCGCAAGACGCTAGAGATGTGGGTTGATGAAGTTTTTGACGTCGAGCTGTGTCTCTTTTAATTTTTTTTGTCCCCTTCTTCCGTTCCAGGAGAGGTACCAGTGTACCAGACAGAGGAGTCGAGGAGATGAGGAACAGGAGAATCCACAAGCCGGGGCCTTGCACCCCAAAAATCTTGGGGTCGAAGCGGCGCCTAGTAGCGAGGACGAAACTAGGAAGTATTGGTCAAATCACTGCAAGGAATAGTTGAACCACCCGGATTGGCCTGTACAAGTGCCCGTTGCTTGAATGGTTGAGCCAGGTAGCTGGCCCGAAGCTGGAGCTGGCTGGAAGCTTGCTCCAAGAAGCAGTAGTGCGGTGGGGGTGAAAGGGGGGTGGCTTTCGAGCAGGAGTGGAACAAGTTCGTTGTCGATTCTATTGAAAGAAGATGAAAGACGAGCATCAAGGTGTTTGCATCGAGTTTTTCCCAGTGTTGTGTCTATCAGGCTGGCACTGGGCCGAGTTTTTGGTGGCGGCGCGCCGTTGGCGGGTAAAGTGGGAGGGAGTCAAGCGAGACACGGTGAGCTCGGCTGCTGGGTTGCGATGAAATAAAACAGAGTAAGTGGTTGAGGAGGCGTGAGTGCTTCTTTCGGTACCATAGACGACTGGAAGTAGAAAGCAAAGTCCGGGTAGCTTTTGATAGGAGAGGGAGATGAAATCGGAGAAAGCGGGATCCAGAGCGGCGACAAGAAAACGGGTGTCGTGGTGATTTGGTAATTGATGTTGGCAGTACTGGAGAGTTACTTGCGGGTTGGCGGGCTGTTGGTTGCGGCGGATGTACTGGGCAGGTAGATGCGCGGTTTGCACTTGGCAGCCAGGCAGCGGGTGTTTGTTTGTCGGTACTAATACATACGGTAGGCAAGGTATGTACATAATTCGTAGGTAAGGCACCAATACCAATTACTGACCGACAGGCCAAGCAAGCATGCGCTGCAGTTCCAACAAACTCAAAATCAAGAATAAATGAATGGAAATGGAAGCACAGATAATAACAAGACGCCCTCTAGCTGAGACGCGAGGCTTGCTCTTTTGGAAATAAGTGGTTAGCGGGGCGTCCTAATTTCACAAAGTGTACGGATACTTCGTGCGGATACGGGTATCAACAAGGTACATATGTACATATGTAGGTACATAGGTAGCACAGTAACGTTAGGTAGCAGACGAGTTAGGCCACGACTGCGATTCTACCCCGTTGCAAGGTACATGTTTCGTGTCGTTTTATTATTGCAAAGCATATCCCCTGCTTGTTTCTGTTTGCCGAGTAAGAACGAGTACTGGGCCGTCAATTCTCTCAACGTGTATTGGTCCTCGCATCGGGACCACACCCGCGCTGCCTCTTGGGCACCAATGGTTCTCTCGGATCGGCAGAACAGGAAAGAAAAGAAAAAAAAAACTCAATCCCGGTGGCGGCATCGTCTCATGTCCAAAGTAAAAAAGCCTCGATATGCAGGGAAGACAAGAAGCGCCGAGCAGTCGGGTTGCCCGTCCCGGCCCCTGCTCCGCGGCCCCGAGTGGTCAAGCCCAGTTACTACAAAAGGGAAGTTGATGTGTCCATCATTAAGCCATTGGTAAGAGGGATTAATAACCCTTGTCAAGTTTTCTCTTTGCTTTCTTCACCAGTATGTGTCCTCTGAGGTTTCTCTCTCGTTCCCTCTCTCTTTTTACCTTTTTTGTTTCCGCGCCGTCGCCGTCTTGTTTCATACCTTGCGTCTCCAAATCTATACTAGGAGCAGGGCTCCTATATCGCGACCCAACAACCCCATATTATCCATTGGGCTGTCACTTGTTTTCTATTAGACAAAGGATTCATGCGTTTCGTCTCCAGCTTTAACCTGCGGGTATGTATATTAAACACCACATGGACTCAGGGTTCATAGTTGCAGCTGTCTATTTTGCAGGGCGAATCCGCTGCAACTAATAACTAGTGTCATGACAGTTCACCGAACTTTCTGCCTCCCTCCCTCCGCGCCCCGTTGGCCCTGCATCTGGCGCCGTCGGTTGGTTTCTGTATGCATGCCATCAAATGGCACGTTATGTTGCCCTGGGCTCATAAATAACCGGTTGCCTTCCGTTCTGGTCCCAACTAGGCTTGTCCACAGACCAGCCTTGTTTACTATTCAACCGATATGTACGAGATATTGTAATCATAAAGTGTGCGAGAAAATGCTTGCTGCCCAATCACCAGCTTGAGCTCTTGACCCTATAATCGCCTAACGTCGCAACAATAATTATTATCCACAGGGGAAGCTTGGTGCGTGCACACCCTGTCCTTGGACTTTTCAAATCCGAGCGGCCAAACCTCCCAATGTCTTACCTAGTACCATCTGTCGCCGTCCTCCACGTTGCCGTTTTCTTGTGAAACATTTCCGTCTCCCACCTCCAGGTGCCAAGATCTGCCCTCTTCATCTCCGCTCTCGGGCCCAATGCAATGCGAACAAGCAAAGCAGCCTGTGGAGAGACGGACTCTGTTGGCTTTGAGAAACTCCACCAAACTCCAGTCGTCAAAGTTCTGATTACACATAGCTGCTTGTACCTGCAGCTCCTGATCGAAAGTGATTTCTCGCAGGGCCAGCCAGTAGCATCTATGTAAGTCGAACGTTGGGTGGAGGGCGACAGCTGAACTGATACTATTTGGGACCTGGCATGATTTTGTCAGGATACATCTTTGCGCCTTGCTTCTGCCTGCAACCATGATGCCACATTGAGCCACATGACATAATTAAGTCTCGTCTGTAATTAATTCAACATGTCTTCAATGAGCCCCGCATACACGAGAGACAGTCGGCAACCCGAACAGTAACTAGCATGCACATGAATCCGGGCTACTCAATTGGTCTCGTGAAATCCCAATTGAATCAACGCCAGCGGGAGCACCAGTAACTAACACATTGCAGAGGAAAACAGGCAAGGCCACAAAAGAGTAGCGCCACCATCGCGTTGTCCCATTCAATCGAACGCAACTGGGGCGCAGACTACATATGTACATCCACTATGAAGCCCCCGCACCCACTGTGGATGATTGATGGGTACTTTATCTTTTCAGCTACTTTTTGTCTTGCCTGTAAAGCCTCCTCATGACCCAAACATCAGAGAAACAAACTCGGCAGAAAGCACCGTTATCTGCCTTGTTGTAAGACATGGCTACCCTGTCCTTGATGAAGTGCTGCCTCGAGCCAATGGAGCTGTAAGCGTGGTGTCAGAGTCTAAGATAACACATACAGTCTGTCACGAGATAGGCGGCTGATACCCTGACTGCTAGGTTCTACTTCATGGTCGTAGAGTCCAGGGTCCCCGGCTTTACAGGTGCTACCTTCCTATTTTCTTCGCTAGAAAGAAGTTGGGCTGAAAATTGCAGCCCGATACAGCATTGACGACTGCTTCCTTTGGCCAAAGCCGGATTACGGTGGCTGGCCCACACGCATGAAAGCACTGGCCAGTAGCCTCGGAAACAAAAGATGTAACCTATAGGAAAAGCTGGAGACCGGCTGTTATTAGCCTGTCCAAAGGGTAATACTGATCGTCTTATAATGAACGGCTGTGAACATGTTGGCAACGAACTTGATGGGGTGAGCAATTAACGAGTACAGGTTGACACCTGATGTGATGTATGGATGATGTGGCGTGAATGACTGAATAACTATGACCCATGGACAAGCTTGCACAATAAAGAAGTAATCAATACTTCCCGACAAAGAAAAACAAAAAAATGCCGAATTTTCAGGATATTCAAAAGGAACGCTTCAAATGCTGGAGGTTGGGCGCGACCGTCCGCCATTCGCGACGCTGCCTCGTAACTCGACGATGAATCTGAAAATCAAAGCCTAGCGCCTCATATACCCTTTCAAGCGCAATTCTCAGAGCGCTAATCATCATCGTCATCATCGAACACTTTGAACTTTACCAGGGCCACGACGACACCAATAATTGCTGCAACGATAACCGTCGTGGCAAGCGTGCCGATGAGCCATTTGCGTCTGTTCCTGCGTCGATTTCTATCATCCAGCCTAGCTTGGTCAGGGTCGTACTCCTTGTAGCCGCGCTCGAGCGCAGATGAGGCGTTGCTGCGATTCGCGACGTGGCCAATCGCGTTCTGGTACACCGGAAACGTCGTCATGGGAATCGTTTCCTGCTGCTGCTGGGCACGACTTGATGCTGACGGCGGGGAGTTGAATATCTCGTGCCCCGCATAAGAATCGTCGTTCCCAGAATAGGACGGCGAGGCGGGTTGCGTCTGTGGCGGGCGATGCCGAGGAGCTGCACTGCTGTCCCCTGTTCCAGGTTGGTACGGTGGCGGCGGCAGTTCGGAGCCCGTGGGCTGCGGCAACACGACACCCGACGGCCTGCCGGCAGAAGAAGACGGGGCGCCTCTTGTCCATTGGGACTGTACCGAAGGTGCGCTATCGAGGCGTTTGGGGCAAGGCAGTGGATGGCTTTGGGAGGATCCGGGGGGTGGCGTAGTAGAGTATGCTGTGCTTGGCCGATAATTTGATTCGGGATATGCGGCATTGTCGATGACATCAGAAGCAGGCACTGTTGATATGCCGACAGCTGGCGAGTACCCTCCACCTGGTCCGAAATTCGAAGTCTGATAGGCAACCTCATGGATATGCCCTGATGGCGGATAAGGCTTCGAGTCTTGCCCAAGAGCGTTGGACTGTGACGACGAGGCACCTGGCGGTGGGGGTGTATATCCCATGCCGGGCTGATGATCCGACTCTGGATAGGCAGCATTGTGCAAGTCGTGTGATGGATGGCTGCTCAACTGATCACCCGTAACCTGAGGATCCATCTGGTAGTATGAGCGGCCATTGGTATTCGAGCTGGGGTAATCCATGTTGGATAGATATTTGGTATCGCGATCTGGCGCCGAGGAATAATAGTTGAGACTTTTGTGCCGACCGCGAGCAAACTGTAGTGCTATGCCGCTTTGCCGACGAGCGAAAGATTATTCTCGAGTTCTGAATCCCGAATTTGTAGAGACTTTGCGCTTGTCGTCGGGCATGAGCATGCAGGGTTTCCTCCAAGGCGCGGAAGTAGAACACAGAGGGACGCGATAATGTAAAAGGAGGAATCTGAGAAATTTGTCCAAAAAAAAGGAGACGGATTGATTATATGGCGAAGATGTGCGTCCAATGCGCCAGGTGCTGTCGCAATCTGACGTGTGGAAGTAAGAATGCAACGCTGCTGCGTGGGGAAGGGAAGCAGTTTGCCGTGGGACGAGAACCACGCCAATCGCAAACAGTTCCGCGAACGTTCGAAGTGGTAAAATTTGCAATTGACCGTACTCGTCCGTACTCCTCAGCTTTCTGATGGGTGAGTTTGAGAGCGATATCCTCGATTGACGAGCATCCGGAAAATATATCGCACACAAAGGAAATCGGTGGTGGCTGTACGGGCGGCGCAGGCCTGCCATGTCAGCGCGACCCCGGCCTCCGCCGGGCTCACACACCGCAGAAGACCATAATAATAATAAGCCACCAACAGCCAGCTGGCCTGCATGCGGCTGTATGGGCCGCCCTTGTATTGCAACTCTGCAATGCTCAGCCCGCAATGGAAGAGGTGAAGCTGCCAAGGTGAGCGAGAGCCAGGCCCAGTCCAATCAAATCGGGGGATGTGCGTAGCCGAAAGCCGCTCTGGCTTGGCCGGCCGACAGGCTTGGATTTCAGTTTGAACGGCTGGCAGCCTTCTGTTTGCTTGCCAGCTGTCAGGCAAAGCGGCAAAGCGGCAAACGGCCGGTCACGATTCTTGTCCCTACTACGTTTTCTTTCCTCATGAAGTTTCACTTGTTCACCATCATCACCTCCTCCTCGTCTACTGAATTTTCTCTTCATCGATGCCAATCGTACCCAATTCCGAACCATCCAAGCCAACACCGCAATTAGCGCCATCCTCCGCCAGGGTCTCCTCGTCTGACACACCATCTCGAATCCCGTTTTTGGTGCCCTGCCCAAGCTTACTGTATCCAATGTTACAATACTCCGAGGAGATTGACGACAGTCCACCTTGCGCCCAGCTCAGCCCCTTGCCCCCGTATTTCGCCGTCATTGCGTCTTTCCTGCTCCGATGCAGGATGGGTCTTCGTCCCAGCCACTGCCGACACCACTGATCTCTCCCGCAATCAGGTCAGGGGAACACGACACAATGTTGCCACAAATGCTGGATTCCCGAATGTTTAGCGCTCTCCTCCACGTGGCAGTAGAGAACATCTACTACCAAAACACTCGCAATATCTAAATCGGGCCCAACCCTAGATGGCAAATCGCTATGGAATGCTATTCTTCCGACTGCTGTTTTCGAAGCCGTCCTCTCCACCTTCGCACACGAGCCTGCCGTCTTGCCCCTTACGTCGTTACATTAAGCCTCACAAGGTTGACTTAGGATAGCTGAAAATCAAAGCACAACTGTGCCGAAGATGCCCATAAAGGAAAATGAAAATGAAAATGGAAACGCAGAAAGTTCAGCACGTCTACCGCATACTCTTGAGTATCTGAGCCTGAGAGGGGCTTGTCTGGACGGGTCTCTTTCAGGTCCAAGGCCGGCTCGGATTCTCGTGGAATCGAACATGGCAAACGTCCTGACTGTCCTTGAACCCAGCTGTATGCTACGTTGCAAAGCAAGCAAGTGAATTATCTTAGCTAATGGTCACCCGCAGCGCCCCGCATGGGTCTGCTGCAAGAGTTGCCCAGCCTTACTTGAAGGTGGGCTGGCTGTCAAGGGTGCTTGCGATATTCAAGCTCCTTCTAGAGGGATTTCCTACCGAGTACTTAAAATCGAAGCAACGGAGAATGGATCCCGCGTCTGTCATCGGGGTTATTGGCGTCGTCACCCAAATCACACAGGCAATTTATACCTATGGCGACGCCGTCAAGGACTGCAAATCGGAAGTCGCGCAGCTGCGATGCGAGCTGTTCGGCATGCATGCTGCTTTAACACAGATGGACCAAGACTTGAAACTGGCTCATGGGAGTAGCAGCACGTACTCTGTTGTTTCGCCCAACTTACACTCTCCGCAATGCCAAGAAATGCTCAACGAGACGCGTCGGGTTCTCGAGAAGCTTGCGAACACTCTCACGACTGGTTCATCGAGGCCCGAGCGCCTAACAAAACAACTGTTATGGCCATTGAAACGGCCTCAAGTCCAGGCCCTGGCTAAACACTTGGAGCGACTCAAGACATTTTTTATCCTCACGGTGACACAGGATAGTCTACAGGCCGCGCAAGATATCCAGTACTCTGTTGATGAGATTTCTAAAACCGTCCAGGAGGTTTTGCAAAAGCAGGATGAGGATTCTGTGTATTTGGATGCTATGAACTGGCTTGCACCGTACGATCCGAACAGGGCCCATGCGACGGCTTCGTCTTCTCGTCTAACAGGCACAAATTCCTGGTTCTTGGACGAGATCTTCCAAGACTGGGTCGCAGGAGCGGGCTCGGTTCTTTGGCTCAATGGAAAACCAGGCTCTGGAAAAACATGCCTCATATCTGCTTGTGCCGACAGGTAGGCTACTACTATTCGCAATTCGCCCCTCTTGGGATACTTGTCTGATCGCGCCTTTGCAGACTAGTACAGACAAACTGCGTTGTTTCCTACTTTTACTGCTCTTACAATGATTTATCATCACAGGAGCCACGAAACATACTTGGTTCGCTCATCGCTCAGCTCTGCCTGCAGCGCGCGACCGCACGCCATATCGCCCTTGAGGCTTATCAAGAGTCCAAAGCACGCAACAGCTTGCACGAGATATGCCAAATCCCGGTGCTTATTTCACTGATGAAAAGGATCATGCCTAAACTATCCACTCAGGCTTTCTTCTTCGTCGATGCCGCGGATGAGTGTGGGGATAGTCTACGTACTGCGCTGGAAGCGCTCTTCCAACTCGTCAACGGCACCGCACGGCGCGCCAGGCTCATGATTTCAAGCACCGAAAATGTGACGCCGACAATTCGAGAAAGCATATCATCACACAACATATCTGCAAGTGAAGTCAACCTGGGTATCGCCAGGGTTAGCAGCGACATTAACGCATACATAACGGCCCGATTTGCGCGAGAGTCCAGACTGAAGCAACTGCGACATGATTTAAGGATATCACTCATTGAAAAGCTACAGTCCCAGCACCAAGGGTCCTTTAGGTGGACAAGTTGCACAATCGACGAACTCTTACGCCGTGCTACGCCAAGGGCCATCAAGACTGCCTTAGACGGGGTCGCCTCCACGCTGGGAGACATCTACATGGAAATTCTTCGAAATATTCCCAGCGACATGGTGGGATTTGCTAAGTCCATGCTGCAGTATTTAGTGTCGGCCATGCGACCACTGACTCTCGATGAGCTCGGCGAAGTAGCATCCCTCGTTTTCACCAGTGACTTTGAGGAAGATGACCGTCTCATCGAACCAGAGGCTATCGTGTACTCGTTGCATAGCCTAGTTCATTGTGATGCTAGTAACCAACGCATCGAGCTCGCGCACTCGTCTGTCCGCACCTTTCTCACTAACCCCGAATTGTCCGGAGCATTCTACACTGACCCGGCAGTCGCAAACGCCACCATCTCGAAGGCCTGCCTTTACTACCTCGCGTTACCGCCGTTTCAGCAAACTTGCCCTGATGAGGCGGCACTCGGGGCGCGCAAGCGGGCCTGGCCGTTCTTTGAGTACGCTGCGTGCTTCTGGACACGACATGCACGCGCCATGGTGTCACCGCTGTCTGACAATGACAAGCAGTTCCTGGCCCTCTTTGCCAGCTTTGCCGATTCTGCCGGTCACTTCTCGGCGTGGTATCAGTGCGTCTACCCCCAAGGGGGACCAAGCATCTGGAACACGCAGCCGCTATACATGTGCGCCCGCGAGGGACTTGCTGGACCACTTCAGGTACTCCTGGTCCGATGTAGTCGTGAAGAGCTTGAGCAACGTGGTGGCGCACGCGGGTCCACAGCCCTACACGTCGCGGCTACCTACGGTGAGGTTGAGGCTGTACGGCTTTTGCTGGCCGCTGGTGCAGACCCCAACGAGCGCAACGCGGTGGGTGAGAGTGGCATTCAATGGGCAGCCTTCTGGAGCCATGGCGAGACGGTTCGAGTGCTTCTCGAGGCAGGCGCATCGCCGGATTTACTCAACTATGATGCCAACTCGGGGATATATGACCACATGCTGCTGCATTGCCAAACTTCAATCCCAAGGCATACCGGCACAGAAGGCGATAGTGGTTTTGATCTGAGGGAACTCCGTTCACGGCTTGGAAGTTATTCAAAGCTATAACTTTCCTATAAGGCTTTACTGACATCCACCGGCGAGGCTTGGAATCGCGCCGCTGGTAAAGCCACAATGGCGTGGAAGTTACATGGCGTCGAGAGAAGTAACGCTTTGTTTCTTATCGAGCGCTTCGCAGCCTGAATTGTGCTCCGAATTTCAGCGCATTGAACGAGGTTTCCTCGTGGATTGATACTCGGTGTGGCAATACATATCACTTCACCAGTCAGCCTGTTCACCAAACTTTGACTACCACAAACGTCACCAGAACAGGCTCGCCTAGTATCTATATGGTGTGTACCGACGTTACCGAAGTTTCGCCCAGTTTATTCCCAGTTTGTCTTTGCGACCAAATCTCTACTGTTGTCGCGCCAGACAGCCGCGCCCTTCCCCATCCCCTCAAGACATTCATAAACTGCAGCTCGAACAGATGCATTTAAGACAATGCGTTTGCGTGGAACGCTATACAACAAGGCGTCATTCATACAACTAGGCCCGTTGATATCTGCGGCACTTAGTTCACAAGCCACGCCAACCTTGTTGGAAACTCGACCAGTCAGGAAAAGCTGGGGCCAAGCCTCCAACGATATCTCGAAAAATTTGAACGAGGCCAAGTCTCGTGTTACTATTGTTTGCGATGATCCCCGCCTTTCAAAGACTGGGTTCCTTTTTTAGGACTGGCGCCGGCAATGTTGGCCCATCGAGCTAGCGAAGCCAAAACGGGAACGAGGTGTGCACCATCATCAGCCTTGTTATAACAACGGGCGAACTCGGACAGTCTTTATAACTGCTGCCGAGCGCTTCTCAGGTAAGGCTTTGACCGGCGACCCGCTTGTACGAAGCTCAAACGTGGCTTGGTGAGTGTATCATGATGATCGTTCTGGCCCTAGTTCTTTGAAGCATGCTGTGGTCACTGCTATATAAGTCCCCGGAGCATTGCCATGAGTTATGTCTTTGTTCTACACCATTACCATTTACACTAAAGCAAAAAAATGGTAGAAGGATTTTCTCAAGCTCCGCCTCGTACGGCGTTGCCAAACCTCACACTTCACAAGTCTACAGTCCGCGAGGACATCGACCCGATCGCAGTCGCCAAGACATGGCTGGCCAACCTTGTCACGAGCGTCGCTGCGAAAAACGACGCCGCCTTTTCTTCTCTCTTCTTCGAGGAGTCCTGGTGGCGCGACTCTGTTGGCTTCTCATGGACTATCACCTCTAAGAACGGTCCGGAGGCCATTTCTAAGCTCATCCTGGGCTCCGAAGCACATTTTGAGAATGCCAGTGTCATCTCCGCCGAGCCAGCGCTAGCGCCGCAGCTCGTGGACATGGGCCCGATGACTATTGTGCAGTTTGGCTACGCATTCACAACCCAGTACGGGCATGGCCGGGGCATCGTCCGCCTAGGCAACAGCGATGGGCTGGACAACTGGAGGGCATGGACTGCCTCGTCGCAGCTCGACAGCCTTCGCGAGAAGCCCGTCAACAGTGGGGTCAACGGAGTGGCTACGCCTAGCTCTAACGACTATCAAGTCTTGATTGTTGGCGCAGGTAAAGTTAACTCTCAGTCACGCACATAGACCTCTGTCTCATGACTTGTAACTAGGGCAATCCGGTGCTATGCTCAGCGCATGGCTTGGCAAGCTCGGCGTCCGCCACCTCGTCGTCGACAAGGCCACTCGTCCCGGCGATGCCTGGCGCGACCGTTACGCCTGCATCAAGGCGCACACACCAAGCTACGGCGATCACTTTGCGCTCCTTAACTTCCCCGAATCATTTCCCACATGGCCGGCGCGCGACGAGATTGCCGACTGGATCGACCACTATAGCGCCACTATGGGCCTGTCCATGCTCTCCGGCGCCGCCGTCACCGGGATCCGGCGCGACGCCGTTGGCAGGCGGTACTCCGTCGACGTTTCCCTCCACAATGGCGCTGAAAAGCGCACCTACACGACCACACACGTCGTCCTTGCCACGGGCGTCTACCCGGCCATCCCCGTCGAGCCCGCGCTGCCCGGCCGCGACACCTTCCGGGGGCAAACCTACCACACCGCCGCGCACACCTCCGCCGGCACTGTGGCGGACCTCGCGGCCAAGGACGTCATCATCGTCGGCTCCGGCACCAGCGCGCACGACGTCGCGCAGGACTTTGTCGCGCACGGCGCGCGCAGCGTCACCATGGTGCAGCGTAGCCGCATTTGGGCCGCGTCCACGTCCACCGTGGAGCAGTTCATCTTCTCAGCGTGGGCCGAACCCGGCCTCGACACCGACGCCGCCGACCTCCTCGGCACGTCGATGCCGCTGGCCGTCGTGTTGACGCTCGCCGCCGGAGCCGCGCCCGCCATGGCCGACAACGACCGCGCGCTCCTGGACGGCCTCGAGGCCGCCGGCATGCGCCTCGCCCGCGGCGACGACGGCGTCAGCCTCCTCGACTACCAGGCCGTTAAAATTGCCGGCTTCTACATCGACCAGGGCGCCGGCGCCATGATCGTTGACGGCCGCATCCGCGTGCGCTACTGCGCCGGCGGCGTGCAGACCTTTGACGATGGTGGCGTCATCCTCGCGGACGGCACGGCGCTCCGTGCAGATGTCGTTGTCTTGGCGACGGGGTACAAGAAGATGACGGCGACCATGGAAGAGCTCCTGGGCAAGGAGTTGGCGAGCAAGGCGACTGATCCATGTAATGGCTTAGACGCAGAGTCAGAACGCGCTGGTGTAAGTCTACCCATTTTCCTCTTTCAAGAAATGCCCCCGTCCCTTCTTCTTTTTGTTCAAAACAATTCCTTCTCCTTTTTTGGCTCCCCTTATAATATGTCTGTACACCAAGAATATTGAACTAACAATGGCGGACAGCTCACGCGGCCAACCGGTGTGCCTGGCCTCTGGTATATGGCTGGTAGCTTCATGATGTGCCGGCAACTGTCCCGCCTCCTCGCGCTGCAAATCGCTGCCGTGGAGCGCGGCATTAACAGGACGCACTTTGCCAGTGCCTCCGCCTGTAGTCCGCTCTAGAACGAACACTTGTTACTGCTGCTCGGTCGATTGTATTACGAGACTGCATACTCATAGGTAATCTGGTCATATTGTATTGATGTTGGATAACGAATAAAAAATAAAAAAGACTGGCTTTGCTTCTCTTGCTCGAAATGAGAGTATTCTGTCTTCGCTTTGTGCCCGCTCTCCCGTCATCTGAAAGAATACCAGAATGGCTAAAACTGCGTCTTTCCCATCATCCTATGCACAAGACTTCCTGCTACACATCATCTTCAAAAAATGTACAACCAAAACAAGAGTAACAAAATGTGGAGTATCGAGAAGACAAAAAAACCAGCAAAACCATTTCAACCTTTTTCCTTCAGAATGAACAATTATATAAAAATCCCCGAATCCATTAAAAGAACCTAGCCCAATTTCCCATTACCAACCTATTCTCTTCCCCCTTCTCTTTTTTTGCTGCCCCAATTAATAAGGCGGACGGGTAAGGTTACCGAGATTGCCCTCATCAGACGTGCTGTCAATGCCCCTCAGCAAGTCTTGCAAGTCCATAGGACCTCGTGGCGCAGATGTAGCACCGTGACTGCCATTGCGCTGGCGACAAGTGTCCACACGCCCGCTAGCGCTGCGCTTCATCGACTTAGGAGACGCGTCGTGCCCGACAAGGCCGCCCGGCTGCTTGCTAGAGTATGCGGCAATGTTTGGCAACGGGGGTACCGGCGGGACATCGTCTACATCATCGGCGTCGCCGCTATAGAATATGGTTGTGCTGCGGTCTGTGTGCGACGTGGAGGGCGCCGCGCCGCGCGACGACACCGAAGCGTTGCGTCTGAAAAGGTCCTGTCCCGCGGGGCTGTTGGTGCTGTCCGGCTGTCCGGTCGCTGGGTTGAAACTGAGCTCGGACATGGTGTAGTCGTAGCTGACCATAGAGTCGCCGCTGTCATCGGAGTCGGGGTTAGCAGCGCCGGGGATGCCAGCGGCGCGTGGAGAGACGTTGCCGGAAAGCATCATCTTGAGCTGATCGACAGACGCGATGGCCCCGCCCTTCTCCCTTTGTTGGCTGGGCGACGGTGAAGGGGCATTGGCACTCCGAATACTCGTCTTGCGCATCTTGTTTAGCGAGCCGAAACGATCCACGACCATCTGGGGTTGCGCCGAGTGCGGCCGCAGGTTGTGCAGGCTTCCGTAAGGGGATGCAGGAAGAACAGTGCCGTTGTGGGCACCATTAATGCCGCCGGCCGTGTTAATGGTCAGGCGGTTGCCGTGGTTGGTAGTGTTGCCCGTCTTCTTCGAGCCCGCCAGGGACTCGGCCCTGCGCTGCGCGGCAATCGTTGCAATAGTACCATCGCGGGACCAGTCGGCGAGCAACTGCTGGCGGTAGTTTGTGGGCAGCTCAGAATCGCGCTCCGTCTCGCTGATAGATTGCATGCTAGAGCCAAATGGCGGTGCCTGCTGACGGCCATTCGGCGAGGCGGCAGGGCTGGAAGGCGGCGACTGAACGCTGTCCTGGTAAGCCGATGCAATACTCTCCACCAGCGATATTCTGTCATCGAAAGGCAGAAGCTCGCCAGTCTCAACGGCCTTCATGTCCCAGGCGGGGTCCTGTCCAGCACGGCCGAGAACACCAATCTCGTACAGGGGCTTGGGAGGGATCGTGATGCCCTCGATCCAGAACTGCGTCTGCTGGCGGCGTTTAATTTCGTTGTGAATGGCACGGCCAACATTGGAGTTTTCGAGCTGGAATTTATCTGTGATGCTCCAGAAATAGCCGTGGCAGAGCGCGGCAATGCGGACCTTTTGGATCGGGAGCTCCACCTCCTGAATCTCCTCTTGCAGGCGGAAGATCATGGGCAAGCCGTAGCGTGCGGCGTTGACTCCCAGCTTCGCTGCGAGCTTGGAAAGTAAGGCGTGGAGCAGGCACATGTCGCTATCAAAGTCGACAAGCTGCAAGGCTGAGTCGTAAACGGCGAGGTGCAGCATGGGCAGGAAGTGAGAAACGTGGTGGTTCTTGAGCGGCTTCTCACGGTGAGCGTTATGGGACACGCTGCGTCGGGAAGGGAGTATATCTGTATTTTTCGAAGGCGACACGGGGCTCTCAAAGTCGTCGTCAGCGTTGCAGTCTTGGGGCACGGTCTCTCTGTCGAGCCAGATGAGTAGAGCGTCAACATAGGCCTTACGAACGCTGCCGTTGGGATCCTGCAGCAGCCACTGGGTCTCCTCCCAGACCTGGATGGGCACGCGGCTTCGTGAAAGGCTCATATCGCCTGCCACCTTCTTCTGAGGGTTAGCGACGACTAGAATGGCCTTGATAGCGCGCAGAGCAGATGCGCGACCCGACGTGTAAGACAGATACTGGTCATTCTGGGAGTTTTGTGTCGTTTCGGCAGAGCCAGGCTCGGGAGTGATGGCAGCGTGCGACTCGCCATTTTCCAGCGTGTTTGGCCTTTCAGCATGCGGTGGAGAAGCGGTGCTGCTGGCGTTTGTAGGCTTCAGGCGAACCAGTATGGCGGTAATCATATCCCAGACTTGATCGGCGTAGTAGATGTGGTGCGCCAAATCTCCAATGCAAGACTCGAGGCGGTTAAGGAGGTTCGCACGCAGAGAGTCGCGGGTCGCATGAGGGTTGTCGAGCTGTTCATCGCTGCCGCTGCCCGAACGATTGCTGCCGCTGCGAAGCTGGAAGACCTTGCGCATCTGACGGATGAGGCCGTGCAGAACATCCATGACGCTCAGGCCAATCAAGTTGAGGTCAGAGCGCAGGATGGAGCTGATGATGGCAGTGTACACAATGTGCTGCTCGAGAGTATCCTCCTTAAGGACAGCAGTACCCATGGTGTCGAGGGTGACCAGCAAGATGATGTAGCGATCCTGGACCGGGGCCCAGCGAGAGATGATGTTGAAAATCTGGATGCAAGGGCCCGCGTCGACATTGTTGACGTGGTCATGGGTAATGACTCTCTCACCGGCGGCAGCGCGCTGGATAATGAAGTTTAACAGGGCAGTGGTAGCGGTGTGAATCTGAGAGCGGTTGGGGGCGACATAGATGCTCTTGAGACACTGCAAGGCTAGAACGCCCGTCTCTTCCTCGGCCATGTTGTCAACGTCGGCGCCGGTGCCAGAGATGGCGAGAGGACTAGCATCGGCGGGCTCCTCGTTGGTACGGACGGTTGCGATGCTTGTCCTGCGGCGGACCGTCTTCTCGGCGTCGTACTTTTCTTCGGCCTTTAGGCGATCGTATATGACGTCAAGGAAGTTGTCATTGTCGGACCAGAGATTGTCGAGGATGACAGGGACAATTACGCTAATCTGACGTCCGGAGAGAGAGGACAGCGCATCGGCGGCAGAGACACACTTGATGGCGCTGAGGCCGACATTGCGCCACCGGATCTGGACAGAGCGGGTGACAGCAGGCTTGTCAGCATGGTACTTGTTGGAGGCGAGCTCGGCGTAGCTGCGGATGACGGCGCGGTAGTGGGTGAGGTAGTCGCCGTCGCCAAAGAGGGAGCTAGGGTCGTGGGTTTCACAAAAGGCCTCGAAGGTAGGGATGGAAGATTCGATCATTGTAATATCGTTGGAGCCGAGGATGAGGTTGAGGATCTTGAGGACGGTAGGAGCGATGAGGGTAGCTTCCTTTGGAGACTTCTCGAGGAGTGCGGCTAGGATGGCGAGAGTGACTTGGACATTGCTATGGAAGAGGGAGGGAGGAGGGAGAGTTAGCATGGAATAGAGTGGCACGTTGGAGAACGGGTTGGAAGCGCGGAGCGGAATTGGCGAGCATACCCAATGCGCATGCGCCAAACGTCAGAGGACGTCTTCTTCTCGAGGAAGGCGCCAATCTTTTGGATTTTGGAGCGTCGGCTGGTGGCGTAGAAGAGCAGGTAGCTGAGTTCGCTGGAGTTTGGCTTGACGTCAACTGCTCCTTTTGTGATGCGGGGATAGCATTTGAGGACCAGGACCTGGTGCTTAGGCCGCAGCTTATTCTCCAGGGCATTCATCTTGCGTGTGTAAAGAGAGTATGTGTGGTTGTCGCGACTCGCGCTGCAGACTTGTTGGGGAGGTCGAGGTCGTTCGAGTAACGGACCAGGTGACACGGAACGCGCGGGAAGGGAGTTGACAGCGGGCGGCTATCGTGGTTGCGCAAAATCCAAGGAGCTGCAAGAGCAGCAAAGCAAGCCAGCCTCCCCAGTATGGGGGGAAGAAGAGCTGGGTATCGACAAGTTGGGCGAAGTGAGGAGGCCGTTGAGAGTCGGTTCGGTGTTTGCGAAAGGGGAAAGGTGATGACAGCTACAACGTTTTTGGTGGTCGTCGGGTCAGGACAAAACGAGATTCTGCAGGAGAGAACAAAAACCTGGGGAAGGGAATCAAAAAGTGGAAATTAAAAAAAAAAGGATGGACTAAGAAGAAGGAGGGGAAGGAAAGGAATCGGAGAGATTTGAAAGAGAGACGATCCCGAGCGAGGCCTCTTGGTGTTGGGGACCAGGTGCCAGGGTGGTTTGAGGAGAGAGGGAGAGACGATGGATGATGATTGCTGTGCTACTAACGCCTTGCCTCTTTTAGGTGCCTGTGATTAGGCGTGTCAGGGGAGGAAAGCTAACTGGGCTGGGCTGGGTAGGTACTTGCTGGGCAGCAATGATTAGGTGGGCCCGGATGTACCGGGGAGCTCCAGACCTTCAACGCGTTGATTCGCACAGCCACCTACAGCCACAGGTACTTGTTAGTAGGACGGATATTGAACAGCCACGATTGATTTGTGAAAGAAATCGGCAGTTTCAACTTGTAAATTGTTTGAGAGAAGTACTACCTAAAAATAAATGGAACATGGACAGAATACCTACAATTTTTCATTTAGTTTTCTGAAACTTTTTCGAGGCAGAGATGCACCGCTTTCTGGCTGTGACGAGAACAAGATACGGCAGAGCCTGTTATGCCGTGTCCTGTCACCAACTCAAGTCGCCACCATGCAGCCGAGGCCTGCCGCACGCAACCTTGATCGCTGACCTTGCCAGCCTCGAGCTTATGTACTTGTTACTGATTTACTCACTTTTCAATAGGTAGGTCAGCAAAATTTCAAACAAGACCCTGTGCCACGACACCTCATGGCACTGGGTTGGGTAATGTAGCTTTAATACGTCACCAACATTAGACTTGTAACAGACACCTTGTCTGCCCTTGCGTCATGAAACCCGTCTCAACAACTTGATTCATTTACCTGATAAAACAAAACACACGTTATGAATAGACCTTGCTGTCCATCATTACACACATCTCCCCCGCATCCTATTTTTCCCGGATGCGACACCTCTTCCATCACCCCTCCCCCGCAAAGCATATGCCAAAAAGTCCATTCCCTAGCCTCCATTTGCCTCGGCGCTTCCCACACCGACGAGGGGAATCCATGTAGCCGGGCCTTTCCTCCCCAAAGGATGGAACTACTGCAGGTAAAAAAAGCAAAAGGCCTGCTTGCCACTGGTCAGAAATGACCCTATCTTGCTCTAGCGTCTTCCTGTTGATGCCCTTTTCGCATTCCTCCCGCCCAAATCGTTGAAGCTTTCCCGCCATCTACATAGTTGCGCTTGTTACTGACTCTCCCGGCCCGTCCATACTTACTCGCAAGTACCCTGTACGACGATACGACGAAAACCCAACCCACGCACAAGGAATCGCGAAAGATCAAACCGGTGAAAATAACGCATCAGTTGCTCTCTTCACGTGTGTAGGTTAAGAATTTCACTTGTAAGCCTTCTAAATACTCTCTACTGCTCTCTCCCTATCGCCAACAGCTTCACCAGACTTCCCTCTCTACCCAGCCCGCCTATACCACATCCTGACCAGCGCACATGACGACATCATTTGACTTGAACACAACAACCACGGCTCTATTTGTTGGGACAAGAAAAAGCCCATCCTCTAGTTATTCCAGCTCCCGTTTCCTTCAATGAGAGGGTATCTTTGCCAATACTACACTGCCCACTATTCAACACCGTGGCTTGCATCCCGCCCAGCCACTGGCCACCCATCTCCACCAACCATGAACAGACCTGGCAGCCTTGCGAGTTGCTAGATCTAGCACCAGGTAACTCAAACAGTCTCCAAAACAGCCATGGCATGCATCAAACATGACCATCTTACTTCCATCATACACCCGAAGCCTAAGATTAGAAGGTTCTGATCGTAAAATTGTCTTTTAAAATGCGCTCGGCATTGTATATCATGACTCTATCCACCAACGCGCTATTACCCGCAACGCCTGTCCTCGGCCACAGTCTCCCTTTTACGCTACAGATGCAATTACCAGTGCCGCCACATTCTCCTCCTCGGTGCGCACCGTAATCTTTGTCGTTACACCAGATTTGGACGAGAATGCCATTCGCACCGTCGCCACTACCCGCCCGCCGCTTACAGTCTTGCCCAGAAGCTTCAGTGTATGTGTGCTCTGATTGACAGGAACATCCGTTCCCTCCAACGGTTGAAGTGACAGTGCCTGTGTGAGCTGTTCCGTCGCCTCTGTAAACTTGCATTAGCATTGGGTTCCTGGCCTTCAGAATCCCAAAAAAATCTCCTAAACTCACCTGCAATGCTCTTCATGCTGCTTAGCTGCAGAGTCTCTTCCGCCTCTTCTCCAGACGCTCCAATCTGTTCCCACAGGTGGTTGAAGTTGCTGGCAAAGGTAGGAATGATGTAGTCGCTGCCGGTAAGCTCGAACTCTGACACCTCGTACTCGTCGTCGTAGCCAGTCTCCTCCGGCTCGCCCGTTGACGGGTCAATCTCCTTGCTGGTGAACCGAAGAATGTTTGTAAATGATGAGACGGGCAGAGAGCCCTCGCCGTTCACCTTTTTAAACGCAACGTAGACCTTGCCAGGCTCATCCGTTGCGAGTCGATCAGACTGCAGGATAAATACCTCCTCAAGCTCGTCCTCCTCAGAGGGCGACGCTACCACTGACACGTTCTCCAAGATGGTATCTGGCAGGGTGTTCTTGACGTCGAATTGAAGAACAATGTGCTCCTTGAAAATATGCTTTACTAGAGACACAACATATTCCGTCTCCGCCTCAGTAAGCTCAATGACAGGTGATGACTTGAGCACGCTGCCAAACTCGGCCATGTCGGGAATGGCTGTAAGCTCCTCCGTGTATTTTTGTGCCTGCGCAGAAGCAGCAGCGGCAGCCTCAGCTCCAGATGCGGGAGCCTTGGTCGGGCCAGCCTTGGGTGCTTTCAGTGTAGGTGTCGTCGCCGTGAGTTTCTTGGTTCTGTCCTCGGCATCGGCCTGCTCTCGTGTAACGACAGGAATCTTTGAGATATCGAAGGGGTTCTCAAAGTTGCTCTTGTCGTCTGATGTCACGTACATGACAAGTTGGTGCTCAAAGTATGGCAGCGCGAACATGTTCTCATTCTTGACAAAGTTGCTGGCCATCTCGTCATCCTCCTCGCTCATGAGCTTCAGGTTGAGCGCAGCACGGTCGCGGACTTCGTCATCGACATCGTCCAGACAGCGAGTCAGCAGAACCTTGACACTGCTCTTGACGTCGGCATCAGTCTGTCCAACGCCGAACTTGGCCAACGCCGTCACGGCAGCCGCACGAACAATGGCGTTTTCCAACACGACACGGTTGTAGATGTAGCGAATATATTTGGTAGGGTTGCTGGTCTTGGGTCCCTCGAGACCAATGAGATGCAGGATGCGCACCGCAAGCTTGGTGAACTCGCAGTCCTCAATAAACTCGCACAGGTGAGCCAGTGCTTCGTCCTTGGAGTCAGGAACAAACTTGATCAAGTCGAACATGCTCTCAATGACAGCCTTCTTGAACTCATAGCCGCCCTCGTCGCGCAGGATGCCGCTGAGGAAAGTCAACATGCCAGCCTGCTTGCTGGGGAACTTGAGGCACAGTGTGCGGATGGCCTCGACAATGGTAATCTTGAATTCGTCGGTGATCTCGGACATGAAGCTGGCAATTTGCTTCATCAGTCGGTCGACACTAGCTTCGTTACCAGTCTTAAGAAGCGTCGTAATCGCAAACGTAGCAATGGAGCGGTTCGAGTTGGAGATGAGGAGCTCAATGTCTTGGTTGCAGGGAGCGACGGCGGTGGGCTTGAATGAAGCGAAGTTGTGAAGGATGCGGAGAGCGGCGAACTTGGTGACAGCGCGGGGCGAGGTGAGGAACATCTGGAGGACGTGGACCGCCTGGTTGATCTCATCGTCGGTGACGTCGCGAAGATCACAGATAGCCTTAGCGGCCTCAAAGTTGACCATCTCAGACTTGTGGCGCAACCAGCCTACGAGAAGCTGCGACATGGGCTTGCGTAGAGAGGCGTCCTCCTCAGCGAGCTGGGCGGCGAGCCTGACCAGCATGACGGTAGCAGGAGCGCTCTTCACAGCACCAGGGGAACCGAACTGTTGAACCATCTTGACCAGGGCCATGCGGTCGTGCATGCGCATCTGATAGAGCAGGCCAATGGCATGGTATTGCGTCATGCTCGAGTTGTTCACGGGCATCTGGTTGCTGGACGAGAAACCGAGGGAGAAGCCACCGCCAGACTTGGAGTTGGCGGCTGCCTCCTGGGTCTCGCTCTGCCAGCGGCGAACGACATCCTTGGCGATGGGGAGGAGGTGGTAAGAGGAAACGAGAGCGGCGGAGGAGACGGAAGAGTTCTTGTCGACAATCGCAGTCTTCATAACACGTTCGATCGATTGGACAGTCGTGGCCTAAGGGGAGGTCAATACGGAGCGCAAATAGGAGTAGCCATGATGATCTGGAGGACGCACGTCAATGATACGGCAGAGGGCTCTGATGGCATTAGGGCGGTAAATCGCATCGCTGCCGCCACCCGTGTCCTTCATAATGGTACTCGTGACCATGATAATGTCCTCGGCCGAGTTGGCGAGCTCCTTGATGACAAGGTGCACCATCTGGCGGAGACTGGCATCCTTGTTCTGGAAGAGCTTCGAGATACCGAAGAAGAGCGTGGTGGCTTCATTGGTCGGGAACTTCTCGCCCGTGTAGAAGAGGAGGGCAATCTTGGTCAGGAGGATGCGGCATCGGCGCGGCTGAATCGGGGAGCTGTTGAAGAGTCGAGCTGTTTGGGCCAGCTTGTTAGTATCGAATGGCGGGGTGCGTTCAAGGGCAGCTGGCGCGCGAGGCGGCCATTGTTCGCAGACGAACCTTCTTGGAAGACCTGCGTGCGATCCACCTTGACCAGACCCAGGTCGGCATCTTCGTCCTTTTTGCCGTAGCTCATGATGGGCGACTGGCTTGCGAGGGTGGTTTTGGGTTGCGGGTGTCGTGGTGTATCTGGTCCGCCAGGGGAATCTCCACGTCGACACTTCGAGGGATGTGGGACGAATCACGTGACCAAGTTCTACTTTGCCAGAGAATTGCGAGTGTAATTTAGTAAATATTATGTAGAAAATACGGTGTCTTTAAACATGAAGGTGAATTTATGCAGAGTCTATTCATATCTGACTATCCATTATGTTGATGAAGCAGGCTGTGGTAGATGCTGCCGCTCGTACTGATGAAGTATCTTGACGCACATGGGGTCCTGCGAACGGTGAGATAGACAACACAAGTGAAGCCGGAAATACTGACTAGCTAAGCTGCAAAATGCTTATTGCTATTTTTTTTTTTTCGCCCGCAATACTTTCTTTTCCTTGTTTTTCGTCTGAGTCAAATTGGTCAAGTTGTTGTCCAGGATGCGCTGCCAGTGCCTCTGGAGCTATGACATCCACATAGGAGTAGAGCTCCAAAATTTCTAAACCTCACCTAATCCATCTTCTACAACCAACATCACACCACATCTACCGCAGCCATGCAGCCAGCCATGCGAATACCGCTGCGCCTGGCGCCGCGAATCGCCAATGGCACGACGCCGCTTACGATCCGCAGCATCCACGCCTCCGCCGTCAAGGCGGCCAACGTCGCCCCCGTCGTCGGCACCGGCCCGCCCCCCGAAGCGCCCGCGCCCGTCCAGCGGCCGACGCCCAACGAGCGAGTCGAGCGCCGCCGGAAGCAGGCCGAGATGCTCAAGACGGCCAAGGCCATCCGCAGCGCCAAGGACGGCAAGGGATCCTCCCTCTCGCCGATGAAGCGCCGATTCTGGAAGGACGTCTCGGTCGCCGAGGTCGACGGCGCGCTGCAGGTGTTCCTCGACGCGCGCCCGCTGCGCCACCCCAACACCAAGGAGATCGTCCGCGTGCCGCTCAGCAAGCCGACGCTTGCGACGGCGCTCGCCATTGAGTGGGACCTGCTCACCTCGGCGCAGCAGGCGACCCGGCAGCACCTGATCCCGCTGACGAGCCTCGTCTGCCGGGCGACCGACATTGCCGCCGAAGACGATGCCGCCGGCGGCGGGACGATCCGCGCCGCCATCGCCGACTCGGTCCTGCGGTACCTCGACACGGACTCGCTGCTCTGCTGGGCGCCGCCCGCGGGCGCGCAGGACCTGCGCAACGAGGCGGGCGAGTCCCTGCGCGACGTGCAGAAGCGCGTCGCCGAGGACACGGTCGGCTTCCTGGCGACACACGTGTGGCCCGGCGTGGCCATCAAGCCCGTGCTCGACGGCCACTCCATCTTCCCGGCCAGCCAGGACGAGGGCGTGCGCGAGGTGGTCCGCGGCTGGGTCGTGGGCCTCTCGGCCTGGGAGATTGCCGGCCTCGAGAGGGCCGTGCTGGCAGGCAAGAGCCTCGTGGCCGCCGCGCGCGTCGTCGCCGAGTGGAGCGAGGGCCCGGCCGGTCTGCCCGCGACGCGCGAGGGCGCGCGGTTCGGGGCGGAGGAGGCGGCGCGCGCGACGAGCCTCGAGGTGGACTGGCAGACGGGCCACTGGGGCGAGGTGGAGGACACGCACGACGTCGGAAAGGAGGATGTTCGCCGCCAGCTCGGCAGCGTTGTGCTGCTCGTCTCTGGTACGGGCAAGTCGTCCTGAAGCAGGGAGGAGAACGCGGCAGCGACATATGTTATACCACTGTACACAAAATTGTCTGTAAAACTACACATTTTGCACTAGACCATGGGAAATTTACTGTTGATGAATATTTGATTCAGAGTTGATGCAACAATGCGGTGGTTTACAATCTGGCCCAATCTTTGGGAAATAACTAGGGATGTTCTAGGTAGGTATTCATGCTTCTATTTCGATCCGATGGCTTCTCGAACGCGCATGCGAAGCATATGGAACTTGACAAAGGCTTGGATCGCGTAGCTTTGGACCATATTCTTGAGGCCTTCTTCCCTTACGGCACGCACGGCCTTGACGGACAAGAAGAGGGCAAACGCAAAGGCTGCAATCTTGATGTAGCGGCCGAGTCTCTTTGTCCGGCGGTCTAGCGTAGGCTATGAAGCTGATTAGCATCCTATGGTTTATGATGTCATAGTTGAAAAACTCACAGTATATTTTAGGTCTTCATAGACTGGAAACAGGCACTTGTACCAGTAGTGGGCTTGCGTAAAGGGATATGTCGACGAGTTGCGAGCCTGCTTTCCTTCGGCGTTGCGAGAGTACCAGTTGTTGCAGATGCCATCAGCCCAAACGGTATTTTTCAGGCCGTCTTGCATTTTCTGATCCCATCGGTCCTCGGCTTCCTGGAAGCAGTCGATCGAGACGGCCTCACCATCCAACACCGGCTTGATGATGCGCAGCGAGTAGTTGATGGCGTTCTCGATGGCAAAGACGGTCGAGGTGTGGCCAGTGACGGTATTTGGGCCTGAATCGCGAGTTAGCCCCGCCCTCTCTGCGGAACGTCAATAAATACAAGGCAAACTTACCGAGAATCATGAAAAAGTTGGGGAACCCGCTTAGTAAAACGGCGTTGTAGGCTGCGGCGCCGTCGGTCTTTTTCCAATGCTCCTCCGCCGTCTCGCCGTTTCTGCCGACGACCTCGATACGAGGCAGGAAGCTGTTTGTCGTGTACCCCGTGGCGAGCGCGATAACGTCCGCCTTGATGACGCCGTCCTTTGTGCGGACCCCTTCCGGGAGGAGCTCGAGGATGGGGCTGTCCGTGAGCGTGAGGTTCTCCTCGTTCAGGGACTCGAGGTAGCCGGGGTTGAAGATGCGTCGCTTGCAGCCGATCGGAAAGTCCGGGATGAGCAAGTCGTGGTACTTCTCCGGGGCGAGCTCCTTCATGTAGGCGCGCGTCGTGGCCTCCTTTGCCTTGCGCAGACTCGCCGCGGTCCTGGTCAGGTAGAAGGCGCGCCACGAGTTCTCCAGGGCCAGCCAGATGGCCAGGCGCATCAGGTTGAGCAGGCCCGGCACGCGCTTGAAGAGGAAGCTCATGAGGCGAAAGTTGGGCATCAGCGGCGGCTTGACGATCCAGTGCTTGGAGCGCACGATCTGGGTGAGCGACTTGGTCTCCTTGACGATGGCCGGGACGATCTGGTCGGCCGTGCAGCCGTTGCCGACGACGACGACGTTCTTGCCCTTGAGCGACACGTCGTGGTTCCAGCGGGCCGCGTGGAACATGTCGCCCTTGAAGCTCTGCGCGCCGGGGAAGTTGGGCACGCGCGGCTGGATCAGCTGGCCGACGCCGCTGAAGAGGAACTTGCACTCGTGGTAGGAGACGGTGCCGGTGGTGCTGTCGCGGATATCCATCCGCCAGCGCGCCCGGGCCTCGTTCCACTCGCAGCGCTCGACGGTCGAGTTGAAGCGCATCTTGGAGAGCAGGCCATAGTCCTCGGAGATCTTGGTCAGGTAGTCGAGAATGTCGGTCTGGGCGTTGAAGAGCTTCTTCCAGTCGCCGTTGGGGGCAAAGGAGAAGCTGTACAGCGGGGATGGAACGTCGCAGGCGCATCCTATCAAGGCCACGAGACTGGCATTTTAGCAAAGTTCATTTTTTATTTTTATTCTTGACGCCAATTGTGGCACTGACCTGGGTACTGGTTAATGTGCCATGTGCCGCCCAGCTTGCTCTCGCGCTCAAAGAGCACGACGTCGGTGATGTTGTACCATCGCTTTAGGGTCGCGCCAAGGCCGATACCCGAGAAGCCGGTGCCTATGCAGGCAAACTGGCTGTAGGTGATGTTGTTCTTTTCGACCGCCATGCTGGGGAGTTTCTTGCCGCCGCCGGAGCCGCGTTGGAGCTGAGCTGAGGCCTGCAAACACAGGCTTTGAAAGGGGCAGCTGGACAGGCTTGTAGCTGAAAGGAGGGGGAGAAGAAATGGCAGCCGTTGCTCGAGCTTCAAGTATTTTTAGTTTAAAATACAGCACCCCGTAGAGCTGGGAGGGAACCGAGGCCCCCGCGCCTCTAGTGCGACGAGGGAGCGGGAAGATGGCACCTAGACGGAGACGGATAATTGATTGGTATGCGGCTTACTTGATCGCTGTGAAATGACTGGCTAGCTTGTTTGATACTGCTAGTTTGCTAGGGCCTGAACGGGTTGTCTCTGCAGCGCGGAATGGACGGTCATTCTACGGGTACGGGTACGGATACTGTGTACAGAGACATATAGCCGGGAGGCGGAACAGATGAGCATGTGGCAGGGTCTCTCAGCTTCGTCCTTCAACCCAAAAGGGTAAGTGAGCCGGTCGCGGAGCAATCATGCGTCTTTGCTGCAGTCGCCTGATGCAACGCAGACTACATCGGGCCGGCATTCGCATGGTTGCAGTACAGTGTCTTGTTCTCCCACTTGGGCTTCGACGAGACCAGCCCGCGACTGCAATTCAAAGGAAGGGTCTTGGAGCAACCGAAATAGGCTTTGACAGCAGCTATGTACTCCATCATACTTTTAGCGCACATGCTCTTATTAACGATCGCAGCACTAAAATCGTCCAGTGATGGGGCCGTGTTGGACAGTTTGGCGGGCGGCAACTGGGGCCGTAGGTGCTCTGATGCGGGGAGTCACGTCATCTTCGCGTTATCACTTGTGTGTCGAGGCCCTTTTGCTTGGACTTTAAGATGAGACGATGTCATGGGGACAGTAGTCAGCGCTGTCGACAAGGACCGCGATCGAAAACAACTGCCATCTGCATCGCAGCGCTAGGAGGCGGGGAAAGATTAGTAGGGGCTGTGACTGGATGGATATACGCAAATCTGTTGAATGAGGATGAGACCAGAGATATTTTTCTCCTATCCGGGCGCTTGTCTTAGCCAGCGTCACTTACGCTCTATCTGCAGCAAATCGGTGATGGGCTTGGCACTGAACGTCTGGATTTAATGAGTTATTATATAAACGAGACAAGACGCATGATTTCCGAGACCGGGAGAGGGATGCGGATGTGGGAAAGCTGATTTCGTACGATGGAGAGCTTCCTTGGTGAGCTCTGGGTTCGGGTTCTTGAAGCCAGGATCTAGTCAGATGAGGAATGATTTTCTCGTAATGCTATTCGAAATCCTGAACAGTGAATAATGCCATTTTAATCATGATAAAGAAAACATGCTGCTAATACATTATCTGACTCGTGAAACCTGCTGCACCATAATAGCAGCCAATACCATGCCGTTTCCACACATAATAAGCTTCCCAACTTCCAATACCTACCTCTGCGTAATCTTGCGAATCTGCTCTTCAAAAGCCGGCATGCGCAGTTTAGCCAAGCCCACCCCGAAGCCGAAGCGGAAATTCGTCAACATCCACGCAGGAGCACCTCGCTGAAGCAAAAATTAGTTGGGTTCATGTAATGCAGAAGAAAGGAAGCAAGGTCAGCTAAAGCTCCTTCACGCCAACTTACCAAGCTTGCACTGAAGGCGGCCGCGCCGGGCTTGTAAATCGTGTGCGAGTACGTGCTGTAGACGGAGTCGACAATGGCCTCGGCCACGGTCTCGACCTCGAGGAAGGGAACCGCGAAGCTGCCGCCCTTGGCCGCCGCGCCGACCATGGGCGTGCGGATGAAGCCAAAGATGCCCAGCGTCTGGCGGACCCGCGGCGCGTCGTACATGAACTTGAGTTCCAGCTGAAGAGCCTGCAAACAAGTCAGTTGGATACTTTTTGAAGCAACAGCGGAGGGGAAAAAAAAATCTTACGTCGTGTAGGGCGGAGAGGCCCGCCTTGGTGGACGAGTAAGGGCCGATGCTCGGGCCGGCGATCACGGAGCTCAGGGACCCCGAGTAGACAATGTGTCCGTGGTCGCGGCGCACCATGTCGCCGAGGAACTGCTGCGTGACGTAGTACTGCGCCAGCAGGTTCGTCTTGATGACGAGCTCCAAGTCCGCCGGCGCCGCCAGCAGGACCGGCGCGCCCCTGGCCACGCCCGCGTTGTTGAACAGCACCGTCGGGTGGCCGACCTCGGCGCGCACCTTGTCCGCCATGGCCGCCACGGCCTCGGCGTCCGTCAAGTCGCACTCGTAAAAGCGCAACCGGCCGGCGCTCCCGGCCGGCACCTCCCACTTGAGCGGGCCGACGTCCACGACGACCACCGCGGTCCGCTTGTTGCGGCGCAGAAACTCCTGCGCCACGGCGGCGCCGATGCCGCTGCTGCCGCCGGTGATGAGCACGATCTCGCGGTCAAAGTCCCAGGTCGCGTCCTCGACCCAGTTGTTGGTGCTCTTGTGCGACAGCCACCGGCTGAGCGCGTACGCAGAGGTGAGCAGGCCGACGGCCCAGGCGGGTCGGCGCAGGGACGGGTGCGAAGCGGCGAGGCGCAGGAGGCGGGCGGCGGTGTCGTTGTGCAGGAGAGTCTGGAGGAGGGCCGGCGCCCATCGCGCGAGGATGGGCTCGAGAGAGAGGCTGAGGGCGACGGGGACGGCGGTGCGGTGGTTGACGACGTGGCTGAGCGTCGTGCAGACGGCGTCGATGTTGAAGCCCTCGCGATTGGTGAACATGACTGCTTCCGTGACTCGGTTCTTTTTCCAGTTGAAATTGTAGTCCAGCTCGACTTGTGATTTCCAAGAATAATTGACGGCAATGGTGGACGGAAATACCCTGTTGAACTTTTAAAGAGATCCTTCCCGCCACAAAAGTACCCGCGCTGAATTACCTTGTAAGGGTGGGCGCACAGCCGTCATCATATAGCACAAGGCTATAGCGTAAATGTAGATATTTCCCCCTCTTTTACGCAATCTCCTGAGGGCAAGCAGTCTGCCACTTGTAGGGAATAATAAGCAACGGCCCACGTCAGAGCCGCGTATGGCTTCTTACTCGATGGGGATGCGGCATTCGCTGCGAATCCGTAGGAATTGGCTCTCAGTCTCACACTTTCTCACCTCTTCTCACCTCCATCGACATCTGATTCGCCTTCGATGAGCCGTGTTTCCGGCCAAGATCCACGGGACTGGTGAGGGAACACAAAATCGTCCTGCCCTTTGCCCAGGGGTCAGCTTGCCAAATCTAGTTACTGTTCGCCGCATCGTTGAATCTGCGTCATCTCACGCACATCCACCAGACCAACAGCCAGGCACCACTGGACAACAAATTTACCAATAACTTCTTGCCATAGCTTGATCCACACATCGAGCCCTCTGCGGGATGGAGCCTCTCTCTGTAGCTCTCTTTGGCGTCAGGCTAGCACGCTGCCGTGTGTGTCCCTGAATAGCACGCGAAGAGCTGAATCATTGAACCCCATAAGCAAGGGACGACCCAAATGGGCAGCTCCATTCCAAGACTTCCAGCGCGACTCCACAGACTGTACTGTAAAGACGGCCAAGGGTTTAGTTTGTTAGTGCGGAGAGCCAATGTCAACTGTGTCCAGTGAACCTCGGCTACTTCACATTACCCCGTCTCCCGTGCGCCGGCCAAGTGAATAGGGCGATCAACAAAGTTCCCACGGCGCATGTGTATATATCCTTATTAGCTTGAGCTCCTCACATTTGCCTTTTTTTGCCAATTTTTCTTTTCTTCGTCCTCTTTTCTGCTTGCCCTCGTTCTCGCACTCTTACTCAGCGGCAATCGTCATTTTCGAAGCCAAGCCCCGTTGAGCGTCGTCACTGCTCCGTTTCCTGTTGTGGACATCTCGGCTGAAGCTCGTGCGACCCGATCTCGAGACATAGAAAAAAGCCCAGACGAAACCCGTTCACCATGGTAAGCTTATACGCACACGTCTCTTCGGAAGGGGACCTCATGCTGTGGGCGAATTCGACTTCACCCGAGTGAAAGGCGTAGCCCCTGATTTCTTCTTGTAAAAGAGGAGAAATGTGCCATCTGTCGCGCGACAAACGATGTTGAAATCATGGCTGCAAAGACACCGATGCTGATAAATCCAATGTAGGCTGGCTTCCCGAGTAAGCCGCATATGAGCGTCGCCGAGCGCCTGGTGATGATTATCAAGCTCCTCACCATCTGTACGTCGCCTCACCACCCTCCCGCCGAACCAAAGAAACCCCTGCTAAATTAAAGCTCCTCCAGTCCCCGTGAGCCTGGCCGCCAACATCCTGCGCATGCTCGTGCTCTCCGCCGTGCACGGCATGCGGCCGCGCGCCGCCATCCTCGCCGCCGTCGTACGCACCACTTTCGGCATCCTCACCGGCAAGGAGATCCAGAAGCTGCAGCCGACGACGCGCCAGGAATACAGCAAGTTCATCCAGTACGCCGCCAAGCGCTGGAGCGCCCCCAACTTCAAGAGCCGCGTCGTCCACGACGTGCAGGAGCTCGCCAAGGGCGTCGACGACTCGGCTATCCTCTGGCTCGGCGACCGCAGCAAGGCCAAGAAGGTGGTGCTCTTCCTCCACGGCGGCGGCTACGTGCTGCCCGCCTCCCCCGGCCACTTCCTCTGGGCCTGGAACACCTACGTCATGGCCGGCGTCGAGGCCGGCGTCGAGACCGCCGTCGCCTTCCTCCAGTACACCCTCGCCCCGCGCGGCGTCCTACCCGTGCCGCTGCGCCAGACCGTCGCCGCCTACGAGGAGATCCGCGCGCAGGGTTTCCAGCCGCGCGACATCGTCGTCGGCGGCGACTCGGCCGGCGGCAACCTCACGATGCAGTTCCTCGGCCACGCCCTCCACCAGCAGCCCGCCGTGCCCGAGGTCAAGCTGTCGGAGCCCCTCGCCGGCGCCTTCCTCGTCTCCGCCTGGCTCGGCCAGAGCGACGACACCGAGTCCTTCCGCGTCTTCGGCAACAATGACATGGTCAGCTCGGCCATTGTCCAGAAGCTGAGCGTCGAGTCGGTCGAGCCGCACAAGCGCGCCACCATCAAGAGCCAGGCGGACCCCTGGTCGCGGCCCCTTGAGGCCGACTTTGGCTGGTTCCGGGACTTCGAGACGGTCGTGCCCAAGATCTACGTCACTTATGGCGGCCGAGAGGTCCTGCGCGACCACAGCCTCGCTATAATCGAGACGATCAAGCGCGAGGCCCCCGCCGTGAACCTGCTCACATATGAGGCACCCAAGGAGCTTCACGATGGCGTCCTCGTCGAGCACCTCTTCAAGAAGCCCGACGCCAACGCCAAGAAGATGAAGACGTGGTTCAAGAGTGTCATTATCCAATAGATGACTTAAGTTGCAGCTGAATTCGGGACTACATGACATGGGAGCTCTTCCATGTGCGTAAAAGGCGTATCGGTTCTATGTAGATTTTGTATATTGACGTATCAACTTGTGCATGACTTCGTGCTGCCTTGTGCCGTGAAGCATTCGTCGACAAGAGCGGCAGCGCGGGATGCTGCGGCCCATCCGATCTTGTATCCATTCGGGCCTGCGCCATAGCAATGGACCACAGAGATGACCGAGGGTTCGTTATCAAGTCCATCTTCACATGTCTTTAGAATGGCAACATCTTCCTTTTCAAGGCGTAATCCGCCCTTGCGCATTGGTCTGCGGCCAATGTAAGCCTGCTTGATATGAATACCAGGTGCTGTAGAGGGGTCCTCCGCGGGGGGTTGTGGGAGATCTGGGCAGACAGCCGCGACGCGTCGAAGAATTTCATCTATTGCCGCTTGCGAATTGTTCGGCGACCAATTATTTGGCTCCTTGGTCCCCCCAATCACGGCGCCGCCAAGAGGGCGAGGAATGACAACTGTAGAATGCCCGTCCGCCGAGTGATGGGAAACCGTGGAGTGGTAGCTATTTGAGATGAGCATAAACTGGCCGCGTGATGGGAAACAGTCCGGGTCGTTGAAGCCGCTGCCACTCGCGTTTACTACAACTCTCGGCAGCGCCAGCTCAGGCCGGTGCTGCTGGGCGACGAATGCCGCCTCTTGCGGTGCGCCGAGCCTCGCGCGTACAAAGACGGCACCGCACGACTCAGCCTGGCGCCGAAGCCACTGTAGATAGGCCGGGGTGTCAATGACCCAAGCAGAGTACGTCAGGCCGGCTTCGATGCCTCCGACCAGACCCGCCGCGCCCGGTATCTCCTCTGGCGTCAGCTGACGATACTGCGGCCAGGCTGCGAACATGGAGAGCTCCTCCGCTGCGGGCGCCGTGTCAAAGTACTCCACGGCCGGTATGAATGCTACCCCCGCATCCTTGGCGAGGTGATCGTCCGCTATGCGTCGCAGCTCAGCATAACTCTCGCGCATCAATGTATTCTCAAACGCGTCTTGCGCCGTCTTGACAGGCACGGGCCGGAAGTGCGCGCCGGCGCGGGGAGACGCATAGTCAATGTCCCAGTCGCCGGGAAGCTCGCGTGCGATGACCGTCACAGAGTAACCGCGGCGGGCCAACTGCAATGTGACGGACAGGCCGATGACGCCGGCACTGGAAATGTCCGATGTGGTCAGCGGTGCTCCGAAGAAGCGACAAGGCATAATCAATTGCCTACCCAATCACGGCGACCTGTTGTTTTGACGACATTTCTATCAAGAAACCTTTAAACTCTAGCGATATTGTTCTTCTGGTTGCTCCTTTGTCGTTGGCAAGATGATTGTCAGGTAAACGCCCTAGAAGTTTATTAGCAATCGGGTTTGACTCATCGGGCTCCCGACAGCCTCCGATTTGGGCCCGTGAGGTCGGAAAGACCTGAGCCTTCAAGCCATATTACTCGCAGCTGCTGACATGATATTATTATTCCTGGCCGCGCACTGTATAGCCAATTTCAATTTCCTCGAATCTCTTGTTAGGCATTGTTGAGGGCATTGCACGTGCGTCTTGAGCATGACCTGCGGGATCTTGGTGGTTTTAAAAAGCCATGCATTGAGGGGTTGACAAATTGGCATATTGATGCAGGAAAATCGTGGTCACGGCTTTTAAATCGTCTCGTCTCTTCGAAATGCACTTCTGTGCGCTTTGGTAGCCAAATCAGTACTGGCGATTTTTGGCGGCATAATTTGTTTAGCATGCTCCGTTTGCACACGCGAAGCCATCTCCGCCACCAATGTAACGGGTGCATTTGTTTGGCATTGTACATACTGTAGGTACTCGTGCCACACCGCAACAACCGCCCAGGACGGTGGGTGCATGGCGCAGGTAGATCTGCAACAAATTAAGCGACACGGAGCGTGGAATGGAAAGCGTTTCCATCATTCTACAGTCCGCCCTCTCCTGGTAAATTCAAGCTCGAGGGGAGTCATGCTGATCTCAGGTCCTTCAGCGCCCAAGCCTCCAGACAAGCACAACTGGTTCGATTCAGTGAATCAATGAACTCTGGAACGAGGGCGCCGAATTAAACTTCACACCTGCCATCTTGGCTACCATGCCTAGCTTATTATCCAAGCACATCTTTATAAACAAAACCTTCAAAAATTTCATGAAGGGGTGTGTTTTCATACAGCCTCGAGTCATCATCTTCTCTGCGAATTTAGCCTTTTTGCCGCTTCTGCATTGAGGCGCCGCTTGACAGTATTTTTTGCGACCATGACAACGCTACTCGTGAATGATCATTGGTCAGGGTTTGTCGGATAGTTTTGGTCCGGTTTGATGGAGTGTCAGCTTGCATGAACTTGATCTGGGCTGCGACCTCGTAACGTATGGTGCTGCGGGAGCGACGCCTAAAAGTAACTCGGTGCTTGGCTTTGAGCCCGCGGTGAAAGACAAAGACAAATTCTTACTTGAAGATCTTGTAAAGGCTGGTCTGGTAGCAAACTGAAGTCTCCAATAGTTTCTCAAATTATCGTTCGGCGTTTGGTGGCTTGAGGTGGCCTCCTGACAAAACGGTGCCAAGTTTTCAGTTTCATAGTAACTGAATTTCTGTATCAGGCATTCGCGTGCAGACTTGCGGGTTGCGCGTTCCATGCATCGGACAAATTAAAGTCACTTCCGGGCTTCGAGGTTGTCTGTGACCATCGTATTCTTCCTTTGACAATTCCCCGGGCGCATGTCTATCCGTGGTGACCAGATTCGCGGTCCGATGTCTTGCCAAGGCAAGTGGTCAAATGTGGCTGGCCGTTGCAAACATATCCCTACCTTGTTTTGCGGCAGACATTCCGCGATCACCTACATAGCTATAACAGCCCACTACTATTGCTCCCCGTTGCCATGACCAGTCACGTTTCCAGAGGCCTTGGCGGCTAAGGTCGTTTCTCCCATGACGGAAGCAAAATTTGGAATTGGTTTGCCAAGTTCCCTGGTGCTTGGCGAAGCCATCGTCCAAGCACCACCATAACTGGGCCACTGGCTCGTGGGCTGCGTTCGCAGCGGCTCCCGCGGGCCAGATGTAGTAGCTACTGCGGAACGCTCATGACGTTCTTAACGGGGGGTACTTCGTAGTTAAGCCCTGGGCACGCTTTAGGTTTCGGGAGGCTAGAGAGACTGGTGACAGATGGATGAGAAAAAGGAAGACCAAGGGTGGTGAGAGGTGTGTCGCGGGACGGAAGTGCATTGTACAAGCCAAGCAGAAAGGATTTGCTGGGTTCCGACACAGGAGTAAGGAGTGTTATTCAGCGATGGCGGATGAAGAGAAAGTGAATATGCAAAACCCTTCGTTCCGCGAGGGAAAAGTAAGTGATGCAAGGGTAAGGAAGAAGGCGGACAGTTACTGTCACGCAACTTGACGGCTGGCGGCTGGCAGTTGGCAGTTGGCAGCTGGCAACCCGCTACAGGTACATACTTACATAAGTACCTGATGGGCTAAAAGCGCAGAGAGCTGCATCGCCGGTATACAACCTGGCAGCTGCAAACGCTGTCCGAAAAGGAGGGCTTCATCATCTTCATGATGATCCAAACAATCTCCTTATCTGCAGTTCTTTGGTCAGAATTGTTGGGCTGGGATCGCTGATAAGACTCATAACAGACGCCAGGCTTGGCAGCAGACAGGATGTCGCACCAGGCTTCCCAGCATTATGATCAGTACAACAGTCTCGTGCAGAGTGAACAGATGGCGAGTTGTACTCGGATAAAAATAGGTACGCTATTAGCGGTCCAGCACAACACTAAAACACCCCTAGCTTCTTCCAGTGTATGCGTACGGCCCAGCCTCTGTTGCAGACTCGGTTTGGGGTGGCCACTATGACGCTGGGTACTCGCGATGCATTGATGCGACCCATCCTGATGCTGACACCAAGAAGATGGGACTTGTGTCGGCGCATCAGGCGCTGTTTGTTAAAAGTAGCCTGGCTGTCTCCAAAATGTAGCTCAGGGGAATCTAATCTTTTGCCGTTTTACTTGCCTTCTTGGTGTACATACGAGAAACGGAGGGCCGTTGAATTTGGTGTGTCCATTTCCCTTGACCCCCAATTTGAGGTTAAGCGTGGGGGCTGTCAGGACAGCCAGGTTCCGAAACCGCAGTGCCCTGGATGGCAACAGCTGCAACGACTGGAAATAATAGGATTCGCCACAATTACAGCAGAAGCAGAACGGAAACGACAATACAATCTACATTGAGATGCGCTTCTCGAGCGCCAGCCTGGCGGCTTGGCTTGCTCTGTCAGGTCAAAGTCTTGCGTCCAAAGTCGACAATGTCGCCCACGACAGTTACAGTAGCAATCCTGGCTACCTCGCTGTACCGGTTGGTATAGTGCCACGAATGCAACGAACCGAGAAGCGGGAGGAAGGTGCCACCCGAACAGCCTTGAAGAACAGGGAATTCTTCTATACCGCGCAAAGTAAGTCGAGTACTACATAAGAAATGAAGACGGGGTTTGGCAGCCCTGCCTGCCATAGCTCACCATCTAGCTCAGCTTGCTAGAGTACAACAAACGACAGAGCGAAGGAACATGACCGCTAACAAATACACTTTTATTCTATAGTCGGCATTGGGACACCACCGCAAAATATCACAGTTCTCATTGACACGGGGTCAAGCGAACTATGGGTGAATCCAGACTGTACAACAGCGCAACCACAATATCAAACACAATGCATCCAGTTTGGCCGATACGACCCTGAGAAATCACAGACACCACCAACCGGTCCTTTTGGAAGTGAAATGATCACGTTTGGTGACAATACAGACAAAAAGTCACTGACATCTGTCGACTTGCAATTCTACAGGGATACAGTTGCATTTGGCCCGTTGGTCCTCGAGAACCAGACGTTTGGGGCGGTGAAAGACAGCCAGGGCCAGGCACAAGGCATCCTGGGCCTGGCGCCCGACCTGCAGGCAGGCTTCAACGACTCATCGCCGTACAGCCTGGTGCTGAGTAGTATGGTCAATCAAAATCTCATTGCCAGCAGGGTGTTTTCGCTGAATTTGCGTCACTCGGACGACAAGTCTGGATCCCTAATTTACGGTGGGCTGGACCGCAGCAAATTCATGGGCCGGCTGGAAAAAGTACCCATCGTCAACGGCCTGCTGGGCGAGCCCCGGCTGGCCGTGTCACTGGACACGCTGGGCGTCACGCTGCCGCAGTCGAACATACAGTTCAGCAACCCGGTCCTAGGCCTCTTTAGGAGCGTCATGCTAGACTCGGGCACGACCATCTCGCGGCTGCAGTCCAACGTGGCGATGCCAATAATAGAAGCGTTGCGCGGGCCCTCTGAATCGAAGGATTCCCTTGTGGTTCCTTGCTCGAGTCAGGATCTGCCGGGGTCGGTGGACTTTGGGTTTGGCGGCACAACGATCAGGGTGCCGTTGAAGGACTTTATTCTGAAAATCGGTGCTCTGTGCTACGTGGGGATCACCTTGACGAGCGGGCAGCAGATTCTGGGTGACACGGTGCTGCGAGCCGGGTACTTTGTGTTTGACTGGGACAACAAAGCGGTGCACATCGCGCAGGCGGCGGCGCAGGGGCAAAAGTGCGGCAAGGCGGATATTGTGGCGGTTGGCAAGGGCGAAAACGCAGTGCCTTCTCCGGTCCAGGGCAAGTGCAGCGACATGTCGCCGCCTCTCCAGACGGCGTCGGCGTCGATGTCGGCCAGCAAGCCGACGAAGACCAAGGTAGCCGGGCAGGTAGGCAATGATGCCAGCATGGTGACGACCACGTACACGGTGACGGCGTGCCCCGCGATCGATCCCTTCTGCGAGACAGGGGTGGTTCGGACGGCCACTGCGGTAGCGTCCCCGGGGGGCAACAGCGGGAGCGGAAAGGATAGCGAGAGCGGGAAGAGCAGCACCAACCCCGACAGTGATGCGAAGGACAGCGGTGTCGGGAGGTATGGCGTGGTCGGGTCGCTGGTTGCGGTGCTGTGCTCAGTCAGCATAGGCGGTATGATTGTTGCTTGGATTTGAGGGGCGGAAAATTTCTTCTGCATTTGCATTTGCATTCACATGAGCATTGCATGTTCTGGATAGCGATAGACTTGATAGATGAGAAATTGTTGCATTTGGCATGTTGAGACATGGAAGGGAAGGGAGAAGCGGGCGGCAGCGCGTGCGGGCGCATGTATATAGATGTGGCCGGGGGGCAGCTGGGATCACAGAATCGATAAATATATCTTGCCCCAAGACATACAATATATTTGCATTTGCAAATTGCCATGTGCCGTGTCCGTGTTGGGGGATGAGGTCTTTATCGTGTGCCTGGCGCGAACCGGGGCCGTCGGGGCAAATGCAGGGCCGCGACATCATGGGGGCTCAATTGTGAGGCCATTAAAAGCAAGGCTGGTAAGAATTTCAATTCCTGCACACCGATTTCGTCCGATTGCTAGACAACAACAACAACAACAACAACAACAACAAGAAACCCACTCCGCGGTCTTTTGTTCAATAAGCTTTCCCTAGTTAAACTACGGAGTACTGGGGAGGACAAAGAAAAAGCCCCATGCAGCGTGATGCAGCCATTGCCGATTGCTGCAAAGTCGACCTCAACCGGGGAAAGGGCCCCACTACCAGCAGCGTTATTCCTCGGCTGTGCGGAATAAAGGCGACCAAATGCTCCACCGACTCTCCGGAATCTGGGTTCACTTTTGGCGCTAACTTGTAGGTTGGGCTGGGCTGGCTGGCAAGCAAACCACCATGAGGAAGCTCCTCGAAATACTCGGTGCGTGGGGAAGCTTTGCCGAGACGGGATAGACGGCGGTGGCAGCGCCCGTTGCCATCATTTTCCTCTTCTCTTCTTCTTTTCTTCTTCCTCACTTCACATTCATCCTTCGTCGTTTCTTTTGCACCTTTCTCCCTCCTCCGTCTTGTTCCCATTCTCCGTCTTGCCAGCTCCTTCTTGTCGTGTGAACTGAACAGCCGTCAACCCCGAATCCCTTCTTCCTGCCCCAATCTTGCTGCCCCAATCTTCCCGAATCTCTTCCGCCCGCGCACGCCATCATGGTCTTTCAACCGCCTTCCTGGGTCCCGGCCCTGCCAGGTACGTATTGTCGCATGAGGCGCCGCTACAAGATCGCTCTTGTCGCTACCGGCTTCCCTCCCAGCGCCGAGCTCCAAACGGGTAGAGCGTTTGCTAACAGGGACCACCCACCCCGGCGCAGAAATCCCCGACAGCATCCCCCTCTGCGAGTTCATGTACAATGACCGCTACGGCCGCTTCGGAGCCTCCAAGGCCCGTAACCCTTACACCTGCGGCGTCACCGGCACCACGTACACCTCCAAGCAGGTTCCCGAGCGTGTCGACCTCCTCGCGCGTGCCATCGCCAAGCGCCTCGGCTTCAGCCCCAACGAGGGCACCGAGTGGGACAGGGTGGTCGCTGTCTACTCCGTGAACACGGTGCGCGCAGAACCCATGCCCGTCTTATTCTTGCGATAATCTTGCGCGTAATGCGCTAACTTCCCAAATTCACTTAGATTGACTACATCCCCGTCTCCCACGCCGTCCACCGCCTCTCCGGCATCGTCACACCCGCCAACGCGCAGTACTCAGCCCCCGAGCTTGAGCACCAGCTCACCTCGTCCGGCGCCAAGGCCATCTTCACATGCCTCCCGCTGCTCGAGACCGCCCTCAAGGCCGCCGATGCCGCCGGCATCCCCCGCACCGCCGTCTTCCTGCTTCCCGTCCCCGGTGGCAAGCCCCACCCCGACTTTCCCTCCGTCGACGACCTCATCGCCCAGGCCAAGTCGCTGCCCGCGCCGCCCGCCCTGTCATGGATCAAGGGCCAGGGCGCGCGCCAGACGGCCTTTCTGTGCTACTCGTCCGGCACCTCTGGTCTCCCCGTACGTATCATTCAGCTCTCGCGCCGTCACGGGCGCAACAGGACTAACAAACAATCTTTCAAATTGCATAGAAAGCCGTCATGATTTCCCACTACAACATCATCGCCAACATTATCCAGATGACGCTGCTCCAGAGCGTAGGCCGTAAGGCGGACAACGTCATCACCGAAAACGTCCTCGGCATCCTGCCCCTCAGCCACATCTACGGCCTCACCGTCGTCGCGCATGTCTCCCAGTACCGCGGCGATCAGCTCGTCATCCTGCCCAAGTTTGACCTCGCCCTCTTCCTCCGCACTGTCCAAGATCACAAGCTCAACTTCCTCCCCGTCGTGCCGCCGATGCTCATCCAGCTCATCACCAACAAGGAGGTCGCCGCCAAGTACAACCTCGACAGTGTCCGCACCGTCTTTTCCGGCGCCGCGCCCCTGGGCCTCGAGACGCAGGAGGCGGCCAACAAGATGTTCCCCAAGTGGAAGATTGGTCAAGGCTACGGTGCGTTTCATCTTGATCCCATGCTCTCTTTTTTTGTCTTTTTCTCTGAGAAACAAAGCGGGAAGTGCCGATTTTTGTTAAGGCTAACTTGCGTGTTATTCAGGCATGACGGAAACGTCCCCCGTTGCCAGTGCTGGAAGCGAGATCGATCTCGTACCCGGCTCCTCGGGCGGTTTGCTGCCCGGCTACAAGGCCAAGCTCATCGATGCCGAGGGCAAGGTTGTTACCGGCTACGATCAGCGCGGTGAGCTGCTGCTCCAGTCGCCCTCGGTCGTCCTCGGCTACCTGCACAACGAAAAGGCCAACGCCGAGACGTTTGTGCACCACGCCGACGGCCGCTGGATCCGCACCGGCGACGAGGCTCTCGTCCGCAAGTCGCCCAAGGGCAACGAGCAAATCTTCATCACCGACCGCATCAAGGAGCTCATCAAGGTCAAGGTATGCATATCTCTTCTAGAAGCCATGAGCACACAAGTTTTGTTAACAAACCTTTCTCTCAGGGCTTCCAAGTCGCCCCCGCCGAGCTGGAGGCGCACCTCCTCACCCACGACTACGTGCACGACTGCACCGTCATCCCCGTCCCCGATGACCGAGCCGGCGAGGTCCCCAAGGCCTTCGTCGTCAAGAGCCCCGCGGCCGCGTCCTCGGGCAAGTCCGACGCCGAGATCCGTCGCGCGATCGAGGAGCACGTCGAACGCCACAAGACAAAGTACAAGTGGCTCAAGGGCGGCGTCGAGTTCATCGACGCCATCCCCAAGAGCCCCAGCGGCAAGATCCTCCGCCGCGTCCTCAAGGACAAGGAGAAGGCCGCCCGCAAGGCCCAGGGCGCGAAGCTGTAGGCACGGAAACAAGGGAAAGGAGGGAGATTGGCAGGGGACGAAGCACAGCGAGACGGGCCTGTACTCGGAATTGTATATTGTATGCACATTCACGGCACCATGCTAGGTTAGGGATATGATACGATTTCTTTTACTAGTTTTGTTTTTCAGTCTTTGGTATCGAAGTAGACCTTTTTCTTTTCGCTTCATATTTCTTTGATAAGTACCTATGTTCTAGACACCAGCTTAGTATCCTGTTACTCATCTAGATCAATGGGAATTACCGATCGGTCACGCTGCGCTGCCTTGCATGCCCATCACTCGCAAAAGGAAAGAGATTTTGAAAAACCAGTCCAGTGGGTATTAATTAAACTGTCTGGTCCCTAGAGTTAGGCTCTAGAGAACACTTCGTATAGAGTCAAGGATCGTAAGAATTATAACAATAGCGAGTCCATTTGTCGTCCTACTTCTTTGCAGCCAAAAAAGGGTCCCAACAAATGTCTCTTATCTGGTTCCTGAATAGCATCCAGATCTCTTTTTTCCATCATGTACCAAAAATAATTATCAACATACACAATCAACACACAAGCACTGCTACTTTACAGAGCAGCGATGACGGCCATGACGACGGCACCGAGGATGCCGGCCTGGGCCTTGCCAGCACCACCTACAACGACGGGGGGCTTGGTGCCAGAGGGCACGGTGGGAACACCAGTGCCGACGGGCACGCCGGGGGCGACGGTGGTGGGAGCGACGCCGCCAGTAGGGACAGGCTGCTTCTCACCAGCGGGAGGAGGGGTCAGGGTGACCGCGGGAACGGGAAGCTGGGTGCTGATGACGCGAGTGGTGCTGCTGCCAGTGATGGTGGTACCGCTGGTGACGCAAGGCTCAGTGACCGTGGTGTCGATGGTGATCGTGGTAACGCCACCACTGGGAAGAGGAGCGGGTGTGACGGTGATGATCTGCGTGATGGTCTCGGCACCAGTGACAATGTTAGGGTTCTTTCCGGCGTAGGGGGCGCAGATACCCTGGAAGAAGGTGATCGAGTCGGCGACGTTCTTGTCGCTGCCACCATACGAGTACAGGCACTGGAAGACGTTCTTGGTGTACTCGCTGTTCTTGCAGAAACACTCGGCATCGGCGTTGTTCTTGCACTCCTTAACGAGGTCGAGCCACGACATCAAGCAGCGAGGAACAGACTCGGGGCAGGGAAGAGACTGCGAAGGAACAGGGGGCGAGGTCTTGGTCTCGCTCTCCTTGGGCTTCTCAGAGCTCTGGGTGGGCTGGGTCTGAGTCGCGCCGGGCTGAGTCTGGGTGGTGATGACAATAGGGCGAGTTTCAGTGACGGGGCAGATGGTGGTGCTGACGACGCTGGTGAGGGTGACAGTGTGAGTCTCGCCAGGAGTCTTGATAGGGCAAGAGGTGATCTCAGGACCGCAGCTGGTGATGGTCTTGGTGCTGGTGGTGAAGACTGTGGAGATAGTCTCGTAGGTGGTGGTGATGAAGCTGGTAGTGGTGCCGGGAGGAGGGGTCTGGCCGGGAGTGGTCTTGACGGGAGTGGACTCAACAGGAGTAGACTGAACAGGCGTGCTCTGGCCAGGAGTGGTCTGGACGGAGGTGGTGATCTTGGTAGTCTCGCCGGGAGGAGTGTTGACAGAGGTGGTCACCTTGGTGGTCTCGGCGGGAGGAGTACTCTGGCCAGGAGTGGTCTGGACGGAGGTGGTGATCTTGGTAGTCTCGCCGGGAGGAGTGTTGACAGAGGTAGTGACCTTGCTGGTGGTCTCGGCAGGAGGAGTGCTCTGGCCAGGAGTGGTCTGGACGGAGGTAGTCACCTTGGTAGTCTCGCCGGGAGGAGTGTTGACAGAGGTGGTCACCTTGGTAGTCTCACCAGGAGGGGTGCTGACAGAGGTGGACTGGGCAGGGGGGGTAGTCTGCTTGGTCGTAGTACCGGGCACAGTGCTAACTGTGGTAGAGGTAGTCTGGGGAGGAGGGGTGTTCTTGGTCGTGGTCTGAGCAGGAGGAGTGGCGGGCGGCGAGTTGGTAGTCTTGGGAGGCTGAGGCTTGCACCAGAACTTGATCTTGTGGCACTTGACCTTGCAGCTCTTCTTCAGCAGGAAGGTTCTCTTCTGGTTGCCCTGGTTCTGGGGGAGGACAAGCTGGACAGACTTGGCACCACCGCACTGAGTGTTGACGATGGAAGTACCCTGGCTGGATACGGGGGACGACTGCTTGCAGGTAGAGCCGTCAGGCATGGTGTAGTGGAACTCGAAGCGGGCGTCGAACTCAGACTCAACAGAGAAGCTGTCAATGTCGAAGGTGCCAATGTCGTTGCCGGCCGAGATGACGGGGTTCCCGCTCTCGCCGTCAGCGCCAACGTCAGCCTCAATGACCTTGCTTCCATCATCCTGACGACCAGCCAGCATGTCACGACGACCGAACTTCTTCTTGCAGGTCCAGCCCTTGAAATCGCAGCCGCCATAGCCGCCGATGGGTCCGATGGGAGTGTCCTTCCAGTCGTAGCCCGGAACCTGGTCGGGCTTGCAGATGACGGGCGTCTTGCCGGGGCAAGTGAAAGGCTGGAGGTTGGTCCAGTAGTCCAGAACAGCACCGAGAATGGCCTAGGAGAGTGTTAGAAGGGTGCCTGCATCGTAAGGGCGCTGACAGAAACACACAGTGGCAGAGGCCTGCTCAACAGTGGCCGCAAGGGCCAAGGCGTAGGCAACCTTCATGATGTATATAACACGATTTGAATCGACGTGTTGACAGTAGAAAATATACAGGAATAAGAATAGTATGAGAGGTGAGCGACAGTGGTTGATATAGGCGAGATCAAACTCGATGTTGTAAGCGACGGTGGTGTCAAAGAAAACGAACGGCTTTGACGTTTGAGAACGATGAACAAGCAATAAGAAATAGACAGGTAAGAAGGAAATATAAAAGGACACAAGAGAGGATGGGACACAAGAAGGACTCTGGGACAAGATGAGGTGAGAGGCTCCATCTATATACCACGAGCTGGCAGCGGCATCCGTGCAGCATGATATGGGACTGGCCACGAACGGAGCTGGGCCGACAGCGGTACCTGCATGGCGAGAAAGGATGGCATGTCATAGCCATGGCCACCGGAGACGAAAGTCCCCATCGAGCGAGTGAGCGAGTGAGCGAGCGATAGGTCTGGCGACGGTGCGCGCGCGAACGACCCGGAGCCAAAGAGCCCCTGTCCAATATCATCCTGAAGCGCTGGAGAGAGGCGGAGTCGGAACCTCGAATCAGGCACGCTCGAGCATCCACCCCGCGATGGTGGTTTCGCGGGACCAAGTCACTAACAAAGCACATCAAAGCTGGTGGCTGGCCCGCTCGCATTGTTCGCTCCAGGGCTGATTCATGCATCCCGGCCTACCAGGGGCAGCCCCTGCAGCACCCAATTTAGGTTGACGAGGAGATTGCAGGTTCCGCCTCGTCCAAGCCGACCTAGTTCGCCATGCGTTGTGCCATGGTCAAGCCAGTCTGTGCTTCGGCCTTTGCTTCCCCGCTTGCCCTGTCCATCTCTTGCATGTCGTACCTGCGCACCGGCCTGTACTGGTACTGCGGAACCTTGTACGAATACATGCTGGTGCGGATGGCTCTGCCTCCTCTTCTTTCGTTGTCCATATTCCATATTCACTGCCCATCGCCGTACCTGGTAGCCATGGAACCGCCGACCCTGTCAAGCTTCAGGCGAGCCGACATAATTAGCGTCCAGCTAGTCGTTGTTCGGCTTGGTTAGCAAGCTACCTCTCTAGCAGCGCGGGGGTTGGGGTGAATGCCGAAACAGCGTCTGGCGGGTCGTAGTTTGGGATTGTTCCATCCCAGCGTGTCAGTCTGATGATGGGTGGCTCCCAAGCGAAGCCAACCGTGATGTTGACAAGGCGCAACAAGCAGGTACGACAGGGCTGTCGCGGTATGGGTTGGAAACGGAAGGTTGAATTGGAGCATAAGCCAAACTTAATTGTTCTTCCTTTGACGGCAAACCAGCTTTTTGGGGCTCCTGTACGATGCAGTCGATAGATTTTACCAGGAACAAGCTTATCTGTCGCTGCGCTGGTGTGACCCGAGTTACTGCAGAAAGGAAAGGCCTGGCCGATTAGGTCAGCGCATAGTACTGACAGATCGAGAATTAAGCGCCCAGCTTCCAACCATGAGACAAACGAACGAACTACTCTCTTGGACAACAAACAAGTTCGTATCATCGCAACGACAACGCCATCCTTGCAAGCAGGGTCTAAGTCGTAAAAATATTCATTGGACAATATTCCTTGTCTTTCTATCATTTGTCAGTGTATCCTGCGGGCTTCTTGTGTTCCTCCCTAACATCCAGCCACACCATCCACCACCCCTCGTAACACAAACTAACTCACTTCTGCAAGGCACCGAACTCTCTCATGTCTTACCTTCCGGCCGATTCAGGTCGCCAGCTCCATTACTCCGCTGCTGTCTGAGATCTTAGTACCAGTCTGTCACTAGAAAATCGCTTGCCGTTTCACAAACAATCCTAGTGCGCCATGGTCATGCTGATAGCCAGCAGTTTACTGACTATACGATGTAGATCTTCCTGACTTTCGAATAGAAGGCTCACTCTATTTTGGGATGCTCCCATGTAAGGTGTGGTGGTCCCGAGCTTGGCTTTCAAATTCATGACAAAGCCTCGTCCTGCCTCGCGGAACTAATCAACAGATCAATATGGCACGCCGTATCCGTATGGGTACCCAGCAATGATGGTCTCAACTTACTGGTACCAGTCCGACCTCCGGATGCACTGGCCGAACTCGTTTACCGCTTCTATCGTACAAATCTTCCTGCAAGTTGATGGGAACCGCTGGGACCGTTTGACGGCATATCCTTGCATACAGCTTGGCAACATTCTAAAACCTGGACGACCCGCTCCGCGTTGGTGTCGGAACCATGCAAGTCTCGCTAAACCTGGAGGGTATTTACTAACTAGTTAAGTCCCTTGCGGGTGACCCACGGCATGGTTCGGAACACCCATCGCCCAAGGCGTAAACTATTGAGATTTCATATTGCAAGCGTGCCACTGGACTAACTACTCGAGGAACAAGCTAGAACCAGTCTTCGGCAATCCATTTTTCCCAAAGATCCAGAATGGCGCCAGTCAGCAGGCCTTCCGAATTCTAGCCCAAAATTCAGGAGCTTGGTTTCAGTGGCAGCCCTGGAAAGCAGGTTTACGGTGAGGCGGGCCGGGATGGCCTATATCACAACCCTCACCTAACTGCAAGCCCATGCCTAGGAGGGCTCCAGCATGGGCGATGACACTCTTTTTATAAAGAGACTTGGCACTTTCACCAGCCAAGGCTTCCGGAGCTATTGACGCTGGACTCTCCACCGGGAGCAGGGTCCAACGGCCGTAAGAGTCAGGGGGGCCTGCGATGGGAGTTTTACCAAGACGGGAATATATCAGCATGGCGCGGAAACTTTTGCGAAAACAATGGAAAAAATCCCATCTCAAAATGGATCGATCTTCCTGTAAGTCATTCGCTTCTTTCTTTTTTTCAGCAATGAAGACGAATTGCCCCTGGTCTCTGTCATGCAGCAACGCTGCACCGCCACCTACTATATGCTACCCTGGGGTATATCAATGCTACAAACACGATGAGAGATTTGCTGATATCCGTAGCGATCATATTTCCCGCTCCTATCCCCTGGGCCTGCATGAAGATGAGCTGATTCAACAACTAAAAACCCCATGGCAATACAGGGCACCATCAGACAAGTTGGCCGCGCAGCTCCGGTTTAAGTAGTTCTTGGCGACCATACGGTGACGGGCGAAATGCAAGGTTTTGACCTGATCAGTGATTGCTAACACGACTTGCTACGTTAGAAACCGGATTCTGAACAAATTTCACCCAGCGAGCGGCGACAGAAGCGTTCCCATCGATCTACCCCGTTCTCAGGCACGCATTATGCCTCCATCGTCGAATCAGCCAAAGGAGAGGCTCGCCCCCATCCTCGGTGGCGTGTTTCGGGTTCCGGTGAGGTCTGGTGTATTCATAGTAACAACACGGGATTGGCTGGGGAGGCGGAGGTGGCCAGTTTACATAGGGCACGAGGGTGGCGCCTATAACTTTCTCGCGCCAAGCTGGTTGAGGCGATTTGAAACACTCCGATCCGGCGGCCCTCGCAGCAGTTAATGATGTTTTCTGGCACCACACCTCTGTACTTTACCTGCACGGCCCTCTCGAAATCTACCCCTGAGTTCCACAATTCATCTATTTCCTACTCTGGTCAGCGACTTACACGAGCCCCAACGACGCCTCGCAGCCCGGCTATTGCATGCAGCCTCTTTTTCCCGAGTATTCTAGTCGAGGTGCAAGTTATTCACCCGCATGTGCATGTTCTATTTTCAACTCACTTGCAGAACTTTTTTCTTGTCGTTTTTTTTTTTCGCTCTGTGCCGATGGATGGCTCGTTGCGGCTCAAGGGCTCCCTTGCTCTTCCGAGCAGCCTTGCCTATTCCAGCACTTATCGTCATGCGCTGAGAATCTGAGACGTTGCAGCCCTCGGCGGGATGCCACGCTCGTATTTTTCCGCTCACGGAGGTGGCTATGTGTGCAGGTGCCGAGAAACGCTGCTGACCATACGAATGACTTCGAACCATGGCGTCCGCCGTTGCCGGTGTCGTACCTGTCCCCAGCGAGCCAGTCGGCGGTGCTCGGCAAGGCGACTATTGGTGAAGCTTGGTTGCCTCCTGGCTTTGAAGTTTTTTCCAAGTTGGACATTTGGAAATTGGGTCAGCCTCAAGTCCCGACAGACAAGCTTCCAGGCACAACGCCACAAAGCACGCATGGCAGTGCTAGCCCTGGCGAGATGAGATGTGCGAGGCCGCTTACTGCAATAGGAAAGCCTGGGTGAACTCTGGCCAGAGAGACAGAACTTTATTTCGCAAGAGATTGCTACCCATATCCTATGGTCTCTATTAAGGGTATATACTTTTGGCGCTGTGGCGGCGCGGGGATTGCAAGTCATCTCAACTTCGTGAACTTGCTGAACGACAGCTGGACTCCGCATGCATAGATGCATTAGCGTGCGCGCACGCTCGTTCGCTTCCTGCGATCTTCAAGTTGGCGGAGAAGAAAGAGTATCTGTGCGTTGATTCTCCTCGCTTGGAGCTTTGTTTATCATGCAGTCCGGACTTTGCAGTCCGGATTTACTCCAGAGGAGCCGCAGGCTTGTAGTTGCAAGCCGCGCATGAGTTTCACGGAGCGCTACATTTTTACGTCTAGGGTAGCACTGCCTTGCCGCGGCAGTAAGAGTGATTTGTATTGAAGCAGTAGAGCTCATGCCCGGTATTAGTATCATATTGTGCGTAGAAGGCCGAGCTGATATGAATTTTCTATTTGAGTGAATAATTATGGCTTGTTTTTCAGCGCTGTTGCTTTACATCAACTTTGGGGCATCACGCAGGAATGCTACTTTCTACAAACTATGGCATCTTAACGATGAGCGCCAGTACGAGCAGCCCTATAGTCTCCTCGGTTGCTCGGATGATAAAAAAAACAAGTCTATACCAGGTGACAGCTGAGACGCGTTTGAGATTCAATCAGGAATTTATGTGATCGGAGTTCTAAGTGACCAGACACGGGCTATTTCCAACACAGTTTCCAACGACCTCGCCGGCGTGAGTGATAACCGAGCTGAGCTCTCCGTCCAGTATGCCACGACGTAATCAGCCCGAATTTTAAGATACACGCATAGTTCCGATTTTTTTGACCCCGATGACTCGATATGCGAGCCTTGCCCACCGTCCCGTCGCATCTCTATCGTCGGCCTGTTCGGGTAATCAAGAGGCCATCATCGGCACATACCACGCGACCAAAACAGCCCGACCAGCCGACTATATTCATGTGCGCATGGGCGCTCACCTTGAACATCTTCCAAAACACAATCCTTCCTCGACAATGCCGTGCATGCGTTTCATGGCACAAGACGGGGTGCCAGTCGGGTAGATTTGAGGTGATGCAGCGGGAAAGGAGGGCTACGTCGTGACGCCAGAGAGTGCTTTGCGCATAAGTGAGATTCTTGATTGGTACCGGAGAGGGGAGAATGGAATGTTTTGTCGTTGCAGAACTGTTCCGATGCCGCCCAAGGGGTTATGATGGTGCCACTGATGAGATATAAATATGACCGGCGAGATGCCTCAACATTCTCAATTGTTTTCGGCAGACAACAACCTCCTTCAATCAACAAAATCAGCAAAACCAACAGTTTCAGCAATATCAACAGGATAAAATAGCAACAGCCACGATAATATCAACAAGATCACCACTCACCTCTCCACAAACACTCCTACCATGCGCTTCACTGCCACATCCCTCTTCTACGTCGCGGCGCAGCTCGCCCTCGTCAACGGCCTGGCCGTCCCTATCGCCAGAGGTAAGGTCTTCCCGACATACGCGTAGCTCCTACCCTTCTCGCTGCACTCACGGAAAAGATCGACCGTTTCTAACACTTTTATCCGCGCCGCTCAGACGAGCAAGCAGCGGCGCAGCAGATGCAAGCCCGAGCCGAGGGCGGCGCTGCGGGCGCGGCCGCTGGCGGCATTGCGACCATCCTCAAGGACCATGTCAAGTTCATGACAGCCCCGGCGACGGCCGAGGAAGAGATTCCCAAGGAGGAGAATAATGCGATGCGTGAGGGCCACCGACAGGTTCATAAGAGCCTCTACGAGATGATGACCGGCGGGAAGAAGGCCGGCGACGCGGCGGACAAGGCCGGTGACGCGGCGGACAAGGCCGGTGACGCGGCGGACAAGGCTGGCGAGGGCAAGGACAAGGGTAAAGAGAAGGGCGCAGAGGATGAGGAGGAGGACGCCTAGACGAGTGAGCGCATGAGAACAAACGGCCTGCCGGCGTGCTCGGCTGAATCATGAAGAAGCAGGCAGGCTGATGAATCGTTACTTAGCAAACGACTTAATACAGAAGCTATAGAATTTTCTTGACATTTATAAACGATATTCAACATACATATCCAATACACAAAGGATCTTCTCACGAGCCACCGCCAATGGTACCAGATATCCATGGAATATGAGTAGAAACGACCGACTTGCGTGCATGCACGGATCGAGTCTGACACGAAAAGAACAGATGAACAGCCGCGTCAGCAAGAGGAGACGAGCGGAAGACTTGGACCGAAGCCACGTTGACGGATGCCATCTGCATTCATGCAAAGCGGCCATTCCGCCCAATAACCGCCACCCATCGTTCGATGCATGCATGCACTGAGCATCTGAGCCCACGAAGCTCGGGGCATATGAATGTCGGTCAGTTGAAGGAAGCAAAGATGGCCCCGACGCCAACTGAAAAAAAAACTCGGATCCGTCAAGGTAGCATGCGACCTTCGTTGAGTTCCCACCGCCCCGTACGGTGATGGGTTGCATGAGTGGTTCCATGACGGTTTTGGCGTGGGACGTGTCGCCCGACCAGCCGCTCGGCCCGGCCAGGGGAATCGTGACATCGCATTTTCTGCCATGGCCGTGTCGCTCGAGCATCTTCGGAAATGAACGTGAATTTTATTCTCCAGCAAAAATCCCCATCGTTGGTGTGACCTGCAGCTTGGCGAAATTGACATGATGTAACTAATGCCCTGTTTATTGAGCAGGCCCATCCATCCTTATCAGATCCATCCTTGTGAGCCGGGGAACAAGTATCGTACCATGTGGAATTTCCGCTATCAGTGATTTAATCTTACTTGCCCTGCATCTTCTTCAGTCGCTCTTCCGCCGCGCGTGCCCTCCGCTCTCGATCCAGCCGCAGCCGCATCTCCGGCGTCAGCCCTCTGGCCTCCTCCTCGCGCCGCTCCTGTGCCGTCTTGGGCGGTGCGCCCAGCACCTGTCCTGCCTTCCCTCCCGCGTGCCTCGTCTCCGGAACCTTGGGTCCTTCCTTTTTTAACCGTTCCTCTTCAGCGCGACGCCGCTCTGCCTCTTTGGCGTCTGCCTCGTCCTGCTCGCGCCGGTTGCGCTGCTCAGCCTCAGCCCGGCTCATAGCCGCCGGCACGCCCGCCGCCTCCCAGTCCCACCGAGACTCACCGAGCTCGGCGCGAGCAACGCGAAACGCGTCGCGCGTCGCCCGGTCACCCGCCAGCTCGAACGGCGTCTTGCCTTCGGCGTTACGCAGAAGCGGGCTGGCACCGCTACCGCGGGTCAGAATGCCGAGCACCATAGGCGCGGCGTTCTGTGAGGCCGCGAGGTGCAGCGGGTACGGCGTGTGGTGGTGCGCCTCCGCGGGCTGGAACGCAAAGTCGGCGGACAGCTTGTTGTTGGCAACGTATGCGAGGAGCGCGGGTAGTTTGGACCGTCGGATGAAGGCCTGAAGTTGCGAGGTGTGTAGCAGGGCGCTCTGCTCGGCTTCGGTGAGCTTGGGTTTGGAGGGTTTCGGAGTTGATGGCGTGGAGGTGACTGGCGTTGTCTTCTCGGGCTTGACTTCGCTTGCAGGGTCGATTTCGCGGACCTTGAGCCTCGTCAGCTCGATGAAGCACCGCATGAGTTCCTTTTGTGTAGGCCGGCGTGTGTTGAAGGGGAATCCTCGCATTCTTGGGTCGGTATGTCGTAGAACTTGGTTATCGTAGGGCCCGTATAGCGTCCGTCTATTGGTGATGCCTGTCGCGCGAATGAACATGAGCTCCGAAGTATCCAACAAAGCCTTCCAGTCGTGGAGTAGCTCCCGAACGTCTTCTACTAGCGCTTGCTCGTTGTATCGTCGGAGAGTTGAGCCGGCAGAGTGCGCTGCGCCTTTCGCGTTGTCGTTGGCCGATTGCGAACCACCCTGCTTCCGTCTCGTCGTGTACCTGTGAAAGGTCTTGTGCGCCAGCACCGTCGCTTCGCGGTTCATGGGCGCATTGTGCCTGCTTTGGCGCGGCGCGAGGGATACCACCATGGCAGCAAAGTGGCCGCCTCCAATCATACACAGGAAGATGTGAGGCCCTTTGTAGGCGATCGGGGCTAATGTGCCGTCCTTGGCCGGGTGTGGTATTGTGACAGGATCCAACTGCTTTTTGCGAAGCTCTTCGGCGAAATCAGCAGTCTTCTGCTGCTCATTGGTAAATAGCGCACGGTATATCGCAAAGAAATGATTTTTGGGAAGTAGAGGCGAGCTGAACCAGAGCAAAGGCGTCCTTCCAGGGTTTTGCACCTTGACTTGGTTGTCGTCGTCGTCGTTTGCTGAAGCATTCCTATCGGCGATTTTGGCTTGCCGCTTCAACAGCGCAGTCAATGTAGTATCGTTGCTATCTTCTTCCTCGTCGTCATCGTCGTCCGAATCGGAGCCCGAGAGCGACTCGTCAAGGTCCTCGACGAGCTTCTCAAACTCCGTCTCTGAGACGGGTTTTCGGCCGCGCAGTTTCTGTTTGAGGTTGTAATTGTGAAGATCTGATTTTAGGTGCCCGCGCTGGTCCAGAACGTTGCTAAATGTGAGACCGCACATTGAACACGACTGCGATCCGACAGGGCTTGCATCGTTTGTAGAATCGGTCTCGTTTGCGCTGGGCGAACTCGGCCGCTTCGACTCGAGAGTTGGGACGGTTTCGGATGTCTCGACATCGAGCTTTAGAGTGATTGAGCCGAGAAGCTGCGGAGGGAGATCATAGGCTGCGTTTGTCAGAACTGGTCAGCTAGCTGCTTGGTCACTGTGGCGGGGTATTGATTTGCGACGGCGAGCTTACCGTAGAGCGGGCGGCCCATGTAATCTTCTGGTTGGGGAGCCATATTGATGGTCTGGGGTTGATTGCCTCCGGATGGTGTCTTTGGTTGCTTTGCAGCCGCGATCTCCGCGGGTGGAAGGATTGCGTTCTCTTTTGAAGTAGGAAAGTATTTTGCGACGATGACTCTTCGCCGTGGAGCCTAGTCAAAATGAGGGTCTGAAGCCTGGATGCGCATGCCTGGTGAAAAGGGCAATTTCGCTAGAGTTACTTTTTGTTTTTAGGTAATTTCTGCTATTTTTATAATCTTGCCTAGTTGATAGAACATTTGAAAACAGTTATCTCCCGAATATGAAAAATAGCTTTATGAAAAATGGTAAAAGAATTGCTGGTCTCGAATTTCGACTGGTCAAGTACCGGCTACAAACAGCAGGCTTTTGGCCCACACCACGGACAAGTCTGCCTCTTCCATCAACGCCCATCTCACTACGCGTATCGAGCGTGCTTCAAGTGGGCATCAAGACGTCATAAATGGTTGATTGAGTTCAAAATAACTATGACACTAGATTTGGAGCGTTTTGACTAGAGCGAAAACTCGCATGCTCCAGAGTCACGGCGAAGGGGGGGGGGGTCATCCGTCCCATGGATCGGCCCATAGCAAGAGGAACGACTAGCAGCCTGTATACCAGTCTCCTTCCTTCACCGGTCGAATCGGGGTGCTTTCATATTGCGACTGGCGCGAGTGGCTCTAGGCAAGGAGCTCGCGAGGACTACAGTGAACAACTTCTATGCTGAGTAGTGCATGCTCACTCTCACATCACCATGGGTCAAGTCGAGCCAGCAGTAGAGGGCAGTCATTGTAAGAGGCAAGAAAAAGTTCAATATTGCACCCAATTTCACTCCCAATGGGCAATGTTAGTCCCTCTTTCTGTCTAAAACCCAGAATTCTATACTCAAAAACTCTAAACAAAACTCCTCCCAATGCAGGCCTGCTTATCTAAAAATACAAAAAAAGTACACAAAAGTACACAAAAGTACACAAAAGTACAAAATAGAACAAGGTAATTTTACCGTGTTCGGATGTTCCTCTTGCTTCTGCGAAGAGGCTGCAACGCTCGCCGCTCCGCGGATTCGCGGCGGCGTTGTCTGGCCCGAGCCCTTGGGGATAACTCGATCCTCGGCTCTTCCGTGGGCACATCCAGGTTGACAACCGGGGGGTCTTCCCGGATGACAAAGTCCGCATCTTGCGGAATATCCTCCTCCCTCAGCCGCCTAGCGGCTGGGCCCTCTTCACGAGGCGGTGCGTCCTCCCGGCTCTCCTCCCGATTCCAAGGAAGGGCCGCCAAGATCTCCAGGACAGTCCGCTCCTGTGGGCTGTCCTCCTTGACCACGGCTTCCGTCTGCCCTTCCTGCGGCTGTCCCTTGCCGTCCTCCCAGATCTCGAAGTCGCTCGTCAGCGACTCGAGATCGTCATCGTCGCCGGCACGCTGCCCAATCTGAGCGTGCTCTTCTTCGGCGGCGGGGGCGGGGGGAGGGGTGGGCACATACCGGCCTAGTGTGGCCGGTGCCGGGGTGGGCGTCCGCACGCGCCGTCGGTGGATGACCGTGACGACGGAGGGCGGGGTCTCTGGCCCGGGGGAGGCCGGCGACGCGCGCAGGTGGTCCGGCGACTCAATCGACCGGACCAGCTGCTGCCGCTGCGCGCTGCCGCTGGCTACCGCCCTGTTCTTGGACACCCTCTGCGTCGAGGGCACGGGCGCGAGGACGCGGCGTTGCTGGTGGGAGTCTCCCGAGGGGGAGACTCCCCTCGTGCTCCTCTTCCGACGACGGGCGGCCGCAGCCCGTCGCCGGCGATTCCTCTGCGCGGCCTCGAACTCGACCGCGAGCTCCGCGTTCGCAAACAGCACCTGCTGCGCTGCATGCTGCACCTCCTGGAGCCTCTTCTTTATCGCAGCGAGGTCGGCTGCGTCGGCGTCGTTTTCGTCGCCGTACGCGCTGCTGCTCGCGGACGCCTGCGAGGGCGGGTTCTCCCACTCCTCGCGGACCGGCGCCACGAGCTGCTGCTCACTGACCTCGGCGTTCTCGTCGCCGTATGCGCCGCTGCCGGTAGAGGCCTGCGAGGGCGGGATCTCCCGCTCCTCGCTGATCGGCTCCATGGGCGGCGGCGCGGCGGCGACGGCGGCGGCGGCTTGTCCCGGTCGCCGTCCTTGCCCTGGCTCCGCGGGGATGGGGGTGTCCCGCCTGGGGCCCCGAGAGCGAGCAAGAGACGGTCGCCGCACTTGTTCTTGCGGCGGCGCCGTCGCGGCGGTGGGGGATCCTGACCTGGATCCGGAGCCCCGAGCGCGTTCGAGAGAGGCGCTGGTTCGCTCGCGAGGAGGAGTGCCAGCCTGAGGACCCGCGGCCTCTGCTGGCGAGTCCTGAGCAGGAGGAGGCGTGCCAGCCTTTGGACGCGCTGCCGGGCGATGCGCGCGAATATCGGAAACCCAAGCTTCTAAAGCCTCGGGATTCTCGTATTCGTGCACGCTGCTCGGACTGCGGCTCGCCCATGAGTGGCTGGCGCTTCCGTCAACGGCGTCGTCGTCCGCTTGTTGCGGGACGTCCTCTTGCTGTGGGACGTCCTCTGGCTGCGGGACATCTAGCGCGACGAGGGGAGCAGCAGCAGCGTTGCTGCCGGTTCCTTCGGCAGGGCCCTCTGCAGCAGACTGCGCCGCGTCAGGTCCGCTGACGCGTGACTTGCGGTCTCTGCTCGGCCCCGCCTCCTCGTTGTCGGCCTCTCCTCCGTTGTCGGCCATCTTCCTCTGGCGGCGCCTCTCCGGCCCCTCCGCGAGGTGCTTCTCTCGCGCGAGCATGCGCTCTTGGGTTCTCTCGGCCCTCCAAACCCCCGCTTGCTTCGTGGCGACGCTCTGCAGGCGCATCGCTATTCTCTTGGGCATGTGCTCCAGAATATCGGTCCTCAGCGACCAGAACCTAGCCGGGTCCGCGAGCGCCTTGCTCCGCCGCAGCTCGCTCGCCGGGATGTCGCTGACGTAGCCGAGGTGCTCCATGAAGGTGTCGCGGACGTCGACCTCGTGCTGCCAGACCATGCCCGGGAGGTCGCCCCAGCAGCTCCGCCACAGCCCGAGCGGCTCCCACTGCATCAGGCGCACGCGCCAGTACGCGTGCATGAGCAGGTCCTCGGGCGGATCCTCCTGGGGCACCAGCTCCGGCCCGCCCTCCCGGATGTCGTCGGGCAGGATGTGCGGGCTCAGGACGAACTCCATGTGGTCGCGCTCGATGGCCACCTCGTTCAGGAACTGAAAGTACGGACGGGTGACGTCACCCTTCCGGACCACTTCCTGACGGGCGAATGGCGGGCCGCCGATGGCCTCCTGGTGCGACCACTTGCCCGACGGCAGCGTGTCCGGCCCGCAGAACCATTCGCAACTCTTGGCGAGCCCCTGCTCGATCCAGCGGTCCTCGACGATCTCGCGCGCCAGCTTCTGCAGCTCCTCGCCCTCGAGCCAGAGCTCCCTCTTCATGCGGCAGGCTGCCCACTTCTCGAGGAGCCGCTTCTCCTCCAGGTTCACTTGCTCCCAGTACCGGTTCGACGGCTGGGATGCCAACTGCCGGTCCAGGATGCGCCTCCGTTTGCTGGGAGGGCTGAGGTCGGCTATGCAGGGTTGTTCGTACTCCTGCTGCAGCTCATCGTCTAGGAGCTGCCAGCGCCGCTTTCGAAAGTTCTCCTTGATTTGGAGTTCTAGCGGCGCGTGTGTTGATGGCGGCGCTGGCCTTGAACGCCACGCCGTTGTTGATCGCCGCGCCGGTGTTGATGGCGGCGCGGCCACTTCAGTGGTTTCGGCCGCTTCGGCCACTTGGACGGCCTCGCGGCGGCCCAAGACAAAGTTTGAGAAACCTCTCAAGAAAGAAGCCATGTTGAATAGTGTTGTATGCTAGGATCGAGGTTTGTGATCACTAGCTGGCACGACTTATTCAAGTGGCGAAATGTAGAAAGAAAGAAAAAAGGCACAAAGACTTTGTAATATGTGAACTTTGTGCAGAGAGAGGTTCGTGTGCCAAAGTAAACGAGAACAAGGGAAGTTGTCGGGTCATTGGGGGCAATATATAAGAGATCTTGGCTGACTGACCCTTCGGTGCAACCAGACGAGGAGGAACACACGGCGCGTATCGACCCGGTACCAATGGCTGATGGGACGGCACAACAACCTCTTCGGACCGATTTCCCATACACGAGCTGCACAATCACAATGCAGGAGGGCTGGGTTATTAGCTGGCGTTCAACTGTATAACACTGCTCATCAATGCTGTGCTCAGAACTATCGACACAAGCATCCCTGCTTGCTTCCCGTGTACTACAAGAGTGCAACGTCTGGTAAATTATCCAGGAGACTATACTGATTCCATGCATTCCCAGAGCAGGTTGAGTAAATTGCACAGAAACAAGCTCCGTCTCAGAAACCAATACTAGGCAAGTTGTGTAGCTGGAGAGGTTGGCGGTGAGTGAGTGAATTGAGTGCATTCGCTGCCCAAGACGTTTTCTGGTGCGGTGCTCGTTTACGAGGAGACGTATGCAAGCCAGATCATTATGCGTATAGCAAGAATTGCTGGAATATCAAGCACCAGGTGTATGCTTCAACAGCTTTGCTCGAATGATACCGCGAAAGGGTAGCCCATGGCCGACCTAGGTCCTTCGTACCAACGCGGCACCAGCAAAGCGCCAATCCCAACTTGCACAATCTATTGCCTTTCAACCTCTCTTATCTCATCTTCATCCTGTGTGCTTCTCCGCAAGAAAGGACAAAAACGGATTTCGCTTGCAGTCCCGTGTCGCCAGAGGAAACCCATACCACCTGAGCGCCAACCACCCAAAGCAGAGCCGCTTGCCGCAGTCGCTCTGTGCTCTCCTCGCACAGTTTCGAGCTTTGCAGTTATTGGCTGGACAGCATGCACGAGGTTTGTGATGAGAGCAACGTGGCGCAGCGGGATGAACGGAAAAAGAGAGGGAGCTTTGTGTCGCTGGTTGGGCGCGTATGCTTGCGAGCGAACGCGCACAAGAAAGAGCTTGTGCGAGGTAGCATACGCGAATCACGGTTGGACAGTAGAGTGTAACAAGAAAATATTTTCTCAACTTTACTCCTTTTTTTCGTTATTTTTATTTTTTAAGAAAGTGAAAAATACAAGGCGGCAATGAAAAGTGCACTAATCCTGCATCTTACTGAAGAACGGTGCGAAGTATAATCATGTTGGGTATCATCTGCGACTTTGTAAAGACCTCAACCAAACGCCATGCCCATCCAAAAGCTCCAAAGTGGTATATCCTCGGCCAAAATCTAAAAACCCCCCCATTGTAATGTAACCTGTAGTAAATGGCAAGACCCCCCCCCCGGCACCGTGTACAGTATAGTAGAAGAATGACAAGTAAGAATAGAAAACAAAATAGAAAACTTTCCCCGCCTCTCCCCTATCTATACCAATTTCCCTGCGCATTTACTTCGTTGCAGTGCGCCGCCGGGTTCTCTTTGCCGGCGGCTCTGCATCCTGCGCCTCCTTGTCCTCCTCGGCGGCCTTGCCGCGCCCGCGCTTCCGGCTGGCTGCGTTGGACGGAGCGACTTTGACCGGGGCGGCTTTGGGCGTAGCAGCTTTGGCAGGAGCAGCTTTGGCCGCAGCGGCTTTGGCCGGAGCGGCACGCCGTTTCTTCGGCAAGGCTTTTGGTTTAGCACTTGCCCGAACGTTCTTGGCAGCCGCCTTCTCCGCAGCAGCCTTCTCAGCCGCTGCCTTCTCGGCCGCTGCTTTCTTCTCGGCCGCTGCTTTCTTCTCGGCCGCCAGTTGGCGCAACTTTGCGATGCGCTCGCTTCTTCGCGGCCCGGGAGGAGCAGTTGGTGCTGGAGTGGCTGCCCCAGTTTCACCAGTATTTTGTGAAACTGGGGGATCCTGTGCCTCAGTGGCTGGTTTGGCCGCGGGTGCTGCTGGCTCTGACTGTCCAACCGGAGACGGTCGATTCAGAGGACCTTGTGCGTCCGCTTCTTCCACACTGGCCAGCTCGAGTGCTTGTTGGCCGATGGACTGAGCTTCTGCCAATGCTGCATCCACGGCAGCGGGCTCCTCTGAAGATTCCGCGGTTGGAGGAGACGGAACAGGACGCGGTACAGGTAGCGGCACGTCAGGGGACGGCGATACGACGGGGGGCAACGAGACAGGCGGTGATGCGTCAGGAGGCGTCTGCAGAGCGGCTGTGGGCAGGGGCGCCTCCGAAGATGGGCCGAGACGAGATCGGTCCTCCTCATCATCGTGTCTCGTTGCTCCGGCTTCGGCTTTGGCTTCGGCAGCAGCAGCTTGCTGCTCGCTCAGAGCCACGGGATCCGCATCATGGGTCCTCTGGCCAGCCTCTTGCCCTTCTTCAGCCTCCGCCGACGTCTCTTGGAGCTGGCCAAACGAAACCATTGGGTCACGTCGAGCTACTGCAAGGTGACCGGCGTCGGCCCGGATCTCCCAGTACCGGTCCTTGGTCCACTCGAGCAGGGCATCGTGACGGCTGCGAATGTCGACCGCCTCGCGGTATGTGGCCGTCTCGTGCAGGTACTCCTCGATGGCCTTTTCGCGCTGCACGACCAAGTTCTTGGCCGTCTCGGATGCCTTCATCTCGCTCTGGGCCGCGGCCATCTTCTGCGTCCATTGCCTGAGCGCCCCGTACTGCGGCTCCTGGTTCTGGGAGCGAGGCCGCCTCTGTTCTTCCCTCGCAAACTCGAGCGAGGCTATGTCGAACCGATTATATGCTCGATCTTTTTCGACGCGGCGCTCCATCTTGGCCACTTCCGTCTGCAGGTACGAAGGCGATTCGTGAGGGCGCAGTGCTACCTTTCCTTGCAGCTGCTCGTACGAGGTATCGTGCTTGGCACGCCACTCATCCACGTCATCGTCGTACTGCTCCTTGTGCCAGTGCTCGAACGCGAGGTACTCTGTCCACATAGTCAGGCGATCCTGCTCCCAAAAGTCGGCTAGCAGAGCGAAGCCGCGATGCACCTGCACGCCGTTCCGACCCAAGCGCGCGCAAACGCTAGCCTGGTACTCTTCAAAGTTGGAGCATCTGTCGTCGCGCAGCAGTTCCCTCTCCTCCTTGCGTCTGTTCCAGAATTCCTCCTTCCGACCAGCGCTGTGAGCGAGACTGGGATCCGCCATAAACTGCAGCCACTCGCGAGCGCTTTTCGCCTCGCGGACCAGCGCCGCATTGTACGACTCATTCAAGAGTCTTTCTTCCATCAGACCCAGGCCGCGGTTGTACCCTTGCCAGCGGCTAAACTCCTCGAAGCGCAGGCACTGCCGCTCGAAGAAGTTGATCTCGGGAGCGTCAAAGTCAATGGGCGGGTGCAAGTAGAACGGCCTGACCAAGCCAGCATAACGGTGTGGATGCTTGAGCACTTGCTTGATGAACTTCGGATCGTACAGGAGCGGGACCTGGCGTTCTTTCAGCCAGTTGATCGACATGTTCTCGCGCCGGAGGTAGACTTGCTCTTCGAGCTTCCTCGTCTCCGCATCGACTTCCTCTCCGGTCTGGAAGACAGAGTAGCGTTGTGAGCTCTCGTCGTCATCCGCGGCCAGGATATTCTGGAGCCGCATGTGGGCAACCTCAAGGTTGACCGTTCTGGTATACACCCGAGCGGGTGGGGGAGTCGAGCCAAGGCGAGCTCTGCTACGAGTTTGTTAGAAGGAATGCCATTTAGGTACGTAGGAGCAGCAGCCAGGATTGGGCGAGGAGTACTGACCGCTCTATCTCTTGGGTAACTTGGACATCTCCCTCTGCCAGATACTCCTCCCCTGGAAGCGAGAGGTGTGTTGCATCGTCAGGCTGTGGTTGTGCTGCGATGATCTCTGACAGTACCTCGGTGCTCGATGAGCGTGCACGAGGCGGGGGGGTGTCGCTGCTGCTTGTATCCCAGTCCGCCATGTTTGATGAGGGATCTCTATACCCATCCATTTTGCTGACCGGGTGGTAACTTTGGATTGGGGGCGAGGAAGGTTAGGAGCAAAGGAAAGAAGCACTGTTCACAGTGGTGCGGCCCTAATACCTGCCCTACGAGTGACAAGTGTTGCAAACGATTGTGTTATCTGTGAACATGAAGACAAGATACAACTCGAGGCAGAGAGGGGAGGCGAGCAAAAGGCGGCTATATATACGCCCATGATGCCTTGCCCCTAGGAAGGCGATCTGGGTTCTGGTGGTGTGTGCAACGTCAGCGTGTGTGACGATGAATCGCTGGCTGGTGTTTCTTTCGCACACACACACGCATACACAGGGACGCACGACATACGCACATACACGGGCTCGACGCGCGCGCGCAACCCAATCAGGCCGGTTGTGTAGGCGCTGCGAACGGGCTGTTGGTGCACAGCATTTATGGTCGTGTGCGAGGAAGGGAAGGAAGGAGGAGGAGGAGGAGGAGGAGGGAGGCTAAGGGCGACCAAGTTGTGCAATCTCAAGGTTTGGTTTGATATTGAAACCGACGCGGCGAAATAGATGCTGCGGTGCGACGTCAGGAGGGAAAAAGGCAAAGGGCTTGGGGGGGGCCGGGACCGGAGCCTTTTCGTGGCGCGACTGGGAAGGAAGGCAAGAGAGGCTGCTTGTACAAAACAGATCAGATGAATGGGAAGAGGGAGACTCTGGGAATTTTCTGAAATCCAAGGAAAATAGGTGTCGAGCAAAGACAAGCTCTGGTTGTCTTGTCCGCCTGTGGAGAGTCGTCCATGCAAAAGGTCGGGTAGGTGCAGCCGGTGACCGCCGTTCTGCTCTATACGATTTCTGTGCGCAGTCTTGGAGCTGGGGGGCGACGACAGGCTCGAGGTTTCTATTTAACTTTTCTTCCATGTAGACGAGAAAAGTTAGGTAGTAGCGAGATTCGTGTTAGCAAGCCCTGCCTCAATTCGACACCATCACTATCTCGCCAACGGCCAGGCCAACGTCGATACACAATTTAGAAACTCGCGAAAAAGTATCTCGCTAGAACTACGAAACTTCTGCTGGTGTTTCTAAATAGGTTCTAGCAAGAGACAATTCTTTCCCCCCCAGGTAGTCAGTCTCGGACGCCATGCGGAACAGTCTTTCAGCTCAACCGCCAAGGCGGCTGCCATGTTAGCCGCCTACCCTACACGTCATCGTTAGTCTCTGAGCCTCAAGCAGGGACAATCCAATGTACTTTTAAATGTCCATCTCTGCTTGTTAGGAAATTCAAGAAGTGACAAACCTTGAAAATTACTAGTATACTAGGAAAGCAGTGACCAAATCTTTAGTCTGACTTCAGGCTTGTATGCAGCCCTCTCCGCGCGATTCGCTATGTCTTCAAACAATGACGTCGAAATGTATACTACAAAAGCTCAGATTCAAATTGAAAGCCCTTTCACTCATGTCAGGCGCCCAATACTTTTAGGCCCCCCTCCACCCCAAAGACTCGCAACAGCCGCCGCTTTCGCTCTGTGCTACCTCCCTCAACCAACCCAACCCCATGTCACAAATTATGCTACACAAGCTCTCTTCCACATTGTGCTCACAAATAAAAAGTCTTTCTTCTTTACTTTTTTCTTTTCACTCTCTACTACCCTTCCCGGATGCGGAATTACCCCTTGTTTCATCCAGCCAGAACACTATAGACCACTGTCACGCAGGGCGTCCCGCGGGTGTATGGCGATGTGGTGCAAACATGGTACATCGTATGGAACAGCATCCAGGGTTGCTTGCCACCCTGGGTGAACAGGACCCCGTTAATGTGTATGACTTTTGAGTAGTGAAGACGGTGCGATAGAGATACATTGGCGCACAAAAGAGGCTCCTCGAAATTGCGCAATACAGAGATTCTCCAAATCCCGCACGCGTTACGTTACCAGCGTGTGCACACTGTGTACACATCCCGAAAAAGAACCCTCTCGGTACAATATTTTGCCTCTCATTTACGTTCAGCTTTCTACCTGGCCGTCAAATTACGCAGGTCTAGGCATTATATAACATGTAATCATCAAGTTTCCCCCCGGCAAGCAAAACCAAGACAGACTCCGTAAAAGAAACGATGGAAACCCAAAGAACACCTCCGTTATATGCAAACCGATAGAGAAATCCCATCTATAATGCCCCATATAAACCAGTGTATAAAGCCAATTCCATATCTCGTTTGATGCCTTCTGTGCTGCTCCCTTTAGTTAGGCATGTATGTTCCCCTGCCCTGATGCACTCTTCCGGGTGGGTAGCCGCCGCGTCCGTTGCCCCGGCCCCGGTATTGCATGGCCGGTGGCGGCATTCCCCCTTGCATGTTGTTATAATCATTGAACACAGGCCGCCCTCCGGAGACCCAGCCGCTGCTCACCACTGGTGCACCGGCATTGGCAGCCCAGTGGTGAGGGGGTGGCCCTCCATGATGCATAGGCGGCGGCATACCCATGGGGGGCGGGCTCCACGCGTAGCCTTGCTGGTCGTATGGCATACCGGCTGCTCCATACATCGGCAGACCCGTTGGAAGCCCACCTGGCACCATACCCTCCATCGGTGCGGGAACAACCTGCACCGGCATGGGCATGGGCATGCCTCCACGACCAAAGCCAGATGAGCCACCACCGCCACGTCTCCCGCCTCGTCCATTTACGGATCCCCTTCCTCGGACAAATGGTCGCCTTTGTGACTTGGGCTTGCGGTCGACGGTGAATTCTATCTTCTTGAGCGGGTCTGTGACCATGATGTTGTTGGTCAGGTTCAGCTTCTCGAGCTCCTCGCGTGTCGCCGTCCATGCTTGAAACACATTTTCAATGTTTTCAAAGCCACGTACTTCGGGGATCCAAGTGCGCACGTATTCTCCTTGCTTGTCATAGTCGAAAGCTTGCTTGACGGGGTTAAATATACGGGCATCACCACGCGGATCGTTGCCAACGCCGGCAACGTATTGCCAATTGGCCCAGTTAGATGAAGCGTCATAATCAATCAACATGCATTCATACCATTCGGCTCCGTAGCGCCAGTCAATATCCAAATGCTTTGCGAAGAAGCTGGCGACGTTCTGTCTCGCTCTATTGGATGTATACCCGGTGAGGAAAAGTTCCCGCTGGGAGGCGTCTATAAGGCCCATTCCAGTGTCGCCTTGTAAAAATCGCTGTATCATTTCAGAAATTCTTTGCGGAGAAGGATCTTGACCTGGGCTGGCGACGGCTGGGCTAGCTGTCTTCCATTTCTTGGAGTACTGGCCAACTTGTCGGAACCCAGACGCACCAAACAGCTTTACGCCGAATTTTTTGGTGCAAAGTCGCATATAATCGCGCCAGAGAAGCTCCAAGCGAATGGCCTTGGTGCCATTATTTTCGCCTTGGCCGTATCCAGGGGCATCTTCATACTGCGAATCGGTGCCATCCTCGAATTTGACAAGTTCACTGTGTATTTGCCGGGCAGTTAGGCAGCCTAGGCACAGGAATGCGGAGAGCTTGGTGCTGAAATCAGGGCCAAGTAGACCATTCCTTGTATCAGAGTAGGAAGACATGGCTCCTGATTTAATCAAATGCTGCAGGCGATCCATCGCACTCTGCTCACCACCAATAAAAGGATGGGCAGATTCGGCGTCGTTGGGTAGGATTGGTGGACTGGGTAGCTCGAAGATGAGGGGTTTCGATAAGCATTTTACAAAGCCGTCGAGATCATCTGGAACCTGGAAAGGCATGGGCTGCGGCGGTATCAGTGCCTCCGGTGGGAATGGAGGCAAATGAGACTTGGACTTGGGATACACGGGGCGAGGCTTGTCGCGTAGCGGTTCTTGTGCCTTGCGGTAGGTTGTGAATACATCCGGCAACTCCTGGGTTGCAATGTCGAGGTCGCGACTAGACAAGTTGGATACTGAGTTAGATGTGTGCCGTGTATAGGCAGTTGGCCATGAATGTGGTAGGCAGGGCAGAAACGCACTCGTCAATATAATACTTCTCGTCAGGGATGAGGGTGAAGTCAATACTGAATCTGTCGCACAGGGCAGAGATGTCATCTTGATGTCGTCTCTCCTCGAAAGGAACGTCATCGGTCATCCAGACAGCGGAAACAGCGGCGTTACCCGAGGATTGGATGTGTTGGATAATACCGCGGACGATGTCGGCTGGTACTCCCATGCGGACGATGAGACCACTGTGACGTGAGACCAGGGTGTCTTTGAGATTCCAAACAGCTTCGGCAAGGAACTTTGCTCGATGAGGACCACATCGCCAGAATTTGCCGACTTTGCTCTTGGCTAGTGGAAAGGGAGAGATTTGACCAGGGCTGAGGAAGCCCGACGTCTCAATCTGATCGGGTGGCAGGACCACGACTGGGAGGAGGTGAGTAAAGTCATGATCCGAAGCTGTGGCAAGACGATGGAAAACGGGATTATCGGAAACTCTCAGATCGCGGCGCAGCAGATAGACGAGCACTCTGCTTGCAGACATGACGAGCTAGGTAGGTAGCACTGTTGGAGGCTGAGGTGCTGTGGTTACTTGCTGCCAATGCGAGCCGCGCCACATGAGCGTGTAAGAGGAGGCAAGTCGGAGGGCGGCGAGAAGTTGGCGGATTCCGAGTCGAATTAGAAGCGGAGAAATAGCGACCGGGACAGAGAACAAGGAACGGAGGTCCTGAGCGAGATCAGGTAATGTAATAAAGCTAGTTAGTTAGTCGGCTAGGTTGCAGGCTTGGTGGGCGAGGAAAAAGAAAGGCGACAAGACAACAGGCAACTCTAAGCCAAGATCCACAGGAGCATTGTTGGCGTTTTAATGCTGGCAATGGGTCAATTATGCGGGATCCAGGTAGAGGCGAGGCAGTCGGGCCTCCAATAACCTGGGTCAGTGTCAAGCTGTGAACGAGCTGTCGACGACCGTTGATGCGCGGGTGTGTATGGAGTAGACGCCACAGGCTGATATGGTGCGTCAAGCAGCGAACCGGGAAGTGAAGCCCCTAACGTTAATGGACGGAGGTACGTGAGGGTGAGGAGGGTTTGCTTGATAATAGGGAAAAAGGAAAGGGTCCAGGCGAAGATGAGGGGATGAAGAGATTGGCGGCAGGACAAATTCTTGTAGCCGAGGCCAAATCATTTGTCAATGGATAGATAGTGTTGCGCGTTTGTTTGGTGACGGATCTGGAGATGACGAGGCGGAAACGGAAATCGAGCCCATGGGATGAGGGAGGCCGTATGTAATGTAAGTAATAAAGCTAGCCTGGGACTCTGGGTCGAAGGAGTTGGGGTCATGTTGGCTTTTGTGGTGATGGCGGCGGGCTACTACCGGTAGTCGATGGAGAAGGCCGTGACGAGGCGGCGAGGAGAGTTTGCGGCGGCATTGGGGGCACGAGAACTGCAGCTGGGGGGTGTGAGAGGTGTGGGCGGTGTCTGGCTGGGTAGCGATGGGTGGGAGCTGCAGCAGGATGATCGATCGCGGGAGAGGGAAAGGCATCCATGATGGATGGATGGGTTTGGATGGACGGCTTGGGCAAAAGAAGGGTTGATGACGATGGAGGGGTGGTGATGGTGATTGGAATGGGGAATGAGAATGGGACAGTAGGTACTTGAGTATTGCCGCTGGATTGTATGAAGACGCAAGTATCTTTGGATTCGCTGGGTCGAAAAGGTGGGCGGATGGAGAAGTGGGCGGAGAAAACAGACCCCGTCCTGCTGCTCTTTCCAGCGCCAGCCCCTCAGCGCCTCCACCCCTAAAAAAGCTTGCTGGAGCGCTCCTGTTGAGACCCGGAGCGCTGTAATTCGGGCGTCGATGTCAGTAATAATGGACCATGTAATGCATACAGAATATTCTAAAAAAATTGATTATAAAGAATCATCAGTAATTTAGGATAAGAGACACTCGTACGATTCTTTTTCCTTTTGTTCCCATCGAAATCTCCTCCCAATTGCCGTTGTCATGATATACCTGGCCGCCTCCCATAGTTGGCCCCTTCTCGATATCCGGCCCCCTGTCCACCGTCGAGACCATCGGGAAACCCAGATGAGCTGGCCACTAATGTAGCAAGGGTACCATGGCACACCCGACTTCCCGTCTTTGGGAGACCAGCTTTGCACATTATCATGATAACTGACAAGGCTGAATTGCATTCTGATGTTCGTGAGCTGGCCAGAAGGTTTTACGACGACGCTTCAACATCAAGGTGACGGGGTGCGGTCCCTTACCTCTTGGTGCTGGAGGTACTGACTGGAAGTCAACGTACAGTACATAAGTGGACTACAAGGAAGATGCCGATATACGCCAACCCAGCGATAATTCTCGGTGTCGAGGCATTTCTTAACCCAATTTGGAATACAGTTTAGTAAACCTCATCGAACCATGGTAATTTTCCTTTTTCTGCTTGTATTTCCCCTGATATTCTTTTCGAAGGCCTCTGAATACTAGGGACGTGCGTTGTTGTCCGCCAAAACCTTGTCTTCGCACAGTCCGAACCTCCTGCCTTCTCGTTCACCCCTCATCCCCTCTTAAATTTAAGTTATAAGCTTCACCCACACTTCATTGTCGCATACGCCCATCATCAACAACAGCCTCTCCAAGTCCAGCAATCTGCGCTTCCCGCCACATCCAACACATCACTGGCCGCCCCTTGCCAGCCGGAGTCATCCTTTCTCTCCCGCTGCAGCCCCCAGCCAGGCTCCTCCTCGCACCCCTGCATAGCTGAGATGCTCAAAGCTAGCACGGTTCCCTGTCTACGCCAAGTGGGCGCTGGCGTCTCCGTCCTCCCGCTAACAACTCAAAAATGGCATCTTTGAAAGTGGTATTTGTATTTCAAGGATTGCATCCGACCTGACGACGAGCCGTTCTGCCTTGCTGATGGTAGGATGCGCAGGTCCCCGAGTAGAGCCAAGCCTGATGGCCAACAGGAAACCGGCAGCCCACAGAAGCTCGTGACGAATATCGAATACATCATCCCCGACATTCTCTGCCTCGAGTATATTCAATACATCACCCTACTTCCCACATCCATCACACCCAATGACGGCCCATCACCTGCCATCATCAACCTTGCCGGCCGTTTTGCGCCACAGCCCGTCATCCATGTCGGCCATGCATCATGGGGCTGATGTCTTTGCAACTGCGACCAACTATGGATAAACGCCTTTGTGATCGACATTCTCCAACCACCACCACTTGCAACTATTCAACCGACCCGTGTGCCTGTGCCAACCATGATTCAGAAACAAGATAACTTACACCCCCACCACCAGGATTTCTAATCGTCATTTCGGAGCCTTGCTTCTTCTCGGCCGGTTGGTTCACTCCGCTGGTTCCATGTCTCCCCCATCATTTTATTATCCACACGACACACTTACGAGTGTTGGGGTCTGTCCTCTTGTCTGATTACCTATCTTGACAAAGGGCTTTGACTATCAGATTAATTATTATGTCTCAGTACGCGGCGTGCACAGCGAGCGACCTTGTTACTCTGAGCATGCTTGATGGCCAAACTTTCTCACTCGCCAACGCCCATGAAGTCTTGAAAACCGTCTCCAGAAACAACTGCAGCTACAATAATCTAAACCGCTGGCGTCCCCTTTTTGGTGGTACTGTTACAGCGCCAATCGCATACTATTACGTCAAAAGCCCACCCACCACATCCCGTCTCCGATGGAAACCACCAGCACATCGAGTTTCTGTCATCGAAATCGTGTATGAACGTTGTTGGAGCTCGCGTGCTTGACCACCACGTAGTTGTAGTACGTTTGAGCTCTACGTAGTTTACCCTGTTTTGAGTTCTACTTGGGCATGTCTGACCGATATCAGCCAGTTTGCGTGACCGCGTTGAGCTAGCCCGCTCGTAAGACATCACAGGAACTCTAGCTGGTAAACGAGCCACGCTTGCTGGTGCCTGTAAAGTTGCATCCTTTATAGCAGCACGCACAGCACATCCGGTTTCTATCTACACCCTGTACTCTGGTCTTGATCCTGCATCTTCGAGACATTCTCCCAATGTTGGACGTGATTCCGCGGCGAGCCGCCCGCGCCATCGTCCGTGTAACGCAAGGCCTCAAGCCGATTCGATGTGGATTTCATGCCCAAACATCAGCAACAGGTTGAATTCTCCCCGAGACATCATGCAGTCATCTTATTAATCAGCCACTCGTTCTGCAGACCGCACCGCTGCGCTAGTTATTAGCATTTGCAGTGGTGCATCTTATCCCGCCAAACGCTACTCACCTCCACCAACTCCACCGCCAACTTCTTCATTCGAAATTACTAGCATGCTGATATTTATTAAAAGCACTTACTTTCAATGCAAGTGGATTGGAGAACATTACCCCGGGGGCCAACCTATCACCTGGTGACCCTCGGCGACCTTCTCCACGACGGCCGCTATCGGTGAAGGGCCTTTTCCCACCTCCCGGCTTGTACGGGCTGAGGCGGGCTGAGACACTACTGTTGTGTAACCGGAAAAAGCCCATTTGACAATGCCTCAAGTATACAAGATAGAACGTGCCATTGTTACTGGGAGCCGTTAAGGTTCAAACCAGGAACCCTTCTTCAGTCTCATCACCCTGTGCTTTCCGTCGAGACTGAGTGTTACTTGGCAGAGTTACATACGACGGCTCTGACAGGATAGATAAATACATGGTTCCGGCATCTATGAGACCCAATGCTAAGGCTACGGTTGAAGAGCTTCCGCAGTTCAATCCCGTGAATGCTGGGGTTCCTGGCGCACCGACAAGCAGCTTGCGAACCCAAGAGCGGTGCTTATGAAGACTGCAGCCATCTGCTGCAGCCCCTCTAAAGCCCCTCCTATCGGATGTACTGTTGAAGCATGAAATAATTCCTCCACGTACATAGGGTCGGACGGGGCGGTCTGTGTCGGGAGGGCAGCAAGCCATTGCCCCCCCCCCCGCAGATGGCCGGGGAGGGCGTATGAGATACAGCAAAGATTTAAATTGGAGAGAGAAGAGGCCGAAAGTTCAGGAGGAGGTTGTGCAGAGCTTTAAGAGCTTCAACGGAGCGGTCTCCGGGTGCCGGGTGCCATGGCCGAGACATTGCCAGATCCATGGTTTCATGACATTGGAACAAATACATTTAGGGCCTGAAAATGATAACTAAAGCCTTTGATAATCTACGAGCACTCCCAATCCTATCCAATTTTTCCGTTTTTTGCTCCCATTTGACGTTTGTGTTTAATTTCTCCACTGAATGGATGGTCCTCTCTTGCTGTTGGCTACCCCCCAAACCGCGGTAGAGAGCAACGCAGTTTGCGCATGAGGCCCTACCAACGCAACATTCAATAAATGTGCACTCAAACACCAAGGAAAAACATTATTCCCATGCATCTTCAGTGACGAGGCGCGGACAACCGCCACTCCTCTCCGACGACACATCAGCCGTCCTGCCAAGATGCACTGCCACAGGCACATCGCCACACGGCCGGCTGGCCCGCGCGCCGCGCACAATGAACTCCCCACTAGTCCGTTTCTAATTTCGACCTAGACGGTCATCGAAACCATCAAGCCTCCAGCCTCTTCCATCTTCTTGTATTCTTCATTGTTGCAAGCCTGCTTTCGATCTTCGCAGCCCACGACTTCACATTTTACCGCCCGGGATCCTCCAAAGTCAAAGGCCTAGCCAACACTGTCCTCACGCATTGGCCGCGCAGGCTACCCCGCCAAGATGGTCTCCCCTGACCGCGCAACAATCATGGAGACCAACCGGTCGCTCCGAAATATAAAGACTGTATGAACAGCCCGCCTGAAACTTGCTATGTCATGCCTGCGCTGTTTTCTCGCAAGGAATGAAGGAAATGAAGGACGTTCGTGTTCGCTAACAACTGGCTGTGATGTTATAGGAGCTTGAGAACTTGCTCGAAAAGGGCGTCATCGACGAAAACGTCTTCGACTCCATCACCGGCTCCCTGCCGCCCGAATCATCCCTATCCGGGCCCCTACGCACGACCGCAAACTCCGGCGATGCCGCGGCGTCGTCCAGCCCGGCGCCCGCGACCCGCGACCACGCGTCCCCGCCGACGCAGGGCTTCCAGAACATGAACCTCAACAATTCGCCGTCACCCGCACCCCCATCCTACAACAACACGCCCGCGCCGGGGGTGCCCCCCCGCGGAGCCACTCCCGGCCGGCCCGTCATCGCGCACGCGCGGGCACTCTACCGCTACGGCGCGACGGACGCGCGCGACCTCAGCTTCGAGAAGGACGATCACGTCGCCGTCTACGAGTACATGAACGACGACTGGTGGATGGGCATGAACCAGCGCACCGGCCAGGAGGGCATCTTCCCGCGGAGCTACGTCCTGCCCGAACAGGACTACAAGGCGCCACCCGGAGGCTACGGCCCGCCGCAGCCGCAGTACGGTTACCCGACGGGCCCGCCGCAGCAGCAGAACCCGTACAACGCCAGCGTGCCCCCGATGGCGGTGGCCGAGGGCGGCGGCCAGCAGCAGCAGGAGGGGGGTGCTGGTGTTGGCGGCAAGGGGGGCGAGTACGGCAAGAAGTTTGGTAAGAAGCTGGGCAATGCGGCGATTTTTGGTGCGGGCGCGGCGATTGGTGGCAACATTGTCAATAGCATATTTTAGACGATATGCGGGCATATCACAAATTTCTGTTTTCTGTTTGGCAACTTTACGTTCCGCCGCCGCACGGGGGTCGACCAAGTCTCTCGCTGCGCTGTAGACTGATCTCGAAATGTACCAATGTGAGGAGTGGATGACGGCCGTTTTATATGAATGATGAAATGAGACTCTTGAATAAACTCCCAAGGTCTGCGATTTTGGTTCAAACTTGCTCTGCTATGTTACATCTGTGGGTTCGCACCGTTGTGGTCAAAGATGAAACCTGTGTCCTGGAGTTCAGGAACGAAACGAGGGGCGGGACCAAGTATGCCGTGGAGAGTCATGGCATCTGCAATTAATCGTGCTGTTCATCTGTCTAAGGGCGAGGCTGATGTAGGAGCATCGAGTAATGGGAATAACCAAGTGGCAACCTCATTATATGCTACTATGCTGGCCTCCTTATGCACCTCTATGCCCATAGCCCGATGGAGGTCCTTAATTAAAATACTCCAGACTGGCGATATAGCATTGTATGGGGCCTTTACTAAGGATCATGTTGATTATGATATCAAAATCGTATTTTTGATGGGTATTATTGTAGATAGTGTAGATGCTAATTATGCGCCGGCCTCTTGCATTCCTCTGCCACGGCCCTCCGCGCTCTTTCGGAGGCCGTTATTATAGTACAATTTTTACAAGTCGATTCGATCTTATCGCGCAATACACTGTGTCCAGCACAGAAGTCATTCTTTCAATTTGTGGTGCCACCCGCTCACCGTTCAACCATGATCTTTTTTAACGTAGCCGGGGGCGTTGCCTCGAGCGAGTACTCTCTGTACTTGGAGGCCGTTAGGATGCGACCTCGGCGGCCCCATATTAGCAGCGGGATGGGGATGAGCAGCACGACGGATGCCGCAACCGAGGTGAAGACGAAGACGCAGTTGAGTCTGGTGGCAGCAAGTTGGGGCATGATGCCGATCCATAGGATGATAGCTAGGACGTTGCGGAAGAAGACGATACCGACCATGGCATCACCAATCATCTAGAATACGTTAGCGACACGATTCCGAGATGTTTCCCGTCTTGGAACTTACGTTGTGATAGCAGTCGGTCACGTAGGTTAGACTTGTTTCTTGGCACACACCATATCCAAATGAAAACAGGATATAGCTAATGACTAAGACCGGAATTGGTGCTTTCTTTGAGTGCAAAAAAGTCAGCCACATGTACTGAGAGGACTAAAAGTTGTCTCATCGACAACGTTTGTAGTAGGTGTCAAGTGGGAAAGACTTACATCACCAATACCGATTCCGAACATGAGGATACCTGCCGCGACGAAGGCGCCGCCAAAGAGAGCGAACCACAATCGCATCTCAGGCTCGTACATGCCGCCGCTACGTCGGGCCCTGGCTATGACCCAGTAGTCGCTGAGCGGCGGCACGACGAGGGTGCCGAGGAAGTGGCCGAGCAGGGGCCCGAGGTCGAGCAGCGCGAGCCCACGGCGGTCGAGGTTATAGGGCGCCTTGGTCATCTGCGTCTGCAGGACCTGGCTGAAGAGCGAGAGCCAGGCCATGAGGAATCCGTACGTCAGCGCGGCGTAGACGACGCCGGGAAACGTGCCGAGAATGACGAACGCGGACAGGAATCGCCGGCGGATCGGCCGCCCGGTCGGGGTGACGAAGGCGAAGCGCTGGCGCAGCGGCCGCGGACCGGGCGGCAGGTCCAGGGTTACGCCGCCGCCGGCGCGACGCGCGACATTGACCAGGTCGTGCATGTTATGCTCGTCCACCGCCGGGGTGCCCGGCTCCGAGTCGCCGCCGTACGACACGCGGCGGTTGTAAAACGTGCTCTGCACGCGAGCCTCCTCCTCCTCCCGCGTCTTGGCAGCCACCTGGTTGTCTATGTTGGGCACAAACGTCGACTCCTCCGCGCCGAGCAGCACCAGCACCGCCGTCGCGCCAAACGCGGCCGCCATCGACGTCGGCATCCAGCGCCACTCGTGCCCGTGGCGGTCCTCCACCTCGGCGGCCAGGATCGGCCCGACGAACGACCCCAGGCCCTGCGCAAAGACGGCGAGGCCGTAGGCGGTGGCCAGCTGGTGGGTGAAGAAGAGGTCCGCGATGGTCATGGGGACGAGCGCCTGGGCGACGACGGCGCCGGCGCCGGCGAGCGCGTTGGCGGCGCGGTACTCCCAGGCTTGCTGGACGCGGGCGGTCCAGGCGGCGGCGGCGAGCTGCAGCAGGAGCGAGGCGATGTAGACGGGCCGCCGGCCGTACTTGTAGCCGAGCGGGATGAAGACGATGGCGGCAAAGGCCATGCCGATGTAGCGGAAGGAGGTGGACACGGCGAGCTGGGAGGCGTCCATGGAGAGCTCGGCGGCGAGGTTGGGGTTGCGGAGGAGTGAGAGGTCGACCCAGGCAAAGGTGACGGCGACGTAGATGAGGATGGTGCCGAGATGGAGGGCCTTGCGGCGTCGGGACCAGTTCTGCGAGGGGGGTCAGTGATGCGAGGATGATACAGGCGGCGGCGGCGAGCTTACGAGAGGGTCGTCATAGTCGTCGGTCGGCTTCGGGTGCGAGATGATGCGACCGTTTTGGCTGATCAGATTGACCGACCCGGGAGGCGTCATCTTGTATCGTCAGCCGTGACCGAAGCTGCGATGTTGGCTTTGCGTGTTATACGGTCGGTCAATAACGTATTATACGCGATGCTGTGGGATGGACATCGACATGTTCAAGAACGAGTTGGGGAAAAAAAGCAAAGAGGAGACAAAAGAGGGACAGTCATCAGTTATATCAGCGTCACCAACTGGGAGATCAGGGTTTCATCTTGTTTTAGATCGCGGGATGGGGGCAGCATGGACTGAGTTCCTGCACGCATGCACCTGTCGTCTCACGAGTGGCGCGGCCGGCCGGCCACGGCCCTTTTTTTTTTGTCTTCGGACGAGAAGAGGCATTAATAACAGGTACAAAAGCTTCCTTATCCAATACAGGACAGGGACGCAATGCTTCCATTTCTTGGAAGCCGACGTACATCACCAACCACTTGTCTCAAGGCTTCTTTTGCTCTCCTGAACGAAGCACAGCCTGAGTTGAAGTTGAACAATCTGCAGCGCACAGAGACGTAATTAGAACTACCTGGCCCTTCGGTAGGAAAATTTCCGTAAATTCCGCATTGGGACAGGCTTCTTCTAGAAACGTGTCGTACGTAGGCTGGGGCGGTTACTGTCGCGGCATCCCTGCTTACTGGGGTGGGAGGACGATACCCCGGTCTGTTGGTTCTTTCTTCCTTGCCCTCTCCTTTTGTCACAAAGCAACTCATCCTGTCAGCCTCTTACAATCGATTCGAGCAGGCTGTCAGAGGATGCACTCCCTCCGGCATCGATGCCGCTCGCGGCCATGCGATCCCGTCCCCGTCCTCGCTGCAAAGAGGCCCGAGAGCGTGGGACTCTGCAAAGCGCTGATTACAGCCCACTCAGCGTCGCTTGGACGTTTCAGAATTCATGTCAACAATTTGGCCCTGATAGGAGGGTGATGAAATCAATCGCGACTTATTTTGCTCAATCGGCCCAATCGAACAGAGGTGATTTACCAGTAATCTTGTCCTGATATCCAGCGGGACATACGAAGTACGAATAGAGACGGGAGCATATTTTTCGTTACCTGTCATCCTCTTCTTAGCCTGGACGGATGGCATGACTTTATCATTTTAGTGCACCGGCTTGACACAACGGCTTGACACAAGGAGCGAATTCGTCATGCTGCAAAGTCTGCTTTTCGTATTGGCAATCAGGAGTAGCCAGGAACTACAGCGGCAGGCTAGCCGAGGAGTCGGGACAAATTTACATCTCCTGCCTTCTCTCACGGTTATCCGTACAGTCAACGTTGTTGGTAGAGTTTGCCCTTCAAACATGGGCAGTATGGGACCAACAAGAAGCAAATGTTAGATCCTTTAGAGACCAGCCGTCAGTTACTTGTGTCGGTTCGGCCTAGCTTCAGCCATTCCCGGCCACGAAAAATGACGAGGCTGATTTATCTCATTCTTCTTTCTCTTTCTATCTTCCGCTTTCGGATAATTTCCCCATATTCACTCATGCTGACAAGCACAAAGCTACCTCCCCGTGAAGCCTCTCGTCGGTCTCGATCTGGCCAAATGCCAAGCGCCCGTGAGCCCGCGTTTCAGAATCGCATCTTCTCCGGTTTTATCTCGGCGCAAGCGAGGGATAAGGCGGCTCATAAGCTCAATGCTGGCCGTGTGTAGGAAAATACTGCTCATTTCAGTGGCTGGCAGGCTGCCGCACTGACACGACAAGGACAAGGCCGCGAGGGGCGAGGCTGTTGATGATGGTGCCCCCACGTGGGTGTTGGTTTCGGCCAGGTCCGGTCTTTTTGTCTGTCAACTTTGACCAGTCCGTTCATACATTGTAGTTATTGTTTGAGATTCTCTCATCGGATCCTTGCCGAATAAAAAGTCGGGGTTGTCTTTTTCCGCTTGACGCTGTGTCTTGACCGGACTGCCATGTCAACAATGACACGGTAGTCCACCACGAGATCCCGACGGGACGGGACGGAGGTGCAGCAGGAAACCCTCCGTGGTCACCTTACTCCGAACTCGCTTTCCAACTTTCTGCTTTCGTGGAGGGCGCAAAGCGCAGTCCGGCAAGGTCGCTCAGCAATGCATCGAAGCCCGACCGACAGACAGACAGCCAGGCACTTGGCAGCGCAGCTTTCCTGCCGCAGCTGATTTTGAGTTTTCTTTTGCGCATTCGAGACTTGAAACGTGCTAAAAGAACATCATTGGACCAATTTTAGCATGCAGTGATCGGCCGTAAGTTGCAGCCCTTTACGGCTTCTCGGCGGGCGACCGAGGAAACAGGAAGGCCGCTGATCGGACAAGGCCCGCGATGGTGTCTTCTTGGCCTTTTTGCTCAGGCGTGAAACAAGGAGGGAACTTTAGAGGCCAATAAAACTCACGATATCAAAGGTCTGCCAACGGGTGCATGACCGAACGGCTGCCTCTCGACTGCCCGTCACTATGCTGCAAACCGTGGTCGTCACCGACGTTCCATATTTTGCGGAAGAATAGCGCAACTTGGAACTAGATCTACCGAATAACTCGGTCTTTTAATTTGTTACTCAATCACTTGTAAGACTGCCTTGCACTGGTTTACACTGGTTCACTTGCACCAGCACCTACAGGCGTGGCGCTTCCCAGCTCCTCGGCGCGAATCGGCGGGCGGATCGGAGCATCAGCCAGCGACTGACTGCATGAGAGTAGACTCTGAAACTACGTTACATACGTCATCCGAGAGGCTTGTAGACATTAATCGAGCGTATGCAAAATAAGATTTCTTGGCGACGGCCTGGGCAACGGCTGATCTCTAATGCTCGTCACGTTGGACGGCCTGACAAGAAGATGAGAGGCCTACCGCGCGTCTGGACCAAAGAATGAGAAGAAAATAAGTGATAGAACAACTGGTACATCAATTTTTACATCATGATCTTATCCATGCCGAGTTTCTCCGCAGGCTCGGTAGGCGCATCATGCTGGAGCTGACAACTGGAGCGACCCTAGACTCTTACTCACAGTCGTCTGTTGTTATACAGGACTACTTTACCTTAAGTTTATTGAGCTTGCTAGAACTAAAAGAAAACGCAAAATCTTCATGCGCTGGCCATCCCTGACAGTTGTTTCTATCTAACATCCATTCCTTCGCATATGTTGGCGAACCTCGATGGCCAGCCATGAGTACCTAAGCAATCGTCCATCTTCTTCACACCGCATGCTCATTCTATCTTAAACATGGATTTCGCACACAGTTCCTCAAGTCACCTGGCCGAAGCCCAAAAAACGCCAAGTCGCGCGCCAGCACGCTCCTCTGCATCGCCTGCCTCTCCTCCCAGCCAAGCGCCGTCCACAGCGCGAGCTCAAAGCAGTGCGGGAAGAAGCCCGCCTGCTCCCACCCCGTGACCGCCACGATCTTGAACGTCTCTGGGTGGATCCAGACGTTCTTCGGCTCCAGGTCGTTGTGGCAGAACACAAAGACCTCGCCGCCGCCGTCCGCCGACGCCGGCCGCTCCCACGCGCGGTCGTCCCGGCGGTAGACGCGCCGCGGCGGGACCAGCGGTAGGTGCCGGCCGGCGCTGCCGACCTGTGCACGCTGCAGCCGCTGCAGCTGCGGGATGATGAACCGGCGCATCTGCTGCTCGACGGCGGCGACGGCGGTCGTCCGGGTGGGTGGCGGGCAGGCGTCGAGCTGGGTGGCGTCGCGGACGCGGCGCGAGGCGAAGTGCAGCAGGCCGTCGCGGGAATACAGCTGGCCCTCCGGCACGGGGATGGTGGTGTGCTGCCGGATGAAGGTGGTCGCGGCGTGCTCGTTGCGGAGGCGCTCCGTGTCCCATAGCGGGCGGATGACCTGCCCGTCTACGTCGACGGGGAGCTCGCTGGTGCTGAGCTGCCGCTTGACGAACCAGTCCTTTCCGAGCTGAAAGTGGCGCTCATAGTTGCTAGCCGCCCAGATGATATCTTTAGGGTTATCCAGCTGCATGGTAGATTACTTACGAGTCTGTAGCTTGATTACAGCAACGCTTGCATCGAACTGTTTTGCATCGACCTGGAAGATGAGGTTGCCGCATATTTATACGGCGGCGTATCGAGTGCGTGAATCAATGTTACTCAACTTCCCGGCAGTCTGATGGACTTCATTCAAGGTACGTGCAGATTGTCCTACATGATTACGCTTCGAATACATGCGTTGAGCAAAGCTGAATTTAGGAATTCGACGCTGCCGAGCCAGTACGTCATGTCCACGGGAGTCCGTTCAATCCTATCCTAGGAACAGTCAAGGTGACGATATACAGACCCTCAACTATGTACGAATTCTGGGTAAATTTTAAGAATTAAATCATGCTCACAGCTTACACCTGTTATTACTTTCCTGCAACCCCTATGCGGGAACTGCGATTCACGTTGGGCATGCTTGTACCACTCATCATCACATTGTGCGCCTGTATCACTAAACTCTTCTCTCATTGAATAATTTCTTTTCCTACCTCTAGACTGTGACAGAGTATGCCCCGTATTTACCCAACATTTCCCAACATTTCTCGAACAACACCCTCCAATTAGTACCGAACCGAAAGGATCGGTCCGAACGGGACCGGCTCGATCCTCGTCAGGCCCTCGCCCACCGGCTCCGCCCTCGCCACCAGGCGCGTCCTCGCCGAGTCCGCCTTTGGCACCGACGGGCTGTTCTCCAGCCTGTGCGTGCACTCACCCCCGGGAATGATGATGTTCCCAATATACGTCTCCAGCGTCGTGTACGCGTTTCGAATCGCCTGCGCATTCGGCTGGATCTTACCAATCCCGCCCTCCACGTTCTTATCATACACCGACACCACCGTCTCCTGCGCAAAGTTTTCCTGCTGCGACGTCCGCCCATAATCATCCGTCACCGCCGTGTCCTTATGGTAGGCGTCCGTCCAGGCCTTGCCGTTGCTAAACGGCACGCCCAGCTTCGGGTCGAACGCGTGCGAGTCCAGCGAGTGGCCCGTCTCGTGGATGAACACGGTAATCTCGCAGTCGCCGTTCATCTGAATATTGTCCCCCGCGCTGCCCGCCGAGCGCTGGCCCGGCAGCGCGATGATGTGCCGGATGAACTGCCGCATGCGCACCGGCAGCCGCCCAAACAGCTCCGTCATGTCCGTCTTGCTCAGCGGCGAGTCCTTGTGCCGGCAAAACACCCACGGCTGCGCCTTGCAGTCGTCGTAGTGGATGTCAAAGGCGGAGACGTCGAGCGGAGAGAAGCCGGCGCCCTGGGCGAGGGTTTTGCAGTCGCGGGGCAGGTGGTCCGCGTCCCAGTCGGTGGTGGTGTGCGCGGCGATGGGGAGCGAGGACATAAGGTCCGGGCCGAGACTGCCGAGGCCGCCGTTGGGGAAGGGCGGCTTGATGACGGGCTTGTCGAGCGTGGCGGCCGCCGCGGGGAGGAGGGCCGCGGCGGCGAGGGAGGTGATGACAGAGGAGTGCATGCTGAAGTGTCGAGTTGCTTGTCCGATATTGAGATTGGATGGCAACAGAGAGGTCCTGCCGACGACGTTCGTGGCAAAGACCTCTTTATACCTAGCATTCTCAGCATCGCATCCTTGTCTCCTGCCAGGATGCCATTCGGCGTTGCCACGAAACCAACTATTTTGGGATCAGCCTAGTTGTGAGGTTGTCAGCCTTAATAACCCCGGGAGTTACTCAATCGGGTAGGTAGTAGTGTCGCTCGTCATGGAAGTATCACCGAGTGCATTTGAGCTAGGACAAGCCAGTTGTCTAACTGGGAAAGAGTAGCTGGGATGCAGAAAATAAATCCGTAACGGTAGAGGCAGTAGAGTCAGTCTGGTTGACCATAGTTGTCGCTTCTCATCTTTAGTGGTGGTCTGTCTGATCCGTCGATATTTACACAACAGTTTAGTGCGGGAGGCAGAGAACTCCTTTCCGAGCCGCTGAATTAATTTGTTTCACACAAGGCCCAAGAAAACAGTTCCGAGAAGATTTTCAAAGCAAAATAGTAATACAAAGCCTCAGTTCATCGATGCGTGTCAGTTAGCAGTTGTCTCTCACTATGTATGTACATACATATGTGGCAGCTGGTGGCGTCATTTAGCTTATTAGCCGATCGGTCTCGCTGTAACCTAGGCCGCCCATGACAACCAGTCCGATTACATATCATATTTTCGCAATACTTTTTTACAAAATTGGGCAGCGCAACTTTATATTAAGAGAATTTGGAACACATGAAAATCAGATGCTTTCTACCTCATGTACAATTTCTTCCCTCAACCATGCGTGAAGAAGCTTGGAGCATAGTATAGTCAAGTATGCCTTGCCCCGCCACGGGACTTATTAAGATTGCTGACAGTGAAGCACCAGCCACTAACTATTTGTTACCATCCCAGATTAGAAAAAAAGGAAAAACGATCGACCACTTAAAGGCTGCTAAGCACAAGCTTGGTCAGTTCCTTGAAACGCTTCGTGGGGGTTGTCATCGAGTGGATGACGGTGCCCTGCAGAGCCAAGGCAAATGACTTGAGGATATGCCCGATGACGAAATGTGACCTGCCCGGATAACAAGAAGAGATAGATAACCAGAGTATGACTTAGACCATGAATGAAATATCAAACTTGAGAGAATAGTAAGATCAAGGCAGGTGCCCGACCTGCCCAGGGGGGATAGAACCCCCGTCGTTACAGACTACCCGTTTTCCAAATCACCCCTCAAGATACAATGATATTACAGTCGCATGTAAAAAAGAAAAAGGCTGGAAATAATTCCTTAAAGGGAGCAAATAAAAATGCTATGAGTCGAATCTTTTTTTTGTCGAGTGATGAAAGAAACATTCGAATCACCTCTCGCCAAATTGGGACTCGGCGGTGCACCTCAAGCTCCTCGCCGAATGCTGAATTTCCTTTACATTCTAGCCAAGAACTGAGATCATTCATGCGCATCATTTGTTCATCTCGAAAAATATGTAGAATATATACAGCTCTTCTTTGGCTCTCTACCTGAAAGCCGAGCAGACGTCCTGGTAGACATTGTGCTCCAAGGCCGCAGCATCCGTGGGAACGTACTTGAGGTACGTCGCGTAGGAGTACGTCCAGCGCGGGTCGTTGAGCTCCGTCTTCCAGGTCCAGAACACCCATCCGGACATTCCCGGCTTCTCATAGAGCTGCTGCTGGGCGGTGAACCACTTCTTGAAGAAGTCGGCGTCGTGCCAGTCGACGTTGGACGTCATGCTCCATTCACCCGTGATGTCAAAGTCCTCGCCGCCAACCACACGCGAGTCGGTACACGCGCGGTGCATCAGCTGATACTTGTCGCCGCGCTGGCTGTCCGGGAAGCCGAAGCTGACGTAGTTGTGGTCGTCAAAGCCGATGCGCGCGTCCGCCTTCACCGCGCCTGCATCCCGCGCGCTACCCGCGTCCCACTTGGCCGACATGTACTGGACGTGCAGCTTCTTGTCGTCCGGCACGCCGAGCTCCGCCTCCACGTCACGTACCGCCTTGAGCGCGGCCGGGTAGTACCTCTGCACCATGCCGGGGTCCTCGCCGGGCGCCGGGTAGCGGTTGTTGGCGTCGTGGCGCGAGACGGGCTCGTTGAGGACCTCGATCATGCCGACGGAGCGGTAGGCGTCGTTGGTGTGGACGCGGCGGGCCATCCAGGCCATCCACTTGGCCGCGCGTCCAAAGTTGTAGTCGTTGAAGAAGCCGGCCGGGTGGTTGTCCTGGCCGGTGAAGACGTCCTCCTGCTGGCCGCCGGGCGCGCCGTGGAAGTCGAGGATCACGTAGAGGCCGAGGTCGGCGGCCTTGGCGACGACCTTGTCGAGGTAGGGCAGCATGCGGTTGCCGTCGGCAAAGGGCTCGCTGGCTTTGTCGACGATGTCGACGTAGGACCAGTAGCCGATGGGGATGCGGATCGTGTTGAGGCCGACGTCGTGCACCGACTGCACCGTGTCGGCGTTGATCCAGTCCCGCCAGTGGTTCTCGAACCGCTGGTTTCCGGCCTCCCGGTTGCTGCCGGAGTAGTGGTCCTTCATGCAGTCGAACTCGGACGCGGAGCCGGCGCACCCCATGACGTTGTCCCATTCGTTGGTCATCATCCAGCGCTCGCCTATAAGCCAGCCTGTACGCCTCGAACTGTCAGCGTTGCACCAGATAGCGCTCGAATTTTGGCCCTGGACTTACCACCGAAGTTGACGCCGCGGATCTTGTTGATTCCGCTTGGCAGGCCGGGCTTGAAGCGCTTTCCAAGCTTCTCAAAGCGAGCCGTCATGTTGAATGCAGCCAGGTCACCGTCCTCAGGCCGCCATGCCTGAGTGAGACTGGCGAGCAGCGCGGGGACAATCACGGAGAACTTCATCTTGTGTCGCAGAGACGATTGAAGACTTGTCGTAAGAAGACTGACTTACAGCGGTGGCATTGCTTTTTATATCCCCCTCTTACTGCGGCATTGTGCGCCGCGTCTTCCGTCATAGAGGCCGAATGAAGCACGACGCCAACGTGCAGCGGACGGCCCGATTACAGGGTGTGATGAGCATGCGAATAGACCAGCATTAGGAAGGTAACCGGCGGACGAGACGCAACGGGGTTGGTGGAAGTAATATTTTAGCATCAGCACTGAGCCAGGTATTTTTGTGGCCCAATTGCTGCGCTCTCACAGTCTCACGGCACCTGTGTGGATACGATAGCTTCGGGGGACATCGGCGATGCTGTGTTGATTAGATGGAAGAGATGGATAACTCCGCTGATTATAGGTGCGATGACGATGGGCTAGCTTAGTGTTGTGCTGGGGAAAATGCAAGTCGATGCTGTCGGTGATGGACCTCCTTCTCCGACAAGCAACTAGAACAGCCCGTCCCTATCCGCTTCACATTCCCCGTCGTACTGGTAGATGATGTAGGAGCGAGTCCCCAAAGGCACGTACCGCCATCGAGAACAATGCAACATTCCCCTCCAGACGCTAACTCCAACTCGTCACTATCACTCGACCCTGTGGATGGATGGATGGATGGGTCGATCTGGTTCAACGCTCCGCGTCTACCTACCTGTTTAGACACTCATCAGCACCCAGGTAATCCCGGGCTACTTACGCGGATGCACGATATCGGTTGCACAGCCTTGCAGGCTGATGAGGGGTGCAGGGTTACAGGGTCACCAGGCAATCTCGCAGGGCGAGTCAGCTCATGCATGCTGCCGCGAATACGCGAATGCAGGGAAATTAGCGACAGAGCCGAGGAAGGTCGTCATGGTAGAAAATGCTCCGTCATTCGAGCTTGCTGAAGAATGAGACATCACGCGTTGGGGCTGGCTGAGTATTTAAGCTTTTCGGTGCACACCGGCTGACCCCGACTCGTGTCAGGCCACAACCACACCAGAAGCAGGAGACAGTGGTTGTCAAACCACGCCATATCGGAATCCACAGGAGTCATGATGGAAATGGTTTTCTTCTGTCTTCTTCAGCAGAGTCTTATATAAACTGTATAAAAATGCAGCCCTCTGCAAATGGGTTGCCATTGCATTGGAAACACAGATTCAAATCAAATTGAAACGACGAAACACAGCTCTCAACCTCATCAATCAATCACATTTATTCCCACTTACAAAATGTCTGCCCCGTCAAAAGCAGCTACTAGCGCAATCTCGCGCAGCTACCCCAAGAGCCTTCCTATCCTGGTCGCTGGCACATCCGGTACGCACACCTCCTCTTCCCAACTTGCAGTGGAACGTTGAGTTATTGAATTGCTAACCGACGAATCTAGTTCTTATTGTCGGCGCCTATGTCAAGTCTCAGTTGGCCACTCAGTCCAACAATATGGATCGCTTCTTCTCCACATACAACACCCCCGAGAGTGAGGCCTCCCGGCGGAAAACCTTTGAAGGCTACCCCGACACTCGAACGAATATTCTCAATATACTGGGAACTAAATGAGCAAAATCCTTACGAGAGACGGAGATCAATTTGTCGATTCAGAGATTCACTCGGGTTGAGCCGACTGCCACATGAGCATAACAGGGACAAAGAAAGGGGGAGGGAGGGAGGGGGGCCAACTTAGAATACGCATCCATAATTTCTAAATAAATTAGCACGCACGCCAAAAATAGATAAAATTATAGAGCTCATATCCCTGGACGTATGTGATATGCACATTGCTCCTCCACTAATAAAATCTGCAAAAAAAGGGCCGGTTGTCATGACGGGAGCAACTCCGCAGTAGTCGGACAAAAGAACGTCTTCAGCGTGAACAAATGACACCTGTGAAACATTCCCCGCCTCGCACAATAACCCAGCCAGGCATTAACCGGGAGTTGCGGTCTGCAGGGCCTTCCTCATCCCTTGGATGCCAAGATCCGAGCGCGCCTCAGCGGTGCGTTTCCCGAGACAGTGGCGTACTACATGATATCATCCAAAGTGGTATATTGACGATTGGGTCAGGAATAATAATGGGCAAAGCCGAGATTTGGCACTGTGGTTGAGATGTGGTTTGGCCATGTTTGAATAGGATCGGGTTTCGTAATGTTCCCCTCATAATTCGCGTCGGAAACTCAGATCCGATCTCCAGAGTACGTTGGAGATGACGAACATGACCGAGACTCACAGCCAGGTGACAACCAACGACGACACATAACGCGACCTTGCGACGCAGTCAAAATTACCAGCCTCAGACACAAAAGGCAAGAAGAATCCATGTCGCCATCACAACGTTAAAATCACAATTTTGTGCTTCACTGGATACCCCTGTAAGTGATAACTGTGCCTGTCTCATATCTGGCATATGCATGGGGTCGGTGACCATCCCTTTTTGTACATCTATCTGCCGACCACGGCAAATCTACTTACCTTGCTCGTCATCCAATTTTATCGAATCACATGACTCAATATTTTACGGTCATATCCTATTGCCGCCGTTTTCTCCTTGGTTGTGGAAAGTGATGCTAGCCAGCCTCGCGCAATACATGCGCAAACCAAGTTTCCTGGTCTTGTTAGCCCTCTTTCCCTCCATACACGATCTAGTGGGGATAACGCGTGCCTTTTTTCCCCGAAGAGGTGTCTTAATCTGTTCATGGTAGCATCGTCCGATCTGCATCGCTCAGATTTCGTTTTATTTTGTGATATAAGCGGGGGTGCTCTCCTCTCATCGATTCTGCTGCAGCAAACATGGCGCCAGCAGCGTTGTCGCTCGACAACGGCGCCGTGGAAGAGAGCAGCTCTTGGAGGGCGGGATGCGAGCAGAGAAAGGAGGATTATATTCGATCCATCAATATACGGGACGTGTGCGCTCTCGCCTCTTACTATCACCACAACCAGCCTTGCACCGAGTTTCGGGAGCGCAAGCGCGGCAGTTACAATGTCTGCTACTTTATCGAGTTTCCGAATGACCACACGAGATGGGTTGTGCGGTTTCCGCTCACTCCGGTACTCCAAGACGCTCATCGGAAGCTGGACTGTGAAATTGCAACAATGGAGTAAGTACATCTCACTCTTAGATCCTGCCAACCTGGACACTGACCATGTACTAGATACGTCGCCTCGAAAACCTCCGTCCCTATTCCCCGCGTGCGCGCGCATGGCTACGCCGGTGAGCGCGGGCCAAGCAACCCCACGGGAAAGTGCTTCCTAATTCTTGACTACATCTCCGGGGAGCCGCTGAGTCAATGTCCGTTGGAAGACACGACCAGTGAGAATCGGGACAGATTTTACGCGGACCTAGCCAAGTTCTACTCGCAGATGCGCGGGCTAGAGTTCGACGCTGCCGGTGCGCTGGCCCTCGGCGCCGACGGCACATTCAGAATCACGGCTCCGCTGTCCATGGACATTGCCGCGATCGGCCTGCGCGGGACCGAGACTCACACACAGTTGCAAGCCACAAGCGCCATGGACAGATACGCGCGCCAGCTCTACTCGCTTCTGCTTCGTCGCGCGGCGGAGCCCATCCCGGAGATGGAGCTGCTGGATGTGCAGTACCTCGTCTTTGCGCTGCAAGATTTCGAAAATCGCCTGCACGACTTCACCTCCTTCACTCGCCGGCAGAAATTTGTCCTCGCCCACGGCGACTTGCAGCCGTCTAACATTATACTGGGCGAGGACTACAGCATCACGGGCATCATCGACTGGGAGTGGGCCGGCACGGTGCCTGCGCCATTCTTTGTGCCTCCCCTATGGCTTGGGAAGAATATCGCACCGGTTGCCAATGATGACGACTTTAAGGATTCTCTATCCAGGATTCACGCTGCCCTGGTGGCTAGTGGTTCGAGGCTTGCGACGGAGTGGCCAGCAGATATGCACTGTTCGGCAGAGTACTACATCCCTGCTGCGCTGTTAAATCAGCACTTTTTCATGACTGTCTACTATACACAGCTTTTTCCGCTATATTTTGGCGAGACGAAACAGCATATCAAGGTTCGACAATTTTTCCGTGACGATGGGCCGGACGGCATTCATAATCGCCAAGTGGGCAGTTTGTTGCGGGCGGCAGGGCGTTGGGATGTACTTAGATAACGCTGTCGCTTGCATGGACACGTTTCATCTAATTTAAATCAATTTTACTTTTATTTAATTCATCGCGAATACTCGCTATAATCGCTGCCATCTACAATTCTTAGACGAACTTGTAAGTGGCCCACTGCACGCACATCCACGGTGTGCAGCCTTTACGCACTGTACAATGCGCCACTAAAATTCAGAGGTGATCTAGCTTCGCACTGTACACCACTACCTAAAATTCTGCGCCGTACCAACTTCGAAACTCAACTGCATCGACATTACAGCCAGACAGCACCACGATGGCCAGCTTAAAAAGACGGGCCGAGGAGGCAGCTCCGGCAAAGGCGAATAAAAAGAAGCGCAAGAGCAAATTCCAGGCCGAAGACGAGTCGCTCGACACTGAGCTCGGCCTCAACACGCTCTTCTCACGGATGGACAATCAGCTACTGGCCGACTACCTGGCGCAAAAGATTGGCAGGTTCGGTACCGATCTGAGCCCCGTGGAAATATCAGATATTACCCTCTCCGGTCAGTGGCGGCTCAGTTGACGGGTTTGTACTTGGGTCGCACAGCTGACAGCAGACACAGCAAACGCCATCACAGACGCTACTGGATTCACAGAGCAAAGGACTCTGGAAAAGCTTCCGGATTTTCTAGCTCATTTTTGTAAGAACCCAGATAGCCTAGGCAAGGCATCGAAAAAATTGGGAACCCCTCATTCCATAATCGTCACGGGCGCTGGGCTGCGCGCTGCCGATATTGTCAGGTATGTACTTGCCTCATGATGGCACGTCCACTGTAGTAACACTCAAAGCAGAGCAGTCAGAAAGTTTGCTTCCAAGGAGATTGCAGTGGCCAAACTCGTGAGTTGCCATGTCTACTACACAGCCGACACATTTCTGACTAGTTCTAGTTTGCAAAGCACATGAAGGTCGATGAGCAGGTGGCGTTCCTCAAGAAGACGCGCGTGAGCATCACTGTAGGCACCCCTGCGCGTCTATCGGAGCTTATCGACAATGGTAACTATTCTTCGAACCATTTGCCTTCTTTCAAATAGCTAACCTAATCGTAGGTGCACTATCACTGGAGGGCCTGCATCGTGTTGTCGTCGACGCTTCCCACATTGACCAGAAGAAGCGCGGAGTCATGGACATGAAGGACACAATGATGCCGCTTGCCAAGTTCCTTTCTAAAAAAGAATTTCAGGATAGATATACTGACGAGGAGAAGCCCTTGTCGCTGTTGTTTTTCTAGATCTTATACCCGCCATTTGTTTATGTATTCGTCATAAAAAAGCACCATCTGAATTGCAGGCGCGTCAAAATGCAGCCGAAGACTCCCGCTGCAAACCATACTTGCTTGTGCCTCCCCTTGCAGATTTTCTTGTTTTTAGCGAGCCCTCGCATCGTTGCCGATAATTCCAGAGTTCTTGACCTTTCTATGCCTGCCCGCCTGGCCAGCCGCTGCCGGGCCGCCGGACGCCGCCTTCCTCACTACGGACGACCCCAGCAAACAGACTTGTTTACCTCCCTTTACCATCAGGGCTCCCCCTCTTCTCTTCTTCCATCATCACCGCTTCATCCACCTCTCATCGAGCAGCTCTACTCTTTTTTGGAAGCCATTCTTCTCCCTTTTTTGGATCCCGCATTCTCTCGCTTTAATACACTACTACTCGCCAACGGCATTTGTTACCTTCTGCCACGGAAAATGATGAAACGAGCATCTCTGTTTGCTGCTTTGCTACCCTAGCTGGGGCATTGTGGCCAAGCACCTTCAGCAGATTCTTCACGTGAGTGGCTCGGATGCTTTGGTTAATTTTGGTTGCTCTTGCTTACATTAGCAACAGAATGCGCCCGAGACTGCGCACAATCTCTTATGCAAGAGTATTCTACTACCGACATAACGAACATATGTAAAGACGTGGCGAAGCAAAGGGTAAGGTTCAATTCCAGCTATCGTGGTGCATAACGTCAACTAACTGTCTCTGAGTCTCTCTTTCTTTGCGTGTTCAGCTCATGCCAAGCACGACACTACGGCCCAGCGCTCGCCAGTGCCATCTTGGCGTGCTCTGATCGAGGAGCAAACATCAGCCCCCTTCTTCCAGTCGAGATTCGATCCGAGAAGATTGCTCGTCGCCAATTGTCACCAGACCCGGGTTTTTCTGATCCTCTCCCAACACCGGATAATATCCAAGAGTCTGTCGCTGGCCACAAGCTCACCCTTGCTCTTGAATGCAATGCTGGTCAGGATGGTGTTGTAACGGTTTCGCTATCGTCATCTCCCCCCACATTTGCTACCCATATTCCTCAAGCTCCTGGTTTTTCGGATGGCCGAATTGGCCCATCTGCTACTGATGCCTCTTCAACATCTGCTGGTCCCACAATGACTCAACTTCAAGGAAGACCACCTCTACCTAGCGAGGGGGGCGGTCCGTTGACTGTATCCAACAGCAACCAGGGTGGCCAAACTGGGCAGCGCGGGCAAGCCGGGTCAGATTCAGTCAGTAGGATGGATACCGACTATGAAACGACATCTACTCCTTCTGCAAAGGAATCAGGTTCTCGGGATTCAAAAAATTGCGGCTGTGGGGAAGAGACAAAGTCTACACCGACGAAAAGTGTCAGTGCCTGTCAAGCCACGGCCCAGCAGGTTTCGAAGCCGACAACAGGTTCCAGCACAACTTCTTCATCGTGTGAGGAATCGTCGGAAGCCGCCGTGGCTTCGGCAGCGCAAGAATCATCCTCCTCTACATCAAGTGCCTCCTCTACATCGAGCGTTTCGTCAACCACAAGAACCTCCTCAATCTCAGCCGCCTCCTCAGTCCCCGAGGAATCGTCCTGCGAGACATTAGAATCCGTCACGAAGCATACGCCAAAGGCTAGCGCCACATCTACATCTTGCTCTGAAGAAGAAACCACTTCCTCAGGAAACATGCACATCCCCAAGTTGCCCGCTCAAAAGTTGTTTTCCAATGCTACCTCAGTTCAGCCAATGACATCCACAATATCTACAACTTCGGCTACCGAGACAGACTGGAGCTCCAGCTGTGATACAACATCCTCTTCATCGGTGCGAGACTCATCTGCAACCACGGCAACCTCATCAGTCACTTCTACTGCGACATCTTCGTCAGCCTCTTCAGCTACCTCAGCAAATACCTCTGCAGCTTCGACTTCGTCCCTGCAGCCCACTAAGGGCCCAAAAGAAGCCGAGAGAGCGTGCTCTACCCCTCTTTCATCAAAATCTACCAGAACACCGTCATCCCTAGCTTCAAAAAGCACTGTCTCCCAGAAGGGCGCTACGTCGCACGCTTCCGAGCCGCCTGCTTACACCAAGGAGGACTTACCACAAGCCTACGATAAAGTTACACCGATACCCCTTCCTTCTTACACTGATGCTGCTCCCCCGGAATATGGCGCCAGTGCATCTGCACAAGGTAAATCAGCCGTGTCTCGGTCAAGTTCACAGTCAAGTGCGTCTTTCACGTCAAGTGCTTCCACCCCAACGTCACTCTCGGCTTTCTCTTCTAGCACGACAACGGAAATGATACCGTCATACGGGTACAATTTCCCTGCTGCAAGTGAAACAACAAAGCCAGCCTCAACGACATCAACAGCAGAGAGCAGGTCTCCACAGGCCACCTCGAAAGAGGAACACCCAGACGGCACTTCTTCATTCCTTTCTTCCGACCCTGGTCACGAAGTAGAGAACACAGCCAGCAGCGAAAGTAAGAGCAACATTCCAGGAATTGAAACGGTGCCACTACCAATCAAGAGCTCGACTACGCAAGCCCCTGTAACCACCCAGGTGCTTCCTATCGGTGGTGGGCCACCCGTTCTGTTTGTCACAATAATTGAGCCCGATGCAGATGGAAATCTCGAAACATCTGTTTTGACAGTCTCAGAACAATCACCTTGGCAAACGCCGATGGCAAGTGCAAGGCCGAAGACTGACAATACCCTACACGCACGAGTAGATGGATATCGAATGGGCATGACACCAAATGTACTAACGCAAGATATCGATGCACCAGCTTCGACAATGTCGCCAGCGAGTCCCAGCAATCGCACAACTACTTTGGAAGATGCGACGAGAAATGCAACAGAGAGCTCTGCAAATGTCATGGAGACGAACACTCCTTCGAGTATCCCAGTTGTCTCCTCTGCATCAACTAAGGACTACTACTTGAGTTCTCTTGTGTTTTTGCTAGGCGGTGCGACCATGTGGTTGGTTTCCTTATGACAAGAGCTTTGGTAACCGCAAAGAAAATAAGGGCGCTGCGATGAATCAGAAATCATATGATGTTATAGTATGGTTATTTTGAAGGCACAGGTAACGCGCTGCCAGAGGTGCCGCCTTATTATGAGTCTAAAATTCGAGATAGAACCTTATGGAGCTGGCTTTTGGCCATATTAGACTTGGTAGCAATAATTACGACGTTTTTTCCGGCATTGCGAGATTTCCTTGATGCTGTAGGGTACTGACCGGCGTCGCTCGCTGGATACAAAAAGTGGAAGTGGGCAGAGTTTCGCTGTAGAACAATTTTCAACCAACCAAACGGATATCAATATCAATTTTATTTCACTGTTCCATTTCCCAACATCTTTTTTAACTGTAACTATGGAAGAAGCTCCTTGCTGAAATAGCGGAGGGGAGAATGGACCCTGATGAGGTTATGTAAGCCTGCAAGCTGCGATTATCAGATATCACTAGCCAGCTTCTGGAACATCCCCACTAAAATTTCCAAAATGGATGGAAAACTTCTTCTGCAATTTGAAAAGTGAACTTTCCTGAACAATTCTGTTGGCTCTTTGTACAACGAAACAGAACAAAACAAAATGAAGAGCAAACGTGCACAAGAGGCCGCTGCGGCGGTTGAAGATAAGCCTACCGAGATTCCCACCGATGCGACAATTCCTACCAAAAAGCGCAAGCGCGGTGACGACGATGTAAACGACGCGGGCAAGGAACCCAAGAAGGACAAGAAGAAGAAGAAGGGCGACAAGGAGAGCCGCAAAGAGAAAAAGGAGAAGCGAAAGGATCTCCAGGACTTGCCTGGCCGGGAAGATGACGAGCCAGAAGCTGCCAATGGCGACGTGAGCGAGAAGGCCGCCGCGGCCACGACCGATGGAGAGGGTAAACAGGAGGACAAGAAGGAGGACAAGAAGGAAAAGAAAGGCAAGGAGGGCAAGGGGGACAGCAAGAAAGAGAAGGCAGAGAAGAAATCGAGCAAGAAGGAGGCGATCAAGTTGGCGAAGAAGGCGAAGAAGGTGATTCAGAAGGAACAGAAAAGGAAGGCCACCAAGGAGAAGGAGGCGGCCAACAGGGCGGCGAAAGCGGCCAGGCTAGCTGCAGCCGCTGCCATCCCCGAAGGTGCCAGTAACGGAATCGACCTAGACGTCGACGAGGCCAAGGAGAAGGCGCCGCGTCACATCGTCTTCGTCGGCAACCTGCCGTACACGGCGACGGCGGCCACCATCTCGGCGCACTTTGCCTCGCTGTCGCCCGTCGCCGTGCGCTGCCTGACCGACAAGGGCGACACCGAGCGCACCTGCAAGGGCATCGCCTTTGTCGAGTTCGCCAGCGTCACGGCGCAGCGCACCTGCCTGGAGCGCTTCCACCACAGCACCTTTAACGACGGCCAGTCCCCTGAGCGAAAGATTAACGTCGAGCTGACGTGAGTGTCCCCCAACAGCTTTTAACCGGTTTCCCTCTGACTGACAGGTATTAGTGCCGGTGGTGGCGGCACCTCGGAGAACAGGACGGAAAAGATTCGCGAAAAGAACCGCAAGCTCGAGGAGAACCGCGCCAAGCGCATCGAGAAGGAAAAGACGGAGGCGACGGAGGAGGCGGCGGCGGCCAAGGCGGAGAGCGGCACGGCGGAGGAGCAGCAGGAGCACATGGACGAGCAGATCCATCCGAGCCGCCGCGCGCAGATGGGCAGCGACGCGCCCGCCGACGACTTTCAAGGCGGTGGTGGCGGTGGCGGCGGTGGCCGTCGCGGAAACTGGGGCGGTCGCGGCCGAGGTGGTGGTGGTGGCGGCGGCGGTCGCGGAGGCCGTCGTGGCCGTGGAGGCTGGAGCCGGTAGATTGTGTGTGTGGGATGAAACCAATGGATCGTACGACGGAGGTGGTGTGTGGTGGTGTGGTGGAAGGTCTAAAGAAAAGCATATCCTTGTTTTGTATCATATGGCGTTTACGATGCTGTTATATGGCTTACTCTTTTTTGACACAGTTCTGGCATATAACGCGAAGAAACTTAAATTTCATAAATGTTGACCTAGCCGAATGCCCTGCTGCCATGCATGTCCCTCCCTCCTCTTTGCCCTTCCTCTTGCTGCCTCTTTGGAGTGATCCCTCCTCTCAAATTCTAGCCCTTGGAGCAACCGCTTGGTGCAATCCTATGTTACACCCGCAAGAAAAATACAGAAACAAGTCCGGCACTGAAAAAAAAAAAACCAAAAAGAACGTGTCTTGTATATGAATTGTATAGGAATCAACAAGAGGTAATAAAAGAGTTTAAAAAATCGAAAACCTCCACAGATTATAAAATGCGCCAAATAAGAGAACGTGTTAGAGGAAAAGAATAAAAGTCATAAGGCACTCTGATGGGGGTGGAGGCCCTTCTGGTATCTCGCTGGAAAAGGGATTGTCTATTTCGGTGCAAGGCCCAACCATAACGCAAAGACTCCAGCATCAGGTTGATACGCTCCCAGGCAGTCGGTCGCAAGAAATCGCGTGGTAACGGGAATAATATCGTGTTGCGTCGCGGGTGATTATGTTTGGGTCAGGCGTGAGGGCGTGGATCAGTCGGGATGGACAGTCGTTTACAGAATAGAGCACTTTGTCTTCTTCTTGTTCGAGGTCAGGGGGCGGGGATTCAGGACGGCGCTGGACATGTCAGTGAGCGATTGCATCCAACACGAGGCAGTTCAATTTGGCAGCATACCGGATCGCCTCGTCAAAGACGCTCTTGAGGTTTCTTTGCGTGAGAGCAGAGCACTCGAGGTACTTGTAGGCCCTAATTTCCTTGGCACAGACGAGAGCCTGCTCATACGACACGGGTTCCATGCGCTTCTGTCGCAGGGAGTCGAGGGTGGCGGCGTCGTCGCGGAGATCGAGTTTAGTACCGACGAGGATGATAGGAATGTTAGGCGCGTGATGGTCGATTTCTGGGTACCACTAGAGTTTTGTCAGTCGCGGGCGGGCCGTGTGGCATCATTCGCATTGACCATACCTTGGCGCGGACATTGTCAAAAGAAGGAGGGCTGACGACGGAGAAGCAAATGAGAAAGACGTCTGTCTGCGGGTAGGAAAGCGGACGAAGTCGCTCGTAATCTTCCTGGCCGGCGGTATCCCAGAGACCGAGGCTAATGGGCTTGCCATCGACCATGACGCTGGCAGTGTAGTTGTCAAACCTAGAGTTGCGCATTAATAGCTGTACTTGTCGGACGAACCGCGGTGGATGCGCGAGGGCACGTACACTGTCGGGATATACTCGCCGGGGAAAGCATTGGTGGTGTATGAGATGAGGAGACATGTCTGGGCATGGGATTAGCATGGGCCTGTGGCGGAAGGAGAATGCATCTCCAAGTTCTCGGGGAGCATACTTTACCGACAGCACCATCACCGGTCACGACGCACTGCATCGCAGGTTAGTATTGGGACAGCTTATCGAGCTCGGAGGCGGGGAGGGGAGGGGCGGGAACGCGCCTTGAGCGACTGAACTCCGCCCTGTTGAGCCATGATGAAATTCTAGACAGCGGCGGAAACGGGGGGAAGGGACGAGTAATTGTAGATGCGAAAACGCCAGTCAATCGCGAGATTGAATATGTAGGTTGCCGAGATAAACGATGGCGGCGGGTAGAGCAAATAGAGCCGAAAAGGGGGGTATCGGATTGGTTGAGGGCGAGCGGCGGCAGGCGGCGGTGGTGGGATTTTGGGGCAAAAGTCGTCGCGAGAGAGAGAGACGACGAGATAGCGGGAGGTTGAAAGGCAAGGGAAAAAAGAAACCGCGAGCAACAATGAAGGCAGCAAAAAGGCGTCGAGCAAGACGGGGGAGAAAAAGTAAGGCGATGAGAAGGACAAGCTGGTTTCAAGGCTGCATGAAAAGGAGATGCAGAAGCAAGTTGAAGCAAGACGTGGGAGGTGAGGAGAATGGGAGACTGAGCAGCCGGGCGGCAAGGCAAGGCAAGGCAAGACGGAGGAGGAGGTTGTGAGGTGTGAGGCTGGTAGTGCAGCAGAAGCTTGTGTGTGAGGATGCTAACTGGGAGGAGCTAGGTGCTCGGGGGAGCTAGGCAAATGGCTAACCTGTAAGGGCTAGCGTAGTAGAGCTTCAGTGCTTGTGCCCTGTATCTTTAGTGGATGATTGCAGATTCTGCAGTGGATGACAGGGCTGGCTGGCCAAGCTTTAGCGGGGCAGACAGCCAAAACGCAGCTCCAAACCGTGCCAACACCTGCTGCCAAACAAGTCATGCCCGCTGTAGGTTTGCCTCAGGCCCCCTTTCACGCCACCTCACGGGCCATTTCCAGCCTCCTACAGGCCATTTACGCGCTCACCTAACCACCTCCAGCGGGGCGCAGGCTTGGATGGCGCCCAATTACTTGGCTTCCTTGCGTCTTCATCTCGACAAGCTATCATCAATTTGTCGATGACGCCCAACAAACAAGCCAACCAGCCTCTTCTTCATCTTGTTTTTCACCTCTACCGTTCACCCAGCATCCCCTTCGCTATCCTCCCTGTCACCTTGCCATTCTCCATCAACGCTCAACACGGAGTTTCCCTCCTGTGACGGAAACGCGTTTCGTCCACCCACTGTTGCCGCGACTAGCCTGCCCATCTACTACACCATCTGTCGGGTTTCATCTCCATCTGATGGACCTAACATGGGATAAAACGCACGCATCATCCCTTCCGCCGCAAAACACCAAACGCTCATGGTCGGCCAGATTGCTTCAAGTCGACGCTCCCCCCCTTCCCCCCTCGCCAACTTCTTCCACCAGGCCGAGACACGGACGAGGCTCATTCTAGGGCACCAACGTTGTACCACCACGACCTGCAGATGCGATGCAGTGACACCTGCAAGGGATGGCGTTCATTCGCCCATGCCGCTTTGCGAGCTCGTCCCGGACCATTCGCACGTACGCCGGCACGGTAACGGAATTAATACTTGTAGACTGCGGCGCACGGTCACAGTCGTGCTACGCGCTGTGGCAGCGGCCCAGCCACCTCCCCGGCATGTTCAGGACATCGTACTGGACAAAAAACCAGCCTCACTTGGCCTATCCTTGGGAATTTCATTATCAGGTATCGAGGAATGGGTCAATCGAAGCACGCAATTCTTTGTGCCGGCGGCGACGAACCAATCGCCTCAAACCCGCAAAGAAGTACCAAGATGCCAATATCAAGGTTAAACAACCGATCTGGATATACGCGCCCGTAAATCCTTGCATAGAACACAGAAATATCACATCAGAACCGGCAGCATAGGCAGTAATGTCTCGATAACGTCAAGGCCAGCACTGCCTTTCACAACAACTAACTTATGCCGCATACTGAGAACAGTACATCTTGCCACAATTCGAAGTTATATATTCATGCAAAACTCAATCGACAAATACAATGCCGGCTCCCATTCCCCGCGGGCATTCACATTCGGGCCGTGCTGGCCTACGGACAAATCTGCATGACGAATGTAAGTCCAGGTTCTGCGCCTTGGGTCCGTCCTAGCATACCACATCAGCTTGCCTGTCGACACCTTTCATGCCGTCCAATCTGTGTATTGTTTCGTTGCTCTTGCAGCCTGCATCGCCTGCATTGAACCCTAGTGCCAGGTGTGCACCTGAGATGCAGCCAGTTTCCCCCGGATCAATGGAGAGAGCGATCCCTTATCAACGACGTTACATCGTTCGACTATTTCCCAAACCGGCCATTACTCTTTCTATCCGCTATGTCTCCCAGTCGTACTGATGGTGAGCTACGCAGCAGGTCTCACATCAAACATGGTAACTTAGCACTCTTCCTACAAGTTTCTTTACCGTTGAACAATATTTGAAATACATCCTGCTATAAAAAGAGCGCCTAGATGTTGGACAATGCAGATGACCTTTCTTCTTCACCAATTACTGGTAGCCCGCCGGGGCGCAGCGGAAAGAGCGGACGCCGTCCCAACCCGGAGTGCTGGTGTCAAGGCACTCGTTCTCCGTAATAGTTACCATGATGGCGGTGTATTTTCCCTTGCACTGATGAGTCTTATATTGCTGACAGACTGTGTTCCAGAAAGGTAACTTGAGAGATCTGCAGGAGCAAAAAATTGTGGTTAGCAACCCTCGCTCTTGTCTGTGGCAGCATGGTCTTACCCGACAGTGTTTAGCTCAATGCAATCATTAATGCCAAAGTCCCGGTTCGGCAGAGAGTGCAGCTTCTTGCAGTGGTGGTCCGTGTAGCGGATGCCCTGACAAATTAGAGGTTAGACCATCTCAATTCTGGATTGACAGGGACCGGACGAGGTTGAATGCTTTCCGCTTACAAAGGGGTCTGGATACTTGGGCTTGGGGGCGGTGGCGGCGACGGCAGTAGCCAGAAGAACGGCACAGTTGAGGAGCTGCATGGTGACGAATGGAGAGAGACTAGGTGTTATTGGTGAGTGGCTTATAAGCAAGCAATACCAGTTAAGGTAGAGTGGCAGACCAAAGATTGATCAATATCTTGCGCAGGGTGTGTGCTTTAATATCTACATACTTTTAAACTACACTGTACTCTGATAGCAATTTGCGGGGTCTTCTCTTCCGGTAGCCCTAGAAGATTGAACGGGCTTCGAAGCAGAGTGAAAAACCCATACATTGACTGGTAATAGATTGCCCACAGCTATACGAAGACCGCCAGCCTTCTTGCAGCGGACCATTGCTGACGCTCTGCAGCCTGCTTCCTGGTGGCGCAAGTCCATTCTCGACCACGAGGCCCATGACCTTCGGGTCACCGGGCTGATGGCGTCCCAAAAACGACGAAGAGGATTAAAGGGCTTTTTTTTTTCGCACAGCTTGTAGAATTCAAATGCGGCAGGTAAATCTCAAATGTAGACATGGTCGATTTCATAAGTCTGTCCGTCCCGGCCAATGGAACTGGGCGTCGGGGAGGGTACTACGGTCGACACAGAAACTATGTAGAACTCGACTGCGTTATATATAAGAATCAATGCCAAGAGTAGTTCAATTCAATTCGCGGGATATCGTTGACTCCTGTTTATTAGTCCTTCCAGAGACACTTAAAAGACTTGGCCTTGGGCCAACGACCGCGGCTTGTATCATAGCAAAACTCAAACGCGCCACCATTGTGGCCGACCTCACCATCGCCCGTGTCCGTGGTGAATTCGGCGACAACCTTGCCGGTACACTGGTGACCGCTAAATTATTGTCAGCTTGTAAGTCCATTTACGCAGTCAAAGCAAAGAGAGGCAGAAGCAGGGCGGGAAAAAGAGACGTACTCATAAAGGTAGCAGTCGCCAGGCCATGTCATACTAAGGGAGCTGAAAGCGGCGCAGTTCGTCAGCGTTGTTCAAATTTTCTGCAAGACATAGATAGCCGCTTTTTGGCGCACTTACTTGATATTCTTCAGCTCAATGCATTCGTTGACATGATATAGTTGGTGAGGCTTGGAGTGAAGGACTTTGCAGTTGTGATCAATCCAGCGGTTACCCTGGAGGTAAGTGCTTGTCAGTCACACGAGTTGTCATCATGGATGCAATCTTGGTAACGAACCAGGACCGGGTTCTTCGCCAAAGCCATAGCTACGGCATTGAGAAGGAGGGTAATGTGTGAGAGCTGCATGGTGAAGGAGTTTGAAGCAGATGTTGGAAAAAAGCAGGAGATAATATGGACAATGGTTGGGGCTAATAAACGATAGAGATCCACGTTTTATATGAAGATTTTTTTTTCCCAAAAAGACGCTGGCTTTCAATAGCGAGCTAATAGTTTCGACTTGGCTGAGACCGAATGCGAGGCTTATTCTATACGAAGTATTGATGTCCCTGTCATCAGCTTCTATAGGTTCTACCCGCAGGCTACGCAGCCTCATCTGTCGACCACACGCGGATGGAGAATCATAAACGAGCCAGGCTTTTGTAACTCTGGTTCCGCATTCAGCTTCCATCGTGACCTAGACCATGAATATGCTAGGGAATCGTCACATTATGCATCAAGTAGAGACCACGCACGCAGCCTGGCCTCAGGTTACGCCGAGCTGACGTCTATTTCTGGAGCTGCGGCACGCGACACTTGCAGTAGGCTTTGAACAGATGAATTCTAGTCTTCGTCCTCAAAATCTCGCACTGAAAAATCAGTGACCAAAATATTCCAAGGAGAATAGCAAGCTTCTCTCAACCTTGGCAAATTTCCGGGGCACCTCTCATGGGATCAGTGTGTCTATCGCTATCTGTCAGCGGGTTGTTATGTAGAGTCTTGCTTGGCAAGGCTACTAATAAGTGCAGCGGACTCCACGAACGACTGGTTCATCGCCTTAGAAAAGCAACGGGCGCATGTTAATGCCATGGGATGCAAATGATGCAACTTTCAAACAAAGATGCATTGGAAGCTCTTCCTCAACCAGGGCATTCAGAGATATGCTGTTACATAACCATGTGCGGTGCGGAATGATGTGATTGGCAGATCCTTTTTCGCGGGTATTTCTCTCACGGTTCTCAGCCTCAACAAAGCCCAGGTCCACGTTGGGCCGGCTGCCCGGTTTCCGCGTCGTGCCACCAACCGATCGGCATTGGTAACACACCGCAAAACGTACAAATCCTCGCATTGGACGCATCGTTAGGAGCAGCCGATGTAATCAACGACAGAACCTCGAAGCCAAATCTCTCTCTCGTTTGGCGATGCATTCCGACGACAGAAACCCCCCTCTTCTGAGCGAGACCGATCCGCTCCTGGGCCGTCGCGCCGAGCTCACATCCACGACCGCAGAGCACCAAGCAAGCATTGCCGCCGCCTCCGACGATGACGGCCTCACCAACCACCGCTGCCGGCTCGAGCGTCAGCTCTACACCTCCCACGCGCTGTCTGCCTGGAACGCACGCCTCTTCGAGTTCGGCGCCGTGCTCTTCCTCGCCTCCATCTTCCCGGACACGCTGCGGCCCATGTCCGTGTACGCGCTCGCGCGGGGCCTCGCCGCCGTCGCCCTCGCGCACCCGGTCGGCGCCTGGATCGACCGCGGGGACCGCCTCGCCGTCGTCCGCACCTCGATAGTCGCCCAGCGGCTTCCGGTGGCCGCGAGCTGCGGCCTCTTGTGGCTGCTCGAGCGCGACGCGGGGAGGATGGAGGCGGCGCGGGTGAATGGGCTGCTGGCGCTGCTATGCGTGCTGGCGGGCGTGGAAAAGGTGGCGGCGACGGCGAACACGATTGCCGTGGAGCGCGACTGGGTGGTTGTGATGACGAGGGATGACGATGCGTGGCGGCGAGGTAAGGGCTTGCGACAGGTTGGGCGGGCATTGAACCTATCTGAACTGACCTGGTGATTAGCGATGAACGCGAGGATGCGCCGGATCGATTTACTCTGCAAGCTTCTGGGGCCGCTCGCCATATCCATTATTGCGACAATCTCGACCCGAGTCGCGATTGCGGCTACGCTGGCCATGAACGTGGCAGCGGTGCTCGTTGAATATGGGTGCATTGCCAAGGTATGGGCGCTGATCCGAGGCTCCTCTGATAACTTTCTAAATAAGCACAGGTCTACAAAAGCGTGGCTGCATTGCAGAACAATAACCCGAGCCCTCCCACGACGCAGCAAGCCAGCGCATCGTCATCATCCTCTGTCACCGCCCGCATCACGGCATTCATCACCGCCGTCGTCCCCGTCGCCTCCTTCGCCGACTACTTTCGCCACTCCGCCTTCCTCCCGTCCTTCTCGCTCGCGCTACTCTACCTCACCGTGCTCTCCTTCTCCGGGCAGCTCATCACCTTTCTGCTGTCCGTCGGCCTCACGCCGCTGCACGTAGGCGTCGCCCGGACCGGCAGCACCGCCGTCGAGCTCGGCGCCACGTGGGCGGCGCCGCGGCTCATGCGCTACATGGGTCCCGTCCGCGGCGGCATCTGGAGCCTCAGCTGGCAGATGGTCTGCCTGACGCTCGGGCTGGCCGCCTTCCTTCGCGACGGCTGGGGGAGTGAGGCGGACCACGCGTGGACGTCAATCGTCGCCCTCATCGTGTGCATTGCGCTGAGCCGGCTCGGTCTGTGGGGGTATGACCTGTGCGCGCAAACGATTGTGCAAGAGGAAGTCCAAGACGGCAACCGAGGCGCATTCTCGAGCGTTGAAGCATCCTTTCAAAACCTGTTTGAGCTGCTCTCGTTTGCGACTACGATTGCATTCTCCCGCCCGGAACAATTTCAGTGGCCGCTCATCATTAGCATTGCTGCGGTATACATCGCCGGCGGGTTGTACGCATTCTTCGTCCGCCGCCGTCGTGGGCACTTGTTTCATCCACCGGCCTGCCTCAAAGTCGAAGTAGAAAACTGATATGAATTCATGTAGTATAGAGAAATGGAGACTGGTATTATAAGATTCGAGGATAAAGCTTAATGCTCTAGTAGTAACGAAGCGGGTCGTTGATTGTTGGCTGTTGGCTTAACGACCCCGTCCTGAGTCCCCAATAGTCTCCTTTTATCGGAGAATTGCTGCATGGCCCGGATTTGCACCTTGCCAAGACCTAATGTTGATTTTCATGTGCATTTTCTGATCCGAATCACAGGCCGACGAAATCGAAAGACTGACTGCATGAGCGCGGTAGCCAAGTATGGTTACAAGATTCGAATATTGTAACGTGCCTGCGTCTCATCAATTCATGCAACTCGAGTTCTGCCGCTCTCTCTGTCGCAGAGCCAAAAGAGGCAGACCTGCCAAAGTCTTGGCTGATCGGAACACTAGCTACATATAGGAGGTGGCGTCTTAAGAGGCATCGAGAAGACACAGCCCCCAGACGCCATGTCGTGGGGAAGTCCACATGCGTCGGATAAGCTCTTCTGCAGCAAGTAGCTGCCGCGTAATGACAAAGAAAAAGACAAAGATTTGAGCTTGTTTCTGGTTGATTCTTTATTAATCAACTGATTACCCTCACGTAATGGCTGATACCATTCTTTTTTTTTTTTTTTAAATTGCAGCTGTCCAAAGACCGAGCTTACTATATTGGGCAGGTAACTCGTATCGGAGCATAATCTACAGGCGCATTGAGAAAGAACACTAGTTACCTTAAAGCCGGATAGCCGATGCCATTTTTCCAGCGTCAGGCTGGCGATGAATGTCGTCGCGGCGGGCGGAAGTGTAGAGAGCAGGAAATTCGAAGGTGAAAATTGTTGTTGACCATGGCTAACAATAGTCAAGATGCGAATCCAATGCAGTCTACTATTAGCCGTCGGTATAGATCAGTAGGAATAGCGATTATCTGGGTTGGTAACCAACTGCCCCTAGCTTATCATATCGATCGCCACCTTTCGGGGTGGCTTTTATTAGGTTGGAGTTTCACCCGAGACAGCTCCATCGGCTTAATTCGGCCTTTCCATTGTTACCCGCAAGACAACATTCTCGGCTTTGTCTTGGAGAGGAATTGAATTCCGCCGTCGATCCGCTGGGCAAGTGACAAAACACAGGACGAGTCGATAGCAGCTTCCGAGTTACCTTCTCTGTTGGGCCGAGTGCCATTGTCGGCGGGAACGTCAAAGTCCCTCCGAGGTACTTTGTTAGCGGATTTTCCTCATTTTGGTACCTGCCCTTTTTGCAGGGTCACATCGACCAAGCTTTGATCTTCCTCGCCAGCAGGACCGCTGATCGCCAGGAGGCACAGCACCATTCATCCACGGGAACATGCGGTTTTCTTACAGCTTCTCCACCGCCAAGTCATCGAAGCTGGGTCTCAAGCCCCAACAAGGAGAGCCAACGCGATTCGCTCAGAGTGGGCGCTGGTCGGAGTTGGCCTGGCACTTGACACCAACGTCGAGCCAGCCGAGCCAATCGGCGACCGGCCCCAACCTCAATGTCCTTCCCAATGAGGCCCTAGCTGCACGAGTATGCCTTGGAGAGATCGGCAAAGCCCACCAACAAAGCGCAGCCATAGGCTCCAGTTGGTGACTTCATGATACAGGGACGACCGACCTGCCATTACTCGTTGGAGCAGGTGCAAAGGGCAGGATGGAACTCTTGCGAATGATATAAGATGGCCCGCCTCTGCCCTTTTCCGATTCCTCTCTTTCATCAGGTTCTGATCAGGCTGTGAACCCCCATCTCCCCGATACCCCGTCCGTCTTGTCTTTCACAATGAAGTGGTCCGCTACCTTCCTCCTCGGCCTCGTCTCGACGGCCTTGGCCAAGCCCAGCTACAAGCGCCTGCCCGATGACAGATGGGATTACATCGTCGACGGTGCCGAGATTGAGCGTCGCGGCGAGTCAGCCGACAATACCACCTCCAGCTACACCCTCCGTGGTAGGAGCGTGGACCCCTCCTCGCTCGGTGTCGACAAGGTCAAGCAGTACGCCGGTTACCTTGACAATAACGACCAGAACAAGCACTTGTTCTACTGGTTCTTCGAGTCCCGAAGTGACCCCGCCAATGACCCCGTGGTCCTCTGGCTTAGCGGTGGCCCAGGCTGCTCGTCCATGACTGGACTGTTCTTCGAGCTCGGCCCTGCCAAGGTCACCTCGGACATTGAGGTTGTCAACAACCCCGATTCCTGGAACAACCGCGCCAACGTTCTCTTCCTCGACCAACCTGTTGGCACGGGATACTCGTATGGCGATGGTGTGGACACCTCCCTTGCGGCTAGCAAGGACATCTACGCCCTCCTGAAGCTCTTCTTCCAGCAGTTTCCGCAATATGCTAAGCAGGACTTCCACATTGCTGGCGAGTCATATGCTGGACACTATATTCCTGACGATGCCGCCGAGATTCTCTCCCACTCCGACAGCGGCATCAATCTAAAGAGCATTCTCATTGGCAACGGTCTCACGGATGCCTACAACCAGTACCCCCAGTACCCTGAGATGGCCTGTGGCAACGGTGGCTACCCGGCCGTCGTCGACTCAGGCACTTGCCAGCAGATGCGCAACGCCATTCCCAAATGCCAGAGCGCCATCAAGCAGTGCTACTCTACGCAAAACTCTCGCGATTGCACCTCGGCCTCGAACACCTGCTCTCGTGTCTCTAATGCCTACTACCAGACTGGTCAGAGCCCGTACGACGTGCGTAAGCAGTGTGAGCCTAACACGGGCGGACTCTGCTACCAGGGCATGAACTACGTCCAGCAGTACCTCAACCGCAAGGATGTCATGCAGGCCCTCAACGTCGAGGTGCAGAGCTTTGACAACTGCAACGACGATGTCAACTATGCTTTCCACAGCGCTGGAGACGACATGCTGCCCATCCAGCAGAACGTTCCTAAGGTGCTCGCTAAGAACGTCCCGGTTCTCGTATACGCCGGCGATGCGGACTACATCTGCAACTGGCTCGGCCAACGCGCGTGGACCAATGCCCTTCCTTGGCCCGGCCAGTCTTCCTTCAAGTCAGCCACGACCCAGAATCTCACCTACAAGGCTGGTGGTGGCGATGCCTACGGGACTGTGCAGGCCGCCAAGGGCCTTGCTTTCGCTCGCATCTTTGGCGCTGGTCACCTTGTTCCCATGGATGAGCCCAAGCCCATTCTCGATCTTGTCAACCGCTGGATTCACGACGGTGACTTTCAACATTAAAAAAGAGTGTTGATGATGGGAGTATACGAATGTATATATGACCTACAGGGACAATTAGCTTCCCTATAATGTATATAACTATAGGCATATGAACATGATTATGATTATTCAATTCCCGAGAGGACGGATCGCTTTTAAGGGGTTAGCTCGAAACTGTGAAGCGACTCGATGTGTTCGCTGGCAACGCGTAGGCTCGGCAGCGAAAATGTGGGAACTTGCTGGAACTCGAAAGTGGAAGAAGCAGAACCTTCGAATGCCTTATTTAACAAAATAAGAGTAAACAAATGAACAGAGTTGTTGATGAATATTTTGGTGGCGTTGCTTGGCCGTTTGCCCGTGATTGATCTCAAGAAGACCCCACTTGTCGCGTCTTCTAGCTTGAAGGCGCGTCAGCTTTGGCATCTTGCATCTTTAGCAAACGACACTCCAAACCTCGGCAACCCATTGGAACACTGAGTTTCGATCACTGAACTAAATTCAACCTGCCAGATCTTGTCAAAAAAATGGGTAGCTGATTCCCTTCAGCGCCCCGCTGGATAACACTGTCCGTCGATATTTACATCTGCCAGCATCGTCGTGAACGAAAGAGACCATGGCCGACACACCAACTGGCGGCAGCAGTCGCCCGGCCGCGACGCCGGCAGGGCGAACGCCATCCCAAAGGACACCGTCCGAACGCACATCCAACCCGAATGCCTCCGTCCACACGCCGCTCGACCGCACCGGCCCCCGCGAGCTCGCCAACTCGGTCCGCCGAGGCCTCAGCGCCTCCGGCGGCCGCAGGAACAACGCGCCCACGCCACACGCGACCGCCGCCCGACGGGCGCTCGAGCAGCGCCGAACCGCCATGTTCACGCCCGGGAAGAACCGCCGACGGAGCCTGCGCGAGCAGCACCAGACGCCGATGAACATTCTCAACCAGCTGGCGAAGCGCCTGGCGCCATCGACGCAGCAGGTGCCCGCTGCGAGCTCGTCGCCGATGGTCAGGGAGCCGCGGTTGAGTTTGCGCCCGGTGGCGGAGCGCGAGGAGGAGGAGGAGGACGACGACGACGATTACTTGGAGGACGAGGCAGACGTGGAGGAGGAGGACGATGACGACGAAGAGCTGCCAGCGCCGCCGAGATTATCTCTGGCGCTGCAGGAGGATGAGGACGACACGATAGAGCTTCGCCCTCCTCGGTTGTCTGTACTCCCAGACGATAACTTTACAAATTACACGGTCGGATCGGTCGAACTGCCGCGCGAGCAGCCAAAGTCAAGATATTCGCGTGGGAGTTTGGGCAGTGTACGCCGGAGTGACTACTTTGACCCAAACGAGCAGACGGTAGAGATAAGTGGGCGGCAGTCGGACTTCTTTCCTGGCTCGCTGCTGGAGAACCTGCAAGGCAGAGCAGAGGACAACGCGGCTGCATTTGAACGGTAAGCTAAGTTCGCGTGCAAATCTAGATAGAGCCACGATGCTAATACGGATAGGTTCGATAATGACGCTACAATGCGTACGCTCGGTCGGGAGAGTGAGTTTACGCTTGGTGTGCCCCCGGACATGGCCGATCAGACTACCTTCATGCTCTCGGAACCGGGCGGCGATGCGCCACCTACTTCCCCCTTCCCAGGCGATTCAGCGGCAGCTGCGGCGGCACGAACGGGGGGTGACACAACGCGTGGCAATATTTCCTTTATCCCGGACATTTCAGCCGCCGGAGAAGATCTGCCAGCATTTGGCGACGACGATGATGACGATGATCATCGCGAGCGTGAAACCTTTGACGATATCGAGCCCACAGGTAGACAGGACCGCGAAGAGCAAGAGGAGGAGGAAGACGCTGAATCCGGTCGCCGCCGTGTCTCTGCGCTGACTCATGGGGAAACGTTCATATCTGAGGGTGAGGATAGCGACCCGGCCGACGCCACAGCGCGCCAGCAGGACACGAGCAGGTTAAGCTTAGTGGGAGGGCCCGCGCCCGCCCGCCGGGGTCCGAAGCCCAAGAAGAAGGTGAAGCGCATCTCTCGCCACGGCGCCGAGTACCCGCCGCTGCCGGCGCCGTTCGTGCGACGCGTGGCGCACCGCGCTGTCCAGTCGTCCGGCTTGAGCAACCACCGCATCTCGTCGGACGTGCTGGCTGCGCTGACGCAGGCGTCGGAGTGGTTCTTTGAGCAGCTCGGGGATGATCTGGGCGCCTACGCAGACCACGCGAAGCGGACCGTCATTGAAGAGAGCGATGTGTTGACCCTCATGAAAAGGTAGGCCTACTTCTGCGCTTGAGTACTTGAAATCCCCGACGCTGATCATTTCGGCCTAGACAACGGCAAATTGGCTCAGATGCTACGCTGTTCTCGCTTGCTCAACGGCATCTCCCCAGGGAGCTGTTGCAAGATCTTCGAATGCCACAGGCAACAAACCCGAAAGGCCAGCGTCACAAGAGCCTCACGCAATACGACGACGACGATGATGACGATGATGATGCTTCTGAAGTTGCATGATTTATTCTATTCTTCTATTAATATACTGTACAAATGGTTTGGTTGTTTGGCGCTCGGCGTGGGCCACTTCTTTTTACTTTGTATTTACAGAGTGCGCGTGGCGCGCACCCGACGGACGACATCAGAGGCGGGCTTCTTCATAACTAGGTACATCATGACGGATGTCGCTGCGGCGAGTCCATACCTGAATAGTGTTAGCAAGCTGAATAAGAAAGGCGGCAGAATGAAGCATAATACATACCAGGTGAAGATGTATTGGGCGTGGTTGTTGCGTAGGTTTACTTCGGCTGGTCGGCCAAAGGGAATACCGCGGCTTTCGTACTCCATCATTTTGAGATATTCGGGCTCTACATCGACACGTTAGCATTTCGACCTCGACCAGCGTTAGAAAACTTCCCAACGTACCCATGGTCGCTTCCACCCAGACGGGTTGCGCGCCCGTCAGCTCCGCCATCTGCTTGACGTCCGGGAAGTAGAACTCGCCCTTGTCCGGCCTGTTGTCCGGCGTGAACATGTTCTTCTTCCAGGGCTCGCGCAGCAGCCCCTGCACCGTGACCTCCCCCCTCGGCAGCCCCAGCGGGCGCGTCCGCTGGTCCCGGTGCTTCTTGCTGATCCAGCCGCGGTTGACCAAGATCGTAGACGCACCACCGGACCGCTCCAGTGGGGTGACCACCATGTAGCCGTCCTGGCCGTCGCGCATGCGCGGGCCGATCAGCATCTCCTGATCGTGCCGTAGGCGGCCGGTGGCGACGACGCGGCGGTAGTCAAAGTCGCGGACGGCGGCGGGGTCGACGTGCGGCGGCAGCGGGAGGGGGTCTCGGACGAGGCGGTCCTCGAACTTGGCGATGAGCTCGGTCTTCCACCCGAGGCGCTGGACCTGCCAGGTGCCGAGGGCGAACGCCGTGATCGGGATGAGAGCTGCGCGCGGGGGTTGTTGTTGTTAGATGGGACAGGAAGGGGGAGGGAGGGAGGTGGGAGGGAGGTCGCACCGAGGATGATGAGGCCGGGGCCGTGCTTGCGGCCGGGTCGGATCATGGTCGGGTCGAGGTCGACGGTCGAGACAAAGTTGGGGTCGTCGGCGGGTTGCGGCCTTTGCGCGCGCCGCGCGGGCGAGCCGGAGAAGAGGCGGCGACTGCTGCTGCTCGGCGCGGGCCGGGATGTGGTCGTCGGGGATCGCGGCGCGGCGCAGCATTGGCGCGTGGAGGGTTGCATACTGCGGCGCATCGGCTGAGCCAGCCTCCGCAGGGCATTTTGAGGGCAATTCATCCCGGTCGGCGGTGCTGGGGGATGGATTGGTGACGAGTTTGTGTGACTGGTTTGCTGTCGGTTAGCTATGATGCAAACGCTGGACGGGTTCGAGATGGAACTTTTTGGATGCCCCACATAAATTCACGGGGACGACGGCGCGGCTCGCCGAAGCAGTGGCTGTAAGATATTGTCATTATCTTGACTGTTTTTTTTTTTTTCTCAGGATGAAAGTCATGATGCTGGCAGTATGGGTCAATGCAGAATGGAACTGCTCATTGTCCAGAGTCGTTAATAAAAGCCTTACCCGAACCCGCCATGGGCTGTCGGAGTTGGCTGCCCAAGTCTAAGTCCGGAGACAAGGCAATGACAATGCCATTGAGCCTACAACTTGCTTCAAATTTTCCCATAATGCTTAAAGTTCTTTTACTCTAAAGGATTTTGAATCTATTTGGTTACATGCAGGGCCGATATTGATGACGGAAGTCAAAACATTTCAACAGCCCACTTACACGGGCGAAAAGATTCACCCAACCGATGGCGAGCACCACCGACGTCGCATCGAGGATGCTAATAGTTGGCTTGGTAGTTTAAATGAATCAACCAATTACAATATCGGGAAATTTATATTGAATGTGCATGCAATGCATAATATCTGGTCATCTGCACGACGAAATAACACACTGGGCGGGCCAGCCACCGATACTACTCACACACTTCTCATAAAAGACCGTGCCCCATATGATGAGTGTACTCTAGCCAGGCATATATCACATGGGAATATTGAGAATTATCCCCGAGGCATTCTTGTTGTATGATTGTCGGCTGACCATCAGCTTGTGATGTGAGCAGACCTACCATATCGAACGACTGAATGGCTGGCCACTAGTGTGAGGGGGGATTGTCAAACCTTGAACTTTTCAGCTGCTTTGGAACTAGGATTGGATGATGAAAAGATAAAATCTTCTGTCTTTTCTCTGGTGCGCGCAGCATGGACCATTCCCCATCCAGCTCAGCTGTCATCGTAGAGCTTCAAGTATCAACCTTGAATGGCCGTGCCATATTCTGTGTCAGTGGCCTCGGCCAAATTTGCATATACATGCTCGAGACCAGCCAGATCTCGACGTCGAATATGATATAATAGGTCTGATCTGCGGCTAATACCGGGGTTGGGCACAGCCGTCTCTTTGATTGCGGTCGGGGTCCGCCAACGTCGCAGTAGTGGCGTCTGTCGCCGGAGGCAGACTTCTCGATACGGGCAATGCTTGCGAAAAAAAGAGATTTGAAAGCTTTCCAAGGTGCAGCATCCTGAGCAGCGTCCAGGAAGAACCCGGCGCAGTATTGGCGCAGTATTGACGCAGCATGCCCTGCAGGCACGTGTACCGTTGGCGGCGTATCCGGCGCGCCGTCGTCCCCGGCGCCGAAGGCCTTGTTAAGAGCAACGGAGGTGAATGCCGTGACACACTTGGCGTGCATGGACTTGGCGTGCATGGTAGATGCTAGACGAAGCGATTGCCCGTGCAGCCTGTTCAAACTGCCCAGAAGATGCTGTGCTCCCGGCTGGTTCACCCGTGAGAAACAGCTGAGGGCATCTACACTGCCTGGAGCTGATTCTGCCTGGTCCTCTGCAAAGCCGAAAGAAGTGGACAACATTGGCCCACTCTCGCAGTTAGATTTACTACTTCCTCCACGAACATGCGCCCGAGAGCGAGTGCCTGATGCCAGCCATGCCCCGTACTCGTAAATGGATGAAGTAGGGATGACCCTGTCGCTTACTCCATGTTATCCTGGCAAGTGTGTAGAGATAATTTGCAAAAGTAGAAACAGATTTTACGCTAAAAACGGGATGCTAGTTAATGAAAGTTTGTCTCTGGGCTGTGAGGTGAGTCCTTGGTGTGAGGGGGCTTCTCAGCCGCATCTGTCCCCCCCCCCTTCCTTGACTTCTCCGAAGGGCATTTAATTAGAAGCTTTTCTAGACTCGGCGTATCTTGCGATGTCTTCAAAGCTTGACAATACCACTTCTCTAATAATATCTCATCTGTCTATTATAATGAGCGACGTTGCAATACCAGGCAATTCGACGGCGGGTGAGTCGGCGTAAAGACTCGCCGAGGGAACCCCAGATTTTGCAAACTCTGCGCTTTCATTACCCCAGAGCGATGAGCATGAACGACGGACGGGGGTCCCTGATGTGTCAATGCATAATGTATTGTTATCCACCAGTGACTAACGTAAAAACCCTCCGCATTCTCCACGTCGCAGCGACCCTCGGATGACCCTGTACTCACTCACCAGCCCTATACAAGCAAACATGTATAGGTCAGCCTACCTCTCAAGCCTCCAAGCCTCCCCTTTGTGAGCCGCCATTGTTGGATTGATTCAGTAGTTAGCTTCGAACTGCTTCGGGCCGGTTCAACTATCCGAGAACGCGCGTGGAGGGGATGGCATGATGCCTGATGGCTTGGCTCTAGCTAACTAAACTAACTCTTTAGTCCGCAGGGGATATGTTTCCCCAGAAAGCCAGAGACGAAAAAAGGTTGGGCCAAGAACATCTCACCTTACTCGAAAAGGAGCGTCCGCCGGCCCTTAGTCTGCACCTTGTCGGCCTGGTTCGTGACAACGTTATCGTTGCATCCCGTCCGTCAAATCAAGAGACGAGATGTTGATCATCGTGGCCCGCTCCTCCTCCATCAATCCCCAGGAAAACGCCTCGTTTGGGCGTTTTTAGCGCGTTTTTGTCGACGTCGATCACACCTCGCCGCTTTCACATGGGTTTTGGGAACCCGATGGCGTGTTTATTACCAGATTGCGGTGGCGCGAGCGACGTCGTCCGTCTCGGGTGCCGAGGCCATCTCTAACCCTACCCATTCCCCAGCTTTGCCCTCTCCGCTCTCCGCCCTAGAGTAGGCTTTCGCTCACTAGAACCATCTGGCCTTGGCGGTTGAGGACAGGACGCTCAGTCCCTCTCATCTGGGGGCATTTGCCGGGGAGGGCTGGCGGGCGTCTTCTGTGTGGCCGACATCCGGCTGAACACATGTAGCGACAGAGGACATGCATTCTCCTGCTCATATCCAGCTGGGAATGAGGGGGAAGCCCATGGATCCTGAGCCCACCACGTTCCGAACATGTGTCTGGCCGGTCGAGAAAAAGGAACCCATGCCAGACTAACACCTTGGCGCACATTTGAACAATGTCGTCCCTTGCTGCTCTGAATCTTGTATAACTATCCTGTGTTCCCTCCCCCTCCAGCAGTCGAGATGTCGTGAACAATCACTCGCCGCACTGGATCAAACAAGTCCCTGCACAAGCCCTCCTCCCCTGCCTCCTTCGGCTTCCAAACTGATCAGTGCTTGCGCTTGTGTGTTCCCCCTCTGCCCATCATGAAGTTCCTGTCCCTTCTCGCCGCGGCCCTCGTCGCCCCTCTGGCGTCGGCCCTCACCATCCCCGAGAAGCGGCTCACGACGCCGGCCAACGACCCCTTCTACGTGCCGCCCGCCGGCTTCGAGTCGGCCAAGCCCGGCGCCGTGCTGCGCGACCGCCGCATCATAGCCTCCTTCTTCGGCATCATCCCGGACCCCATCGAGGCGCGGCAGGTGCTCTACCGCACCACCGCCATCGACGGCTCCGCCATCGCCACCGTCACCACCATCTTCAAGCCGCTGTTCGCCAAGAGCGACCGCTTCATCGCGTTCAACACCGCCTACGACTCGTCGGCGTCCATCTGCAACCCGAGCTACGGCTACCAGCTGGGCGCGCCCCCGCTGGACCTCATCGCGCAGGCCGAGTTCCTCATCATCCAGGCGTACCTGCTGCTGGGCTACACCGTGGCCTCGTCCGACTACGAGGGGCCGGACGTGGCGTTTAGCGCGGGCCGGCTGTCGGGAATGGGCGTGCTGGACGGCATGCGCGCCGTGGTCAACTACGGGTCCAAGATCGGCTTGAACAGCAACCCGATGATCGTCAACACGGGCTACTCCGGCGGCGCTATCGCCGGCGGCTGGGCCGCGTCGCTGCACCCGACGTACGCGCCGGACCTCAACGTCAAGGGCTTCATCCTCGGCGGCACGCCGGCCAACCTCACCCAGGTGCTGCTCAACGTCGATGGCACGCTCTTTGCCGGCTTCCTGCCCGGCGCCATCGCCGGCCTGGCCATGCCCTCGGCGTACGGCGCGCAGCTCAACCCGGTGCTCGACCAGGTCATCACGCCGCACGGCCGCGACGTGCTCGCCCTCGGCAGCAGCCAGTGCGTCGCCGTCAACATCGTCGCCTTCGCCGGCCAGTCGCTCTTCGACCCCAAGATCCAGAGCATGGGCCGCGACCTGCTGTACCAAAAGGACGTCGCGGCGGTCCTGACCGACTCGACGATGGGCGTCAAGAAGACGGAGACGCCGACGGTGCCGGTGCTGCTGTACCACGCGACGGGCGACGAGATCATCCCGTATGCCGGCGCGGACACCCTTCGGCAGAGCTGGTGCGCAAACGGCGCGAGCGTGCAGTTCACGACGTACGCGGCGGGCGGACACGGCACCACGGAGCCCATCGGTCTTCTCGACGCTATCGCCTTTGCCGACAACGCCTTCAAAGGCCGCGTGCCCTCCGGATGCTCCACGAAGTCGGTACTCACCAACCAGCTGAACCCGCTCGCTCTCGGCCTCAACCTGGAGCCGGCCCTCTCCCAGCTTGCGGGTGTCATCCTGGCTCTGGGCCAGAAGGATGCCAACTGGAAGAACGCGATCCAACAGGGCAAGACTCTGTAAAAAGTGACTGCGATTGATCGTTATTGACTTGTCTTTGGGCAAAGATTTAATGTAGTACATAATGCAAATTGATGAGATACATATTTTCTGACGCCGCAGATGAGCATTGCTATGTGTATCCAGTAGCCGAGATGTCAGTCCCCAAGTGCATACCCTGTAGTGCCGCAGTCATCGTAGTCAATCTTGAGAGATGCCACGTCCACATCGTCAAACACGCGTACACTAACAGGCTGCATGTTCATGTTTCTTCTATAATTCTCCATGACAATCGGGAGCCTTTCGGCTGGCACTTTGTCGAAGACGCTGAGGGGCGGACCGTATATTTTCCAATACATGTACACGCCGCATGTTTTGCACATAGTAGGCCCTCCCATCTTGGCGTTCCAGAGATATTCAAAGGTGTTTTCTCTGCCGTGGATGCGAACGACGTCTTTCGTTTCATAGGAGCCGACATGGGCAAGCTGTGTGGCCGTCAGTATGCTGGTGCATGTGCCACTTGCTGCGTTTCGACGTACTCTGCTGCATAAGCTGCAATTATCGGCCTTGACCTGTCTATCTTGTATCTTGTATAGAGTTTCAATTTGCACTTGGCCGCAGGTGCATGATCCATGTTGCACGGCGGGCGATTCTGCTGTCGGTAACTCGGGCAGCGATGGCCCAGCATCCTCGGTTTCAACTAGAGTAGCACTAATGATCTTTCTCTTAGAGAGAGAAGAAATCAAATACGTTAGTGTATGGGTTAACTCACCCGACTTTGAAAGGATCGAGCTCCAAGATGATATTGACATTGACCAGCGTTTTGCCTTTGAGCGGACCTGAGGTATGAACTCCAGTCACGCCGTTGCCGCAGTATTGGCAAAACTAACAGACGGTTAGAATCCAGAGATATGCGCCGATGAGACAAGATTGATCTACCCTGTCGACAAGGACGCCAGAGTCGAATTCTGTCAACTTTCCTTCGTCTCTCACAACTGTAAGGCTATCCGCGGATGCAGCCACCCAGCGGTAGCCCTTCTTTCTGCACTGCCTACAGGTGCACTCCATTCCCGAGCTGATCTCAGGCACCAGTAGTTCAAAGCGATATTTGCCACAGTGGCAATTGCCATGATATCTGATAGTCTCCTCGTCTTGTGCCATTTCGCCAGGGCTTACACGCTTGAACGATACGAAGAAAAAACGAAGAAATGGTATGTTTGTTGGGAGAGAAGCTATTTAAAGCCGAACTTGCCGCAGCTAGCGGACTCCAACATCGCGCGTCCTTCCAGTGCTGACGACATCGGCGCATTCCCATTTGAGCGAGTGGCGGCGGGGGAAATGTGTGGTCTTTTATTATCTTCTATCTTCCAATCACACTCTTTCTGATTTTATTTTTCGACAACACTTGCCTTCATGAATTTCACGATAGCGTCCGTCCATGTAGATGGATGGTTTCATCTTCCCCTGCCAAAGCTGACCGGACCCAGCAGCAAAGTATAATATACATTGACTTTAGGTCGTGCTATTTTTGGGAAACCGAAACACCATCATCTTTTCCGTCTTCACCAAAAACACCGTGATATCCATTTTCCTCCAGGTAGCGACGGAACTTGACATCCTCGCTCTCTAGCTCGCGCTCCATGTCAGGAACCAGGAACCAGGTGATGACGGCCCCCGTCATCGCGAAACCAGCTCCGATGAGGAACACGCCTTGAACGCCCTTGTTCTCGTCGTTGAACGAGTCTTGGATTGGAGTAAATACTTGGGTGCCAATGGCAGCGCCAGCCTTGCCCACGGCGGCTGCCAGGCCGAGAAAGTGGCCTCGGACGGGGGTGGGAAAAGACTCGGCACCGCAGAGAAATGTGGCCACCTAGGCAACCTTGTCAGCATGGGATTGACGTGGACTTTGAAGGGGGGAATACATACACCAGGGCCCATCTCGGCGACTGCGTTGAAGATTCCGTACATGATGACGAAGAGGGGGAAGACGGTCTTGAGCGGGTTCAGAACGCCGCCGATGATGAATCCCATGACGGACCAGAGGACGAAGCCGAGAGTCATTGTCTGCTTGCGGCCAATCTTGTCCATGAGATAGCCTCCGAGAAGACAGCCGGGCAAGTAGAAGCAGTTAAGAACGGTGCCGTAGCCGACGGTCTGGATCAGGCTGTCGCTGGGGTTCAGAGTGGCCAGAATAGTCGATCCAAAGAGGCCAAATGGATAAGTCTGAAAGTATTAATTAGTTTCAAATTCCTCCTTTTCACTTTTTTTTATTTTTTTATTTTCTTAGCCAACGTACCACAAAGTCATAAACAAACCACGCCATGGAAGTGCCAATCATGGGCTTCCAGTAACGCCTAATCACCAGCCAGTAGGGAATCTCCTTCTTCATGGCGTGCTTCTGGTATTGTGTCGAGTTGACCAGACGCAGACGAACGAACAGAAGGGCAACCGGGAGCACCAGACCGAGACCAAAGCAGACTCGCCAAAGGCCATCGGTAGGCTTGTAGTTGTACGCGGCCAGAACGATCAGCACGACGATGCCCGCAAAAACGAAGCCAAGATCGATGGCGAAGTCTGTCGCGACAGCAGAGAGCATGCCACGACGGCGTCGGACCTGGGCATTCTCATCTGCCGCTTCCGATGTGCTTGTCGCGCACGTCGGGTACTCACCTGGCACTCGCATTAGTTGACAATGTGGAACGAATGGTACGTCAGCTCCGGTGTAGAACTTACCTCCCGCCCCGAACCCGGCAACGCCGCGTCCGATGATCATCATCCAAAACATGCCGTCGCGCGTAGCGCCGTGCGCAGCTGTAGCCAGCACGATGCCGAGGACCAGGAACAGCGTCGCCCAGAAGATTCCGGTGCGGCGGCCGAGCCGGTCGACGGCCCAGCCGAAGAAGAGCATGCCAAAGACCTCGCCGATGAGGAAGGCGTTGGACATGGCCGTCTTGACGCGCTTGGTGTAGGAGGCCGGGTACAGCGCGGAGAGGACGGGGTTCATGTGGCCGACGACCTGCGCGTTGTAGCCGTCGGAGAAGAGCGCGGCGCCGGCAACGAGGACCATGACGATGGAGGAGAGCCGGCCTCCGCGGCCGATGAGGCGCCGGGGCTCTCGGGGCTTGACGACGACGGCAGTGGCATCCTTGGCGTCGTCTCGGGACGTGCCGCTGCTGTGGACTGGCTGCATGATGACAGGGTCGGACATGGCTGCTGTCTGAAGCTTGGTAGCGACGGTGTTTCTGTGAGATGTCTGTCTACTGAGAAGAAGCTACCAGGTTTCGCCTCAGCTGAGCAAAGGAGGCAGCGGTATAAGAGCACCTGAGATGGGACTTTTGTACAATGCAGCAACAGGTCGCATGCCCATTTTTTGACAGGCACGACATGCAAGACCGGCCGGGCCTCGCCGTTGGTCCTTGATGAATCTAGACAATGTAGAGGTCTCGACGGCCAGTTGCGACAGAGACGCCCACGTGTAGACGATGTGGTTGGACAGGCTGGACTGGCTGGGCTGGCTGGACTGGCTGGGCTGGCTGGACTGGCTGGACACATGTTGTGCCGAGATGCCGCCTGGATGAGCAGAAAATGCAGCTACCTGCAGAAATCACACGAGCAGCTAGAGCAGCTGAGAGACTTACAGCGTGTTTCTATTCTTTACCAAAGACCTCATATACTTGATGCAGGTCGTGTAAGTGGAATCGCCCGCAACTATCGACACTGCAGCCTTGCACCCCCACACACGTGGTGGAAGCGGCGATTGTGATTCCAGGAGACGATCGAGGAACCCGCCAGAGCCATGCGCCCTGCACTAAAATAATTGATTGATGCAGCATATTTCCGCTGTGGCGTTGCTGGCATGTGTAGATCGCCTCCTACCGGCTTGGCTCGGGTGTATTAATTAGTATAAGCAAGCGAGCAGGGTCTTTGGTAATGATGGTGGAATCTACGGACTCAAAATCAATTGCCGGCTGAATGCGACTGGTCTGGCTGCTTCTATACAGACCTGCAGACTGTCAAAAAAGATGAAAATTGAAAACTACATCCGTCCCCCATGTGCAGAACCCGAGACTGATACGCTGGCATCAAAAGAATCTTCTATGTACTGATCGCCGCAATCATGGTTTCTGCAAGCGACATTGCTCTCTTCAAGGACAATGGCTATCTCATTGTCCGCGATTTTCTCACTCCTCAGGAAATCACCAACCTGAAATCATGGGCTCAAGAGGTTCACGACTACAAGCCCACCGAGACCTCTGAGTTTATGCCCTACGAGGTATCTGCCCACATCAAGTTGAAACCATGCCTCGAGCCTAGACTCACTCTCTATCATAGGAGATCAACGCCCAAGGCGAGCGCGTGCTCTGCCGCACCGAAAACTTCGCCGACGGCCACGCCGGCTTCGACGGGCTCCTCCGCGGGGCCGAGCTGCTCGGCCTGCTGGAGGCGCTGTCGGGCGAACCGATGCACCTCTTCAAGGAGAAAATCAACTACAAGCTGGCGGGCAGCGGCGGCTTCGCGCCGCACATTGACGCGGTCGCCTACACGCACATCCGCGACGTCAAGCACCTGACCGTGCTGCTGAGCGTCGACCCGTCCAACACGGCGAATGGTGGTCTCGAGGTGGTCGATGGGAGCCACGCGGTGGACGTGCCGATCAACCCCAAGACCAACTGCATCGAGGATGCGTGGGTGGCCGCGCAGAGGTGGACGCCGGTCGAGCTAGAATCTGGTGAGTTTTCTACGGGCAGAGAGGTGATGGTGTTATGGGTAGTTCCTGACCTCGGTGAACAGGCCAACTGCTCATCTTTACGTCCTACCTTGCTCACAGGAGCGCGGCAAATCACAGCAGCACGGATCGCAAGGCCGTGTATGCCACTTACAACCTCGCTTCCGAGGGCGACAACCACAAGAGCTACTACGAGCACCGCAAGGTCGCCTGGCCGGCCGCCCACATGCGCAAAGAGGGGGAAAGCTACGAACAGGGATCATTCACCTATGGTTTTGGCTCTCCAATGCTGAGCGTGGAGACTGGGAAGCAGGTCATCTTCAGCTAGATCAAGGTTGACTATGTACAGCTGGGACATTTTGGTAGGCCGTAGTAGACATTCTTTTCTAGGCTTTGAAGATTTTTTTCATCACCGAAATACCAAGGCTTGCCATCTCGGCTTTCGTAAATTAATATCCGTCGGAACTTGACGCCCATGTCTCGTGTCAATGCCATCCATCTGCAGCCACGGATGCGCTATCCGTCGATCCACCCCTCCATCAACGCCACCCACCGCGGTAATATTGGAAATGGAACTCTTCTTTCTGGTTTGTTTTGCTTTTAGCACATTGGACATTGGAAAGTAGCCAGTCCTGTAGCCCACGTGCGTTGACCGAGCACTGCCGGCGTTACTTCTGAAGCCCGGAAGTGCTGTGGCAGGGATCATCGAAGACGAAAATTACATCAACTGTCAATCATTATTTTGCTAATGGAACATTCCGTCTAAAGATTCCGAATAATTCTCACTGATATACGACTAACTGATTCTCTGACATGCAGTCAGAGAGCCGAGACAGGCCGATGATCAAGCACGTGGAAGCTGTTCCAAAGCACTGAAGCTGATAGCCAGGCAAGTTGTCTTAGATTTTGCACTTCCTGGCAACTCAACCATTGCAAGCTCACATTGGCCTTGTCAACTTCCTCATTCCTCTATAATCTACTCTCACCAGCAACCATGGGAGTCCCCGAGCTCCGGACGCCCGCCTCCGTGACGGAGTACGTCCTCTCCGTCCTCTCCGCCTCGGAGCGCACGCCCTACATCGGCGAAGCCATCTCTCAACTACAGCACTCCCTGCAAGCCGCCGCCCTCGCCGCCTCCGCCCTCCCTCCCGTGGACGACCTCACCCAAGTCGCCGCCCTCCTGCACGACATTGGCCAGTTCACCCCCGCCGCCGACCTCCGCATCCTCACCACCACCACCGGGGAGGTGCAAAATCTCGGCGGACAGGCCGACGCGGCCCGCTCGGTCGGCCGCGTCGGCCACGAGACGCTCGGCGGCGCGATGCTCCTCGCGCTCGGCTTCCCGCCCAAGGTCGCCCGCCTGGTCGAGTCGCACGTGGCGTCGAAGCGGTACCTGTGCGCGGTGGACGCGTCGTACCATGACAGGCTATCGGAGGCGAGCAAGAGGAGCCTGCAGTTTCAGGGGGGGCCGATGGACGAAAAGGAGAAGGGGGGGTTTGCGGCGGGGGAGTGGTGCAAGGAGATGTGTCAGCTGAGGAGGTGGGATGACGCGGCGAAGGAAAAGGACCTGAGAGTTAGAGACTTGGAATCATGGCGGCCGGTCATTGAGCGAGTGTTGAGCGAGAGCATGGGTGCTGCTGCTGCGGCATAGATCTGGGCGGCTTTTGAGTGTACCTCACGATGACGATTCACGCCGTCTTTTTTTTTCATTGAAGCTTCGGCATGTTTCATTGACGATATGGCCTTGCGCATTTTTCCATCGAAGCTCTGGCTTTTTTTTATCAATGATATGGCCTTGCCGCTAGGAAATGGAGAGAATGAAATGAATGGCAGGGACAGCGTTGTTGATGATGATGGCTATACGCGGCATAATACCAACATCTGAGGACTAAGCCGAGATCAATTCACCTCGCCGCCGCCGGCGACTCCGGACCTGCTAAAGTTTATCATGGTAGTCTGAATTTTCGGTCAGCGCATCCCTGACACAGGCGCGCCCTTGTGCTCCATTTCTAATGACATCTCGCCAAGACGGGAATAATATATGTACAAGCAAGATCCCGATACGACCCCCGGGTATAGGCTAACCTAAGCCCGGGAACACCCTTTTCACCAAGTACAACCCCAAATCAGCCAAAACACGAAGTACACGGCCAAATCAACCCCCTCCTCCCTTCACAAATGCGCGTCGGCTTCCTGGGCTTGGGCTCCATGGGCACGCCCATGGCCCTCAACCTCGCCCAACACTTCCCCATCACCGTCTGGAACCGCACCGCCTCCAAGTGCGACCCCTTCCGTTCCATCCCCGGCGCCGCCGTCGCCGACTCGCCCGCCGCCGTCGCCCGCCAATCCGACGTCGTCTTTGCCATGCTCTACGACGACTCCGCCTGCCGCACCATCCTCTCCGACCCGGCCCTCACCGCCGCCCTCCGCGGCAAGACCCTCATCAACACCAGCTCCGTCTCCGTCGCCTGCAACCAGCTCCTCGCCGCGCACCTCCACCCCGCCGGCTGCCGCTTCCTGGAGATGCCCGTCAGCGGCAGCCGCGTCCCCGCGGAGCAGGGCAAGCTGGTCGGCATGCTCGCGGGCGGGAGCAAGGAGGACGCGGAGAGGCTGGCGCCGCTGCTGGGGCGCGTGACCGCGGCGGCGGTGCATTGCGGCGAGGAGGTGGGCGCCGGGTTGAGGATGAAGTTTGCGACGAACCTGTTCCTGATCACGATGACGGCGGGGCTGGCGGAGGCGATGCACCTGGCGCGCGCGCAGGGGCTGGACGTCGAGGCGTTCGCGCGGGTGCTGGACGCGGGGCCGATGGCCTCGGCGTACTCGCGGCTCAAGGTGGCCAAGATGGTCGCCGAGGATTGGGCGCCGCAGGCGGCGATCGCGGACTGCTACAACGTCACGGAGCTGGTGCAGGGCGCGGCGGCGGAGGCCGGCGCGGAGACGCCGCTGATGACGGTCTGCAACGGCTTGTACAGGGAGGCTGTAAGCCGTGGGTTTGGTGGTGACGACATGATTGCCATCCACAAGGTCATGACGCCGCCGGAGAGGGACGGAGAAGACAATAATGATAAAAAAAATTAAATAAAAGTATTCAAAGTAAAGTTTTACCCTGTCTATAACGCCTTCAACGCCATCGCCATGCCCATATCTACTGCACTACTTCCGGGTGCTCGGTCTTCATGTGTGTCGCCAGCTGAGCTCGGAAGTAGAACCTCTCGGAGCACTTCTTACACGCCCTTGTCTTGAACTGGTCATGAGCGCTCGGTCCCTCCTGCGACGGGCTCCAAAACGACTGTCGTCCGGCCTTCTTCTGCGACGACTTGGGCGTCCAGGGCAGCTTCTTTCTCTGCGTCCCAGATGATGAAATAGCACCGCTAATTCTTCGCTTCTTTTTCTTCTTGCCCGAGTCCGGGGAAGCAGTCGTATCTTCCCGCACCGGAGCCCATGGTACGACTTCAATCGTCGACTCGGTAATCTCGCCTTCCTCCAGCTCATCATCTGCCACTTCGGGGGCGTCTGCTTGGGCCGGTCCGGGCGCAAATGAGTCCAAGTCTTGGAGAGACGGCGCTTCACTCAGCTCAGAAGATTGCGGTGAGTCTGGCTCTAGATCCGGAATGCTCTCTGGAGCGTCGCGCGTCACAACTGCTCTTTCCGTGACCGTCTCTGAAGCAGCCGGGATAGTAGAATCCTTCGCGGGAGGCTCGACGGTCTGCAGTTTCTCGGGACTTTGTGAAGTGCGAAGTGGCTGAGTGGGCAATTCGTCTCTCTCGTGCAACGGAGGGACTGACGGTGCTCGACTCGCCTTGAGGGCCTCAATAGCTCGACCAGCGAGCTCAGATGCCTCGGCGGGGACCGGGGTGATTCTTGTTTCTTGCTCTACCTTGGCAGGGAAGGATATACTTTCCTTCTCTTCTCTCTCTCTTTTTATTGTAACAGCCGGCTGGTCTTCCTCTTCATCATCGGAGAGTAGTACAATGCTGGGAGAGTCACGCTGTGTCTGCGGCAGCAAGGCCGGCTCGGGCTGCACGGCCGGGGAAGCCCTCGAAGCGCTCCTTGGCAGCGTGCTCACGGGCGGAGCTCGAACAGGCTCCTGAACGGGGACAACCACGTCACGGCGCAACACTGTTGCTTGCTGAGCCAGAGGGCTTTCCACGGGACTCGCAGAACTTGAAGCTGCAAAGTTCCACAGGTTGACCGCGTCGAGGTTGTTCTTCTCCGCGCGCGCAGCGTCGCAGTGCATGACCTCGACCCCGAGCTCGCGGACAATGTCTAGGAAGTCGACGTGCTGGTGAGGCAAGGCGTGGCGCGTGAGCATGTGATGCCGCGCCCCGTCGGCCGTCTTGAAGAAGAGCACCTCTTCGTGCTGATGGCACTGGAACACGTACCACTTGCCGCCGTATCCGAGGATGGCCTGCCGTCTTCTCGGATCGCGCTCCTGTTGCACGTTCCAGACGTCGATGCACAGTCTGGGTCTGGGAGGGGCGCTGCTGCGGGCCTGCGCAGCCGGGGGTGGTGGTGGTGGTGGTGGCGGTCCCATGGGGCCTGCTGCCTGTCGGAGGGCCTCGGAGGTGTACGCTCTTTTCCGTGCAGTAGGAGATGAGACTGCGCTTGGTGATGGACGCTTGGGCTAAAATTTGGTGTGAGTTAAAAAGGGTTGGCAGGTATACCGGTGAGTGGAGGGACATACTGGACGACCAAGCCGAGATTTCGGTGGCGGGGCCAGTGCCGAGACTGCGGCCGGGACTGGGGCCGGGGTTAGGGGGGATGGTATGGTTGACTGGAATATGGGCATGCCGTGCAGCTGCTCTTGCGGCAGGGTCATCACGGTGGGTCTAGCGACATGGAGAGGGCTCTGAGCAAGTTGATGGTGTGCAGAAGGAAATGTCGGGGGTTGGGCCGGCGCTCGCAGGAGGCCTTGCGGGCCCGGTTGCTGCATGAGGCCCGGACCGGGGCCGATTTCTCTCGGCGGCGAGGGAATGCCAAAGTTTGCCGGCCCATGATGCGGAACAGCCGTGTTGACTGCCATTTTTTGCCGCGACGCCGCCACGTACTTGTCGAAAGGCTCTCGAAAGTAGGTCAGGCCGAGGGTTTCAAAGACGCCCGAAGCAAAAGCCTTGAGGGCGACGTCGAGCGTCGTGTTGCGGACAAAGGAGCTCTGCTGCGTCTTCATGCTCTCATTCAAGCACTGCATCATGGTGCCGACCCAGTCCTGGTTCGACATGTCCCCCGACCGGGCCTGCGAGGCCATGACGCGCTGCTGGAACATTTGGTTGGCATTTTGGTGGGCGGACTGTGGCTGGGGGGCCTTGAAGGCCTTGGTCGCCTCCAGGACATCGTGGATGCAGCCCTCGAGCTTACCGACGAGCTCAAGTCTCTTTTCGGGGGCCGCCGGGGGGTCGCTGCGGGCTCGAAGATGGGCGGCCGGGGGAGGTTGCGGAGGCCGGGGTGCAATATGTGACATTGGTGAGTGAGGCTGGTGGTTGTCGTAGCAGGTGTGGTGAGTTGTAAGTGTGATGAGTTATAGGTGAGACGAGAGAAATGGGAAGTGAGGTATTGGGGTTTATTATCCAAGTGTAAGAAAAACGACGGCAAAAAAAATAGAAAAAAAACAAGTACAAAGAAGCTTGGTCACAGATGGCAGGGCCAACCAGGGTTCTATATACCTGAAATTCACTCGTTCACAAGACGGTGAAGAGATATGTCGCCAACCAGAGACAGCTGCATGCAGGCTTCCATAACAAACATATTAACAACAACCCACACAGGCAGGCAGGTCTTTGAATAGGCCGCCACCCGCTCCATATCGGATGGCAAGACACGATGCCGCCCCATGCAAGCCATCGAAGCGCCCACGTATTGCAGCACGCCACAGACAAAGGACCTAAGAATAGCGACGACACACACCCTTGCGATGCTTGGGGCAGTTGAGCCGATGCGGGCTGGAGCCCATCGGCGATATTCTATTCGCTGGATCCTCTCCCCATTCATGCCCGTAGCCGGCTGGGGGTGGTCGCCGGGCGGCAAGCCCTTGATTCGTCCGCATCAATCCTCCCCCGCCCACATCGAGGTTGCATGGCGGGCGGCGCTTAATAAGAGAAGCATCAAGGTTGCTACGGGTGTTTTCTTCATTTCTTCATTTCGGGTAACTAATGAATTCCATATCAAAATAGAGATGATTGGTTGTGAAAGTTGTTTGTTGTCCTCGAAATACTATATTTTCTGGGCCAAGACACGGCCCCCATCTCTATACAGTTTGCGATGCCGTAAACTTGTCTTTTTCATCTCTTGTGAACTAACCAAGGCGGCCTGTTAGCATCTTCTCTAATAAACCCCCCCCCCCCCCCCCCCTGCTTTGTCGCCGTGGCTTTCCACACTAGCAACGGCGACGATACTAGAAGATTCTCAAATCAAATGCTTGATTAGCCAGCAGGCTCGATTGTCGAGTTTCGCAGAGCCGCCGGGGCTAGTTCATTTCGAAAGTCCCTATAGCCCCCTCCGGCTACAAACGTGTCAAGCCACGGCATCCGTGCAGCCGTCCCGCTGCAAGCTCCGTGTAGAAGAACTCTCCGTCTGCTGCCGCATCAGGGTTTGGCTTGCCGCCGTCGGGAGCACGCTGATCAGCAAAGTAAAAACCATTCCCCAATGAATGGACATGGGCGGTCAGAGTGCGATGGATCACTTTTTTTTTGTGGCATGTTTCTCTTCTCTTGAAGTTCCCCTTCTCCATCGACCATTCATTGTAAATCCCCTGGGCGCCTAGGCCTTACTGGGGCGGCGATTGAATGCGCCGGAGCCACTCTTGCCAATCCCTAAAATCCTAAATCGACATACGTAGTTGAGGTCCGTCACTGAGCCTGTTGCCCCTGTATACGAATGTGTTGGCTGCAGAATCCGGCAAGCCAGCGAACCCAGTGACAGCTTACTGAGCCGCTTCTAGGACGCTGGCGGTATTGACCTGAATGTGTCGCGATTGAAACTCTCGACGGTCAATGCCCAAGGAGGGTCGTCCGGCGGGGTAAACGTCAGTGCCGCAGCTGTCATGCATAACTATTATCTCTGTGGTGGCATCGGGAAAATGAGAGCCCCCTCCCGCGACCAGCCGTCGGGATGATTGGATCAGAGACACTCATAACACACCACTACGCTACGCGCCTGGCCAAGAATCTCGTTGACTCTCTCCAAGACTGCCGGCACGGAGGTCGCATCCGCAAGATCGCTTTGGATATGCAGGTCAGCTGCATATGCCGGTACTTGTCCTTGTTTCGGCTTTCCAGAACGTGACGCTGCAGCAACTATGCACCCTTTGGCCGAGAACACCTGCACGACGGCCTGTCCAATATTGGTGCTGCTGCCTAATAGGAGAAGGGCCGGCTTCTCTGCAGTCATAGTGTCATGTGGTATCTCGAGGCGATCTATTATTGAACTGCTGCAGGTAGGGGGGGTTATCATTTCTTTGGTTGCTGGGGTGCGTGTCTGTTTCTAGTATTCCCAATTCCCTTTTAACACCTCGCCTTGATTAGGCTATCGCGCAGCAGTTGTGATCGTGGTCAGTCTTTATGGCGTTGTTGATTAATGAATCCAGGCCACCACTGTCACGATAGGCAGCGCGGAGCTCAACCAATCTTTTTTTCACGCATGATGACAAGAAATGTAGCAAAATAGTGACCAGCGGCCTATGTTTTTTTTCTTTTCTCCCCAGAATCAAAACTAGCTGGCGCTGGTTGCTAGCCTGCTTTGCTCCTGGTGCCGGGTAGGTGGGACACTTAAAGCGATAACCTCCGCAACTCCTTGCCCAGCCACTCGAATACTCCTGCATCGACTTACCCTCATGCAATTTTGTCGGCGATAGTGCAGCGTGTCAGAGGCCTCCATCAATCAGGAATAATAAGCGCCGGCTCTGAGATGCTGAGCCGTGTCTGGGGTCGTCCCCCAGACTCCTTCGGATACGATCCACGTTGAAGCGCCGAGGCGGCCTAGGATGGAGACGGCTCGGATTGCCCACCCCAGTAGACTAATAAACGCAAGTGTGTTGAGATAGGGCCTTGTTTTATGGAAGACGAGAGAGTAGTCATGAATTTTGAGGTGCAAGGCTTGAAGAGGTAATGGCCGAGGACTGGCTGACTGGAGCAAAAGCGGCGGGCTAACAAGCACTACCATACCTACGAGCCATCTCGAACTCATAAGCCGACTTGCTCAAGCCTCATCCACATACATACATGAACTTGTGCAAAATGGCAGCCACCGACGACTCATTCCATCTCTACTCCTACTTCGCCTCCTCCTGCTGTCAGCGCGTCATCATCGCCGCCCACCTCAAATCCATCCCCCTCACCTTCACCTTCCTCGACCTCGCCACCGACGCGCACCTCGCCGCCCCCTACCGCGACAGCCTCAACCCCAGCCGCACCGTGCCCACCCTCGTCGTCACCCATGGCCACGACCATAAGACGACCATCATCCGGCAGTCCCTCGCCATCCTCGAGTACCTCGAGGAGCGCCTCCCCTCTCCCTCCCCGCTCCTGCCGGGTAGCCCCGAGCAGCGCGCGCTGGTCCGTGACCTCGTCGGCATCATCGTCGTCGACGTCGCGCCGCCGACGAACTCCCGCATCACGCAGCGCGTCAGGGACATTCGCGGGGAGCGCGACGACCAGCGCGAGTTCGCGAGGGCGTGCTTCACGGACGGGCTGCGCGCGTACGAGGCGCTGCTGGCGGGGACGGCGGGGACGGCGGGGACGGCGGCGGCGGGCGCCTTTTCGGTGGGCGAGGCGGTGACGATGGCGGACGTCTGTTTGGTGCCGACGGTGGACCAGGCGCTGATGTATGAGATGGACATTTCGTTTGTGCCGAGGGTGAAGAGGCTGTACGAGAGCCTCAAGGCGCTGCCGGCGTTTCAGGCAGCGGACTGGAGGAGGCAACCCGACACGCCTGAAAAGTATCGCGTGTAAGCGACTTTGACTTGCAGTTGAAGACGCGCTCATGAACTTGTAAGACTTTGATTGTTCATGTACAAATGAAATCAAACATAGCTTTGTAAATGTCACGCTATATCCTTGGTGGCCGCCGAGCCGAAGCAAGAGCCAGGCGCCAGAGCCCGTAGCCCACGCCCGTGGTGATGATCATCATGCTCCCTTGAAGTGCCGACCGGCTCGGCCACAACTTGCTCACAGCCCTACTCCCCACCGACATTGTTCTCCCTCCCTCGTGCCTCCCCCCCTCCCCCTCCTCAACACCCTCCTCCTCTCCTCTTCTGGCCTGCCGCGCCTTCATGTCTACCACCAGCCCGCGCAGCGGATCGTCCTCCAAAAACCGTGCCACGCGGGCCTCCAGGTCCGCCGTGCCGCCGTAGTGCCGCATGTTCAGGTACCGAAACGCCACCGCGTCCATGTCGCGCCAGCTCTCCAGCGCGTGCGCGATCAGGAACCCGCCATCGTGCCTGCCCCGGTCCCACTGGTCCGCCAGCACGCTGCTCCGGTACTTGCGGCGCTCCTCCGCCCGGACGACGGCCAGGAAGTCGCCCAGGTCCCGCGCGACGTAGCCGTCGTACGCGTGCCGCCAGGCGAGCAACGCGACGTCGTCGGCGCCTCCCAGCCACAGCGGCGGCGTGAGCAGCTGCACTGGCACGACCCGGCTCCATCCCCAGTCCAGGACGGCCGTGACGGCCATGGTCTGCTCGTCGACGAGGATGTTTTCGGGGGAGAGGTCACCGTGGCTGAGGACGAACTGGACGGGGGAGATCTTGGGGTCGGCCCACAAGGCGGCGTGCTGCCGAAAGAGATCCAGGTGGTAAAGGCTGCTGTCGATCATGTCTGGGTCGACGCTGTCGGCGCCTTTGAAGAAGGCGTTGTATGCCGTGCGCATGAGCGTCTCCATGTAATGAGAGGCGGTCGGTAAGAAATCACGCTCGCCGTAGCATTGCCGTTGTATGCGCCGAGGATCAAGGTCTTCCAGTTCTTGTATATTAATGTCCTTGGTCACGATCTCGTTGGCGACACGGAGCTCGTCGCCGCCCGCGAGATATAGTCTGCCAAAGGACGGGAATGTGAGTCTTCGGAGTTGAACAAGAATCTTCGCCAGCGACAGATATAATTGGTTCCTCTTTTCCTTGTCGAGCAACTGTATGTTAACGGAGCTCAATTGAGTACCCTCCATGTAGTCCAGTATTAGGTATCTCGAGAGGGGACTGTTTGTGCCGTCTAGGCTATGGGCGCGGATGGTCGGTATCGGGATATCTGCATGTGCCTTCAAGAAGCTATGCACAATTAGGACATATTCAGCCCAGCTCTGCTTCAATCAGGTCCCACTCACTTCATAGTCGTCACTTCCGAGGCCAGCTTGGAGCGGCCGCCATGAGCCAGACACGGGCGGATCGGTATCCGGACCGTCCACCTCTCACCCGTTGTTGGGAACTTGACAAAATAGCATACATTATAGCTGCCATGAATCGCAGGCCGAAAGAATGTGCAAGGATGTTTCGACGAGTGCTGCGACGTCGCCAGGCGCAGAACGTCGGCGTCTTTAATGCTGGCGATGAAGCGCAGCCGCTCTGTCTGGACGCGGGCCGCTACGGAGACATCATTGAATTGCGGGAGTCGGCCCATGATTCGAGAAACTCGGCCCGGTTGGAGCTTGCGACAATATTCTCCTCAATGGTGATGAATGAACGTGGTCCAGAGCGGGCCTATCGGTGACGCCGGCTTTCCGATCGGGTAACCTCGGGTAGTGGCAGGCGTTGTCGACGGTCGAAGAGATGGTCCGCATGAATTCTTGAGGGTCTTTGGATGCGGCTTTGTCGATATGTCTCGCTATAAGGATCGAAAAGCCATTGTTAATGGAACAATGATGACTGACACAGAGAACTTGAGTGACGGATGGATCTTGGTAGTGGAGCGCTGGTAAAGAGCTTGCAGAGAGCTTCAAGCTACAGTGGAGCTAGCGTGCTGTAGCGAACCCGCGGCGCCGATTCAGCCTCGGCTGGCGGGCCTGTCTCCTCATTCGAGGACAGTTGCATCGTCGGCATAGCAAAGCTGGGAACGATTGGACGGCTAATTCAAGGTTAGCAGCTCTCAAGAGGAATGGAGATAGATATTCTCTGGTCCGTGTGGAAGCAAGAGCCGCCTAGTAGAGGCCAGCTATTCCTATTGCCGGTTAGGTTTCCTTTATATATCTATCAGGTTGGTTGTCACAACATGCCATCGTTGGTAGAGATGTATGCATAGCTTTTGAATTGTCGTTTTACGAAAAATGTGTATATCCTCACTCTACCTCGTTCCCCATCAGAGAACAAGAGGTAAGAGTTCCACTAAATAACTCGAAGAAAAGTTTGAAATCAACACGACAAGATTAAAAGAGAAACAAAACACAATTGCAAGTATGTCAAGTATGTCGTAATAGTCGTCGTGGCGGTTTGAGATAGACACACACCAGGAAGCTCGACCAAGAAACTTCTGGTAAAAATAAGAAAAGAGCGGACAAGGGAAAAAAAAGAAAAAGCCAAACCATCTTGATGCAAAAACCAACGCCATTATTGAACCAAAAATGCGCGAGGAGGTGTGTGTGTGTGTATGTATCGTCGTCGCCGATCAGTCATGTGTTGTTATGATGCACAACAAAAAGAAATCGCCAGAGTATAAAAACAAAAGGGCTCTCCCTTCCAGAGTCCTTCTCCCTTTCACCAAATGCTCTTCCTCCCATTTTATCTAGCGTGAAAAAGCGCTGCCAAAACAATTTTACTCCGACTCCTAGATTCGACTAATCTGGCTCGTGCTCGCGCGGCTTCGTTCGTCCTCCTCATCGATCTTGCTCAGTCGTGAGGGGTGATGGTGATTTTGTCGTTGGATCGTCTCCCACTCCGGTGTGCCGTAGCCCTCGCCCGAGTAGTCCTGTGGGTTGGAGTAAGCGCCTGTCCATTGACCGTTGTTGTTGTTGCTGCTGTGGCTGCCGCCGCTCGGCGCGCCAGAAGCCGGCGTCTCATGCCCGCCGCTCGGTGGGTTGGTGGTTGCGGGGGTCTCGTACTCTTCTGCTTCCTGCTCTGAGCCCGAGTAGGTTGATGGTGGCACATAGGTGGGAATCTTCTTGCCGTGCACATCGAGAATCGGCTGTCCTTGGGCGTCAAGTACGTATTCGCTTTCGTGATAATTAATCTCGTCTTGCGGTGCCGCAACTTGTGCGCCCCGATGCCCGGTCCCAGAACCTTCGGGCTGTGCGTAGTAACCGCCAGTACTGCCGGGTGCGGCTGGCGAGCGATGTTCCGTCGGTGTGCGGCTTACGTCGGCAGGTTGATAATTTCCTGCATCTCTGGAGCTCGTCTGTCGGGCAGAATGACTCTGCGTCATAGGAACGACCTGGACACCGCCCACAATGGTCGGATGTCCAGATTGCAGGGAAAGCGTGCGATCACGTTCCTCTTGCTCGCGACGGCCAAGCTCTTCCCAGGCACGGCGTGCTTCCTCTTTTGAGATGGCCAGCTCCTTTTTCATTTCTTGTATTTTGGGTTCGCTCTTCGCGACGGCGCGCTGTTGGTCGACTGCATCACGGACGGCGTCCGACCGTTCCCGTCGTTCCTTCTCAAGCGCCTTTTCGAGTAGTGCGTTCACTTCTTGAGCGCGCTCCAGCTCCGACCTTGTTTCGAAGAACCATCGCTGGAATTTGCGTTCAGAACTGGCTCGAAGGCGCTGTAGCTCGACAACGGCGTGAAATAGATTGGCGCCAGCGGCAGACAAGTCGGTGACTTGGCGGGCTAATTGTTGGCTGAGAGGGTCTCTGTTGACATCGTCCTTGTTTTGTTCGAGTTTTCTGATCCAGTAGCTGGTGAGGCCCTCCCAATGCGCTGATAGCGTCTCCCACCGTTCAAACGCGTGGGGGAAGGAGTTACGTGGTTTGGCGGGGTCAGTTGCCGGTGCAGGCGCTGGTTCTGGCCGGGACTCGGATGCGCGCCTTTGTTGCGCGGCAGATCCCTGGGAAAGGTACGCTTGTGATGGCGGCGGCTGAGGCGCGGCGGTCGCTGAAGGGGATTGCACCGGCAGTGCGTGGCTAGGTATCCTTTGATGAGCCTGGGCTCGCTCTTGCGATGATTGTGCTTGCCGTTGGGCAGCAGCCTCGGCTGCTTGTTGTTGCGCAATGTTGGCGGTTCGTCCATCAGCAACGCGAGCTGACTGGTGCTCGGTGCCCTGCCTACGCATTTCTTCCAATTGGCGTGCTTCTTCTTCCGCACGGGCTTGTTCAAGTCGCTGCTTCTCTGCGGCTTCACGTCTCGCCTCTCTCGCCGCTCGCTCCATCATGATCATACGGGGTCCGCGAATACCGGACGGCGAGCTAGTTGGGACGGGGGCAGCGCTTGGGCGCAGTGGAACAGCACCGGTGGTAGGCGGCGCAGCTCCCCGGTGAGCATGGGGTATCGCGCCTCCGCTCGCGGCCAACAGATCAGCCATGTTCGCAGATTCCTCAGCCAGGTCTGGAGTAAAGGGATTGGGATAGCGCAAAGCTTCCTCAAGGGCGTAGAGGATAGCGCCGTGAGTGCGCTTGGAAACTCGTACGACGGGGTGTGCTGTGGAAGAGCCACGATCTTGAGGGGAGAATGCAGGTGGGAAGCTGTCGCGGTTAGGCTGGGTCGTCGAAATGTCGTCTACTTCAGTGAGGTTCTGCTGTGATAGCTGGTAGTATCGGCGAGCAGCAGAACGGCGGCGTGCGGAGCTATGGGAGGTTTCGAGCGCCGAGACGGCCGATGGAGGCTGCTGTTCACTCAGCGCTGAGATGGCGCTATGGGCGCGACCAATTGACGCAGCAGCAGTGGGCGTTTGAAGTTCGGGTCGAGGCGACGAGGGGGTCTGGAGCGGTGATGCTGTGTTTCGATTTTGGGGAAGCGACGAGAGCGAGGAAACCTTGTCGGAGGGGGCGGACGGGGTCTGCTGGCGTTGCTGGGGACGGGGCTGGGGCCGGTAAGACGATTGAAAATCGTCAGAGCCAGAACCACTCGGGCGAGGACTGCGCAAGTGTCCGGCGCCTCCTGGAGCGGGAATTGTGGACGGAGCACCACCGGCTCGCGTGAGCCGGTGATGGGGGAAGGAGTAGCGAAGACGCCAGGCGAGGCGCTGCTGCAACCAGCGGCGCAAGAGACGGGGCTTGTGACAACGGCCAGACTCTAGCAATGGGCGCGCGGGAGCGGATGCGGACGGTTTGGAGGCCGGCGATGAGGGACAATGGATTGCTCAAGCAATGCGGAAAGCCGTCTGAAGATGAGAAGGCTGGAATGCGGCAGCGAGTTGCGGTAGGACAGGCAAAAAGGGAGCAAGGCGGCAAAACTGGCGAGGTGACACAAAGCGGAAACGGCGCCCGTCTAGTGAGATCTCTGTGTCGCAAGGGATACGACTATGGGATGAGAGAGGAGAATAGAGTGCGAGACAAAGCCCCGAGCGGGTGTTGGAGGAGCTGCCGAGGACAATGGAATCGTCATGGGAATCGCTCAGCAGTGAGTAGGAGAGAGCGATGCGGTGGCGGGGGATAAGGAGGGCGATGAGACGAGAGACGAAAAGGCTCAGCAGGGCAAGGTAGTATTAGCGGCGGCCCGTTATCGCGGCCCAGACGAATGGCGAGCACACAGGGAAAAAAGATGGTGGCTAGGAAATCGAGAAACGGGAGTGGATGAGGCCGGCCGGGCGTTTGGCGTTGGCTGACCAAAGTCCCAACCGGTGGTGAGCAAAAATCAGGTGGCTGGTGTGGTTAATGGCGGCGGTTGCGCTGGCTGGTGCCGTGGCGCGGCCTATTTAAGTTAGGTACCTCAGGTAAGTAGATACCTTGCCAGGTACGGGAGTATTAATGGGGAGCTTTGCCAGCTGGCATGCGCCACACTTTGCTACTGGACGAGGGAAATTGCAGGTCGCGGACTCTGGAAACAAAAAAGAAAAAAAAAAGGATGCACTGGAAGAAAGCAAATAGAAAATGAAAGGCATTGACCAGAAATAAGAAAGTTGTTCATTTTTCGTCGTTTGTCGCGCCGTGTGCCGTGTCTTGAGCCCATCAGACCACCACCAAACCCGTACCTTCCCAGTACTTTGGTACATGGCCAATCTCCGTTACTCCGCCTCGCCTCGCCTCGACGCAGCATTGACTCTTCATCATCACCACGTTCGAGAACATTGCCCACCTCAACAGCTCCATCAAGCAAACAAAGACGCATGTGCCGTTTTCATCTTTTAATTCCACCAGCCTCCACCCCGCAACAAGAAGACACTCTTCGCATCGGACAACCAGACAACCAGCACCCTCGTCCCCTCGCCCCTGCTCTTTAACACACCACCAGCATCTAAGTTATTGACCCTGTCACTACCGACGAAGCATCTATACCGAGCACCATAAAGGACGTGCGCGCGACCAGGTGTGTGCCCTATGACACCCACACCACTAAACAACACCCAATGCCTATCCCAGCATGATAAGCCCGCGCTCCGACTTTACCCAAAGGCACGCTGGGCGCCGCTCCCAAAGCTTCACTTGAGCAGCAGCCTGATCATCCCTCGGACCTCGCCAGCCTTGTTGTACTTTCGCCAGTTTGGTCTTGTCTCGCTCGGCCCCAAAAGTGGTGGAGACCGAGGTGATGGTGTGCGGGCGCCACTCGTCACGGGCTCGCAGCTCCATCCCAAGCCCGGACTCTCGGCAGGACGACAGAGAGATGGAATCGAGATTGGGGTACACGGATCAACTTAATCGGGACTTACAACTGTCGTGCATTCACCTGGGCACTTTTCAGCATCCAAACGCCACAGCTCTGCTACATCGAAGCAATGCGGTAGCAACTCGGGGACCAATGACGACCTTGCCATGGTTTCTAAGAGTTGAAATTTATTAAGTGGTGGCGCAACCCAACAATAGAAAGCCCCCAACCCAGCACACACGTTGGGCATTGCTGGTGCTGGGCATCCGCTGGTGGCGTTTGGACTCTGCTTTCGGACACCTGGCCAAACTTTCTTTGGGCTGGGATCTGTGCCTCGATTTCCCATTGTTTGGTCTTCCTCTATTGCCCTCGGTTCTGACCGTAGGTGCCAGCGCATTCATCTCCCATGGTCTATTGTAAATTTGTAAGTGCTGGACGGTGACCGGCGGCTGTAACAGAGCAAAAGAAACAACAAAGCCTTCGCCGATCACTCGGTAAAATGAACAGCAATGGATAAACCCCGTCAGATCGCCATAAGATGGTACTGCACCAATAAATCATGACTCAGCCTGCGCTGAGATACTGGCAATGCCCGCCGCTCTCTGTATATAAGTGCGCAAATAAGCATGAAAGAGTCCCACCAACTGTAGACATTAGTAGATTCGACGTGCTGAATTCATAGCCCTCTACCTCAATGCGGGCAAGACGCCGATCAGCTTCTCTCCCGGATATCATCATTGCCCATGGCATTTGTCGGCCTTACATGTCGGAGCAACTCCGCAGAGACCTGCAGAGATGTGCATTTCTGCAAGTGAGCGTCCTTTCGAATACTCTTTTTTTTTCCTTTCTACAAAAAAAAGGAAATTCACTGAGAGAATAACTTTGCCTCCGGGTCAGCCCTGGCACAAAAATTTGGAACTGTGACCATGCGGCTGGAGTCTGGGTCAAGACCACAAGACACGGTATGATCGCATCGACTGCTGGCAGACTCAACTACCTAATCTGTAATCAGGTCCTCCTCCCGCGATATTGTCTTGCCTTCAAAGTCGCGTAAGAGTCGCGTTGCGACGGTGTGTCCCAAGTGAGACATTCAGCCATGGTCCATGCACCAAAGCATCAGAATACTATCCGTAGTTCCGTCAAATTAGGTTGCGTCTACACTTACATGGCAATTTTTTAGCTTTTATTTTTCTTCTATCATCTTGATGGGAAAGAAAGGTGGTTTATACTTTGATTGCTGCCTTCCAGAATTATTCAGTCGTCCAGCGCATCAGCTGTTCGTTGATCGAGGAAACATGCATAGGGTGCAAAGGTAATGGATCTTATCAACGGAGATCTTAACTACAATAAGCGTTATGGAGACGTTTATGTATGCACTTCGTGAAAGACCTCAGTCTATCGAGCACTTCAAGGCAAGCAGCATAGCTGTTCAGCGACGCAAGCGTGCAATAGATTGCCCGTTCGGCCGCGTGACAGGATCAAGCCGCAGCACGTATCGCCAAGCATTGGTCAAGTGGCCAAAAGACAAGGAGTGTACGTTGGTGTCATATAGATAGAACCGAGCATCACGCTCGGAGAGGCGCAGGGTGTGGCCGAGGGCGACGATGCCGATGTCCTTGTCGTCGCGGCCGGCGTCGTACCAGGGGAGGGTGTCGTCGGTCGTGTTGGAGCTGGGCAGCTTGTCGCTGTCGTACTGGGAGCGCGTGCGGCCCTGCACCTCGAACTGACGCCTGGACTCGAAGTTGTGGTAGGTGATGGTGCTCGTGGTGCCGTTGAGCACTGGAGAAATTCCGACGGGCATAGTGAGAGACTGTTAAAACTTGGATAAAGGTTTTGAGACGTGAGTATGAAAAATTGCCGAGGGAGTGTGATAGAGAATGGCTTTGAGCTATTTGTTACTTGACGATCTTGTGATGAGTCCGAGTCTAGATATATGGCAAGTAAGTATAGCGACGACTTGTTATAGCCATGGCATGTACAATACATGTTGGTCGAGTATCGCAACCCCTCTTTCCAACTTGAAGGATTCGCAGAGTATGTCGGCAGTTAGACTTCATGTCGGCAGTTCGGCTTCTTGTTGATTCCGTTACGCGAGTTGGCTCCCTCGGCGTCGTGACCCCGCGTGAGCTGGTGAAGCTGAACCCTGAATCCGCATCTGCGCATGCAGCATCATGTATGCCATAAGCGGCGAGTTCTCTCGAGTTCGGCGGACGCGACCAATGAGTGCGAGTCTTTTAGCGACAATCTTACAGCAGAAGCGATAAGTCGCCTACATAAATACCGCAGGGAGTCAGCATCCGGCATCTTTGGCAAGAGGCAGATGCGTTGTCACCGAGTCCAATGTTTCAGAACATGGCGAAGCTGAGAAGAACATTGATGCAAGACTGCATCGTGTTCAACTCGTCGGCCTCCTCCGTTTCGACCTCGGCTCGAACGTTTTGGTACAGAACGCGAACTGATAACCACGACACCAGCAATCAAGTTATAAAAGCAAGCTATGCAATACACTACAAAAGAGCTCTGCATCCAACTTGGTTCTTGAAATCAGAGATTTCCCTATTCTATACACTTGCTATATCGCACCGCCAGCGCATAATCCGCCAAGATGCCTTCCGGAATCATGTCCGTTATGAACAACACCTCCAAGATCTCGTACAACAAAGAGTCGGGCTATAAGTTCGAAGTGAACCCCCAGACCGTCGATTGGGGCGTCGACAGTCAGTACATGATTCCGATATCTGCCACCAAAGACGACACCTTGCCTTGGTACTCGACTTCGAACTTCGACGCACATAACATCGAAATCTGGATCGGGAGCAAGACCAGGTTCTTCCTCATCGAGTACTAGGGTCACTTCTACTACATTTACGACTCTGACGGAACTCAGGTGGAGAAGAAGATTGCACCGCTGAGTAATGGTGGACAATACATCCTGAGATTCGACGAGGAGGATACCCCGTATGACCATACGGATCCATCCCTCACCATCTACCATTACAAGGATACGGCAAAGTCGTCAACTGGCCTCATCTACTACACGATCATCCAGGAGTTAGCGACACATGCTGTCAACATTCTCTTGTCCATCGGACCGATTGCCAGATAGGCGGTCCGCGGAGGTGCTTGATCATGGCAATCTTAGAGTTGTTCCAAACATCTGTTCGCAGCCGTCGTGGATCTCTTCGAGGTCTTTTTCATAGTTTGAATCTAGCTTCATGTAATGGACTGTACCTATATGTTCATGAAAAACATGCTTCCATCGGACCGATAGTCATGCCTCGGCGGCACCCATGGGACTTCAGCATCCGAGTACACAGGATGGGAGCGGCTTGGCTGGTCGCTCAATGCATGGACAAGGCGGAGGAAGTGATCGGAGAAGATCGGAGAAGATCGAAACTCGACAAAGGCGTTTCCTGGAATGGATACGCGACGCTCGGCATCGTAACGTCCGGAGGGCACTGCAACCCAACGAGGTCGACTGTGTTGCAATGGTAAGGAGTCTGCGACAACTTAACCTAGAGACACACCCGGTCTGGTCCCCCACACAGAAGCTGCCTTCTCACTGAATGCTTACTGTGCAAATCGCTGCGTGCCGCGAAGTATCAAGCGCCTGGCTGCGTTGTCCGTTTGATCCGGCAATACTCGATAGAGCTAGCTAGCATACCATCTTGGAATGGCTGCAGCAGCTGAGACAAGGCGATCGCAGCGCTGCACGTCTACTGGAATGGCGAACCGAGAAATCGTCGCGTGTGTTTCGATCTCGTACAACTAAATTTACGATGGCGAAGAAAAGAGCTGATCGAAACACGCGCTCGGCCGAGAACTGTGCGGGGAGTGACACAGTGATACCAAGACTTGCATGTTGAGGAATGCCGAGATCAACGTTAGTAGTATCCTTTGAACCCAGCGGCTTGCGAGACAAGTAGTAGCAGAACGTACCATGGGAAAAAAAGGTGAACCAAGCCCCCAGCATCTCTCTAGACAGGATAATCGGAATCGAATTTTGGCCCCGCGTTCCTCAAAAAGCCCAAGAGCTAAATAAAGAAACGCGGGCAAGACCAAGTTGCGCATCGCACTCAAGTACTGTGTACAATCTCAGTGACGGCTTCCCAAAGAGACACCAGGTCTCGCCTCATCTTCCAGCCCGACCCTTGCCCCCCCGGAGGGGAGAAAGGAAAGGGAGTATCCATGAGACAGCCATGGGCTCTGCTATTTCTGATGCCGGTCACGAGCGTCAAGTGACGCCGAACCCTCGCGGGTCGACCCGTCCACCCGCAAACACAAACGGGCGACTGCGGTGGTGTTTGAGAGTACTCCGAATTTCTCGCATGCCAGGAAAATTTTGAGATTGAGGCAGTGAAGTCAAAATCTCTGTTTGGAAGCATGGAAGCGCAACATTGTCTAGAGAGAGCCGAGGGCTTGGTTGAAGAGAGAAGGGGGGAAAAAGGAAAAAAGAATGGGCGTTTGAGATTTCGATATTGGAGTCACAAATTTGGTGGGTCTCGGTAGAAAAGTGTGCGCCTGGTAGGCGAGGCAGCAACTCACTTGAGCGTACCCTGTAGGTGTTAGAGAAGAAGAGATGGACCAGACGAACCGCTGGTAGAGGCGAGTTAATTTTCGCTTTCTGGTCTTTTTAATCTGCACAACAATGCATTCGTAAAACAGCATTTATGTCAGGGCTCTCTCTTCCGTTCCCCATCGTCAATGCAGTATTCTAGAGGCGCTACACAGCCTAGGCTTTCACAACCTGCAGCAAAAGCAGACCGTTTTAAGGGCAAAGGCCCGAACAAGATGGAGCAAAGAACCAGACAAAGTACAAGACGATATTTCTCATTCATTTCAGGGAATGTATTTCAGTGTACCACCTAATCGTCATGACAGCTCTACCACACCCATCGGCAAAGACACAGACCTACATCTATGGACAACTTGTCTCAAAACAGAATCACATCGCAATCGGCAATATGCAAGGGGAAAAACCCAGCATAAAACCCCCGATATGCAATGCTGCATATGCAGCGCACAGCCATCCCCTAGAGCTGCAAGCTCTTTGTTGCCGGTATATAAAGTAGATATGGTCAGTCAGGCGCTGTTGCATCGGCGCTAGCATTGCGAGTGCGATGCCAACGCTCATGCTTGGCGAAGGAAAAAAAAAGGAAAAAAGAGGTCAAAAGAAATACCACCGTAGATCGTCCAAGGCCACCTCGCTCGGACGCACTTCGATTATTCTGTCCGTCCTCGGTCCGGAGTGACATGGGTAACTCGGGACGATTTGGCGCTCCTCCTCCCACAACCGCAGCAGCACAGCGGCCCAACTCGATGACTCAACCCTGCGATCTGCGAGAAAAACCCAACAAGTTTCGGATAGACAGTCTCGGCCCGGGTACCCAGCGACACGGTTCTTTCTGCTCTGTGCCCAATCTATCAGAAATTGGCAAATCGAGCAATTCAAGAGGGCGAATATGGATACTCTACGCAAGCACTTTCGCAGGCTGAGGGTGTAGTTACATCGGTGGTAGGGGATCGGAGACCACCGCGTTCTGTTCTTGATGATAGCTGCGTCGAGACGACTTCCGAAACAACCGTAAGCTAGCACATAGTTCCTAGTAGGCTGGGGAAAGAGACAAGATGGGGACCTGAAGCACACCAATGCGAGATATGAACGTTTTCTCAAAAATCTCGCCGAAGAGAGAGAGAGTCACAGGGTGGCGTGGTTTTGGTAGTAGTAGTGCTGGATCAGCGCTCGTCCGAGACCTGGGGGACGGCCAGGTCGGGCCAGAGCCTAGAGACAAGAGGCTGGCGGATGACGCAGGACCGGGCAAGGCCCGGCATTGGCTATCCCGTGCCGAATTGGACGGCCGAAAGGTAGAAGCCTTGGTATCGCGTATTCACATGTTTGCATGTCTGGGGGTTAGATTTCCCAAGAGTGATTCTCCAGTTCATGAAACAGTACCCCTAGGGGGGCCGGCGAGGGGGAATTGAAACTGAGCGGCTACGAAAAGCATGTAATTCGTCAATTCATTCTAATTGATTAAGAGATTTGACAGCCCGCCATGCCAAGGAGCCTCGTCATAGAGGGGACAACTCCAAAGCTGCTGCTTCATGTACAACTTGGTCAAAGCATGCATCCTAGTCAGACGCTGGGCTTACACAGGGGGGAATTCTTCCGGGGATCGGCATTGGGCAGTAAAAAGAGCGAAGAATTATATGAAAGAATGCAGACAAATGAGAAAACTGCGGTGTGCTTATGCAGTGTGCTCTCGTATAAGCTGGGGCTCATTTGCAAGGTTCGCGGGTTGCTAGGTTACTCGAGCGAGGCACGTACATGCGAAGAAAAAATGATAAAAGGGAAGATATTTATGAAAGAGAAGAGACGCACAGCCAATGTGGTACTGTGATACACCCTAATTCGAGGGAAAAAAAAAATCTAGATACCAACCATGCCAGAATAACTCCAGAATAATATGACAATGCACGACGAACACGCCTCGCAAGACACGGCTGCCATTGCAACATGACGCATGGCCAGCGTCCCAAAATATGTACGTCGTTCGTGTCTGACATTGAACCGTGGGTCGAAAAATCTTCCAGCCTGGATGATTTGTCACTTTATAACCTGTCAAGCCTCTCGGCCTGTCCGACACGACTCTTTCTTACACGCTCTCTGCCTTTGTTGCCGCAGATACAGCGAGATTGCCAAGTTTGTAGGGCATGGAAGAAGATTGTTCTTCTGCGGTACCGAGATGAATTTGCGTTCCCATTGCGAATTCCGGATACGGGGATATCGCATTTCTTTTTTCTATAATACTGCAGAATACCGAAGGGCGTACCAGGTCAATAGCGTGGTGGGAAAAGACCCCTCCCTTGGCTCCCTTTGCGTGACGAGCAACTGCAACTGCCAACCTTCGGGTGCAACGAGTGGTGTAACGTGCTGAATAGATAAAAGGGAGAGTAGTTATTAGGGAATAATTCGACTAGATAAAAGAAAAAAGGTGCTATCTAATGCATGATTAAACTCTGTGACCTTCGCAGGCTGCTATGTAGCTCGCCCTGCAGCTCCCGATGCTCATACCCCCCTCCTCTCCCCGCCTACATACTTGCTTTTTAGGTCGCCCTGTATTTTGCTTTTTCGTCCTGTCCCGAAAATGCGGCGCCTGTTCTGGTGACTCTGCAATCCATTTCTTTTTCTTTGGCTTGCTGTACCCATCCCCATCCATAGCTGTGATTCCCCTCGTGTACGGAGTATCCCCCCATTGCCCCCTTGGGAAGCGGTGCTGCGACTTTCCCTTGCGATGCGCCAATGCAACCAAACCAACCAAAAAGGGCGGCCCGTCCAGCACACGAGTCGACCATCGGCCAATGTAGAGTGGTAAATGGCGTGGTCGAGAGGGGCACAGAAAAGAATGGGCAACAGCCAGAATCGAAAAGGGAAGAAGAGAAAATTCCTCTTTGCCATCCCTTCCTTGGCTAGCAGTGGTCACACCCTCGGAAGCTGCCTCCCATCTGTCGGCGCACTCGTATTCAGGCACAAGAACTTGTGACTGGATCACAGGTTACTCAGGCACAAACTCGTCAGAATGTGCCTTGCATAGTCTATGCTGTCATGCACCTCACCTGGTTGCTTGCCTCAGCCGAGTTGGACGACGGCATCAGGCAGAGAGAGTGGCTTACAGCAAGCCGCTCCTCGTCACGATGGGCCACGCCGCACACTACGCGGTGGCAAAAAAAAGAAAAAGCCACCAGGCTGGGTAGAATACCAGTCCCATGGGATTCTTGCAGTCACAGATCGATGTATGTATCCTAACTATTTCCTAGTTTGAACGCCCGGTGGTGATCGGCGACTACGCCAGCCAGCGAACGACAACGACTTACAAGACATCCTCTCCCCGCCGAGACTGCAACATTGACTTTATTAGCAGCAGCCAGTCCAAATCGGTTCATTGAGAGCAAGACGGAGAGTAGAGATGCAGCTATGTATGCATGTATGTATACAGCTGGGCTCTGCTCCCCACCACCCCGACCGACATAGGAATGCCATTGTCTCTTCCCTAGGGGGGGTGGGAATGCGACGAGTCGCCTCAGCTTCACACTCCTCGGCTCCCCACACCCTCCCGCAGCATGTATGCGCCCCACGAGAGCGACTTTGTCTTACATGGAGTTAGGGTTCCTTCTTGGGCTCTTGTGTTTTCTCGATCGGGCGGGTTTATGGTGGTGCTGGGAGGGAGCCTGCTCTTGCTATAACATGCCCTCTGTTCCACGCCTCGTCCTCACATACGCCCTTCACTTACACTGCCTCATGCTGCTCCCAACAACTTCCCTCTCTGCATCATGAGAATTCATCTTCATAATCGACTCATAGCAAGAATCTAACAACACAGCAGCAATAATACAAAAACAAAATCAACGAACCACTCGCTCCGGTTGGCCAGACCAAACACCACCGCACCAACAACCACCACCACTATGCATATCATGGACCGCCGCAGCAAAATGGCCGAGATCAAGCTCGTGTCCAAGTACTACCCGGTGGCCAACTACTCCTACCCCTCGCCCACCAGCCCGACCAGCAGCCACCTCGACCGATGCTCAGTCGGCTCCGAGGCCTCCACGCCAGGCCTCATCGACGACAGGACCGACTCCGAGGTATCGCAGGAGGATGACTACCAGCACGGTTCACACGCCACCGAGCTGTGGGATAACTTCTGGCAGGCCGGAGGTGAATGGCGCCTCGAAATCGAAGAGCACCGGACACTTCGTCAGCACAAGTCGAACAAGCCAGTCGAGATCTCATGGCCGCTCCCTGACCGCAGGACCAACAACACCACGATCAACATGCGGAAAGCATCCCCCACATACTCTGCCTTTCCCAGCCTCAAGCCCCTTCCTCCGATGCCCAGTATTGTGCCAGCACCGCTATCCCCAATATCACCTGCCGCAGTCAGCCCTTGCGCTCCCCCGCCGCGACCGCGCCGTCCCGAGGCGCTCCTCACCCCGTGCCTCAAGCAACCTGGCCAGAACACGGCCACCTGGATCTCGGCTGCCCCCGCAATGCCAGCACTGGGCACGGATAACCGCCCCAAGACCTCCTCCGGCACAACCAATCGTCCCAAGAAGTCCATGGACAGCGGTCACGTCCGGAGCCGCAGCAATGTCGGCATCCACAGCGTCGTGCCGCGGCGCTCCCTGGAAGACATAACCAAAGCCCCCTCCACCACCCACGAACAACCACCACATGTACCGCGCCACTACAAGTCCACCACGTATCTCGGAGCCGCCCGCCAGCTGCAGCGCCAGCAGCAACTTCAACAGCAGCAGCAGCAGTGGCAGCAGCCGGAGCCGCAGTCCGTGTTCGAGGACGATTCGGACTGCGAGGAGTCGGCGGGCATCTCGTTCTTCCGCTTCCACAAGCGTGCCGCCAGCGAAAAGTCGCCCACCACGACGGTGGCACAGGACAGCACGTCGCTGCGCAAGGGCCGCAACCGCGCCGACACTATCCCGGCCCCGACGACAAAGTCGCCGGCTCCGGAGCGCGAGCGCAAGGTGGACGTGTTTGGTCGCATGCTCGGTCGCCGCAGCCGATGAAGAGGGCTCTTCAACGAGCAAGGACTTTGTGTTATCATGTACACCAACCGAAAAAAAACAAAAAACGGAAACAACAGCAACGACACCCGCATTTATTTGCGTCATTCTTTATTATTAACGACATTCATTCTTTAACGACTTGGGAAGACTTTGGGCATTATTAGGCGCCGAATTTTGATTTTTTATTTAGGCCGCGCTGCAGCTTCTGCAGGCAGGTCAATGTATCTTTATGATGGGACGAAGCAGAAAACCGACTTGCACGAGATCTCGTGTACAAAACACCTCCGGCTACCGACTTGAGCCTTTTCCTTACTCACAAACTGTCGATGAATACCTCTTACACTCGTTCATATTAAGTCTTTAATCTGAATATTATTTCTCTCTCTTCATGAAAATCTCAACTGCATTTCTGAATCACTGCCAACTTCTAGGAATGACAACGCACCAAAGAGCGTACGAGGTGTTGGTTGACCCCACCACTTACGCGTCCTCCTGTCAGTAAAGAGCAGCCAGCAACTGTCCAGAGAAAAAGTAGGTAAGAAAAATCAGGGGCTGCTAAAAAAACAACAACATGCGTCCGTTGCGAGCCAGGAATGGCGGGCCGCATTCCAGTTCGTGGGTGGTCTCTACGACGACCGTCATGGGAAGCTCGAGGGTGTGTAGTGATTAGAAAGAAAGGTTAAAAAAGACAAGCTCATTCTGCCTTGGTGGCAAGGAATAATAAATGACAGCATGATATTGTCAGAAATAGAATCAAGTTTGCTTGATGATGGCCCCAGTCCTTGCCGCTGACCGGCTCCCTGGGAGTTGGTGCTCTGACATGACTCTGAACGAACTGAACGGTTTATCGTTTACATTACAATGATTAATCAGCTGAAAGCGACCAACAACCACGCAGCCAGCCAGTCCTTCCTCCTAGGTTTTTGTTTCTTTAGGAGCAATGAGAACCACTTACGAATTACGCCAATATGCGTGATAAATTAGACCACCGCCTCGCGCAACATGGCGTTCGTCGGCGCCATTTCTTCAGCTGGGCAGGCAGGTATGCTTGAGAGCGAAGCGGTCGTCCGATGTGGCTCCGCAGGCTTCCTCTGAGCATCCGTATGGCCAGCTGCTCTGTCTACTGCGATTTTCAGCAGAGCAGGTCTCTTTTCTCCTTCCTCTGCCAGCCACCACCGGCGTGGCGCCTCTCACGTATTTAGCATTCCAGTCGGAAGCTTTTCGCCATGGTACTTTTCCGCCCAGCTTGGCTAGCATGGGCCGAGCTGGAAATCTTGAAGCAAACATCGGGAAATGTAATCGAATGGGTTTTCTTGAAAAGGAGAAAGGGCAAACCGCAAACTCAATCCACACCATGACAGAGACACCCAACCATTGGTAGTGGCCCGTCTTGGTTGACAAATACCTAAAACAGCCCAAGAAACTCCGTCTATCCCAACAAAACATCAACTACCGAGTACAAGAGCCGCTGGAAGGCAGCAAACCAAAACAAAAATTGTATACAGACCATTTCAAAAGCAAAACTCCACTCTCAAAAGACTCCCGATGATTCCCAATTATGTGCGTGCTAGCCTCCTGCTTTCCCACCATGTCCACCTATTTTCGCATCGAACATGTACAAGTTCATCGTATCATAACAATACTCTTGATATCGTCATCGTTCTCGAATTTACATCGTCAGTGTCAATAAACGTACAAGCCATGCTGGCTGCTGCTGTCGTATATCCGTTTCGTCATCGTCGTTGAGCAGCATTTCGTCATCGTAGCAGATACTCGTTTCCGGTACCTGCGTCATATGTGCATCGTATATAGTCGTCTTGCATCGCCTCCAACTCACGACTTCTCAAGCCACCTACACCATGGCCTCGATAGTTCGAATCTTTGGCTTCTCCGTGTAGCGCTGCATGCGCCTGACGCTCACACGATGCTCATCACGCCCCGCGACCACGCCGTAGAACCACACCGTTTCCTCGCGAGGATCGCGGCCGACCCCGAGGCGACCCTCCAAGTCCTGACGAGACCGGACGGAGCGGAACGCACTGTCCTGAGTGAGCTCCTTGGCGGAACACAGGCTCATGATGGCGGCGATCGACGTCACCGGGCGGGGTAGCTCGAACTGTCCGCGGCGGGGGATGGCCAGAGACAGGCACCCCACGTAGAGGAGCAGGAATGCAACCAGCACGCCAAACACTGGCATGCTGGGATACATCCTGACCTGCCCGTCTTCCCGCGCGAGCGCCATAAAGACCCCGCCGCCCAGCACCGGGATGGCCACGAGGGCCTGCGCCATGATGGACAGCAGCGCGACTCTCCAGTGGCCGTTGCGCGCTGCCCGCCACGTCACCTGAAGGGGCAGGCAGGCTGCGTAGTCGGCCAGAATGGACTTTGACGCGGTCGCGCCCTCCAGCTGGCCCAGGTCCGCCCACGGCTGGAGCCGTCTAAAGGCCATGTCGATTGGTTGGAAAAGCATCCAGAATACCATGCCAATCAGCGACGGCACAAAGGCATTTAAGAAGTTGGCCGCAGAAAAGGCATTGTTTCCCGGTCTAGCCGCCAGGAGGGGGCGGAAGCCATCGTCGATTCGGGTTTGGGGAAGAAATGATACTACCAGCAGGGCGACCACGAGAAGAGCACAAACGACCGTATACATGATCAGTGGCACAGACCGGATGCAGAATGGAAGATGGCGCTCGTAGACGCGTCGCCAGTTTCTAGGTGCCGCAGTCGCCTCAGAGTCCATGGATACCTTTGGGGCGCTGTCTCGACGCATGCCTGCGACAACCCTGGCGTCGTTGCCTCTTGCTCCTACGGCGCCGATAGAGTACCAGATACCCCCCGTAATCATGTCGCTAGATCTCCAGTACCCTAGTCTGTCAAACCATCTATCCCGAAGGTCGGTCTTGAAGTCGGCTCGCGAGCCCGAAAGGGTTTGTGGGTCAAAGCTGGCGATGGCGTTGCTGCGGTTAAGAAGTGGTAGGAGATCTCCGATGGATCGAACATCCCACGAGAATCCCGTCCACTTACCGAACCAAAACACCATGTTCAAGGCTGTGGAAATCACCAACAGACCGTACAAGGCGACAAGTGCCCAGACAACAATGGGAACAGGGGACCAAACCCAACTGTGATTCTCATAAATGCAAGTAAAGGATGCGCTCAGAAGCGGGACTGTAAAGAGCGCAAGCCAGGTCGCCAAGTCGAACAGCATGATTTGCCAAGGCCCGACCAGCTGAGGGTAGAGCAAAGACTTGGCATACAGCTCGGCAAACAGCGCCAAGTATCGTTGTTGCGGATCCTCGTCGGCGAGGGAGACGAAGGGGAGAACTCGAAGCGCAGTGTTGAGAATGCTCTGGGCGTAGATGAGGATAACAGCTCCAAGAAGCTGAGGGAGGATGCGGAAAACAAAAAACTGAGCCGTGTATAGACTTCCAGGGTACGGCGTCAACCCATCGTGTTGCGCCGAGTATTGTACACAAAATATCAACGCTGCCATCATGCATAAGCTCAGGGTCATTAAAATCATCATTGAAAATGGCCGCAATATAGACGGCTTATAGGCGAGAGGTGGATAGGTGCGGCCGTGAGGGTCGAGACTTTGTCGCATATCTTCGGTGACGGCAACCCAGTGTGCGCTTGAAGGGTCCTTGAGGCCCCAAGAATCTCCGATTGGAATGGATATAACGGGAGAGTCATTACCCTGCTGCACGGGGGCAGGCACAGGTAAGTGAGCATCTGGGCGTGGGGAGAGTCGCCGCAGAGGAGCAGCTTCCTCGGAAGCAGGCTCTGGAGCGGTGGCTGGCAAGTTGCGGGATGGAACCTCGCCAACGGTATTTGTGCGGCGTAGGTGCTTGTAATACTCTGAAGCAGATTGTGGCGAGAAGTGAGGTTGTGCCTGGGGGTCGCTGCGATCCCGCGTCAAGGCTGTCAAGGCGTACTGGATGTATGGCGTGTCGTCCACGCCAGGCGTCACTTTGCCCGCGGCGAGGGTCAGCTCGTCCTTGAGGTCAGCCATCGGCGCTGGCCCTCGCATTGCGGCAGACATAGGCAGCTGCATTTCGTCGAATCTCACGTGGGGTGAAGCTCTCCCCGGCTGCGTCGCGCGACGTGAGAGAAGGCGCGTGAATATCTGGCTGCGGTCGGGGCCGTACAGCTCAGGAGATGAGGAGAGAGTGGAGGGGGGCGGAATGTTGCGGCGACTCAAGGTCGGTTGCGGCGACAAGGAATGCGGAGAGCGTGTGTTTGGTGAGTTATGACTTTGATCCAAGCGATCGTGCATAGTCGAATCGGAGTCCCGTCTTAGGTGGCTCAAGCTATCGTCGTCGGGCACCTGCGATGACCAAGGACCTAACACACACAACCTCAATCAGCACTCAGCTGCCTCCGTCGAACGGATGATGAAATGTGAAGCCAAGAATGAGGAAGGGCTCACATACGAGGAGCTGCGACGTTGTCAGCAGAGTTATTGAAGATATTCATGGCGGTAGAGATGCATTCCACTGCAGGCGCGCCTCCACTTGGACGGACGAACCAATTACTGGCAAAGGAGTATATGCAGGAAGAGCATGCAGGGCAACATCATGCATGCAGCAGCGCAGCTGGACTGATCTATCAACATTTTTTTAACCAAGAGGTTGGGTAGCTGGACAAAGAGCACTCTCTTCCTTGCTTTTGCCCTGACAAGAAGGCTGGAAGGGTGAAGCCAGCCACCAGACGGCCCCACCCGGGACCGGGGATCTCGGGCGGATCTGACAAGGGTGAAGGGGGAGTGGGTATCGGGATTGTTGCGGACAAGAATAGAACGAATTTTGACTCACGATGGAAACCGCTCCGAGGAATGATGGGTTATGAATGAGAGAACGAAAAACTATCGTGAAAGACGCAAACGACATTTACTATGGTGGTGTTGGGCAGCATGTACCGGGTGCCAGCTGCGAAGCGGTCAGGCTCGCCCGTTTGCCAGCTGGCAAGGCGAAACGGTAGACACGCTAGTCCCGATTGGGCAAATATTGGTGGCGGGTGGTAACCGAGGCTGAGCTCCCATCCCCTTGTGGCTGGTGGCTGGGAAGTTCGTGTTAGAGGTAGCGACAGGGCTCCCCTGTTCGGTGAGAAAACGAGAAAAACTCGAACGTTGGAGACGAGCAAGAAGAAGGAAAAATATTATTAATGTAGAGGCTGGTCCGTCTGATTTCTCTCCTTTTGTTACCAAGTTTGGCCCCCTTGTCTGTTTGCTCGCGAGCTTAGTGCTGAAACCAACTCTAACTTGATGCGCCGAGCGCTGCGACGGCGCTTTGGGTGCCTAACCAACTTAGAGGTGGCAATCCGGCGAGAAAATTCAACCTTGCTTTTGAGGGTTGAAACGAGACTTCCATACATTCTTACGGCGATACAAGACACGGAATCACTACGAGAAGATGCGTCACTACTAGCGCTAATAAGGCAAGGGGTTGGTTACCGCGCATGCACGGAGTAGTCTGAGAAGAGAAAGAGGGGGATTGAAAAGAAAAAGACAAGATTTTTAAGGTAGGCCCCAGAAGCCATAGGATATCTTGTTCGTTACGATACAACCAATTTGGTCTGGAATATAGATTCCTCAACTGCGACCCGCAATGTTCAGTTCAACGGGAACGTCTTTTACCACTCACTTCAAGATGCTGCGACTGCGACCCAAGTTGATCAAAGTCGTGAAGTCGGTATTTTCTAAACTCAAAAGGCTGAATAATAACCTGAAGAAAGTTGTCCTTGTGAAACAGCTTTCCCAGCCAAGCCGTCTCGGACCAGCCACCGTTTGTGAGCACGCCTGCCGCTCTCGGGCCTAAATCCTCACCAGCAAATTCTCCTCCCTAAACTCCTTGCTCGTGACACGCCACTTGTTCGACGTTATCAGCTGCAGTTCTCTCTTCCTGCTGCTGTACGCGCAGTAGCAGAGGTCCTTGCGAGCTGGCCTGAACGTGCACACGCACGACCTTGGCAACACGTGCCTCACCCTCTCCAGCAGGATGTAATCTCGGTCGACCATCTCGCCAAGCTCGCTGTCCGCATCGCCGCCGGAAGCATCGTCATCTCCGGCTGACGCCTGCGGCCAGGTGAGCAGCACCTCGTTCCACGCCACGCCCTTGGTGTCGCTGGTGATGGCGGACAGCAGATCGTAGACCTGTCCCAGCCGGACGCCGCCCGCCACCGTCACGGCCTCGACCTCGGCGTCCGGCTCGCGGCGGTAGCGCAGCTCGTGGACGGGCGGGTGATACATCTGCATGTTTCGCCAGCTCGCGCCGACGCGGGCGTACGCGGTGTGCACGACCCTCCCGGGGCCGGTGGCCGCGATGGGCAGATCGATCAGCGAACGCCGCTGGGAGTGGTAGGAACCGGTGAGCCACAGTCCGATCTCCAGCTGTGCCTCCCCGACGTTGAGAATTTTGCCAAAGTGATCGAGTAGCAGTGGATTGAGTTGTCTGGGACCAAGCTGCTTGCTGAGGGATTGCGGGACGCCGTCCAGCCGGGGCTGCAAAAGTCTCCGGGCAATTGCCCTCCAACCCTGACATACGCGTTGGAACTTGAAAAGTAATGTAGTTTCTGGAATCTCGTGAAGTATCGTCTCGGTGAGATTTTCGATCGCAAACACCTTGGCCCCAGCCGCAGAGGGGGTGCAGCGAACAGCCGGCGCAGCCTCAGCCTCTCGCTCTTCCGTACCTCGACAGCGACTTGCTCTCTTGGTTTTGGGCATTTCAAGTGTCGACTTGGGCTTGAGACTGCATGTGGAGGAAACTGGAAGTTTGATTCACTTCACCAGCAAGAAGGTCTTTATAAGACCCTCGCAGCGGCGATGAGTCACAGCGGATGAGAGTCAGCCTGATTTGCAACGGCCAGCGCTGCACTGACTATTAATAGATAGCAATGTAATTCATATAGTACCAACAGTCTACGGTATTCTTTTGCCCCCTTTCACTCGCACCAAAGTTCAATTTTGGTCGCCGGTGATGTCAGTCAAGCCTCCCCCATACGAAGTTGCCAGCCCACACCCGAAAGGCAAACACAAGGGTTGAAAATATACAATCCGCTCCTCTCAAAAGAAAACACCCTAGTTAGACGTGGTAGCGTTGCCTCCGTAGACGGCGTTGTTGCCCGGAAGCTTCCGGAGGCGGCCGTTCAGACCAACGTCTTCCGTGGGGGGGTCTCTCTCGGGCTTCTGGAACGACGTCTTTCCGGCGCCGTTGGGGCCTACATACAGACTGCAGTCCGGGCTGTTGGTACCCTGCTTGCCGGTACAGGTCTTCATGGCGCGTTCGAGCCTGTCCTGGTCCTCCCAGCCCTGCAGGTAATCCGCGTGGAGGCCGTAGCCGGTTGTGTCGCCGTTGGCGTAGACCCAGCGGCGGAAGGCGCTGCCCTGGATCTGGCGCGTGTTGTAGTAGAACTCAGTAAAGACGGAGACTATGGCGACGGGATGGGATTCAGGGCAGACACCGCCGTTGTAGTCACCAATGCTGGGGAAGGACACCTGTGTCTGTGTTAGCGGCGCAAGCTTCGTCCAACGCTCTCGTCAATCCCTCGAATTTCCCAGTACTTACGTGGCTCTTGTGATCAGGGGAGTCAAGGTTATTTCCATCCCAGCAGGAGGGGAAGAAGACTTGCGCCCGCATCTCGTTGCAGAGCTTCTGCGGGAGCTCAACGTAGTCTTTGCCAGGGTCAAGGCAGACGTGGCTCACGGCACGGTTGGTATAGTCACTGTGATCGTACGTTCTATCACATCGTTAGTTTTGATTAACTTCAGCCCCAGCGACTTTTGTACTCACCTTCTCAGCGTGTCGCCCGAGAGCATGCGAAGGCCCTCTGGCGGTGCAATGGCGCCCGGGGTGCCTCTGCAGTTTCTGCGGCCCGGCTGATAGTCACAAGTACGATCAATGTAATACGCAGCCTTTCCAATAGAGTCAGTACACCGTCCACAGAGATCGGAAATCGACACTCACAATTCCGAGTAGCTTGATCAGCTCGAAGCTGTCGTCGTGGTGCTGGTGGTACAGCTGCGGCTGCCAGTAGTTGCTCTTGTCCAAAGCCTTGTCGCAAGTAGTATTGTGTGCATTTCGTGCGTCCTCGTTGGACATTGACATGTAGTAGCCGGTGCCCCCGACGACGGCGTGGACATGGCTACTCAGTTCGCCTGGTTGGATGATTGGATCGGTGCGCTGCACCGTCAATTGCTTGCAGTGCACGATGAAGAGCCCGCCCTGGGCAGCAGCCAGAGTCGCAGCGAAGGGCAGAGTCATAAGATGTTTTGCAATCATTTTGAAGCGTCTTGATCTGGGCAGTGAAGAGTTGTGCTCAAGTGTTGGCGTATTTCTTGTTGAGAGGCTAAGAAACTTCGACTCTCGTTTGCAGTGAGTGTTTGATCCAAACGGCGACATCAGCACCAAGCACAGGATCATACTAGCACCATTATATATACTTTTATGGTTCAAGAACAACTCAACTAGGCTCTCCAGTGGCTTCCTAGGATTCTGTACGTTGCAACGGCGGAGTAGCCTGGATTGTTGAAAGCTTCGGAACCCGCCGTGAGGAATGGACCCGCGTGGGTTGTGACAACGTCCATGTTCGTCTCTTGCCTTCAATAACTGACAGCCTTACTCCAGGGAGAGTATTGTCCGGATCCTTTGACAAGATCGATGAGTTCGTGACCCAAAACGGTCGGCCACGCCGAGGCTGACTAGCGGACGTTGCTTCAACCGCCCGCAGGAGGTCGTTCGTCTCGGCCTTTGTGACATCTGACTAGTCGAAGGATGTTATATCTTAAAAAAAAGAAAAGAAAAGTCACCGTTTGACCAGCAGGGTTGTCATAATTCCGCCCCTCCTCTATACCGGTCCACATGCCATGTTACTGAAAAGACTCCTTGCACGTTTGGCCGCTCTGGTTGGATGATGAAGGAGAACAACTACACTCTAGTCATCATTTATTTCCGACTAGTTGTTGATCCGGTCGCGTGCCGGGCCAAAGTATAACGGGAAACAAGGCTTGGCTTGCCGCCAGACGAAATGCGGCCGTCCCTGGCCTCCCTTGGCAAGTAGCCTTGAACTTTAATTCTAACTAGGTAGGTGCTTGGGCCTCATGGCGGCAGAGAAGTCCACTATCATTTTTATCAATATTCCGAGGACTTTTGATCAAATAGAGTTCCCAGCGGGGCGATGTTCGTGGGATGCGGAAGTCTCGGGCGGATGGCCACATCTGTCCCCCATCATATACTAACTTCTGGGCTTCCATTCGTCGAATTCGTAGCGTTGAGGCTTGCTTCCTTGATCCTTTGAGGGTGACAAGCGGCCGACTAGCCACCGAGTATGCCTCTCAGCTCCTAATTTTCCGATAGAGAGTGTACCTCGCAGAATGCATGACGATCTTGACACCGGCAATGCAATTAACCCTTCTTGAATTCGGTATCAGTTGACTCTTTCTTCTCTTTGCATGTGGCGGTTTTCGCGATCGATCGAGACAACGTTGCTTATCAAGGTTGTGGAATCTGTCAGCCAATATATCAAAATCTGTGGAATGTGACAGCCAATATGCCCCAGTACCACGAGCCTTCCCTCGAAGCCTTCGAGTCAATCGCCACGTGCCTATCAATGAGGCACTTTATACGACAGGTCAAAAGCCGCAACGGGTAAGCTCATATGTCTCGGCCAAATTGTAACAGCAACCAAGACACGGGATGTTAGTCTGGTCTGCCCAAAGGCACTGCAGCTGATGATAGGGAAGCCAATCAAGGCCGACCTGACGACATCTCTAGCAGCAAACCTTGCTCAGCCGGGTTTAAATTTCTCTTTTGAAAGATTTATTCATTGAAGAAGTTACTATCATGCTATTGAAAGGTGTCTTTATTACAAATTACGTGGACTTGAGCCGCGGCCGGAGACCAAGCCGGGCTGAGAGGGTGTGCGCAAGTCTGAGTGGTGATCATCTGCATGGGAGATCATCTGCATGAGAAAAACGACGCTACAACGGCACAGTCTGCACGCTAAAGATATCGTTTCGCCACCCGTCCCGTCTGTACTCGTGAATGTTTTGCTGGGCGTCCTCCGCCTCCTGCTCCCACAGCCTCACCAAGCTGCCTGGCGCGTACCGCCCTCTGAAGACGCCGTCCCGCCCGGGCTTCACGCCCACCCTCGCCGAGACGTCCGGGTTGTCCTCCAGCCTGAACCGCGCCGCCACCGCCTTCACAAACGTCCAGAGGCTGTCCGGGCTGCACACGCGCGCCGCCCGCAGCCGCTCGCGCGCAAACACCAGCTCCCTGTTGAGCGCCCGGACGCCGTCGCCGATGGCCGACTTTATGGCCGACTCGAGCGCCTTGCGGAGGATCGGCCGCAGGAGCAGCTTGAGAAACCATGCCAGGCAGGTGAATTTGGACTTGCGCAGCTTGTAGTCGAGGTGGTGGATCTTGACGCGGGCGGAGCGCAGCACCACCAGCTCCTCGATGCGGTCGCGGCCGACCTCGAGCTCCACGTGGATGTCGATGCCGCGCTCGTCGAGGTGGAAGCCGGCGAGGCCCTCGTCCACGAAGCGTAGGAGGCCCGAGTGCACGCGCATCCAGTAGCCCAGGTCGTCGGCGGCGAGTGAGATGCCGGCGAGCTTGATGTTGAGCAGGTTGGTTGTAGAAGAGGCGGTTCCAAGGCGGTGCTTGGTGACGTCAAGTTGGTTTGTAGTAGTGAGGTGAGCATTGTATGGTAGGAACGAGCTGTGGTTGACTGTTTTTCCGGGCTGCAAGATGAGGTTCTCCAGGAGGAGGTCGACTGTCGGAGTGGCGACCTCGAGCCGCGGAATGGGCAGATGCTGCACTGCCTGCACCAGTAACGGCAGGAATATATTTCCAAAGTCTGTGAATAGTTCCGAGTTGCCGTGCAGACTTGTCGGGAATAAAATCTCAGCAAGACGCCATGATGAGGAAACCAACTTTTGCACGGCTGGGTCGTGAATGGCGGAATGGACCGCCGACTGCGTGGTATTGATCAAATGGGAAATATCGTCGCCCAGAGAAGAGTCATTTGTCAGTTCTCTTGTCTTTTCCTTCATCTCTTGCTTCTTTTCTCCAAAATTCTCTAGGAACTCCGGGTCGGATAGCATTTTCTGTACCATTGTGATGAGCTCCTGAGCAAGTTGCTCAGCATTCTCTCTGTTTTCGCGATTCTTGTCGGTAAACTCGCGAAACGAGGTCGCAACATTATCCCAGAGACTCTTGTCGCCAAACGAAGAGATGAAACCCCAGAAATTTGTAGCTGCCTCTTTTGCTTGCCGGTTCAACTCGATGTTCTCTTCCACCTCCTCGGCCGCTTCTCCCGCGGCAGATAGATAAATGGTGGCACAGCGTTGCAAAAGTTCAGCCAATTGCGACACAGCCTCGGAGTAGTCCTTTTTCTGTCGAAGGCCACGAACGGCCGCTTTTAAGCGATTGATCAAAATCTTCTGCGTCTCCTCGCCCATGTGGTCCTGTAGGCTTGTATACACCTCCTCGGAGACTTGCGCCGCATCGTCCTTGATCTCATCCTTGACCTGGGCGGCTTTCTGCTTCAGGTCTTCCTTGGAAAACTCCTCCTCGGCCTTTTTGTCGCTGGCTTTCAAGGCAGCCAGGTCGCCGGATCCTTTTGCAGCTGCAGAGTCGAGCTGCTTGCCAGCCTCGTTGGAAGCCTGGCCAATGGCGAAAGCACCATCCCGAAGTACTTGTGTGGTGATGGTCCCGACATCAGCTACCAAAACGCGGAAGTCGTTGTTCAAGAGGGCAAGTGAAAAGACCGTTCGTAGAGCCTGTGCTGCGGCTGAGGCCTTGGCGTGCGCCGTCCCCTTCTTAAAAATACTGCCAGCGCCGTTGGAGTCGACTTGGACCCTTGCGCTCGCGAGATACCAGATAAAATCCTGGATTTGATCCTGTGAATTCTTTTGCTCCAGAAGCCCAATGAAGAGACGCAGCCACTCCTTGGTGGTGCGGACCAGCGCACGACCGGAGCTGGACAGGCCGCCCGTTTCCGAGGGGTTGAGAATCTGCGATGAAAGAAGAGTTCTCAATTGTATTTTTGTCTGCTCTGTGGATGGCATGAATCCTTTAGAGATGGCACGCAGCATCTGGTATGTGTGCAGCTTTTCATGCAGCCGCGCTTCTCTCGCGGTGTCATCGTTGTAGCGCGGCAGCAGTGGCTCGCGTTCTTCTTCATCGCCATCGCGTCCAAAGCAAGAGAGCATTGTAAGAGAAATCTTCCGTGGTGCTTTGGATGTTTCTGAAGGAGAAAAGAGTCTCAATCTCGTCACATTTCGGAAGGAGGGCGATGCTTTTGTTTTATTGTTGTGGGAGCAGCGCGGTGGTGAGAACAGAGTGACGTAGATGATTACGGTGAATTGCAGCCGGGCGGCGCCCGTATCACCCAATTAGCTTAACATGAAACGGTTTCCAAAACAGGAAACTTGGAAATGAAAATATTTTTATGATTTCATAAACTAGCACTGCTTGTAACTGAATTTACAATTGTCTTATTGTCACTATTGATTTTCTTTCAACTCCTAAAACTTAGGTGTAGGGTGCTTTGCATCAAAGCCAAGTCGGTGACTTGGCCGAGATTATGTATGTGACTAGCTTCATCTACCGTATAAAACGCAATATGAGGACTTGGACTTTGACCTAAGAAGAAATTTTGAGAAATTTTAGCCTTGCTCTAGTCCGATGCCCTGAATCTAGACTACGTATCGGAATATGGAATCAATCTTCCCTCCGCTGGTGAGCAATGAATTTTACACAATTTGACAGACTATTTGAACTTCGAATTTTGACCAGGATTACCAAGATCCCCGTCATCAGGAAAAGTGGAGATGCCGGCCATTGAAGTCCCGTTATTGGTGGGCTTTTGTCCATGTCGATTACCGGCAGCTTAAGAATCATTATGTAACGCCGCTAGTCCAAAAACGGTCTCATACTGGTGATGCACCAAGAGGTTATTAATACTCGACACTACCCTAGAATATCTAATCCATCGCAAATAGTTGGGTAATTGACATCTACCAATATTTTCTCAACTATTCCATCTCAAAACTTTTCGTCTATATATGCCGCGCTTCATCCCCAGCTCTGCAATTTTGATTGCTCTTCTTTCCACACTCATCATCATCTTCAACCCTGCAGCTCTTTCTTACCTGAAGCAACTCACCTCTCTAATCTCACCAAAAACGACCAGCTCTTTCACCACAACAACCCCAACCATCGCCTCGCAAAGTCCCATGCTCAAGTCTGCCAGCAACATGTCCAAGTCCGTCCTTCGCCAGGCCAAGATCACGCCGCACCGCTCCGGCACCCGCGGCCACTCGGACCATGGCTGGCTCAACACCTACCACAGCTTCTCCTTCGCCGACTGGTACGACCCGCGCTTCTCGCACTTTGGCTCGCTGCGCGTACTCAACGAAGACCGCGTCAAGGCCAACTCGGGCTTCCCGACGCACCCGCACCGCGACTTTGAAATCTTCAGCTACATCCTCTCCGGCGAGCTCACCCACCGCGACTCCATGCTCGCCAAGGGCAGCGAGGGCGCGCAGTCGGACAAGTTCTACCGCATGCACCGCGGCGACGTGCAATTTACCACCGGCGGCACGGGAATAGCGCACTCCGAGTTTAACGAGCACGCAAAGGATACGGTGCACTTCTTGCAGATCTGGGCGACCCCGTGGAGGAAGGGCCTGGCCCCGCGGTACCACACCCGCACTTTTGACGAGGCGGCCAAGAGGGAGGGCTTCATCACTATACTCAGCCCGCTAAAGGGCGGGCCGGATGCCACGGCGCAGCAGGAGAAGGACGCGGAGCCGGAGGTGGCGGGGTCCATCCCGATACACGCCGACTTCGCCATGGGCGCGGGCATCATCACGCCGGAGAGGACGTTTGAGTGGGTGGTGGGCGCCAAGGCGACCGAGGCGAACAAGAGAAAGGTCTACGTACACCTGCCGATGACGCAAAACGGCAAGGCCAAGATTCGCATCGATGGCCGCGAGGATGCTGAGCTTGTTGAGGGTGATGGCGCCTTTGTTGAAGGTGTCCACGCTGGCGACAAGCTTGCGATTGAGAGCATCGGCTCCGCAGATGCGGAAGTAATTGTTTTGGATACCGCATAAGAGATTTTGTAACTTTGGCTTGTATTTTTTGCATTTAGCAAAGTCGGCGCAGCACCTCAGTTGATGTTAGATAGAATGAAGATACATGAATGATATACCCAAGTTTGCACCCTCAAATCGACAACACGTAGCGAAAGTGCTGATTCTGAATACCCGTCAAATCCTCATTGAGGAATTGAGCATGCCAGTCAGTTTTGATTCGACTGGAGATTTCCAGCCTCAGTGCCACCAGTTATAATCGCGATGACAATGGCGCTGCCAACCCCTCACACGATAAGTTTCTGTCAGGCGCCTCGCCTCAGTTAAGCGACATACATAGACCAGCTTCTCGGCCATGGATTTACTTTGCCCGAGTTCTTTCTAAACTTAGTAGTACCCGGGCGGCAATCGCGGCAACCACTGATGCGGTGTATTACTAGCCCCTTGCAGTTTAGTGAGACTGCGCCGCATGCAGTTGAGTGAGATTGCGCCGCATGCAGTTGAGTGAGACTGCGCCCCTTCGGTGAGGCCGAAGATCTCGTCAAGATCAGCCATCCCCTTCTCAGCTCTTCGGCCTATACATAACGATACGACGCCGCTGTGAGACGTGATCTCCCATTCTCACCAAGAGAAAATACGCTACGCATATGAACATGAAACTCTTGACCGGCATGATATTCCTACTCGCCACTGGTGCAGCTGCGCTTGCATCGGTCGGCTCTTGCGCCGCTGTCCGCCGAGACGGAGCATCGAACATCACCATCACTAGCAATAAAGTGACCAGATCTTTCCTACTCTGGGTGTCTCCCACGTACAGCTCCAAGACTCCGGCGTCCGTGATCCTCTCATTCCACGGAGGCAGCCGAGATGCCAAGGATCAGCTCGAACTAGACGGCTTCACCACCGCGAGTGCCAACGCCGCCTCAATCGTGGCATACCCGCAAGGCATCGACGTGAGTTGCGCGACCCCTCTCCCCAGCGCCATGCCGCCCGCTAACCGGATAACAAGGACGTTTGGCAGGGCGTGCCGGGGGTGACCGTGGATGACGTGAAATTCACCCACGACATCCTCGACTACCTGAAGGGCAAATACAGCATCGACAAGACGCGCATCTACGCGTCCGGAAAGTCCGACGGCGGTGGCTTCTGCAACGTGCTGGCCTGCGACGACGGCGCCTCCAAGCGCATCGCCGCCTTCGCGCCCGTCTCCGGCGCCTTCTACGTCGACGCGTCGCCGTGCCACCCGGACACGGTCAAGCTGCCCTGCAGCCCGGGCCGCAAGGACATCCCGCTGATGGAGTTTCACGGCGGAAACGACACGACGATACGCTACGAGGGCGGGACGCGCAGGGGGGAGTGCCTCCCCGCCATCCCGCACTTTGTCCAGCAGTGGGCTGCGAGGGACGGGCTCGGGCTGCAGAACAAGACAAGCAAGGTCGCGAATAATACGGAGATGTATACGTACGGGAGTGGCGCGAGGGCTGGGTTGGTGAAGCACGTCTTTGAGTCTGACATTGGGCATGACTGGCCGAGCACGGCCCCGAACCACGACAACTCGAGGGATGGCCACCATGTGGCGAGTTACAATGCGACGCCAATGATTTTGGAGTTCTTCAGCCAGCATAGGTTGCCCGCGTGATTTTGGAACGCTCAATAATTTTATGTACTTCAGTTTATCGTGAATGCAATGTGCTGTGCCGTGTCTCGGATGCCAGAAGCCGTTGACCGCAACACGTCATCATGTAAGCGCCACTGTGTAAGCTGGTTGATCTGCATATAGATCACTGCCGAGGCTCATTTTTGCCGGATTGTGGACGGCAAATCAAGCTCGGGTCCTCGACAACCTGCCGTGCTACCGGCCGCGTTCGTCAAACTGCATTTCATGGTGACGGGCCGCAGCGGCGACGATGGCCACGCCCGCTGGTCAGGCTTGTGCGCCAAAGCGACTGCCGGGTTGCGCACGGGTTCCCGCCGGAACTGCCGGTGCTGCTGCGTATTGTGCGGCACACACGGCCGCGTGAGTGGAGAGGAGGAGGAGGAGGAGGAGGAGGAGCGGATGAGACACAGAGCTGTGTGCAAAACAACACTAGACACAGCTGCACAAAGGAGATGATGTCAAGAATCGCGGACCAAATAGGCGAGTGATGATGAGTGGGCAGGGTAGAAATGAGCTCATAGTGACAGAGTCGGAATATATGCTTTCCAGAGGGTCTTCTGCGGGGTGAAGTGTCTTGGCTGCTACGCTTATCAAGATCTTAGCAAGATCTTAGCAAGATCTTAGCAACGGCTAGTCACGCCGGCTTTGTAAAGCCGACGATCTCATTTGCCTGTCTATTTAAATCCGACCATCGTCTGGGCTCTCGCTATTCCTTTTCTTGCGGTAGACAGATTCTCCCATTTCCCAAAACTTGTTCCTATATCGGCACCATGGCCTCACCCGCGCTTCCTATGCCAGAGCTTCTGGACCTCACCGTCGACAACATCACACCCAACACCATCCTCGTCAACTCCCAGTGCGCCAACGCGCGCCTGCGATACCTCATGCAGCGGCTCGTCACGCACCTGCACGACTTCGCGCGCGAGACGCGCCTCAGCACCTCCGAGTGGACCGCCGCCGTCGCCTTCCTCACCGCCACCGGCCAAGCCTGCACCGAGCTGCGCCAGGAGTTCGTGCTGCTGTCCGACGTGCTCGGGCTGTCGCTGCTCGTCGACGCCGTGAACCACCCGAAGCCCGCGCCGTGCACCGAGGGTTCCGTGCTGGGCCCGTTCCACACGCACGACGCGCCGGTCGTCGCCGCGGGCGGGAGCATCTCGGCGGACCCGGCGGGGGAGCCGCTGCTGGTGCTGTGCACGGTGAGGGATCGTGAGGGCAGGTCGCTGGCGGACGTCAAGGTGGATGTCTGGGAGACAGACGCGTCGGGCAGGTACGACGTCCAGCACGAGGACCGTGGGGCGCCGAGCGAGCGCGCGGTGCTGCGGAGTGGCGAGGACGGCAGGTTTTGGTTCACGGGCATCACGCCGGTGAGCTACCCGATCCCGACGGACGGACCGGTGGGAAAGCTACTGCAGAAGCTGGGAAGGCACCCGTGGCGGCCGGCGCACATGCACTTTATGCTGGAAAAGCCGGGCTGGGATCACCTCATCACGTAAGTGCGTCACGTTTCTGGATTGATTAAGAAGCTCACGCCGAGCAGCGCTGTATATGTTCGTGGCGATCCGTATGAAACGTCGGATGCAGTATTCGGTGTTAAGAAGAGCCTCATTGTGGACTTGGAGCCTATTGACGAGGCCACGGCGGCGCAGTACGGTGTCAAGTGTGAAGGCAAAGTGCTGAGGCAGGACTTTGTGCTCGCAAGCGAAAAGGAGACAGCTGAGCTGCGTGACAAGAATGCCATCGAAGCCTTGAAGCGCCTTGGGTTGAACATGAAGCTCGTCGATCATCTTCCTGTACCTGACCTAGATTGAGTCTTGGATAGATCGAAGATTTCTCAGTGGGATCTCGGGCCTGTTTTGACCAGCTTGGCAATGCTGGCATAATACCCCTCCACGCCGCCGTATTTCGCCAATATGCCTGCAATGTCCACGTCCTTCGTCTCCTTTGTCCGCCTGCGTCCCAGCAGGCCCGTGTTCCTCGTGCTCGGTATCCGCAACATCTCCGTCTCGACCTGCCAGCCGCAGTCCTCCGCGATGCGCGCCACCCAATCCACCAGGGACGCGTACGTCGACTTGGACTTGCTCCTGTCGCGCGGCGGCGGCGCCCGGAACCGCGCGCCCGCCAGGTCGTGGCTGCAGCACGGGATCGAGATCCACGGGCAGTCGGAGAGCGCGCCCAGGATCGGCGTCCACGGCGTCAGCTCGTCCGCGTGGTTGGAGATGATGAATGTGCCCCGCGGGAACAGCCCGTCGTGGACGAGGCCGTCGTCGATCGGCGTCTCGCCCTCGGGCCGGGGCACGACGCTCGGCATGAGGCAACGCTCGGCAAGCGAGGACCCCGTCGGCGAGGCCTCGCTCGGCGTGGTGCTGTACTGCGCCCAGGACTTGCGCGCCCGCGCGTCGAAGCCCCAGCCGCGGTAGCCCTCCTGGTTCAGGATGTGCACCAGCAAGCCGTTCCCACAGCCAATGTCCACGAACCCCGGGAACCCTCCTTCCCCCGGGCCGGCCTCGCTTTCCGCACCGTACATGTCCGCCCACAGCTCGATCAGGAACGCGGCGATGCCGAGATCCTCAAACACGTGCTTCGCCGGGTCGGTGCTCTCCGCCCACGCGCCCATGAGGGCGCGCGCGTGCCGCCGCTTGAGCGCCGCGAAGCGGTCCTGGAACCGCTTCTGCGGGACCACGGCGTCGTGGTGCACGCGCTTGGCGTAGCCGCGCAGCGAGCCCTGCCCGTGCTTGTGCAGCCGCTCGAGGAGGTGGTAGCCGACGCGGCGCAGCTTGGCGTCCGCGAGCGGCAGGTCGGCCGCGAACGGCTCAAAGTGCACCGAGATGAAGCCCTGGCCGGCAGCGGCGTCCCATTCGTGGAGATGCGCGATGGCGCGCACACGTGGGTGATAGAAGGGCATCGCCTCGGCGGAGGTGGCGTGCGGGACGTAGAGCACCAGTGTCGATGTTGTTCGGTGACCGGCAGCTGTGTCATCTTGCGGTGGGATGGTTTGGTGAAATTCGCAAGTCTGGTTCATGGGCGCATCGCGCACCTCGTTTCGTGGGATCAGCCTCCGAACCATGGTTCTCGTTCTCGTCATCCCCGCGACGACCCGGCGTTCTGGCCAGCTCGCGTCGAAACCGCCGACACTTGCCGGCGCCTTGTTATCTTCTGCCGCATTTTCATCCTCCTGTCTGTCGTCAAAGAGAATATCTCCGCGGAACAGCCAAGATGTGTTGAGGTTTGGGTTTCGGATAAAAGTGAGCATGCGCTCGGCGAAAATTTGCGGCCCAAAAGTGCAGCCCTGGCGATACAGAGGCTCCCAGTGCGGAGGCTTCCTTTCAGGACTGCAGATCTCATGAAGTATAGGACTGGCTCCTGGCTTAAACTCATCTGGATCGTAAGACATGATGAGTTGCCCACGGCCGCTCGGAAAATGTTGTGTGAAGAAGGTTGATTTCAAGCCTCAGTCTGCTCCTGGGTCGAGTAGTGGGGCACACGGTTCGAAATGGCCACGCTGCGCAACATACGTAGGAAGATACCTATTCAACCAGATATGGTATTCTTTGCATTTGTGCAACTAAGTTTTATTTATCATTGATTTGAATATGCATCTGCCCAATTTCATCATACTCTGGCAGGAAATCGGCCCATACATCATCCACCCTGCGCAAAGATTGAAGCGCACTGCGCCCAGTCCAATAGAAATGCAAATGAAATTGAAGAAATCCAAGCCAGTCTCGCCCTTCATAGTTGCTGGTATATGCTTCCAGGTTTTCCAAATCCAAATGCAAAGGTATCATCATCCAGTCGTTTCGTTAGCCATGCATTTACTCTTCCTCGTCCTCCTCAATCGGAGCCGGTGTCCGCCGCTCTGTTCGCCTCTTCGGCCGCCGGTGACGTGAGCTGCTGATGTTGCTTGCTGAGTCATCCGGCATAATATCGTACTCCTCAAACCAGTCGTCATCGCTAGGTGCCTCTCCCTCACTGCTGGGTGCCCAGGTTTGCCGCTCCTGTCCAATGCCCGGTGTGGGGGTTTGTGCGGGCAAGACGTCCACTCTTCGCCGACTTTGCAAGCTCTGCATCAGCCCAGCACCGCGTTGACGTAATGCTGTACGAACTAGTTCTGCCTGGTGATGAAGCTTTTCAAAAGCGTCTTCCAGACTCTCCATTCCTTGGTAAATGTCACGTTCCATCTCGGCAATGGCAAGCATCTCCATCTCCTCATCGTTTGACACTGCCTGTCTACCGCTCGGCCCGACGGAGCTCGTGCTAATGAAAGATGCGGGGGTTGTTCCTCGAGAAAATGGCGTCGGTCCGCGCAAACTCATAGCGGAGGAGCTGCGAGGGCCAGGGCTCATCGTGCTGCGACTGCCAAAGTATCCATGCGATGGTGTCTGCGACCTGGACTCCAGCCCAGGAGTTCCAAACTGGTCATCAACCTCGGCGCCTGACCATAGGAACCCGTCAAATCGACCAGATGTCAGAATTTCCCATTCCGAATTGTTAATGTTGGATAGAGTCACTAGCAGATCATGGGTATGCGGGTTTTTGATCAGATAGGTGACGCTTTCGGCGTCGCGAGGAGCTTGCTGTAGTCGATATAAACGTTGAAGTGAGAGACCAGTTTTGATTACAAAGTCATTTCGTTGACGGAGCATCGGCGTCGGCGCTCGCATGGCAGGCTTGAGCTCGCGGGTACCGGACAGGAGCGCGTTGAAGTACGGGCGATCATCATCGTCCAGGTTAGTCAGAATCGCAAATGCAAGGGTCTCGTCATCGACTTCCTGGGGCGGAGGGATCGGCGTCTCTGGTGTGCTGTTCAACCATTTGTCGACGGCCGATCTGACTTTCTTGGTTTGGCGAAGGTAGTGCTCTCTGAACTCCTCTGCAATATCCGGATCCAATTTAATCGGTGAGGAAGGGCGCCTCGGCTCTTCAGCTGATATTTCAGCAGCCTTGGCTCCCATCTCGGCTAGATCGAAGGGAGGCCACTGAGGCAATTCGATGCGTCCACTTACCCACTCCAATACGTCGCCCCATGTTAGTCCGCGATGCATGTCGGCGGAGCGGTCGCACATTATGCATGCGCATCCGTGGGGTGGCAGGTCGCGTGAGAAGATATTTTCTAGCCGGTCGAGCAGTCGCCTCGCAACGGAGCGATGCCCTGTGGCAACGGCGACGGATCCTTGCTTGTCCATGACTGTATTATACTGATCAAGCAAGTTGAAGAAGGGCGCAAAGAGCGTATCGCAACCGGATAGCGGTGGGCCGGTAACACGGGCACCATTTTGAATAGGCAGGACAGACAGGAAATGTCGCGATACTGGATTTGATAGTCCACCATTTTGCAGTAGATAGTCGACTCGTGGAATGTCGTGAAGATCCATCATGGGCGGGGGTGGTGGAGGCGGTGGCGGGGCCGGGGCAGACACAGGCGTGGCCGTCTTTGAAGGTATTGTCGAGTTAGGCCCGTCGGGGCCAGGGTGGTCGTAAAAGGGTGTCGTGAATTGGGGACCTTGCGTGGGAGTTCTTGGGGACGAGTCCTGCACACTCGACGGTGAAGAGTGGCCATCGCGACCTTCCGACCTTCGCACACTGCGTGTCGAGCCCGACCGATGTGGTGAATGGCGAGATGACGAGCTCGAGAGTCTTGATTCGGAGATTCTGAGCTTCTCGTGTGATTTGTGGTCTGCCGGTTTGATGTACGTTGCTTGGCTCGAAGAGGCGGAGCGGCGACTAACCCTCGAGCCTTCATCATTCCGCAACGCAGATCTGGATACGCTCGAGGCAGTGGGCTTGTCTTTTCTCCTCTCTCGATCTTTGCTATGGGTTGAGCTCTTTTTGGATTCATACGACTTGCGTTTGTCGGCGGATAAGTCTGTCTCGGGGGGAGTGGGCGGTCTAGATGTCTTTTTTGATGTTGAGCCCTTGTGGCTCCCGTCCTCGGATTTGCGTCGGCGATCGTCGTCGCACATGTCGGTCGGCTCTGGTGTAGGAATACGTGAATCTCTAGAGTGCGACAGGTCATCTCTGCTCATGACCGCCTCCTTGCTATGTGCCTTGCTGAAAGAGGGGTACGGCAACGACACTCGTTTGCCGTCGATGAGCGGGGCGGTTGGGACCGACAAGGGAGCTGAGCGGCCGCCAACATCGCTGAGCGACTTTGTACGTAGCGAAGATTTGTCATCTCCATCATCTCGGAGTCTGTCACGGTCCTTGTCTCGCTTTCGGTGCTTCTTGGAGGAGGAGACGTGCGAGCCCGCGTCGCCATCTTCACCGCCAAGCTTGCTGCGGGAAGACCTGGAGGAGCGGTGGCGGCGCTCTTTGTCCTTTTCCTTGTCTCGTTCTCGCTCTTTGTCACGGTCGGGTTTTCGCTCAGACTTGGAGCGCCGTTGCTTTTCGCGGGGACGGTCGTCGTCAGCAGAGGCGTCGACGTCACGATCCTTGGTCGGCATGGCGACCAAGCATCTGTGGCGGGGTGACGCGGACGGTTGGGGGGGGCTTGGCACAAAGGTCGCGGCGGTTTCCTCAGTGATGCTTTATGCTCGACTCGATGTTTGTTTGGCACGGGGTCTGCAGCGGACGTAAGAGTGCCTACCTAGGACGTCGATGTTAGATGCATGAGCTGTGCCTCTTTCTCCCACGCTAACTAGTTGCACAAGTCGGTGGCGGGTGGCAGGGCAGAAAAAGTGGCGGCCCGACCGATGATGACTCCAGCTAGGCGGCAACGGCAGCTGCCGTGTGGGGATGATGGAATAGTGTTGAAGCCTAATTGGCCATGGATGCATCTTAATAAATGGAAGAGGTATATTTAGCACGAGGTCCAGCAGACGTGGGCAACCTGGCCAATGGTTTTCATCGCTAAGCGCTGTATATTTTGAGGCTCACCGTTGGAAGCTGGGAGTGCATGATACGACAAACTAGGTAAAAATTGGGTCTCCTGAACGAGAGGGGGACCTCGCCTCGACCAGCTCAGGGCAGATGAGATGAATTCCTACCCTGCACAGTAATAAGGTCCGATAAGGAAAAACATGCATGGTACTCTGGCATATCGCGGCACATTCTACTAGTAGACGAGCGATGCTACTTGGTCGAACCGCTCCTCAGTTAAAGCTTCACAGTGCGAGGGAGTATCCACCATCAAGGACAGGCAGCTCGGATCCAGGTAACTGTTAGTCCAGTACCTATGTATGTATGTATGTACCTCTCTAAGCGTTTATAGTTATGCTGTGGGCCACGAAACTTCGACAATACAACGCCACTACAAGCACATCACAGTGACGCCCAATTAGAACAAGATGCCATTTGAGAAACATTCGAGGCGTATAACCCGGTCAATAACTTAGTATCTGCCAATTCATAGCAACATAGAATACGAGCGGCCACAACACCTTCAAGAAGCAGTATGTCCGACGCATCACGCCAGCTCTCCTTGGCATCTGCACACCGGCTGCAAGTGGCCCTATGGCCTCATGGCCAGGATTAAAGACTGGAACGGAAACTCGCTGGCTTACAGAAGCTGGTGAGGAGCCTTTCCTTCAAGCAAATAGCAGATGAATTCGTTGGGTCTGTCGGAACTGTCGCCTTGTCGAAGCGATTATTTGACAGCCTTGCCGAGCTGGCGGCACAGGACTGAGATCAAGTCTCGTAGCCAAACACGGAAGCTGGTTTGGTGGCTTCTATCCCTTGTATTTGGAAAACTCCAAGCGGTACAAGATTGAACAGCTCGTTTTGCGCAGCCACTGCATTTTCACTGCAGATTGCAGGCCTTTCGAAAGGTAGGGACAGGCTCAGGAGCCATTGATCAAAGGACCTTTCTCCCCCGCACGCTCCCACTGGAGAAAAGAGAAAGGAAAAGAGAAAAGAAGCCAGCGACGTCTGCCGCCTTACTATGCGCCTTCCGAGCGACGGGGCACATTGCGCCCGACTTTCTTCAGCCCGGCTGCGAACCCAGCTGATTGGTGGCTCGCTCTTACACGGCTACATAGTTACAGGTTCAACACCCCAGCAACTACAGTTGAACGCCTCTCCGACGCCGCTTCATTCGATCGCTACGCCGACGAGAGGTCGAGAACATGCAGTGACCCGTCTTGCATCAAGGCCGCAAGCTCCCAGCCTGAATGGTTATCGCATACCCGCCCTCTTTGGTCATCGCCCTCCAAACAAGCCCATGGAATTGCGGTGAGCGAGGCGCTCGGAGAATCTCGCAGCCGACTTCTCCTTCTTCTATATGTCGGGGCCGGCTCTGGGGGAATTGTGGCACGTGCCGCTTCTCGCGGAATCCTATGAGATCATAGGGTGATTGTTTTCTTTTTTTCCCCGGCTCGTCACTTCTCTCGACTCTTGTCATTCATATAAACCGACTCCGCGCCACCAAAACGTGCGACCTGGAACACGGCAAGTATAACCCCGGATTTTGGCACGCTCTTACGTTTTCGCTCTGCAAGCGGCTGCGAGCCAGCCAAGTCATCCACCTCTTAAACAAAACAGGCAAAAGCATGGCTCACAAGCTGTCCTGCAGTATGAGGGAGAAATACTATCATCGCCTTGCAACAACCAATGAACATTTTGTCCGGGCAGCTTTGGTGGCTGCCGCTGGTCAAATGGGAGTGGCCGCTGCTGGCACGGCTGTGCAGCATGCAAATGCAGGCCATCGGGCAGGCATGCCTCTTTTTTTTTCGTCTCTTTTCCTTGGATTGCTTGTCTCCTTTGTTCCTTACGCGCAGCTTCGTCGGCCAAAGACGACGAGCAAGCCCACGCTATGAGACATTATGGGATGCAAATGCCCGTCAGGTTTCACATGCTGCATGTTTGGGATGACGATGTGGTCGCGTTTTCTAGCCCCCAATTGGTGCGGCCTTGACCGATTTTCTGGCAAGACCGGCGGGCTATCGAGCATCCTAGATTCTATGCTCTCGACGCCTCCAATACTTAAAGATGAGAGGGTCCCGGATTAGTGTTGACACTTCAGATAGCAGGCTGAGTCTCCAGATCCGAGCCGCTTGCTCACGGTCTCTACTTTTGAACCACACTTTCCCTCCTCGGCCCATCGCTGCTCATCTTTCCCTCTTAGATCTTCACACACTGCAGCCCTTGCGGGAAGCAATGTCTCTCAGTACTATTGAGACCCTGCCTCTGGAAGTTTTTCAGAACATCGTCGCCTGCCTCGAGCTTGGCGACGAAGCCAGGCTATATTCAACATGCCGTCGCCTACACCTCTATGGTACGCCGCTTCTCTTGGATCCCTTTCGGCGCAATCAGAGGGCCGTGCTGTGGGCTCTTCGCCACGATGATGTCGCTCTTCTGCAGCGCTGCGAGCAATCTGGCGCGCCGCTCAGCGTTGTGACTGTCTTTAAGACTAAGCAACCGGAGCAGGTTTTTAACAGAAAGGGCGAGCCTGGCCGGGTGCGTGTGTGCAGTCCCAAGCGCCTGTCAACGCTCGTGCTCGCCGTACGCGGACGGTCGCCGCGGGTATTTGAACATCTCTCCATGCGGGGGTCCGGCTTCAATGGCGTCGCGACGGCGGCGCTCCGGCTCCAGCTCCGAGGGCTCATGAAGCGTTTGGTGAGCCCAGGCCGCCTTGAGACGCTACAGAATCTCATCGAGTGCGGCTTCATCTCCAGCGTCGAGGCATTCACAGACCGGGATACGGCATGGCCGTTGTCGCGCGCCATTCTTGCGGGCGCATCTGAGACGCTGGTGCAGCTCTTCCTGGACGCTGGCGCGGACGTGAACGCTTCGCACGAGCATCGCCACTTCGGGAGCATCGCACCCTTGGCCGCCGCCATCATGTCGAGTAGCAGCAGCTCGGGCATGCGCCGGCTGCTCGTCCTCCACGGCGCTATGTACGAGCCGGCGGCGCTGCACTTTCGGCCCGTCGCTCGCCCGACCCGACACCCACTCTTCGCTGCGGTCCAGCGCCTCGCACAGTCTCAGGTCCATGACACCTCTATAGTGGAGGAATGCCTCGCGCACGGCTGCTGCCTCAACCGTGTAGAGCCGCGCGTCTGGGATCGTGGCTTCAACTGGGACTGGCGGCCGCGTCAGCAGTCCAGCACGCCGCTGCTCGAGTTCCTGGACACGATCCCGTCCATGTCAGGCGGCAGCGCTGCGCAAAAGCGCGCCACGCTCCAGAATCTGGCATTCCTACTGGCGCGGGGCGCCCGAACGCCCATCGCTCCCGAAGACGACGTCCCCGGCACGTTGGCCCAGGCGATGACGCCGTCGTGCCTGGAGCTTCTCATCGACAGGTGGCAGGTTGAGTCGCTCAATGACGACCACTTCTTCGCCATCGTGACCATGCTGGTCGAGGCAGGCTGCATGGACGGGGCTATGGGTCGCATCATGAGACGGTACTGTCGGGGTATTCGCAACCGCGACCCCTTCTTTGCGTCTGCCTGGCGAGGCTGGCGGAGACTCATCGATCTGTTCCTCTCCCGCCGCGGCGTGGACCCGAGCGTGCTGTTGCTGCACCTGCTTGTCGAATCGGGCACCAAGGAGATGGCGGCCGTGGAGCGACTGCTCGTCGCCGCCGTCGATCACCTCCTCGCCCGCGGCGCCGACATCAACGCGCCGGCCTCGCCGCTCGGCAGCTCCGCGCTGCACATGCTGTGCACCATCTACCAGCACCCCAACCCAGACACCATGTGGTGGCACCGCTCGCCTTACCAGGAACCAGTTGTCCAGCACCGTCGCGAGCTCCTCCGCTTGATGATGAGCCGCGGTGCTGACCCCCTCCTGCGCTTCAACGGGCGCAACGCGCCGACCGAGCTCGTCCAGTACCTCGCCATCGCAGACCCCTCGACGCGCGCCTGGATCAAAAAGGTCAGCAGGACCCTGTGCGAGGGCATGGTTGCTCAGCGCGCCGCGGGCAGAAGGGCATGCTCTTACCACGTGCGCAACGTCGTCAGGCACGAGTCGCCGAGCGCCAGCTACTTGCCGCGAGCAGCTCGGCGGACGGGCACCCCTCGCGAGGTGACATCAAGAGTCGCGGAGGGGCGTGGGCTCTCTTTCTAAGGTTGTCTTGTTTGGGCTGTTGCAAGTGCCATATCAAAAGCGTTTCATGTTACTACTTGATCTTTCATGTCATTCTTTGCTTGAAAACGGTGCGTTGACACCCTCTACCCAGTATGTTTAGGTACCATGTTCGAACCAATGTTTCTCCCCATGTTTGCTTTTTTTTTTCTTAGCAGGCGGTTATTCTAGACTGTATCCTTTCTCGTTCGTCCCTTTCAGGTTCATCATCCATCCCAGGTCAACGCGCGACTGTATGATCCTGTCAATAGCGACAGCGGTCCAATAACTTCCGCTATCCCGTGCGCTCTATACCGCGCGTTGACGTAGACAGGTCATACCTCCCTAAATCGAGCAATTCCCGGATTCCTCCAGAGACCGGCGTGAGCGTCTCGGGTAGAAACTCCTCAGACATGCATCATGCAGAGTTCCAGAAGAGTAAGCCGACCTTCACGTTTCTTGCCTAGTATCAATTTGCGTGCATATCCAGTGCCTAAGCGCTTCTGGCTAAGCCGTTGTAGTCCGTAATAAAGCCGATTCCCGTGTCGTCATGTAGCACCCTGGGGCAGCTGGCAGGCATCTCGTCATTAGAAAAACACAGTGATAATTGGTGAATTGAATAGTCTATAATTTTGGAAACAGATTTTATCCAATTCCGAGTAATCATCAATCATCGAGCGTATCGACGTTTCTGGCAATTAACGTCGATCATCTAGACAACGTCGATTATCTAGACAAAAGAAATTTATATGTGAAATCCATCATTCAAACGCCAGGGCCTTGAGAGCATCTACCAGGGCTCTACCCTTGTCCAAAAACAAAAACAAAAATTGCCGGCATCAAAAATGGCGGTGTTGCTTAAAAGCGGTCGAGGAGACCGCGGCTCTCGAGCAGAAGAATAATCTCGTGAACAATTGAGCGGACATTCTGCTTCTCAGTATCGACAACAAGGTCGGCCTTGGCGGGGAACTCGTAGGGGTCATCAACGCCGGTGAAGCCTTTAATCTGGCCGGCGCGAGCAGCCTTGTAGATGCCGCGGAGATCAGTCTTTTCGCAGTATTCGAGAGGGGTAGCGACGTGGATGAGGAAGAAGGGACCAGATTTCTCAATAAGCTCGCGAGCCTGCTGGCGGGCCTGCTCGAAGGGAGCAATGGGAGCAGCAATGACGGCAGCACCGGCTCTAGTCATCTCAGAGGCGACATAAGCGATGCGAGAGATGTTGAGATCGCGGTCGGCACGGCTGAAGCCAAGTTCAGAGGAGAGCTCATGGCGGACAGTCTCGCCAAGGAGCATGGAGACGGGACGGCCACCACCCTGGTTGAGAGTAGTCTGCAGGGCCCGGGCAATCTGATCCTTTCCGGAGTTCTGGTAGCCAGTCATGAAGACAGTGAATCCCTTCTCGCGGGGAAGTGGGTTCTGCTCGCGAAGGACCTTGACGACCTCAGGGTAGGAGAACCACTCAGGAATCTCCTTGCCGGTGCGGAGGCGGTTGCGCAGCTCGGTACCGGAAATGTTCATGGTGCGGGTGCCCTCGGGAATCTCGTTGGCGGGCATGTACTCATCACGATCGGGGATGTAAATCATCTCCTGGAACTCGACCATCTTAATACCGAGCTCTTCCTGATGCTGCTGAACAAGAGTCTGCGCATCGTAGGGACCATAGTGGTCCTTGCCGTTCTTGTTCTTACCGGGACCGGCGTGGTCACGGCCGACGATGAAGTGGGTGGAGCCGTGGTTCTTGCGAATGATGGCATGCCAAAGGGCCTCGCGGGGGCCGCCCATACGCATAGCTAGGGGAAGCAGGGCGAGTGCGGCCATGCCGTTGGGGTATCTAGCGATGAGAGCCTTGTAAACACGAACGCGGGTGAAGTGGTCAATGTCGCCGGGCTTGGTCATTCCAACGACGGGGTGGATCAGGACATTGGCCTGCTGGGAGCGGGCGGCGCGGACCGTCAACTCGCGGTGAGCACGGTGCATGGGGTTGCGAGTCTGGAAAGCAACGACCTTCTGCCAGCCGAGCTTGCTGAAGTGGGAGCGGAGCTCGGCGGGAGTGACTATCTGGTTAGCTTGCGGTTCTGGCGATTGATGAAGGGGTTGACATACAGCGGAGGTCGAGGAAATCGTAGTGCTCGAGGCGATTGACGGCCTCGAGCTTGCCGCCAACGTAGAATTCCTTGGCGGTGCTGAAGAGGTGCTTGATGCCAGGGTGGGTGTCGTCGTCGCTGCCAAAGACGTTCTTGGCCTCGATGACCCTGTAGCAAGTCAGTGCAAGGTCTAATGGTGGAATTCAAGATGATATTCATACTTGTCGGGTCGGTAGATGTCGTCAATAGTGAGGATGGCGAGGTTGCGGTCATCGCGAGAGTCGCGCAGGGTAATACGCGCACCAGCCTTAAGGCCAAGCTCATCAATCTGCTTTTGGTCGACATCAAGAGTGATGGGCATGCTGAAGAGCAGGCCATTGGCAAGGCGGTTGTCCTTGACGACGCTACAAGTTAGGTTAGCAAATAATGTCCAGCAGGACGACTAAAAGAGAAAACTCACCCATTGTAGTCCTGCTCGGACATGAAGCCTATGGTATGATGTCAGCGGGGTACGGGTAGGCGCGGCGCAACTTGACCTACCCTCGAGAGGAGAGAAACCGCCATTGAGAATGAGTTCCAAGTCGCAAAGGTGGCGCTCAGTCAGGACGAGAGCAGGAAGAGTGTTGGACTTGGCGAGAAGCTCAGCCTGGCGGGGGAGGTCGCGCGCAAAGAGGTCCTTGAGGACGCCGCCGTGGGGAGAATTGGCCATGATGATGTATGTGGAGGGGTCTTGGAGAGGATTTCTGTCGAGTTGAGACTGCCGCAAGGTTCGACAACGAGCGGGAAAAGACGAGAAGGAGAGGAGGAAAGATGTTTAAGTAGGAGAAGTTTTGACGAGACTGAGAAAAAAATAAAAAAATAAAAAAAGGTTGTGGCGAGGACCCGAAAGTATCAGCAGCCAAAAAAAGCAGCGTGTCCAGAGATGTGAAAGTTAGCGCGGCGCAAGTGTCCGCAGCTGGTAATCACGCAATCGTGGGGCTCCGGACCGTCGAGGAAGCTGCTGGTCAGGTCAAAGTCGAATAATATAGGTAGTGCGGTTATATGTGAAGACGGGAAAGGCTGCGATGATTGAATCAAGAGGAAAAAGAAATGTGCACGTTTGGCAGGTACGACGGAAGGCGCGTCTTATTAGTACCAGCTGGCAGTCGCACCTTCCCAAGGCAGTTGCAGGTGTATGAGGAGTTATAGGTCGTGGCTGCATGTACAGGTACCTGTCTTCCCCCCCACGCTCAGGGTGACGGGCAGGGATGGATCTAGTTTGCACTTATTTCATGGGAATCTTAGCTGGACAATAATAATACTCCACTGATCAGAATCGGAAAGACGGGGAACTGTAAGGAACACTGAGCACATGGCAGGGCGACCCTGGTGCTGTTTGGCAGCCCAGAAACAGCCACATGGACAAGTACAGGTACCTTCGGGCCCTCGGCCAAGCTTTTGCCAGAAAGCCTCGTGATAACGTCAGAGAGGCTACCCGATCGGGAAAAGCCGCATACTCGCAGCTTCGTGAGGCCACCTGGCAGGCCGATGGTGCAATACCGCCAACTCCATCTAGAACAAATAACTGCTCAACCATGAGAGATTTCTCAACGGGCTGCATTCCAGGCACAGACATTACAGACACATATACTACGCCCGTTTACCATTAAAGAGATGTTGCTTGGTTGCCGCTGTCGACATCCTTGCCCAGCCTTGCTCAACCGCAGTGCGACCAATAAACGCTACCGCCCCCAACGCCCAGTCTCACCTCACCAGCTCACCGTGAGAACTTTTTCCTGCCAGCCATCCCTAATTGTTACGGCCTTTGCTCCTTCACAGATCCCGTTCAACGGCGTAGCCGAAGGCCGACCGTTCAACGGAAATTCACTACACCGATGTGCCCCTTGCGGTATTGATGTTTTCCTAGCCGTCCGTTCCCCGCAGAGGTGTTCGGCAACTGCAGCGGTGCAGCGGGTTCGGACATCGGCACGCGGACAACTGCGACTCTCTCCATGTCTTTGCCTAGGAGGCACCGTGTCGTCCCATATGCGTAGCACCCGTACCCGTGAATCGCTGTAATTTGAAGTATTGTCTCTGGTGTTTGCAGTTTGAGCGCCGGCTTGTTGATAAACAAATCACTTGCCGGTTTGATATCCGAGCTCCCCAAGTTGCGTCGTTCTTTCGGTGCCAGAACGGATCACGGGGTATAATCGCCCCGGATATCGAGCTAAACTGCGGCAGAATTTATGCAGATATGGTGTCACAGGGGCATCCCAACTATATCAATTGAATATTTATATGCCGATCTTCTGTCCTCTCCAAGCTATTAGTTAACTAGTGGCTAAGACTATAGCGATGGGTAATGGTACATCGGGATGAGAAATACATAAACTAAGGACACAAAGTTTTGCTTGGCTTGAGAGCCAGTGATGTTATAACCGGCACAATAGAAAAAAAAATGGCCGGGGATCTGGATCCGTTAGCGGTATTATGCTCTCTGGGAACACAGCATTGATCGCTTGAGTGCCCGTCATCTCAAGGTACGTGGCAATGGTTGATAGATGGACTAAATGTATCAGGTTCTGTCCAGCTTTCCAAGTGGCTCTGTGGCTTTTCGTGGCGTGCTGTCATGGCGATTCGCCCGAGGCTTCATTAGCGGGTTTCTGGTCTAGAACAGTTTATAGATGTGATCAATTAGTAAGTTTGACTATGTGATTGGCTGGTCTCTCGTGTTGGTTTGCATCGGGCGGTTAGGCCAATACACTTTCCGTAGCCATGGCAAATATGAGCACTATCCGTTAATAGGTGAGTTGCCCGGTAGAATGACTTCTCGCCCTATGAAAATTAACCATCTGGCCAATTTCGCTGGCATCATTGTGTCTGGCGGCCCTACAGCCAATCACGGTGTATAACTGGCCCACCTGGAACATGGGACAACTGGGAAGGAATGGCATCACCATCTAAATGTATTTGCTGGGGAAACGAGCAAGGGGCAGAAAAGCAAAGACTGATAACAGGGAGCAGGGAGCAGAAGTATCGCAGCCAGACAATGTACGATCATGAGTTTAAGAACGGTTGAGTTTGATCTTTCCTTTACTTTTCCACTGGAACCGAGAGAGTACTTATTGGATGCTATCCTGCTTTGGCGAGCTGTAACGGAGCCTCTTTATCATCCCATTAGCGGGGATTTAGTGCATCTTTAGGCCGCGATCCACTAGACGGCGGCCCTCCCGCCCGTGGCCGGGTGAAATTTAGGAGAAGCAGAAGAGGGTGCTCCTCAAGCCGCAACAAAGAAGTTTCTCTGTATTCCTGATGTTGAGCATACAGTTCAGATATAGAGATTTTTATCCTTTTCATGTAATATTTTCAATGTATTAACTTTGTGGTTCTAGAAAAATTACATAGGCTGGAGCAGAGTTCGAGAGGTTGGGAGCTAACAGAAGGTTAGCTGAGCTTGGGCCTCACTGAGCTGTCCTGTTTTGAAGACGGGTACGATTTGTGCCTCCTTACATTCCGCCATCATCCCAGCCCCTGCTTAGACGATAAAACCTTCGCCAAAACAACGTCTTGTCACAAGAAAACACGTCGACTTCGACCGGTATTGTCACTGATTACATCGACCGGTTTTACGGCGGAAATTGCCTGACGCTTTGTGCAGCTTGCCTGCATTGCTGTGGCAATTCATTAGTGGGTTCTGGGCTACTCTTGGCTTGAGCATCCCAATACGAGGCCGATGAAACACCAGCAGTGTTTTCTGCCTCTCGCGACAAACTTGCCCGCCTACTGAGGTCTCGTCGCATCGGTTTTTCATGCCATAGTTTCCTCGTATCGACATTCTGTCCATTGCTCCATCCGCCTTTCATACCCGAAAATCCAATCTTCCTCGATCGATCACCATTCCTGAACGAGAGCCTCCAATAATACCCGCACCCTGGCGTGCGGCTCGCCGATCGCAGCAGTGATGCTCGTCAACACCAGATCACCGTGGTCCATGACCAGCATGCTTCTGCTGCTCGCTTCTCTCTTCGCCGTGCTCCCGGCAGTTGCTGCCGACGACTCCAAAATTATCAAAGGCTACGACTTCAACGGCGCCATCCAGAAGCTCGACATTGCCCCCCAACCATCGCTCTACTCGGGGGGCTTCGCAGACTGTCTCCGCGGCGGCAGCTTGTTCAACTTTTCCACATTCGATGTCGCATACTACACGAACAAGAGCCACCATACAATCTTCTTCCATCTCGATGGAGCCAGCAACATCCGAAAAGAGTCGCTCGTTCTCCACCTATCCATCCAGGCGTATGGCCAGGCGCGATTTGACATGTCCTACGATCCTTGCAAGGCGCACATGGATTCCCTCTGCCCGCTGACATCGGATAAGCGCATCAGCGCGTTTGCCGTTGTCCCATTATCATCAGACGATGTGGCCGGCATGCCCGAGGTCACCATGGGTATCCCCGACTTCGAGGGCTTTGCGCGGATGCAAATCTTTGCCAACTCTACGCAGACGGAGATTGGCTGTTTTCAGACTGTCATGTCCAATGGCAAGACTCTGTCGCAGCCTGAGGCCATCGGAACCACTGTTGGTGTCTTCGTCATTGCCACTATGCTCTCCTCCTTCATTACCGCAGCGTATGGTATCAGTGTCCCTCATATGCGCATGCACTACGCCCACTCGTTTTCCGTCCTGATCGTGTTCGAAACGTTTCAGTACATCTTCTTCTCCGGCGCACTGTCTGTCAATTGGCCTAGCGTGCTGCCAGCCTGGTGGAGCAATTTCGCGTGGCCCTCGGGTATGTTTGCTACGCACAGTCTCGTGCGCTCTATCAGCTCCTTTACCGGAAATGTCGTGAGCGTGACCCAGGTGGGAGGTGCGGGGTCTGTACCTATAAACAACAACGGGGGCTTAACGCAGCAAATATACGGCCGCGCGGATCCCGCAACTGGAGAGCAGCCTTCGCCGGTCACAGACCTCGATGGCTACGCCTGGGGTGGCGAGCCGAACCCTCCAGGGATGCCCATGCCAGGCACCTGGCCTGGTCTTCCCGGAACACTCTCCGAGGTCTACATCCCTCCAGCAGAGGCCTTCACGTTGGCCTTGATTTGGTTCATGGCTATGATTGGTCTGGTAGCGGTGCTGATCGTGCTGTTTAAGCTGACACTCGATGTGTTGATCAGATTCAAACTCCTCAGAACGGATGGCTTCAACTACTTTCGCAGCCATCTGGGTGGCTATCTTGCGGCTGCCTTATTGCGCACCTGCTTCATTGGATTCTTTGTCATGACTACGCTTGCAATGTATCAGTTTTCCCTTCGTGGCCCGGACGGCCCCACCGCGATTGCTGCCATTGTCTTTTTGCTTTTCCTGGTGGGCGTTGGAAGTATAGCTGCATATGCCTGCTACTTTCGCCTGCGACATGGCAAGTACTCTACCGCACCCGATTCTATCCGGTTCGAAAGCGCGAAGCTCTTTAAGAAAGTTCCATTTGTCTCTGCAATTCGAAACAGTGAGCGCGGAGAGGAGGAGACAGCTGAGCAACGCCGCCTGTACGCCTCAGTACCCATCACCAGGATTGTTTACACCGATGACAACCCGAACCGCCCGACCGTCCATCAAGATGCGGGCTTCATCAAGAGATTTGGCTGGCTATCTGGCCGCTACCGTCGTACCCGCTGGTGGTATTTCGCCGTCTATCTAGGGTACCAATTCATTCGCGCGTGCTTCATTGGTGGAGGCGCTCGTACACCACTGGCGCAAGTCTTTGGATTGTTCTTGTTTGAGATTATTGCCTCTATCATCATCATCAAGTTGACGGCCTTTGAGGGCTCTCGCAATACGGTGGTTGCTGTTTGGATCATATCCATCGCCAAAATCCTTACTACGGGGCTGTCCATTGCCTTTATTGCCGACTACAACGTCAACCGAATTGGCGCAACTGCGATTGGCCTCATCATTGTTGTGGTACAGGCTTTCCTTGCCATCGTGGTATTGGTGCTCGCTGCACTGGGCATTATGTCGTCGTGGATGTCGCTGTCGCGTAACAAGGAAGAATTCACTGAACCTTTTGTCGACATGCGTGTCAAATATTTTGAGCATATGCAGAAGCGCACCGACGACTTACCTACGCCACCGAAGGAAGACGAAATGGAGGCAACGGCCCCAGAGCCAGGCTTTAACGTGCGCAATGTTCGACGAGCCCCAAAGATTGAAGATGAAGATGAGCTGGCAGAGATATCGCCGCCACAGCCCGGATTTGCAGGACAAGCTGGCGGCAGTGGCCAGCGCAGTCGCGCCAATAGCGGTAGCTCGCGCTACTCGGCTAGCAGTATTCCGCGTGCGGCACGGGTACACCGAGCCTCTTGGAGTTCGAAGGAGTTTTCCCAGATGCAGGCTGAAATGATGACTCGACCAGAAATCCAGCGAGGGACCCATTCTAGAAGCAACTCGCAACGCATGTCTTCTGCGAGCATTGCCGCCGTTATGGGTACCGACTCCCCGGGCAGCAGCACACCAGTTCGAAGACCAATGACTCCCACGCGCGAGTCCTCGGAAGATGCGAGAGACATTTCGGAAACTACAACATCGCAGACGACGCCTACGAAGCGAAGCGATGAAGAGATGCCCGAAGAGAAAACGGAAAAGCCCGCACCGGTTCAAAAGACCGAGCAGCAGGTGGCTGTCGAGGATACCACGGTGTCGGAAGCCGTGGCCGATAAAACAAGAGACGAAAAGGCCGCTCTATAATCAGAGAAAGACAGGGTGTATTAACATTTGGCTTGCATAATTTCTGCCCTGACAGCATATGATTTTCAGGGACATTGGCATGGGTTACTGTTTACAGCGCATATGTTATTCTTTTTGCCCGCTGGCGTTTTTTTTGCATTGATTTGGCCGCTGGACAGGGGCGGTTGCCACGGCATTTTTTTAAGCAGTTGCGTATCCGTATTAATGCTATATAGAGATTTATGAATGTAAAAATTGGATCGATTACAATCTGCTGGCTGCGCAACTGGTGTTTTGACTACATGACTGTGTGAAGTATGCCGTGAAGGATCACGGTTATCGGTGACTCGGGATGGGGCCGCCCGGCTCCGGCCAGCGCCACGGCCGGGCCGGCGGATGTGAATTTCAACCTGGTACTTATCTCGCCGATGCAAGCCAACTTCACAGTATCTAGGGAAAAAAAGATGAAAATTTGCTGGAAACGGAATAATCGTGAGGCTGGCCATCAATCAGCCAACTTGATACGCCAGTTGATATTGCCCCGGAATGCGGACAGTGTGCAGGGCCGATCCTTCCCTAGGAGCCTTCCACGACTCACTCGTGCCTCCTCCCACGCCCAGATCAAAACACTCTTTCAACTTTCTCGACGAGCCATGAACCATTAGCCAACATCTAATCAAGTTTTGAATCCGTCCCGAGAGCAAGCACGTTAGCAGCACGGATAGCGATCAACGAAACTCATGGCCAACATCACATACCGCGACGCGACCGAGGCCGACCTGGCGTCCATCCGCACCATCGAAGAGTACTATGCCCTCAACACCCACTCCTCCCTCCTGACGGGAGTGCCGACGCTCTCCGATATGAGCGCGCGGTTCCGGCACCTGCTCGCCACCACCATGCCGTACCGCGTCGCCGTGGACGTCGCCCTGGTGGACCCCGGGGTGATCGGGTACGCCTACCTGCTGCCCTCCAACGACGCGTACCGGCCGACGGCGGAGCTGCGGCTGTGGGTGCACCCGGCACGGTGCGGGCAGGGCGTGGGCACCCAGCTCGTGGATCACCTGCTGCGGATGATGCGCAACTGGAAGGTGGTGCCGCAGTTCCCGGGCGAGCTGCCGACGGCGACGTCGAGCGTGCTGGTGAGGAATGTGATCGCGGTGCAGGTGATGGACCCGTTTGGGAGGGAGGGCGGCGAGGCGGCGAGGCGGTTCTTCAGGAATCGGGGGTTCCGGGAGCGCGGATGGTTGCGCGAGGTTGCGTTTAAGCGCGGACAGTGGTACGTGAAATCAGAGGGGAGAGAAAGCGAGAGAAAGAGAGTGTGTGTGTGAGAGAGAGATAGGGGGGGGGGGGCATGTGTGAGTGCTGTGCTGACAGACAAAGGCTTGATGTGATTTATTGGCAGTTTTCGACCCTCGGACACGCTGGAGGAGGATGGTGAGGGGAGATGGTTGGCGACGTCGGGACATTTGCGGAAGCAGCATACCTTGGATTCGAGAAGCATACGAGTGCTATACGGCATTTTGAGTAAGGGGAGTTAGATGAAGTTTCATCAGCATAATTAAAACAAAAGACTCATACTAAACGCCGTTTATTTTTCCTGCCCTCTATCCATTGTCCGTACCGCGACGAGGGGTCGTAGCATATCCGACCCCTTTTCTCTATTGAACTTGTTTATAAATATCCAGGAACTCAAGCGCGGCACTCTTGAACGAATGCATGAAGCCGACGGCCTCGGTCTCGCCCGCCAAGGACTCGTGGTGGCGCATCAGCTTCAGGATGCTGTTGGCCGCCTCCTCGCAGATCTTGCCCGGCGGGCTCCCGCCGTTGCCGACCACGGTCTCGTCCATCATGTACGGCGTGAACAGGCTGAGGATGCAAAAGTGGTAATACGTGCTGCGGTCGTGTCAGGTGCATGTCCTAGCAAGAATAGGAGGGGGGGGTTACTCGCTGCACGAATAGGATCAGAGGCTCGCGGCCCGTGTAGTCCTCGGAGTACTGGAAGAAGTTTTGATACCACTCGAGGCCTTTAATGTACGTCACGGTGGCCTCGGCAAAGGTGCGGTCTTTTTCGGGCACGCAGCATGTCCGGAAGACTTGTTCGATTAGTTGATAGAGCTCGGCGGCGACCAGGTACATCTCGTCTCCGCGCAGCTCCGAGTTGGCGACGACGAGTTCGTTTGCTTTGACAAGGGTTAGGCTCTCGGCTTGCTTGTTGTCCGTGTCTTGCTGACCTATTATTGGCCGCAGCAGGTGCTCCGTCCAGCTTTGGCTGTCGCATGCCTCGTTGGGATTCGTATTCTCGGAAGGCGTGCTCGGCAAGCCGGGCCTACATCTCTGTATTTGAATCAACATCCTGTATCCGCGGGCGTTAGCAAATCTTCCCTTCTTGCACCCACTCGAACAACCAGGCGCGCAGGTGTCCTTTACCGGTTCATCGATATCGCGCCGCAGTACGTGCTGGCCGTGATGCGGCGCGTCGCCGCCGGCACCTCCACCCCCGTTCGCCCCGCGTTCTGCACGCAGTACTTTCGTATCGCCTCGGCAAAGTCCATCGCAAAGTTGCGCGTCTCCTCGCGCCAGCCGCGGCACGCGCAGTACAGCGCCAGCACGCCGAGCGCCTGGGCGTCCGGGACGGCCTCGGGCGGCCAGGTGCCGCCGCGGTGCAGCGCGCGGACGGCCTCGTTGGCGAGCGCGGCGCTGAGCACGTCCCAGGCGGGCTTGCCGGTGGCGCGGTTGGCCACCTCGTCCACGACGTTGTGGCGGAAGACGACCACGGAGAGCGCCAGCAGCGCGTCCACGAGCGCCGGCGTGCAGTGCGCGGCGCCGGTGCTGGGGCCGGATTGTAGGTGCAGCTTGAAGCGCTCGCGGTCGACGAGGCAGAGGGCGACGCAGTCCCACTGCAGGATATTGTCGAGGACGCGCAGGACGCGCGCCTGCGGCCAGTCGATGTGCGGCGAGGTGTACGGGAGGAGAAGCTGGGGTCGCGGCGGGGAGGCGACGGCGGCGGCGGCGGCGGCGGCGGCGGCGGCGGCGGCGGAGGTGTCGGATATGTCGTCAGCGTCGCTCATCGAGAGGCTCTGCTGCGACGCCGCCGAGGAGTCGACGACGCCGGATAAGCGCGGTTCCGGATCTGATGGCAGGGGAAAAGTTTGCGTCAACACAACAAGGTCCGAAAATAGTTGCGGGCGTCTAGGGCGTGTGTCTCATACCTTTTGATCTCGTGGCGAGCTCGACAGACGGCCGCGATGATGGTGTGGAATCATTCGCCGGCAGGGACCCTCGGTTGGTCACTGCCGTCTCAGGTGTCGCTTCGAAGCTGCTGCGCGTTCCATCGCTCCTCCGAAGGGTTTCGGACGTCTTCTTCGCCTTGGGTCGCGGCTTCAGCGACTTTTGCGCTGACGATGGCCCTATCGCATCCGTAGAGGTTGGCGGCGGCGGTATGGCGTAAACGCATTCGATCTTTGCCTTGCTGCACGCGTAGCAAGGGTGTTGTCCGTCGCACTGATGGTTTGGTGCATGTTGTTAGAGAATCGGACCAGATTTGGTAGAAGCTTATCAGCATGGGAAGAGGGAGTTGGCGGTTGAGATTGAGGGCGAAGAAGGAAAGGAGCCAGGGCGAGACGACGAAGATGGCAAGAAGATGACGTGGAAGCGGCCGTGATGACACTATCCTTTTCTTACCTTTTTCTTTCTTCGGCGACAAAACTGACAACGATCTGGGGAGGGGCGGCGAGGCATGACTCTACCAATGCTATTGTCGCTGGCAGGACAAGAGTTAGTTGTGCGACAACGGTCATGCTTTTTTTTTTTTTTTGCCCTCTTGTTATAAACAATGCCGGGAATAGAGAAGGAATACCAGAACTCGAGAGATGCGAAACGTAGTACTAGATCGCCTCAAGGACGCCATCTGCTTTGTACCCGAGTACATGCAGAACAGACAGACACAGACAGGAATGATGCTGGCTGGCCAGGTTTCGCTCGCCCGCCAAAGCGAGGCCCGGTGGCGGTAGTTCTTTTTGTTTTAAAACAATCTTGCGAAACGCATGTACAAGATGGCACTTGTGCCAAGTCCAAGTTTTCCCCCATCCTGTGCGTTTGCCTCCCCATGGACTTTTTACTACTGAGCTAAACTGAACTGACCAGCCAGCCTACTAACGTTACTCGCTGATGGGTGAGTTCTAATTCAATTGGCCCCAACGGTAAGAGGCAAGAATGCACGCCGATCCAGAAGGCGACGGGACCCCTGCTGGGCTTTGGGGTGACTTGGAGAAGTGCTACATGCGGCCAATCAGGGGATCCGGAGCGTGTCCGGGTTTGTCTTCTCTGCCTTTTGAATGCTAGGCTATCGAATGCTAACTAGTTGGAATTCTCCTTGGGTGTTGTCAATGTGGACTTGAGTCTGTGAAGCCCAGTAAGTGATTCGTCACCCCCAACAAGGGCCTTTTTCCGAAGGGGTCTCACAAGGGGATGGATGGGACTATCCAGCATCATCATGCCCACCCCACCCCTGGAGGAGGAGGAGAGGAGACCCAGCGGGCGGTGGCCAAGGGGGGTGTTTTGTTGGAATATACCAGCTTGTGGCCTAGTTCATTATTAGTTAACTCTATTCGATGTTTTCCCACTACGGAGCAAGCTCCTTGCCTCATCATTGGCTAGGGTTTGCGCGTCCTGGGTTCGGGACTTTGACATGGGAACTGACAAAGAAATCGCTACGGTTGCCAATTTTCCTATTTCAAAAAAAGCAAAACATGCGGTTTATATCTGTTGAATGACACTTTTTCCTGTCTCGGTACCGGGACGCATCATATCGGCCACACAAGTGACCGTTCAGTGTTGAGCCCCCCCCCCCCCCCCCCTTATGCTGGACGGTAATAAGTGGCGGTCGGGAGAGGGAGAGAGAGAGAGAGAGAGAGACTACTCAAGCGAAGCGCGTCCCATCGAGTTAGTTATCGCCCATCGGAATGAAGCACTAGTGCCGCTACAGATTAAACGGCAAGCCAAGCCGTTCTACCCAACGGTTTATCCACCTCAAAGTTCTTTTCGTCAACGGTGAGTGGCTCGTCTTGAGATGAGAACAAAGAGATGATTGCAACCTCACGCGGTGTCTCAGACTCGCCCGCAAGATCAAGTCAAGTACCTTTTTGAGCCGGCACATTTCCTCCGACTGGTGATTTACTGAGTCTATACCCCCCCGTTTTGCAGTCGTACGAGTACCAGTACACTTAATGCACCCCAACCCTGTAGTCCTTTTTTTGCTGTAGTTAGTGGATTTCAGTGGGATACCGAGGGTGGCCAAAGTCCGGTTCAGCTGATGAGGGTGACGCCGATCAGAGAACCAGTTCCAGAGACTGACACCTCGAAGAACGCTCAGAGAACAACTCCTAGGCTGCTCATTTGCCATGGTGCGAAGTAATTAGTCGCTCAGTGTGACGCCCTGTGGAGGGTGGTACCCAGCGGCACTCAACTCCAACTAGTCTGAGCCTGTGGGAATGCAAGGGAATTGGCTTGATGATTGGTTTTCATATTCATTCTTCTCATCGTCATTCTCTGCTATCTCCGGGTTCAGTTGATCTCGTCGCGCTATCTGGAGTTGCTCATCAATCGGTCCGACTTGTTAGAGTACTCACTCTCCGGGCCGTGAGATTGCTGAAAAGTAAAGACGAGGCCTGTACTACAATCCAATGCGCGGACAATGCAATGGTCAGAAAAATGCACTATTACACGCTTATCACATAGTGTATACGTATTCACTTGGCAACATGACTCGTCCCTGGTCGCCGACAGGCGAAGCCGAAGAAAGCCCTACATACGGATCTGAAAATATGACCGTGGCAACTGGCTTCGGAATGAAAAGCTCACGGTTCGTCGGTCCGATGTTGTTCTACTAATGGTTTCCAGTTAGCGGGCGCACTTGAAAGATCTTTGAACTGGTCTAGTCGAAGAGGTATGACGGGTACTGGACACGGCGACGCCGAAAAGCTCAACCTTGAAGCTTTGAATGTTGTCATGAAGCCACATTCAAGGTCAGAAACCTGTTTCAGGTCGAAAAATGCCAAAAAAAAAAACACAGCATCCTGGTTGGATATGCCCCAATGCCTGATCAGGATCTGCAAGAAAGCACTCTGCAGGGTTCGTCCAGGAGCGGGGAGGACAAGCCAGTTGTCCTCTTTCTGTCCGTAGAAGGAGAAACTCGGAGCTTTCAAGACAATCAATCAGGTAAAAATCTCGAGATCGCCATCACTAGCTCAACGGCGCGGTGGTCCCTGAAGCGGGCGCGCTTCCCTCGAACAAAGAAATCGATTACGACATGCGAGGGGGACCAAGCGGAACAGTTGCCGCGACCAACTTACCCCTCCATCTTTACTCACGAGAGCACAACGGCCCCCCACGCGCAGGCCGCTGTCACAATGAAGATTCTCGCGAGACGCAGGGCGGAGAGTCGGCCGACCTTTGACGTGATTCCGACGACCCACGACATACAAAGTCAGAACGGCGATGACCGTACATATGTCTCAGTCCTCGGTATAAAGAGCACAGCCATGGTAACACAGCATCTAATAACCTTCTCGGTGTGAAAACTTTTTTCATCGCCGAGGTTTTGAGGGATCAGGCCGCGATTCTGGTAGTGCCCATTGGTGCGGCGTCGCGTTGGTCCATAGAAGTAGAAGAGCAATCTAGCAGTGAAGGACCGCGAGGGATGAGTCCGAAAAGCCCTCGAAGTCCATTTGCTTACTTTCGAAAAAGACGAAAAGGGAAGAAAAACGAGAGGGCATAGTCTAGGACAGCACGACGTTGGCATGCAGCCAGCAATCAGAGGATAGTCCAAGTCGGCAATGAACAACGCCACGGAAAACTGCAGCTTGCCCAGCTCAAACTCGCCGCAAATTCTGCTGAACTCGTATCGCAAGAGGTCAAGATTAGCTATAAAATCCTCCCCTTTTTTTCATCCTTTGCTCCAACGCACTAGTTATCAAAGCCCACTGTGGACTTTGCGACGCCCGGCTCAACAGCTATACACACACGGACTATTCTGTCCGCAGCCTCTAGTTAAATAGGCCAAGCCCACCGAGTATTTTCAAGTATCAATCTTATACATACACTGAAGGAGATAACTCGAACAACTAATGTGCAAAAGAAGACTGGACGCCACGGCCAGTGGCTCAGCATTTTTCAACTAACAACACTCCGTCACTATGACGTACGCGCGATGACCACCTTTACCCCCCCCCCCCCCGCAGAAACACTGAAGGGGTTTTTTCTTTGCAAAAATAAGAGAATAAGGAAAAGAAAGATGTCAGAAAAGAATCATCATTTCAGTCCCTCCTCGATGACGATGGGTTCTTGGTCTGGTTGGTAGGCACCGACGACTTGCCCACCTTTTCCGGCGTCGCAAGGAACATGGCATAAAAGGCAGCGACTCCGATGCCCGCAATGGCGGCTATTTGCCACCCCGGCCTGATGTGATTGTGTCAGTAAGCCATGGCAGAAAACGCGCTTTGCTTCCATCATACAGCTTCGGTCCTGACCCAAGAGGCTTCATCGGGCCGCCCGAGTCAGTCGAAATCTTTCGCGCCGAAGCGCGCGGGACTGTGCGAGGTCCGGAGCGGGCGGCGACGGCGCCGAGATACTTTGCGGACAGCATTTTTGATCTCTGTGTGGTTGTATGTGTTTTTTTCTGTACATGTCGGTGTGAAATGAGCGGCGGCGGCCAGCCTTTTAAACAGTGTTTTGGCAACTACATTAGTGACGCCTCATTTGCCTCATGGTGACGTTCAGCCATGTAACCAGAAGCTTCTGGTATACATCCATAACCTATGCTGGCTAGTCCTTGCTATTCCACAATAAATTCTCGCTTATACCTACTGCTGCAACGTCCCGATCTGCATATTCGCTTATTATTGCACACTCAGGCATGATTGACCAGGATCAACACGTGGGCGAGACGAGCCAAAAAGCCCGATCTCTCCTTCATTCCCATTAAAATTCTCCCCGATCGAATCGACGATCAGCGACCGCCGTTTTGCTTTGATTGCGTAGAAGCGAGCCGAAACCATCCCCGTGGGACTTTTGCCCAGGCTTGGCCAGCTCTGTCATCCTTCATAGACCGGACAAATATGAGCATGACTGAACAGTTGCAATGAGCGGGCAGGAGGCAAAGTTTCTCCCTTGACGCCCGCAGGCAAGCCACAAAGCGACGGCGCGGAGCGGAAATGACCTCTCGCCCGCCACGCCCCCCGAAATGTAAGACATGCCTGATCCTGACTCGGTTCTTGCGGGCGTCGTTCGAGAAGGTAAACAAAAAAAAAATCAGCTGATTCTAAGACTTCGTGTCTCTCCGATTGCTGCCCGATCTCGATCTGTCCTCTCCCCCGACCTCATCCCTCGCCAAACTCGAGAGGCAAGCCTTCCTCCCTCTTCCCCTCAGATGAGGACCTTGGCAAAGGCCTCCCCCAGCCCCCTTTCGCCCAGCCACGCCTCCAGCGCCCTCATGTCGTTCCTGTTGGCGCGCTCCCCGCGGCGCTCCATCTCGCCCGTGATCTCGCGCATCTCCGCGAACGCCCGCGCCGCCGGGCCGCCGAGGCGCTCCCGGTACCGCTCCGTCACCTTCTTGTGGTGCGCGGGGATGTCGCCCCAGCTCTCCGTTTTGATGACGCGCATGTACGCGTCGACGGCGCGCGCGGAGCCCTCGACGCACAGCAGGCCCGGCTTGCCGGCCAGCAGGAAGCCGGTGAGCCCGTGGGTGGGCGCGTGCCGCACGAGGTCGTCGCGCTTGGAGCGCGTGCTGATGGACGGGAAGTAGAACCACACGCGCGTCAGGTCCTCGACGTCGTCGGCGGCGGCGTGTGTTGGGATGGCGGCGGCGGCGGCGGCGGCTGCTTCCTCGGCGCGCGAGTGGTGTAGAGAGGCGGCGGTTGTGATGGCTTCAATGGTCGCAAAGAGGTCGTCGTTGTCGTCTTTGGGCAGCTCGGCCATCAAGTTGGTGGCCTCGGCTTTGCTCATCCAGGACGGCTGTTGTAGCCGTATCCGAGCTGGAGGCGTTTCTTCAGTCGCGACTTGCCCGTAGTGCAATGGAACTGTGATGCTGAGTTGCACCGTCCGGAGAAAGTCGCCGTTGTCTTCAGAAGGGATCTCCAACTGTAGCTGCAGGTCGATATCGCCAAGGTCCGCCGGTACAGGCGATGTAGAGTCCTCGTCTAGAGCCTCTCGCAGGACTCGAAGGGAGGCTGCTGAGGAGTCGCTCAACACCACACTGCCGTCTATAGGGTACATGGCCGTTAGAAGGTCAATCTGTCCCAGCTGAGCCTCGAGCAACTCCCGCGATAGCATCGCACCCCTCGTATCGCCGCCCTCCATGGCATTGGCGCTTGTGAATAATAGCGCCTGTATCTGTATGGTAGAACTAGCAAACGCTGTCGGATGCAGGACCTGGTGATGAGTTGTGAGAGGATAAATTTGCCGCCCCATTTTAGCCGTGGCGCGGCGCTATGTCGTGACAATGCGACGCCACCATGATCGACGGCGAGAACAATACTTTGGGCATCGTGAGTTTGTAAAGTATTGCTTGGCGATATGCCCAAAATGCTATTCTTTTCGTCTACAGCGTTGAAGGGTTGAATTTTAAGGTTGCTTGACACGACCCCTAACAACTCAGCCGCCAGCAAGGCTGGCTGGACCACGTTCTAGATTCGCGTCCCCCCCCCCAGTAACGGTAATAAAAAGCCGTTTCCAAAGTGGGTTTGGTTTCTCCAAGAAACAACCCACGATGTACCACGATGCGGAGAAGGAAGTTGTGGTTGTTCTTTGTTAACCATGTATAACCCGCGACTGACCGGCTGTGCTCCTGAAGCTCTCACAAGAACCCCGACAACTACCAGATTCTGTAACAAAACGACAACTTCATTTTTCGTCTAGATATAGAACTCAGCCCTCACCATGGCCAACGAACCAATCATTGACACCTCCACCACCTACAACATCGACTACACCACCGATGACATCGTCAACGCCTGGCAGACCCAGCGTCTCCGGATGATCCGGATCGAGCCCGGCGACATGCACGTCCGCAAGGCCCTCGCCGTGCTGCAGCAGGACCCCGTCGTCACCGCGCTCGCCTCCAGCGCCGCCCTCCAACCCGTCGGCGGGCCCGACCTCGACTTCGCCATCGGCGCCATCTCCCAGGCCCAACTCGGCGTCGCCGTCGCCCTCCTCCCCACCGAGCCCGAGGCCGCTTCCTCCGACAAGCCGGTCATCGTCGGCAACATGACGCTCGGCTGGGGCGGCCTCTCCGCGCGCACCGCCCACCACCGCACCGCCAGCGTCGGCATCACGCTCGCCCGCCAGTGGCAGGGCCGCGGCTACGGCGCCGAGGCCATGGGCTGGCTGCTCGACTGGGCCTTTGCGCACGCCGGCCTGCACACCGTCTCGCTGACCGCGGCGGCGTTCAACCAGCGCGCGATCGGCATGTATAAGAAGGTCGGGTTCCGCGTGGAGGGCAGACACAAGGAGAGGATCTTCTTCAACCACGGCTGGCACGACGAGATTGCGTTTGGCATCACCGAGGACGAGTGGGCGCTCTTGCGGGGGAGAAAGTGAAGAAGGAAAGGAAAGAAAGGAGAGAGGCAATCGGTGTGTAGTGAGAGATGAGCATGTGCTAGACGCCTTGCAGGGCTTCCTTGCTTCTTTCGTCTTTTTCTTGATCAAGTCTGTTAAAAATAAAACGTAGGCACACGGCTCTCCCAAACCGATCTAATGACGAGGAAACATATCGTAAATGACAACCTCCCGTGAAACATGAGAAGAGACATGGGCTCAGATGGAGGGTGGCAGCTGCTACTGTGATAAATTGGCCAATGTGCAGCCTCAGGGTAGTAGGCGGTGTCTAATACCAGGCTACTCGGGCACTCTGCGTCATGATTGGTGCATTTCATTTCAGTGCAAATTACCATCGTACGAATGATGAGAAAATACGGCCATTGTAGTCGTCACAAAGCTGGCGGCGTCGGGCGTGTGATGCGCTCTGCGGGAGCAACTGATTCAGTCTAAGATATTAAGCAACACGGTTTTGTGACCCAGATACGAAGAAGAAGCCAAAAATACCACCCAATATTACACAAAGAAGACTCTTTCTCAACAAAAATTGGCTTCCTCCAAATGGTCAACATGACACAACCTTTTTACGCCTTCTTAATGTGGATGGGAAGCGTCGCCGTCGCCGCCCCTCGTCGCGGCGTTGCATTCGTCTCCCTCTGCTGCTGCTGCTGCTGCTGCTGCGGCCTGTTTTCGGCGACACTCGTCTCCGCCTCCCACTGGAAGACGTCCTCGTAAGAAGGCGGCGAGCCTGGAGCTCGCGTCGGGGCCTGGGTGGTGCCGTACTGCTGGCTGGGACGTCGCAGGATCACGGTGATGATGGTGCACTCGACGACGGTCTCGGTGCGTTGCGATGCGGACGACGACCGAGGTCGGTTGCGAGCGCGCTGTCTTTCGTTCCTGAGTCTTCTGGTCAGCAAATCTCGTTCGGGGGGGGGGGAAGTGTAGAGGGGCATGATAACTGTGGCTGGGAGGGATTCGTCGCTGCGATGATGTGATTTCAAGAAACAGGTCTCTGTGGAGGATTGAAGGGACCACAAGATGGGACGAATGTTGGCAGCGAGGCGAGGCAATGTTGGAGTGTTATATACTAGAAGCCATGTCAACGCTGGCCAGGGGTTGGAACCCGAGGAAACACAAAAATTAATAAAAATAGAAAAAATAATAAAAAGGAAAGGAAACAAAATTGAAACAATGCCACGCCAAGGTTCTCGGTTTTCCTTCGGTAGCACAGACTGCGCCGAGGAACATGACAAGTAACGTCTTCTGCCCTTGGGGGGTTTCCAACAAACCTATTGCGGCCAGCTGCCCGCGCCACCGACGGGAACCGGGCGTCTTAACGCTTCCCCTAGTTAGAAGAAAAGCGTACAGGGATCTTTGGACTCACAAAAAGACCTGATCTATGGGTCCAGTTGTACCGGTACAACAACCGAGATTGTTCTGTCTGCTGCCTTCCTCGCATCCGCAGAGCCGCCGTGCCACTTGGAGGCAGGCGGCGGCAGTGCACGCAAGCGAGCCCTGTCGTTTTTGCAGCTCGTGATAAACAGTTGGGATCAAATGACGGCGGGCAAAGTAGCACACCTTCTACTCCAGCGCAGCACCAATTCGTGTGATGGCTTTCGGAGTGGTGTGTCCGTGATCTGATAGGCCAGGTGCGACAGTAACAACCGGACGAGGAGGGGTGGGTGGCGCGTGGAGGGCGAGAGCAAATATGACCCCCATCCTGCTCTCTGCTTGCCTGTATATCTGGCTAACTAGCGAGGGGCCAAAGAAAGCTTCGGACACCCTCCGCGAGGCAGAAGAAGGTGACGCGATATCAGAGGGCTCGGCCGGCTTCACTTATGATCCGGCCGTCTTGAGCCAAGGACTAGCCCCAATCTTTGAGGTAACCTGCCATTGCTTCCGAGGGGCCTGCGCAGATGCAAGGTTTAGAGCTTTAGCTTTTTCCGTCTTCCTCTGCGGCCGCAAGACACTCTCGCGTGTGCGGTGGGTGGTAGCGGTGATGCTGTGATGTGAGAGGTTGAGAGCTGCCGGGTACCTCGTCATTCGGAGCCGACGCTGTTTGGGTGAGACCTGGGGTTGAGAGCATTAGTTTCAAGCATTGACGCTTTCTGATTGGAAGCCGGAAGCGAGGCTGAGACGCCGCCGCGCCCCGGGTATAATAATTTCCCAATGTCTGTGAAGCAAAGCAAAATGCCCTTGCAGTTGTTGCCTGTAAGCCACTTGCCAAGACTCCGAACAAGCCTGGGCCTTGTGCGCTCTCGGCTCTCGCTGGTCCACCGATCAGCAAGAAAGCCCAATTTTTTCTCAAAAAGAACCTACTTTAGTCAGTAAGAAGTAAAACCAAGATGGGTCGGGCCTTGCAGATGGACGGGCGGAGGGACGGAGCGGAGTTCCTAAAGTGCCTGCCAACTCTATTCTGCTCCTCCTCCTCCTCCTCCTCCTCCTCCTCCTCGTCGCTCCGCCGGCAGCGCCCGCACAACCGCTTCTCTGTGGAGGAGAAGACGTGACCATCTCCAAACGGCCGCAACGCTATTCAAAGCCTATCATCTGATAATAGTTAGTTTATGGTGAAACCTTGCGCATGGCCGGTGGAGAAGTACTGCTCTCCTCGGGCCTACTTTCGATGTATTTGCGGATCAGTATCCCGCATTTGTCTCCCTGTACGGCCTGGGAAAACACGTTGGCACTAACCTAGGCAATCAAAGCTCGACAAAGAAGAACTGACGTCTTGTTTGATCAAGATAGATGGCTCCTCCCACACCACGCCCGTCATCGAAGGGCAGAGGAGAGGGAGGGGAGGCTTGTGCGTTACTGCCTGCTCTTCACATGTTAATGTGTGTCGCGGCTTCTTGTACTTCGCGGTCCGAGTAATCTATCGACCATTATTAGTGAGACAGACATGCAAGTCAGCTGTTACAACGTAACAACCGCAAAAATCCCTCTCCATGCTCAACACTAATTATAGAATCACTCAGAACCGAGCTCCTTTCCCGTCATTCAATACCTGATGGGCGTTATACCTAAACTGTCGTGCCGAGTCACTCTTTCTCCCTCCCCCTTCTCTCTTTTCTACTTACACGGCGTGACCGATGCAAGTTGGCGGAGGCAAGCCTCAACTACACGAGGCGTCCGTCGATCCGCCCCAGTGCGATGACATGTCGGGCACGATCCGGCCGTGTGTCTGTGTACCCTCCTCTTTGAACCCTTTCGCCAACCACAAATGATCTTTGTTTTTTCTCGTAGATTTCTTTTCAGTTGTTGTGCTTGCTCCTGCTGCTGTGATTCTGTTCTTTTTTCCGTGCTAAGTGCAACTGTGACTACTTGCCTTCCTCGTCCTGGAGAACAACTTGCAGAACCCCCCGCCGTTAAACCAATGGCAAGCCACATGGACGAGGAGGAAGGGCTACCCCTTATGCAGATCAGCTGGTACATATCCGTGTCGCTGATCTCACGCGTGTTTTCCTGGCTCTCGGTATCTATAATGACTGGCCCCCGGTGGGTGCTGCTGCCGATAGCGCCCTGTCCTTTCGATTGGGCGCACGGCATGCAGCTTGCTTGCGTTGCCTGGTGGCTGCCACACCAAGCCGCCCCTTGCGGTTGCTCCCACTGCAAACCATTTGATCCTTCGCGCCAAATCGAGGATGCAAAGCGAGGAGGGAAGCCCCCTGCCTCTGGTTACACCGACTCTTCTCCTCGACCTCTTTCGGAGTGAGCGTGGGAAGAAGCCATGTAAACCGAAAAGGCATCTCAACCCTAAGAAACCAAATTTCAGGGCGTGAATCAGAAAGATTGCGCCCCAAGAGTAGAGATATCTTAGCCTGCATGTGTCAGTGGCTGAAAAACCTGTAAAGAGGGGAGAAAGCAACCGCTACCATGCAGTGTCAGCGCTTGTGCCTGCGGGCGTCACCTACGCCCCCTCGCGCCGCCACGCAATAAGGCGACGCGTGTGATGAATGACTCCTACTACCTTAAAATAGGTAAATTAACCGAGAGGCTAGAGACGATAAAGAGTTGCGAGCACGCGACTCGGTCCGCGCAAACCGGGCTTTTTAGCGGCGGCTCCGCGCCGATGCGTCACTCGGCCGGAGACAGCCGCTCCACGGTAGTGCATGACATACCTTCTTGTCTTCATATGCGTGGATATGTGTCTGTGTATTTGTCCGTGTATGTCGCTGATGCTGGCAAGAGTTGAATATCAAGTCTGTAGATTAAGTAGCAACCCTATCTATCTTTACCAAGCTCCAACCTAAGAAACGTCCAGTCATCTCGCCACTCTCCAAAAAGAGGAAAATAGGAGACCCACTGATAAATACAAATGAAGCAAGTGGCAAGTGCAAAAAAACGAGCAAAGGGAAACGAAAAAGAGTGAAAAAGCCTTCTTGAGCGCAAAAAACAACAACAAAAACTCCGCTTTTCATGCTGTACATGGCCCACAAGTTCGAATAAATACAATTGCAAGAAATCAAGTCGTTTGCAGTAAGTGCTTTTCTTCCAGTTTTACCTTGTTTCCTGCTGCTGCTGTTGCTGCTGGTACTGCAGGTCCCATAATACAGCTCGTCGACAAAACAAAATCGTGATCCTGGACGATGCCTCAAAAATTTCGGCTCGACCTGTTCTTGAGCAGGTCATCCATTCCACTTCCGCCGTAATACAACGGTTAATTACAAAATAGGTGTATAAGTCTCCATCCAGGAGTAATAAGTGAAGCTTCGAAAAAATAAAAGACGTGCATGTTGGCGTTTTAAAATGCGTAAGTGATAGAAGATCGAGAAAGGAATGGTCTCGGAGAGTAGTCGAGGGCAGGTCAGAAGCGGTCTCATGTGAGACGATGCGATTTAGGCGTAAAATGATTCGACAAAGTAGATCAGACCAAAGGCCAGGAAAGCGACTGCACCGCCAACAGTCACAACCTTCAGGCTGACACGGCCAGCAATGGCTCGCCCTCCAATAACGGCAACGCCGGTGCAGATGGCATGGCCAACGGCAGCACCCAAAGTCACCCACCAGTAGTCCTGGCCAGCAGCCATGGCAATGGTCGCAATCTGACTTCGGTCGCCCCATTCGCCGAGGAAAGTCATGATGAAGGTCTGCACCCAGATGGGACTGATGAGCAGGCTGCAGAGGTTGCTGGCCCCATACAGGAAGCCGCCCAGAGGCCCGGCTTTTCTAGAAGGATGGCGGGATGGCGACTGCGATGGAGAGCGCGGAGGAGAACCGAGCCGGCTCTTAGATCGTGACCCCCGGCCATTCAAGCCCATCTCAAGGGCGTCTGCCGACATAGAACCGTTGTGGTCACGGCCAAACTCCTTCTCTTTTTCCGCTAGTTCTTGCTCGACCTCGCGCATCTCGGCACCGACGCCTTCGTGTGGATCCATCTGCATGCCCTCGCGCAACAGCTTCGCACCAAAAACGAAGAAAAGCCCCGCGGCAAGCAGACTGGTGAGGCGCTTGGGGATCAGAGTAGGCACAGCGTGGCCGAGAACCGCGGAGAGGACGGTCATGACCAGCAGAGCACCAAACGCGGCAGAGAAGACGACGAGTCTGTCATGCTTCATCGCCATTAAGGCTGCGACCAGAAAGGTCTTGTCACCAACTTCAGATACGAGAATCATGGTGAGAGACAAAACGAAGGAGTGGAAGGGCTGAATGATCCCCTCGTCGACGTCGGCAAGAGGTGTTTTAGATGATGGGTTGGTGGTCGTCGTCTTGGGGTTGTGGATTTCGAGATGGTCCTTATCAACAGACTGCGGCACCGGTGGTTGCTCGCGTGTCTTTTCGCCAAGATCGTCGGGTTTCTAAAGGCACATTAGCAATGAGGTAGGGGATTGCTTTTGGGGCAAAGTCTTACATCGAGTCCAGCATAACCGCCATTATCGCCGTCCTTGATGGCTTCCTTGTCCAGAGGTTTGGTCTTTGGCTTCTCCTTGCCGCCGTTCAACTTTTCTTCTTCGCTATGAGGTAGAGGGAGCTTCTCCTTGGGAGGTTCTGGTTGTGTGACGAGCTTTTCACCCGTCTTGCCCTCCTGGGCTTTGCGAGCCTTGTCTTTTTCTGAGACGCCCCCTTGGTTACCGGTGGTGCCCTCCTTGGCCTTTTGGCGGTTCTTGTCAAACATGATGCCATCGTTGGTCTCAGGAATCTTTTTGCCATCAACAATTGTCGGGTCATCGGGTCTACCCTTGATGTTCTCTAGGGCAGCGACTGATTTGCCGTCCGTGGTTCCTTTGGTCGACTTGCCATCCGTCTCGACAAAAGGACCCTGGTGCGGCTTGCCATCACGGCCATCAACAGGAGCGTCTTTGGTGGGTAGGCTGGTACGGCCTTTGGGCGCGGTAATGTCGTCATTGGCAACGATGGCACCAGTATTGTCGATTGAGGCAGCCCCAGAAGCTGCTACAGGGTCTTTGAGAGCGCCGACTAGCGCGGGAAGGATCAGAAGCAAAAAGGGCGAGTTGGAAGGGAATCGCATCGTGTCGAGTGTTGGCCGCGAACTGCGGGCTCGAGGGTTGGGGTCGTATGAGGGTCGTCGGTGTCGTACGTCGGCTGGAGATGATGGCGGCTATCACAGTCTGCCGATCGTGTCGTCGTCCTTTGTACGGTCGAGCGCCTCCGGATTTGGGGAAAGGGGGGGTGGGGGTTGGCGCGGTTTGCGGGTTGAATTGGTCTCGAGCCGCGTGTATGCGTGAATGCGCAGTCGCTCCGGATGGCACGTTAAAGGCAGCAATGCAAAGGAGAGTCGATGTCGAAGAAAGACTAGTCGCTGCGAGGTGGGAGAAAGGAAAATGAGACGAAATCAAAGGAGAAGTCGATGGAATGCAGCAAAGGTTAGGGAGGGATGAAGTAGGCAAAAGAAAGCTCGCGTGGGATAAACGGATCGAGGATTGGGAATTTTTCTGGGCCACTGGTGTGAAGGCTGGCTAGGACGATGAGAAGGATTCCTACTGGTGGGTAGGGGAGGTTAGGGTGGGGAGGCGATCGAATGTGTGACCAGCAAAGGTTAAAAGGGGGTCTTTGGAGTGTTCCAGGCTGGCTTCAGGGCAGCTTGGTTTGGTAGGGGCCGACACGGAGAAACCTCTCATAAGCTGGAACACAAGTCAAAAATACAAGTAAAAAACTACAAAAAATGGAAAGAAAAATGTTGCAGAGCCGAGCAGAGATACCACTTATGGAGGTAAAAATAGGTACCTGGCATCAACAAAATTTACAGGGGATATGCTAACCATGGTACTGCCAGGTTGCCAGGTACAGGTAAACAGGGGCTCCCCAGGCCGGTTTGCACTGCCGCAGCCTCCCCATTCCACCAAGAGCCCACTATAATCAACTGCAAGTCCACCTCCACCGCAGGAGCTAAGCCCCAGCACGCCCCCTCTGGTGCTTGTGGCACGAAACCCCTTTTCCTCGAGGCAACTATTTCTTACCTTACCACAAGAGACAGATGTTTGTGAAACACGGCACGCGATGGCTTGAAATAAATTTGCATTTTCTCCCTTTTTTCTTAATTGTAATTCGTACGTATCGGTTCGTTAGCTACTGGAAGGCGCTCCCGCTATGAGCCCGATCATCCAGAATACGAGTAGATTGATTGCCTGGGCCGCGTCATGCCGTCAGCCAGTGCATTGATATCTCAGCCAAGAAATCATAGCCTGCTACGATTTTATCCCCGGACCACCCCTTGTTGACTGGCTGGCGCCCGGCCCGCTGCTCCGCTTATTACGACTGCTCACCGTCATGATATGAGCATGCCAGTGTCTATCCGTATATATTTAGCATCCAGTGCATACTGAGTCCGTACACAGACCCAAGAGAACGTGCAAGTGGGTTCTTCTGCATCGCCTGACAGCCTGACAGGGGGTTCATCTTGAATGTGCTAGGGGGCCATCCCTTTCCTACTCCCGCCCTTGCATGTAGACGTGGTTGAGCCGCGATTCGCGAAAAAAGAAAAAAGCAGACATTCAACTGGGCATTTCTATTACAAACGCTGGGAATGCGTAGTATTGACAGCATGTGTATCCATTCGTCGAAAGTAGCAAATTCAACTAGTTACTGGTCGTTACCACCTGATCTATACGCCTTATTTTATTGGGTTCCAAAGCAATCTCGTCAAGGGTAGGATTGCTTTATGTGCCCGCCGCCCCATTCATGATATCCCATCTCAGGCCAGGACTCTAAAAGTAGTTGCGGATCATTATCGACTAGAACGATATGGTGCAAAAGTGTTCTTACGCAAACAAGCCAAGGATTCTTTTTTCTCCGAATGGCCCTCCGCTACAACTATACAGGATAGACAAGCATCCAAGGTGCCCCAAGGAACGTCCGTAGATCGCGGTGAACACCCTCTCAGTCAAAAGGCAGCCCACTGCGACGTATTGTTGACTTTCTAAATTGAGAAACATTGAACCCCGCTTGTGACCGTGGAACGTCACCAGCGAGTTGTCGCTGGGGTGCACGTCCCAGTCGTACTTGTTGTCGCCAGTTACTTGTGGACTAAGAAGGATTGGGGCGACCGCAAGTGAAGGAGTCAACGTAACGAGACGAGGATGGCCTTTTAAAAAAAAAAAGAGGCGACGGTAGCTATGTAATATGCCATTGCAGAGTATCTGAATCACGAACAACAGCGTATCAACACACAAAATGCAACTCCTCAACTCCAGCAAGGCTATCCAGAGACACATCGGCCCCCTACCGTGCTTACAAGTGAATATGAGCGATTGGTGTGACGACAATGTTAAAAAGAAGCACAAGACTGCAAAAATTCGAAGGCCAACATCATATGTTACCATAGCCATACTTCGAAGTAAGACTTGCGCATGCCTGCCCTGAAAACAGCTGCTTCAGTTCTGCTCCACTAGGCTCTGGTGGCTCGTACGCTGGCTGCAGCAAATGAGGAACAACAAATCTGCATTCTCTGATGATGAGGAAGTCGCGATGGTTGCTTTCTGGAATCCAGCCCTGTTCAAACTTTTTTCCCCAACTGAGTAAAGGGTAGGGCTGAGAGTAGACTGTTTCACAACAGAGCATGCCGAGGAATCATCTCTCCAGTTCGATTCTACACTCAAAGCCTACGCGGAAGTAAATGTTCAATATTTGCAATATTCTTTTTGTACTTGAGTATTAAATTTTTTTGGTTTCGCAGAGATATCTGTCGATAGAATTGAATACCTGTTCAAATTTAGTGGCAACATTGATGGCAAGGGTTATTACAGAGCAAACTGCCCGTCGATTATGGCAGAGCAAGAGCTATTATAGCTCACAGGGAAATTCATCTTAAAATATAACCAATAAGTGAAACTTTCACACTTGCATCCAGTCTCACGTATAAACTGTTGTACTTATAAAACGCCCTTTGAACATCTTCAAAGACGCTGGCGCTCCAGCTCCACATACTTATGTACTGTAGCTATGTACCTATAAATGTACTGTACATACAACCATACATAGTACTGTAGGTACCCACTGAAGCCACTGTCCGACCATGCCTAAAACGATCCAGAAGGCCTGGAACTAGCTCGGAGCTGCTTGGCTCGTTATCTCCGCATGTCGTCACGGCATTGATAATTGGTAATAAGGCCAGTCCTACAGCCGACCTGCCGCCGGCCGGATGTTCGTCATCAACGGTTAAGCGTCGCATATTGTTGCACGTGAGCTACGACCCATATCATTCATCACTTTTCGCATCCTCGATATAAATCTCAGCTTGACAGCCCCTTCTGGCCCCTGTAATCTCGACCCGCACCTCTACCACCATGGCCTCGCATGGCGACGAGCACCCGGCTCGCGACCAGCAAACGTCTGCTGAGGATCGGAGCCAGTCAGAGTCCGACGCAGGCAGCCACTGGTACTTCACTGTCGACGAGGGTATCGACGACGATGAAGATGATGCCGACTACGTGGATGCTCCGGATGAGCTCGATGATGACGACGACTTGGAAGGTATGCCACTGTACACGCAGCTCACCGGCGGCATCGCATACTCACAATATGCTCAACAGATGAACCCAGAAATATCGAATTTCAAGTCACTTTTGGCAACGATGATGATGAAGAGATTGAAATTGACCAAGAAAGTGACGAGGCTGACGACGACGAGGATGGTGAAGACGACGGGGATGACTTTGATGAGGACGACGCGCAGCATCTACCGGCTGGGGTAACCACCGAGTCAGCCCTTCGCTTTCTAACACTGCTGCGAGGTATGCCTCGGTTGCTTCTATGTCGTCTGGTCCAAAGCTGACTGCCATGAGCAGATACTAGAACTGGCCTCGTCAGTAGAGCCCAAGTCCTAGCGCTTCTTACAAACACCCAAATAGGCCACCGCTTTATAGAGGAGCAAAATGACGATGAGCTGCAGCGGATATTCGGCTGGGGCAGGTCCCGACGTCGCGCCACAAAAGACCCCAACCGCTTCCCCAAAGTACCAAGCGTCGAGGGTAGAAAACTGATGCACTCCGGCGCCTTTGGCTCCAGCAACGAGCCCATTCGTCACAGTGCCAGAAAGAGGATGGCGAGACGCATGCTCGAGAGAGAACTTGGTATTGGTGACAGACGGCAGCGCAATCGCAATACTGACTTGATAGCACAGGTAAGATTGCTGCTCCGATGATCTTGTTCAGTGGAATACTAACAGCGGCCAGTCGCTCGTGCCCTCCACCAAGGCTGAGCAGATTATACATTACGACGAGCCTATCTACTCGGGCCAATTTTCCGACGATGGCAACTTTTTCTTTTCCGTGTGCCAAGACTTCAAGGTTCGCATGTACGACACTTCGAACCCGTATAGGTGGCAACATTACAAGACGGTCAGCTATCCTGGCGGCCAGTGGACGCTGACCGATGCTTCGCTGAGCCCAGACAACAAGTGGCTGGCCTACACATCTATCGATAGCCTTGTCTCTATTGCTCCCACAGATCCAAACGATCGCGGCGACCCTTATGCCCTCAACCTGGCCGACGGCATCCGGCGAGCAAATGGCTGGGGCTTTCATCGTGGCGGGTTCGGCATCTGGTCTATCCGCTTTTCTGGTGACGGTAGAGAGCTTGTTGCTGGCACCAACGCGCACTCGTTGGTTGTCTACGACATTGAATCGCGACAAGTGCTACATCACATCGAGGGCCACGAAGATGACGTTAATGCCGTGTGCTTCGCCGACAAAATGTCGCCGCATATTCTCTACTCAGGATCAGACGATGCTACGATCAAAGTCTGGGATAGGAGAAGCATGGGCGATGGTCGCGAGGTTGGTGCCTTTGTCGGCCACATCGAAGGCTTAACGTACATCGACAGCAAAGGCGACGGGCGCTACATTCTTAGCAACGGAAAGGATCAGAGCATGAAGCTTTGGGACCTCAGGATGGCTCTATCCACCCATCGCTTTGAAACTGTGCGGTATGCACACCAAGCCAACGCCAGCGGCTTTGACTACCGAACCGAGATATACGACGAGTACGACTGGGACGTCCACCCCAACGATAACTCGCTGGTGACGTTCCGCGGTCATAAGGTGCTGCGCACGCTCATCCGATGTCACTTTTCGCCGCCGTCGGCCACCAACTCCCGGTACGTATATTCCGGCAGCGCCGACGGAAAGGTGTACGTCTACAACATGGACGCCACCATTGCGCAAATCATAGATGTGAAGCAGGCTACAGCCGGCACGCGACGTTTTGACCGTCACACACGCCTGTATTTCGATGAGTCCAGCGGCTGGAACACATGCGTGCGCGACGCGAGTTGGAACCCAAACGCTCCAGTGATTGTTGGTAAGCACACCTCTACTAGATTTTCTTTGAATCGCCACCCCGTTCCTTTTTGCTCCTTTTTTCTTTCTTTTTTTTTTTCGAAGAAGAACTGACAATTTGTAGCATCAGCATGGAACGGATACAACATGGCTCGCGGTACATGCACAGTACACTCCTTTAACGAGGCGGATGAAGATGAAGGGGAGCCAGGGATGGGACGATCCGTTGATCATATGCTGAAAGATAATCCCAACTTCTATCCATCGCAATGAAGTGTATAATACGTTTATTAGTCAACCTCTTGAGTATTTCAGCGTATATCAATGTAAACTTCAATTTCACCGTAAAAGAAAAGATGAAATCTGTCGCAGGCACCCGGGCTGACGGATAATCGATGCTCCACCCGGGTGGCTCGTGCGCTCGTCCTCCAGCTAAAGCGAGCCTGAGAGCGTTGCTGGAGCTTCCAACTTTCATCAGAACGCGAGTGCAGTGCGTGACAGACTGACTCCAGAGCACACCAAAGCATCAGCTTGAAACACAAACGGCCTTGACAGACGAAAAATATCTCTCTGACAGGCTGCGCCCGACTTCCAACGACGCGGCACCGCAACCAGACCGGAACACGACACACAATTCCTACCCGTAACGGCCCAACCGAAACTGAGGACGCACGCTGCCCAACTGGAGCGATATAACAAGCAAGATTGGTGGTGTCTGACGGGAGGCGTTGATATTCTCTCTTTTCTCTTGTTCTTATCGGCTGGTCTATCTGACCGCAATACCTGTATCGAGCCCGCGTTTGCCTGGGCAAGAAAAGCTGCGACCGTCAGGACTTGTGATCGATTGAGGCATAGAGCATCATCGTTTCCGTACGGCACAGAGGAGGCTTCTGCCGTGTGTGTTACACAGTCCACTTTCCATCTGATATCTCCCCGGGAATGTACGTATTAGCATCGATTCCAGTTTATTCACTGCCAGCCTACTGTGTTTTGCAGACGGCCCTGCTTAGCAATTTGCTTTTGCCTGCTCACGGGGCTCAACCGGTGTTCACACGACGGAGTGAGCAGGCGATGCTGCTGCTTTGTATCTCGAATCCTTTAATAACAATATTTAACAATCTCTCTGCAGCACTGGTTACATAACCTGAAGGCGTTCTTGGCCCCCCTACCAGCGCCGCTTTCTTTCAAGATGTCCGAGGAAGCTGATTTCGAAATCGACTTCTACGGGGACGAGGGCAACGATCAGCAGGATCAAGGCCAGAAGAAGTCAGAGCACCAAAACGATGAAGGGCAAACGGGGCACCACGACAATAGCCATCACCACGACGGCCACAGAGGTGGCAATCATGGCGGAGATGACACGATGGAAGATGAGAATGGCCACAGCTACGAGGAACAAACTTCGCAGCAAGGAACGAAGCGCAAGCAAGATGACGACAACAAGGTAGTTGACACGACGGCAACGACTGCCCTGATGATTTCCGAACTGAATTGGTGGATCACCGACGACGACATTCGAGGATGGTCACGCGCCGCCGAGGTCGAACACGACCTAAAGGATCTCACCTTTAGTGAGCATAAGATCAACGGCAAGAGCAAGGGGTAAGAATATAGTCGTATGCACGTCTCCATCCGCTAACATCATCTCAGACAAGCGTACGTCGAGTTCAACACTCGCCAAGGAGCCACTGCAACCAAGCACCACGTGGATAAGTTGAGCTCAGAAGATACACAAGGTGGTGTGCACAAGAAGATTACTGTTATGTACTGGAACTCTAGTGCCAACCCCTTCAAGACGCTACCAAAAGACGCACCGGCTAGAGGCAAGGATCAGCAGTCAAGAGGACCGACGGGTGCGTATAACAACGACCGCGGCGGCTACAGCGGCAACTACCGCGGGCGCGGCAACTTCAATAACCGTGGCAACATGGGACAAAACAACTACAACCGCAACTATAACAATATGGGCTACAGCAACATGGGCGGCGGTGGCTACAACGCCAACCCCATGGCAGGAGGCAACTTCAACAACTTTAACCGTGGCGGTATGATGAGCGGTATGCGCGGCGGTATGCGCGGTGGTCGCGGGGGGAACATGATGGGCATGAACCCCGGCATGAATGGCATGAACCCCATGGGTATGCCCATGGGGATGATGGGCGGCATGGGAAATATGGGTAACATGGGAATGGGGATGATGAATCCCGGCATGCAAGGTATGAATAACCAGTCCTTCGGACCTTCCAACCGCACAGTAGAGGCACTCCACTCCTGCCTCCTCGCACAGCAAAGCACCATCAACCATACTTGGTGCGGTCAAGTGGCCGGTACGAATGTCCACCCAGCAAGTGGGACATACCCTATGGGTTCTCTCACGATGCACTCTCGCGTGCGTTCGCACAAAGGCGCCGCACTATGGCCTCATTCTATGCAGCAACAACAGCAGCGAAGAGGGGTGGCTCAATCGAATCGCAACGCACAGCACTCACATTCCCGTCAAGACACTTACCAATCAAGAATCAACTCCGCTAACAGCTCGTACCAAGGCATGAACCCAGGCTTCAACCCTGGCAACTTCAACTTTGGACAAAACCAGAGTGGTGGTGGCAGCGGCGACTGGGGTAATCCTCACGGCGCCAAGCGACCACGGCCGGAATAAGGAGGCCCTCGGGGTATAGGAGAGTCCCTTTCAGGGGCTGGATGGGGGTATTAAGACTGTTTCTATTTATGAAATGGGGCAGAATGAAGCGCACTGGCAGCAGGCCGTGTGGAAAACTGGGATATATGGGTGAATTTTGGAGTTTTTTGATTCTATTTTCCAATTCGGGTGCGAAAACATGTATTATAACACGAAATGCATCGTCTCTCAAATATGAAAACCTGGCTAAATTGTTTTGCTTATACGTATTAACCCTCGTTTTAGGCTACAATGACGAGTAGAATTTTTAATTTATATGAAACTTGTATCTCCTTATTACTATTATTCCTCTAACCTCCTTCGCGTACTCACCACCAGATCCTGGATCTGCAGCCAGCGATCCCGCATAATCTCCCTCGAAAGAGGCTCCCCGGCCGTTGCTCCCTCCACGTCGGCTATGCGCGCGGCAATGTCCTCCTCGTACCGCCGCAGGACCCCCACGAGCGCCGCGTCGACACGCTCCCGGTCTGCATCCTCATCGCGCTCGCCATCCAGCACCTGGCGCCACCGCAGCGGGGTCAGGCACAGCGCGCGCAGGGCGACGTGCGTGCGGTAGCACGCCGTCTGGCGGTCCAGCATGTACCCTCCCCAGAAGCCGGCCTCCTCCAGGCGCTGGCGCGCGCCGGGCACCGCCGCCAGCGCCGGGCACAGCTGCTCGTCCAGGCACGTCTCGTCCCAGGCAGCGTCGAGCGGCGGCGGCAGCGCGAAGCCGTACTCGACGAGCAAGAAGTCGTTGCCGTGCGGCCCGTACTTGATGAAGAGCTCGTCACCGGGGGCGTGCCGCGCGCGGGTGGTGATGGTGAAGGCGGCGTCATCAAAGGAGCCCTCGCAGACGTCGGCGGCGGCGGGCGAGTGGTTGAAGAGGTCGGCGACGGGCTGCAGCACCATGTGGTCCTCGCGCGGGCGCGTGGCGGTGCCGCGCGTGGTGTGGTAGAAGGAGCGCGTGTTGACGAGGAGCCACGCGTGCCGGAAATCGTCCCAGGTCGGACGGCGCGGGCGGGAGGGGAAGGAGGCGGCCTCGACGGCGGCCCAGTCCCGCTGGAAGTTGGCGCGTTGTCGGGAGAGGAGCTTCGCGGCCTTGTGGGGGAGCAGGGCGCGCAGCTCGGCGGGCCAGCAGAGGGGGAGGAGGGTGTGGACATCTTCCCGTGAGGGGAGGACGCCGCGCCACGCGCCGAGGGAGGAGGAGCTGTTGTCGCCGTCCTCGTCGTCGCCGTCAAGGCACAGCGCAGCGGCTAGGATCGCATGTACGCTGGCGCCGGGCAGCTGCGCGACAATGTCCCGTGGCGTGTTGGCGAGGGACCGTAGTGTATTTGTAGGCACGCGCAAGATGACTTCATTTTCCTGTGAGATTTTTGCTCGTCAGTATATCTGTTGGTTGAGAGCTGGGCCGGGTGTGGATGAGATTTTCACCTCGAGCTCTCGTGTTGCTACAATGCCGAGGCCACGGCCGTGTAGTTGCTTTGGGGCGCAGCCATTGATTTCTATGCCTTTTGTTTTGGCCCAGGCGAGGAGGTCTTGTATTTCTGACTCCATTATAGAATACTTGTGTTGGTTGATGTAGATGATTAAGATCTGTGGTTCCACAGACAAGCACGCCTTCACTGAGTCACGGGTGGTGGAACCGTACAGCCGCGATAGGGGAGAGTAGTAGCGTGGGTTGGACTGCCAGCCCGAGAAGAATAAAAGAACAGTCATAAAGGTATCAATATATTATGACTATTTTCGCTGAATTTTGCCGGAAGTTCTTTCATATGTCCTTATTAGGGTCTTGTACCGGAGGGATCACACTCACTTTCTTCATTACCAGTGTTTGGTTCAGTGAGCACACTTACATCTTAGTACATCACCTCACACATAAAAGCATTCTGATATGAATTTTCCAATTTTAACATAAATATGTCGACCTCTGATTAAATAAACTCAAAAATGGACCCCAGAATGTTGCCTTCAAGAGGTGTTGCGTTTGCCTTGAAAACTTGGAGCAGCACCTACACTATACAGGTAGGGTTCTTAAACCCGAAAGCAGGACACAGGTTTCCGCAAGAAGCTTTCCAGACAGTAAGCTGAAAAAATGAGTACTAGATCATCTGTCCATAACTGCGTTATAAGCTTTCTAAATTGTGTAAATCTGGTAAGTATGGTGGCTCGTAAGTCTCATAGATGAAAGTACCCGATGTCGCCCCACCACCAAGAATGGCCTGACTTGACATCAGTTTCGGAGCTACCTTGCCCTATCTCTTCTCCTCCAACCCTCGACTTCACACCCCTTGAAGCTCCCATACGCATCAACGTGGGCACAATGGCTTCGATACAATATCTCCGACCGGCTGCCCGCCGAGCACTGCAAATCCGGACGTGCGCGGCGTGCGGCGCGGCGTCTAGCCAGCGCGGCTTTTCCGTCTTTAACCGGCCGCCGCCCAACTACGAAGGCCATGTGCCATTGACAAAGATTGAGCGAGCCGGTCTCGCCATCGGCTCCGGTGTCATGTCGCTCATCAATCCCTACCGCCACGGTAAGGTCCTTGTCCAACTGAAAACCGCCTCTCCCCGCCCGTGTCTTCCCTCCCACTGACCACCCACCCGGGTCCAGACCTCATCGCAGCCCTCGGCGAAGCGACCGCGACCCCGTACTTCATCTACCGCCTGCGCGACGCCATGCTCGCCGACGCCACCGGCCGCCGGATTCTGCGCGACCGACCGCGCATCTCCTCGCGCACGCTGTCCATGACGCGCCTGCGCGCCCTCCCCGAGGGCACCGTCGGCCGCGCCTACGTCGACTGGCTCGACCGCGAGGGCGTCACACCCGACACGCGCTCCGCCGTCCGCTACATCGATGACGAGGAGTGCGCTTACGTCATGCAGCGCTACCGCGAGTGCCACGACTTCTTCCACGCCGTGACCGGCCTGCCCATCGTCAAGGAGGGCGAGGTCGCGCTCAAAGCCTTTGAGTTTGCAAACACCCTGCTGCCCATGACGGGGCTCAGCATGCTGGCCGTCATAACGATGAAGAAGAAGGAGCGCGAGCGCTTCTGGGCGATATACCTGCCGTGGGCGCTGCGCAACGGCGTCCGCAGCAAGGAGGTCATCAACGTCTACTGGGAGGAACGCCTGGAGAGCAGCGTCGACGAGCTGCGACACGAGCTCGGCATCGAGCAGCCGCCGGACCTGCGCGACATTCGGGCTAGGGAGCGGGCGGAGCGCAAGAAACAGGCAAAGCAGACTGCATAGCTTGGATGGTGGAGGGTGTTGTATTTTTTTGCGTGAAAACTGTATTACTAGCTGTAGCATCATAGCGCATCCCCTGTAATTTGAACAGCATCAAAGTTCACAGAAACGAGGGCTTCGTGCAGGTCGTAGTAAATCTTTTGTGGGAGTGGTGCGCGTTGCTGCCTCGCCCCAGGCTTACAAGTCGAGGAAATCGTCATCGTCGTCCCACGCCTTGCGCCGGCTCACCACAATCTTCTCCTCCTCCTTCTTCTCCGCCACCGCGCTCAAGAGCTCCTTGAGCTGCTCTTCTGTGACCTTTTGTCGCAGCTGGCCCGACTGCGCCAGCGCAATCAGCCGGTTCTCGATCTCGGTCGCGCGCTCCTCCTTGACGAGGCGGATGCGGCCCAGGCGGTCGGCGGCCTCGGGCTGTAGGATCTGGTTGAGTATGCTCTTTCGGGCGTCTTCTTGCTGCCTGGGCGTGTCACTGTCAGATCTGTGCATGCAAAATTATGGTGGTATGCGTGCCGGCAGTGTGCTTGAAGACTTACTGCTGCTGTTGCTCCTGGTCTTGTGAGCCGCCACCGCGCTGGCCACCACCACCACTACCGCCACCCTGCGCCTTGAGCTGCTGGAGACGAGCCTGTCGGATCTGAAAGGAGTATTAGTATCCTGTAGAAATCGTAAAAGGCAAGACCTGATGTTACCTGTTCAAGCTCGGAATCGTCCATCGCGATTAGTTATGTTCTTTGCAAACGCTAAAGAGAGTCCCCGCCGCGGGGCAGAATACCTGCAACTTTAGAGGGGCATTTGCTGAATTACATAATAAAGGTTACCTGGACGAAGCACGAACACCTCGATATAAGCTGAAAAGAATATATGAGGATTGTATTTGCGTCGTTTCAGTACAGAATATACATCTCCCCAATTACTGTGCTTCTAGAGTTTCTCATTTACCAGGCGGCCTGCAACGCGGTGGAGCTATGTACTTTGCAGCTACTAGTAACTCGTAAACGGGAGCTGGAAATGCCAAGGAAAGCTGTCCATAGGTAGATTGGAGATACAAGTATGCGACTGGGCAGAGGCAACATGTTTTTGTACCTATAATTGCACTTCTAGTTGCCATTGAAATGGGAAACTGTGTTGGCCATGAGGAAGACCCCTCTTGACTTGGTTGGCTACCCTGTAGTTGTAACTTCATTTTTGGTATTTTTCACAATCTTCTTCTTTCTAATGTAATGTTAGTTGGTTTCTAGTCTCAGTCAAACGAAATATAGGGCTTTCTTTTACACTGATGATGAAATTAGGCGATCGAGAAAAGGAGCTGCGCCACATAAATGCAGCCACTTTCGGGCTCGCTGCTCTCCGCTATGTTTGGATTCTCAACTTGACACCGACGGCGATGACCTGTGTTGTGATCAATGCCCTCATCATTCACCGCCTGTCATCATATGATGACAGTAGGAGCTTTCGTCAGAACTCTCCGAAAAAACGGCCAACCTCTCCGGGCACTTACAAAAGGCACACAGCCGCAGAGCCGCCCCGTAACGTCATGACCTATGGCTGTGTCCTGTCGGCGCATGCCTGATCCGGTCAGTGATCTACGCAACCTACTCAGCTCCGCCTTGTTCTGCCAACATTTATTCGGTTGTCGGGCGTAATGGGCTCTGCGTAAGCTCCCAATACCCGGGACGTCATGACAAACGTACATGGACGCATGGTATAAATACAGTCGCGGCGGCGCGACTGACTGTGCAGCTTGTGACTTGATTATCCTCATCAGAATCCAGCTTCGTCTTTGTCTGCGGGAACGCTGAGCATATTCAACATGCGCCTCGCATATACACCTGCTGTCATTGCTGCCCTGTGCACCAAGGTAGCTCTCGGTGACTTCATTACACCAACATACCCGACGCCAGTCGACCTCAGCAGCAACCACAGTTTAGCCCGCGCCAGCTGGCAGAACCTTACCTCGTCACTAGACCAGTACCTACAGGGGAAGCTCAATGCTTCAGCGGCTGCCGCGTTTGCGGGTGTGGAAGACGTCACCTTCTCTGTGGGCATGTTCTCGCTGAACGACCCCCAGTCACTCCAGTTACAGTATCATCACGCAGCCGCAGAGGTCAAGAACGCCACGGCTGGCACTAGGAGCGTGGACGAGAACAGCATATACCGAGTCGCGTCTGTGTCTAAGCTTATCACGACCTTTGCTGGCCTGCTACGGCTGAGTGCCGAGGACTGGCACCGGCCTCTATCGGAGATCAACCCGAACTTCAAGCCGCAGAAGAACTCAAGTGCGGTGGACGTTATTCAAACCACACAATGGGACAAGATTACACCATGGGCACTTGCTACACAACTCAGCGGCTTGCCTACGGTGAGTGCCCCCGATTTGTAGTGACTTCACGACTTGCTAACTCCTGATAGCTCGGCTTTCTCGGTGACTACTACAACCAATCGCTGGCCTCGGAGTTTGGCGGCCCTATTGTAAACGTCAGCTCCCTCGGCGCCTGTGTCGCCAATCTGTACAACCACCTAGCTCTTACCTGCTCTACTGCCGAAATCATCTCATCCCTCAAGGACCTCCCGCCCAACTTCCTGCCATGGAAGACACCCGTCTACTCCGACCTGAACTTTATGCTGCTCGGGCTGGCCATCTCTGATCTTACTAACACGTCTATTGCGGACGTGTACAGCTCTGCCATCTTTGCGCCCCTCAACATGACCTCGTCCAGCGCCCGCAGCCAGAACAAGACGCTGTCGCGCGAAGTCGTCGTCGGCACGCTCGAGTCGTACCTGCTGCTGGACTCCCTGCCCTTCACGGCCCCGTCCGGCGGCGTCCTGTCAACGCTCGGCGACCTTCGTAAGCTCGGCCTCGGCATCCTCAACAGCACGCTCCTCGATCGCAACGCGACGGACCGCTGGATGAAGCCCGTCTCGCACACGGCGAGCCTAAGCTACTCTATCGGTGCGCCGTGGGAGATTCACCGCTTTGTCCACCCATCCGGCCGCGTGACGGACATTTATACCAAGCTCGGCGACTCAGGTCTCTACGGCGCCGCGCTGGTTCTGATCCCGCAGTACGACGCCGGTTTCGCGTTCCTCAACGGCGCGAGCGCCGACGGCCGCTCCGAGACTGCGCTCGGCATCCTGGACGCCGTGACCACGACCGTACTGCCGGCCCTAGAAGCTGAGGCGGCCGCCGAAGCGAAGCGCAACTTCGTCGGCACGTACTCGTCTTCTACAGAGGGCCTCAATGTCTCCCTCACCGTCGGCTTTAATGCCTCGCTGGACTCCACCGACGTGCACTCCGGCCTCGTCGTGACCGAGTGGATGTACAACGGCACCGACATCCTCAAGAGCATCTTCTTCCGCGGCTTCACGCCGCGTCTGGAGCAGTCCGTCGTGCGCCGCGGCGCCGACAGCAAGCCCCGGCAGGTGGCCTTTATCGCGTCGACGTACGACCAGACACCGACGTACGCCGCCGCGAAGCTGGGGCCGTGGACAGGCTTCTACCACTCCGATGGGGACTTTATCTACACGGACCATTTTCGTTACGGCGGCCAGCCTGTGCGAGAGCTCGTCTTCGACTTGGATGAGACGGGCGCGGCGGTCAAGTGCACGCCTTCGTACCAAAGAATTGCATTGACAAAATCGAGGCAGTAGTCAGTATGCAGAAGTAGCCAACTTATAGATTTAATATGATTGTCTTTATCCACAGAGCTTTAGGCATGAAGTTGATAAGCCTTGGATATCTAACGAAACATGTATAGTTGTACAGGGTCTATGAGCTAGACATTGTTATATATTCATCCTCCATGCCCGACGTCACCGACGTCTCCTCGATGCGCACGTACGACTCGCGCTTCTCCGCCGCGATCGCGTTCTTGGCCTTGACCAGGTCCCACATCATCTTGTTCGTCGGCGCCTTGACGCCGAGCTCGTGCGCGCGACGCAAAAAGTACCCGTTCAGGTAGTCCACGTTGACCGGGTGGCCCAGGCGAATGTCGCGCACCAGGCCGCCCTCGCGGCCTCGGTGGCGCAGGATGCGGCGGTACAGCGCCTTCTGCGCGCGGTCAACGTCCAGCAGCTCGTGGTACGCTTCAGCGCGGCCAATCTCGGGCATGAGGCGCAGGATGGAGACGATCTCCTCGAGCAGGCTGCTGATGAGCTTGCGCGCGTTGGCGTTTGGCAGCAGGCCCGAGTAGGGCACGTCAAGAAGCAGACACACGGGCTCGACTGCTGAGTCAAATATGACGCCGGGTAGCTTGTATCGGAACCAGCTGTCAAATGGTGTGTATTCTGTGCGGAGGAGCGTGGCTGCCTGTAGCGACCTTACAAAGTTCGTCTGCGTCTCGACTTTGGGTTGCTCCGTCGACATTACGGCGCTTTGGTGAACCGATGTGATGTTCCATATCCCATGGCGCAATTGTCGAACCGAGTCAAAATTTCTGTTGAATGCGAATTTGTGACTCATATTGCCCAGCAAAAACGTGGGCTCCTTTTCTGGCACGGAAAAGATCTTCTGCCGTACGTCTTCCAGGACGCCCAGGCCATCCGTCATCAAGCAGACAGTCGTATCATTATCAACACGATGCTTGACCGCCTCGAGGGCTTCCATTGCCCCTTGAGCTGTATTACTCGACACAACCAGCTCGTCAATGTGGGCGTCGCTTTTGCTCGCAAGCACTTGCCGGCCGACGTTGAGTGGCTCAAAGGTGGCAGTGCCGTGCTTGTCGAATCGCTGTAAGTATCGGTATTTATTTGAGGGTCGAGTCCAAGCCAGTCGCTCGACCGAGTCGTAGACTCCGGAGAGGGCGTGGGCGATGAATTTCGATCGTGCATCTTCGCCGAGAATATGAATCTTATGAACCGTGGGCGATTTTGATGCCTCAGGTGACAGCCGGACAGACGGCACATAGAGCGGATTTCCGTGGCCTTTTTGTATTATCGTCGGCTCGACAATGCTAGATGTGGCTGAGTTGTGCTGCTTCGGTCGGTATGGTAGCTCGGGACCGCCGCGAGGTATTTGCTTGTCCGTGCCGGCGCCTGTGACAGTACCGTAGCACCGTACGGCTCCGAAAACGGAGCATTGGCTATCTCGTGTACATGATATCCGCCTGTGCAGGTCCTTGGCGGACACTCGGGGGCGTGGTAACCGAGCCACTATGACGGGTTGGAGAGCCACGTGCAAGACGAGCTCCCGGCTGAGATGGAGACGACAGCGGCAGGAAGCTCGGCGAATAAATTATTCGGGGTACATTCGCCGTCGGGATTGAATGGCTGTGGCGAAGGAGCTCGTGATAGGTGTTGCGCGGATGGAATTGGCAATGGGTATCGTGATGGTAGGCGACAAAGGAGATTTTCGGAGGCGACGAATGGCAGGCGTTCGGAATGGTCAGCAGCAGGAAATTATTAGCCGGCTTGCCGCTTGGCGCTTTTTTTGCTGGTGAGAGGCAACACCTTGCTAAGTGCATAGCTCGGATAAGTGCATTGAAAAGTTAACACGAGCCACAGCTGCGACGGCATCAACAAGTCAACTACTGTTCTGCGCGAGCACAGCATTGAAGATTGAAATTTAATTCTTTTTGATCGGCTAATCTACTCACCATGGCTGACGTCAAAGATATCACCCGTGATCTCGATAAGCTGGACTCGCAGCTGGACAATCTGGAGGAGGCTCTCGCGCCGCTACTCGGCAACCTAGATGAGTTGTCATCACAACTACCACTTCTCGACAAGGCGAAGCTCTTCTCCCTAGCCGCTTACTCGATAGAATCCTTATTATTCTGTGAGCTCAAAAAGTTGCATGCATTCTGCGCCGTACTGACTATCGTTACAGCTACTCTGAAGCTTCAAGGCGCGGATGCGCAGAACCACCCCGTATACGCGGAGCTCAAGCGTGTGCAGCAATACTTTGGCAAGATCAAGGCCGTAGAGCAGCCCGCTGGAGAGCGAAACACGACTGTTAATCAAGAAGCCGCCGCTCGTGTGCTCAAAGCAGACCTGGTGAGTATACCCTGAGAATTGGGTCCTGCCATATTTCTTTGACTGACCACCTCGGGCCAGAGCGACAATAAGGCAATTAGAGACAGGCTGGCAGAGAAGATTGCTGAGGAGCGCGCCAAGGCGCTGCTGAGATCTGTCGAGGGACGCAAGCGCCCGGCGGAGGATTCGGCGGCCAGCTCTACGGACGATAGCAAGGGCGTCAAGAAGTCAAGAAACAAGCATAAGTCGAAGGGAAAAAGTAAGAAATAGATTGGTAGACAAGGGGGTGAGCGATGGATGGCAAGGAATGGCCACTGATACCCAGATCTCTGAAAGTGGTACAATGCTGCCACGGATGCGCGCAGTTTACGCATTGCGGATATTGCAGTTGGTTTAGAATACATAGATGCATGGCGTTTGGGTAATGGAATTAATCCTTCTTTTTTTTTAAAAAAAAGTTTCCTCAATAATAAGGCAGATTATTGATCAGTGACGGTACTAAACTGTTGATGTTGAGCTTGGTTGGGGCCGTGATTCATGATGTATTAGTTGACTGACAGAGCCAACGCTGCAAGGGCCTTCAAAGAGTACTGGAATCAGTAGAACTTTTCAAAAGGGTTAAAGAAACCTCGCTCGCTGTTCAAGCAGCTGCTAGGAGCTCTTTTGAAAATGCGCCACGCAGTACGCGGCCTGTCGATCCGACGACACCGACTCAAAGGGCTTGCTGACGACGCGCCAAGAGTTTCATTATTGTGATTCTTCCCTGTACGCATACACTAAAATCTTGCCAATTGCGAGAGAGTGAAGTAGCTGCTGAGGCATGCTTCCATTGACTTCATCTACTGGCTTCTTGTCTGGTGCTCAATTCCTAGAGACATTTTCTTCCTTGCGGTTGGATGATATCTTCTTGTAAATATAAACAGTATACTATCCATGGCGTCAGGGATGTGCCATGTCTGGAGTTTCGCCCCTAGGATGATACCAGCGGCCCCCGCGCCCACATGGTTGTCGGTCACAGCAAGACATCAAAGACTTCGCCCTGCGGGGCTGTCGGTGTGCTTTTACGCCCTCCGGTCGGGAGTTTGAAAGGCGAGCCAAGAAGTGTCAGGCTGCTCAAGAACCCTCGAAGCGCAATGATCGCTCGAGGCTACGCTGCCCTATGTGAGAGTGTCTGTTGGCCAGCAGTCGCGGAGCCAACTACGTACTACACACAGGATGCTGTTGGCTCTCGGAGAATGCTACGCGAAATACCAACCATTGGTGGCACTTCAAAAGAGTGAGATGAGTTACGTTCTACTGGAGAACCTTTTATGGTTTGTTGGGACGTCTGATGGGCCGTACACCGTGACAGCTGCCCAACGCAGGGCAGAGCCTGCCTTTTGACCCCGGACCCAACAGCTTCCCCCCACGCTCGCATGCAGGCTGCCAGACGCATCACATCAAGGTGGCGTGATAATTAAGGATGTCCCAGTACCTTGTTTGCGGAGTGAATATGACAGATCTGCATGTAGCTGGCGCCCAGGCAGTTTGGGCACCAGGTAGTGTGGACCAACCGCAACTTGACACGCTGCGTAACGCGACGGTGAGCCCAAGCGGCATGTCCAATGCCATTGGATGTATAGTCCATAGGTCGTGTGCCTCTCGGGTGCTATTTCTTGCGTCCGTGGCCCCCTATACAAGCGCCTAGGTGTCCCGTAGCCATGTCGCCACGGCACCGACTTCAGCAGTGCTCTGCGTCACGAGATGTGCCGTGCTCTATGAAATGACAATAGCCTCACTGACAGAAATAGTTTGAAACAGGATGTATCAAACGGCCCAGTAAGCGTGCTGCTCCCCAGACTATGTGATGGGGTAAGGACGTGTTTGGTGTTGTACGCATGTTACACCGACATTGGCATCGCCGCCCAACCTGGAATTTGTTGGAACTGTATATAAGGCTGTTTTATGCCATGGGTTCAGTAAGTCTTGACAGATTAAGAACACACCTCAACTTATACCTCTGCAGAAGAACCACAGGAATACCCCTTGTAAGTCGGATGCCTCTCCCTGTGTTAGGAGGATGTATGTCTAAGGGAGTCGCTAACACGACCAAGAAGAGTGTAACTGCATCTGCTTCTCATGGATGTGCCTCCCCAGATTCCTCCGCGGCCGGCGGCTCAGATCCTCCCTACGCAGGTGCCCGCGGCGATCCTGACATGGGCGCAGCTGTTCTTGGTGTCGCGCGGCGTCTGCGCCTGCGGCTCGTACCACTTCGCCGGCATATGCGGCCACGTTGTCGTCACGCAGCTGCACTTTTGCGGCAGCACGAGGTCGCCGTTGGGCCTACCGATAAACTGCGGCCTTACAACACCGAATTACAACGCCGTGGGATATGTGGTTAGGATGATGTGCAGGCCGTGCTACGACCGAACAGAAGTCAGAGTCAATGGTCTCATGCCGAGGCGTGGGGGGCATGCATGATACGATAAGTTGCTTTGACAGCAGAGAAGAGACTGCGAGAAAGATTGTTAGCCGCGGCCGCGTTTTTCATGGCGAGTTCTGTTTGCCGCGTGGCTGCACCTTTGGCAACAGTCATGAGCGGAGGAGTCATGGCACAGCAGTGCGGTCTGCGCGGGCTGAACGTTTTCGGGATGGGAGATAGATATATGAAGGTAGATTCTTGCTAGCTCCCTTTGCAGTTCTTTTTGCATTGTCGCTTTGCCCTGCAAATTATCGTGATAAAAAAGAGAGAGTGCCTTAAGATCAGAGCCAATATATCCCGTTCCTCGGCTGAGTGGGCCAGGAACCGACCCTGATTGGCCACGTTCCGCCACCAACCGGTCTTTGCGGATTACCATTCCCCGACCTTCCATTTCTCCATCCATCTCTAGGAACCTTTTTCTATTTTCGATCCAGCTATCTCCAAGCAACCTTCCCGTGTACCTTCAATCCACAAACCACCAAACCTCACAATGCCTCGTCAACGCTCTGCCGCCCGTGCTCCCGCGCGCGCTCCGACTCGCCCGACCGCCGCCGCCCCTGCGCCCGCGCCGCAGCAGGCTCGTCCGGCCACCACCATGGCCGCGCCGCCTCAGCAGTACCAGCAGGCGCCTGCTCAGTCGCAGGGCCCTGGTCTGTTTGGCCAGATGGCCAGTACCGCTGCGTAAGTAACTTGCGTGCTCCGAGCTGGCAGTCATTGCGCTTGAAATCGCGCTCTCCTGGATCGAGACTTGCATTCTCTGCTCGTCCCTCGACCCTGGTTCGCGAGCACTGCCCTAAGTGACCGCAAGCTCTAACAAACTTCTAGAGGTGTCGCAATTGGTTCTTCGGTCGGCCACGCCATCGGCGGCTTCTTCTCCGGCGGCTCGTCGGAGCCCGCGCCCCAGCAGGTCCAGGCCCAGCAGCCGGCCCAGCAGCAGCAGCAGTACAACAACTGCGCCGGCGCCGCCCAGAGCTTCACCAAGTGCATGGACGACAACGGTGGCAACATGCAGATCTGCAACTGGTACCTTGAGCAGCTCAAGGCTTGCCAGGCCGCCGCCAGCCAGTACTAAACCACTAGGAGTCGAGCCCACTAAACGGAACGAAACGAAACGGAAAAGACCATCTCGTACTGCATACAAATCCAAGCATTGAGCGCTGCATGATACATATAGATCGGTTGATTTTCATACGAAAAAAAAAGTACAAAACATCTCAGGAAGGCTGACGACGAAATGGAAATGCCAAGGAACAAAGGCAGCAGGCCGTTTTCCCTAGGCGTTTAATGTACAGTAAGGTGTTTGGCAAATGCTTGGCATGGTTTCTCGAACAAGACTTGTACAGTATATTCAAGCAATCCGCTCCAATTAAATCATAATCCCCAGAGCTCCAAGCCAGGGTTCTCAATTCTCTTCTTCATCCGGTCTAGGCTCGAAATTCAACTATAACATGTGAGAGATGCGACTACACGCTTGAATACTTGTTTGCACTTACGGAATTCCCATTGTAAAGCTGCTGATCGCCGCGTCTGTCGTTTGGGTTCTGAAATGCCTGGACGCGCTGGTTTCGTAGAGCTGCGGGCGAATTTGCAGTGTCCTGACTGGGGGCTTGCGCAGCTGGCCGAGCACCGCCGCCGAGACCGATAACGCCCATGAGCCAGGCGAAAAGGCCGAGAACAAACGCCATGATCCGATCAAATATGCCTTTTGAAGGGCATTGCGCGTCATATGCCGCGGCGAATCGTTGAATTGGAATCAATAAAAGTGTGGATGAAGGAGAGAGCCCAAGTTCGCCTAGAGATTTGCCCTCTTCGGTGGTGTCGATGCTCTTGTTGGGGAGCGGAGTGAGGATTTGTTTGAAAAAGTATGGATCGTTACCATCGGAACGTTCCTTATCAACCCAATCCCGAATATCCTTGATGCTCTCGGCAACCTGAAATTTGTTTCGGAGCGTGGACCCGTCTGAGAGCCGTACTTGAATTGCAGCGGCGGTGCTTGCGCGGCTCGAGCTGGACCTAGAGGCAGCCTTAGCCTGCTGTTGTTCTTTTTCTTCTGCTTCTAGAGCAGCAAGATCCTCTTGTCTTTGCCTCTTGCGTTGCGCGGCCAGCTCACGCCGCGCTACCTTGTCGTCCTCGATTCTCTTCAGGATTCTGCGGCGTTCGTCGTTTTGCTGTGCCTTCTTCTTCTTAATCATATCGGCGGCCTCCTTTTGAGCGTTGCTTTGAGATATCGCAGTGGGCAATTCTACTACAGCTTTGCCCTTGCCCTTGAGAGCGGCGGTGACAGCGCCCGCGGCGGCGGCAGCAGCCTCTGCCTCCTTGGCCTCGCGCTCTGCGGCCTCCTTCTGGGCCTTCGCAGCTCTCTCAGCAAGGATGCGGCGGACATTTGCTGAGCCGTCTGCTTCCGGACTAGCGGAGAGGATGGTGGATGATGTCGGTGCTGGCGACTCGGTAGTAGAAGTGGGCATCGCGACCGGCGCTGCGACATTGGCAGCTGGAGTAGACGGCGCAGGCGTCGACACGGGCGCGTTGCCGGCCGAGAAGGCATTAGATAGCCGCCGAAGAAAATCGTTCTTTGTCGTACCCGAAGCAATATACTCTTTCAATTCGCCATGCTTCATGATGACAACTGTAGGGGTCTTGGGCAGCGGAAAGATTTGAGCTAGATAGCCAGCCTCTTCAGACCCCGCCTTGAGTCGGAGCGCGATTGCCTTGGTGACAATCAAGCCATTGACCTGGAAGTCCGTTAATACATGCACTCTTCGAAATGAGATTTATCGGCACAAACAGATTCATCCTGTAGATATTCATTCTCCCATGTTTGACTCTCGTCGTTGTCATCTATGGTGGGTTAGATTCGCGTCGCATGGTTGCCTGGCTCATTGAGTGAAGCGTACCCGTCACGAAGCACAGCAACAGCTTCTGTTGGCCAACTGCCGTCGAGATTCCTTCTTGAATCGACCCTTGGAAGAACATGGTAAGGTAGATGTCTACAGACGATGAGATTCGACGTGCTTCGAATGCGCCGCAGAACGCCACGCGCCGAAGTGATGGCTGGCGTTAGCTGGGTCGCAGGGCGCGATGGGCAGTTAATCTCGAGTAATATGGCTTTACGCCAATGTAGACAGTTGCTTGGATGTAGCCTAATTTTTGCGTCCCCAGAGTGCCGCAGAGTGGTCGATGTAGGATGAGATCGGACGTCGCCAAAGGATGCAGATGAACAGAAACAACTGACAGGTTGTCTTCTGACGTACCACGGACACAAGCCACAGTGGCGCCACTCCACGAGCTGTCACGTACGGAGGGAGGCCATGGCTCTTCTTGCCATGGTGGTCATGTCCATACTCGGGACCATAAGGGGATTTCTAGATGGTGAAATCCCCCATCTCCTTTCTATCTACGAGATATACAATTTCTGTTTCCTTTATAATCTTGCGTCGTTGTCATTGCTCTTATGAGAGCGTTTGCCCCACACAAGGCTCTACACAAGCCACAGGCAGTTACGAATTGGTGTTGGCGTGAAATCGACAACTCCCCTCATTGTCCGTCAACCTTAACATTACACAAACACGGGTCCAATTAACATTGTTTAGATACAAACGTCCAAATGAGATCGCTTCTTCTCCTTTGCGGTTGGGCGCTCGTCTTTCGATATTTTCTCCTAAAAAGATGAGCTGCGCCTGCATCCGAGCCCACAACCGACCACAAGCTCCCATCGGGCTCCCTGCCCCCTCTCCCCCCTCCGCCCCTCTCCTCGGACGCTGGGTGCAACCATTTACATGGTGTCTTGGCTTCAACATGCTCGATGCTGTTCAATTTGCCGATGCCTGCTTCTACTTGCGTCGCCGCGAATCAGAGATGTGGAACAGATACAATGCCAGCCTTCCCGTCCCAGCCTAATGAGCCAGACACAACGATCGACATCTGTGGTGGCAATGTTCAAGGGGTGCGTCATGTAGGATTCATGGCCTTCTAGGCTATTTTTGCAGCTTCTTGGCCTGCGTACGGGATGTTGTTGAGCCGCAAGTATATTATGGAGGAACACGATGATGCGTAAGCATTGAACAAGCCAACCCCGGGCAGGCTTCATTGGATCTAACCAGTGCAGACCAGAGGAAGAGACTGTGATTGTAAGGTTTTGGGCTGATATCGTCACCGTGCATCATTGCTCCGACCTCCGCATCCGATCGGAAGCACTACCATTTGCGGGGAAACGGCTCTAACCCAGTGAGGGGCTTATATCATATCCCGCTTGCTGCGAGAAAAGCCATCACCTTGGCGGACTTCTTTAGATCTATCGTTGCAGAGCTACAAGGTGGAAGCTTGAACTCACGAGGTGCATCCGATGACGCTACCCGACGGAGGGCAAGGAGCACACGAAGTATAGCACGTGTCTATGCTTTACACGGGACCTATTTTCAATGGTTTTGTACAATAGTACCAGCCGGCATTGCAACACAGGCTGTAGGCAAGTTGGTACGACAAGTCTCACAAAGCTATGTCAATCCGGGAGCAGGCTGCAGGTGGCTGTATTGTATTGGTAGCCACACTGCAGACATATGCTCATGAGGGCGATATTATCTACTTGCTGCCGATGTGTTTTCACGCTCTGTCTACGGAGAATTGATGCCACCCAACCTCGCGCCCTTCTGTACCCTTGTCTGTAGGTTTGTCGTTACCTACTTATGTGATTAGGATGACTGATTGCTGATGGTATTGACTTTTGCTTTTTCTCCTTGAAACCGGCACGCCTCCCCGCCAATCTCTGCATACCGCTTTTAGATAAGGTTCCATGCAGCCGGGACTCTACCCGCCACCGCCACCGATGACCCGATGCTAGCTGAAAGAAGCTCGATGCAGGGGATTAACATACGAGCATAGGTGCCACAACCTTTGGACCGCCGGCCCGACCGAGTTAGAACGCGAGAGGACGTGCTGGCCGAGAGTAGACGTAAAAGATTGGCATTCGAGGTGACGTTCCGAGCTTCTGTGTCTCGGTGTGCCTCAATGGAATCAACCGCCGCTACGACAGACAGGCTCACACGGCAGGCCTGCGACAGATGCCGTCGCCTCAAGCTACGGTGCCACCGTGGTAATAGAGGCGAGCTCTGTGACCGGTGTCGGCGGAAGGGATCGCGCTGCGAATACAGCGTCAGTTTGCCCAAGGGTCGCCGTCTCCACACAGGATCTGCGCAGCTACCGCCTGGCGAGACCTGCTCACGATGGCAAGAATCACAGCCTAGTACCAGCCAGCCAATACCGGAACACAGAGTCTCAACGACGCTTCACATGGATGGTGGCGTCACGGCCACTGCCCGCAGCGCATTCTACACCGATGACGGCGCCGCCCATGCCTCCTACGACCTCTTCTCGGCCATGAACTCGGGGCTGGGGGTGAATATCCTCGCAGAATCACTGTCCTTTCCAGGCTCTGGCTATATCGACACGCACACACCCCAATTCGGCAGCGGAGCAACTACAGCAGCTGTTCTAGCCGGGAAGAGAACGATCTGGAGCCACTCATCGGTCAGCTTGCCGAGCTTGGCTTGCTCATCTCCAAGCTTCGAGGTGCACTGTGTGGTGTGTTGGGCGAATATTCGAGTCCCAGGTCCACGGCATCAAGTCACGGCGAATGTGACGACCCCCTGCTGGGTGATGCTCTGCATCAACGTGTTACACTCTGGCTACGGGTCGGGCCAGCTGATGAGATGCGGCGGTCTCTCCCCCCTTCACCGCGCAGGCAGAATGGGCTTGAAACACTACCCACACCGCTCGGGATATTATTACATCACGTCTTCTCGGCCTCGTTTTATACCTCAGATTTAACCCAGCTCAGGAGGCCGGGACGAGCAGCTGGCTCGCTGACCAGGACTGCGACCGACGACGACCAAATGCGTCCACACACGGCCGTTCGTCAAACGATTGCGGATGGTACGGAACAGAGTTCAAATGTTCAGTCTGAGCTAATCTCAGGCTCTTCAGGCGTACGGCAGTCTCGAAGTTGTACAGTCAACAACAGCAGCATGTACACCATCTACTCATGGCTAACCACGAGATGCTTCTGGGTGTTTTTCCAGCGTCCTGACGCTGCTTCATTGCCTTTTGGGCAATACATGCCTTCAGATAATAGAGTATTGCGGATCAGACTGGAAACATTTCTGCAGATTTTCTCTTGCCTCATTGATCGCCAACACAAGCGTGTCAGCTTCTACGTGGCGTCATCTGCCAGCGGCTCATGAGAGCCCAGCAATGCCGGCATTTCCATGACAGCAGGCGGCATATCTAAATGGGGCCAAGTCCGGCAGCAATTAACGATACTTCAGCTTACTCTGCATCACTGGGATTAAGAACATGAGTCGCGATTCGGCCAACCGAAGTCGTTGTGTGAGATTGAAAGCAGCTCGGCTGATAGACATCCTCGCGAATCAAACTGAGTACAAATTACGAATTACTGATACGGACTCCGAGAAAAAAACACTAGTTAGACTTTGTCTCTAATTACCCACCCCTGGTTCTGCATGTTCGAAGCTAAATTGCCCTACAGATTGGACTGAGTCGCGATTAACATCTGCACCACTCTCTAGACGCCGTGAAACCTGCAAGACATAGCCGAAGCCCTCTGATATGAGACACGAGGTTCGATGGCCATTGCTGAAGACCCGTGCTTCGTATCGGTGGCACATGCATCCGGGACATTGCTGGACCGGCCGACGCAACCTGAGAGATCGATCGGCACACTCCCGATCACTGCTAGGATCGTGCAGCGCCTTACTCTAACCATACCCAATCTCTAGACAATGTTCGGCCGATATCTGTCACTGCGTGGCTTACAACCGAACAGTGAAAACCGTTTGCAGATCTTCGGCTTTGACAGTGTCGATCTCTTGTATCGGAGTAGTCGCGCGATTGCGGCTTGGCATCGGGCGTCCCCAGAGTCGCAACGGCACCGCTCAATCGCCACATCCAAGCGGCCAGGCAATCTGAATACTTGGCACAATATGTGCTCATGGCGACGGTAGGTACATGGGATAAATAGTGAGTTGTGCGGACTGCATGGCCGGCAATCAGCGCATGCTCGGCGAAGTGGAAGATTGCCGCAAAGCCGCTTGCAGACTTGGCAGAGCGATGCAGGGCATGCCGAAGAGGGAGTGGGTTTTTCTTGGAAAGAAGGGGCATGCTAAAATGATTGGAGGATTGGCTGTAGTTGAGTTGCTATATCGGAGGCAAGCAGTATACCTCCGTGTAAGGCTCTTTATCAAATGTTTCATTCGTGCCTTGAGCTCTCATGACCAGCACCTGCCAACGGTGGAAATGTATGTGCTTTTCACAGTACGAACAAAGGGCCCATGAGGCATGGAGTAATAATGGCTTCATAGAATGAAGTGGCGTAAATGCATGGACGGCAGTGATCCAAATACTTGCACGGAGCAGCCAGCAATTAGGCATTGACTGCATCCCGAGGTAGCACAGCAGTCTCAGCTCAGGCTTTTACGCCTCCTATGTATTACCTCCTGTTTCTGGGCAGAAACTCGTATTTCTGTCTCTCCTATGACACATGAAAGATCCAGCCACGACACCGAAACGACGCCGCCGAAGCTGTGTAGTTGCCACTGCATTCACGATTCATTCTCACAGGATCCGTTCGACGCATCGCAGCATATACACGTTCTTGCATGCAGTTAATGGAGCTAAAAACCTGTTTCCAGACTCTTCAATCGGTGTTAGATTCGGTGATGGGCGCGCCGCTCGCCGACTTGCATCTGTCCGAACCCCCGATGCCACCGACCTGGCGTTCCTCCCGACACAGGACTCCGGCCCGAAAATATACACTTCCAGGTGCATGCTGTAAGGACGTAATTTGTCACCTATACGAGACAATTAACCCATCTGAGACAATTCACATCAATCTATGCATGAAGGTCCTAATTGGACACCATTGCGCTGCTGAATACGTCGTGTTCTCGTGCTCGGGGTCGTCTAGTCTGTGCTGCCTCGAAGAGTAAAAGTCAACGTAGTTTCCCGCCATGGCAGGATACGTAGAGAACCTTCCAGTATAAGCTTAATCGTGCAAGTTACTTCGGCCTGTACGATTCTCAAGTAATAAGAGTCGAATTCACCCTCTGGGTTGAACATACCTTTAACTTCTTTACCTTCTTGACTGTAACTAGTCAATGCGCTGCAATTCATTCAGCTCTTTTTGTCAAGTCCTCCAATATGCCTGAGAAAGATTGTGCGGAGCCCATCGCCATCGTTGGAAGTGCCTGCCGATTCCCCGGAGGTGCGTCTTCCCATGCTGCACTGGCTGCACTGCTCAAGGACCCCCCCGACGTTGCCGTTGACATCCCCCCAGAGCGGTTTGATTTGACGGCATACTATCATCCTGATGGCAATCATCATGGCTCAACAAATGTACGGCAGAGCTATCTTCTCGACACACAAGATCTTCGTCGCTTCGACTCCATGTTCTTCAACATCAGCCCCAACGAAGCAGACTCGATGGATCCCCAGCAGCGCCTCCTGCTGGAGACTGTGTACGAAGCGCTCGAATCTGGTGGCCATCGAATGGAGGATCTTCGCGGATCCGATACGGCCGTCTATACCGGAACTATGAGCGCCGACTATGTCGATACCATTATGCGGGATGCTACCGCTGTTCCAACATACGCCGCGACCGGCACTAACCGAGCCATCATCTCCAACCGCGTCTCTTACGTCTTCGACTGGCATGGCCCGAGCATGACCATCGACACGGCCTGTTCATCCAGCTTGATTGCTATTCACTTGGCCGTCAGAACCCTGCGTGCTGGTGAGTCGAGGGTGGCGCTGGGCTGCGGCACGCAAATCATTCTGAACCCGGAGCAATTCATCCTCGAGAGCAAACTGAACATGCTTTCGCCCAACGGCCGCTCTCGTATGTGGGATGCCGACGCCGACGGCTATGCCCGCGGCGAAGGTGTCGCGGCAGTAGTTCTGAAGCGCTTGAGCGACGCCATTGCTGATGGTGACCACATCCAATGCATCATCCGGGAGACCGGCACCAACCAGGACGGCCACTCTACCGGAATCACGGTTCCTAGCTCTGAGGCTCAGGCCGCTCTCATCCGCGACACGTACAAGAGAGCCGGACTCCATCCCGAAACGAACGCTGATGATCGCCCTCAATTTTTCGAGGCTCATGGCACCGGCACCAAGGCAGGTGATCCAAAAGAGGCGGCCGCGATTCACGAAGTTTTCGGCTCCAAGACACAGGACGACGCAGAGCCGCTATATGTCGGATCCATCAAAACCGTTATTGGTCATCTGGAGGGCAGCGCTGGTATCGCAGGCGTACTCAAGGCCTCCGCCATGGTTCAGCACGGTGACATCTATCCGAACCTCTTGTTGAACCGATTGAATCCTGATATCGCTCCGTTCTACAAGGGCGTGGAGATTCCAAAGCAATGTCGTTCATGGCCAAAGCTTCCAGACGGTATCCCTAGACGCGTCAGCATCAACAGTTTTGGTAAGTTCTCGTTCCTGCGAGACAAAGATATGCCATTCACTAATACGCGCTAGGATTCGGCGGCAGCAACGCCCACGCAATTATCGAGCAGTGGCGAGGGACTTCATGTGACAAGGAAACGGCTGATTCGGATAAAGACGTGCGCTAGGTGACTCCGTTCACCTTCTCGGCGCATTCCGAGACTGCTTTGCTTGCGCAGCTCCAGGCTTACTCAACCTATCTCGAAAGGGATTTAGGAACAAAGATTGGAAACTTGGCGTGGACCTTACAGGCACGAAAGTCTGAGTTGAGCCACAGAATAACGTTTTCCGCTTCGTCAATTTCGCAACTCAAGTCCAAGATTGACGCGAAGCTGCAGGAGGCTACTAACAACCAGGCCCCGAATGTCGGCACCAAAATCAGGGTAGGACAATCGGCGCCCAAAATCATGGCAATCTTTACCGGACAAGGCGCACAGTGGCCTTCCATGGGAGCGCAGCTTCTTAAATCCTCAGAGTTTGTGCGCGGGCGAATGCAGGAACTGGAAGAGTCTCTCACTACCCTACACCTCGACGAGAGGCCTTCATGGAGTCTTGTCGAGCAGATCCTTGCCGAAGGCGAAGCTTCACGGTTGTCCTCGGCAGAGATAGCGCAGCCTCTGTGCACGGCAATTCAGATCATCTTGGTTGATCTCCTACTCGTTGCTGGCGTACAAGTCCAAGTCGTTGTCGGTCACTCCTCAGGCGAGATCGCCGCGGCCTACACTGCCGGCTTCATATCTGCACAGGATGCGATCCGGATCGCCTACTATCGGGGTCGAGTCCTGCAGAGCGCCCGTAAAGGGGCGATGATGGCGGCCGCCATGTCTTGGGAGGAGGCCAATGAGCTCACGCAACTTCCAGTCCTCCATGGTCGGGTAGCTATCGCGGCGCACAACTCTTCGGCCAGCGTGACGCTGTCCGGAGACATGGATGGCATCGCCCAGGCAAAAGAGATGCTTGACGCAGAGAAGAAATTTGCCAGGCTGCTGAGAGTCGACAAGGCGTACCATTCTCACCACATGGTGCCCTGTGGTGAAGCTTACGTCAACGCGCTTCGTTCCTGTGTCGACTGGCCTGGTGATCGTTCAGACGACTCTTGCGTATGGTTCTCTAGCGTCAAGCCTGGTTCGTCTCCTATGAGCGGTGACGAAACTCTGCAAGCAGAATACTGGAGAGACAACATGACCAGCCCAGTCCTGTTTGCCGAGGCCGTGCGGAACGCCATCGCGTATGATAACGAGATTGGCGTCATCCTTGAGATTGGACCTCACCCAGCGCTCAAGGGCCCGGCCATTCAGAATATTACCGAGGTTCGTCCCACGGCGCCGCCATATTCCGGAACACTTACGCGAGGGGCAAGCGATGTCGAGTCCCTGTCCGACACACTTGGCTTCCTGTGGACGCATCTCGGCTCTCGTGTACTCGATTTCAAGGCCTATGGTCAGCTGTTCTCTCCGCCAAACGGCAGTCCTCGTCTCGTAGTCGGCCTTCCAACCTGTCAGTGGGATCACGGCCGTGAGCACTGGAGCGAGTCCCGTCGCTCTCGACGACTGAACAACCGCAGGCGAGCGACCCACGAGCTATTGGGCGTCCTCGCCCCGGAGTCGACCGCGCAAGAGATGCGCTGGGCAAACGTTCTGAAGCAGTCCGAGATCCCCTGGCTGGAAGGCCACAAGATCCAGGGCCAAGCGGTGTTTCCTGCTGCCGGATACGTTGCCATGGCTCTCGAGGCCTCCAAGGAGCTCGTGCCCTCCAATGTACCCATCCAAGGCTTTGAGCTTTCCGATTTGTCCATCCAAAAGGCCATTGCTTTTGAAGAACTGCAAGACTCCGCAGTCGAGACTCTCGTAACGCTCACGAAGATCAACAAGAACAACTCTGGGGCCGAAGCGTTCTTCTCCTGCTATGCCCTGAGCATGGACAAGGCCAACAGCGAAGCCGAATTGGAGCGAATCGCAAGCTGCGCCGTGACGGTCTCGCTCAAGACAACCCAGAACGAGAGATTGAGTGTGGCTTCCGAGAATGACTATCGAATGTCGGAAGTTGACTCTGAGCGGTTCTACACGCACCTGGCCGAGTTGGGATACAACTACTCTGGCCCTTTCAGGACAGTGAGGGGGATGCGTCGTAAGTACCATGCTGCAATGGGTCTCATCCCACGCATTCCGTTCATCGATGAGCCAGCATTGAGCTACGTGGTGCACCCCTCCCTGCTTGACATGGCCTTCCAGCTCGTCATGCTTGCCTTTGCGGCTCCAGGCGACGGCGGGCTGTGGGCGCTTCATCTCCCAACCTCGATTCAAAGAATCCGCGTGGATGCCGAACTGTGCTACATGGCACCAGATGAAAACCTGATTCTCCTTGCAGAAGCGACGACCGACGGAGGCTCCACGTCAATCTCCTCTCATGCCGATCTCATGAGCCAGGATAGGCAAAACTGTTGGATACGGGTTGAGAACGTCATCATCAAACCCTTTGCCCCGGCGACAGAGCTGGATGATAGAGTCATGTTTACTTCCACAAAACTTGGAGTCGCAGAGCCTGATGCACACTCCATCGTACAGGGCGTCAAGCCGTCTTGTGCTGAGGTTGAAATCGCCATCGCTTGCGAGAGGATCGCGTATTTTTATCATCGCAAGTGGCAGTCAGAGGGCTCTGACGCCGATTGGGACAGCAGCCCTTCTTCTCATCCCTTACGAGCTTGGGCCAATGACACAGTTTCCCGGGCATCGACGGGAAATCACCCAATCCTGAAGAGGGAGTGGTCAAATGACAGCGAGCAATATATCAAGGCCCTTGCTTCCAAACATTGGGACTATGTCGACGTCCGCATCTTGACTGCGGTAGGGGAGAACCTGAAAGCTGCCATTCGAGGCGAGATAACCATCGTAGAGGATATGGCTGCCGGAGACATGCTCGATGAATACAATCGCAACTGTATCGGTATGGCCACCCATGGCCCTCTGCTAGCCAAGCTTGCAAAACAAATCAGTTTTCGATATCCGCGGACCAAGTTTGTAGAGATTGGTACGTTTCACTATTCTGAGCACCCGCACGTATCATCTTTCTAACCCGACATCACAGGCGCTGGTACTGGAAGCTGTACCAAGCCGGTCGTCTTGGCTGTTCATGAAACCATGTCGTCGTATACCTACACACACATCTCCAACCTCCATCTTGACCAGGCTGCAGAGACATTTTCCAAGTTCAGCGACAAAATGGCTTTCAAGGTCTTGGATATTAGGAAGTCACCAGAGCCGCAAGGGTTCCAGCCACAGTCGTACGATGTTGCCATCGCCGTCAACCTGCTGCATGCAACAGCATCGCTGGGGGAGTCGCTCAAGCATGTCCGGCAACTATTGAGGCCAGGCGGGTACCTCTTACTCTTTGAAACGACCAAAAATGACTCCATACGGCATTCGACTATCATGGCTGGCCTCCATAGCTGGTGGATTGGCACAGAAGATGGTCGTTTTCTTCAGCCAGCTGTGCCGACCGAAACTTGGCATGCCGTCTTGGGCAACTCTGGATTCAGCGGCGTGGATACGAAAACACCGGAAATCGATAGCGTGACTTGGCCGTTCTCTATTCTTGTTTCGCAGGCGGTTGACGAGCGCATCCAGATGCTTCGACAGCCCCTCTCTACCTCCTCCTGGTCAATGCTGTCCACCCCTTCGCTTCGCATACAAAGCCTCGTGGTTGCCGGAGCAGGCACCAAAGCGACACTGAAAATATCTGATGAGTTGGTGGAGCACCTCTCTAGCTTCTGCGACGATATCACAGTCCTAAAGGGCCTGCCAACGGACGAGGACGCCCTCGAGTTGAACCCTTTGAGTTGCTTTATCAACCTAGTTGATCTTGAGTCACCCATCTTCAAGGACATGACGTCAGAAAGGATGCGAGGCCTCCAGAACATGTATGACTGTGCTAAAAATGTACTCTGGGTTACTGAGGGCGCACTTGATCGCGAGCCGTACCATATGAGCAGCATCGCGTTCACTCGCACCATTCGACGAGAGGCAGAGCACATTGGTGTCACTCAGCTCGACACGACGGATAAGAGCGAGCCAAATCTCTCGATATACATTGCGGAGCATCTTGTCCGGTTCTGGGTGCTTGGCGAATGGGCAACTTACCATGATGACGCCGACAGCCAGCAGCCACTTTGGTCTAACGAGCCTGAAATGTTCCTTGAAGGGGCCAGGCTCATGGTGCCGCGCTTGTTACCCGAATCTAACCAAAACAACCGCATCAATGCATCACGCCGCGTCCTTAGGAAACAACTTCTCGTCAGTTCAAGCAACAATCTCGCTCTGGAGTACGACTCGACAGCATTACTTTACGATCTTGTCGAATCTCCCATCATCAGACAAAAGCAGCGTATCTGCGCAGACGATAGAATTATTAATGTCAGACACTCAACTCTGATGGCCCTACATGTCGTGACAGATACTTTTCTCTTCCTAGTCTCCGGCGTCGACAGCCATTCAGGCGACTCTGTGATCGGATTCTCGGCTACCAACTCACTCTATACAGCTCCGGTCGCCTCTATCAGGCTACCGTCTCAAGCAAGGATTGGCGTGCCAACGGATGTTCTCATCAAGAACGTTGTGAGCCAGGTGATAGCCTCCTCCATCATAGATTCGGTCATCCCAGGAGCGCGGATATTGGTCAGCTGCTCCAGTGACGAAGCCGTCTTCATTCAAGTTCTGTGTGAAAGACTTGCGAACAGCGGTTCAAGCATTATACTAATTGCAAACGACCAAGCCGTCAAGTGTCAAGTCCAGAATGTGACGCTCATCGAACTCACTCGTCAGATGTCCCAACATGTCATACGACGATCCCTTCAATTGGCTCAGCCTACTCACTTCCTGGACATGTCCGATGTTGGTCAGGAAAGGGAGACCGGAAAAGACCGGGACCTTGGCCGTTGTATCGTCAAGAATCTGCCCGCCGGGTGCAGACTACTTCGCCCCGATGCATTTTTCCAGCGACAGTCCCGGCAGGTGGCGCTTGGAAGCAAGCTGGAACTCACTTCCCGGCTCGAAAATGGTGTTCTGCGGGCGCACCTAGGAGCGAACAGCTCCATGACAAATCGCGCAACGATAGCGGCTATCTCACTCCAGGATGTTCGCAAGAGAAACCTCCCAGTCCATGCAACGAGCCTGGTCGACTGGGCAGCCGATACACCGGTTGAAGCAACCATCCGCCCGGTGGACACCAGCTTGATGTTTTCGGGCGACAAGACGTACATACTCGTTGGGCTCAGTGGAGAGCTTGGTCAGTCTCTTTGCGAGTTCATGGTCGCGCACGGCGCAGGGTGCGTGTGCCTAACCAGTCGCCGACCTAAGGTTGACGAGAGATGGCTGTCTTCATTTCAGCAGACTGGCGCAAAGGTGAAGATTTTGAGCATGGATGTGACGGACAGAGTTGCCGTGGAAAAAGTCATACAAGACATCCGAGCCAGCTGCCCTCCCATCGCTGGTGTCGCGCACGGAGCTATGGTATTGTCGGATGTATTCTTCTCCCAGATGACAATGGATCAGATGAAGGCAGTGTTGGAGCCCAAGATCCTCGGAGCAGTTAATCTCGACGATGTTTTTGGCCAAGATGGGCTGGATTTCTTCGTGCTCTTCTCCTCTGTCGTGGCCATAGCGGGCAACCAAGGCCAGTCGAACTATTCTGCTGCAAACGCATACCTGGGAAGTCTAGCCAGGCAAAGGCGAAGGCGTGGTCTCTCAGCCTCAGTTTTTGACATTGGTCGAGTCGGAGGGCTGGGGTACTTCGAGAGCCAAAGCCAAGAGTTGCAGCGCCAGATTATCCGCACTGGGCTGCCTCCCGTGCCGGAATCTGATCTCCATAAAGCTTTCGCTGAGACCATACTGGTGGGCTATAGTCGACCCGAGGACCAGCTAGGCTTGCCAGAGGTCGCGGTGACGGTTGGCATTCGGTGCTTCACGAAAGGCGAAAACCTCACAGGCCACTGGTTCACCAATCCCCTGTATTCTCACCTGATAATGGAGCCGACCGCCACCGAGGGCCACAGTTCATCTGGTACTGGTCAAATCTCGTCAAAGGGAATGATGCGCGCTGGAAAACGGGTGTTGGAGGCAAGGAGCCCAGAAGAAGCCGCCGCAGCACTTCAAGGTAAGAAGAAGAGAGCGTGTCAATTGGCACGAGTCCGACACGGCCACGCGTGTTTTGCTGTTTTGTATGTGCTGACATGAGATACACAGAGAGTTTCGCGTTCAAGCTGCAGGCAGTCTTGCAGATGTCCGATCGACACCTGGACCCTCATTCGCCTCTGGTCGAGCTTGGCATCGACTCCCTTGTGGCTGTGGAGATTCGATCTTGGTTTCTCAAAGAGCTCAAGTTGGACATTCCGGTTCTCAAGATTATCGGTGGTGCCTCTCTTCTCGATGTTTGCAACTTCGCCTTAGACAAGCTGTCGAAGGCTTTTATTACCAACGTCAACGACGGGGAAGCGAGCGCAAAAATCACGACGCCTGTAAGCGAGCCGGCGCCGCCAGCTACCCCGGTCTCGCCAAAGGACGATACAGACCTTTCTTCGTCGGCGCCGCCGACAGAAAACGGCGATTCGTTTCCGCGAAGTCCGAGTCCCGGTTTGTCTTCGAGCCGAGAGTGTGCTGAGGATCATGAAATCTCCCGGCTCGGTGCTGCACACGACATCCCAGATTGTGCTGACAAAGCAGCGGAGCAGGAGGAGGAAGAGCCCATCATCCAGATACAACCAACTTTGCCAAACAGGAAAATCATCAAAAAGGTTCCCATTTCGTTTGCGCAGTCAGGATATTGGTTCCTTCAAAGTCTTGTCGATCCGCAATCGTCCAATGTTTCCCTCTGCTATCGCGTGGACGGCGAGGTACGCGCCAATGACTTGAACAAGGCACTGAGGATTGTCTGCGCCCGACACGAGGCTTTGCGCACCACTTTCGTCCAGAGCGATGACGCCGCCATTCCCGCCCAACAATGCGTCCTGGCCAGGTCGCCGGTGAGGCTGAAGTGCGAAAGCATCAGCAGCGCGCTTCAAGCTTCACAACGTTTCCATGAGCTTAAGAATCAAGCGTTCGACTTGAGCAGCGGCGAGCTGCTCCAGGTACTCCTCCTCACCCTCACGCCGACCTCCCACTTCCTCATCGTGCACTATCACCACATCCTCATGGATGGCGTCAGCCTCCAGGTCTTCCTGTCCGAGTTGGAGAGTGCCTATCAGAACCAAGACTTGGGGCCGGCACCGCAACAATATCCAGACTTTTCCGTAGCGCAGCGACAAGCCGTCGAGCAAGGCGCCTTGGTCAAAGAGCTGCGATACTGGCGAGGAATTTTCCCAGACGGCACCCAGCCACCTATCCTGCCCCTGCTGCCGATCGCACAAAGAAGCACACGCGAGAGCAGAACTGAATTCGACAATCATGAAGTACTTCAGATACTGTCACCACAGCTCTCGGAGAAGATTCGGCTCGTGTCACAATCCCAACACGCGACACCGTTCAACTTTTACCTTGCCGCCTTTCGGGTCTTGTTATTTCGATTCACCGAAGCAGAAAGTCTTGTCATTGGAATGAGCGACGCCGCCCGCAATCACAGCGACCTCTCAAACAGCATCGGCTTCTTTCTCAACCTCCTTGCCTTGAAATTCGAGTCCCGTCCAAGCCAAGCCTTCAAAGATGCCATTGTCGAGGCTCGAACGACGTCGCATGCGGCTTTGGAGCAATCCCGCCTTCCCTTTAACGTTGTCTTGTCGGCCCTTGGTCTAGACCGCTCGTCGGCTCACAGCCCATTGTTCCAAGCCTTCATCGATTACCGCCAAAAGAACCCGAGGAAACAAGGATGGGGCGGCTGTCAGCTTTCAGTGGAACACTGGCATGTGAGCAATGCAGCGTATGACTTGGTTGTTGATGTGACAGATGACCCAGACGGTGCAGTTGTAATGCTGAGAGCGCAGAAGTTTCTCTACGACGCTGCCGCCACGGAGCTACTACTTGAGGCCTATATCCATCTGCTGCAAGCATTCGCCTCGGACCCCGATGCTTGCGTGAATGAGCCTTCTCTATTCACCGAACAAAGTAAAAACTTGAGCTTGCAGGCCGGGCGCGGTAAGAGACCCGTGATTTCTATACTTGAACCGTTAAACTTGGCTAATATTGATCTCTTGCATCACTACACAGGACCAATGATGACGTCTACGTGGCCAGAGACTTTGGTTCACCGCATCGATCAGATCGCCCTCGACTATCCCGAAAAGGTTGCCGTCATGGACGACTTTGGAGCCTTGCTTTCATACTCGGCAATGATGCAACGCGTTGAAGCGCTTTGCGTCGCGCTAACAGCCGCTGATGTCGGCGCCGGCGACCACGTTCTCGTGTTCCAGCAAGCAAGCGTAGACTGGATATGCTGCATGCTCGCTATTATGCGAACCGGTGCAGTATACGTGCCGACAGATACTCGCCACCCTGTCTCGCGCCTCTCAGCTCTGGCCAACGACTGTACGCCAAAGGCGATCATGACAGACTCCTCTACAGCTAGCGACGTACTCCGCCTCGGAGTTACTCAGGCCCAGCATGTTAATATTTCCGCCGTATCCGTCAGGCCAAGTGCGCCGTATCTTGGCGGCAACCGTGCTCGTCCTGAAGCTGCTGCTGCCATTCTGTATACTAGTGGCTCAACTGGCAAGCCGAAGGGTATTCTACTCTCGCACGGCGGCCTCCGAAATCAGGTTGAGGTCGCCATGAAGACTTGCGGACTCGGTGCTGAGCGTGTTCTGCATCAGAGTGCGTTTACGTTTGACCACAGTCTTGATCAAACATTCATCGGACTTTGCGACGGCGGCTCGGTCTACGTGGCGTCAGACCAAGCGAAAACGAACCCGATAGCGTTGACCGACATTATTCAACAGCACGGCATTACCTACACCATGGCTACGCCCTCTGAGTATCTCTCATGGCTAAAGTATGGCAGAGAGAGTCTTCGCCGAGCAAGTGAATGGTCCTATGCATTCTCAGGAGGTGAGATGTTGACCAATACTATCATTCAGGGCCTCCAGCATCTCAACCATGACAACCTTCGCTTCTTCAACAGCTATGGTCCTGCTGAAACGCACATTTCAGCATGCAAAGGCGAAATCAACTACAAGGAAACGCTGACGGAAAACAACCCTGTTCGTATTAGCTGCGGGTACACCTTGCCCAATTACTACATCTTCATCGTTGATGATCAACTGCGGCCGCAGCCGCTTGGGGTACCGGGAGAGCTGTGCATCGGCGGCGCGAGTGTCGGGATCGGATACTTGAACAATCGCGAGCTTACTGATAGCCAATTCCTACCAAACCCCTTTGCGTTGGCACCCGATATCGCCCAAGGCTGGACGCGCATGTACCGAACAGGCGACGTTGCTCACATGAATGTGGACGGCGAGATGGTTGTTAGGGGGCGCATGGCAGGAGATACGCAAGTCAAAATTCGCGGCATGCGCGTGGACCTGGCTGACATTGAGAGCAGCATGATGGCGGCTGCAGATGGTGTACTGAAAGCGATTGTCGTGACCCTTCGGAGGGAGAATGATGCCCAGTTTCTCGTGGCACATGTTGTCTTCCAACCAACACGACCAGTCGATGAAAGAGACAGCTTCCTGTCGAATCTCCTGAAACGGCTTCCACTTCCACAGTACATGGTACCCGTGGCGGCTATTCCGATGGATGAGCTGCCCCTCACCAGCCACGGCAAGCTGGACCGCAAGGCCGTCATGGCCATCGCGCTTCCATCCCACAGTGGTAGGTCGGACTCTCTCCCGGAATCGGAGCTTACAGAGACAATGATACGGCTCCGTGGCCTGTGGAGAGATCTGATTGGGGTCAAGATTGTCAATCTGGGTTCAGGGATCGGTCCTTCGACCAGCTTCTTCCATGTCGGGGGCAACTCGCTCCTAATCATTGCCTTGATGTCCCGGGTCCGCGCTGAGTTTGGTGTTGCGCTTTCGCTGGTCGAGCTGCTCAATGCCGGCAGTCTGCAGGAGATGGCCGATGCCGTCGACACCGCTGCCACAGCCACAGCCATTGATTGGAACAAGGAGACGGCCCCTCCAGATATCCCCTCATTCCTGTCGGACATAGACTCCTCGGACGAAAGCAGTAGCTGTCGTGCTGGAAAGATAATTATCGTGACAGGCGGCACAGGCTTCCTTGGCCGTCACCTTGTCCAAGCGTTAGCCGAGAACTCCAGAGTTGCAAGGGTACATTGTGTTGCGGTGCGGGAGCGCCCCCAAGACGAAACACAGGATCTGGTCCCCTATGACAAGATTGAGTACCATCCAGGAGACCTAACCGCACCGTTGCTAGGTCTAGACCAGAACACATTCCGTACGCTCGCCAGTGAAGCGGACGCCATCCTTCATCTCGGCGCTTCCCGCTCCATGTGGGATAGCTACCATGTCCTGCGCGCCACCAATGTCCTCTCAACACGAGAGCTTATCAAAATGGCTTCTCCGCGGCGCACCCCCATCCACTTTGTCTCGACAATCGCCGCTTCGGCCACCGGCGACACCAGCCTTGCCGAGCCGTCGCCCACACCATCTTCCTACAGCGCGGACGGCTATGTCTCGACCAAGTGGGCAAGCGAACGTCTTTTGCAGCGCGCCTGGGACGAGCTCAGCGTCCCGTCTATGACGTACCGGTTCCTGCCGGGAAGGAGCCAGGCGGCCGCACCTCCGTCGCTTCTCAACGAAATCGTCCGGTTCGCGAACGTAGCGCGAGCAGTGCCGGACGCCGCTACTTGGACAGGACTGCTGTACCTGACGCCTGTCGCGACGGTTTCGTATATGATGCAGGATGCCATTCTGTCAGATGTGACTCATTGGAGTGCCACAGTGATGCATCATGAATGCGATGTTACACTCCCTGGGGATGAGATTTTGGCACTTGTCGGCCCTGGAAGTGCACAAGACGGGTGGGAAACGGTGCCGATACTGAAGTGGATTGGCATGTTGAAAAAGTCCGAGTTTTCTTATTTTCTCGCGGCGCACAGTGCTTCTGTTGGAGAGGGCTTGGCGACGAACAGATGAGAGACTACATACTGTGTGTGATAGCTTGTTGTGTCGATAGTAATACTAGAATCAACTATTCTGAGCATCACACTTTTATTTAGATTGAAAAGGAAGAGAAGCCTCTAACAGTATTTGTTGCTACGTCTACTTTTCCCCACGCAACGCCAGGTACTTCCCTCCAGCATCATCAACACATGGATTCTTCGTCATCACAGTGCCTTTAAGGGACTAACAACTGCCGACAACCAATTCATTGCCCTTGGCGAAATACTTGCAGACCACACCATACGCCGACACTCCTTCCAGCAGCCTTCCTGGAAGCTGTTCTTTCCAACGGAACCCAGGACATCGCCTCGCCGCGCCTGCTCCATCGGGTTCTTGCCAATTCCGAGCTGCAGCACAAACCTGTCTCGTTTACACTGCCCTCGTTATCTACATGACGGGCACACAACTCAATCTCTGTATCATCCTTCCATCAATAAAACATCTTTTCCAGCAGTACTACACACTTGAAACAAGTCAACATGCTTTCCGGTTCCTCCAACGCAAACGCCGTGCGGCTTTTGCCCACGCCGGAGCTGAGGCACGCAGTGGCAGCATGCGTCCTCTACTCCGTTATCTCTCTAGCAGCTCTGGTGGTCACTGTTTTTGCTTTCTTCAGGCTCAGGCGCAAAGGGCTGCTGGGCTACGGAGTCTGGAAGTTGCTTCGCGCTTCGACCATCTCCTTCAGTCTGTAAGTCGGTTCTCTTGCTCCGAATACCTTCGATCGCACAACACGTTGCTGACTGGCAGCAAATCCCTTACAGCCACTGTCTTATTATCGTGGCCTTCTATGCCCTCAAATTCTCATTCGAGCGTTCGATCGACTTTGCCCAAACGCGCATTGCGAGAAAAGGAGTTTTGGAATCGGTCTACCATGCGGCCACCTTGTTCCACTACTTCACACAGAGCCTGCTTTTTGTCACTCTCGTCAATTTCAACGCGGCTCCGCCGACGGGGAAGGTGGAAAAGGTCCTACAAGGCATGGTATACTTGCTGTGCTCGGCTCTTAAGGCCCTCGCCATCACTATATTTGTCCTCAACATCCTGACCATCATTGTCACCGATACCAACACTTCAGAAATGTCTGCCACCGATATTTTCAAACTACCGCTTGATGGCATGATGGTCGGCGCTGTCATGATTGGTATTGGCTGCGTTTTACAAAAAGTCTCGAAGTGCATGCCTGCGAGATTGGCGGTGTTGTCCGGCATCCTCCTTCTTCTTTGTGCTGTCACGCAGCTATCTCTCACCATATCCACCCCCTCTTTAGATCATATGATGTCCTTTCATCTCCCGAATGTTTTCCGCAACGGCGGGACCGTGATTGGCGCTCTTGCCCTTCTGATAAGCGCCAGTCGGCAGTTAGGTATGAACGGTTCTGGGGCTCGGGATAAGTGCGACGACGGCCTGGATTGAGGAGCTTTTTGACGGAGATTTTGCATAACACCCATGTTTTGTATCCATTAGCTTGTTCTTTCGGCGCAATATTCAAGACTACAAGCCAATCACTGGCGTCAAGGATGTCTTGCCGGGGAGACTTGTACCTTTATTCTTCATGAATTAAGTAACATTTTTTTATTTATACTGTCTATTGCGAAGCGTCCATCTCGACATCATCAGCTTTGTCTGATAGCTCAGCGTCACTGTCCGAATAGTTATCCGAGAACTCAGCCTCGCCCTCAGAATAGTCATCTGCCAGGTCCAGGCCTCTCACATGATAAGTGGAGGTTCCAGTCAGGCCTTTCTTGCTATGGCTCTCGCTCAAAGCCCCTGAACTGCTGTAGGCGACAATCTTGCCATTTTCCCGCTGCTCCGCGATGCGATCCAAGATGTAGTTGCAGCAGCGCCAAACCCGCTCCCTGTTGCGCAGACCCTTGGAAGTTTCGCGCAGTCCTTGAAGCGCGGCGTAGAGCTTCCTCCAGTCCGTTCCGTGCTGCGGGAGCAGCGTCGCGGGGATCGGGACCGGGACGAAGCGGTTCTCCGCCTCGAACGCCTCGAGCGCCTCCTCGAGGCGCCACAGCTCCGCCCGCATCTCCTCGGAGAGCTGCTCGCGGCCCTCGCTGGCCTGACGCGCGACGGCGAGCGAGTTTCGCAGATACTCGCGCTGGTAGCTCGCGGCGAGCGGGTCCGCGCAGATGTCGGACTGCGTCACGGCGGACCAGCCCGAGTACGGCCGGTAGCACCAGGACTCCCAGATCCAGGGCATCTCCTCGCGGATGCGGTCGAGGTGAAAGGACTGCGGATGGTCGGTGGCAGCGGCGGAGGAGAGGGTCATGTCGGCGATGCCGTCGACGACAACGCCGGGGGTAGCTGTAGCGGCGAGCGCCTGGCGGAGGGCGGGCACGAAGCACGGGTTCGCGGCGATCCACTCGTCGCCCTCGACGTGGTCCCACTGGCCGCTGCTGGGCAGCGCGCGCCGCACCGCGTCCCCCTGCGGGAAGCCCTCGTCTGCGAAGTGGCCCTTGGACCTGCCCGCCTGGGAGTACCAGCCGGCCAGGCCGTGCACGTCCACCGCGCCGGAGCGCTTGAGCGACGCGCGCTTGAACACCTCGAAGCAGGCCGGGTGAAGCGGCATGGCTGAGCCGTCTGTTTCCCGCGCGCCAGGTCGGTTGTATACGGCAAACGTCTCCCGCCCGTGGCGCATGGGGACGAAGACGGGGGTGACGGTGGAGTTGGGGTGGAGGTGGTCGCGCAGGCCGGAGAGGAAGCTGGGGCAGGTTCCGTCCAGGTCGTCGCCGTCGTCGGCGGGCTCGGGGGTCCAGTCGGCGGGCTTGGGGCAGAGCAGCTGCATGGTGTTGCAGCCACGGAGCTCGTCGGCGGTGATGTTGCGGCCGGCGTAGGCGTTCCGCAGACGGCAGTTGGGCCCGGCGACGTGCTCTCGGGTGCGCCAGGTGCGGTCGCGCTTCCGGTAAGCTTTGTCAAAGGGCACGATGATGTTGCAGATGTCCGAAGGTGAGCCGAGGGGGAACTGGGCGTGGGAGGTGGTAGTGGTGGCGCCCGTCTCCGTCTCCATTTCCATCACGCTGTCATCGCCGACGTGAACGAAGGAGGCGTCATCATCCTCCTCCTCCTCCTCCTCCACCTCAGCGTCGTCGTCGCTTGACATGTCGTCGTCTGACTGGTCGCTGAACAGGACTTCATTGGCGGCTTTCATGTCTTCGAGGTCCTCGGGGACAAAGCTGGTGTCGGCGGCGTCCAGCGCGTCCTCGGCGCCGTCGTCGGTGACAACGAAGCACCCGATGCAGCCGGATTCGTTGAGGACGGGTCTGCCCTGGCACAAGCGTCGCGAGGCGGCCTCGGGGGGTTCGGTGGCGAGCCGCACGCGGCCGACGTTGCCGCTGACGCCGCAGAGCTGGCACCGGATCTCGGTGCGCTGCGAGTCGATCATACTGTTTCTTCTCGGTGTCTGGCAAAGGGTGAAGCGTACGGCAGGACGGGGATTGGCCCTGAGATATGAAGCTGACGAGAGGGCAACGGCTAAACGTGAGCGGCCAGTATGGACAATTTATATAAATGTTCTGAACGCCCGTTTGCACTCTTGTGCGGCCGTTTGCTTCATGTATACAGCCGACAGTGCGCTTATGCATGTACATTCATTGAGGTAGGTACTGAGGCAGGTGTCTCAACCCCCAATCACTAACGCCTACTCTATCGACGGGCAGTAGCCGAGCAACTCACGGCGGCCGGGAAGTCGGGCATCGGCTCCTTGCAACATCTTCACGATGATACAAGTTGATTAAAGTGTAGATGGCAGAAAGAAGGCTCGACCTAACAAAGCTTATCGACGCTAGCAACGGGCCGCTGTGTTGCTCGGGTCACTCCGCAATCAATGCATGCTGGCCCAAAGTGCATATTCACACGACCGTGAAGATTTAGCGGTTAGTGCCCGCCAATTTAGCACTACACCGTGAATTACAGTGACGTTGGCGGGAATAAGGGCTCTCCTGATTTCGACTTGCACCAGCCGCTTTGTTCACATTGTTGTAAACCCCATGATCACTTTGGATCTTTTGTTCACGGTGGTACCTGAAAATCCGCCCTTCCACTGTTACCCCCCCCCCCCCCCGCGTTGCCGCTCACTGAGGTCCGGTATAGTCACCAGCCATGTCACTAACATGTCCCAGAGAAACATTCCATCTTGTCGGCCGTCCATGCATGACGCGATTCCACTGAGGCGATGCGGCGTGCTTCCGAGCGTACTTTTGCAAGGCTTCCGGTACCAAATCCTCGCGCTTGCAATCGAGGAGTCGGACGATGAAAGGAACGAGATGTCCGTCGAGCACGGTAGGGCCGTTGCCAAGAATGCAATCATCAGATGGATTGTAGACTGCCACGACGTCTCGGAAGAGATCCCGCGCTTGGCCTTCAGCTTCTTGCACGCGGCCGTCGGTCAACGCAGTCTCAAGTGTCTCTCTATGGCTGGATGACTTGTCAGCAACTCTCGGCGAGGGCAGAAAATTGACTGGCCTCACTCACATCCTTTGCTTGTATTCCAAGGCCCGCCTGTATTCCAGTCTGAGGTCGTCTCTCTCCAGTGCCTCGTCTGCGTCGCACGGCACCTTTTCCATGCGATCGCCTTTGTCTATCGAAAGGCAAAGGCCCTGGATGGCATGGATGTCGGCCAAGAGCTTCCTAATCTTGGCCTCGTTGGGCTCTGGGAGCAGGTGCGGGAAGTGAGAGCACAGCCAGTAAGAAATGTCAAGACTCTCTGGCATCGGCTGCGACAAGGAACCGCCGGTCAAGGTAGGTACCTGGTAGTACTGTTAATAAAATAATAAACACAAAAAAAAATCAAAATTCATACCAGTCCTTTAGGGTTGATCTTGGCAAGATACTCTTCGCTGATGTTTTCATCTCGATGTAGATTTATGAGGTTATAAGAGAGACTTATGCCACCATCCTCGCTAGCATCCTGCTTTCCTAGTACGTATGTGTACATGACCATGATGGAATACAGCGAAAATGGAAACATGTGAAGCGTAAAAGCGTCGGAGTTGTTAATAAAGGCCGCCATGTTGTAATTGCGTTGACAATAGACTGCGTTGTAGGGTAAGGAGTTGCCCTTCCCCCTGCTTACGCGGGGTAACTATCACCAGGCTGCAACATGCGGAGGCAAGCCTACAAGTACTAACAAGCCTCCAGCTACATTAGCAATATAACAAGTTAAGGCTATTTAATTAAGAGTTATTAACTTGATCGTGAAAATTCGCTCAGCTACTTAATCCATTTCTCGTCAACCCTCCCAGTCTTGACTAAACACATTACAAGTTGTACTTGAACGTGTCGTCGTAATCGCACACCTCATCCTTGTCTCCCTGCTCGCTACCTATAGATGGCTCGCGTGTGGCAAGACGCTCCGCACGCTGCTTGTTCACGTAGTGCAGGGCAAAGGCATTGACGCAGACGAGAAGCATCGCAAAGCCTGCGAAGCCCATGGTGATGCCCGTGCCTCTCACGTAGCGAGGCGCGGTCTGCGCGGTGAAAATTTGGCCGACGACGATGCCGGACGAGTTTCCTACGCTGAAGGTGACGCCGAGGGCGGTCGCGCGCTTGTAGTGGCCGGCAAAGTTGCTGTTGAGCCATACAATGGAGAGGCCAGCCTGAGAGACAAAAAAAAAGGTATTAATCCCGGGATGAAGATGTCATGATAAAGCTTTGCAGGAACTTACAGTGGCGTAGACACCGCAGCCGATGATGAAGACGGCTGCATAACGGGCGCCGAGAGCCTCAGTGCCCAGGTTGACGGCATACCCGATGATCAGGAAGAGACAGGCGCCGAGGATGAAGGGCGCTCGCAGGCCGACACGATCCGACAGGAGGGCGATGACGACGTAAGACGCCGTGGCCCACGCGTACACGGGGACGGTCAGGAGTTGCGCGTGCACGCTGGTGTATCCCAAACCGCGGATGATGGCCGGCAGGAACGTCATGAAGCTGAACAGCGACAGCGACACGGAGAACTCGAGCACCGCGTGCAGGTACAGCTTCGGGTCCCTGAACGCGCTGAGCACCTTGGGCCACGAGAACGCCTCGTTGACCGCCAGGTGCGGGTTGAGCTCGAACCGGAGCCTGACCACGCGCCGCTCCTCCTCGCTGAGGAACCACGCGGTGCGGGGGTCCTTCGGAAACACGGCGTAGATGACCGGCACCAGCGCTATGGTAATAATACCCTCGATGATGAACAGCCAGGACCAGGGGGGCAGCCCCCCGGCGTGGATGCGGGACACGGCGGAGGCGAGCAGGCCGCCGACGGCGCCGGCAAAGGCGCTGAAGCCGTACATGATGGCCGACCGGAGGGACATTTCGGAGCGCAGGTAGACCATGCCGATGTAGGCGTTGATGCAGGGGATCAGGCCGGCCTCGAAGAAGCCGATGAGGAGGCGGCAGGCGTACAGCTGGTTGGCGTTTTTTATGAAGCCCATGCCGAGGCAGACGAGGCCCCAGCCGAGCATGCAGAAGGAGAGCAGGTTCTTCGGTCCGACGAGCTTGAGGGCGATGGAGCAGGGCGCTTCGAAGGCGACGTAGGTGGCGAAGAAGAGGGTGACGGCATTGCCGAATTGGTTGCCTTTGAGGTTGAGGTCCTCGGGGAGGCCCATGATGTTGGTGTTGCCCTGTTTGATGGTCAGTCTGTCATCCATCTGCCGGTGAAAGAGAGATAATGAGGAAGAACTTACGAGGTTGTTTCGGTCGAGGTTGGCTAGCAGGTACATGATACCAAAGCAGCCCAGCACGACAGTGTCAAGCTTGAGCATTGCTTTCTTGTGGATCTTGGGATCGATCATGTTGTACTGCTCGATGACCTCGGCGGAGATGCTTTCTGGTGTCTGGGGCTCCATGACCTTGTCGGTCTTGGCATGTTCCTCGTACTGCATGGCAAAGACAATTGCTCGAGGCTGTTGGCCACGAAAATAAGCCAGAGTAAGAACAAAAGTCACACTGCGATTGCCGGATCGCTACAGATCAATTGGTGGAGGACAAGATGGACAAGTCTGAACTGTGCCTTGACTTTGTACTTGAAGTATCCCAAGCGACCCGAGCAGTTGCATCAGAGGATATATCTAAACATTCAACACTCCAATTGATTATCTTGTCCAACCTACCAGCTTTGATATGCGTCGCCTCCTATCCAACTTCCTAGATACACCAGCCGGTAGGGTCGCGTCGACCACCCCGGAGTCGCAAAGTCGCCAAGGCTGGTTACGCAGCACCTTCACGCGGCTCTATCGCGATAAAGCAGTACCGAAGGCTATCGAGTCTAGTCATTGACTGATAAAAGAAATGATGAACTGATAAAAAACAAAAGAAATGGCCAGTGAGTGGCTCAGTCCGGGCGTTGGGCACTGAAGGCGTCTCTTATCGCCCGACGGGAACCGTATCCACCCCACACTTTGGAGATGCATCCATGCATACCCAGGCGACCTTATCTCTTACTCTATCTCAAGTCTGGGGGTTTTAGGTCATGGCTTGGCCGGGGAAATACATTTGCCCGTAGAGACTTGTGGCTTGTGTCAAAGATGCCCGGAGGGGTTCCCGGCCTGGCCGACCACACGCAAGACTGAAGGGTGTCCCGTTGACGAAGATGGACTGCGGATATCGGAGCATCAGAGTTGGCTATCGATGTGGGCTCAGTTCAAGGTCACGGCGGACTCATTAAACATTTGCCAACATGGCTTCAGCTTCTGCGGCCAATTGACCTCGCGTCGGCCGGGCACTGCGGCTGGATCCCTCCCCGGCCGACACTCCTTTACTATGCACTACTCGCCGGCCGGTTAGGAAGCCCTGAGATTTAAATGAGGGTTTCTTTTGATATAGGTGCCAGTGAGCTTGCACATCGTCTGATTTCAAGCATCATCATTCTATTAAATAAGTGGCTACTATTATAAACCGCGTCTTCGGGTTGCTTCATCTGGCGACCGTCTTTTTATCTCTGCACCACAATTTATCGACAGCCTTTCGCAAAAGTCAAAAGTCGCAATAATGGGTCTTGAGGATGGAAACGCTGAATACGACGTGGTCATCGTGGGCGGCGGCCCGGTTGGTCTTCTCATGGCATACCAGCTGCGACGCTTCGGTGTCACTGCCTGCGTCATGGAACAGCACGACAAGGAAACGCAAGATGCATACGGTCGCGCAATCGCTCTGTTTCCACGAACGACCGAGCAGCTAGATCAGCTTGGGCTGATTGAGCCGATGCTCCAGCTTGGGTTCGCCTGCCGGAGCAGTGTGACTTACAAGGATGGCGAGAGAGTGTCAGTGTGCCCTGCTAGTAATTGAGGAAGTCATCTAGCTGACAACAAAAAAATACAGGGTCCCTGGAAGAGTCTGGACGTTCATGGAAAACATCAAAGACACTGCCTACGACTTCACGCTGGTGCTCCGCCAGATGTACACGGAAGAGATATTCCGTGGGAAGCTAGAGTCACTGGGTGGCTCGTACTACCAGACGATGCAATGCATCGACTTCAAGGTCGACGAGTCTGCGCCGTTCAACTCTCATGCAGTTACAAGCACATTTGTGGACAAGAGGACCGGGAAGAGGTTCCAGTTGAAGAGGTATGTATGGCTTACTCAGTAGAGTACTGTTACGTCTGGATTAGACTGACGTTGCCCAGCAAATATCTGATCGGCGCAGATGGCGGTCGCAGTTTTGTTCGGAGACACGCAGACATCCCCTTTGAGGGCGACACCTCAGAAGACCAGTGGATTCGCATCGACGGCATCGTCGAGACGGACATGCCGCTGAGACGGTCGTACGGCGCCATTGAGAGCAAGACTCACGGCAATATCCTCTGGGCGCCGCTCGACCACGGCGCGACTCGTATCGGATATGCCTACACCGCCGAGATCGCCGCCAAGTATCCGGACGGTGTGACGCGCGAGGTTGCCGAGAAGGAGGCCATCGAGGCGATGAAGCCCTTCCACGTCAAGTTCAAGGAGATTCACTGGTGGACGCTGTAAGTCATCCCGGCTAGGTAGCGAGTTGGATGCTGATGAATATCAGGTACACCATTGGCCAGCGCGTGGCAAAGTCCTTTGCTGCAAAGAGCGAACGTGTCTTCCTCTGCGGCGACGCCGCGCACACGCACAGCAGCGGCGCCGCGCAGGGCCTCAACACGGGCATCCACGACGCCGTCAACCTCGGCTGGAAGCTGGCCCTGCAGATCCGGGGCCTCACTCGGCGCTGCGTGCTCGACACGTACTCCCCCGAGCGCATGTCGGCGGTGCAGCGGCTGATCGACTACGACCGGGACATTGCGACGCTCATGTCGTGCAAGTGGCCGGCGTGGTATGACGGTGACCGGAGCGCGGATCCGCACCTGCTGCTGGGCGACATCTTTAACGAGGCGGCGTCGTTCAACACCGGCCTGGGCATCGCCTACGCGGCCAACGCGGTCAACCAGACCGGGGGCGGACTGGTCAAGCTCACGGTCGGGCCGGGGAGCAGGCCGCCGGATGTCCAGCTCCGCACGCCAGGGACTGGTCAGACGGTGCGCCTGCAGCAGGTCACCAAGAACGTCGGCAAGTTCTTCGTGGTCGTTTGCATAGGAGACGTGACCGTTACGAGGCCTCGGCTGCTCGACCTGCGCGAGGCCTTTGCGAGCGGCCCTCTGCGGAACCACGAGGCCGTCTCGTGGCTGACGATCAGTCCCGCGGTCGGCTGCTCGCCTTACGAGGCTATTGACATGAGGCCCTTTGGCAACATGTTCTACGATCCGGAGAGTGAGGCACATGAGAGGCTCGGCGTAGAGGTGGGCGAGGGCGCGGTGCTGATCCTGAGGCCGGATGGATTGCTGGGTGCGGCCGGGCCAATCGACGGCGGCGCTTGGATCAAGGGATACTTTGCTGGGCTGCTGAACTTGAAGGAGACGGAGGCGAGTCGACCGGCATCGGACTCGGGGATCAGTGTTTAGATGCGCTTTATTTTGCCTAGTTGTAGGTAGTGAAACATCTTCGAGGTTCTTTTTCCTGCACATTAGTGTCCTACCAGCTTCCAGAGTGTTCAACCCAAAGTAAAACAATGCCTGGTGACAACCTGATGGACAGAGTCTCTCTCGAAACTGAACATTCCTCGCAGCGTCACATCAACAGCGCCACCCGCCAGTATCACTATCAGCTTACGATGACGGCGGTGCTAACGGCCAATGTAATCCGCGTCGGCGGTGCGTCTCCATTGATAGGTTACCATTTCGCCGTAGGCCCTAGAGATTCCGACATGTTGGAAGTGTAATAGCTCGATCCGGGTCTAATACGCAACTATAAGACAGCTCTACCCCGCCATTCTACCCCTCCATTGGACTCCATCATCTCACCAGGTACCCTGACATTGTACTACTAATTGACTCCCAACTTGACCCATCATGACGCTTATCCCGGCTCGCAAGGCCGTCGCCTTCACCGTCGAAGCTGGCCAAGAGTTGAAAATCACAAACACCTTTGGCAAGCAGGTCCTCGACTTCTGGGCCTTCAATCCCAATGATGCAAACGATTTCCTGTCCATGGTCCACACCAGGACCGTTCTACGCAAAGTCTCACTTGCCCAGGGCGACAAACTCTACAGCACGCGCAGGAAGCCCATTTTGACCCTAGTAGCAGATACGACAAAGGGCGTGCACGACATGATTTGGTCGGCCTGCGACGTGGAGAGGTACCACATGCAGGGTGTTGAAGGGTATCACGACAATTGCACTGATAACATGCACGAGGTTCGTGCTCGAAAGCCATGCCACATCAACGGCCGTGGTGACTGCGATGAAGTGAAATATATTGTTGCTAAAGTCATCAGGTCCTGCGAGACAAGTTTCCCGACTTCCCAATCGCTGCCGACTGGGTGCCCGACCCCCTCAACCTGTTCATGAACATCGCCATTGACCACCACGGCGGCCTCGACATCCGTCCGCCCACCAGCGAAAGAGGCCAATACGTCATCATCAAAGCTGAGGCTCGTCTCCTCATTGTCATCAGCTCATGTCCTCAGGACATCGACCCCGTCAACGCCGGCACGCCCACAGACTGCGACTACGAAATCCTTGGCGCTCCTGCATCTGCCGAACCATCATCTCTGGCAATTGCACCGTCCTTTCTGCCTACCCGACCGCCACCCAGAAAGGTCAAGGTCGCTCTTTCGGTCGACTTTGACGCCGTGTCGCATTGGCTCGGCACGGGCTGCCACGCGGACAACAACATGGCCGACTACTCCTCCGGCATCTTCGCCGGCCAGGTCGGCGTGTACCGTCTTCTGGGCATGTTCCAGAAGAACGGCATCGCTGGCAAGACCACCTGGTTCATCCCGGGCCACACCGCCGAGACCTTCCCTGCGGCCGCGAGGGCCGTGCTCGAGTCCGGGGCCGAGATTGCGCTTCACGGGTACGCGCACGAGGGCATCGCACAGATGACCGAGGAGCAGGAGAGGGACGTCCTTCTCAAGTGGTACGTTTTCCCCTCTCAGCCGGGTTTGCTGAAGAAGAAAAAAAAAACAAAAAAAAAAGGGGGCTAACCAAAGTAAAATCGCCAGCATCGAGGTGGCAGAGAAGCTCACCGGCAAGAAGCCTCGCGGCTACCGCGCCCCCATGTACACCATCCGCGAAAGCACCGTCAAGCTCCTCCGCGAGCACGAGTTCCTCTACGACTCGTCACTCATGCACCACGACTCACAGCCGTACTTCACTCCCGCCGACCCCCCGGTCAAGCCCATCGACTTCAGCCTCCCCGCCTCTTCCTGGCTCGAGCCCTCCCCAATCGCAGCCCAGGGCTACCCGGCCGCGGGGCTGCACCCGCTGGTGGAGCTGCCGTGCGGCTGGTACAACGAGGACATGATGCCGATGATGTACCTGCCGCACCTGGCAAACAGCATGGGCTACGTGTCGACGCGCGTGGTGGAGCAGATGTGGAAGGACAAGTTCACCTGGCTCTGGGAGGAAGGCTGCAAGGAGGGCGGGGAGGCGATGGACTTTGTCTTTCCGATTCTGGTGCATCCGGATGTGAGTGGGCTAGCGCATGTCATCGGCATGATTGATAGGTTCATCCAGTGGGTAAAGGGCTTTGGAGAGGCGGTTGAGTTTTGTAAGTGTGAGGATATTGCCGAGGCATGGTTGGCCGAGCAGCAGAAGAAGAAGAGATAATCATAAAGTATTAGTTGAGCATCTTCTTCCACATATAGAAACCAAATTCCTTGATTACAATTGGTGTTTCAAGCTTTCAGAGTGGGCTTAGGTGCCTGCACCTTTGCGTGCGTATGGTAGGCAATGAGGGAGGGTTTGTGTGGGTGAGGTTGTTGTTTTGCTGGACCATGACTGAAGTCATTGCGTTGCTGCATTTTGTACTGTACATATCCAAACATCTCCCAAACCACTCGCTCTATGGTCCACACTCGCATACCTTAGGCTCCTGAACTGTAGACATAGGATGGCTGATGATCTGGACTGTAGGGTAGGTGCACTGCGAAAACACCAACTAGATCTCCGCGTATCAATGGTAGACATGACTGTGGAAGGTGCAATTGATCCCCCGTGGCTGCTAAAGTTAATCTCTGATATTTCTCGTGGCCATCCCACCGCCGGATAGAAGAGGGAGCAAATCGAATCGCCCGAGATCCAGGGTAACCCCATTCCACCCGTTCGCCGACGGCCGACAAGTTGCCCACCAATCCAATCGCCGCGATCAAGTCTAGCGATAAGGCGAATACGCGGGCCGACAGAGAGTAGACCAAAGTCCGCCATTCCCGCCACAGAGTGGTTCATCTATGAGTTGGGCGATTTGGTAAGGGGTCTGTCTGTTTCGGCCGAGGCTATGTATTCGCCCGCCGGGAGCCGGCTTTGGGGATTCAACTTGTTGTTGTGGCGGACCTCCCTCTAATGACGCGAGGTTGGACTGGGAGTTGGAATTGGAGTAGATTTAAAAAGCCGACTTCATACCGGAAGCATGCTAAACTAGAATCCCGTCTTTTATTCATCTCTAATGTCAACCTCCCTCCTCTCCAGAATGGCTACTCGCACAACCGCTGTCACGCCGGCCATTCTAGTCCCGGGCCAAAGGACCTACCATGGCCTCAAAGTCAACGGCAGCAGGATGCTCGAGACGCTGCACAAGACCTGCGACTTTGGCAAGGCGTATCCATGGGGCGAGTAAGTCAAACACGAGCAAACTTCGAACGGCATTCCAAAAAAAAAGGAAAAAAGAAAAAAGAAGAAACCCAGCCTGCTAACTCTCTTGTTCACTGCAGACTCGCCACAGAAACCGGCATGGCTCGACTATCCCTCAACGACGACGACAAAAAGGTTCGCGACTGGCTGCTCGCCGAGGCTGAAACTCTCGGCTGCACCGTGACCGTCGACCAGATGGGCAACATGTTCGTCGTCAGGCCGGGAAGGTCCAAGGACGCGGCGCCGGTCATGATGGGATCGCATCTCGACACGCAGCCGACCGGTGGGCGCTATGACGGCATCCTCGGCGTCATGGCCGGACTTGAGGTGCTGAGGACGCTCGAGGATAACAAATGGGAGACTGAAGGACCGGTTGGTCTGGTGAATTGGACAAAGTAAGTTGCCTATACTAATCACTGCTCTCATGGACGCACATCATCCGCCGAAATGGCCGGTCCTGACACCTCAACCCAGCGAAGAAGGCGCCCGCTTCCCCATAGTCACCGTCGCCTCCGCCGTCTGGGCTGGCGCCATCCCCCTTGAGACCGCATGGGCACTCGCCGAGGTCTCCCCCCCCGCCGGTCCTCCGCAAACCATGAAGCAGGAGCTCGCCCGCATCGGGTACCTCGGCGCCACGCCCGCCTCGCACGCCTCCTTCCCAATCGCCGCGCACTTCGAGCTCCACATCGAGCAGGGACCCGTGCTCGAGGACGCCGGCCGGACGATCGGCGTCGTCACCGGCGCGCAGGCGCACAGCTGGTTCGAGGTGGTCGTGTCGGGCAGCGACAGCCACGCAGGCACGACGCCACTGGGCGCACGGCAGGATGCCGTGCTGGCCGCGGCCCGGATGATCGTCGCGTCGAACGAGGTTGCGAAGCAGCATCAGGGGCTGATCACGACGGGCATCGTGGGTGGGGTACCTGGGAGCGTCAACACGGTGCCGCACACGGCTAGGTTCACGCTCGACGTGAGGCACGCTAGTGACGTGACGGTGGTCGAGATGGTCGGGCAGTGTCGCGCGCGGTTCGAGGAGATTGCAAGGGGCGAGTCGGAGAGGGGCGTCGAGGTCTCGTGGAGGACCCTGACGGAGAATAAGGCTGTTATGTTCCACGAGCATTGCATCAGGGCCGTCGAGGAGGCTGCCGAGGAATACTGCTCGCAACAGCTCCCCGATCACAGAAAGGCAGCGGAGAGCAGGAGATGGCAGCATATCACGAGCGGAGCTGGCCATGACTCTTGCCAAGTGAGCAAGATCTGTCCCGCTGCCATGATCTTCACGCCGACGAGGAAGGGGAGAAGCCACACGCCGGACGAGTACTGCCCGCCGGAGGATTGCGTCGCTGGAGCGCAGGTATTGCTTGGGGCTGTTTTGCGATATGATGCGTCACGGAAACTATGATAGTAATGATTGTACATATTTGGATGCCATGCCATTTGGCCGACTTTCGCATCTTGTGGACCGCAGGCGTTATCGAGTGTGGTCACGATCGTGCCTCGCCACCTTTCTTGGCGGACTCGAATTCCTTCAGAAGCTGAATCGCAGGACTCTCCGATCCCGCACCGTGAATAACCGACAATATGCCCTTCCAGAACGACGCGTCAAGTCTCATTGCTGCGAGACGAGCCAGCGGCCAAGCCCTTGCCTGCATGCGTAGTGTGTCTCTCCATTTGTCCAGCAATGCCTTGTTCCGCACTGCCATCTCCCGCGTTGCCGACTGGGCCAGAATAAGAAGAATCAGCGTCGAAACGTAGCATAGCTGGTAACGTGTATCTTGAGCAGTGTCAGCGCGAAAGGCATCATATATGTGCGCAGAGCAGCCGTAACTCACAGTGAGGCCAGAAGCTGGTAAAATGCTTTGCCCGCAACAGAGACACCATCTCCGTCGCTACACTGGCGCAGACGTGGCAGTTCTCGTAGATGGTCGAGATTGGTTCCCGGCACTTGTCCGAAGTCGATACTTGCTCATTCGACAATGGCCGCAGGAGGGCGCGAAAGATGAGTATTTCCAGCGTCAAATGCTGCAAGCGCAAGGGGGCGCCATTCTCAAATTCCTGCTCGTCCAATTCCAGAACAGATTTTGAGAGAAACGGCAGGGTCTGCCTCCAGCTCTCTATGCGTGTACGAAGTCTTTGCGCTTTGCTGAGGAGGGCTGCTAATGCCAGTGACTCCGTGTAGTTTGCCCTCACTGAGCTAGAGTCTGTTAGCCAGACGAAAATGAACATCCTCGACCTCTCTGCTTACTAGAACTCTTTTAAAACGTCTGCAGCGATGACACCGAGCTCGCATTGAGCCAGACAAATGGGTATATGCTTTGCGACCGCCTCGCGAATGATCGGATCGTCCGGACCCGGCTCGAAATCGTCTTCCGTAAGGTCGGAAACACTCCAGTTCGACTCATGTAGATGGGAAGGCCTCCCGCAGACAAGGGCATGCCACGTGTGTCCAACGTAGGTCAGCCACCACAGCCGCCGACGTAGAATGACCTCCTCTCTCGGCAGTCTCCAATCCTTCGGCTCGACATTTACTCCCAGGTTCTCTGCAATCGCCACCGCTGAACAAGAAAGTGCCCAGAATTTAGAGGGCTCGGCGACAACGAAGTTCCGTGGCGGCATGTGCAGCATTAAAAGACACAGCTGCAGCAGTGATAGGTGTGAGAAGCAGCTATCGCGTTGGAAGCTGCGATGGGCAATGTCCCAAAGGTCATCTGTCGGTACACCGAGGTAGCCGTTTGAGACGCTGAGCTCGTCGTCTAGGAAGGTGAATGGCGCTGCGAGGGCGTAGACGGCGCTCCGAATGCCGACGGGAACATGTAAGGCGGTGTCATGATCGAGCATGCGCCCGAGATCCGTGAATGAGAGGACGGGATATCGAGGGTGGACAAATCTGGAGTACCTGCGCCCCCTGGTTAGTACCAAGAGATTTTAAAATGTGCTGATGGCTCACAGTTTCACTAGATTTCTTCCCAGCTCTGGTTCCACGATCTTGTTAAGTAGCGCTTGATCTGCAGCTCCCGTGCCTCCGCCAGACAAGTACCTCTCTGTGGCCTTCAAGTCTTCCTTCCAGATCGCCTCATCGCTCATCATGAACTGCGTTGGGACCCTGGTAGTAAGTAGCTGGGCCCGACTGCCGGGCATGTCATGGTTGCTCCGAGGCTGAACATCATCAGCGACTCTCCGAAAGTCAAGGCGGAACATGTGGTAGTTATCATAGGCGTTGTACTTGTACTGCTTTAAAAGGAACGGATCGGACTCGCATGAGAGACCGATCAAGTGGTTTGAATATCCCTTTTTAGCTTCCAGCGAGAGCTCAATGGGCCATAAGGACGATTGTGAGCCATGGGTGTGGGCTGTCACCTGCTGAGCTGTGCCTGCTCGTCGAGTGAACTCGTCATCGGGCTGGAGAGGAGGCTGAATACGAAGCTGGTCGGAGAAGCTGTTCGTGTCCGAAGGTGATCCGCTGGACGTGCTTGGTGGTGATGTGCCTTGGCGAGTTGGATGGGCCATGTTGGAGTTGGTCGGTGAAAGCACAGCCGGGAGAAAACTAGGATCGAGACTGAGGTCTACCGAGGGTTCAGTGAGCATCATGTTAATCCCGTCACCACCAGCCCCCGATGTGCCATTACTTGCAGCGAAAGCTCCGCCGTTGCTGCCGAGACCATAGTAGCCCATGATACTGGACATGTCCTGGATAGCGAATGGATGTCTCATGTCGGCTGGCAGCGCCCACAAATCGCCGTCTCCAAGGTCCATGTTCATTCTTTCGGTCCGATCGGCCTCGGCAGCGTGGACTCCAGGTGGAATATCGCCAAAGTCAGGCCTCTCAAACTGGCTCTGACTTTCTCGCCGTCGTCGGGGCGCTTCATTGTCATTGGCATCGCGAGCACGATGCTTGCGTCTCAAAGGCCCGAGGACAAAAGTGCAGCGCTTTTCAAGCCTTCGACACAGCTCGCAGTCGGCCCCATCAGCCTGTAGTTTGCAGTGGATCTTGCGCGTCCGACAGAGGTCGCATGGCCGCTGCTTCTTGGAGCGATACTTGCGGCCGTTGCCCTCCAGCGACGTCGCCTCATTCATTGCTGCAGGTTGATAGGGTGTCGTCGGTCAGAGAAGAGGAAACTCGGCAGCAAGATGGCGAGTCACGCCGACCTGCGCTGAAGCTCCGAGCGTGACGCCATGTGGTCACTGGTAGCGAGCTCCCTTATCACGGCTGCTCTGTGGCGCTCTCGCTATCAACTGGCTTGGCCAAGATTGAGAGGCGGAGATAAGAGTGAGCAGTCATTCATTCTCATTCCCAGGGATAGTTACTTCTGGCGAAGACGAATGCTGCCAAGCAGCAAGGAGGTCGAACCGTTGCCTTCTTTTGCAGGAAGCGAGCCGCAAATGTCAGGGAAGGAGAAAGTGTGATGCAATGTTGTTTGTTGACGCTGTGGCCGCAGGCTCAGGCCCTATAACACGGGTGTCTCTAGGCGTCCATTCCGCTATAACTAGCCTGTATTTACCCCGCACAGCGCTGCGAGAGTAAAAAAAGAATCAGAAAAGGTAGTAAAACATTCTATGGAGATGTTATAAATATAGTAGAGATGTGACTTGTAGATTTGCTATAGAAAGAAGATCAGAATTAAAAAGTTAATTAAGAAAATAAATAGAACCCCCAAATTTTAATAATTGTAGCTACGCCGTAGTTATCTACAGAGGAAGCTTGGAAGTGATGCTGAAGTCGTCAAAATTACAACTTATTTTGGAGGCATAGCAGGAGATGAACATGACTTTAATGAAAAAAAAAAAAAAAAAAGAATGTTTTAAGTCCGAAGACTGTTTGTCATCAACTAACTAGTTGAGCCATACAGGCTCGCTTCACTTGGTTGACAGTCGACAGGATGTGCCAACTAATTTCGCGGGGGAAAGGCTAGGAAAATCTTGCCGACCATCGGCAATGCACCAGGCTCGCGACAGCAGCCTCGTCGGAAATCTCCCCCTTGCATCCACTCATTTCGTCGGCTACCAGCGACCAGGCTCAGTACAAGTCGATAGCAGCAAACACTGCCACATACCACAGCCACCTCGGGAGAGAAGGAGGGTCGTTTCCGGATGCAGAGCGATCGCGAGCCGCTGCTGCAAGATCTCGCTTATCGCCGCAGTTGATTCACACTCACCTAGGTCCGTGGAACCGCCGTGGACGTGCCGAAACCCGAGGGCCAGGGAGTGAGGCAGAAACTATCCACCTTGTCGGAGTTGGACCCGGACTCGGACTTGGACCTGTCGGACCCAGATACGGGCCTGCCGGTCGCAGTAACTCAGCGGAGGAGGACCCGGGGGCCTCCAATTTACTACGAGGATTACGACTGGCGAGGAAACCCTGCACATGTCTGAGCCTAATTACGGGGAGGAAAACTCTCTGTCGCCCGACTGTGGAAGTTCTCCCCCCCTGACACCGCCTCTGACTACTACCCCGCCTGGCCAGGCCCCGGCCCCGGTGGCGGCGGCGCCGACCAACCCGACCCGTGTCCGGGTCAGTGGAGGGCGCAACGGGCCCCGGTCGCGCCAGGGCTGCTGGACGTGCCGCACCAAAAAGGTCAAGTGCGACGAGACGCGGCCCAAGTGCTTGCGCTGCATCCGCTTGCGCCTGTTCTGCGACTACGAGCCCCGCGGCGGCGACAAGCTCTCGTCGCCGCCGGGTGGCGGAGGGGACGCAGCGGCGGTGGCCCACGGCTTCCCCGAGAAACACCGGGCGCTGATGACCAGCCAGCCGTGGCTCCTACAGGTAGCCCCGTGGCGGCGCGCCGCGCCCATGACGATGCCGCTGCCGATGCACATGCCCGCGTTCGACACGGCCGCCAACTCGCTCAAGCTCACGTCGCTGGACCACGAGGCGATCCGCTACTACCGCACCACCTTCTCGCAGCGGCACTCCACCAAGAACACCGACTTCTCCGTCTACTCCATCATCTTCACGTTGGCCGAGCGCGACCCCCTGGTCATGCGCGGCCTGCTGGCGCTGGGGACGCGCAACATGCACCAGGGGAGGGTGGCCGCTTCTCAGGAGGAAAGGAGGGCGGCGCCTCCGCTGGGGGGCTGGTCGGGGCTGGGCCACTACTCGGCGGCGCTGCGGATGATGGCAGACACCATCAGCGCGGGCGAGAACGGCGTCATCGACCTGGACGTCGCGCTGGCGGCCATCTACCTGATGCTCATGTACGAGCAAAAGTACGGCGACGCAGCGTACTCGGGGTGGATGAACCACCTAAGGGGAGCCGCGCTGCTGATACAGGAGCGCTGCAGCGACTGGCCCGCGCAGCTGGCCCAGCGTCCAACCGCGAGGGCGACGACGTCATCTCTTTCGCCATCGCCGTCGTCGTCGTCGTCGTCGTCATCGTCGTCGTCGTCCGAAGTAGCGGCACCATCTACGACGCAGACGCCACCCCTGTCCGTCTTCGCCGCGCGGATGCTCGTCTACTTTGCCTTTATGGACGGCTTCGGCTCCACGTTTGGGCTCGGCGGCGACATCAACAAGGTGATGCACCGGATTGTACAGGCGCACGACCCCGACATGGTCCTGACCGAGGCTTTCACGAAGCTGCACCGCTACTCGGACGGCCTGTACCGGGCCGTGTTCCGGCAAAACTACCCGGCCAACGAGATGCTCGCCGACGTGGCCAACCAGCACATTACCGACATGTGGCAGGCCTGCTGCGGCCTGCGCTACCTCGTCGCCGACATCTGCAACTACCAAGGCGACGCGGCCCGGGCGCGGCTGGCCCTGATCCAGGAGTCGGCCGACTACCTAGCCGAAAAGTACCCCGAGCTCGTCGCCTTGGCCACGGAGATGACGCCCGACGCCGACGTCCCCGACATGGTGGCGACAAACTTCCGCGCGTTCATGCCTCTCTACTTCTCCAGCCTGCTGGAGATGCACCTCCTGCGGTGCGAGATGGACCCCGACGCCATGACGGCCGACGAGCAGAAGACCACCACGGCGACCTACGTGGCGGTCATCATGAACCTGGCGCACCAGATCTACAAGCACGTCGGGCTGGACCTGCTGCACCTCATCAGCTACCCGTTGTTCCTGGTGGCGCTGCAGACGGACTCGGAGTCGACGCGCGACTGGATCCTGGCACGGTTCCACGACCTCATGGCCTTTGGGCCCAACATCGGGCGAGCGCACGCGTTCCTGCGGATGGCACTCGCGAAGCAGGCAGAGACGGGCGAAAAGGTAAAAGTCCGAGAAGAGTTTCGGACCGGTAAACTACCAGTCTTTGTGATATAACTAGGATAGCCGAATTGAAGGAAATACCCAGGGCGGAGTTGCGGAGTTGGTAATGACGTGCTTGAGTTACAAGTTCAAGTTGGGGAGACAGGGGCTGACATGGATAGATATAATAGTCTCATCAAGTCTATTTGCATTTCGAGATCTGTCTTGTCTTGTGGACTTCGGATGATCATAAACGCAGGCCCATCTCACCAGCCGATAGCCTAATCATCCAGCTGCCAAGTCTGGGTTAAAACTCCACCGAAAAGCAAGATGGCCCGGTCCTCCGCGTTTTGACTGTCCGGTCACAAGCCGAGGCGTCTAAACTCCGCTAGGGGCCTTCGTGGATCGCCGACCCTGAATTTAGCCAAGGGGAAAAAACGAGGCAAGCATACTAAGTTGACATGAGTCGGTGTTTGCGACGCTAGTCTTGTTGCCTGTCTTGTTTAAACTCTTATATATATAACGCCTCACAACCACCGACTTGAGAAATTGATAACCCAACTCCTCAACAAACCCCCTCGCAATGGCCAAGGAAACCCTGCAAATCTCAAACCCCGTTACCCTCCCGTGCGGCCTCACCCTGCCTAACCGGCTCGTCAAGGCCGCGCTGGCCGAGGGCTGGGCCAGCCGCGACCGGCGCCCCCACGAGGACCTCATCGACACCTACCGTCTCTGGGCCGAGGGCGACTGGGGCCTGCTCATCACCGGCAACGTGCAGGTCGACTCGACCTACCTCGGCACCCCCGAGGACGTCTCGCTCAACGAGCGCCTCAGCCGCGCCGCCCACGTCGAGTCCTGGGGCCGCTGGGCCGCCGCCGCCTCCGAGCGCGGCACCCCCGCGCTCGTCCAGATCAACCACCCCGGCCGGCAGTCGACCATCGGCGCCGGCACCAAGGGCCTCTTCGGCAAGTCCATCGCGCCCAGCGCCGTCGGCGTGCGTCTCGGCTCCGGCTGCGTCGCCTCCGCCGCCAGCGCCCTCGTCTTCGGCACGCCCCGCGCCATGACCGATCTGGAGATTGACGACGTGGTGCGGCGCTTCGCGACGGCGGCCAAGATTTCGGAGGAGGCCGGGTTCGCGGGCGTGGAGATTCACGCGGCGCACGGATACCTGCTCTCGCAGTTCCTGTCGGCCAAGAGCAACCGCCGCGAGGACGGGTACGGCGGCTCACCGAAGAACCGGGCGCGGATCGTGGTCGAGGTGATTCGGGCGGTGCGCGCGGCCGTCTCGCCCAAGTTCTGCGTGGGCATCAAGATCAACTCGGTGGACCACCAGAGCCCCGGCGAGCTCAAGGACTGCTTGGAGCAGCTCACGGAGATTACCAACGCCGGCGTCGACTTTCTGGAAATCAGCGGAGGAAACTACGAGAATCCCTTGGTAAGCTACAGGCCCTCCTCCTTCATCTCATCATCATCATCCTTTGGTTGCTAACTGACCTTGCCAGATGATGGCGTCCGTCGTCAGCGAAGCCGGCGTCAAGGTCTCCGCCAGCACCGCGACGCGCGAGGCCTTCTTCCTCGACTTTGCCAGCGCGATCCGAAAGACGTTCCCCGGGCTGCTGCTCATGGTCACGGGCGGCTTCCGCAGCCGGCTCGGCCTCGAGTACGCCGTCAAGAGTGGCGCATGCGACCTGACCGGCATTGGGCGGCCGTCCGTCCTCGAGCCGAGGCTTCCCAGGAGCATCATCTTCAACGCCGACGTCAGCGATGAGGACGCAAGACTGCCGACCAAGAGCTTCTCCCAGGCCACGCTGAGCCGATGGCTGGGAATCAAGGGCCTGGGTGGCGGCACGGAAACGGTACGTAATGACTTGGATTTGGACGAGGCATGTGATGCTAACTATTTTCTACGTAGCTTGGATATCTTGGTGAAATTCATAGAATGCAAAAGGTTGCCGCCGCTTATGCGGTATAGATCACTCTAGGATGGGGGCTACAAGCTATCTGGGCTGGGGGAGAGGGGGGGGGTAGTTGCTGAGATTCTTAACGTGTACGATTTCATATTCATTTCTAGACTGCAGATAGATCAACATGCATTTCAACTTTCGATTATTTATTTTTTACGACATAGTTACAGTATACCACAACTAGGATACAAACTAAATTACTTAAATCAGCCTTTATCGCGCAATCCCGTGCCAGCATTGAGCCACAATCACGTGCCAGCATCGAACCACAATCATGGGCATCTTCAAGAAGCAACGCTCAGGCGCGGAATTAGCGTGATGCTAATTGGAGATGAGCTCGCGGGTAGCGACCCCGCGTTCTCTCGAGTACATCCGAGGCAACTCAGAAAAGTCACTAAAAACTTTACCGAAACAGTCTGTCCGATCGGGCTCCACCGGGCCGCTCAGGAGGCGCCGTCGCCGCCGGGTTAGTTGGGCCGGCCACTAATCCGGAAGGTCTCTTATATACCCAATCCCCAGGATCTTAACAAAGGAGTGAACCCTATTCTATTTCAGTTCATCCCCAACTTCGAATCGAAAGTCAGTATTATTATTAATTGGAAAACAGAAAAGAGAATGCCGGCAGAAGCATCCACCCCCGGCGTCAAGCCCGGCCATACAGACTTTGACCTCATCATCGTCGGCGCCGGCATCTCTGGCATCAATGCCGCCTATCGCTTCCAGACCGGCACGCCCGCCGGGAGCTCCTACGCCATCTTCGAGGCCCGCGACGCCCTCGGCGGCACCTGGGACCTCTTCCGCTACCCTGGCATCCGCTCCGACTCGGACATCTTCACCTTTGCCTTCCAGTGGAACGCCTGGCCCAAGAAGGGCACCATGGCCAGCGGTGAGGAGATCCGCGCCTACATGAAGGAGTCGGCCAAGAAGGAAGGCATCTACGACAACATCCGCCTCCGGCACAAGATCGTCGCCGCCGACTGGGAGTCGCAGCACTCCCGCTGGGCCATCACCACCACCACCAACAGCCCCGACCAGCCCAACAAGATCTACTACTGCCAGTTCCTGTACCTCGCGACGGGATACTACGACTACGAGACGCCCCTGCAGACCGTCATCCCGGGCATCGACAACTTCCGCGGCAAGGTGCTGCACCCGCAGTTCTGGCCCGAGGACCTCGACTACGCCGACAAGGAGGTCGTCATCATCGGCAGCGGCGCCACCGCCGTCACCATGGTGCCCTCCATGAGCCACCGCGCCCGGCACGTCACCATGCTCCAGCGCAGCCCGACCTACATCTTCCCGCTCCCCCAGCACGGCCTCCTCGCGCGCCTCGTCTTCCTGCTCCTCCCGCGCGCCCTCGCCACCCCGTTGCTGCGCGCCGGCTGGATCCTCCAACTCGTCCTCATGATCCAGTTCTGCAAGCTCTTCCCCGGCCTCGTGCGGCGGGCCATCCGCCGCGAAAACGTCAAGCGGCTGCCCGCCGCGGTGCCGTGGGACCCGCACTTCAACCCGCGGTACAACCCGTGGGAGCAGCGGCTGTGCGCCTCGCAGGACGGCGACATCTTTGCCGCGCTGAGCAGCGGCAGGGCCAGCGTGGTCACCGATACCATCAGCACGGTGACCGAGAAGACGATCAAGCTGGACTCCGGGGCGGTGCTGCACCCGGACATCATCGTGACCGCGACGGGCCTGCAGCTGAGCTTCGCGGGCGGCATGGCGGTGACGGTGGATGGGAAGCGCGTGGACCAGTCGAAGCAGTTCCTGTGGAAGGGCACGATGCTGCAGGACATTCCGAACTTGTTCTTCACGATCGGCTTCGAGAACGCGTCGTGGACGCTGGGGTGTGACTGCGCGGCGCTTCTGACCGTGCGCGTCATAGAGCAGCTGAGGGAGAAGGGCCTCAAAGTCGCGGTGCCTCGGATGAGCGCGGAGGATCAGAAGATTATGGTTCCCAAGCCTCTGTTCAGCCTCAAGGCAACGTACCTGGATGGTGTGGGGGAGAAGCTCCCCAAGGGGGGCAGTGGTATGTGGGCGCCGAGGACAAACTACCCGGTGGATCTGTGGAAGTCGAGATATGGCGACATTCAGACGAACCTGGCTATGAGCTAATGTTGGTACTATGAATGAATAGTTTAATGAATATTGTGTAACCTTGTCACGTTTCACCGTGTCTAGTCTCAACCGCCGGTAGTGCCAGGCATGTAGTGGTAGGTAGCACACACGGATGTCTGTCATAAAGCGAGTGCTGACGCTGATTCACAGGCTCCTCATGGACGGGCCGTCTATCATCAATGGCTCAAGTATGACGATGCAGAAAGCGATACAGTAACACTATAGCACGGGACCTTCAGCTTCAATGCATATAAATATCAGCTCACAGTCTGCCGATAATGTTGCTTCTCTACACAAGAAAACTTGGCCAAGTCTCTCGCAGCGTTCAAGATGGACCTGGCGCCATTGATTCAAGGAAGGAGTCCAGTGCAAATCCTTCTGGATACCTGGGCTCTGATGAACCACAGCGCGGCTGACACCCAGCTGGACTTTATCAGGGCGCAAATGGCAGTCGTGCTAAAAATGGACGACAGCACAAACAACGACAAGGTCACCGCGCTGATCATGTACGGCATGGTGTGTCAGGAGACTGCCCATCGACTGGACAACGATCGACAGGATAGCCTGCCGAGTTGGCGGGCGGCTCTCAGCGTATTCCAGACGGCCTTGGACACGGCCACGACGGAGGAGGATAATCTTAGAAGCATAGCTGAGGAGTTTCTAGAGGATTGCAGCTCAGAGGTCTCCAGATTAGAGCTGCTGTCGGGGGGTTGATGAGGTTTGCGGAAGCGGATGACCTGGTACTGCTGCGATGTCGGCGGTCCAAGTATTGCGGAAGCAGGATGCGCCAAATTGTTTTCAGCGGCGTCGTGGTGATTAAATGATGGAAAGCATAGATTAGCTACTGCTTCATTGGTTTTCATTAGGAAAGTTGTCCCGTGTAATAAAAAAAGTGTCCTGAGTGTGGCGAGAGTGTTATCTAGCCGCCACAATGCAGGTAGTGGTAGGCCCTCGCAGCCTCTCCGCATTACATGTTGGACAGATAGCCAGGTCTCACAAATGCGTGGGAGGTTCACAGTCTGCATCGATACATTCCAAATGTGCGCTGAGCTGAAATCTGTCCAAATCATCACACGCGCCAATTCATCAGCGTCATCATGACCAAATCCGCGTATAATAGGTGCGCAGAAGACATTGCGCTGCTACATTTGCTGCACAAGATACCCGAGCTCCCGTCTGTGAACAAAGAGCCTTGGATTACTCATGACGCAAGCCGCTATGCTCTTCCCTTCGAGACGGAGCGCTCGCTCGCGGGAGCGCTCGCTTTCATCTCGAGCATCACCGACAACCCCAACTGTATCACCGCAGTCTGTGTGAAAGAACATCCCGGCGCGGAGGCGCTGGAGTTGACGTGGCAATAAACAAGCAAAGCTACAAAGACAACAATGAGGTCCTTGAAACAATTTGTCGTGGGTTCAACTCAATATTCGTACGACTCGGTGATCCCGACGGTATGTGAGCCGCCATCGACTAACATGTATGGCGAACTGACTGGGTGGGAAACCAGGCAGTTGCGAGAGCGACATTTTCAAGCAAGTAATCTCCATGTGCCGAGCTAGGATTCTCTGTCGACTCGGCTATCAGAAGAAGACCAACTACTCCAAGTGCAGAACCCCGCTGGACGCGGTCCTCGACCAGGCAAGGCGTTTACTCTTGCAGCTTCAAAGCGGCGCTCCAGTGGCTACAAAGCCAAACCACCGACAAAGGGTTTCCACAATGCAGGCTCAGATAGGACAGTTTCTCGACGGCTCGGCTAAGTTGCTCAAGATACTCCGCAGCTGGAATCTTCACCAAACTGACGGCGAGCTGTGCGCCGTCATCGACGGACTCTGGGCCTTTGTCGCAATCGAGGGGTGGAGGGCCGTCGTGGAACTGATCCCAGACAGCCTCATGAACCCAACATCGCGCCATAGCCTGACGACGATGCTGAGAAAGGGTGCAAGGTACAGAAACGCCGCGCGGGCCCTGTATCGCGCCGCCAAGAAGCACCCCGTCGCGCGGCGCATGGAAGCCGTCGCCGTCCACCTCCCCTCGTCTGCTTTCCAGAGGCCACCTCCTCCGTCCTCTCCGACATCCCTCGACGGAACGACCAGCAGAATCTTCGCAGGCCAGAAGAAGCAGCACGACATCGTCGGCAGGATGTGCCGGGCGCTGAAAACCGACCCGGCCGCAGCCCGCGCCGCCTTTGCTGCCCAGGCGCGCAACACGCTTGCCGACGGCAAGTTCCACGCCGAGGTCCAGCTTCTCAGCGCCATCCTCGAGAGCGGCCCTTGCGCGACGCCCCGCGTCGTGTGCGCGAGCAAGGACGCCTGCTATCTCTGCCACTGCCTGCTCCGGGCGCACGCCCAGCTGCACACGCCCCGGTGCCACGGCCGGCTCTACCCGGGGTGGCGGCTGCCGGCGACGCCCGCGTTTCGCCCGCTGCAGGCGGCGCTCAGCAAGACCCTGGAGCAAAAGATACGGGACGGCGCGGGGGCGTTGCTGAGTGCCGACGGCGGGCGGCGGCGAGCGCGACGCGTCCACCCGTATCCGTGCGAGAGCACGTGCTCGACGGCGGTGCTCTCGGACACCACGATCGCGGTGGCCGAGCCGCTGCCTGTGGACGCTGGGGTGCCGCCGTCGGAGAACAGGTCAGATGCTACGATCGCGGAGAAGTCTCCAACGCCTCTGGAACCAAGCCCCTTGTCAAGCACGATGCGGGACGGCAACGACCAGGCCGTGGGGAGCAGGGCTTCGTCGTTGCGCTCGCGGAGCTGGTCTATCGGCGAGAGCTACGCACTCGCACAGGGCCAAGTCGTCGCCGCCAGCCTGCCGGCTGCGACATCTGTCATGTATACCGCGGATGCTCTACGGGTACAGCTAGAGTACACGGCGCGGCGGCATCCAGGTTCGGGTGTGGATGCGAGTCGTAGACTAGAATATCGGATCCAGCAGCTCACGTCGCGAGAGGCTGAGATACTACGCGAAGGAAGTTACACTTCCATCGTTGATGCAACTTCGCTCGCAACGACCGAGGACCGCACGTACAAGCTTCACGAGCTGGCCGACCTGTATCTAGGGGCGGGCGACTGCATCTTCCGACTTACACTACAGCCCGCGCGGCAGCCTTGAAGGGACTCCGATGATTCCGCGCAAAAGGTCATGCTTCCATTTCACCGTCTACCTTCTGTATCCAGGACAGACCACATGTGCGTCTCACCACGCCTTCTAATACGTATCTCCCTCCCTCACGGCCGGGTGGTTCCAATCATACTCGAAGCGACTCCAGCCGCCACCCTCCATCTCTTGCGCCATCCACAGCGCAAACACCACCATGTCGTACGCGCCGTCCCTTGGCGTCTTTCCCTTGCACACGTCCCCGCCCATCGCCACGTTCAGCAGCACCGTCATCTCCCTCAGCGGCCTCGTCCCCGCCGGCACCGCCGCCTTCATCACCGGCCTTCCGTCTATGTACCACAGCATCCTCCCTTCGCCCGCCCTCCCGCCCGGCTGGTCCCACGCAAAGTCGTACCGCACCGGCCGCTGCCGCATGTCCGGCACGCGCGTGCCGCGCACCCGGTGCCGGTCCGGCTGGTCGTGCTGGCCCCAGTGCAGGCAGCTGTGGTTCTCGCAGTCGCCGTTCCACGTCTCCGCAATGTCCACCTCGCCGTCGGTTGGCCACGCGAACGGCTCCTTCGGCAGCAGCCAGAACGCGGGCCAGATGCCCTCCGCACAGGGAGACAGGATCACGGCGGACAGCACGCCCCGGTCGTGCGTCAGCGTCTGCTTGCTGACCAGCCGCGCCGACGTGTACTTTTGGTCGGCGTCGTCGGCGCCGCCGTTGGCCACTGCGCGGAGGACCAGTCGACCATCTTGCGTGCTGCGCGCGGCTGTGTCAGGTTTGACTGTTTTTCAATCGCTGCCGGGGTTTTACTCACTGAAACGCATTCTGCGGCTGGTCCGTGTAGTTTTGCAGCTCGTGGTTGCCCCAGCCGTCCGTGCCGTGGCCCGTCTTCGCGTCCCACTCGTGCGAGATGGCGACGTGCGGGAGGAACTGCGGCTGCCAGTACACGGGCGAGCTCTGCGGCGGGTGCTGCGGGATCGCTGGCGGCGCGCCTCCTTGCTGGTCCGGGTGAGGCGGCACGGGCGGCGCTCCAGGATAGTTGGCCGGAGGGGGCGGCGGAGGCGGATACTGTTGCTGGTATTGCTGCTGGGGCTGCTGTTGCTGCTGGCCACCGCCAATCATTCCGTTGAACTCATTTTTGAGTTGGTTGAATTTGTCTTTCCACGGCATCTTGGTAGGGGGTATGCTCAGTGACTTGGCTTGATCGCCGACGATAGGGTCTGTTTGCTAGACCAGTGATTCCAGAGTGTGGCTGCCGCGTGATCTTGCTGGAGCTCCAGAACGCAACGACCGCGTCCAGAGGGGTTCTTAGAAACGTAGCTTGTTGCGTCTGGACAAAATAGCGCAGCGCGATACCAGTTGGATGAAAAGGGATGAGGGAAAAGGGGTTTGGAGGTGATGATGATGTCTGGCAGCCATGGACCCACAGAGCCAACGCTGGGCAGTGGCAGTGTACATGCAGGCAGTGAGGAGGTGACGAATATCTTGTATATTTAAACAAGGTTGCTAATAGCGGTGAATATTGTATCCAATCGAGTGAGTGTTTATCACTATCATTGATTCTTTTCCCATAACCCCGAAACGCCTGATGAAGTGATGCCACCAAAATCTACCATGTGCTTTCCTTGCGCTCTAGTTTTTGTTCGGTATTTTTTTTTCGCGTTTGTTCAAGCTTGAGCCCACGAGAAGCCGTCATTGTTCCTTCCAAATTTTACATGTAGTGTTGTTACAACGGGGGCGGTGCATTCCGTAAACATCCTAGGCCGGTGTGTTGCAGAGGCGGAGGATGCCCTCGTACATAGCAAACATGATGGCCGCGCTCGGCACCGTGCGCAGCAGATGCGGTGTCAGGCCGCCGTAGAGGCCCATGAGCCCCTCTTCCTTCCACACCAGCCGGAAGCACTGGACAAGCCCCGTGTACTTGAGCCGGCCCGTGTCGGCGACGGGCGCCTGCCGCAGCCGCGTGCGCGCCACCTCGTGCGGGTAGGCCAGCACCGCCGCGACGAACTTGGCGACGCCCGCGGCGCCAAAGTTGCCTGTCCACTCGACTGACCGGTCCCAGGCCGTCTTCTTGCGCCCGCTGCGCTCAATCTGCAGCTCCCGCCGTGCCAGGTACGCCTTGAACTGCTCGTACAGCACCCACTGCAGCGTCGACTCGGCCACGCCCAGGTAGCTCGCGCTCATGCCCTTGTACATGCCGCGGACACCCTCGTCCCGGAGAATCTGACGAACGCAGTCGTAGCTGTTGCGGTACTGCCGGCGCACCTCCGCGCCGCTGCGCTGTGACACATTCTTGTCGAGCTGCATGCGCGTCTTGATCATCCAGATGGGGTTGGTCGCCGTCGACGTCGCGATGCCCGCCGCGCCGGCCGCCAGCATGTGCACCCACGGCGCCTCCTGCCCGTTGTTCAAGCGCTCAGCGAGGATGCGCTTGCCGTTGCCGTAGACGTAGAAGTTGATGGCGCGCGCGGGCACGACGCCGACAAGGTTGGGTCCCAGGCCTTTAAAGAGCGCCTTGGTGCCCTCGGTGCGCTGCACGGTGCGCAAGATGTTGAGCGTATCGCCGAGGTGGTAAAGGGCGGCCGATACGGGGTTCCGCGCGGCCTGCTTCTGCATGGCCTGCGCCGCGCGCTGCTGGGCCTGGTAAATATCGGACTGTAGTCGGGTTTTTAGGACGTCGAGCGGTGCGGTGAGCGTCGCGGCCGTCATGCCTCCAATGCTACAGGACGTTAGCACATCATATCCATTACAACGTCAGTGATAGGGGGGTATGCGCACCCTCCGGCCATAAAGTGCACCCAAGACTTGGCGAAAGGCAGCGCCTTGACTTGGCCCCTGGGCACGAGGGTGTCGTCGGGGAGGACGTCACCCGTCTCGCGCGACTGAACCAGCGCGGCATGCTCGGAAGGCGTGTGCGAATGCTGAAAAGGCCGGCGGTCATCGCGCCCAGGGGCAAAGACCTGCTGCGGATGCGCCATGGCGTTGTCGCCTCCTGCTATTGATGGCGTCGCGCGGTGGTTGTGGCGGCGCCGTATCTATCGTGGGGGAAAGGGTCCGGTTCAGAGAAGAAACCAAATCACAGCGTATTCTCGTTAAAAATGGAGAGTGGTGTCGGTTTCCAAGTTGTCCATCGGAAAGACTGAGGAGGTGTTGGCTGGGGAGGATTTGAAGATCTAGAGATGGCAAAAGGGATACCGATTTTCGTGACAAGCGGCCCCGATTTTTTACGGTGCTTTGTAAAAGCCGGCGCCTCGCAGGTGGCTGCAACGTTCAAGGTTTACGGGGCGTGGCGCTCCGAATTGCATTAGATTGCAAATAAATTACGAAAAAGATATATGGCTAGTTGTGAGTATCAATAGTTATAAAATGAGGTCTACATTATAGAAATGCTTTGTTCAGTGTTTTGCGCCAATGCCTCCTCTCACTAACTACTCTGAATCAATGAAACACGCACAAGTACAACTCGAGAGAGCATGTTACCCTAATGATGTTCATCATACCCTAGGTCACTAATAACCGCCCGATAGCATCTGAGTTGCAAGTAAAGGTAGTTTACTAACGGTTTATTTGTTAAAGTGCGGCTATAGGTGTCTTTTTTTTAAAAAAAAAAAAAATTTTTTAATTACGAAGTAGGTAGATAATCGAAAACCGCTCTTGATTAGACAGGATGTGCCATGGGACAAAAATGATACGCATCAATTCATGTCTCGTGTAGTTAAGATATTAAAATCATCGCCTTCGTCATTTATACATTAAATTTTTAGCAAAACAGCTACTGTACATTTTCTCCCCTGTTGGTGTTCGACATTGTGGCCAAGCGCCCGTCTAAGTACTTGGATACATGCTCTCAACACGCAGCGTGTTGCGGCTTCCGGTTCCTCTATCTACATCCTCGCTCAGCGGGATGGGGGAAGCTGAGACGAAGGATACGGAGGAGGCTGCTGTGGGTTGAAGGGCGGCCGCATGTAGCTGGAATCTGCTAGCAAGGACGCCACCTGGTTCAGTCGCGACGGATCCCGTCCTCGCGGCAGCGGCGGAGGGCCGGCTAGGCCAGACAACACGGGCGGCAGGCTCATCCTTCCAGCCTCCGCGCTAAGATCTGACCGTGCAGAGGAGAGGGCACCAGGGCTGTAGGCAGCAGAGTGGATAGAGGCACTGACTTCGGTCTCTGCACGGCTGCTGGGACGCAAAGGCGCCGGAAGCTCCTCGTGTGGAGAGATGCCCTCCGAGGCAACTTGCGATTCACGCTCAGCAACAATACCCAGCTCACGCTTTAGCATTTCTACCTCCTCGTCCGTCGCGGTCCGCCATGTGCATTTCGCGTGCTTCTTTGTGCACCCTTGGCAGGCGGTCAGGTGCTTGATGCAATGTAGGCGTAGGCGGCGACAACGATCGCAGGCAGGGTTGATAATGTCCCCGCGCTTCAGCTTGTCGGACTTTTGTGTGACGAGGGAGCGCATGAACTCAGCGCGGTGGTCCATTTCCGTCATGGCAGAACCCTCGGTCGGGTGACTGCTGCTGGCAGAACGCCCTGATGCTATAGACAGTCGGTGCTGGGTAGGGTGTGGTGATACAACGGGAGGGGAAATTGGAAGTATTCCGATTGGTGACAGAGCATTCACGGACTGCGGCCGAGACGGCGGGGCTGATGCTGCGAGAAACTGCTGCAGCAGATCGGCGTGCAGGTCATGGGGCGCCCCGGAGGCTGTAAGCCGTGCAGGTGGGATACCGCCGGTGGAGGGATACCGCTGCCCGTTTGTAGCATTACGTCTCCTAGAGAGGTCATGTTTTCGTTGCCCTATGCGATGATGCAGTATGCGCGCCCTGGCCGCGACTTCATCAGCTCTTTTGTACAAAATGGAGGCCCTGGACTCGAGAATATCCAGTGTGGCAAGCTCCGCCGTCTCATCCTCCTCAAAGGGGTGTTCAAGCGGGAAGCGATCGAGAGCGCCGGAAGATATCAGACGCCAGTCATCCTCCGTGATCTCGCATTGCAATCCTTTGTAGTGAAATTGGCAGCATCGGGTCCCATTAGGAAGAGTTGCAAAGACAAATTCGTTCGGGTGTGCTTTGGCATGCAGTACGACATCGATCCAGCCGATGGGATTGGAAAACGGCTGCGTCGCGTTTGTCTTTATTGGGCCGTCAAAGAAGCGCTCGATACCTTTGAGAATGCGAGGCCCTGTGAGCTTTGCGCCGAGATTTGCAGCTAAGCTTTCCTGTCGGTCAAGCGCGCCTTTGTTGTGTAAGTGACAAGTTTCTTAACTGGGAGCAGTCAGGTTCATACCCTCATAACCGGCGAGGAGATGCAAGATATCGGCGAAAGTATCCCCGTCGGCTTGGATGAGAGCTAGTCGCTCAGCGTTCTGCCTCGGCAGAAAGTTGATGTAGCCATGACCTGCAAAATTTAGCATCATCATCTGTGCTCGGTGCTAGGTATCGTGGCCGACTTGTCAAGTCAAGTTGCGCAGCATGCTTCCTCTTCGTCTCTCGTTCCCGCGACAACCTTCCGTAAGACATCGTGGCTGCAGACGCCAAAGCCGCACGGCTGATCGAGGCAAAGGTGCCACTAGTAACGGCTCTGTTCCGACCTGGAAGCGGAGCCTTTTGAGTTGAACCGTTTCGGACGAGGCTGGAAGCTGAGGTTTCGGATCTTTGCGCCACCAGGTTCGAGGGGGGAGAACAGACGGCGGGGGAGGGAAGGGAAATGACAGGGAGAAAACAGAAAAATGAAAGAATCAACTCACTTTGCTGAGGGGGGCTCTGCTTCTGTGACGGGTAGTTGTGCTGGCTGCCGGCGTCCATGACAGAACGCTTCCTCTTGTGCTCGAGGTCAGGTGTTTGTGACATGGTTATGTGGAGCAGTTGAAGACAACGAGCGGTTGAGGTTACGTGATGCTGGGCCGCCTTGGCAATATTTGGGATAATAATACCAAAGCTATATCGTGATGCGGATCTCGGAGTATTTATGCAGGCAACGTAACGAGAGACAAGTACCGCATTCAATAAGTTGAGCGTCGACCGTGCGTGTGGGTTAGCGTGGGAGGTGAAGCCGGAACTACACCCCACCGGCGAGGGGTGAACGGGTCAAGCAGAGAGATATAAAAGATGAGATAACAGCAAATAAGGGATCGTCAGGAAGGAAGAAAATGAAGACTGAGCGAAAATATAGTAAAAGTAAAGACTGTGCGTTGCGGTGTGTGGTGTGCTGAGGTCAGGATTATAACACAGCGACATGCGCGAGATGTATGTAGGTCTGTCTTGTCGCGGCTCCGCTGTTATGGAGATGGTGATTCTGCAACCCACTGTTTCCAACGGCGACAACTATAAATGTCTGGGAAGAACAAGACGGGGAAAGCTTCCCGTTAAGCCTTCTGTGACCCGATGCTATCTTCCGCTGATGCGGATGCGCGCACGAGGTGGCAGTGATTGTAGAGGTGGTGGTGACCAGGCAGGGGACCTGTCTGTCGGTGGGGCGAGACGCACATTTGGGGGGCCGAGAGAATTGTGAGAGTGGTGAAAAGAGTAGACGGGATCCCTGCTCAGTTTATCAACAGTTTGGCCCGCGCTATGCGGGTTACTGGTAATCAGACGAACTGGGGCCGGTTCGTTGGTTAACCGGCGTCGCAGAGGAGAGGAGACTTGTAAACCGGGGGGGCTACCGAGGCGTAACGGGGGTGGGTTGGTGATGGGTGATGGTGGCGCACGGTGGGTGATTGCTGAAGCTGTCGTAGCGAGTTCGCTACTTTGTGTGCGTCGGTCGCTTTTACTTCGTCGCCAGCTCGAAGATGGCGATGTTGCCGGCGGCTTGGTGGTTGTTTGCTGGCGTTGCCCAACTGGGAATAAAAGGCCCGAAGGTTTCGAGTGGTGGGGAGGGGGCAGGTGGTTGAGGAGATTAGGGGAAATGTAGATGGAGAAAAGAAGGGAGGTGGTCGAGTCGTCGAGATTCGTAGACGAGCAGTTGGAAACGGCCATCAGCTAGACTTGGAACACGCGTTGGGAGACTGCAGATCTTTTTTTGGCTGCTCTTGTCGACCGGAGCGGAGGGAGGGGAGGGTCTTGACTGACTGACTAGTCAGGGAGCTGAATGGGTGTCATTTTGCGGCTTCCGCTTGGAGGAGGAGGAGATCAGCAAAGACGGTTGTTTAAAAAAAGATTTGAGAGGCTGACGATGTCAGTGGCGCGCGTTTGCCTTGGCTGAGAGCATTGAAATAGTGGGAAGGGGAGGTCACAGTCTATCCATCCACCAACAACCACTGGCCTACAAACAGACATTTCCGACTCCAATTCCCAAACGGTAGCTATCGGCACCATGGATATTACTGTACAGAAAACACAGTCGCGCCGCAGGTCCAGCAAGCCATGCATGCATCATCTCAGAAAGTCGAAGAAGCCCTGGATCATCCAACACGGCGGGGTAGACAAAACGGACAAGGGCGTTTCCAGTTTCCAAACACGGCAATGATGGGCATGGCAAAATCCGCAAAGATGGGCAAAAAAGATGCGGCGGCCATGGCGACAGGGATGCACATCAACTTCCCACAACGGACTGATCTAACCCGCGGCGAGGGCCATCAAACCGGAACTGAGCAAAGCCAGAAACCAGCAAGCCAGCAACCGCGGCGACGCACATCATTTGCCTCGTTGGCCCCAGACAATGGGTCCTCTTCTCAAAAGGGGGGCCGCCCAAGGGGAAGAGGCCGGGAGCTGCGAGGACCTTTCCGGGAGGAACTTTTCGGGCATTTTCTAGTAAATAGCTTAATATTTCATGGAGCCACGCTCGCAGCCTTCTGGCGCACGGCTCGGCAACAGCGCAAAGCGGGCTCTCTTTTAATTTGAAACTTGAGAGAATCATCGTCTTGTTCCGAATCCACATGTTCATTGGTCTTCTTACGCATTTGCCGACTTCAAGTGGCTGAGGCTGTCTGTGGCTGTGGTTGTGGCTGTTAGCTGTAGCTGTCATTCCTGCTTCTAACTTGCCTCTAACACTCAACTTCAACTTCTGTTTGACATCTCGCCTTCCTTGTCTTCGGGTTCCAGCCTTCCACATTCCTCTCTTACACGGCGTCGCTCGCCTTTTTCTTTTCAACTGTAATCTATCTTCCTCCTGCATGCCTCCTTTTCCCCATGCCACTTCCGTGCCGCCCCCGTTATCCTAGCTTCCATGTGAGCCTTCATTGCTAAGCCAACCCGGTATCCCGCCACATGCGATGTGCCAGCGCATCTTTGCCTTTATAAGTAAGAAGTAGGCTAACTTATTCTCGAGCTCCTCTCCGCCCTCGTCTCATGTCCCATCCGCCGCCGAGTCATGCCATGCCGCTGCGCCATCCCCCCCTGACAATTACAATTGTACCATCCCAATGAAACGACGCCCCCAAGCTCTGGACTGTCTCCTCAATTTCCGCCACGCGGTATCCGCCACGACTCGCCACAAAGCATGCCGAAGAACACCCAATCGCCTTCCTAGCCACGACGCACGACATTGACTTGCTGATGCACCGGCATTGGCTCAGATAATCGGAAACCCCACTAGCGTCGCCCTGACTTTGGAAGGCGGAATCACAAATGCAACAGTGGCAAAACATGGCTGGCCCTCCACTCTACCGAAAATGCTTGGTACAAAGCTTGAAAGCTTTGATGCCCCTCGACTTTTCCGCCGCCCAAAATGGCCCCTGTTCCCCTTCCTCCCCCTGCGCTTTCCGATCCACGGATCAACCTGATCGACCTGGGCGAGCTGGGCTCAAACGCTTTGCCGCTCGCCGTCGGCATTTGATCAGGCCGTTGAGGCCTTTTCGACGACCGCCCCACGACGGAAATGGACTTTCTGCAAGGCATCATGAATCTTATCAACTCGGATCAGCATTCTGTAGCCATCTGTAGCGTTGTATCGTTTCTCATTGCATCATGGCACCTTCAGAAACCTGCTCTTGGCAGGCAGTCTGGCCAGCACTAAGCCTAAAGCAACCCTAGCGGTTCAACCGCATTGTCCAATCAAAGTTGACGACTTGGCTAGCAAGGAGCTCCACCGTCAACCGTCGACGAGCTGTTGATGGCGGCACATCTAAGGCTTTTTCAAGCAATATTGCCCAACCGGACAACCGCCCGTATCGACTATCAGACCCTGTCGCGTCAACCAAACACCCACATTCAGCCTGCTAGAAAATACCTAGCCTCTCGCTTTTCTCCCGTTTCCGTTACAGGCTGTCACGGCATCCCGACTCCCCCCGCACTCGTGACGTTTGGTCGCCACACCCCATCCTCCCACCCACATCCACACACATTGCGCCATGTCTGACAGGCCTGGTCACCGAGGTGGCGGTCGTGGCAACCGCGGCGACGGAGGCTATCATCGCGGCAGCAGCAGGGGAGGCGGCGGCGGCTCCCGCGGAGGACACGGCGGTGATCGCGGCGGGCATCGCGGCGGCGCGGACGGCGAGAAGCCCAAGAAGGAGAACATCCTGGACCTCACAAAATACATGGACAAGCAGATCACGGTCAAATTTAACGGCGGCAGAGAAGGCACGCTTCGCAGAACCCTCGTTGGGTGCAAGAAGGCATAGCTAATTTCTGTTCTTAATAGTGGTTGGCACACTCAAGGGCTACGACGCGTTGATGAACCTCGTCCTTGACGACGTGCAAGAAACTGTTCGCGGTATGCTACATCCTCACTATTGAACTCGATATAACCCCGTCTACAGCTCGCGCGCATCATGCTAATGCTTTTGCACGACGCAGACGAAGAAGGCAACGAATCCAAGAGACCCCTCGGCCTGGTCGTCGCCCGCGGCACCCTGCTCGTGCTCGTCTCCCCCGTCGACGGCAGCGAGGAGATTGCCAACCCCTTTGCCCAACCTGACGACGAGTGATGCGCGCGGGCCATCAACCGCACCGCGCGACGCATCTAAAGCTATTTTTTACGAGGACCAAAAGCGCGAGCATGCCGACGTCGCGAAGGGCCTGGGCGGGCTACAAAGTTTCCCATCCTCACCTGTCGCAAGAACACTGGATACCAAATGGCGCAGTCACGTCCGTTTTTTTTTATCTCGAGGTAACCTAGCACAACGAAGACGGGGGAATGACAATGGGCGGCAGAGGGGATTGGCGTCCTTGCGGCATACACATGATACTCGCAGCACTTGATTCGGTTCACCGGCTTGGGAAGAGAAATCATGAACAATTTTTTTGTCAATTGGGTGGTTTTCTAGCTAATGCAATCACGCTGTGCCTCTCGTGTCTCTCGTGTAGGCTACACACCACCGTCTTTGCTCTAACGCACATCATCTTTCCGTCGTGTCATCCATCCACTCACCACCAACCTCCAGTATCGGCGGCGCAGGCACCCTTTGTAACAAAAACATACCGCTTGCGGACGAAAATAAAAGAAAACCAGATACCTGCGCTGTCTTATAAAATCCAAAAATAACAACAAAAATATTGGATCATACGCACACGCCGGGACCATGATATACAGCCCTTCACCCAATACTCCAGCTCTGTAACCTCGTCTTTGCTGAGAATGGCCAGCTAGACCGCGATCGCGTCTCCAGCTGCTGCTGCATCCACTGCTGGGGCTCCATCTGATGCTGTTGTTGCTCCAGCTCCTGCCCTTTAACGCAGTCAGAGGGGCGTTGACTCAACTAGATGCCCCCTCCCCTCCCTTGCTTACTCCCCTTTTGCAGGTCGTTGAAGGCGGCGCCCATCTGCTTCTTCAGCTCCTTGTAGCTGACGATGAAGCTCGTCTGCTCGTCACGGCTCGTTAGGCAAATCTTTTCCTCCGTGCCGGCGTCCAGCTTGTTGAGGCTGCGCAGCATGTGACCCATGTCCAGCACCGGGTTGTTGTTCGCGTCCACCTGGTGGAACACGTAGTCGCGGAAGAGCTTGAGCATGTAGCGCTCGCCGTTTTCCGACCATTGCCGGTCACCGTCAAACTCTTGCCGCTCGTTAATGGTACCGAGCTTCAGCAGCAGCCGCACCACGCGCCCGTTCTCGAGCTCCCGGTAGAGCTCGGTATTGAGCTCGTCGGCTTGGTGTTGGCTCTGGTCCAACGTGGTCACAATGTGACCCGCAACCCCCCGGATAAACTCGTCAATCGTTTTATGGGCAGGTGTTTGGGCGGGTGTAAAAAGCCAGATAAGGGTGTCGCGAAGCTCTGCTGAATATGTTCTGCTCATTTGCTCCAAAGAGGTTGTGATATTGTTAAGGTGGGCAGGCAGGGTTCCGGTAGCCAGGCAGAGCATAGTGCGGCCGAACTGGACAAAGTCGTCCTGCTGTAGCTCCAAAAGTGGCCGTCGATTTTCGAACTGAACAACGTCGAGAATAGAGCAGGCATTGAGACGAATTCGGTTCTTGCCCGTCAGTAGGATCTTGCTGACGTCAATACACCTGGCGGCTAGGTTACTCGAATGAATGGCTTTGAGCGCATTGGCAATTTGTGAGATGTAGCCCCACAGCACTGTCTCAGGAATAGGTGGCTTTGGTTGAAATCGTTGCCCGTGGATAGGGTTCGGACTTAGATGATGTTCAGCCAGCGATTTGGCAAGAGGGTGATAGTCCTGGACGAATATGAGAGAGCTGTCGCCAAAGGCTCTCGTTGTGAAAGCGTCGTATATGGTGATAACATTAGCATTGTCGATCCGTCTCCATTCTTTAACCGATCTAATTGCGTGCTCGTTTGTGAGTCTGAAGCCTTCAATGCGGCGAAGGCAGTAGATATTCCCGGTTTTGGACGATGTTGCCTTGTACACCCAGCTGGAGTAGCCGAATATATTGATATTTTTGCGCTGCGTGGTGTCGAGCGCGACCAATGAGTGGTAATTGTCCACCTGCGGTAGCTGTGAATTGATGACTTGCAGCGCAGCCTCTGACTTGCGCTGCATCTCTTCCCGTAGCTTCTCAGGAATGAAGAAGTCGTGTGTAACGCGATGATATTGCAAAAGATCCTCGCGGTGGGGTCCCACGGGTGCATATAGATGATATTGTAACGGCTGTGGTGGAAATTGCCCTCCTTGATAAAATTGCGGTGCGGCTCCGGCCATGCCTCCGTGATTTTCGGCGTATGGGTTGAAGGCCGCGGCGGCAGCCGCTAAATTGAAGGGGTCGGCTGTGCCATTGCTCCCAGAAGCGGCATTCGGATCAAATGAGGGCGTGAATTCGCGAATGGCCGCAGGGTTGAATACTGCGGCATCTGCATCCACTGGCGTCGCAGCGCCTGTTGTACTTGTCAGCAAGATCAAGCGGCGCAAACTACCTCGTGGCACGAACCTAATCCGCGAGGGGTAAAGGAGGGCGCATTCGCTGCCTGGGGTGTGAGTGTCTTCTTGACGGCCGCTGCAGGCCCAAGATTGGCTGGGGTGAACGACGGCGACTCGACATTTAAAGATTTCTTAGATCTGTCATCGGTTAGCCTTATAAGTTGGGGCTGGCAGAACATGATAGGTGATGGCAGTAATGATGGCCATTGATGGTGTATTGGAATAGGGTGTATGACGCACGGATCCTGTTGGCCTGGGTTTTGGTTTTGGTTTTGGTTTTGGTTGTTCGTCTTATTCTGGTCGTGTAAGAATGTGCAGCCCTGATCTTCGAAACGACAGTGTCCATAAATTACGACGTTTCGGCAGAGTGTTTCCTTGTTTTCTAATCCAAGTCAGCGTTGGGCCTTTGTTGCATCCTTGCATCTCCTGACGTGTATTTATCCCCATTTTGTGCCATTCCTCGATGCGTTTTCCTTGTTGTTTCTTATTCGATCTTGTTTCCTTCATCCTCTTTCTATCCTCGGTTCGATTGGACCATGGCTTCCATACTCTTCCCTCTTTATCCACAGAGCGACTGACTAATACGTAGATCATGATCGCACTCACCTCGGGGTTTGACTCTCGGCGAGCCGACCTGGCGCCGCAGCTCATTGGATTGATATCGGGGGGCCGCCATGTTCGACTATGCGGATCGCGTGATTACTTCTGCGGTCGGGAAGGCAAAGACAAAAAAACACGTTAGCCACGGAACCAAAACCTCAAGCGCCGTACGACGAGGCGATGCGTTGCCCCAAGCGCGCAGCCGATATCGCCTGTTGGGGTTTGCGAAACGGAGGGGGCGTGGCGCGGGCAGGCAGTGGGTGCGGTTGTCGGGGGACGAGGGAGGGTATCATACTCGGACCGTGTCGTCATCAGCCATGATTCAATTGAGTGCGGCGGCGCGGCGCCCATGAAAGAAAACGGCCGAGGGCCAGAATTCAGAGGCGAGGTGTTCTGTGGTTGGGCTGCCGATTGCCAGGAGCAAGAGGCACGATGTTGGATGGCAGTGGGGAAGACGCGAGCTGTGGCGGGGATGTTGCTGCTCTAGCCGGGCTCTGTCGAGTTGAGCTGCGTGTCGACTTCCGGGCTGGCGCGCCAAAAGGATGAGGCGGTGCAGCTGCAGGGGTGTTCAGACTAGGTGATACGTACCTATATTCTGCCGCTCTTCACCGCCAGGCTCCAAGATGGCGCTATCTGCTTCATCCCACGCGATGGCTTCCGATTGGCATCCCTTTGACTAAAGATGTGCTAGTATCTTCTTCTACGGAGTTTTCACACCTGCGCCAAATGTCAACGGAAGAAGAAAGCTGTACATTTTATCAAACATGTACAAATTTCCGCAATGACCACTTGTGGTCTCGTTTCTTCACCCGAGCTCGCGTCTCCAATCCGTTTGACCTGGCGTGTGTCTAATGACATCTGCCCGACCCTGGCTCAGAACCATGACAGCATTCGAATTATCTAAAGTGGCATGGCGATGTGAAATAATTACCCTCGCGCATCCTCTAAACGCCTCGTCAATGAGACTGACCATCTGTGCCTCCGTATCCTCGTCCAAGCTCGATGTCACCTCGTCCATCAAGACAATCCTCGACCCCGTCGCTTCATGGTGCAAGATGGCACGAGCGATCTGGAAGAGCTGTCGTTGGCCTTGCGAAAAGTTCATTTCCTTCATGAGAGAGCTCAAGTTTCCGCGGCGGCTGACAATGTCCCAGAGTCCTACACGACGCAGCACATCCTGGCACGCTTCGTCCGTCACGATGCAAGTGGGCGGACGCTGCTCAAACCCGAAAGGGTCAAGATTAAACTTGATAGAACCGCGTAGATGGATTCCACCCTGCGTGATTGTGGTTATTCGCGAGCGCAAGAAATCGGGGTGAATTGTGCGGATTTCCCGATTGTCGATGCTGATTGTGCCCTTGTACTGTAAAAGGTTGAGGATGCTCAGTAGAACGGTCGTCTTGCCACTAAAGCGGGATAATTAGCAACCATTCAGCCCAGATGATTACGGTGCATTTCTCACCTCCCCGTTCTTCCTACTACCCCCAGCGTCTCGCCAGGTCGGATAATGACGGTTGCATTGTTCAGCCGAGAGGACTGTGGTGCTTTTTCATCACTAGGGCATGCAATACGGGCTTAGTATGGAGGATCTTCCTTCTTCATGCCGAGGCGATCACATACCGGTAAATCGCAGAGACACAATTAAGCTCAAGCTGGCCTTGGACTGGCCAGTCGGAGGATACTGGCTCCGTATCATCTTTGTAGTGCTCAGTTGGGGTTTCGGCGCAATATGATCGAATACGTGACACTGCTCCCAGAGCCGTCTCCAAAGCGACAGAGGATTGCACCCAGTCAGACACGGTATCGCTAAATCCGATGAGACTGAGCAATGCCAAACCCATGGAGTTACCAGAGGCGGACCCGGAGAATTTGAGCGCGAACGTCACCACAATGACGGCGGCCACAGCGCTCGATAAATCCAAAACACCCTCTAGCCACTGTTGAACGCAGTAGAGAAAGTAAAAAGGCCGTTGCGTCAAATCAAGACTGACGTGAAAGTCTCGTGTGACTTCCTCCTGCCACCGGAAAGCGCGAATGTGTTCGATACCGGCTGCGGTTTCTGTAAAGTGTCGGATGAGCGCTTTTGAACTATCAAGCTCTAACACGCGGAGCTGTCTAGAGGTGCACAAGTAATATCGTTGTATGGCTATAATAAGCATCAAGAAAAATGGGATGACGGGCGCTGCGTAGCTAGCACCAGCGCTGATGATGCCGGTGTCGACGAATATTGAAACGGCACCTATATAAATCGCTCATGAGTAAACTGGCTATGGTGAGGAGAAGAAGAGGGCATACGGAACAGTGTTGGCATTACTAGTGCAGGGACTCTCTGGGTCGCCATAGACATGTCCTGGCTGAATCGGTTCAAAATCGAGCTCGCATCTTCGGTCGTTAAGAACCCAAAGGTAGCTGTGAATGTGGCTTTAACCAATCTCTCGTGAAGACTGTGGGCAGTTTTTGCGCTGACAAAGTAAAAGAAGAACCTGGATTATTTAGTTGGCTGCTCTGGAAGCAGTGCCCATTGCCCTTCCATGACTTACATTGCAGAGACTGAATTAAGTATTGGGTAAGCAACGCAAAGTGTGGCATACCCGACATAGTAAGTTTTATTTCCGGCGTCGGCTTCGAGCCATATGCGTACAAAAATGTCTATCCGAGTGAGCATAGTGAGAACAAGAGCGGAACAGAAATGACTTACTGGGGAGTTTCTCGGAGACGGAGGCGAGAGTGGTAAATAGCAGCCATGCTGCCAAGACAAAAATGCCCGCGGGCCGAAAGAAATATGCGTACAGGCACCAAGTACTCTGCTTCGTAAACGTGTTTATTCCCGGCGCATAGCCATTGTCATCAGTGGCTGCTTGGACGGCAGGCGGTTCAAAAAGATCACAAGCGCTTTCAGTCTTGTGCGTGGCAGACGTCGGCTGAGACCGGGAGCTTTGAGCAAGCTCTTCGAGCTCTCTATCCACCTGTGATTGTGGCAAATAGACGACGTGACCATCGGGGGTCACACGGTACGCGGCGTCAGCATCGATGAGGTGTTGTTCTGTACGTTGTCAGATGGGTCAAGCTTCCAGGCCGACAGAACAGCAACATTAGAAGTGACATACTCATGCTTGTTGTCATCACTAGCGTTCTTCCATCCAATGTGGCATTTCCATCTGAAATCAGTCGAATTCGAATCACCGCTGACGTTTCTTGATCCAAAGAGCTGAAAGGATCGTCAAGAATTGTAATATCCGCTTCCAGATACAGCGCACGCGCGAGGGACTATGAGAAATGTCAGAGTAGTCGGACGTGATCTCTCCTGTCGCACGATCTCACTTACAATTCTCTGCCTTTGTCCGCCGCTTAGAATGCAACCTCCACTGCCCACTATGGTTTCGTCGCCATCTGGCAGTTGCTCCAAATCGGGTTTAAGATCGCAAATAAATATGACTCTTTGATACAGAGTCCTGTCAAACGGCTTGTGTCCAATGATGTTCAAGAAAATGGTTGTGTTGAGCAGCCAAGGCTTTTCTCCAGCATAAGCGATTGATGATGAAGAAAGGAGAGCCGATCCATTGCGAAGTAGCATTTCACCCAGCATCACCTTCAGCAGCGTCGACTTGCCACTGCCAACGGATCCGTCTATCATGGTAACTTGGCTAGTCTTGACCAAGATTGTTGCGTCGCGTAAGATTGATCCCGTGAGATCCATGGAGACATTGACGTTTCTCAGCTCGATTGCATAATTCTGGGCATGTGCATCGGGGTTCCTGTCGTCAAGACCGATGCCATCCCCAGCTAAGTTGGAGCCAGCTACCGCAGACGATCTGATGATTTGACGAGCGTCTTTGAGCTCCTCTTGAGCAAGATACACTTGAATACGTGACAGACAAGCGAAACCTGCAGACCATTGAGGAAGACTTGCGAAGAAGGAGGCAAGAGGCTGAGCGACCAAGGTAACAACTGCGAGAATAGTGTAGAACCGCGCTGTCGATATGGTTCCGGACGCTCTGGTCCAGAACAAAGTCGCTGCGACAACAAGTGCTGGCGTTACCGTTTCTGCGAAAGCAGCTTTTTGAAATTAATAAAAATAATTAAACGATGATGAAGAGGTAAGCACTTACAAATTCCAAAGGTGATGCAAACAATTCGCCGGTCAGCCAAAGAAGCCGTGACTTCTTGAGCACGCAAATGGTTCAAATGGGTCGCCATTGAAGGAGCTAGGCCGGTCATTTTAATGTCCTTGATTTGCGCCAAAATATTTGAAGTCGCGGCAACGCGTTCTTCAATGTGCTCATTCCATCGCTTGCGAGCAACTCCCATCCGCTTAGACATGTGTCTGGAAAAGACAGTAACCACTGGATAAGCGAGGTCAGCGTAAGAAGTGCCCTGCAATACATGCTGCGGGTCGACCCTCCCTTACCAATAGCAGTGACAACAGTAAAGATGCTGGCCGTGCCAACAAACACTGCAAGGATTGCAATTCCAAACCCAACTTCGAGGGTCATTGCGCAGCTGTCATAGGACAACGAGATGAGGCGCTCGATTCCCGCGACATCAGCGGTAATCAGGGTGACGGCAGCAGACTCGTCTGATTCAGCAGCACTGATCCGAAGTGACTTTTGGTAGATGGCAGCTATAAGAGCACCTCGGACGCAAGTCATGATCTGGTTTCTGATATGGCTGAACCAGTTCCTTGACACCTGGCTTGAGCGATTAGCGTGGGCATTCACACCGCGACCGACCGATATGCCAGGCTGCTCACTGCTTTGCCGCAGAAGACGAGGGCGGTCGCCAAGATGAGTCCGATGGCTTCGTTTTGTTTTGAAATGTAGTCTGGCTGAATTGACTCGCCTGAAGCGGCGTTGACAACATCTTGTAGGAGGAAGGGCTGGCTGAAGACGAAGCCGACCAAGAATAGGCGTGGCGGGATAACGTAGAGAAACGGCCATGGCATGGAAATGACCAGCGCGCGGAGCAGTGCATATCTCGACCTTTGGTCTCGTTTATCCCAGCTCTTTTTTAAATTTTGATAGAGTTTCTTGGAGTCAAATTGCTGTCCAATGTCGGGGAGGTCGTCAGGATTAATGACATGGCGAAAGCCGAAAAGAAGCAGTGGGTTAATCCAGAGAAACGTAGATCGACTCCAGAACCCGGCTGTGGCTTCTCGGCTGAGTGGGTGCGGATTTTCAGCGATAATGAGCGTTCGCTTTGAAATTTCTTCCAAAATAAGCAGCGTAAGCTTGAGTGCGGGTAAGGAGCAGGTCAAGCGAGCAACGGTTCCCAAGCCGGTCCTGTGAAAATACGTGTGAATAGTAACAAGATCAAATAGTAGGGTCATGCTCAGGTAGCCCGCGAGAAAGAGAATAGGCTGGACGAAATGAGCATGTGAGGCGTAGGCCATGATGGTCAGTCCGATGGAGCTCAAAAAGCAGAGTATGGAGGCTGCCAATGCGACTTTAGAGTTGAGCGGTGAGCTGTGCCAAAACACCACAATATTTAATTGAATTGCGATGATTCCAACAGCTGCAGCCAGCTTTGCCCAGAGAAGCCATCCTGTGTGCACAACGGCTCGGGATGTAGCAATCTTGTGAGCGTAAAATGGCAAGGTGAAGAGCAAGATGGAAGAAGGGACAATTTGGAGCATGGAATGCTCAAAGAGGAGCGTGAAATCAAAATGTCCAAGCAGTCTCGGACCAAAAGAATCGTCCATTTTGAAGCAGTGCCCGAGTTGGAAGTAGGTTCTCGGTTCAGCGCAGGGCAGGACGCTCGAGCTGCCCAGCACCAGTAGGTAAGTGACGGAGAGGGGATGAAGGCGATGCGTGGGGGATCCTCGAGATCAGAGGAGGGAGCGGGGAGAATGGGGAGGGGCTTTTTGACCCTTGCGTCGAAGCATGGAGAGACGCCTGTTGCTGAGATCGCATACTGAGCTCAAAAGGACCTGCATGACAAGCAACCTGATAAAGCTAACGAGACGGCCACCGGCGTAGCGTTGTGGTTTGTGGAAAGGGGTTCTTGTCTGATCGCTCGTTGTAATGAATTGGTACCATAATATTATTACCAACGGGTATTAAGCCTAAAGTGGCTGTTATTAGGGCACTTTCCTGCACAAAAAAACTATGTGTCGCTCTTGCTCCTGCAGCGTCTTACGAGGAACATATACATAGGGGAGGTGGCTTGAATCATGTGTCAAGTCTTGATGCTACTCTATTCATGTCCCAGAAGAATATTCGTAGTCTAAAATTTCTATTTGATCATAGAGCCATGTTCAAACTCCAAGTGTCTGCGCCCTGTCTACCGCAGCTACTTCCGCGGCGTATGCCCTGTTTGCCGGCGAGGCGCCAGACTGCATGCCAGATCTCAGCAACATTGTGTTTTCGCCGTCAACTGTGTTTTAGTGCCGCACGTAAGCAGAAGCTCTCTTTACTTCCCAGGACAACAAGGATGAAATACCTGGGAGCGCACCGACGGCGGCGCTGGTAGCCACGAGGCTGATGACGAGAGACCAAAGACGCATTGGGGCTTGATGATGAAGAAGAACTGATGTATGTGTGTTGAAAGATGAAAATGACCAGCAAAGTAGGAGACAGTTGGGACACTGATATAGATCCGACAGCGACTTGATCCGCTGACTTGTGATGCCAGGGTCACATCCGACCTCCTTCCTCGTCACCCTGCAGTGATGCAGCCCACCCATGTCTTATCAGTTATGCGTACAGGATGTAACTAGGATATTATCCATCTTGCGCATTGTCACATTATTATACAAAAGTACCTCCAACCTAGGATTTAGTGTCTATTGGTAGTTAGATCGTAGCATCTTTCCCCGCTTGCCCGCTTCCCCGGCCCGTCTCGTTGATGATTCGAGTCCACTCTCCTGCGGCTCATCTACGAATCAGTTAGAGCTGCTGATAAAACATCCCAAAGATAAAGACTCCCTGCGCTAGAAACTGAACTCACATCACGCCATCAGAATTTGGGGAGCTGCGGTAGTCGGCCGTTATGCTGCATAGCTGTCATCGGTTGGATCACACCTGAACTCCAAGTACCAATAGTCAGCCACTGTCTTGCTTGAGGATTCATCACATCACGCATAGATTGAACTCCTTATTCCTTAATTACCTTCTAATTAGGACTCCGATTCCTTTATTTTCGCTGCTTGGGCGCTTGTTGTACATAGCAGCCAGCCCTCCCTGGCCACGCCTTCATCGTATCTCTCGGGTGGTGTGGTGATGGGTTAGTTGCTCCTTTGCCTTTCATCTATACATCACTCGTATGACAAACTAATTGCGGAAAGAAGAAACGGATCCACTTGTTTATTTGAATTCTTGTCAGGAATGGCGGGGTATAGAGCCCGAATTGTGTATGTTTCCGCAGCTTCGCCGCCAGGGTAGCAGCGGCCCAATGAGATGATGCCGGGAAGCGAAGATGGTGCGGCGCTAATAAATGCATGCTGATCCTCTGCTACGGTCTGTTGGCTTGGCATTTTATCAAACGGCAATACCCAACTTACCAATATTGATGCGAGTGGACAAAACCTTGAGTCTAAAAAGGTCTGTCTTCGACTCGAAGCGCAGAGTGAATGACTGGCTGGTCAGCTAAACAGAGAGAACAAATGCGCAGAATAATCGCCTGCTAATAAAATGAGAGGCAAAGTTGAATTTTCCCAAGGCCATCACGTAACAATTGCTATGGGCTAGATATCTCTCATTCACTCTATGAAACATGCCAACTCATTAAGCTGTAGGGTAGGAAGTTAGGAATAGGTCGGCCTCGGGCGTGAGACTATGATAGGACTGAAACTTGGGGCTCTTCTTGCCTCCCGCAGACAAGATGGCGCAGCAGGAACAGCGACTGCCCGGCTCGCCACGATTCGTGGTTGAGGCCTCGGCGGCGCACACCCACACCGTCACCCTCCTTCACGGGCTCGGCTCCACGGGGGAGTTCTTTCGCCAGACATTCCTAGACACCGCCGTGACCTCCTCCGGCCGCCAGCTTACCGCGCTGCTCCCCTTTGCCCGCTTCGTCTTTCCCACGTCCAAGCGCCGCCGCTCGACTGCCTTGGCCGCTCCATGCTCACGCAGTGGTTCGACCTCTCGCGCACCGAGGACCCCGCGTACCTGGCGGACCGCCAGCTCAAGGGTCTCGCCGAGTCGGCCGCCGAGATCCTGGCCGTGATCCGGGACGAGCTCGGCCGCGTGCCGCCGCAGAATCTCGTGCTTGGCGGGCTGAGCCAGGGGTGCGCGATGGCGCTGGCGGTGCTGCTCTGCTTGGACCATCCCATCGGCGGGTTCATTGGGATGAGTGGCTTTTTCGTGTTTGAGTCTGGTATAAACATGGTGCTTGACGATGACGACGACGGCGATGACGACTTTGACCCGTTCTCGGGCGGTGATGAGACAAGGAACAGGAAAAGCCCGATTCGGGCCCAAGAGTATGAGAGGGAGCTTCTGTGCTTGGATCCAATCAGCGAACCATCCGTACAGAGAACTGCACATCGTACACCATTCCTCCTGGGGCACGGTGCTGAGGACGAAAAGGTTCCTATTCGCTTAGGAGAGTCCGGCGGCAGTCGTACGCGCCGCAGGGTACGATGTGGAGTGGAAGCGATACGAAATCCAAGGGCATTGGTATAAAATTCCTGAGCAGATTGACGACATTGTCAGCTTTATTTCACAGATAGGCTGGAACGTACAAGTGAAAGACAGCACGATCTGATATGCCACTACGATTGAGTCAAGAAAAAATCTATAATAACAAGTCTAATCTAATCGTTTTGCTAAGTACACCATTCCTACATATGGACTGTTGTTGTATGCGTCTGCCTCCACAAAGCCCTCTGACTTGTACAGCTTGATTGCCGCCTCCATCCTAGCCAGCGTGTCCAAAAAGACCTCCTCATACCCTTGGTCTCTAGCCTGTCGTATCACTTCTGCAAGCAGTTTCCGCGCGACCTGGTTCCCGCGAGCTTCCGGATACACGAAGAGTCTCTTCATCTCCGCGCAGCGTCGCCCGGCTCTCGGATGGCTCGACGGCAGCTGCAACGGGCGCAGGGCGACACAACCCAGGGCCGTTCCGGGCGCGGAGTCAACGGCTAGGAGGAGACAGCCTGTCGGGGGCGCATATTTTCCCGGAAGACTGGCGAGCTCCGAGGCGTAGTTTTGATGCGATAAGTCTTCGTCGAGCCATTCGGTGTAGGCGTGGAAGCACTGGATAACGGCGGCAAGGTCCTCGGGAGTGTCGGCCTGGCGAATTAAGACTGTGGAAGAAGCCGCTGATTCTTTCTCCCCATTTGGCTCCATGGTTCTCGTGTTCTGTGAATTGTAGCCAAGGCAAAGGACTCTTGAATGAATAGTGTCGCGAGGCTCGCTGTGGATAACTGGCGTAGTAGGGAATTCGAGTGCCGCCTGGCTGTTGATTAAACTTCCAGCATAAAAAAAGAAACCACAATTAAAAGGATATTTCCAGAAATTTCTATCGTCTTGCAAAATGTAAATGGAAGGGCGTAGATGTAGTGTGAAGTTATGACTGTATTAGGATCGGGTTGGAGGGGGCTGTTGGGGTAGCTTCAACGCGAGACTCGGCTTGGAACCTGGGCAGCAAGTGACCCCTAACTCATCCTCAAGAACAGTTATTATCACTCTCGAGTATCAATTGACTCAAAATTTGACAATGTCAGTTTTTGAATTTTAACTTTGTTTTCCTCGCTTTTCTCTTCACCATTAAATGTACTACCTTGACCTCGTCCGGGAACGGGAACGGAGTTGATCAGCCCCACCATTACATCAGGCTAGCGCTTGTTCCCATCAACAGCTCACCATCTTACAACTTGTTCTGCAGCATCATATTTACGAGCAAACAGCAGACAGAGCGATATAATACCTCAGAGACGAAGCCCACCGGATTCAAAAAAAGTCTAGGATCGAGTTTTGGCATAAGTCCCTCGCCTGGGAGCGACGACACACGCGCAAACGGCAACATGGCCGATGACGAGACGGACATAGGCCAGCTGTCCCCAACCCAGCAGGAGGCCCTCCAACAGTACCTGGCCGTGACGAACCAAGAAGTCAAGGATGCGGTTCCGCTACTGCAACGATCACAATGGAATGTGCAGGTAATAATGCACTGATGGACAGCAGCACTCACCCCCAGTTCGCTAACCTGAGCAGATCGCCATTGCCAAGTTCTTCGACGGTGAAGGACCCGATCCTTTAGCCGAAGCCATGGCGGCCGACCAAGCCATCCCGCAAGTCGCCGCACGACATGAGAACCTGCAGCAAAGCCTGCTCGCATCCGAATTCAGCTCGAGAGCTGCGCCGCGCCGCGACCGCACAGATCCTGCCCCACGTATCGTCCCTCAGACGACGACGACGACGCAAGGCACGCCTTGGCTGCTGGGCCTGCTGCTGACACCCCTCAACTGGGGCTGGCACGCAGCGACGGTGCTGCTACGCACGATCCTATATGCCGCGTCCTTTCTGCCAGCGGCAATTCGGCCGACGATGCTGACGACCCGACTGTCGGCCGCGCTGCAGGGAGGCGGCGGAGCGGCCGGGCGGCGGATGTTGATGCCGCGCGACGCGGCCGCACGGTTCAAGCGCGAGTTTGACGAGGAGCATGGCGACAACAACCTGCCCTTCTTCGAGGGCGGGCTGGCGCAGGCCCACGACCTAGCCAAGAAGGAGCTCAAGTTTCTGCTGGTGGTGCTGCTCTCGCCCGAGCACGACGACACGGCATCGTTTGTGCGCGAGACGCTGCTGGCGCCCGACGTGGCCGCCTTCGTGCGCGACCCGGCCAGCAACGTGGTGCTCTGGGGCGGCAACGTGCTCGACTCAGAGGCCTTCCAGGTGGCGCGCGAGTACAAGTGCACCAAGTTCCCCTTCTCGGCGCTCGTGTGCCTGACGCCGCGCGAGGGCAGCGCGCGCATGGGCATCGTCAAGCGGCTGGCCGGCCCCATGCCTCCCGCCGCGTACCTGGCGGAGCTGCAGGGGGCGGTGGAAAAGTACGGCGCCGACATGGCCGGCGTCCGCGCGGAGCGCAGCGCGCAGGAGTTTGCGCGGTCCCTGCGCGACCAGCAGGACTCGGCCTACGAGCGGTCCCTGGCTATTGACCGGGAGCGGGCACGGGAGAAGAGGGAAGCGGCCGCCGCCGCTGCGGAGAAGGAGAAGCGCGCGCTGGAGGAGGCCATGGCCGCGTCTAGGCGCCGCGAGCAGGCCGCGCTCTGGAGGGCCTGGCGCGCGAAGCAGATCCGGCCGGAGCCCCCGGCGGGCGACAAGGAGGTGGTGCGCGTCGCTCTCATGATGCCCCAGGCGTCAGGCGCGGGCCGCATCACCAGGCGTTTCGCCCAGGATGCGCCGGTGGAGGAGCTCTACGCGTTCGTGGAGTGCTACGACAACCTGCGGATCTCTACGGGTGCTGTTGATGGTAGTAGTGAGGGGAAGCCGGTAGACTACGAGCACAAGTACATGTTTCGCGTGGCGTCGACGCTGCCACGAGTCGTGTACGAGCCCAGCGAGACGGCGACGATGGGGGCGACGATTGGGCGGTCCGGCAACTTGATCGTGGAGGAGCTAGAGGAAGGGGCTGACGAGGATTGAGGCGGCGGAGGGGCACAAAAATGTGTAATACTAGAAAGAAAGACCGACATGTACAGGAGTCATAGAATGGACAGCGGTTCAAGTGATGACGGCAAGTCTACGTTGCGGCGTGATGCATGTGAGTAGGTAGTTGTTGAGAAGGGGGCTTGATATGGCAGTGCCGCGCATCGACAGACGGACAAGCAAGCAAAGCAGTCTCGACCAATATCTCGGTGGAATGCCGGTTGGTGACCTGCTGATGACTGACTTCGACCAAGGGTCGTGAGATGTGCTCTTCGTTGCACAGCCCCAGAGCTCTACGCAAGCCGCAGGTGGCGGGGTTTGGGTAGTGGCGTAGGTGATATGTGCGTCTGCCAAGAAGCTGAGCGGAGGGGTGTGCTGGTACTAGTTATGGGGTTGATGAAGATGTTGTTTCTATTCGATTAGACCCGAAAACTGCGAGAACAATAAAAATTACAAGAATTATAAGAATAATCTGCGTCACCGGATTGACATCGTAAATAGGTAACCGCTTGCTGCCCTGTCAAAGTTTCGGGAGTTGCCGAATCGGGCAAAGACGTAAAACGGGGAACTATAGGCAGGCTGCAGGCTGCCTGCCCTGTCAATATCTGTAGGTACAGTACGCGTGGCTGTCGCAATGTTTCGGTGGATTTTCCATCCCGTGTCTCTTCTTCTCGGATCTTAGTACACGGTAGCTACAGTAGTCCCGTGGTTTCGTCATGGCTGACTGGAATTCTGAGAAAGCGACACTTTCACGTTGTTGGTCAGCGACGGCGGAGGTACCTGCTCCGTGCTCCTTGGTACCTTGAATGGTACCAGAACAAGGTACCTCCGCTTCGACAGCATCACAACATGGTTGTTGGTAGACGACTCGATGAATAACGATGAAAATTGCCTAATTAGCGCCTCGTACGTTGCATCATGAACCTTGGCGGAAAACACGCTTACACATCAGGCACAGCCACTGAATAAAGGTCTCACGCCCGCTTTCCACGGCGCTCCTGGGCTGACGTTGCTAGTCCCTTTCCCGACCCCATTTGTACTGGCCTTGTACCCCCAATTTACCTGCATATCCAATGTCCGCCACAAACGTTGTCGACGTTTGCCAACAACTCCATCCTCATCACTCAGCCTGCTTCCACTCCCTAGTTGTCTTTTTTTTCTCCTTTGCCCTCCTTCCCGTGCTTTTCTGCCGCCCGACATCTCGACTTCAGCACTGGTCGTCTTTTCATCTCTCTATTTTTTATCCATCGTCCTTGTTTACTGCTCTAGCGCCGTGCTCCGTCTTCCCCCCCTGTCGCGACCCTGGCCCTTTGCCCGCATCGTCCCGTCGTCGTCTCGGGCTTCACCATCGCCACTTCCCCGGACTTCCGAAACGATTGTCCTCGCTCCTGTGATAACCCGATCGCCCGCCATGAAGTCGATGAAGGGCCTCAGCATGAACAAGATGCTCGGTAGCATCAAGAGAAAGAGCTCTAGTATGCCCGGCCACCGACGCATGGTTACGCGGCCAAACAAACGCTGACACTACCCGTCTTCCTCAGTGCCGGCGCCCACCGCCACAATGGCCTCTGCCGTGCCGCAAGAAGGCGAAGCTCCCGAAAAGACGGCTCACAACAGCGTCGTACGCTTTCGAACCACGGCACCAATACTTGCGCTCCATCGCTAACGCCGACGCCCACAGAAAGCCTTTTGCGAGTCCGGCTATAATGTCCAGGTACGCGTCACTATCGCGCGCGAACAAGCTGTCCTGCCTCCCCATTCCTAACACTGCTCTCCCTCCAGGGCGACGAGGTCCTTTTCCTCCCACCCATCGTCGACGCCGCCGAGTCCTCCCCCGCCGCCGCGACCGAGTGCGCCCGCCTCATCCGCAAGTTCTTGTCCAAGGAGTACTTCTCCCGCGCCGCCTGGCAGTACAACGCCATCATGCTCCTTCGCATCCTCACCGAGAACCCTGGTTCCTCGTTCACCCGCAATATTGACGGCAAGTTTGCCGACACTTGCAAGGCTCTGCTGCGCGGCACCAAGGACCTGAACGTGCGCCAGATGCTCATCGAGACCCTCGACGACTTTCAGCAGACCAAGTCCTATGACGAGAACCTCTCCATCCTTCTGCAGATGTGGTCCAAAGAACGCACCAAGATACAGGCCGTCTATGGGGTACGTCACCAATTCCGCAACCGGAGTACCCTTGCCTAGTACTGACTAACGTGTTCCTTCCTACCAGAACACCCCGAGACTGGCGCAACGTCCCTTCCTCTCCAACTCGCCGCAGCAACAGTCGCCAAACAACAATCCCAATCACCAAAACTACTTTTCCCGCCACCACACCAACAACAAGCTGCCTAGCGCCGTCGAGCTTGCCAGCCGTCTAGAAGAGGCGCGGACCTCGGCCAAGCTCCTTGAGCAGGTTGTCATGAACACGCCCCCCGCCGAGACGCTCAACAATGACCTGATAAAGGAGTTTGCCGATCGCTGCTTGAGCGCGTCAAGAAGCATTCAAGGATACATGGTCGCCAGCAATCCAGGCCCCGACAATGAGACCATGGAGAGCCTCATCGACACAAACGAGCAACTGCAGACGGCCCTCAGCCACCACCAGCGCTCAGTCCTGAGTGCCCGCAAACAACTCGGCCTCAACGTACGCTCCGAAGAGACGACACCGGCCGCCGGCACCCCCGTTGGCGAGCCAGTCTCGCCTCTGCTCGACTCCCCGGCGCTGCCCGTCCGGAACGGTAAAGGAAAGGAGACGGGACTGTACCTGGCAGAGCCGCAAGGCTCCGGCCCCGCCTTGGGCTTGGCATCGGGCTCCGGCTCCGGCTCAACCTCCAGCAAGGGCAAGCAGGCACAAGGGAATGGTTCTCGCGACGATGAAGACCCCTTCGCCGATCCCTTTGTCGACCCGCAACACCATGATGATGCCCTCAACGGCGGCTCCCGCTCAAGGACACCCGCCACTCATGACGACCTACCCCATGAGCCGTTCCATCCCGGTTTTACCCCCGCTTCGGTCGCGCCTACGGGTCAACACACCTTCCGGGACGGCGGTGCCACGGCGGGCTCAGCAGCGGCCAAGAACGCGTCAATTGACGACCTGTACGAGGCCGCCGCCACCACCACCACTACCGGCAAGGGCAAATACACAGTCTAGTTGCCCTGCGCATTTACACCCAACAGCGCGTCGAGTTTATCAGCATGAAACATATAACTCGAGAACTTGTCGCAACTCCCATATCGAACGCATACAACGTCTAGTATGTCGGAAGCGCCAGGTCAGTCTCCTAGACTGTATCGAATGGCATGCTTGGCCTAGTTCTTGTCTCCGGTGTCCCTTATCCAGCTGTTGTTTTCCACCTTTGACCCTATTTGCTTGCACTCCTCCCCTTACTGCTCGATTACAAGAACAGTTCTTCCCTTGTTCATGTTACTATCTGATACCATCAATCCTCGTTCTCACCAAGTCTATTTCGTTGTAAATAGCCAGCGACTGTGCGGCGGCCCTCGTTCAATTACAATGTTTGAAGATACCTATCTATATAGTTCCTTCTCTGTATCCTTGCACACTCCTCCGTCACCATGGCCTAACATTTTACAATTGTACAGCATCTTACAAAGTTTTACAGCACCCTTTTACGTTTGAGATTGACGCAAAAGTCCCTGTTAGGAAGCAAAACGTAACATAGATTACATCTATTCTTTTCCAGATCAATCTGCCGACGTCACCTCGTTAGACCGCTACACGAAAAATTGGTGACGAAACAATAGCGCCGTGTCAGCCTCGACCGCTAACCTTGACTTTATGTTTATTATTGCTCCACTATCAGACTGCCGTTCTGCTATTGCCGCCGAGACCGCAGCCTTCTCTCTCTGCGACCTTCTCTTTTAATTGACATTTGAAACTAGCTCTCAACCAACTAGCCAGGTTAGGCAACTACACAGTGAATACGATCGGCTTCCCGACAGCGGCAATACAATGACTCAATGCTACCCATGGGTACAACCCATACATGATCTACATGCTGGGGAAAACGGCGCTTAAGCGAGGTGCACGTGTACGCGATGGCTTGACTAACGGAGCCTCAAGCATCGAGACCTCACTTGCCGACTGTCCAACCTTGTTGGAACATCATTTTGAACAGAGGCCTTCCAATTCAAGACCGTATCGACAGTCTCTGGAGTGATGATGGGAAAATGTATAAGAGAGATGGACCGGTTCCCTCTCGATGAGTTTCTGATATCCACCAACCACTTCACTCCACAGGCTCACAAGAAGCAAAGTCAACCTCTCCGCCGATATGCAGACTACTTCCACTGTCATCCTCAGCTTCCTTGCTGGCCACGCGCTCGGCGCTCCCGCTGAGGCGTCGACCTCTCGCCTGCACTCCCGCGACAAGGTTGCGCCCTGGGGCGGAGCCGTCCTCGGGGGCAAGGGCTGGAACTACGTGACGGGCGTGCTCACCGTCCCCAAGATCAGCGGCAAGGGCTCGGACGCGTCCGCTTCCATCTGGGTGGGCATCGACGGCAAATCGTGCGACTCGGCGATCCTTCAGACGGGCATCACCGTCTTCGGCGACGGCAGCATGCACACCTGGACCGAGTGGTGGAAGCAAAATGAGGAGGCGTACCCCACGTCTATCAAGGTCGCCGCCGGCGACCGGCTGCGCATGACGGTACACGCGACCTCGACGACCTCGGGCAACACCACCATCGAGAACCTGACGCAGGGCGGCTCGCAGACCAAGACCTTCTCGGGCGTGACCAAGTACCCGCTGTGCCAGACGGACGCTGAGTGGATCATCGAGGACTATTTTCACAACGACAAGAGGGTCCCCTTTGTCGACTTTGGCAAGATCTCGTTCACCGACGCGTACGCGCAGACCGCCGACGGCACCAAGCACACCCCGCAGGGCGCGACCATCCTCAACGTCAATGTCAACGGCTCGGACAAGACCAAGTGCTCCTCGGACAGCAAGGGCGCCTACTGCTCGTACGTTTCCTAAGGGTCTTGCGAGACGTGAGAGGGGAGAAAAGGTCTTGCTGGACTTGAGAGGGAGATGAAGACCCGGGTACATTTACATTCTACATTACTTGACAGTTTCCATATACTACAAAATATACAGCGTTTTTAGCATGGACGGTTACAGTGATGTGATGTACACTGCGTAGCGCTTTGCGGATGATTCATTGTCGCGTCTGTGGTCGATTCCCTCCGTGTACACCCAAGTCATTGACGTGAGTTGCTCGCCCAACATGGATGGATAAGAACGGAAGAATCTATGTCTTTTGGTCATTCACAAAAGAAAAGGTTGCGCTTCGTCTACGCTCATGTTCGAGAGTCGGACCACTCGCGCGTCTGGCAGCTCCGGTCTTCGTGCAGAGTTCGATCAGTGCTGAACAGAGCCACCGGGCCTCTTCTCGAGAAGCAGAATCTCGGAAGACACGTAGATTATGGACTCTAGCCCTCTTGACTAGAGTAATATTTCGTACAGCTTTCTTGGGTGTGGTGACAGTGCTTGGCAGAGGATGAAGGGGGCACTTGCTACCCTATACCCACATCTCAACCAGCAGGAAGGGCATCGGCAATGGTTCTGACATGCAAAGGCGTGCAATTCAGGAATTCGTTTTCTTTTTTGTTATTGAGATAGAATTAGGTAAAATCATCTATTTAGTTGTTCTTTTTCTTTATTCACGGTCATTACGGGCCTTTACATTCAACGGGCACGGTTTTTATGTCTACATTCACGTAGCTTGTTTACAGGAGGAATTTATGAAATCAACTATGACAACCTTCATATAAATCTATCATATTATCCAATGCTTAGTGGTTATAAAACTGAGCAAATGAATTAAGCAAAAACTGTGTGAAGCAATACAGTTACTGCACTGCTTATAGGCTATGTGGAAGACGCGCGGGTCCATCTCCCTGCAAATGAGCAGAGCAATTGTGAGAGCGCGGCCAACTACCAGCAAAAATGGAAATAAATTGCTGCATTTCAAAGTTTCAAGAGTGCCAAAGCTGCACTACCCCACGATGCAACAGAATCATCGCTCGGACTCTTGCCTCCGCACTCTGGTTGACGTGACAGCTGCTCAACTAAATCAGCCCCCCCCCCCTCTCCCCCCCTGTGATAATTATATCATCTCGCGATCAAGATATGCACGAGCCCTTGGCCTTGTGCCGGAAGGAGCCGAACCACCTGCCAGACTCTGACCAAAACAAACCTTGTCGCCACAAAATGCAACCCCCAAGTTGAAACGGCAGAGGGTAGTAGCACTGCAGGTACGAGCTGAAAACCTGGACTAATAATGGAGCGCTCTGCGCAGTAGCAAGTCGGAGCTCGCACTAGCCTTTTCTTCTTCAGTGCGATTTCCGCGGGGGAGGCTCGCAACCTGTCAAAGAACCTGTATTACCAAGGGGCTTCGGATCGACCGGTGAGCGTCTTCAATGCGGGTGTTGCATTTGGTTTCATGACGGGGGAACCCGGGGGAGGAGAGAGGGAGAAGCTCGGCTATAGGGTGTGATGAGTGAGTTGCACAAGGAGGAACATCTTGCGCCAAAAGAGAGGCAGAGAGACAAAGAGACCTGTGTGGTGTGTTGGAGACGAGACGCTCGGTCGTTAGACGCCCAATGACGAGGTTACAAACGGTAATTCCACATATGGAAAATGGCTAGTTATTCTTTGAAATACACGGCACTGGTTAATAAAGAAGAAATGCTCCGAGGAGGCCCCTCTCCTCGCGCTCGTGCTTTCAACTGCACGGGCTCTCCGATCTGAACAAGAATGGCCTTCTTTCTTCTTGTTACTTCTTTTCTTCCAAGTAACATTACTAGAGAAGGGGGTCCTTTGTGCGAGGGGGGGCGTGCGGTTTCGCGCGTGTTTCGAATTGGACACTATTCATCACAACAACCAACCAACCAATCTCTCGCCGTATTGCCAGCTGACTGTTTCTTCTCCAGGACCCTGCACTTCAATCTGGGGAAGCAGCAAAAGGCCCGAAATGCCATTTATATAACATGGTCAAGCACGGCCATGAAGAATTGAACCGCTCTGCACAGTGCCGCATTTGAAACGCCGCAGCGCGGGGCGCATCTTCAACGTCTTTTGCGACCATGTCTGGAAACGTCGCAATATAATTCATCATATATACGTTTTTAGCTTTCTGTTTCTAGCCTTACGATGTGGATGGTATCATCGTGCACCCGCCTTTGTTCGGGGTCGATACACCGGTCCAGTCTCCCGCAACGCAACCCAAATGCAGCCATCTTCATATCCGCATTCCAGTCGAGTCCATGAGATTTACACACACACCCTTTTCTTCCCCCTCCCTTTTGCCTCTCCCCCCCCCCCCCCCGC